GACGTTCCGGGGGAGAACCCCCGGACCCCCCTTTCTTTCAGCTTCCTGGCCCACCTACCCTCCCTATCAACCAGAGATATGACGTCCCGGGGGAGAACCCCCGGACCCCCCTTCCTCCCAGCTCTCTGGTACCACCACCTTCACCACTAACAACCCACGATGAAATCAAAGGTCTGCATAAACGTAAACCACATCCTTGCGCACCCAACCATCCAAGCCGAACTAATAACCTCTTTAACCAAACACTTCGACACCTTCACCAACGGCCGCGACAACATCCCCGAATACAGCTGCCACATAATCAACGCCCGCAACTTCGACCGCCTCGAATCGCTCCTCTCCCGCACCTCCGGCACAATAGCCTACGGCGGCATCCGCGACCGCAGCACCCTCTACTTCGGCCCCACAATCGTCGCCAACGTCCCGCGCGACGACCCGCTGCTCAGCGAGGAGATCTTCGGACCGATCCTCCCGATCGTGAACGCAGACCTCGACGAAGCGCTGGCGATCACGCGCGCGCACGAGCACCCGCTTGCGCTGTACGCGTTCACGAATGTCGAGGCCGAAAAGGGCCGGATTTCCCGGGAAACGGCCTCCGGCGGCGTGACGTTTAATGATTGTTTGTTGCACGCTATGGCCACGGATGCGCCGTTCGGGGGCGTCGGGAGTGCCGGGTTGGGCGCGTATCATGGCCCCTATGGCGTGCTTGCGTTTTCCTATCTGCGCACGTATGTGGAGGCTCTCCCCACGGTGTTGGAGGGGTTTATGGATGCGCGGTATCCGCCGTATACCCTTGCGAAGATGGTGAAGATGGCCCCGCCGGTAAAGCCGTCGTTCGATCGCGAGGGGAGGGATATCGGGTCCGGCGTGGGTAAGGTCGTTGGCGCCGTGGGTGCGGCTGCGGCGTTAGGGGCGTCGGTTTGGTTTCTAGGGGGGCGGGAGCGGATTCCCGCTTATGTGCGGGGGTGGTTGCGCGGGTAGACATGCTGTGTCTAGTTGGTGACTGCGTGGTTAGTTGAACCTGCTTGTCGTTGTAGGCACGGTGGCCTATCTTAAATGCAGAATGCATTCCAACAGATACAGTGCGGTAAAGTATTCAACCTAGACAGTCAAGTCTTGCAACAAGATCCAGTAAAGTATTGAAGACAGATATAGTAGATTAAACTTAGATACAGCAAAGCATTGAAACTAGATACATCCAGGACCCTATCCTATTGAACACTCCCCCCAGTTACCATCTACCCCCCGGGCTCGTCTTAGCTTCACCCCGCTTGAAACCAAGCAAGGCTACTAAACTCCAACACCACGATAAGGTGCGAGCTCACGTTGGAGGCCCGTCCCCCAGCAGGCACCTCCGCAAAGGAAGGGTTTTCGTCCTGGGCCCGACACCACAACAAGTTGCGACCCAAGCCCATAAAGACTGCATACACCAGCCACCCACCCGCGAACGAGCAAGCACCGATATAGCAAGGAGAAGGCAAACGCTCAGTCACCACCGCCCGCCCACCACACCACACTACGCCACATAGCACAGCACAGCATAGCAAGCAAGCAAGTGATCCAAGCAGACGACCCTATCGACAAACACACGAACAGATCCTCACCAGCCCCAGCCCAGCAAGAATAAGCCCGCACGTCAGTTTGCCAGTTGCAGCTGCGCGCTTCCATATCTAGCGGCAATGGAAGCAAGCCAACCTACCTGAGGCAGGTGGCCGGCGGGTGCCTTCCATCGTAGGTTGATGGTGGCTATCCCCCGTTCGTTATGACCGTGGGATGTAATCCCCCTTCCTTGATAGGATAGTGGATCCCCGCCTGCGCAGGCCAGGTCGTCCGTCCCGTTTCCGCTCTTCGGCCTGGACCGCCACTTGCCCTGGTTCAAGTGATGGTGAGTATTGACAGGCGCACGGATAGGGACGACGGATCCCGACTCCCGTGGGATGACTGGGATCCGTGGGTGCTCTGGACATGGTTTGTCCGTGGAACACATAGTGTAGCCTACAGCCGTGAGAATCACGGGTGTAAAAGAATTGTTAATTCTTGGTATTGGTTGGTGCTTGGTTGAGGAGCTTTTGGGAACGGAAGGGTGTGGTTGAGAGCGAAAATAGAAAGGGAGATGAAAAGAAGATCGGAACAAGGCTGAGAGCTCGATAAAAAGATGATGAGGTTGGGTTGAAAAGAGGATGAATTAAGGATAAAGGGTTGATGGGAAGGAGAATGAAACGAAGATGGAAAGACAATGATAAAGAGGAAAAAGGATGGCGATGATGAGAACGAGGATGATAATGAAGCTGGAGAAGAGGAAGATGATGAAGAAAGGAAGAAGATGAGAAGTGAGAAAAAGAAGGAAAAGAGAGAAGAGAGAGGAAGAGGAAGAGAGAGAGAGAGTGTGTGTGAGTGTGTTAGTCCGGGCAGGGAAGGAAAGAACAGGACTCGAATTAGGACAGATCAGCTGACCTGCACGTAGAATTCATTCACTGTTGACCATTCCATGATATTCCATACTACCTCATCATAAGAGTAGATATACATCTTACGGAACACTCTACGGATATGCACAACTTGCAGCAGCATCTGATGCGATGCATTCTACCTAAAAGACAGAAACCAGCTCTTGATTATCAAGCTCGTCTTAGCTTCGCCAAATGGCTACTAGACTCCAACACCACGATGAGGTGCGAGCTTGTCGTTGGAGTATGCGTAGATGGCGGTACGCACAGCTGAGCGATATGTAGAAAGTAGGAAGGCGAATCGAAGACAGGGGGAAGAGGCTACAAAGAAAGGGAGATAAGAATAGCCCGATCAACCAAAGGAAAGGAGAAAGGAAACAGAGAAAAGGAGAGAAAGGAGGAGGAGGAAGAGAAGGAAGAGGGGAGAAGAAAAGCAAGAAGAAAAAGAAAAGAAAAACAGAAGAAACAAAGGAAACAAAGGAAACAAAAGAAAAAGAAGAAATAGAAAAAAACCCGAAAAAACTACCTAAGCGGAGCGGAGCGAGAGAAGGTGAGAGGAGAGAGAAGGAAGGGAGAAGAAGAGAGATAAGAGGAGGGAGGATAAGAATATAGCAGAAAAGAAAAAGCAGAAAGCAACGCAAGAACGCCAAAAGAAAAGAAGAAAGAAGAAAGACCCGAAAAACTATCTAAAACAAAAGAAAGCGGAGCGAGAAGAAGAAACACTTAGGAGAGTCGGAAAGAAGGCAGAGAAGAGAGGAGAGGAGGGAGTTGTAGGAGGGAAAGATTCAAAGGAGAAGAAGGGGGCAGAAGACCGCCTTATATACGGGAGGAATTGGACCGGTGACGCCAGGCTTCATCATTGCAGGTCTTTTCTGTTCCATGAGATGCAATAATCCTGTCCTGACTTCTTCTATGACATACCAATACTCTCATGGCAACAGGATCGATGACGAGAGATGCATGTTATCCTGCATTGGAAAGATGTCGACAAGCATCGACATGTGGTCTACAGGTTGGAGGCAACTGGTATCTTAAACGAACAATCCAACTAGTTGATATCAATGAACGCCATATACAGAAGACATAAAGAAACCAAATCACCGAGATAACCACTCATCTATCCTCCTCGACAGCCGCACACACCTAGCATCGACCACCCTCGTCCACCAGCTCGACAGCCAAACCACCAATACCCCCATGACCACAGCCGTGACGCCCAAACTGACCACAAACGCGCCAATCCCCAGAGCAATGGCCTCCTCATCCGTGGCCGGATACTGCTGCCCGGTCATAATCCACCACAGACCATTCCGGACCGGATCCCTGGCAACATGATACACCGACTGATGCACCAGATACAGCGAGAACGAGATCTTGCCCAAAAACTGCGGCGTGGGCCTCTCCAACACCCGCTGCAGCACCTCCACACGATCAATCGCATACACCACCAGCAGCGAACCCACCGTCTTCCAAGACTTGCTCACAATCGCCCAGTCGTCATCCCACCGGGGCGACTGCAGCGCCACCAGCCACTGGTACCCAGGCGTGAGCACCCCGTCATCCCCCAGACAAAGCAGATGCAAGCCCATAACAAAGCAGAGCACCGTCACCAGCGTCCGCAGCTTCTGCCTCAGCCTGGCAGACGCGGTCGACAGGCCATACTCGCCCTCTTTCCTGCCCAGCACCACCTCCGCAGCACCCAGCCCCTGCGCAAGCTCCGCAACACCCAACCCACCGAGAAAGCCGACCCCATCCCAGATCCCATACCACAAGAAATACAACGCCAGTCCGGCGACCCCAACAACGCGCATCTCCCTGCGCCAAAAGGCCATCGCCAGGATGACCAGGTAGACCATCAGACTACCGCGGAACTCGATGGGCATGGTCCACAACTGCCCGTTCAGGCCGGGGTTATGGTGGAACTGGATGATATTCACGATATCCAGCAGATAGCGTAGGAGGTACGTGAAGTGGAACGTCGGGGCGGTCCACGGCCGGCGGCCCCAGACGACGTCGTCGCCAAACGACCAGTGGTACAGTCCGCAGAAGAACAGCAGCTGCGAGAGGATGGCGACGAGGAAGACAGGCAGGTAGATGCGGAAGATCCGGCGGGTGGTGGCGGAGGCGAGACCGCGGAGGAGGGTCTGGTTGTGCGCGGAGGCGGACGCCGTCAGCGAGGAGAACGGCGTATCGCGGAGACGGAGCAGGTTGATGCTCAGGGCATAGCCGGAGATCACGAAGAAGAGAGCCACCATTGCGTGTGCGGAGAAGAGGAGGCGGACCGGGGGCAGCTGGATGAAGTGTCGGTTGGCTGAGGGGGGGTCGGCCCAGTATGAGTGGAAGGCGAAGTCGAAGATCCCGCCCATGAAGAAGTGGTTGAAGGCGACAATCGCAGCTGCCAGGCCGCGGAGGCCGTCCAGCCAGGCGGTGCGAGGTTTGTCCATGTGTGGTTGTGGTGGTGGTGGTGGACTGGCTGCAGTATCGCAGTTGGAGAAGGAAGGAGAGAGAGGGGAAGGACGGAGCAGAAAAAGGGCCCAAGTTGGTTGGAGCATGGAGGCTGACCAGGATCCACACACGCTAATTTAGTGTCTTTAGTGGGTGCTTCTGACTGGTCCCTATTTCTGATTCTTCAGGCGACGGAGTACTCGTGATTTAACAGTCAAAAGGATTCATTCTGCGGGTATATACATGTCCCAATCGGGTAATCTGCTGCAGGCATCTACAGCTCTAGTGCGCTTCTGCCTACTGACTACACGCCGAGTTCCAATGCTCGACGCGTCTGGTCAACCATCCACTGGTCCACGGTAGCGAGCTCTGCCGTCTGGCGTCGCCCTCGGGGATTCCACTCCCCAGTCGGACCATACTATCGAGCATGCACCGATCCTCGTAGAAGCTCCACTGCACACACTCCCCCCAGGCGACGCAGGCAGCCTCGCACTTGTCCACCGACATCCAGGCCTCCTTCCAGGCCTGCGGCTTGGTGACTGTGTCTGGCACCGTCACCCCATTCACATTACTGGAGCGGATGTCATACTTGGCCGCGCCGTTCTCCCACCAGTCCACCCGCTCGCGCAAGTACGGCAGAACCATGGCCTCATACACGTCCTTATACCGAATGGGCACCTTGGCCCCGACATCGCCCCACCGCGTCTCCAGATCATACAACCTGGCCACATCCCTGTTATGGGTATGATGCCAGCTGAAGACGGGCTTGCACCAATTTTCCTGTTCATACCAGCTGGTCCAGTGCGCCTCAGGATTGAACCCGTAGCTGAACCGACTCTCGGCATCGGGATGCTCGCCAAACCCCACGCCGCTCTCCTTTAACACATGGCCGAGGATATGGTCCCCGCACCCATGCTGCGCCGTAAAGTCGCCGTACTTCTGCTCGACATCGCCCTTGCCGCCGAAGGCCATCTCCCAGGCCTTGCGCGAGATGGCAAACCCGGACCCACCGTGGGCGAAATAATCGCCGTGGATCCAGGCGACACTGCCCAGGTACCAGGGTTTCTGGGGGTCGAAGCGATCCAGATGAGCGATCAGGTTGGGCAGGAAGAGGTAGGCGTCGTCTTCCATGAAGATGTACCATTTGGCGTCTGGGCGGGCGCGGCCGGCGTGCTGCACCAGCGGCAGGAACTTGTACTTGTCGAGTTTCCAGCCGCCGGCGGGGCCGGAGCCGTCGCCCGGGTAGACGTTGTTGATCTCGGCGTAGTTCTGGCGGAAGTCGTGGTCGGCTTGTTGGTGGTAGGGGAGCGCAATGTCGGGGTCGTTGAGGGTGGTGTTGGCGAGGATGTCGATGAAGGTCCACGAGGCGATGGTTTCGGGGCTGTCAGAGTAGAGAAGCACGTTGGCGGGGGGGATGCGCGTGGGGGAGAGAGTGGTGGTGAGGTGGATGGGGACGCGCTTCCAGAGAACGGAGGCGCCGGTTTTGAACATGAGCACGATGTCGTTGACGGTGAGGGAGGAGGAGGAAGATGAAGAGGAGGTAGTAGTAGTAGTAGTTGTGGTGGACGTGGTAGAGGAAGTGGCTGGAGCTGGCGCAGAAGGAGCAGGTTTCTGCGGCGTGGAGGAGTTGTCCTCCTCGAGGCTATGGGGAGGTGAAGGATGCACCACCACCGTGGCTTCCCCTGCTTTATACGGTGTCTGCGTGCTGGAGGCACTGGAGGAGACCCATGGTGGGCGATCGAGGGCAAAGTGATAGAGGAACAAACAGACGGTCAGCAGCATAATCCCGACTGGGACACGGCGATTGTCTTGGTAGAATCGACGCATGATGTTTTGTGTCTGTCGGTCTTACACTCCTCATAACATGGCTCGTGTTGGATTCCCGGTGTGCATAGCGAAATGCCTTTATAAGAGATGGTATAAATCTGCGGCTGGAAACATAATCTGGTGACTCTTTATCTTATACGCTTCGCTTAAACCCCTCTTCAATGCTATTTCTCCACTCACCCCCTAAAAAGTACTGAAAGGGGCAATAGATTTGGACAACTGGCGAAGACGGAAAATTTAGTGAAATGAAATGTCTCAGATCCGTGCAAGCTGATTGGCTGGTGCCTGGCCAGACATGGAGTTGCCTGAAAGTCCCGGCGGCACTAGCCTTTTATACTCATTTATTAACATGAATAAACCATGGACAAGGCTGTTGTCTTACCAAGAATAGTTTAGAGTGCGGCTACTGTTGTTGCAGCTGGGGTCCGTGTATGCACCCAAAATACGAGTCCCTCCCTAAGATTAAATGGATGAATCACTGACGGGATTCTGCACACGGGAAAAGGAAATGAACAAAAAATCTATTGCACAGCTAGACGACTGCTAGTCTCACGACTAGTCCACTGACTCGAGTCTAGTCCATCCCAAATTTTATTCCTCCGACTCCATCATGGCTCCATCGCCGGTCTCCTATCGCTCTGGCCGCCAAATAAATACACTGGCGCATCCGAGCAGTCGAATGCAGAGGATCCGACCCGGCAATCCCAACCCTAAGCACAACAGCCAGTCCTCATGGACCATCCACCGTTAATCCCCCAACGGGGCCCGCAAGTGCCTCTACTGCGTCAGATTCTTAATGGACTGGGGTGCATCCTCATCCTGCCTCTTTACTACTACCTCACCGCCGCCACCCGCCATCCCCTCACGCTCGATCTGTTATTGACCATCCTGGCCGCGGAGTACAACCGCTTCACCAACGAGCGCCGCCGGCGCAACTTCTACCAGCATGATGCGGCCGACCCCGAGAAGCCGCGCGTGCCGGCCGGGCCGGACTGCATGGCCGCGGTGGTGGGCTACCGCGAGGACCCGGGGCTGTTCGCGCGCGCGCTGAACAGCTACCGGGCGGCGGAGGGCTGTCGGTTCATGCTGGTGGGCATCGACGGCGACGAGGCGGCGGACATGGAGATGGTGCGCGTGTTCCAGAGCGTACGGAGCCCTACCTACCTAGTTTTCAATGCCACCCACTAACACGGTCGACAGATCTACCCGGCCGCGCCGACAATCCACCTGGACGAGCCGTTCGGCGACCTGGCCATGCGCACGTTCGACAAGCTAGCCACGGCGGACCTGCACTCGTCGCCGGTCGAGACGTACCAGCTGGCGAGCATCGCGCACTGCTGCGAGCTGGCGCGCACGATCCTGGCGGACCACGGCATCGCGCCGGGCCCCGGCGCATCGGCGCAGCTGTGTCTCTTCCAGCCGCACCAGAGCAAGAAGGCCATCATGTTCACCTCGTTCATCTTCAGTCTGGTGATCGCCGACGCCTGGGGCCTCGAGTACCTGTGGTCGTCCGACTCGGACACGCTGGTGTCGCCGCTCTCGCTGCGCCGCACCGTCGAGACCATCGCCGGCGACCCGACCGTCGGCGGCGGCAGCTCCGGCCTGCTGGTGCACAATGCCGGCGACTCGACTGTTGCTCAGCTGGGCAGCATCGTCTACTGGTGCGAACTGTACCTCACGCGCTCCGTGGCCACCTCTGCTGGCACCAGCGACTGCCAGAGCGGACCTAGCACCGCGTTCCGTATTGCCGCGCTGCCAGGCATATTGTATCCCTGGTATACGCAGACGGTGCTCGGCCATCGCATGGTACCCTCCCCTCCCTCACCCGGCATATAAGATAGCAGCACAGGCACTAAGAAAAAGTATAGGTCGTCAACGAAGACCGGCATCTAACTACTAATCTCCTCCTCCGCGGCTGGACTGTCACTTATGTCTCCGACACACTCACCGCTACCGACACCCCCACCAACTTGCGCAAATGGATCCTCCAACAGGTATGCCACTGCCCCCACTCTACACCCCATACTACCAGAAGTATATACCGTCCCGGGGGAGAACCCCCGGACCCCCCTTCCTTTCAGCTTCCTGGATCCACTCAATCCCAAACCAGAGAAATAAATAAACTTATACCCTGTATACTAATACCCAAAGATAGGTCCGATGGTCCCGATCAGGCCACATCGAATCCCTCCAATCCCCAAGACTCTACCTCCTCACGAACCCACTATTCTTCTGGGCCGCCATAAAACGCGAAGCCGGACCGCTACTCGGCATGGGCTATATCCTATACTACCTACTAACAGGCGCAAGCCTGGCGTACTTCTCCTGGACGGATCTGGGCGTGCGGCTCTTGTACACGATCATCTACAACGTCTTCCGGAACCCAGATCGCGGGGTGCGGCGGCTGGTCCTCTGGGTCGGGCTGTTGCCTGCGCTGTTGTTTTATAATGTCCCGTTGCCGGTGGTGCATTTTTGGAGTGCGGTTACGGTTATGGAGGATGGGTGGGGGACAGCGATGCGGTCGCCCGTGCAGGGGGTGGGGGTGGTGCCGGATGTGAATAATGATTTGGGGGTCGGGAAGGCGCGGAAGGGGTCTGTGTCTGTGTCTGCGTCTGCGTCTGGGGTTGGGGCTACTGCTAAGGCTGGGATGTGGAAACGGTGGAATGAGCTTGGTTTCTTTGTCGTTTGGATGGGCGTCGTGGCTGGTGTCGCCGCCAGAATTATGGCCGGCCATCTCGGCTACGAGGTGCTGCAGACTGAGAGGGCCGTTTGGGGCGCCGTGCTTGCCGGTTTTGCGGGCACGTTTTACGGCTTGGTCGTCAGGGAGTAAATCCCACATTATGATGATAGAATTATAGAGAGCGTGTCAATTGGAGGGTGTATATGCCGACTACAGCTTGACTACACCATCACGACAGGGCAACGAAACGAAATCTTGATATTACTTGACTGAACTCACAACTTTTACTCACACTCCAACTATCTCCCTCTACCCAGTCTCACCGGTAACAACCCCCTCTATCAATACCCCCCCTCGTCCACACTATATTCCCGATAAATGATCGAACTGTACCGCGCGAACGCACTCCTCGCCCGCAACCCCCGCCCATACCGCGTGAACAACGGCGGCACAGCACAGAACACTGTGGCCAGGGCCGCCAGCACCGAGACAGCCCCGTTGGCCCCCAGGCGCTGCAGCATGGGCGCCGACACAAGTGGCAGCACGGCCGACAGAGTGGCACGTACCAGACTCAGCGCCGCCAGCCCGCTCGCCGCGTAGCTGAGGTAGCTATCGGTCAGATACCCGCCCAGCACGTAGTCGATCTCATTCAGACTAAACCCCGTCAGCACCAATGCCACCACGGACACCATCCACGGCACCTGCGACATGGCCGGCGGGATGGTCCAGGCGAACACCCACAGGGCGGCCGCCAGCACGGGCGTGCCAACCCAAAACCCGAGCAGCTTGTCCTCGGGCTGCAGCGGCCGCCCGCGCGCGCTGTGCTGCGCGATGATGCGCAGGTCCAGCCATCGCGTCAGAAACCCCAGGAATAGACCCAGCCCAATTGCAAGAAAAGGCAGGCACGCCTGGCGCGGACTGAATCCGAACGACTCGTAGATGGGCGGCAGCGCCTGCGTGAAGAGGTAGACCAGCGCGATCGACACCGCGCTCATGACCGCCACGATGAAGACGATCAGCTCCGTGCAGAGCAATCGAATCGGCCGGAACAGGGCCAATCGCACGAAAGTATGCAGATCCGGGGCTTGGTCCGGGTTCAGCGCGTCCGGGGTGCTGATCTGCGTCACCTTGCGGAAGAGTGCCACCTCCCGCGCCAGCAGCAGCGACGGCCGCGACTCGCGGATCGTTACCAGCAGCAGTGTCAGCACCCCCGTCACCATCGCCGCCACGTAGAAAAGCCACCGCCTTGAGATGGTACTGTTAGCGCTGGCTTCGTATCGGAAGAGAAACTCGGGACGATATATAAGTAGCAAGATACGAGGGACACGGGAACGCACCAGTCCAGATCAGCCACCACAAAAGTACTAAGGATCGGTCCGACCACCATACCCAGATTGGCCGCTTGGACCCAGATGCAGATCATCCACACTCGCTGCCGCGAGTTGAACAGGTCCTCAATGCTGCCTCCCACTACCGTCGTCGGAATCGCAGACAGAATCCCGCTCATCAACCGTCCCGTGATCACCCCGGCCATCGACGGCACCGTAGCCACCACCACGCACGACAGACTGTACAGCGCCGAACTTACTATATACAGCTTCTTTCGTCCAAACGCTTCCGAATATGGCGGGAAGATAATGCCCCCGAACGCCTGGCCGACCAGATACCTAGAAGGCAAGTCAGATGGCGACCAACCCACAGCGGACGGAGAAGCACTAACACGGACACGAAGAGGAAGATAGACAGTTCTTGCGGAACACGAAGCTCTCGTACGGCACTGTTGGCAGCGATGGACTAGCAACTGTCAGACTTCATGATTACACCTCAATCAGACTCGGAAAATCTTACCCCGGCTGTGCTCACTGCCGTCCTAAAGGCACACATACTCACGGTCAGCCACAGACAGGACTCTCCCGTCACGGTCGACACATACGTAAAGAACTCCAAGAAAAGGATCAGCATAGTATCCCAGATCTTCCTTCTCAGTCTCCAGTTCCGCGGATGTCGACTGTTGCCAACCGCCCAGCGGATGTGCATGCCGTCCGCGGTCATACGGAGCCCATATTGCGGAAGGAGCGACTGGAGAACATCCTTCTCGGACTCGATCGAAGACGTGGTAATCTGGCTAGTGGGCTTCATGGCACGGAATTGAACGGATCTCTCAGCGGATGCTACCAGAAAACCACGGCTCGACAGGCGAAGACCTCCACCTACGTATGTATTTATTCAAGCTGGAGAGGGGTTGTGATACAGCAGCACGGACTTAAGCGGCGCAGACTGCTGAGAGAGCACTCGCACGGCCTGGGTCTATAAGTGCTCCCTAGCCGGGTCATTCTGCGGCGAGGCTACCGCGTTGGTTGGCTCAACAGCTTTTATTCTCCTTCATCCCTCATCTTACCCTGTGCCATTTTCGGGACGTTGAGGAGGGAATTCTCCTCCAGTGCACGAACAAGTGCCACGGGCAGACAGCTCACGCTGCTGGGCCTATCAGCGCTCGGTCTTTACCCGACAATCGCTTATACATAGTCCTGTACTCCAGCGCGGATCGACGTATCCGACCTTCAGCTTGGTACTACTTCGGAAGCGTGACGGGAAAGGCTTTGCATGTGCTTGATCCTATTCCTTGTCACGGTGGACCAGCATCCGTGGCTCTGGAGGATGTGCCCTGCCATCCCATATCTCAGATCATTCATTCTCTCATCCTAGCTCCTTATCATCACACGAACTGGGGGCTCAACGGTCTGGGCCATACCTGGCTACAGGATCCCAAGCTCTTCCTTGTCCCAGCCTCCGTCGTTATCTCCGTCTCCATCTCCATCTCCCTGATGGTCAGATGCTCTTCCATTTCCGTTGTACGCAAGAAGATTCGGACTACCAGCGGTATTCGTGACTACATTCCGTGTGGCCAGTGCCTTGAGGCGAGCTGTCACTGCGGTCGGAGTAGACAAGACCTCGAGCGCCATGAGGTACAGTGTCAATCCCGTAACATGAGGCGTAGCCATCGAGGTTCCAGAAATGGTTCTGGTCGTCGTATCCGATCCAATCCAAGAGGAGAGAATATCCTCTCCGGGCGCAAAGATGTCGACGACAGAGCCGAAGTTGGAGAAGTTGGAGCGGGAGTTCCGTCGGTTGATGGCAGCGACAGTGACAGCATTCGGCGCCGATGCCGGGCTCGTCCGCGCAGCGTCCCTCTAGTGTCTAATCAGCAACCGCTTACAGTCCGAGAGGTGAGCCACATACATTCTCATTGCCTGCCGCAACGACGGTGAGGACCCCTTCATCGAAGGCATTTTCGACAGCATCATTGAACGTGCTGGAATAGCTCCCGCCTATGCACCGTAGTCAGCGAGTTAGCGTGTATAAACGAAGCCGGACCCTTACCCAAGCTCATGTTGATCACTGCTTTGCTCGTACGGTTCTTGGTCACGATGTCATTGACGGCCCAATTGTAACCATCGAGAATGACCGAGGTAGAGCTGGATTCGCCAGTGAAGACCTTCACTGAGACCAGACTCGTCCTCTTCGCCACTCCGTAAGTTCGTCCACCAATGATTCCTGCAACATGGGTGCCATGCCCGACTCCATCGGTATGTTGTCCTCCAACAGCGTTGTATGCCAAGAGGGCGCGACCAGCAAATTCATCATGGGTGCTCAAAACGCCTGTGTCCACAATATAAGCATAGGTGCCAATTCCAGCGCTATCGTCGTAGACGTAGTCAGTGCTTGCCAGCCCCCGATGAGAAATGCATCCTAGACCCCATGGGGAGTTATGCTCCGTGATCAGTCCGTCAGGATACCAGATCTGATCGTCCTCGACGTTGGCTACCTGATAAATGGTCAGATCACCACAACATTCGCAATGAGGGCCATGGTAGACGGACATCTGCATGTTGGCGGATTGCAGCAATGGTTGCGTCATCGAACGAGCCAGCATATCCGGCAAACCTGTTAATCTTGTAATGTCGCTCAATGCCGACAGGTAGGTCTTGCTCGGTGAAACTGCGGTCTTCAAGATGCCGTTTGTGAAGGTTTGTCGCCCAGGCTGTATGTTCATCGATCTTGGCATCGTCTGTTCCCGGCTTGAAGGTAACGATATATTTCCCGGGAATGGTCTGTAGAGTCTGGCGGCTTTCGAGCCATGGCGCACAAAGCACGGCAGATAGAACAGATCCGAAGACCAGAAGGACACTTCTCAGGGAGGCCATGGCAACAATGAAAATCAAGATAGGAATCTCGCCCGAGAAAGATAACGAGGAATGTACAATTGCTCCAGGACAGCTGCCTTATATACCTGCAGCATCGCGAACGCCGTCCAAGATTGACAGCCTATCACTTACATGGTCGCCTGCCTTGCTGAAGAGCGAGACCAGGGGCTATGATGGCTAAGCATGTTTAAAACTTTGGGGGTAACATTGCATTCTCAGACGACTTTATCGCGTCCTATTAGGCAAGACACCATGCACACCATGGGTGATTTCGGGCAGATGCGAAGGAACAGGGATCGAGGCGAAAAGCACTGAAGAGCTTACTTCTCCGGCCCCAGAAACACTCAAAGCCAGACCAGCTTCGAGGCCTTTCACCGGGCTGAATGGCATACATCCACCCACGCAATTGCTTCCATTATTTGCCCGCTGGCGTGCCATGGCCTGCTATAGCAGGTTCAGAAAATACGAATTGTGAGTGTTCAAGGCGAATCCATATGCCTTCGACAACCAGAGTGACAACCAAAAAGAACTTTGGATGTTGGGATGTCACGCAAGGAGCCCTGGAAAAACGGAGGAATGCTTAATCACTTGTCCGGTAGTCAGTGCGACCCCTCTCTGGGGGGCTAGTTCCGCACGAGGTGAAAACCACTGCATGCGCCTATTATCTATCAGGCTAGTACGTGTGCCGATTGGGTGAGAGAAGAATCCTCAGCGAAAGAATAAAACAAGATGCCACTGCATAGAAGGCATTCATCGGTGGGCTATGAAGTTCAGCGTCGCACAGTGGGCTCAGGCGCGATGATCATCCACAGCAAGCCGGATAGGAGACACATTACTCCTCTTGTAGGGCGAAGAGCCAGTGTGCCGGACCGATGTGCTTGTGATGAAGCGAATCCTAACTCCAAAGTCAATTTTAGAAGCTTGGTACAACCAACCTGCCCCTGAGGACGCGCATGTGCCTGAGGAAGTCTTCTGATGTGTCGAAACCTAATCATCGTCTTGATGGGAATCTGACTGAATAACAGGCAGTGGGCAAGTGTTCGATTGGCGGCCATTCCACCACCTCGCCGTGGCGATGGAGTTCGCGACGGCCAAGACTCAGCACGGTAGCCCGGTTGAAGAGGCATCTAGGTGGAAGTCTAGGTTTTCAGAGCTTCAGAGTTTGCAACAGTATGGCCAAAGTGAGCTCGGATTGCAAGGCATACCACACGAAACACTTCATGCTTGTAGACAATATCCCTCGTGTGAAGATGCTCGAATGCCCGCAGCTCAGATAGTCAACGACCCCGCGGGGCGACTAGATGATCGCCTCCTCCTGTCTGCAGGGCTTCGATGCAGCCAAGCCAAATTGACGTCTGGTGATGGAAGATTTCTGAACGGGCTTTGGGCGCACTTCGAATCGGTACGGTTGCATTGAGGTAACCACCGGGCCTGCTGTGATCAGAACGATACCCCTTGAGCCAGTCGGATAATTTTATCGGGTGCGACAGAGGGGGGTAGAAGAAGAAGGGGGAAGGGGGAAGGGGGCAGGTGCGGCCTCCAGGCTGACCGGAGTTGTTATTTATTGTTGCACGGAGTCCCGTGATCTGCAGCCATGGGAGTTCATGTCAGGGGCAGCAGCACTGGATCACACATGCATTGAATCTCTACCTCTCTTAACAAATCCTTCGGAGAATCAGGTCCTACACGCAGTGTAATGAGGGAATAATCAAGTATAAAGAACGTGTCATATTCGACAGCTAACGAATTCTCTCTTTGCGCAGCAAGACTCTTCAAATGCAGTCATTGCACGCATGCAACTATCCGCTCTATGCCCAACCATCCTGCTTACAACGCAGCAAAGATCAGGTTTACAGTCTCTTCCCCGCATACTTCTTCTCGGCCTCTCTGTTGGCAAAGGGGAAACCGGTGGTCCGCTTATCCACCCCGGTCTTGCGGCTGATCTTCCCGCCACTGCTGGCAAACAGCGCACACCACACACCAATGGCCGCAATGGCAGCGTATCCCACCATACCAATTGCGTAGCCAATCTGTCCCGTAGCCACCCACCAAATGTATGCGTATCCCGCCGAAGCACCGTGGAAGACGGTCGTGACCATCATGGTCGGCACGGCGTAGGGTGCCTTGGGGTCGGAATCATCCGTTGTGACAGGCTGCGCGATGGAGGTGGTCAGAGGAACGGAGCCGGTGAGCATGACCGTGAGAACGGCAATGAGCAGCAGACTGAAGCCCAGGCAACGCGAGAAGTATGTTTCAAGAGCTGTGGCGGTTAGCGATGGTGCTTGTCATAGCGGCTAGACCCCGTTGGCGGTGGTAACTCACAGGAAGGGTCTCGGGTTTCGGTCAACAACATCGTACTCATCATCTCCGGCACAGCGATCAGAGCTAAGCTCTGGAGACCAAGCCAGCCGGCTGTGGAGTAGGTGTAGGCGTAGAAAACCTGTGGCGCGTGCAATGGTTAGCTGTTTGAAATGGCGAGAGGCGGCAACGATCGTCTTACATCCATGATGCGGAGGAAGGTGATGCCTTTCGGTTGAAGTCAATTGTTCTTAGTAGAAAGAGGTATGTTGGTTGTTTAAAAGATTTCAGATACTCAGCGAGGGACGGAAGAAGTTGCAAGCGATGCAAGCAGTGAGTTATAAGCTGTGGTCAAAGGCAGGGATTGATTCCCCATGAGGTCATCGCTTGTTCAGTCCCGATGATGTCACCGCCGGCCATTCCGCTGATTCAGCCTGCGTTTTTCCTTTTTTCTTTTCCTGTCACTACAACGAAATCGGATGGAGAAGTGGGAAAGTAAAAAAAGGAGGCGTAAGAGGATGGAATGTGTCCAAGGGGCCGAGGTGAGCTTTTGCAAGCTGACTGAGTTGGCAGGACCATCGCCAACATCGTCAGCCATCTACCCCAGGTAACTCCACATCAGCTATAATATCCTTCTGTTATTGCTTACAGTCAAGCTATGGAGGATATTCTACGCCCCCTGAAGGTGAGCTGTAGGGCTGAATCATACGTTATCTATCGGATGTGTCTGTAATTGGACCAAAATACATGTCACCCCTGATCGATCAATGTCTATTCATTTACCATAGCTAGATTCAAGTCTCCACCAGCAACGCCTTTTCAAAAACCCAAAGAACAAATAAAGTGCAGGCTTGACTCATGGTCAGGTATCACTGGTTGATATTGCTCGCGCGCAAGTATCTGAGAAAGCTCAGATCTTGGTCGGACGGTGCGGTGGTCTGTTCCGCAAGCGCGTCCTTGTAGCGCTGCGTAAGCCCTTCACTGTCACCGGCACGGGGAGTCCTGTAATCATCATCACTGTCTTCATCGTCGTACTCGCCATTCTTGCGTGCCTCTTCCTCCTCCTCCTCCGCCTCGCTGACCGTCTCCGCTTCGGTGTCTGCCTTCTGCTTGCCCCGACTGGCGCCAGACACACTCATATCCTTCATCAGCTTGCCTAGCTCGATTTCTCGTTGCGCTGCCTTGGTTTCTTCGCGCTCCCTCTTCTTGCGCTCCAGCTCGGGCTTGTAGTCGCGCTCGAATTCCTGGCGCTTCTCCTCCACGGCCTCGAAGAACTCGTCAATACCTTCACCGGTCATCGAACTGACACCCACAAGGTTCAAGTGTCGGTAGAACTCCTCCAGCATCAAGCTCATACTGTTCAGCAGCGAGCCCATGTACCCACTTCCCGCACCGAAGCCACCCGCTGCGCCCTCCGTACCGAAAGAACCCGCCTCCTCTTCCTCGCGCAGAGCCTTCTGGAAGGCATCGAAGTCCGTCATCCATTCCTTAGCAAATTCAGCGTCTTGTACATCAGTCTTGTTGAAGACCAGGATCATCGGCAACTTCGTCTTGTAAAGGATACTGCAGGCGTAGAGCATGTTGCTCATGAAGGTGCTCGTGGAGCTGGCGCGGGGGGTATCGATAACGTAGGCGATCACGGTCGGGAACGAGGAGGCGAGAGTCTCGAGCAGGATACTGCCGGAAGCACTCCACACAAACACCTCAATCTGGCCAGGCGTGTCGACCAGGATGTGCTCGATGGGCTTCGCGGTCGGGTTGCTGGGGTTGGGAGCCGTCCGCTTCTCCAGCAAGCCGATGATTTGATCGACCTTGGTGGCGAACAGATTCAGTGATGTCAGAATACCGCCGTTGGGCCCGAGATTGTATTGTTTCATGACTTCGCGGTAGTTGATCGAGTCACGGATGTCGATATTGCTCTCGAAAGGAACCGTGTGGACGGCGGGGTCAAGGTTGAGGACATAAGGAACAGTCTTCTTCGAGTGCAGATGGGAGTTGATTCGTTGCATGAAGGTTGTCTTTCCAGAGCCTGTGTTTTAAGATATTCGTGAATGATTAGCGACATTGTCAATGAGGGGTTGATCGCCAGCCTACCTGCCATGCCGACGCAGACAACGGCGACCGGAGATTGTGCCATCGTGAAGGGTAAAAAGGAGAACGATGAACAAAAATCAGATATCGACTCAATAATATAGCCACTCGGTCAGAGAGTGCAAATGAAGATGATGACGCGGGGATGAGCGGAAGTCAGAGTAGCCGCTAGAAGGCGAGGCGTAGAAATTCTTTTGTCGCGGGGAATCGCGGGTGGAGACCGTCTGGCCGGAAGCGTTCCAGACGTCATGGCGTGCCTCCGCCGCCGCCTTTTCCCTTGCTTTGCTTCCTCTGCTCTCACAACACGACCGTCGCGTCGCTCTCAAAACAGCACCATGGCGCTAGAGGATTTTGAGAAATCATTGGTGGAGGAGCAAGAAAGACGTCGCGAGCGAAGCGACAAGGACAGACATCGCCATCACCGAGACAGAGACAGGGATCGCAGCCGCGAGCGCTCAAGGCACCACCGACACCACCGTCGTTCATCCCGATCAAGAGAGCGTGATCACGACAGGCATCGCGAGTCGCGTCGGACCGATGAGGGCAGTCACCGACACAAGCGATCGCGTCACTCGACTGACCACGGAGACGATCGCGATCATGATCACAAGCGCCGACACAGGGACAGCAGAGATGAGGAAAGGAAATCGCCAGCTGCAACTGCGGAAGCGGTCCAGAATGAGGCTCCCAAGCTAAAGAGAGACGCTTGGATGGAAGGTCCCTCCAGTCTCGACATCGACTACGTACAGCGGCGCTCGACTACGCGTTTGGAAGAAGAACCAAAACCCAAGATGCTTTCGGCGGATTATGAGCTAAAAATCCACGGTCGGGAACTCAATACACATCTACGAGATCTGAAGGACGGAAAGGTTCTCGAAGAGATTGAAGGACAGCCCGCACAACATGACGTCGACTACACCTTTGGTGATTCCGGCTCTCAGTGGAGAATGACCAAGTTAAAAGCTGTTTACAGAGAGGCGGAGGAAACTGGTCTGTCAGTAGAAGAGGTTGCGGTGAATCGGTTCGGAGATATTCGCTCGTTCGATGACGCACGTGAAGAGGAGGCAGAACTTGATCGCCGTGAAAGATACGGGGAAGGTTATGTGGGCAAGGAGAAGCCGTCGGGCGAGCTTTTCCAGGAGCGAAAGCAACAGGAGAATGTCCATCGCGGGGCACATGAGCACGTTCGCGATCCCGCCAAGGAGCTTAACGCTGAAGGACAGGGGAAGCCGATGGAGACTGTGCCTCCCCAGAACACGACCCAGCATCTTGATCTGACAGCACTCAATCGACTCAAGGCTCAAATGATGAAAGCCCAGCTCAAGGGCGCCCCAGATGCCGCTGAGCTCGAGGAGCGCTACAATACAGCAGCCGCTGCTATGGCTAATCGTAAGGAGTCGGATGTAGTAGTGTTGGGCGTCATGGAAAACCGCATGCTAGCTGGAAAGAGGAACGAAGTGAAGGCAGTTGAGAACAAGCGAGGCCGGGAGCGAGGCAAAGTGGAGGACAATGATGATATGACTATCGAAGACATGGTGCAAGAGGAACGACGGACTCGCGGACAGTTTGGCGGAGACGGACGTCGTATTGCTGAGAGAATTGCCAAGGACGCCAAATTCGAGGTAGGTGCTGCTACCAGCTTGCGACCGTGCTCTTGCTAACATGTGAAATACAGAATGATCTCGAATATATGGATGATAATGCATCCAAACTTGCTCGTCGGGTACACCGCTCAGAAATCGACATCAAGAATACGACTATCAACGAGCTGCAGAAGATGAACAGGATTCTCGACAATTGTCCCCTCTGCCACCACGAAGACACAAATACACCGCCGATGGCCCCCGTCGTCTCGTTGGCCACGAGAGTATACCTGACACTCCCCACCGAACCTGAACTAAATGAAGGATGCGCTACCATTGTTCCCATCCAGCATCGTACGAATCTGTTGGAGTGCGACGACGACGAGTGGGAGGAGATTCGCAATTTCATGAAGAGCTTGACCCGCATGTACCACGACCAAGGCCGCGACGTGATTTTCTATGAGAACGCGGCCCAGCCTCATCGCAAGCGACATGCTGCCATGGAGGTGGTTCCTCTTCCGTACAGTCTCGGAGAGACATCCCCGGCCTTCTTCAAGGAGGCAATTCTCTCTTCGGATGCGGAGTGGTCCCAGCACCGAAAGCTGATTGATACCCTCGGCAAGGCCAAGCAAGGCATGGGGCGGAGTGCTTTCCGCCGTAGCATTGCCAAAGAGATGCCTTACTTCCATGTGTGGTTCAGTCTTGACGGCGGCCTGGGCCATGTTGTAGAAGATGAGAATCGCTGGCCGCGTGGAGACCTCTTTGCTCGTGAGGTCATTGGAGGGATGTTGGATCTGGGCCCAGAAGTGATCAAGCGGCAGGGCCGTTGGCAACGGGGCGGTGATCCACGAGTTCCTGGATTTCAGAAGAGATGGAGGAAGTTTGATTGGACTCGTGTTCTTGTTGAGGGATGATTTGTACTTAATTGGAGGATCTTGTGAACGAAAGCGAAGCCACAGGATAAGCCGGTTCCATCCGCACTGTAAGATACAGCAGCACCTCACTTTACTCTCACTTAGTGAATCATCATCCCATCTCAAACTTCATCTCCGGCATCAGCTCACTCACTTATAATAGTTCTCCTTCCATCACTTCCTCTCCTTCTTTATCTCTTCCTTCCCTTCATCATCCTCCCTCCTCTCACAGAGAGCCACGCCTCTTTTGCTTCCCAATTCTCATATCAAATCACAGACGTCACAAAGCTTGTCTGACCCTTTCAAATCGTCTTCCCATCCGCCAACAGAAACAACATGCCTTCTGATCCCAAAACCACACACAAACGGCAAGGCCCAGACGCCGAAAAGAAGGGCGCAACCAAGAAATTACGAAAGAAAAGCGAAGTCAAAACGATAATGCAGACAGCACCCAAGGCGTCGAAGAAAGAAGAGACCGCGCCCAAAGACACCAAGCTCCTCCAGCCTGCGTTTGAAGGCACCAAACTTCCCCAGCCAGCGGCCATGCTTACCAAACCACCTCAGCCAGCGCTCACAGACGAGAAAGTCCAAGACCTCGCAGGATTCACCCTCCTACTGCAGAGGCGCGACGACGAAACCGAAGCCGCGCACGTCTACCACGTCGCATTCGCAAGGGTCCTCACCCAGGTCAGAACCACGGACACACGGCTACTGGTATGCGAGCTGCATGCGAAGGCGATGCTGGCGCGGTCGAGAAGCATCGCAGACATCCACATCCAGCTGCACTACTTCAAGCGGAACGTCGAGCTGCGCAGGATGGACGCGGAGGCGGCGCGCAAGGCAAACACAGAAAGACGGACTAGCCAGCCGACCTGGGCCGATGTGGTTGCGGCGTGGGGACAGCCCGTTGCGGATCGGGTGCGGAGGCAGAGTAATGCCTGCAATTTCTGTGCGAATCTCGTCTGGTTCATTAAAAGGGGCTATGACTTTGCGACCGTCGCGAACCTGCTGTCTACGGCTATTGTTCAGCGTATCGATAATCGAAGGCGTCCGAATCAGATGGCTGTGCTCCCTACTGATGTCGCTTCGGCGAAGACCCTACCTCGTGATACACCGGCGCTTGCTGCGGCGGATATTCGTCGTGTGAGAGGCAGGCTCGATAGCTTTGGCTTGCTGGTCCCGCTGTCGCCTGATGAGCTTACATTCCAATGCTTTCTGAATAGTGTGACGGAGGAGAAGAGTCGACGCGCGGTAGTGACAGACATGAACGCAACCTGATTCTATGTCAATGGCTTTCAACGAAATCTGGAGGGTGGGCGTGTGGCTATAGCGCGGGACCATTGGAGGAGTGAGGATGAGACAGCGATTTCGGTGTGTAGGATACCAAAAGGATGGTTGTGAATTTGTGAAAGCACTGGTGCCAAATGTAAAGCAGACTTCAGAGTTATTTGAAAAGAGAAAAACAAGGCTCGCAAATTCGGCCCCTGAATTACTTCATCTGCGTTAATCCTTGGTAAATGGTAGTCCAGAAGTTAGTATAAGCACTTGGGCAACCTACAAGGCGACCTTGAGCATACCCAAAACCTGAGGATGACATCTTACAACCTAGCAAGCGTTCGTTGTTGATCACTATGTTAGCTCCAATGTTCGTCTTCCATAAGCAAAGTCTACATCCCTACTGGGTAGACAGTAAGCAGTTTATCTCCTATATATGAAGGGAGATTTTCTATAAATCCCAAGCATGTTATTGGACATCTAAGTCCACAGAGAACCTATCCTACTAATAGCAACCGTTATGGAAGGGGGGCAGATCACTGGGCCCCGAGCCAATGCTCCATTCGCCGAGCCATGTGAAACTAGCACAGATCGCTAAGTGCCATGGCCAACCCCAGAAGTATAGTTTACTCAGACAAGCAATCTTTATCGATCAAATTGAAGCGCATTAGCGCCTCCCGGACCTACCCCAGCACTTTAAGACGTCAGCAAGACATCGTCCCAGCAGTGGAAGAGCCACTCTCAAGCGGTTTGAGAGGCAGAGAGGCAGGAAGGCGGGGAGGAACCCTGTAAATCAACGTTGAGGCCATATACATCGAAATAGAGACTGCGAGAAATGAGCACGGTGGAGAATGCTCCATCCAAGGTAAAATTATGCTGACATTTGCGATGATTGCTGCTCGCGCCACGGTTCACAGCAACCATTGAGTCAGGTAGATCCGGAGTAGAGTCGGAGCTCGCTGTGACTGGAGAGAACCACAGCTCCTGTTGATGGAGTACAACAACCGAATCAGTTTTCCGGTGCCCTAAGCTAAGAATTCTAAACCCAGGGCTCGAATGGGAGAACAGGGCGTCCCAGATTGGCCGGCCAAATGGCCCTGAGGCATTCTAGGTATAATCTCATTTCATCCTAGGAGCAGGAGCAGGCTAGATGCTTTGGGAAGGATTCAGAATGGTCCACCTTGGAGGCTGATAGGACGATGATGGGCAGAGCTAAGCAATCTCAAAATCCCTCTGCTAATGTGGTCAGGAGTTGTCCAGCCTGATGGATGTTTGTTTCAGTCAAGTGTAAAAATATCGTCCTGCCTGAACCGGTATAGTGTATCAGCGCTAAGACACGGATTAAGAGCCTCCCATTGGCCTGTTCGCTAATGACGTCACTGACACCTGAACCATACTCTTTGCAGACTAGGGGAGGATGGATGGGATGCTTGGCATCGAGATATAGTCCTGCACGAGAACCAGAAATAGCCCTCCCAGAGTGGAGGATAAAATGAAAGAGATTTCAGTTGAAGAGGGGGGGGGGGGGTATATAAGCATGCAAGTCTCATGCAGAGTGAGAAGGAAATCAGATCAAAGCATTTCCTTCTCTCATCCTCCAGTCGTTCTTTTGAGTCCTCTCGACTTATACGCTCCTTTATCAAACTTGTCAATTGACTCTTGCGTGTGGTGTTCACCTTCTACAACTATATCACTACTATATACAGTCACACTCCCTTTATTGTTCAAGACATTGTGAGTACAGCTTGTATCCCTCCCAAGCATCCAATGCTAACATGACACGTTCAACCACCCAGCTCTACATATAAACATCCACCATGATTGACAAATCCGTCATCATCGTCTTCGTCATCCTCGGTTGTATCGTCTCGGTCCTGATCGGATACTCCATCCACTCCGTAGCCACCGGAGGCTTCCGCAACGACGAGGAGGAAAGGGAATTCTCCCCCGAACAGAGATCCTACATGCGCGACCTGCGACTGCGCGATTTGGTCTGGATGGCGCGGGACCATGGCTTAAGACATGATGCGCGGCCACCACGCGACCTGGAGAAGCAGTGATTAAGCCCGATGTTTGGGGCTCGGTGCATTCGGAGTAGACTATGGGACCAATGGGACGGCGTTCAAAGTGTGGGTCTTTTGGGTTCGGGTGCGATATATTGGATTGGACCGTGCGCTTTCCCTTCTTGATAATGTTGTATATTGCTTTGTTATGATGGGACTGTCACATGTATCATGATAAATTACACTCAATTGAAACATAATCTGGATATACTTATTGCTGCAGATGTCTGTAGTCCCACGTGCTAGCGGATGACTAATGAGGGGACCGATGTCGCAGATCTCAGCCTTACCTTCCACTTGACAGTACATGCACAAGGCTTCTCTGCTTCAGTGGGCAAGATCAGCACTACGGCGGCCATCTTGGCCTGTACTTGCCTATTCAAAGACAGGATACGAGATAGTCAGTGCATCTCAACTCCTCGAGGAGGAACGCTTCGACGCGTTCAAGCAAGGACACTACTACCCGGTTTAACATCGGTGACGTCCTCGGGTCCAAGTATCAAGTTGTCGGCAAACTTGGCTCGGGTTCACCTCTACGGTATGGCTTGCGCGGGGTCTAGAGTACGTCGATTCAACCGTATTGCGCACTCAGCACTAATTTTACCAGAGGCCGTCGATACGTCTCGCTGAAGGTGTACACATGCGACGAGAGCGGCCAGGATGAAGTTCAAATTTACAAACGATTGAGCCAGAAGAACTCGTCACATCCTGGTTCTGCTCATGTGAGAACTGCATTGGGTACCTTCGCCCTCTCGCGTCGCGAAGGTGTCCATCAATGTCTGGTGCAGAAGCCCATGTGGGAGAGTTTCCGGCACCTGCTGTATCGTAACCCCGAGCGTCGCTTTAGTGAGGATCTCCTCAAGGCTGGTCTTACGCAAATCTTCCTTGCACTCGACTATCTCCATACTGAATGCAACTTGGTCCATACTGGTAAGTACTACGGATACATGTCTTATAATCGCCTCCTGACCATATCTACCAGACATCAAGAGTGATAACATTCTCCAAGCGATAGAAGACCCGTCAATTCCCGATCGTTTTGCCGAAGCTGAAATGGAACATCCTTCGCCCTGAAAATTCCGTTAACGACATGCCAGTCTATGCTTCCCGGCGATTTGAGCTACCAAAAGTATTCGGGGACGCGGTTCTGAGTGATTTCGGATCTGCTGTTCGCGGCGACGAGAAGAGAAATCACGATGCACAACCGAACGTCTACAGGTCGCCAGAAGTGATGTTGAAGGCTGACTGGAGCTATCCTGTTGATATCTGGAACGACGGTGTTATGGTTTGTCTTCCTTATAGTCTTTCCTTGACACTGGGCTATGCCATAGGCGTATCACTAATCTCAAGAAATCAGGTGTGGGGCTTGTTCGAGCGCAAGCATATGTTCTATGGCAACGACCCGGATGGTAAGGGATACTCTACCCGTGCACACCTTGCTGAGGTTATCGGGATGCTGGGCGCTCCTCCGTTGACCTCGCTCAAGCGTGGGAAACGGAGTCCTGAGTTCTTTACTGAGGATGGTATGTTAATCAGATTGTTCTATCTTTCTTATTTCCGTGTGGTGGCTTACCATTGATGTGACAGGACAATGGAAAGGTGAGGTTGAGATACCAAAAGGGGCATCATTGGAAGAGTCCGAGGAGTTTCTGAGTGGGGAGAATAAGATAATGTTTCTGGACTTCATGAGGGGGATGCTCCAGTGGTGTCCTGAGGATAGGAAGACAGCGAAGGAGCTTTTGCAGGATCCGTGGCTAAATGGGATTATACTTAGATTGTGGTCACAGTCGACGTAGGATCCATTTCGCCGCCTTTTTTGTGTGTTAGATCATCAGAAACACCTCTATGCCCTTCAACTCCAAGCATGCCTCTCTGTCGCGGTCCATAAGTGTCAGTATTTTCGAATATATATCTTCAAGGTCCATGAATACGATTTTGATTGAACGTCTTTGATTCAACAAGCACCAAGCAAGTCTTACTATATTACTTGAGAGGGAGTAAGACCATATTAGTCATAGCACCACTAGACGATGACATGGAATAATACAAGTAAGTCCTGTGCTCAGCATCTAAGATGTTTATGCTATATGCTCTACCATATCTATCGGCAAAACCGCCCTTACCAAATCAGGACTAGCGCCTTTTGTCCTGCGGCGAGCAGAGTGACGCTCCGTCGCAACAAACCAACCGCAGGACGAGTCCGAACCCTCAGCTATCCATCAACTCCCCTTCTTTTCACACTCCATCTTATCTCTCAGGCAAAGCCTGAGCAGTCCACAAGATGGCAGAATACTGGAAATCAGCAGTAAATTCCCCTCCCTCTTCCTACTCCCTTCCCAACACCCATCCCCCACCCTAAACTCCAAAACTAACAACCATTCACCCTCCCATAGCCAAAGTACTGGTGCAAACAATGCAAGATCTTCATCCGCGACACAGCCTTCGAAAAAGCTCAGCATGAAGCCACAGGCAAACACCAAGGTAACCTCAAGCGCTTCCTCCGCGACATCCACCGCAACAACGAGCAGCAGCAGCGCGAGGCGCAGCGCGCGAAGAGCGAAGTCGAGCGGCTCCGGCAGACGGTTGCGGGGAACGCACCATCACAGGACGGGAGCGATGCCGCCGCTGCGCCCTGGCGGCGGGGCCCCGGGGCCACGGCAGCAACAGCAGCAGCAAAGCCCCAGGAGCGACCTGTGTCGCTGGAGGAGCGGAAACGGCAGATGGCGCAGCTGGCGGACATGGGAGTCGCGATCCCGGATGAGTTTCGTGGCGAGATGGCTTTGGCCGGGTCGTGGCAGACGGTTTCGGAAAGGGTGATTGATGGTGGTGGGGAGGATGGAGAGGGTGGAAAGGCTGCCAGGTCGGTTGGGGTTAGGAAGCGGAAGTTGGAGGCTGGGAGGGGCGATGGTGGGGATGAGGTTGATGAGGAGGAGATCGAGGCGAAGAGGGAGGCTGAGCGGTTTGTCTCCAGGGGGTGGGGGTCCTCTGTTAGGAGGTATCCTGGGGCGGATCGGGAGGAGGATACGGATCTGGATGCGCTGTTGGCGTCGACGAGGGAGATTAAGCGGGTGAAGCCTTCGGAGGTTAAGGCTGAGGCGAATGCGGAGGCTGTGGGTGAGGAGCGTTCAGGTCCGAAGGACAATGCGGAATCCATGGAGAAGGAGTCGACGAAAGGTGGGTTCGTGCCGGTCAAGACGGAGGGTGAGACTCAACCGTCTGAGTCTGATAAGACACCTGCGGTCAAAAGGGAGCAGGCTGAGGGCGAACCATCGCTGGAAACTGCAACGAAAGCGGAGCCCGAAGAGCCAGCCCCTGGAGTTGTGTTCAAGAAACGCAAGCCCAAGGCCATGAGGAAATGATCGCACCAACGAATGATGTGATATGGTCAATTGGGCAGATTCCGTGGTCATGTTCGACTATTCTTGCCGAGACAATGGTATAGTCTGCATTACAATCAACGCTCGATCTACGATGCAATTCCTGGGTTCCTGTCATTGGAGGTTCGGAAGCACTCTATCTACAAGGACCGTCTCGATGGCAGGCGACTATGCAAGAGTCATTACGAGTTACTACGAAGGACGAGAGCAAGTCCCATATTGCTGTCAAGGATGCCAAAACAGCATGGCAAAGCTGAACACTGGTATATTCTTGATAAGGTCGATAGGCAGCACCAAGCATCCGCGTTTGGACCTCGGCGGGAACAGTGACCAACACTCGCACAGGTTCGAGGGAGATCCGGCCCGGGCACAGACAGGACGAGGCTTGGCGGACAACTGAAACCGCATCCCCAAAGCCGCAGCTGAAGTACTGAAGTAGGTATTACTTTTTCCTCTATCAACTCTAAAGACCTAGAAGTCTTCTATTTAGACATTTAACTTGATTCAGTGAAGTGCCAATGGTGAGTGGTGCGTTTCAGTTAGCCGGAAAAAAATAAGTCATCAAGAATCACATAACAATTGAAGAGAACATAATTTTAAGAAAACAAAAGAACAAGCTAGAGATAGGTGTGGTTTTGTAGTCCAGCCAGGACCTTCAAGTATGGAATCAAGCTGGTTGCCACTGCTGGACCCTTCCCTTTTTTGCATCGAATTTTTCTGCCCGTATTAATTTTCCCCGTCGGCGCAGAACAACCCAAGAGTCCGGGGAGTCTCTCTCTCTCTCTCTCGCGCGCGCAGCCTTTCTCACTTCTTCTCCCTCTTCCTCACTCTCACACTCTCTCTTTTGCGGCCGCCCCGAAGCTCTCGCTCTCTCTTCCTCGCTCTTTTTCTCAACTGCGCAACGACCTTTCCCTGTCGCATTCCCACTTTTAAAACCCCCACCCCCAAATGCGGAGATTATATGGTGCCGAATTGCGTGTTTTGGTGCTATAGTCATTCGGCTCGCTTCTTTTCGCTTATCTGGCCCAGTGCATGGTGAGTAAACGAGAGCTTCTTCCCATTTGCTTGTTCCGATCCCTCCCCCTCTGGCAACTCCGACACGCGCTCGCCATCTGTCGGCCTCCCTCATTGTGACCCGTCGACTCTCCGACTTGATCCTTCGATCAGGTAATTATCATCGGGGTTTGCATGGCATTTCCAGACCCGCCACTTGACCATGCACGATACTTCCGCTGTGGTGGTGCCGTGCTGGAGTAGGATCCGGGGAACTCCAGACGGTCGCATTCACCGTTGCCCGCCTTGACGAGACTACGCTGCCTTTTGGGTTATAGGACGGATGATCTTGGACATTTGGATGGGTCTTGATCATGCTAGGGCAATATGGCCAACGCATCCTGGACGATACATGCACTTTCTTCGGGCGGACAATTTCCTAGGCAATCGCGTTGAATCTCGACCTTTCGGAATGCGCAAACCTTCAGGAGCGAAAAGTTCTGACGCTGAATGCCAGAACTTGTTATCGATGATGTGCCAGCGTTGCCAGAGTGTTGATGGGTCGCGTTCATGGAAATCAGCCCACTAATATGCTTTATTTGAGTTAGAATACAGCACCCATCGGCTCCGCACTCCTGCAAAGTCTTTGCTAGCGGAAAATTCGTCGGTCGTCGACTACGGAATTGCCTGACGGACCCGCAGCCTTCTTCAGGCACCATCACAGTTATCATTATCGTACGCAGCGTTGACATCCGCGTCGTAGTCTCCTCGAGATGGCCGAAGCGACGGAATCGACGAATCTAACGGAGGAGGCGCCCAAACCGGCTACCGGGTCGACTGAGGTGCCTCCGACTGAGATACCTTCGACCGAGATGCCTCCGCCTGACATGCCTCCGACTGAGATGTCTCCGACTCAGACGCCTTCGACTGAGATGCCCTCGACTGCGATACCTTCGACTGAGGTGTATTCGGCTGAGATGCCCCAAACCGAGATGCCCCCGACCGAAATGCCTCCATCCGAGATGCCCCCATCCGAGCAGCACAACCACCATAACAGTGAGCCGCCAGTAGACACGTCGCTTCCTCATATTGATACCTCACTTCCCCCGATCGATACAACCTTTCCGACGATGGAGGAGCACGAACACCTCGATCATGAACTCCCTCCGATCGATACGACGATACCGTCGCTTCCCCCAATTGACACTTCCTTGCCACCATTGGATACTACGCTGCCGGCTACAGATGGGCTACATACTGAGGAACCGGATTTCTCGTTCCCGGAACTGAAGCATAGCGATACCGATGGGCATGGGGTGGACCATACGCATGCACCGGGCACAAACGGGTTTGACTTCCCGGAACATGATCATACGCCACACTCCTCAACTCCCGTTCCCTCCTACCAACCTCCGGTGAACGAGACGCATCCGCAGCCACCCGTTCAGCACGAGCAGTCACACTTGTCACAACATCCACACCCGCATCAGCCGGCACCGCAACAGCCAGGGCAACCGTCACAACCACAAACCCATTACGAGCATCAATATTCTCAACACCAGCATCAATCGCATCAGCAGCATGTCCCATCGCAACATGGCTCGCCGTCTCAACATCAGCCAGGACCAGGACAGTCGACACCGACGCAACCGCACCAACAACAGCAACAATATCAGCAGCATCAGAGCTCGGACATGTACCATCATAACCACCAGTCCATGGGTGCGCCGTCAATGCAGAACATGGACCATCATTCAATGCAGGGACAGCACTCGCAGATCCCACAAGCGCCCATCGGCTCGCCTATGCCCTCGAACATGCCTCCGATGACTTCAGTGGGTCAGTACATGACAGGATACCCGACCAATGTTGGGCAAATGGGGATGAACGCCAACGCTCAGATGCGCTACCAGCTTCCTGGCGACCCCAATAAGATGCTCTCGGGCGGAAGACACAAGAAGGAGGTCAAACGGCGGACGAAAACCGGGTGTTTAACATGTCGAAAGCGACGAATCAAGGTACGTGCAATGAGAGAGGGTTGATTTCTTTTCCCCTGGTTTGATTAGTGTTGAAAGAAATGTGTCTATGGTGTGTGTGGTGATAGAAGTGGGGAGGAGAGAGCGGGAGGAACTGTAAGGAGGGCGGACAGGCGGGCGGACAGGCGGGGGGGGCAGGCGGACTGGCAGGCGGTCGCAACAGGCGAGAGAATAATGTTCGCTTGCGCCGCCGCAAATGTTTGTTCGGCTCGCCGAACCCCGCCTGTCGCTTGTTGTTGTTCTCGCCCACTCACTGTTGCTGTTGCCCTCCCCGCCTATCCAAGCTCACATTTATTTTCCATGCTTCTGGAGTGGTCTACCTTCATTCCAGTCACTTTGTTCTTCTTTGCTTCTTGGAAATTCTGAACTGTGGATTCCGTCCCTCTAATATTCCTGCTGACTGACCAATCCACTTACTAGTGTGACGAGGGTCATCCTGTCTGCCGGAACTGCGTCAAGAGTAAACGGGAATGCCTGGGCTACGACCCCGTTTTTAAACAACAACCCACGCCTTCTGCTATCCAACCCGCTCCAAACCCGCATCCTTCTCTGGTGGTCAACCCTCAGGACCCCTCTACCTCTTATCCCCAAGCTCCCCCGGGCTACGTACCTGCAGCGTCGCAACCGTTCGCTCCTTCTGAATCGCCCAGCACGTCTACCGAACGCTACGACAACTACGGAGCGCCCGTTGACCACTCTACCGACATGAACAATCAGCAGAACATGGCTAGTATACAACATGCCGTTGAAGGAGGCCTGCAGCCGACGGTGAACCCGGCAGCAACCAATACTACCGGCACACCGTCGGAGCCTACTAGTTTCAGAGGTATACTTACCTGCTCACGATAGTGGCGCATATATGCTTACTCGGCCTGCAGTGAAACAAGTCCAGATTAGCGACCTCCTTGCCCTGCGAGGGATTCCTCCACCGCCGCCCCACCCCATCACATCACTGCCGCCCAATCGTCTCGAGGAAATCCAAGCCGTGTTCCTGGCGACATATGCTCCGGCTATCGACAAGTTCTTCGAGACCCGGTGGTTCCAGGATAAGGCGCTTACCCATCTACTGGCCAATGCACAGCTCATGGCGGAGTACTCCGCTCTGATTGATGCGTTCAACGACCCCAATCTCGGCGATCCTAACGTAGTGGCCCGGTTAGAGAGTTTCGAGGCCTCCGTGGTCTGGAGCTCCATGACCCTGTGCCGCCATGTGATGAATGTGTCCGGGGGCGCCCAGCCGGAGTACGATCTGCTAGCGTCGGCGAAGAGATTGGATGTGATCGAGGCGATGATCACGGGGGAACATCTGGACTCGAATCCCCTCAGCCAATTTCCCACGCGGGAGCCGGCCGCCAATCCTCCCTCGCTGCCAGACCAACTGACACAGCGGTCGTTGGACTTCTGGAGCGCCGTCGGATACTTCCTGACGCTACACGACAACGAAGCCAGCTCGGCCAAGGAGATCGACGACACCTTGGCGCGCTGTCGGACGTTGTTGGACACGTACGAGAACCGTGACGTGATCTACTCGATCGCCATTGCGCGTCACCTGGGACAGCGGTGGGCGGACTTTCCCCGCAGCTTCCCGCAGCCGATCACGACCAACGAGAAGGATGCCGGGGCCAAGCTGTACGTCGCACAGAAGTTCCTCGAACAGGAAGCCGGCGGCAAGGGTACGACACAGGTCATCAAGCGCATCTGCGGTATGGTCGTTCGATCCTGGATTGTTTCCCGGGAGTGACCTGGTCGATTATTCTAACCTGCGCATTTGCGTTCTGTAACATGAAAAGCGCATCGGTACGATGGAGTAGCGGTTAACGATGTCCTCCTAGACCTGATCCGTTTTTCTATCTGTTTGTCGAAGATTCCCCCACCGACACAGACCGCAGTCCTCATACTGCCGGCCTTGTTCGACAAGGGGGCCAAGAAGTCACATCGGGCCCGGAGTTCGTTTGGGATTCAGTTCTTTTGTTCTTGTTTTTGGAAGCAGAAGGAGGGGGCAGTTCACGGCGTTACGGCTGCATTACTTGAATAGTGTCATAATTGTTCGTCGAAATTTTCCGTTGCCGCCGGACACATTCCTCTTGCGGACAATCGATATAATGAGACCCTTGTACATACGAGAAAAACAAAAGCAGTTCCGAATTCCCGTCGTCTATTGATGTATCTATGGTGGCTGCAGCGGGGGTAAGGTAGTCTAAAGATCCGCCTGCTCGGGGACGGGGCTCTTCAGCTTGCCCGTCTCCAGCGCGGAGCGGATATTCGCGATTGTCCATTCCTCCATGGCGGTTTGAGTCTGCATGCATTGTTAGCTACATTGTCCGAGTCTAACCACACAACCAGTCGAGCGAGAAGAATGCATCGACATAGAAATGAGAAAAGACCTACCTCAACAGTCCAAGTCCCCATATGCGGTACAAGCACACAGTTAGGATTCTTAACCAAACCGGGATGCACCGCGGGCTCATCCTCAAAGACATCCAGACCGGCGGAAAACACCTTCCCAGCCTCGAGGGCGCGCACCAGCGCCTCCTCATCCATAACAGCCCCACGTGCGGTGTTCACAATCACAACCCCATCCTTCATCTTCGCGAATTCCGCATGGCTGATAATGTGCCGGGTGCTCGGGTTCAAGGGCAGATTCAGACTGATCACGTCGCTGGTGGCGAGCAAGTCGTCGAAGCTGACGTACTCAGCCCCGTCGGCCAGCTGCGCCGGCAGCGCCCGTCGGTTATTGTAGATCACGCGCATGCCGAACGCCTCCGCCTTGCGCTTCAGATTGCGCCCGATGCCACCCATCCCCAGGATCCCCAGCGTCTTGCCCTGCGGGTCGTGGCCCAGTGCCGGTAGCGTTTGACCTGGCACCCCGCGCCATGTCCCGTTGCGCAGGTTCAGCATCCCTGCGTTGAAGTTCCGGAGCGCGCCTAGGATTAGGAACATGTTCACGTCGGCAGTTGCGTTGTCCGGGGCTGTCGGGACGTTCGAGACGCGCAGCTTGCGCGCTGTGCAGGCTGGGATTGAAATTTGGTCGTAGCCAGCTCCTATGTTGGGTTCTGTTAGTTTGGGGTTCGGGGGTGAGGTGAGGTTAGAGGGTGAAAGGCAGGGAAGACGCACCGCAATTCGCGATCCACTGCAGAGACGACGGCAGCACGTCCACCAGCTCCTGGTCGAACAGCCCCGTGATGTTGATCGACCCCAGCGTGCGGTACGCCGCTACCACCCCGTCATACGCGCCCGACTGGCATTCTTGGAGGAACTCCGCGCGGTTGCTGGCCTTCGTCTCGACCAGCTCCGCGATGTCGCCGAGCCCGGACCAGGTGGCGTGTGCGCTGGACTCGAACCGTTAGTAGCGGCTAATTAGCAATTCGAGAGCTCAACAACGACGGACGTACTGGTCGATGTCGCCGATCAAGAGAACCTTGGGTTTGGTGGTGGTGGTTGAGCCCATTGTCGCGGATTGGCGTGGTTGTCTATACGCGGGTTAGATCGGTGTTTTGGTGATGTCAATTGACTTCAATGTTGTCATGAGGGGTAGAAATCGAAACCAACCTTGAGATAAAGGTGTCAGCCGAGGGGAAAGTGGGGGTTGGCGGATGGAAGGATGGCTTTATAGTCGAAGCGGACGGGAACCGAGAGCGAAGTGCCGTGACGGAATACAATACCCCGAACGGCAGAGGGTCTCGAATGCAGTGAAAGAGAGGAAGTGATAGGGAAAGGAAACACTCAATCAATGGCAATGAACTGCAGGCAAATCCTCATCGGTCGAACCCCACGTGCCCCGCGCCTGGCAACTTATCGCTCGGCTTCCTTTCCGACTGGTTTCGGCCCCTCATTGGTGGAAGATTGGCACTGATAGGGCGTGTGGATTTTCTCGGCCGGGTGGGAGTATACTGTATGTATGTACAAACAATACTCAGAGTATTCCCTACTGATTTGGGTGAATAGATCCAGATTGTCGGAATGAAGACTCTGGGAAAGTGAATTGTTGGTTGTATTCACCGAGAATAGCGCTGCACAGTGACTGCGTGACTTCCCTCTACGGCCATGACTCACTCACTCCTCTCCTCCTTCCTCTTCTCCTTCCACTTCTTCCTTACCCTCCATCTCCATCCAGTCTCGTCATTATACACTTTCAACGTCACATCTCTACATACCCTGCAGTCTCGCACCCCTTAATATCTTGAACAGCTCCTATATTCCAACTGAGACGCGGTCCTCCTTCTCGAACAACAAAACCGGGCAAAGAACAACTATCCACGCTTCTCTTGCCGACGGCCTCACGCCCTCCTACTAGCATGGCGTCTATCAGTTGGTAAGCCAAGTTAAACCTAAGACCCCCTCCCCGCATCATCCCCCTCTTTCCCTGGTCTGATGTATAATACAGCCTTGATCGCGATGCCCATCTATCTAACAATCGCTAGGGTAATACTTTCGCTTAGCAGTGTTGCCGGCGATGGCTGAGGTCATAGCTGGCCCGCTACCTCTCTCAATCATATGATGGAGGCACATTCCCCTCGGTGGCTCGAAGGACTGTCTCGGAGATAGGACAGCAAGAAGGGAGGAAAGTAGGGGATTACAATATCAGAGGAAGAAGGGGAAGTCTCGCTGGGAGAGTTTTCTGTCTTATGTGGACGAGCGAGACTAGTTCCTAAGCTCACAGTTGCTTAGCTTTATGGTGTGGCGACTCGATAATCCCAACAATCAATTCCGGGGATCGTCTATTGCCGTCAACCGAGCCACGTTGAAGCCCCATTATATTGATGCTATGAGCGGAGGTGCCGATCAATGTCTAATGAAGATCATCACATCGATGATAACAACAGTGAAAGCTTCTCATGAGACTGGAGAAGATTTGATTGCAGTGGGGGAGTTTAAGGCATTTCTGATAGAAGCAGCCCGTCTAGAAAAGGTTTGTGGAGCAGCTGGAGACATATACTGTGATTGACGAAGCTAACATTTTGTTACAGGCCGGGTAGCGTAGTATATGCAAGATCTGAAACTGAAGCATGCATGTCTGTGCAACTACCGAGAGACGATCTTCCTTAGGATGGAGGTATCCTGGAGGACGTAACTGCAAGGGATCGACATACAGCAGACGCAGCAAAACTGGCTTGAACGAAGTCTCAACCATCATGTGTCACATGTATGAATGGCAGCTGTATCAGAGCACATGGACCGAAGGTGGGAAAGACAGCTTACACTACGGGATGATCAAGTTCATGGTACTTGAATTGACCGACTGGACACAGTCTAGGACTCCTACTCCTCAGCAGCAGGAGGAAGAACAGACATCTCTCGGTCGATGCGCAGAGACCTATTCCTTTCGCAGACTTCTGATGCTGGTGTCTCTCTCATTCTATGTCCAGACACAGAGCCGACGGCTTACGGGGTGAAACCAGGGAAGAACCCCGTCAATCTACGGAAGGCCATTGAACACATGGAAGCATTTCTTCCCAAAGCTCTGCCAGGCAATTGAGCCATTATCATACGACCTGGCAACGGATCCGGGACATCTATGGTGATACGCAAAGTTGGATCAACCCCAGACCTGTCTCCGGTTTGCACGTCCTTTGCCCGAGCCCGACTTCAGTACCCACCCGGATAACGCACGCTGCGCGTTCGGAATAAAATGGTCAAGTCGACGCGGTCTTCCAGACATTGAAGGCGCGAATCTCAGTCACCTCTCGTCCTTTTTTCGCTTCAACGCGGACGAGGCAGGGCGTGCGTGGCCTCGCTTTCTAATATGACCTTCAAAATTGTCCACTAGGAGTATTCCTTACACCTATCAAACGGTGAAACCGGGCCTTAGCTACACTGATGCAGCAATAGACTATGCACTGAGCACTATCAAAACGCGTCTGAGCGAAGTTCCTGCCTGGCATGTGGTATAAGCCGTCCCCAAAGAGAAAGCTCTGATGCATATGAAGGCTACGGTATTGTTAAAGCGAAACATACTACAGTTCTCTGGCGTGAATAGCCAGGGCCGCCGTCACCTGTACTAGGCACATTCAGCCGTGCGATAAGTAGGATCAGGCTCGTGGACCTACTCGAAATCTTCTCCCTCTACCAAATTCATCGCATGATCAGGACAATTGAAGGAAGCTACGCCGGATAGCCTACCCTACATGTACCTCAGGGCTCTTTCCCCGTACTGCGGGCATCCTTTGGATAATGAACAACCAATGAAGAACAATTAAGCCATAATCGTTGGCGTGCCACAATGATAGCATGTCAGTATCTCATATTTCCATCCCATGGGAGCTCCCAATGCGGTTACATGGGTTTCAATTCAGTCGAAGAAAGTTGAAGTTTTCAAATCTTAGTGCTCCATCACCCTGCGGACTTCCGGCCTCCTTGCCGGTGCGACACATCGCGCAGATACATTGTCGTGCCTGTTAATGTTCTCAGTCATCCACCATTGCTTTCGCCAGCGGAAAAGCTGTGTACTGTACTTGTGACATGCTTCCTAGTTAATTCCATCTAGGCAACTAAAAAGTCGACTACCGTCCAGACAAATCCCACTGGACTGTTGGGTCACATGTTGAGCTAGAACAAACACAGAAGTGGACTTCTCTCATGTCACCGATTCTTCCCCCTACCGGAAGGAGCTGGAATGGAGGAGGCTGACGAAGGTAGGAAAACCCTCCCTATATCTCCATCGCCTAGACGCCGGAGGGTTGGCGTCTGACACAATATTGCCCGTGGTCGTGGTTAGTTTAAAATAGACTATATTTGTCACAACTGGAAGACAGAATAAGAGGTTATAAACCCCTTTCTCTGGTCGATTGGGCACTCGTAGGCCTAAGCCATCGTGTTCCCGGGGATAATGTGGTAGGTTATCTCAGCGTCGTTCTTACTGCTTAAACTTAGTTGTACTGAGAGGCTGACTGCACATCTAGTCCTCTGATCTGGACCTTATACCTAGGATCTCTCACCCGTCTCGCCATTGAAGAAAATGGCTGCAAATACCGTACAAGACGGTGCTTTACAAACTCGGCCAGGCAACCGGGTTGACGGCAGGCGAGTACAACTGCTTTATGGAAATACATATCGCGGAAGCGAAGGTTGAGGAAGAGGAGGATAAGGAAGAGGACTCTGCCGATAACGAGGTTAACCATACATCCAACAAGACCAACAGACCAGGCCGCGGTAGTCGTTGGCAGACAGCAAGTGGTTGAGGACGTCCGCGCAGAAGTTACAGAATCAAGTTTACGAAGAAGGAACGCAGCCTACTTCGACATATCGAGAAGTCTGTACTCGGAGAAAGCATCGAAGAAGGGGAACCCATCGAGGTTGACCCAGAACTTACCGACTGGGACTTGCCCGAGAATTTCCAGCTTCGTCTGAACCGGCTTGAGCCATCAGGCTTGGAGTCTTTTATTCACAGTTCTCGTTATCGATTCGCTCAACCGAAACAAGGCAGACCTCACAGTTCCTTTCTTTTGGCCGCTGTCCGGTCTTCGAGACCAGTCTTTTTCTGTATGGCCTCTGATATTGGTATCAAGCCGAAATCCGGCAGAGGTCTTTGTCCCTCGCTGCTACACTGCCAGAGTTGCTCCAAAAAGTGATGCTATATCTTTTATATAGCCACTTAAATTCCTTGCTTCGCGATCGATAGAAGCACCGGAGTAGAAAAAATAACCTATCCTGACGAGCTGCAGTCATTCCCAGGCATTGAGGATACTTTGTGAGCAGCGCTGATGCTCGCGACACATCTAGCGCAGCTCGCGGGTAGACAATGCCCACAGGACTGAATCGCACAGTAGCGATCATTCGCGAACGAATTTACGAAGAGATTAGGTTTACCCCCTGGACATTCCAAGTGGACGGCTTCACAATGGAGCGTAGCATTGGTTGACTGCATGCAATCCCGCGATTGGGGAATGCGTCGCTGCTTCATCTCAGATCGAGACGCCCGGTTCATAAGTACGTTCTGGAAAGGCCTCCTCGCGAAGATGAACACGCGTTGGTTTCCCTCAACGGCTGCACATCCGCAAACTGACGGACAATCCGAGCGAGCCATCCAAGCCGTTAAGGTCATGCTTCGGACATGGCACTACCCAAGGAAACACGGTGGATTGGACTGCCATGCTCCCTAGTATCGTGGCCACCGTCAATTCCTCGCCGTCCGCGGCCATTGATCAAGCCCCCCACAAACTGATGTTGGGAGTGTGTTGGGGGCTAAGGCTTCGCTGTGTAAGTCCCTAATTATCAATATTCAAAGATGGCACTTTAGAATCCTAGGTGAGCGCGGGAACCTCCCTTGTTTGTCCAACTTTCACTCAGCTGCCCATCATGTGCCTTCCCAATGAATGTATGTTATCACGCCTCTAGCTTCTACCGTCTTCCGTACACACCGATATAGATATATCTCGGGTCCACCGACTCCCTTCTTTCAATGAAAGCAGTCTTCTTCCCCTACATTTCGTGTTACATATACTCTCCATTCCCTCGTGAAGATGACAGTGAAGATTTCTGCGGAAAGAAGATTGCTGAGAGAAGCGAAGAGCTGCCACCCCGCCCACCCACCGACATTATCTGGCGCCCACGAAAGAAGAAAGGCAGCAAAGGCAAAGCTAAGACCAAGGACGACAAGTCCAAGGACAAGCCGAAGGATGATGCCACCGGTCCTGGAACCACAACCGGTCCACAGAGAACGCAGAAAGAGGAGCATGGAGAGTTTACTGACGTCTTCGAAAAAGAATTGGGAAACTATGAACCCAGGTGTTTACGAAACCCTGAACACCAATGCTAGGAAGCCAGTCAAGTCTTTCCTATGAGAAAGGAATTGGGTTACCAAGCAGTCGGCCCATCCGTACTGTCGGGAAATGTTGGGAAAGAAAGTAAGAAAGGAGATCAAAAGAGAGATAAAATCTGGTTTGTACCTTTTGCTACGTTTAAGGTTTTAATTCAGTACTAGCCAGAGAAATGTGCAGGACATACAATGGTGAAACGGATCACAACCTGCAAGGCATCCAGCAACAAACCTGGACCGATGCGTTTGGACAAATCGGTGCTATATCACCAGTTTTACGAACGTAGCTTGACCTGCGAGACGGTGAGCCGTCTGCTTTGCGTTGGGGTTTCGAGAGCGAATTGGTGCAGGCTTCTGCTGGGATGCTCGGGGATGCTGCTGATGTGTACCAGCTCCTTTGTTTTGCCGGCCGCTTTTTTGATGCAGATTTCCACTAGCGATACATCTTTTCGCTCGAGTTTCGAGAGAGGATAGCCGCCGCAACCGTGGCGTTGCTTTCTAGTTTCGACAATGTTGAAAATGCGCACCGCCGAGATTATTTATTGGCTGGCGTCAGTACCTCGCAAAGAAACATGTCTGGCCTGGGCCTTTGATTAGTTCATCAGGCGCCGTGACGGGCTTCGTATCCACGCCCGAGTGGCTTTTTACCCGGACATCGAGGACTATGATCGCCAAGATTCCCGGCTGTAATCATGGACTTGCCTTCGGAATGATGTCCGATGACACCTTCGCTAAGCTCAGGGCTATAAGAGGGCCAAGAAGGGGCGCGCCGTATGTATGTATACCCCACAATGCCAACCAAAAGAGACAAGCTGCTGGAAGCCATCTGAGAGGCTCCTACTCCCAAAAAATTGACCCTCTCTTTGCAGAATGCCATCAGACTCGTTTCCATCGCAATGCTGTTCATCCCGTGATGTCTGCGCGAGAACTTTACCAATGGAGTGCTTGTCGCAACAATGTAGTGGGATTCTGGGGGCTGCGCCATTCCTGGCAGCCGCAGACTCTATTGGTAATGGAAGCGAGAGATACTACTTCGGGCGTGTCCAAGGGTTTGATTTGTTTTGCCGTCAACGAGCACTTACTGGACATCTCTGTCATGATCTTTACCGGTTTCTGTCAAGTATCGTGCGGCAAGTGATTTCCGCCGGACAGACCTTTAAGGTCAAGGGATATGGTTTGTTTTGCGGAGAAATCCTGTCTCCCTGCATCACCATGGAGACTTCTCTCGTGGGATCATTGAACCTGGCTGGGGTAGATCTATGAGCCGACAGGAGAGAAGAATAGATTTACTCTTTTCAAGTGCGGGACACAGGCCCGTAGGCTTTCCTTGTCCTTCTGGTAATGACAGAGCAAGATACATCCCTTGACCTAATATAGGTAGTATAACGTCAAGATCTACCTGTTCATGGGAGAGGCCATCCTATCCCAAGAGATAGAACACCTGCAACATCTAGTAAAGATCCTCAAACAGAAGCTGAGCCCGGGAGGACACACCGGGCTCGAGCAGACTTCAACGGCTGTATGGAAGCCGGTTATCTCTGCGGGTAGCACAGTACGCACAGCGACTCGACCTCGAACCAGCGAGCAAAGAGAACTTGGCGGTTCTCCGACGAGGAACAATCGTGGCAGTGGCCGTAGCCGCGTCTTTCTCCTTTGAGTGAAGAAGATATCTACCGCTCAAATGGCTCGCCCTCTCACCACGCCGGTAACAAGGGTTTGATTGCGCTGTGTGGTCTTCATCGCTTAGTGCGAGTATCTCCGCTACCTGAACCGGCAGAAGGAGAATAGGTGGGCTTTTATATTGCAGGAGTAGTGTATTCTCTACTAGGCTGATAAGAAGACCCGAGAGAGAGAAGGGAATAAGTAGCTTGACTTCTGCTTCAAGTATTCGCAGTCTATCTAATGCCTTGTGCAGGGATGCGTACATATAACTAGTTAGTGTAACTGCTCTCGCATACCAATGCCATATAGACGGTATCTTCAACCTAATGCATTATGTTTACTTCCATAAATAACAACCCACTCATCAGACTTCTATCCCTGTAGTGTAGTGTAGTGTAGTGTAGTGTAGCGTGGCCCTGACAGCCCTCACCTCGAATCCACCACCTCAACCCTGACCCTCACCTCCGCAACATCAGCCTGGAACCAAAACCCGATATCCTTGGTGGAATCGACCAACTCCACCTCTCTCCTGACAAATCGATCCCCGTCATCAACATCCCGGGTAGGCTCACCCGCCTCCAAGTCCCCGTCTCCCTCACTATCCCACTCCTCATCCTCCATCCGCTCCCTACTCACAGGATCCAACTCATCCGTCTCCCAGACCAGCCGCAGCGTGTACGCAGGAAGCGCAAACAACCGTCCCGCGATCGCCTTAACCTGATACGGATCGAAGGACCTCGGGATCTCCTTCGTCTTGACCACATCTCCCTTCCCCCCAACCTCCCCCCCAACGTTCCCATCCGCGCTCCCCCTTAAACAAAACACAACCCTCACCAACCGCGCAGCCACAGACCGGGGATTCACCGCCGTGCGCCCCAGAGCACTGGCCTCCTCCTCGCTCGCCCGCGTCACCACCGGCTGGCCATGCAGCTCGCACAGCTCCGCGTACCGCGGATGCTTAGCCAGGATCTCCGGCTCCGCAGCCTCGGGGGTAGCGGAGAGCTCCTTCCCGATGAGGGAGAGGTAGTACAACTCGCCGTTGATGCGGTCTTTGTCGGTGACGGTGCCGTAGTTCAGGACGCGGAGGCCGGAGAGACGCGCCAGTGTCAGCATGTACGCCTCGTCGACGGTCATGGGTTTCTCGGGTAGGCCGGTCACGGCTTTGGGTGCGACGGGGCCGTCGAAGACTGGGTTGCCGGAGATGCGGAGCGTGTGTAGTGATGGGATGGCGGCTGCGAGCTCGTTGACGAAGAGCCAGTTTGGGATGCGGTTGCGGGAGAGGTCGATGGAGGTTAGGGTTGGCGGGAAGAGGAGCGGGGTGGTGTCGTTGTTGTCGTTGTCGGTGATGGTGCTGATGTTGTTGGAGCGGAGAGAGAGGTGTTCGAGTCTGGGCAGGGTGGTTAGTGGGCGGAGGGCGGAGAGCGAGGTGAAAGTGTTGTTTTCGAGAGTCAGGCGTGTGATGGTCGGGGGTAGTGGGGAGGTGATGCTCGTGAGCTGGTTCGCGGACGCGGAGAGCACGGCTAGGGACGGGAACTGGTGGGCGATGGCCGAGATGTCGTCCCAGGGGAGCAGCGTGTCGTCGAGGTAGAGCTCGGTGATCTTGGCGAATCCGAGCCCCTGCTCGACGGGACCGAATCGGTTGCCACTGTGCGCAGTCAGCATAAACTAGATCTAACGTGCTCTCGAGCAGAGCACCTACCCCAGCTTCAACGACTTGAGCAGCTTGAGCCGCTCGCAGATCCTCGCGACGTCGCGCCAGGAGGTCAGCAGGTTACGACTCAGATCTAGCTCCGTGATCTTAGGGCAAGTCCGCTCGATCTCATCATACGCAGCCTCAACTTCCTCCGGAGTAGCCAGGTGCCCGAGCACCCCGGCCACATGCAAGCCGTCCAGCAGGACGATTTTCAGCTCCTGGAGCTCAGCCAGCTGCCTGCGGATCTTGTCGAAGCCGACCTCCTCGACGACCTTGCTGTTGAACTCAATCGGCTTATGCAAGATCGCATCGTCAGCCCGCTGCCGCGCACGCTCGTGCTCCAAGTACTCGGAAGCGTACTTCTCGCGCAGGGCCTCTACGAACCCGCGCGGCTTGTCGGCGGGGCGCGACGGGCGCACGAATGACCCTGCCGTGGGGTGTTGGCGCTGACCTGGGTCTGTCAGAACTTGCCCATCGGGATAAGGCATGTAGCAACTCACAAGTAAAATAGCGGACTCCCTTGTGCTCGCCCGAGTGCTTTCCGCGGGTCGGATCATCCCATTCGACGCCCAGCCATTCCCCGGTCGTACCCTCTACTGCGCCCACATAGCGGACGGTACACAGGTCTCCAGCGTAGGACCGTCGCTGGCCGACAACCGGAGTATCCATGCTAAGCTAGCCTCCTGCACGATGACCTGAAGATCAATATCAATAATCTGATATAAGTTGTTCAGAGTATGGAAATCGGACGGGAGAGCCACGGCGGGGAGCCGCCCCGAGCCAATGACGGTCCGCTTACCTAACACCAGCATCACTCCGCCAAACCCAGCTCAGCGCGGCCAGGCCTTGCAACCACCGCCGCTACAGCTACAGTATCCCAACCCACCACCACAAGTAGCAGGCGCGTCCTTCAAAATGGACTACCAGGTACGCCATCCTCTTCCCTCCGCCCCGGCTCTGCATGCGTGTGCACCAGGAAGCTGAAAGAAAAGGGGGGTCCGGGGGTTCTCCCCCGGAATACTCGCCCCCCCTCTGGATCCCAGTACAAGACTGCAAAGGCTTCCGGGGGAGAACCCCCGGACTCCCCTTTTCTTTTAGCCTCCTGGCCACCGTAATCCCATGGGAATAGAAATACTAACGAATACCGGGGATAGAACCGCGCAGGCTCAAAATTCGGCGGTGGCGGCGTCGCCTCGCACAGCGCGACAAACGCCGACAGACGCGAGCGGCTGCGCAAGCTAGCCCTGGAAACAATCGACCTCGACAAAGACCCGTACTTCTTCAAGAACCATGTCGGGTCGTTCGAATGCAGACTATGTCTGACCGTGCACCAGAACGACGGGTCGTATCTGGCGCACACGCAGGGCCGGAAACACCAGACGAACCTTGCGCGGCGCGCGGCGCGCGAGCAGCGCGAGGGAAAGAACCAGGACCCGTCGAGTTTGCCGGGTGCGATGGGCGTGCAGGTTAAGAAGCAGACGATCAAGATCGGGCGGCCGGGGTATAAGATTACGAAGATCCGGGATCCGTTGACGAGGCAGCTGGGGATGTTGTTTCAGTTGCAGTATCAGGAGATTACACCGGGGGTGGTGCCGCGGGTGCGGTTCATGTCGGCGTTCGAGCAGAAGGTGGAGGAGCCGCCGGACAAGAACTTTCAATATCTCGTTGTTGCCGCCGAGCCGTATCAGAATTGTGCGTTTAAGTTGCAGGCGCGCGAGATTGATCGTCGTGAGGGCAGGTATTGGACGTGGTTTGATGAGGACAGCAAAGAGTTCTGGGTGCAGATTATGTTCAAGACGGAGCGCGAGGAGAGGTATTCCGGCGTTCCTGGGTTGGCGCCGATTGATTCCAAGGCTTGATACTTTCTTTTCTTTACCTATTGGTTGGTGATACTGGTGTTTGAGGACCAGGCTTTTCTTTCGTATCCTATCTCTCACCATAGCTTCTAGGGAGGCGTTCAGGGGTTTTCGATTCTCAGATAATGGCATCAAAATACTACTCGCATCCAGCTCGGCATTGCTTCAAAAAACCATGTTCTATCCGCTGAGTTTGCATTGAATTATCAACCAAATCTATCTACATTTTGGAATCTTCGGAATAGTCATCTCGGCCGTAGTGGATGCTCCACAACATGTACTCGCATGTACCTAGCTAGATACAAGGTCAGAGGCGAGCACTCGTCGTCTCGCGACAAGGATGCAAGTAAATCAAACGGATATGCTGAGCTCGTGACCAACAGAGATGATGAAATGCGCTATATGCTCGATGAAACGGATGCACAATGTGGGAAGACCGGACGAAATGCCTAATGCGCCACTGAAAATCCATCAATGCAAGCCCGCCCGCGTTCGGACTCTTCAATGACGTCTATCGGGTTCACCAACAAACATGCAATATCCACGTCGCTACTCAGTTTGCCTGGAAGGCGTTGAATGCTTTGTATGTGTAACCGATGAACGGCAGGCTCATCTCCGCCTCCTGCTCTTCCGGCATGGCACGAGCCTGGGCGCGGTGAATGGCACTGGTGTCTTCCTGCGGAATCTCGTCGATTGGGAAGTAAGACACGTCGATGTTCGAGCTCAGTCGAGGCTCAAACGGCGCACGGATGTTGCGCAGCTGCTCCCAAACAACGCCACGGAAGAAAGGATGGTTCTTGATCTGCGTCGCACCGCCGTATTGGCCGCCCTCACTCCCAATCCGGTGTTCGGTATCACACAAGAAACTATTGCCAGTTAGTGAAAGCCCAAGAACAGAGGCGGAAATAACCTACCTTCTGATCAAACCTTCCGACTCTCGCGAGAGGGTAAGTTCCTCGGGGAAGTACAGGCATTCTCTCCAGTTCACAATTTTACGGTAGGTGTCGGTGGTGTCTTCGGCGCAGAACGGCGGCCAGCCCACCAAGCACTCGAACATGATAGCACCCACGGACCACCAATCACACAAGTACGTATAACCCTGGCCGTTGAAGATCTCCGGGGCGATGTAATCGGGTGTACCGACAGTCGAGTAAGCCATGGCGCGGCGAGACTTTCTCCACGTGTTGATCTGGCCACGGTTGGAGACGGTCAGGTTGATCGCGTCGTTGAAGTAGCCCGAGTTACGGTTCTTGTCCTTCGATGTAGAGTTCTTGAGCAGGTTCTGGTAATATGAATTGTCGTGGGTCTTCTTGCCGCCAGTGGAGAGACCGAAATCAGTCAGCTTGACGTGACCTCCACGATCCAACAGGATGTTGTCAGGCTTGATATCACTGCGACAGAGTCAGCGTTGTTGCGGTAAGGGATGACGAATCAACCTACCGGTGAAGGAAACCGAGCTTGTGGACAGCCTCGATGGCCATAACAATCTCGGCCATGTAGAAGCGAGTGATGTCCTCCGAGAAGATTTCATACTTGATCAACATGGTCATCAAATCACCACCGGGCAGGAACTCCATCAGCAGGTAGAGATAGGCCGAGTCCTGGAAGGAAGCGTGCAGCTTGACCAACCACGGGTTGTCCTTGGAGTCGGCCAGGATATCTCTCTCGGCACGGACGTGGGCCAGCTGGTCCTTCTTGAACATCTCGGTCTTGATCAACGACTTGAGCGCATAGATCTTGCCATCGGTCTTCCGCTGCACCAATTTCACCTCTCCGAAAGCACCCTTTCCGATGACCTTGAGGGTCTGGAAATTCTGGGGCGTCTCCTTGGTCCGCAAGAATCGCAAGAATGTCGACTCCTTCTTGGCAAGGACCTCCGCTTCCTTGCGTTTCGAGTCCTTCGGGATACCGGGGTCACGAATCATCTTATCCAGCTCAGCCGATCTAGATAAGAATGAATGGGTCAGCACTGTCATGCCTCCTACGGTTCACCTGGACAGCAAAGAATACTCACCGCAGGTTACGGTCGCGCGCGCGCTCAATGTTCTCATTGAAAAACACACTGACCAACTCCTTGGCCGCCTTGCCACGCTTGTGAACGTTCTCCGAGTATCGCTCCGGGTAGCGTTGAAGCTCTTCATTCTCGGCGGGGGTTCGAGGGCTGCGTGGCATGGGGGGTGCCAGATGACCGGGTTGCTGCTGTGCGGCGGCGGGGGAGCCAGCAGTCCGAGGCCGTTGAGCGGGCGAGGCTGCGCGACCAAAGAAACCCGACCGCGGGGAGTTCAAGTCCTGGTTGGAGAACTGCTGGATCAGGCCATTCGTCCCATCATTGGTGTTATAGCCCATGCGAGACTGGTAGGCGACCTGAGGAGACTGCAAGTTCTGGCCATAATGTTGTTGTTGTTGTTGTTGTTGTTGTTGTTGTTGCTGCTGTTGCTGCTGCTGTTGTTGGGCGTAGGCGCCCTGAGCCTGATAGGGGTTGGCCATGAAATAGCCCTGACCGTAGGCACCATTCTGAGCGTCCACATACTCCTGACCGCCCTGATTCTGGTAGATGGGCTGAGGGAAGGCGGAGGGAGTGGTGGGATAGGCGCGATTGTTGGCCGCCAGGTTGTTGAAGGAGCGATCATTATACCCGAAATTCAGGTGGAGACGATTGTTGTTGGGATCCATGATGGGCAGAACTGTCCTCCCCGGGGCTGATGCAGCCGTGATTGACAGAGTACGGCGGGGAGAAGATATTGAGAATGTGGATAAAGAAGAAGGAAAGAAGGAAAGAAAAAGGACGATAAGCCAGAAGCCAAGGGGGAGGGGGAGGAGAGAGAGTGTGTGAGAGAGTGAGTGAGTAAGAGTGGAAGAAGGAAGAGGTGGAGTTTGTTTGAAGTGGGCTAGACTAAAGAGGGGGGGAGGGGAGGAGAAAGTAGAGGGGGAGAAAGGGAGAACAACTGAGTGGTAAACTAAAGGGGGAAGAAGGAGCGGTGGCTCTTTCTGGTCTCAGGAGGCGAAAAGATACTGGCACTTTTTGGACTCACTGACATTCACCACCACAGTTGGTGTTTCAGGTCAAGCATCCAACTTCACAGAGATACAACAGAGAGGTCAGGTTATTCTTGCATCACCAGAACAGACAGTCAGTCAGTCCGTTAGAATTCAAAGAGTCTTGACGCTGACCACCCCTGCAGCAACAACGGCATCCAAAAAGGGACTACTGGATCGATCTGAAACAATCTGGAGAGCATCCAACACCAAGGCTCACCAAGACACTAACTACACCACACTAACTAACAAGTCAACAAGTCCAGACTCGCTCGCTACGGTTGCCCAACCACTCCAGTCGCGTGCTTTCACTGAGCCTGTCGCCGATCTCCTAGTAAGGAATTAAGTCTTAGGCCACTATGAGGGCCAGGTCGGAAGATCACGAGACCCTTTATAAAACATCCTTGCCATGCTCGCAAAGATTTACCGGACCAGGTCAGATTAGCATATAATCTAATCAGCTCTGGCCATCTGAACTGCTTCAACTCCTTTCAGTCATGTAGAGCGTAGCCATCAACAACTGAGAAGAGCAGCCATGATGGGCAGCCCTGCTGTATACTTGTTTCCCCGGGCGGATAAATATGGCTCCGACGGAGCTGCGCCGCCAACCCCGAACTTTTTCGGCCATCAGCCAAAGTAGATTCTTGACCCCGGGATTCGCCACGGACTGTGAGGAAGCCGATCTTCCTCTGCGCACGCTCGTGAATAATCCTCTTGTACAGTCGAATCTCCACCGCCATCATGGCAGACTCCTCCAACCCGAAACCCGCGGAAACTGCAGGGTCCGCCCAGTCCGCGGCCTCGAAGCCGGCCTCGAAGCCGGCCAACCCTGCCTTCAGGATGATGGGTATACCCTTCCCACCGTATTATCGCCATTGAACCTGACACAACTAACACTCCGGACTCCAGGCCTACCGAACATCAAATTCCGCCTCCCGTCACGCAACTGGATGATCTTCTGGACGATCACGGGCTCGTTCACGGCGGCACTGATCTACGACCGGCGGGAGAAGCGGCGCGCGCAGGAGAAATGGTGCGATCTGGTGGCGCACCTGTCGAAGGAGACGCTGCCAGTGGAGCAGATGCGGCGGAAGATCACGGTGTTCCTGGCGGCGCCGCCGGGCGACGGGCTGCGGGTGGCGCGCGACCACTTCAAGGAATACGTGAAGCCGATCCTGGTGGCCGCAGCGGTGGACTACCAGGTGATCGAGGGGCGGCGCGAGGGCGAGGTGCGCGCGGGTCTGGCGGAGCAGATCCGCAAGAATCGGCGGCGGGCGGGCGAGCCCAGCAGCGTGGTCGAGGAGCCCAGCGTCGAGAGCGTCATCTACGACGCGCGCACCCGCATCGGCATCACCGACGAGCCCGGCCCCAAGGGCGACCTGGTCATCGGCCGCCACACTTGGAAGGAGTATATCCGCGGTCTGCACGAGGGCTGGCTGGGCCCGTTGGACCCTCCCCCTCCTCCGGTTTCTGACCCGGTCGACGACCAACCCACCCTGAACCCCGACTCCCCCACCCCCGAGAACCAAGAAACGCCTCTCAACGAAGAGAAGAAAGACGAGCCGCAGCAGCCGAAGAAACCTACGGGCCCAACACCGACCTACCTCCCGACAACCGAATACGCACAGCAACCGCTCCCATCGACCCTCCCCACCACACTCGACGGCTCCGTGCCCATCCCCTTCCCGCACCTCCTCGGCTTCCTGAACACCCCGATCCGGATCTACCGGTACCTCAACCGGCGATACCTCGCGGACGAGATCGGGCGGGACGTAGCGGCGCTCATCCTGGCCTCATCGAGCCGCCCCTACGCCGAAACCCAGCCAGACACTACCCCATCCACCGAACCAGAACCAGAAACCACCACCTACGAACAACAAATAACTCTTCAAGACGCCGAACAAGACTGGCACAAATCCGTGCACAAGCCGTACGAAAACGACCCGACGCGAGAACGCGAATGGCTCGACCCCGTCGTGCTGGACGCGCGGCTGGCGTCGCGCATGCAGCGCTACGTCATGAGTCCCGAGGAGGAGGACCGGGCTGCGCGCATTGCCGCCGGGGAGGAGTATATTCGGGGCGAGGAGCGGCCGGCGCCTGTGTCGGTTTGGCAGCGGCTGTGGGTGAAGTATGGGTATGGTGAGGACGAGGAGACGCTGAAGCGGCGGCCGATCCTTGGGAACTTGGATAATGAGGATGGGGAGTAGATACCCCGAAACTAACGAACTTGTGATGGGAAGAGGGGGAGCCGGAGGGGGGGATGTGGCTACATGTATAAAATGAGAGTCATACCGGTATAGACTTTTCTTGCGTTATGTGGCATTACATAGATTTGAGGCAGATGTGCGTGCGAGGCCCGGCATTGTGTATAGAGCTTGGTGGGATGGTGGAATGTGTCCTTTTGGATGGAGGGATCTTGAGTTGATACGATACGGCATTCTTTCTGTATTGCATGGGAAACGTCGCTGCTCTTGTTTTTTTCTATTGGTGCTTGTTATGGGTGTATAATATTCAATTTAGAGGTGTTCTGTTTGTTTACTGTCGGTTTTTTCAGGTAGTGATAGAATTCTGTCATCGGGGCATCGGAGACGACAGCTGGCGGCCAAAGAGCCGAGCCTGCAAGATACATGTGTACAAGAACTACACAGGAGTGATCGAACCCGAGCAACAACGCCCTTGAAGAGCGTTTAGATGAAGCAACTACTAAATCAGTCCCCTACCAACCCTATAGCTATCCTAGTAATACATAGCTTGGAAAACACTTTTTAAATCTTTTATGGATCTAGAATTGCCTTTTCCTCCCCAATCCTCATCAAAGGCCAGGTATCCTCGTCAGCCACATCCCCCCGGGACCACACGTACACTCAGAATACGCTCAGCTATAGCTATATCCGGGCTGCACCAGAAAAAAATAGGTATCCAGTGTCCAAGAGATGGCCAAGACAGAAGAAACTCGACGCAAGCCCGGTTGCTTTAGCCGGGTCATGTTACGTTGCACCGAGGGACAAATAAGATCAAGCTATTTACTCCAGACGGAACACTGATGACTCGGGCCACTTGCCGCTGGCCTTCTCGGCGTAGGCGGTCTTAACGGCCTGGTCGCTTCCCCACTCGTTGAACAGCTCTAGACCGGCCAGGGCAGTATCGATGGTGATGTTGGCGGAGTCGAGGGTGGCGGTGAGCTCTTGTTCACATTGCGACTTGGTGTCGGGTTTCAGGAGCTGACGGCTGGTGAGGCCGGCCTGGATGTGAGGGACGCTGTCCTTGTGGGTGGACAGGAAGGACTCGTTCCACTCATCCAGGTTCTGGGATTTCGGGAGCAAGGTCTCGAACTCGGCGTTGACGGCCTCGGCCACCTGGGCAGGGAGGGGCTCGGACAAGCCATCGAGAGCTTTGCGGAGTCGGAGAAGTTGGACGTGTAGAGTGGGGTTAGAGGCGTCGATGGAGTGGGCGGCGGTGAGGCACTTGAGGGCGAGGGCGTATTTACCTGCAGAATTTGGTCAATGGGAATGAAAATTACAATCGGCGACGCTGGCACATACCTCTTCGGAGATACACTTCGAATCCGAGAGTCTGAGCCTCGATGCTCTTAGGGCTGAGCTCCAACAAGGGAGTCAGGAACTTCATCGCCTCCAGGAGCGGGTCCTGGGTCGAGACCAGCTTGGTGCCAAGCGGATCAGGGTCCTCCTTCTTGACCTCCCCGTCGGCGCTCTTCCCGGTGCTGGCCGCCTTTCTCGCCTCGCGCTTCTCAGCCTCCAGCTTCTCCAGACGCTGCTGCTCCTTCTTGGCCTTCTTGAGAGCCTTCTTGCGCTCGTTCTCATCTTCTCCAACACCGTTGGTAGCAATGGGTCCGTGAGCCAGATCCGGCTGGTCATGCAGGAGGATGTATGACTTGATGGCCGAGAACGCCACACGGGTGTAGAAGGGGTGCTCGCGCAGGCGGTCCTCCCAACGGACCATGTCCACGTATGCGCGGATCATACCCTTCCGCAGCGAGAAGCTGTGGAAGTCGAACTGGTCTTCTTGCCAGGTATCGAAGATGTTGTAGACGGCGTGAAAGCGCTTGAGAGCAAGGCCAAGCTTCTTCTGGCGCAAGTAGGCCTCGCCATCCTCCGTCAGGTACCACACACCCTGCATCTCATGCAGATCGCCCAGAGCACCACCAACGGTCTCATTCCGGGTGAACTTGCTCATGTTGTCGAGACCCTTCTCGTTGTCGTTGTTGCGGAGCTGGTATTTGGCAGCCTTGGAGTTGATGTAACGGTCCTTCTCGTCCAACAGACGGGCCTTCTCCATCTCCTCCGCAGCCTTCTCGAGATTGCCGTAGTGCTTCCATATCCGCGCCTTGGTCATCTGGTATTCCACAGCCTTGGGCGACAGCTCAATAGCCTTGTCGACGTGCTCCATCGCCTTGGACAAGTCCCGGCTGAGGTGGAAGTTGTAGTGTTGAGCGAGGAAGTAGTGCGAAGACGCAAGGAACTCAGTGTTGTCGGCGTCAGCCTGTCCCTCGGCCGAACCGTTGGACTGAGGCGTGGAGACGTAACCCTCAACCAATTCCTGGACGGTATCCCGCTTGGCCACGTTAGTGTAAAGGGCTTTGATGTTGGCAAAGAGAGAGGGGACGCCCTTCTTGAGCGAGCGCTGCAGATAAGCATCGGCGGCCTGCTTGAAGTCGTCTCCTTCGAGGAAGTCCAGAGGGATACGGCGGGCAGCGTCACCACGGGGTGACTTCTCTACCCAAGAATCGTACATAGCCTTCAGTGCCTTGGGGTCGTCCTTGGAGAGACCCTTGGCGCGGATCAAGGCGTCGTAGTAGATCGAGTTCTCCGGATTCCGCTCGAGAAGAGTAGTGTAAGCAGCCTCGGCCTCAGCCTTGCGGTCCAGGCGCAAGAGGTAGTCCGCTTTCATTTCCAGCACAGCTTGCACATCGGCACATCTGCGTCCAACCTTCTCGAGGTGCTCCAATGCCTGCTCCAGCTTGCCAGCCTCAGCCATGATCGTGTTCTTGTACAGGACAGCCTCGGAGTGCTCCATATCAGAGGTGGGCGGCGGGGTCTTCAACGTCTCCTCGTATGTCGTGAGCACCTTCTCGGCCTCTTCCAAATCTCCGGAAAGGTGGTGTGCGATCGCCAAAGCCGTCCAGTTTTGCCGGAAGCCGGGGCGGGCCTGCAGCATGGTCGTCCGGCTCTGTATGTAACCCTGGTAATCACGCATCTGCATTTGAAGGAGCGCGAGATCGCGTTGGATGGGTTGCGACTCGGGCTCGATTCTCAGGGCAAAGCGGTACGCCTTGATGGCCTCCTCGTAGTTCTTTTCCGCACGGTACAGCAGGCCGTAGACGTGCCAGCAGATATGCGACTTCATGTCGTTCTTCAGAGCCTCCTTGGCCAGCACGAAAGCCTCCTCCAACTGGCCCATGTTGCTCATGATCAAAGCCTTCATCGCCAAGGTATCGCCATGGTTGGGGTTCTTTTTCAGGATTTGTTCCGCGGTCTTGATGCCTATTTTGCGATGCGAGGAATGTTAGCTTGGTCTGCAATCTATTCCAACCCACTTGCTGCGAACGTGACTAGCGAGTTCAATTTGAAGATTCCAGAACCCACCCTTCTTATGTTGCTTGTTCTCATAGTGACGGACCACCTGGCGGAACAGGGCCGCATCCTTGGAGCTCAATGGTTGTGGCATGGTGAGTGTGGGTGGCAGGTGGGAGAGTGCAGTGCAAAGACTTGCCAGATGACTGACTGTGCGGAAGACGGGAAGCTGGCTTGGTGGTGCGCGGGGAGGGGAGAGAGACTCGATGGGAGGAGGGAAGGAATGACGATTGCTTAGGCAGCGATAAGCTCTGACCGGCGCTACAACAAAATCTTTCACAAGATTTCACACGCAAAGGAAGCTAACGATTCGCGATTCGGGATTCTTAATTGAGCAACTCCAATTTCAACTCCGATAATAGCCACTCAAGATCAAAGTTCTTTCGCGACCGCCGGTCTTCCCTCCAGCGCTGCCCGGCGATAGTCGAAACGATTATCCGAAGCGGCGTTTGCGGACATCTGCAGCACTACATACACACAGAAGATAGATTTGATACCATTTAACTAAGGGAAAATGATTGAGTGAGGAACGCCGTTATATGCTATGTTTTACAGAATCGTTATTATACATGAAGAGTGAAATAAGGCCAACTGGCCGACTGCATGGGCCCAAATTGCATCGAGCTTCGAGAGCAGGAGACATCCAACATAAAACCCATCAACGACAAGAAAGAGACAGTGTTAGACGTCCGACACATTTTGCTGTTTCATTTCGCGCCACTTGTTCAGTGCTTCTTGCCAGCTCTCCGATGAGCTCTCGCATCTATCAGTCACAAGCCCCCAAGTCCGCGCACGAATAATGTCCTCCACGCTTCTTTGATACCGGACAAGGTGTGCCAGAGATTCCGTTCGCGGTTCGCGGGGGAAGAACCGCGCAGAGTAAGGATCAAGTCGCTCGTCGACAACCCGCTCGCGATCTTTGGCCGACTCAACCTCTCGTAGAAGAAGGTCCGGATCATCCGGGTCGGGGCTTGTTGCCACCCCAGCGCAGTAGCTCAGCACATCCGATCGAGCTTGCCAGGACGGGAAAAGCACTTTATCCTTGAAGCCTTCGCAAGCTGCCGGGTCTATTGTTCGCTCCGCCGTGGGGTCTACCTGCCGGGCTGCGGTGGAAGAGGGGTCAAACCCGTCCCGCGCCGGAGTATACAATGCGTTCAGGTTCTGTGTAATCGAATCATCTATTGTCGACCGTGAGAGGCGTAGGAATTCTATCAACCAGTTGGAATACTAGTCAGTATTCGTTCCGGTGGCTGCACGCCTCATAGCGGTGGTAGGTGCACATACCTCGAAGTGCCCTCTCATTGAAACAGAACTTGGGGCTCAACGAAGGGGCCACGGTCGAGGACTGATGAGACATTCTGTGACCCTGTACTTTTCCAGCCTCCCCTTCCGACGCACGATTCTCAGCCCAGAACAAATCCACTTTGTAGGTTATGGATGCGATGAGGCGTCAGCCGTCGGTTGGTGGCGATTCGGATAACGAGAGGAACCGGCACCGGCTCACCCCACAAATCGTACGATGCAGCAGTGTTATAAGCTAAAACTAGAGATGGATGCCTTGACGAGGGGCTTGAGGGAATTTTAAGCGCCTGAAGAAGTAAGTATCGGTGAGGTTCACCTGTGGGGATAATTCAGGACTTGATGCAATGAGGTGAGAATAATGCGCATGAGGGCCGGCCCGCGTGCCGCCAGACCATCAGCAGCACGCAACGGCAACCCGGCGCCCGCGGCGGCGGCAGCTTACTACCCGAACCGGTTAGCAGTTGCTAATCACGGGACTACGTGATTCCTTGACGCGTTGCGAGATTTCTGCATGACGTAGAGATATCTCAGCATTGATCGGATCCTCTATTGTGACAACCTACAGAATTGTTCTTGAGCCATATCGGTGTCTAGCTTATTGCCTTTATATCTTGTACCAGCTCAATTGGTTGACATATACCCACTTTACTGCCATGCCTGAGCTAGCGGAAGTCTCGCGCATCGTCCATTTCATACGCCACCATCTGGTGGGCAAGACTCTGTCAAAAGTGTCTGCGCAACACGATGACATCGTCTACGGTAAAGTCGGAACAAGTGCTGCCGAGTTTCAGAAGGCAATGGAGGGGAAGAAAGTCGTTGGCGCAGGACAGCAAGGCAAATATTTCTGGATTACGATGTCGACGCCTCCTCATGCGGTGATGCATTTCGGCATGGCAGGCTGGCTCAAAATTCGAGATGCCGATACATACTACTACCGAACTGACAAGCCGGAGGATAAAGAGTGGCCGCCCAAGTACTGGAAGTTTTTGCTGGAAACCGACGGTAACCCCATGACCGAGGCGGCTTTCGTGGACGCTCGTCGTCTTGCCCGCGTCCGGCTCGTGGATTGCCCTGCAGACGAGATCCGCAAGTACAGCCCGCTGAAGGAGAACGGTCCGGATCCGGTCGCAGATAAAGACACTGTGACGGAGGAGTGGCTTGCAAAAAAGCTAAGAAGCAAGAAGGTCCCTATCAAGGCTCTTCTCCTCGATCAGGCAAATATCAGCGGAATTGGGAATTGGATGGGGTATGATCATTGCTCTTCTATCACCTAGGTACATTTGATGGCTAACTGAGCTCCAGTGATGAGATCTTGTATCACGCAAAGATACACCCGGAACAATATAGCAACACCCTGAATGATGACCAGATCAAGGAGCTTCACTCGGCTATGCACTATGTTTGCTCGACTTCAGTAGAACTGCTGGCTGATTCAGACAAGTTCCCGGAGAATTGGTTGTTCAAGCATCGATGGAGCAAGGGCAAGAAGAATGTTCCCTCTGTCCTGCCTAATGGCGAGAAGATCACTTTCCTCACTGTTGGCGGTAGAACAAGCGCCGTGGTCCCCAGTGTACAGAAAAAGACAGGTCCGGTGGCAAAAGAGGTTGATAGTGACAGCGGCAGTGGCCCGAAAACCAACTCGAAGCGGAAGAGGGAACCAGCGGTGAAGAAAGAAGAGGAAGCACCACCAGAAAGCGAAGATGGACCTACGCCGAAGAAAAGTGGCTCCAAGAGGCAGAACAAGACGATCAAAACTGAGGATGAGGATGAATCCAAGTCGTCAGAACCAACAGCTTCAACCAAAAGACGCTCAACACGGCTTAGGAAGTGAATTCATGTGTGAATTGCTTTTCCTTTCATGACCGCCTGTTGATGAACAAAGTAAGACGGGGAGGTTGCGGAATGACGTCTGGCTAGGGTGTTGTCATCTCTATACTTGAGTAGTCGAACTGAATCTGCAGCACCACTCAGATTGCCATGTCATGCAGCTTTTCTCTGAAAACGTCAAAATTTCCGAGACCCTGCGTGAGCGTTGTGGCATCATCTAGAATTGCAAACACGATCCTCTCCCACCAGCCCTGAAATTCTTCCTCCCGCAAGACCTCAGCCCAGCAAGCTGCAACTTCGACGTTTGGATTCCCAAACGCGCCACAGCCCAAAGCCCCTAGAACAATTCTGCGGTGCTTTTTGTAGGCCGCGATTCGGAGGATAGTTCTCATTTTATTCTTCGTTCCCTCGCGATCGCGCGGGTTCTTGTACATAGGCGGACTGCATTCCTGGTCCAGTTCCGGGTTCTGAATAGCAGCCACGCTGATCACGCTCACCACGGGTAAGAGGTCAGGTCTCTGCAAATCCATCAGCTTGTGGCCTCGGTCAAGACTCTCTCGGAAGATGACAACGGTGGGTGAATATATAGCACCGAGAAATTTCATAGGGTAAAAGCTTCGTTTAAGGGTTGAGCTTAGACTACTCCGATAACAGAGTGCCTCTTCTTGGGCCAAGGCTCCGTTTAGCCACCCCCCGCCCGGCCTTTTCGCATTGGCCATGTTGAGGATACAGACTGTTTCTGCGTTGTTTTCATTGTAGGGGTACGCAGAAGCGCCAAGTCCATTGGCGATATCAAAAGTATCGCCAAATAAGACCTCGACCCGAGCAGACAGCTTGGGGCTGAATCCTGGATCAAGAGGCCCATATCTGAATCCATGGCACAATTGCCCAGTTGGAGGGGCACTAGGCACTGTAGACAGGATTCCTGGAAGCAACTCATTTGTTTCTTCTGCGACCGATCTTAGTTTCTCTCTCCGGGATCGCCGCGGACGATGTGCTCCAGCGCGCGGTCCCCGAATCCTCACAGGTCGAAAATAGTTAGTTATTTGGTTGGACGACATTTTTGGCCTGGGTTTGTGAAACTGAGATTTGCTCGATTATAAGGGGTCGAGACAGGATAACACTGTTTATATGTCCCAACTGTCATGGAATGAGTTCTGTTAGGCAACAGAGTGTATCCAGCGTTGGCGCCTCGTTTTGATCCGGCAGAACGATCAGGAACAGACGTGATAAAGACGGACTCATTAATCGAGATTAAGCCGAGGCAGCAGGCGGTGAGCTTATCTTCGCCGATAGCGGGGCAGCCACAACTCGGCGGCATGGTATCTCATCCGCTTTCTTTCCACCAGAGTCGGATTCGTCGCCACGCCGATGACAAAGCATTGATTCCATCAGTCACTGCAATTTCAATTCTTCTTCCAACAACTATTTTGTCCATTCCACAAATTCTTCACATTGCGCTCATATCGCGCTTACAGCTCAAACATCCGCAATTCAGTACCCAATAATAGCACCTGCATTTGCACCTATCAGAAGCGGCGGTTTCTGCTATCATTCCACTACGTCGGCCTCCGGCGCCTGCCACCATGAGCGCAATCCTATCTGCAGATGACCTGAACGATTTCATTTCTCCCGGTGTCGCATGTATCAAACCGGTTGAGACACTTCCGAAGAAAGAGGAGTCAAGTTCAGATGTATGTGCACAAGCAGCACCATCCCACTCGAAGCCCCGCTTTGTCCAATGATAAGCCTCTAATTTATAAGTCTATAGAATCCTTACGAAGTGACCAAAGAAGACAAAGTCCAGCCTGAGAATCTACCCCCGGCGCAGATCTCTTTAACCGATTGTCTCGCCTGTTCAGGGTGTGTGACTTCCGCCGAAGCAGTGCTTATCTCGCTGCAGTCGCATGCAGAAGTCCTCAACACCCTCGACACATACCCTGAACTATCCTTGAGTGGCGATGATGTTCACGATGACGAGAGTCGGATATTCGTCGCTAGTGTCAGCCCGCAAGTCAGAGCCAGTCTGGCCGCGACCTACGGTATAACAGAGAAGGATGCGAACAATATTATTCACCAGTTTCTGAGCGGCCCTCAAGGTTTACGGGCTGGAGGAGCGAAGAACAGCGGGTTCTCCTGGGTGGTTGACACCAATGTCATGAGGGAGGCGGTCCTGACTCTCACTGCAGATGAGATCAGCGAGTCTCTGGTCGCCACTGCAGACAGCGCTGGTTCGTCATTACCGAAACGCCCAATTCTGTCCTCCGCATGCCCTGGGTGGATCTGTTATGCCGAGAAGACACATCCGTTCATCCTTCCCCATCTGTCCCGCCTTAAGTCTCCTCAAGCACTCACCGGAACTTTTCTAAAGACGGTGCTTAGCAAGGCTTTGGGAATCCCTACTTCGCGCATCTGGCATTTGGCCATCATGCCTTGCTTCGACAAGAAGCTTGAAGCTAGCAGGGAAGAGCTCACGGACGCAGCATGGTCCCCATCGCCTTCAGATTCTACCACGCCTATTCGCGACGTCGATTGCGTCATCACCACGCGCGAGCTTCTTTCATTAGCATCCTCCAGAGGCATATCGCTGCCTGATCTGCCTTCAAAGCCTTTTACGCAGCCACAATTCCCGGACCCAGTCCTGAATGACTTCCTATTTTCCAGGAAAGGTTCAGAACAAAACGCTACAACCGGTACTTCTGGAGGCTACCTCTACCACGTCCTCAAAGCTTTCCAATCGCGAAACCCAGGCAGCGAGATTGAAATACAAAGGGGAAGGAATGCAGATGTCGTGGAATACTTCCTCATGTCGCCCGAAAAACAGCCCATCATGAAAGCTGCTCGTTATTATGGCTTCAGAAACATCCAGAACCTTGTTCGCAAGCTCAAACCAGCACGGGTGTCACGACTTCCTGGTGTGAAGGCAGCGAATGGCGCCATGGGAGGCGCAAGACGGCAGCCGATGGCACGCAATGCCGCTTCAGGGGGATCTGGCTCGGACTACACATACGTGGAAGTCATGGCCTGTCCTGGGGGTTGTACTAATGGTGGCGGACAAATTCGCATTGAGGATGCTCGCGAGGCCACTTCTAGCACGCCGAATGAGGAAGTCGCTACGTCGAAGCCCTCGCCGCATGAGCAGCGCGCATGGCTTGCGCGAGTGGATGAGGCATATTACTCTGCAGAGTCGGATTCAGAGAGTGAAGTCAATTCTCAGTCGCAGCCCCTGTCTCTCCAGGAACAAGAAGCCAGGGTTCACAATGCCTTGACTCATTGGTCAACATTCATGGGGGTGCCTCTTTCGAAGCTGGCATATACTACCTACCGTGAGGTTGAGAGCGACGTGGGCAAGCCTCAAGGCCCGCCAGATGCCACCCGTGTTGTGGAATTGGCCGGAAAGATTGGTGGCGGCTGGTGATTTGTTCCTTTATCTGACGATATATACCCCGTGATATTTACTTGCATATATGGCTGCATAGCTGCGAAAATAGATAGATACCTTACGACTGCTTAGATACTTTTCAATTCATTATTCTATATGTACGGTCATAAACGATACTATCGAGTAACTTAGCTTTCCGAGGATGAAGCTGAACTAGAAGCCTAAGAAAAGCAACCTCATTGGCGCCAAATGGCCCCCTAAACCCAAACAAGCTAGCCCCATCCCAATGATTACCGGCGGCACAGTTAGCTATCAGCTGACTAATGCGCATCCCGCTCTTTCTTTCTCCGCGCAAAAAGTTCAGGTTCCGCTCCAACATTCGAGAACAAACGATTTCCTCACCACTCACTCACTCACTCAACTGTTCCACCACTGATAACAAACCTCACCACCGAAACCCGACCTCTCCACCACAAACCACAACACATCCACCCGCCCTTCACGAAAAAAAAATGTCCCGCGAAGCCTACCAAGTCCCCGCCGGCCTAGGCGGTAACCAGAACGCCTTCGGCGGCGCCGACTCGATGGGCGCCGGCGGCGCGGGCTCGCTCGACGGCCCCGTCGTCGCCTACCTGTGCGGCGAGTGTAACTCGCGGGTTTCCCTGAAGCGCGGCGATCAGATCCGGTGCAAGGAGTGCGGACATCGGGTTCTGTATAAGGAGCGGACGAAGAGGTTGGTTTTGCCTTTCCCTTTCCCTTCCCTTCCCTTTTCCTGCCTGGGGATCTTGGTTTGAGTTTGTGTGGAGTGCTTAGCTGACTTTTTTGTGTGTAGAATGGTGCAGTTTGAGGCGCGGTGATTTGTATGGGATTCTTCTTGGGGGCGGTTTAGGGATTGGATTGGATCTGAGGGGAGGGGAGGGCAGCGGAGTGGAAGAATGAGAAGGAAGGGGTCGGGAGTTGGGACAGACTTGGTCTTGCTCTCGTTACGATTGATGTGCATTCTTGTGGTGTTTGGGAGTTTTACTATCTTTGTTGCTCTGTTTGCGTGGGTGGAATCTGGCGGTTGAAGGTTGGTCGGTCGGTCGGTCGGTGGAAGGTGGGGGTGGGATTGGCCCGGTGGGCTTGAGATGTTCTTTGTCTCCTGCTAAAGTGCTGTCCCTGTTTACTACGGGCGGATGTGCATGGCAAGCGCCTGGTGTAAGACCTCCTTAGCTATTGGCTAAATGATACCTCGTCGATGTGACCCTTGACACTGCGCTATCCTATGCTATCCACGAATTAATTGTTGAAATTCGACCGTTTGGTCTATTCGAAAACGATGGGGTTTGTTCAATTTCCCAACGTTTGTGCGTTATAAAAAACCCCGAAAATGTATACCGCATACACATCATCTACAACTCACTCAGAGCTGGTTTGTCACTTCGATAAAATGCTCGAAGCTCCGGAGAGCGGCGCCGCTCTCGATGCACCAGCGTGCCCGGCGGACGCCTTCCTTCCAGCGTCCGCCTCCAGGGCCGCGCTCGGTGATCACCTGGCCATCATCGCCAGGGCCCATGTTGCTGGTTTCCGCCTCGCAGATACCAGAAGTAACCAGTAGGGCAGCCACGTTCTGGAGCACGAAGCTCAGAATCGGGTCGTCACGGGGCAGTTCGTTGCGCAGGATGCTCATGAGCTTCTCAGCATTGTCCTTGGGCATCTTCCTTCCGAAGACCTCCGTCAGCGGGTAGGCCTTCAACCCAAAGTCGGACGGGTGCAGCTGGAACATTTCCATCTTGACCAGAGTGCGGGGGTTATGGTCCTCGTCACAGGAGCATTCCTCGTCCTCGTTCTCTGGCTGCTTGTATGCAGCGTTGGGGTACTCCGACAGTCTCCAGCAGTTCGTGGGGCCAGCGCAGCTGATCTCATCCAGATCTTCTGCACCGCAGACGACCAATGCCTTCTTGCACCCGTTCTGGCGCAGCGCCTCCACGAAGACGGGGCCCAGGCTCTGGTAGGCCACACCCACGATGCGGGCCTCGATGGCCCAATCAACAGGGTTGGCCAGGGGTCCCATGAGGTTGAAAATAGTCCGAAGGCCAAGGCCACGTCGCACAGTATCGGCGTATCTCATCCCGTGGTGGAAGTTGGGCGCAAACAGGAACGAGTAATTGGTCGCCGCGTACACCTTGCTCAGGTTCTCGGCGTTGACGGCTTCGATCTTCGGAGGAACCGGAGCAACAGCTTGCAAGACGTCGGCGGACCCGGAGAAGGATGTTTGTGCGCGGTTGCCATGCTTGGCTGTGAGGAGGAGGGGAGAAGCGATGATGGAGGAGGTGGTGGAGATGTTGAAAGTGGAATGCGAGTCACCTCCAGTTCCGACAATGTCACACTATAGCTCGACGCTGGATGTCAGATAAATCCACTACTGGAGTAATGGGGTTGCATGAGGATAAACCTACTAGACCACCTCTATATTGCCCCTCCTTCTTAGCGCGGGACTTGATAGCCGCCCTCAGAGAAGCTTTGTCGACCTGGACAGCAGCTTCTCTCATGCGGTGGGAGCATTTCGCGATAACTTCCGCATCGCGGTCGAGTCCGGTAGAATGCAATAGCGTCAGAAGCGCAGCAGTCTGAATCTGCGAGAGCCCATCTTCGAAGATCAGGGCAAAAGCGGCGGCAATCTCGGTCGCGGTAACCTGGATCTCTGTAGCGGGGTAGGCGAGTCTCTTGAGAAGGGGAGAGATGGACACTTGTCCCGGCTTGGATTCGTGCGGAGCAGCCATGATTCTGAACGTTCAGCTGATCTAGAGTCAGGAACCTCACAGTCCAGGGACTCAAATATGTGTATATGTATCACAATTGCAACGAGACGATGAGAAGGTCGACGAAAGAGTCATCGGTCCCCTGCGGAGTCGCGCAAGCAAACTTGCAGAATCACACCGCTCTGGATTACGGCTAACCATTTTGGGACGGCAAGATTTCGTGCCATATTTTCGCCAGCCGCGATCCTGCCCCGGTATTGTGCTTGTCGCCGGCGTTGCCAATTCCACCGGGTCTGGAGATATTTCATTCCATACCTGCTTTTCTTGCCGTGTCCTCCTTCACTCTTCTCACGGCTTCCGTCGACCCGCCTCTACACTCTCACAATGCCTCCACGGATCCGTGTTTCCAGCGGCCGGCTTGCCCAGCCAGTCCGACGCCAAAGACTCTGCCAATACGAATTGGCCATTGCAACCAGATACGCCAGCACGGCGACGACACCGGCTGCCTCCATTGAGCAAATGAAACATTCGCCCGTCCCGATCACCCACTATCCCTCCGTCCAGCCCCCGTCACACCGCAGACCCGAGTACCGCCGCTCGCAGCTCCTGCGGCAGTATACCTCGATGATCCGCACGTCCCCTCTGATGGTGTTCATTCAACACGACAACCTGCAGTCGGTGGAGTGGACGGCGATTCGACGAGAATTGAACCAAGCGCTCCGCAAGGTCGACGAGAAGATCGCGGAGGAGGGTCGCGAGGCGCCGGCCCTGGCGCCGCACATCAAGGTGCAGATCGTGCAGACGCGGATTTTCGAGGTGGCGCTGCGCATCGTGGAGTACTTCCGGCCCAACACCACGCAGGCGGCGGCAACCCCGGACGCGGTCGACCCGGTCACGCAGACGTCCGCCGAGATCCCCTTGGAAGAGGCCCTGTACGCGCACGATCTGTCGCGCGCGGCCCACGACGCCGTCTTGCCCCTCAAGGGCAAGCACGAGCTCGCGCCCCTCCTGGCCGGCCCCATCGCCGTCCTCACCATCCCCCAGGTCTCGCCGGAACACTTGAAGGCCGCCTTCACAATCCTGGCCCCCAAGGTGGTCGGGCTCCCCGCCCCGACCCGCAAGGCCAACCCCGGCTGGCACGAGATCCCCGTGCAGAACGGTCTGCAGAAGCTGTCGTTGATTGCGGCCCGCGTCGACGGCCAGGTCCTGGATGTCGAGCAGTCGAAATGGGTCAGCAGTATCGAGGGCGGTATGGACGGCCTGCGGTCACAGCTTGTCATGGCTCTCCAGAGCATGGGCTCGAGCATCACCAATACTCTGGAGGGTGCTGGTAAGAGCTTGTACTTCACGCTGGAGAACCACAAGAGCGTTCTGGAAGAGGAGCAGAAGGGTCCTGAGGAGAAGAAGGACGAGTCCGCCTAGACAGGGCGGTGATTGCCGTTTGTTTCGGTGGGGTTCGATGATGGTTTTTTCTGTCTGTGTATAATAACACCTTGTGTACTTTTCTTTGCCCTGTTTGTGCTCAACCCATTTTAGCATATGAGATCGATTAGAGATCGGAGTCTACTGCTCTAGGATACAATGACATTTTGGATATATTTGATGTGTTGCCAGTACAGTGCAGCGGGATAAGAAGGCTCAGCTGCGCTTTGCTTATCTTCAAAGCAATTTTCAATGGATACATGTCTCCGCTTGGTATCCCTTTTATCTTGGATGTTGTACCGCTCCGTAACTGTCTTACCGCAATCCTCCATCTACCAATCGTCCACCTGCGCCAACCGCCTCTCCCTGACTCGAGCATTCATCCCCACAATACAGCGCACCAGATCCCAGTCTCCATCCAAGCCCACCCAATCCGTGACCAGGATTCCCGTGGACCAGTCCCCCTCCTCCGGCCCATGTTTCCTGCACAAATAATCCACCGTCGCGGGGTTCACTTTCGCGGCGATCTTCTCGGGCCACGTGCCGACCTTCCAGAAATTACTGGCGCTCAGGAAGTTGATAAAGAACGGATGCTCGCGCGTGGCGGAGGCATCGTCCAACACACCGAACGGGTAACACGTGCCACTTGCGCGCTGACACTGGTCGCGGACGTACTGGATCTTCTGGTCGATGTTCTGGGTGAGAAGGACCTCATAGAAGTCCTGAATGCACAGCTGGCCGCTGGGGCAGGTGGCGTCGGCGCAGTTGTCGGCCCAGCCGCTGGCGTCAATGCCCCAGCCGTGGCCGTCGTGGAGGGCCTTGAGGTCATCGTGGATGTTGAAGCGGCGCAGCAGCACGACCTTGCCGCGGACCTCACCGAGGGTGGGGATTTTGGGGTCGGTGTACCAGCTACTGTCGGGGGTGGCGTAGTGGTCGCTGAGGATGCGGCTGAGCTGCTCGTCGGTGTGGTTGCCGGGACCCTCGCGCTTGAGCGAGATAATGAGCGTCTCAGACGGATTCTCGGCCAGGAACTCGTCGACCTCGTGCATCAGGTCGCGGAAGTACTTGCTGCCCGTCAGCGAGATGGGGAACACGCTGTGCACGAGGATCAGTTCGTCGCGCGCGGGGTCGTCCGGGTACTGCGGCTGCACACGGATGTCGAAGAAGCGCACGCCGTTGCGCAGCTGCTCGCGCGGCCCGACGGCCTGGCAGCGCACCGAGGGCGCCGCAACGTAGCACGTCGGCGAGTTGTGCGTGCCCGGGATCGAGAGCGATGACAGTAGCACGTCGCCGTCTAGCTCCTGCATCCAGGCTTCCAGGTGCGCGGACGAGAAGATCGTCAGGTGCGCCTCGGCCGTCAGGTAGATGCCCGTCAGCCGGAACTTGGGGTCGTCGCTCAGCGCTTTCATGGTGGCGGACTCGGTGGTCGGCACCGGGGTCTGGATCTGGTGCTCCTCGCCCTCGACGTCGAAGATCCATCGCAGGCGTTCCTTTTTCGAGTCGAGGAATGCGCGGATCTCGGTCTGCACGGTCTCGAACGGCGCGATCTCGAAGTCGGCCTCATTGTGCGTGAACGGCGTCGTGTCGTCGTCGATCGCGGCCACGGGCGTGTTGGCGCGTGTGACGTTGGTTAGGACCCGCGTGAAGTTCTTTGCGAAGGTGTGCACGCCGTCAAAAGACCGCTCCGGCTGCCGGAAGCGCTCAATGCGCATTAGTCTGATGGGGGTGGATGTGACATTGCGGATGGTGAGGTATTCGGCAACCATTGTAGCGCGGCCACGCATGCGTGGGAGGAAGCTGTCGCTTTATCTGGAGTAGAGACGGATAATCCAGAACACAAAAAGAGAAACTCGTGTCGGGATTTATGGGTGAGCAAAGTTTCGCATAGGGCTGAGACTGCATGCGAGTCCCGGAAGTATCAGACTCTCAGGGCGAGAATTGGGGCGCAGCTTATCGTTGGCATTGGCTAGCGCTGGAGGAGATCCCCAGCTGAAGCGCAGCAAATGATGGGGTTGGCGCCAATGGAAGACAGGCAGCAGTCGATCCACCGTACCCGGAAAACCCAGAGAGCGCCAAGGGTCAGGAACCTTCTATCAAACATCATGACTGGTATTGGATTTGTCCCTGAGCAGTCATGTCCTTCCAGTAAGTGAGGTGTGGCCATGATAATGATCGTCATGGGGTCGTCAGGCTACCCGGACTCACGGTCCACCGATTTATATAGCACGGACCTTGGTGGGGACAACGGCAGGGTTTGAAAAGTAGGAATTTGCAGGCTTTAAGCTTGGAGTCACGCGGTCGCTTATCTTTGGAGAATCATCGCATGAACATCCCAGTTAAGGTGAATCAAGGTGGTACTTGGCTAGGCAGCATGGTTGGCAATACTATCAGTGGCTGTGGGCGGTGATTGCATTTGAATGGAGACAACAGGGCTGGGGAGATTAAGGGTAATGCGATGGCCGAAAGAGAACCTGGACGTTGTTTGTCACAAACCAGGTGATTGTAGTGCTCATTCTTATATGGTCTCAGTCAGGCATTACTCCAAGATTTATTCCAGCTTCACAAGCCACCTACCGGTTGGTCATCCCTCGCAACTACTCATACTGCTTAATGCATGATAGATCGGAGAAATGCGCGGCCCGAACAAGATGCGGAGATGCGGAGAAGCATCACGTGCAATAACGCCGAGCGTCGGTTATCGTCGGCGGAGTCTCCGCGTTTACTTACTCCCCCATCAACCATAATGCAGCGGGGGATGCTGCTGGGGGATTTCTTTCTGATGACCATCCTCTTGCTCGCCGTCCCAAAGTTGACTCCGGATAACCATGAATGTTCTACGGTGTAGTGGAAGCCTTGCGTGGGCTCTCCGCTCTTGTCAACGGCCGAGAGCCCTTGCGAGCGCAACACCTCTCCTTCCTCGTCGCCATTTCCACGGAGCCGCGCCCTTGTGGGGGGTGAAGTCACAAGTGTTGAAGGACGTTGGAGAGGGTATGTTCATCTCTACTGTTTTCTCAGAATTCACCTTGACGTGGTTGTGCAACCGCCCTTGGTTCAATTGTTTACCAAGTTCTCCGCAGGGATAACGGAGGTGCAGATCATCCAATGGTACGTCGAAGAGGGGGCGCGTATCGAGGAGTGGAAGCCTCTTTGTCAATACCAATCCGATAAAGCAGTCGATGATGTGGGCTATTTCTATCTCCGTTCTCATGTTTATCTCGTCCTAACAGTCATAGATTACGTCGCGATATGAAGGCGTGGTCAAGAAGCTCCACTTCCAGGCCGACGACACAGTTCCGACAGGAAAGGTAGGCAGCACCGCACACGCTTTCTAGTTCTCTTGCTTATCTGAATTACATAGGCGCTCTGCGACATCGAAGTCGAAGATGGAAAATACCCCGATGACAGTCCCCCGCCCAAGCCCGTTCCAGAGCCAATGCAAACAGTCCCGACTCCAGCAAGCCCGCCACCCACGCAGCCTCAGCAAGCCCCTCCACCTTCACAGCCCCCAGTCACAACTACCACACAGAAATCACCTCATGCAATGCTTGCGACTCCAGCAGTCCGAGGACTGCTCAAGACACTCAATGTCAACATCGAAGACGTCCAAGGCACAGGCAAGGGCGGCCGTGTCATGAAAGAGGATGTGCAGAGGTTTGCTGTAATGCGAGACTCCGGAGCCACCACACGACCCGCTGCAGTGGAAAAAGCCCAAGCCGAAACAGCCATCAAATTATCGCCAATACAGTCACAGATGTTCAAGACGATGACCCGCTCACTCACCATCCCTCACCTGCTATTTGCGGATGAGCTCAACATTAATGCTGTCAACTCCATGCGACGGAAGCTGGCAGCTGATTCAAAGGACCCAAAGAAGATAACCTTCCTGTCATTCGTCGTGAAGGCTGTGTCTCTTGCACTCGACGAGTACCCTCTCCTCAATGCAAGGGTCGACGCAACCAATCCAGAGAAGCCGCAACTCATCATGCGCTCGAAACACAACATCGGCATCGCGATGGACACACCTCAAGGGCTGATCGTCCCCAACGTCAAAGATGTCGCCAATCGCTCCATCCTGGACGTCGCTTCGGAGCTGACCCGGCTCAGTGCCCTGGGGAGGGAAGGGAAAATCACGCCTGCTGACCTCAGCGGCGGAACTATTACCGTCTCTAATATTGGGAACATCGGGGGCACGTACGTTGCACCGGTGCTTGTTCCGACCGAAGTGGCGATTATGGGCATTGGTAAAGTCAGGACTTTGCCTGTCTTCGATGACGCGGGGCAGGTCACCAAAGGCGAACTCGTCAACTTCAGCTGGAGTGCTGATCATCGTGTGGTGGATGGCGCGACTATGGCCCGGATGGCTAACAGAGTCCGTGAGCTGGTGGAGAACCCGGAACAGATGCTGTTGAGCCTGCGGTAGCCGTGGTCGAGATGTAATTCCTGGGAATGTACTAAATTCTAGATACGATCTACAATGACGGACACTTGCTAATCGTGTGCGGAATTCTCCTCAAAGTCATTCGCGTTTCTCAAAGGAGTATGACTTTGGATGCTAATCAGCAGTCCCGCGATACGCGGAGAATATAAAGTTATGAGTCACGATGCAATTCAGCTAGAGTCTCAGATATCAAGCTTATCCCTTAACAAGGTATCGTATACTACGTTGAATATAGTTGTAGCCTTCAACCAGTAACAAGCTTGCCTTCAGAGATCCCCATCAGTCGCTGCTCAATCGTACCTTTCAACTACTTCTCAAAATCCATCCATTTCATCAACATACACCCTAAGTTCCTCACCCAAAAGAATAAGAAGAAACCTCACCGAAAGTCCACTATAATGATAAGCCATGGTCACATGCTCACCAATAGTCCCCTACAAGACTGGTTTGAGCACACAGCAAACACCCAGCCAAGGATCTAACCACATATTTACCCTATAGCAAGCAACCGCTCACCGCGCCCAGAATGCCTTCAGAATCGCAAGATGCACGCATCATACCATTCCCACCCTTAGCATCCAGATGAAAGATACTAACATATCATCATCAGCCCTTAGAATTCAACACCCAAAGCATCTCCACCCTCAAACCAGGAGACCACGTCTTCATCCACGGGGGACCATGCGCGATTCTCACCATCACCAAAGAAACAGCTCAAAAAGAGGGACCAGTCCTCCTCTGTGGTATCGATATCTTCTCCGAAGAAGACCGCGAGGGAGAATACCGGCTCGATGAAACGATGGACGTGCCTTTCGTCATGTTTACACAGTGCCAACTAGTGAGTTACATATCTCCACTTCGCTTATCGTATATGAACGGGCACAGTACACTAAGCTGATAGCCAAGATCTCCTTCGACAACGAGAGCCTATGTCTTCGGATGCCGTCTGGTGAATTTAGGGGTGATATCCCGGCTACGAACAGATTACGAGAGGATTTGCGATTTGTGGACTCGAGATAATTGTCGGGTACTCTGTGTTACCATGCTGTCGGTTATGGGGGACGCGGTTGCGATTGATCTGACCTCTACGAGATTAGGTCTGGGATGAGGTAAGTTCAGGGGGGTTCCAAAGGTGCGCTGGGACAATGGCTAAATAGGTTACCCGCTGGCCTGCTTACTCTTTGTCCTCATGTGCGCGTAGAACCAGTGGATTATCTAGTCTGGCGGACGCTCTTTAGATGAGGCAAGCAAGGCTAAGCTCCGATGGGTCTACGCAGTCCCGTATCTCTATATGATGGTTCGGTTGACTACGATTCTTAGGTATTTTATAGCGTGAGTGAGATCATGATTTACCAGGGGCTATTCACTTATGCAATTTTGATTGTACAAGCCCGAGGACTGAGAATAGTGTGTGTTCCAGGGTCGTAGACCTCATTTTGACGGAGTTGGTCTGTAGCGTATCATACCTGCGGCTTATACCCAGGGAAATCGATCCGGTGGCTTGCCGACGGACTGATCCGCTTGTGTCAGGGTTCATGCTTCGCGTCCGCCATCCCGACGGTGCGCGTTGGGAAATGGGGCGTTGAGGATTGATGATTTTGTGCAGCGGGGATGCTGCTGTGTTTAAGGGTGCGTATGATCATGCGATTGTGGACGTGCATTACCTGGCGTTGGTGTTGACGTGCTTGGTTGTCGTTGCGAAGGGTCCAATAAGCGGAGGTCTTTCCATGAGGAAAAGTTTGAGGCGGTGGGGGCTCCTATGGGGAGGTCTCGAAAGGCTGAATATGTTGGATAGAGATTATGGGTATGAAGAATTGGGGAAAAATGGCTGCTGGGGCAGGTGCTGAAAAGCTCTCCCCTTCTATAAGTACAACTATGAGGGGACGGTGGGCAGTAACTGTTAGTCTACCGTCAGCAAAGCATGTATCTGTGAACGGAGCTCATATAAACGTTGTACATAAAAGAGCAAATATACAGATAAATCAAGACAACTCCATAGTGCAACAACCTAGCAAAACATGGCCAACACTTCATGTGCAAAACCTCTATCATCGGTACCAATCCCCCTAGAGGGCCTTAGGCATCTTCCACACGATTCAACTTCTGCTCACAGGCGGCATTTTGCTCCGCAATGACGTCGGCCGGAATTCTATCTGGCGTGGTGTTGACAAGCATGATCATGGGCACGAGTGCCGCGCCCAGGAGGGCGAACGTCACGCAGCTAAAACGGCATCAGGTTAACCATCAACCCTTCCAGAGAAAAGCAAAGTTAGGTAGAATGGAGGAGGAACATACAATCCGACCAACGGACTACTAGTAGTCTGGGTATTCATGCCGTACGCCACAGCCTGCCCGATGGCCTCGATGCAACGGAACGCCGCGCCATTGCGGACATTTTCTAAGACCGGCCGGGGATCTCGTTAGTATGCGCTCCTTCCATGACTTCGAAATAGAGCTACAAGTGTAATGGGCCTCAAACACCAAGCCCAGCGAAGTGGAACGGAATAAATGGAAAGTCTCACCCTGCGCATCCGTCGCAAACGACGACAGCAGCCAGTACATATACGACTGCGACAGCGGGCCGGTGGTCTGGACGAAGAAATAGGGCAGAAAGGACCGCGCGTATAGGCTGCCGTCCTCCCAGTCGATGCTGCCCGGGTTGTGGCGGTTGAAGCGCGTCTGCATCACGATCGACCAGATATACACGCCGGTGTTCAGCAGCACGACTATATACAGGCCGATCTGGGCGCGGCGGCGCTGGCTTACGCCCTTCATGTCGAGGATGAAGCCTAGTCCGAAGCAGCCGATTCTGTTTTGACCAGGATTAGAGGTTGGTTCTTCGGGCTTGGCTTCGTTTATTATGGGGGAACGCGGCTTGCTGGGGGCAACGTACATGCAGAAGAAGGGCGAGATTAGTGAGGAGAGGGCGCGGGCGCGCACCGAGAAGTATGTGCCTAGGTAGGTGCTCCATGTTCCGCTGAGGAACGAGGATGGTTAGTTACTTGTGCTGCGCTCCTGGGTTTGGCGACTTTGGCTTTGGAGGGAGGAGGCTTTACGTGTAGAAGAAGGACCACAGCGCCCACAGGGCGGACAGCACGATGAGCTTGGAGGTCATAGTCTTTGCAATACGGCGGAGCTCGACTCGACTAGACAGGGGTTCGGAGGTAACAATTTTGGTACCGTCGGAGCGGACGACGTGCTCGAAGGGAATGATCATGAGGGCGAATGGTAGGCTTTGCAAGTAGTGGAATCATTAGCGGGCAGTCGTGGGGGCATGGATTGGATAAACTCACGCAATGCATTCGATGATCACGAAGGCGATGAAAGTGTCGGCAGTCACGCCGCCGCTGGCGCCGTCTTTGTTGTTCTTCGCTAGGCTTGTCGAGAAGATCGTCAGTAGATGCTATATAGTCATCTAAACGGGCTGGGGAACTCACTTGATGGCACCCCCTACCAGCTGCCCTAGGTTCCGCGACACGATCCACAGAGCCAGATACTTCCCGCGGGCCCCGGACGGAGCCAGCGTCATGATGGCTCCAGCCTCGGCGACGTACCAGCAAGCAGTTCCGACACCACCGATCGCACCGCTCAGGATGAGATACCACTGAATGCCGAACTTGCTGTTGCAGTAGTATGCGGAACCCTCGATAGGGAAGGACATAGATCCGATGACGAGCGCCCACTTGACGCCGATCTTATTGACGATGGGGCCGCCCAGGAAGCAGACTGAAGAGCATCATCCACGTTAGCCTATCTCCAAGTCCATTCTGGGAAGTATACAGGGATACATACCGATGGCAAGCATAGCATATCGGATGGCGTTCGCGATGTTGGATACCTGAGGACTTGCAAGACCACCACCTCCAAGGCCTGAGGAACATGGTTAACCACGCATTCACGCTACGCCACCGAAAGAAGCATGGATGGGCTCTCTCACCAGTAATGGCATCTGACATAGCCGGACCACAGAAAGCCTGCACACTCAGCAGCAGCATCTGCGTCAAACTATGGTACCACACGCGCTTCCATAACGGGAGCAATTCCTCGCTAGTCGCTACCACAGTAGAAAGAGTAAGGTCATCATGGGCATTAGAGACCGCAGTCTTCGTGTCAGTGTCAGCCATTGTGTCCAGACTCTATTGCTCATCAAGAATGAAAGGGAGAAAAGACAACCGCACCGAAACCGAGGCATGGGCGGACGCTTTTAAGGGTTTCCCAGCCCATGCCGCCGCCATCGGCTATACTAGATAGCACACCACTGTCTCGCCGCCTGACCGAGCGACTGAGCTTATCTCCATCGCCATCTGGCGGGCAGAGATAGCCCCGGTGGGTCAGTTCCCCGTGGGGTTGCTCGGAGTCGGTGACACTGGGAAGGTCCACGCGTAAGGGAAGGCTCTAGCCTCCTGCTTGGGGACCGACGTGATTGGTACAACAGCCCCCTTTCGGTTAATTGCCTCCCCGCATCGTGTGGTGGCGTTTATCGTGATAAGTGGTGGTATCTTGGCGTCACTTATCGCCTTTATCTTCACGAGACTTGATAATGTGCGGGGTTTCGGTCTGGATCCGAGCTATTGGAAGGTCCACGCGGAATGCGAGGGAGAGAGGAAGGAAGAAAGAGATGTCGTGCTGCTTGACGTTTTATCAGGTAATCGTGATCAGTATCTGGGTGGAGTTGGGGGAGATAACTTCTGTTGAGGTAACTTGGAATGGACTTGTTTGTGCCAATCTGGATTTTGCCCGATTTGGCCATAGAACGCGTGCCTGAGGCCGGAATTGAGTAGCCGCCTGGCTTATTAGCAACTCCGCCCACACACGTGCAGTAAGAAGTAGGAGAGAAATTGAAAAGACTCCCATCAAGTGGGTTACAAGCACGAGAAGTCATCAGACAGGCTAGTGTTGATATAGACAGAAAAACAGGCCACTTTAGTAGGTAATATATATACAAAATATAGCTGCCAGTGCTTGCTTAAGATGTTAGAGTAGCCGTGGTAAAGCATGTGACTTTATACATCCGCCATCGAAACGAGCTATATCTAGTGACTGACATCTCATTAGTTGAAAGTATGTACATTGTATAACATATAAACTGCCAATAGCAAGAATCCGCACACTACGGGTACTATTATCAATCTCGCGTCAGCGGCGATCGTCGAGGAAGAGCTTGTGAATTGGGCCGTGAAAGGTGCCGTGGTGATGCTAGTGAGGGCAGTAGCCCCATTCCCTGTTCCTGCAGGGAGACTAGCCAAAGATAAACCCTTGGCTAAAGCGACGCCCGATAACGACAATGGTGAGGAATGGGAGGCCACGGGAGCCACACCCGATGCCTGCGGTGCTGCGACTGTGGCTTCAACCCCGTTCAAAATCACGCCCAATCCAGTCCGTACGCTCAAAACGGCGACCATCTCGCCAGCCTGATGCGCAACAGGGACTAAAGTATGGATCGCTGTCTCCGTTGCAACGGGGATACTAATCCGTCCGAGCACATCATATGGTGAGAGTTCTGCAGCAGAGGGAATGTCTGTTCCCATTGAAGCTAATTTGGATGATTGCTTACACTTTTTTCCTTATTTTCCCCATGACGTGCAATTGGTTTAACGAAGGCCAGAGGGGAAACCCGGCACACAGGCCGTCACGGAAGCGAGGCCACTAACAAAAGGGCCGAGAATTGTTCCCGCAACGAGCGTCTTCGCTATGACGGACGCAGTTCTTAGCTTGCATTGGGCAATTTGAAATCTCGGTTGGACAGGCGTATGGAGTCGTCGTTCGAGTCGTCGGGGTTCTCACAGTTGATAGGCGGTCATTGTTGCTCCCGACGGCGGCGATAGTATCCGGGGCAGCGGTGATTGGAGCAGACGCGGGGTAGATTGCTGTTCCAATGACGATAGTTGCTGTTGTAGTGAATGGTGCTGCTTGCTTGCGGATGCGGTAATTGGGGATCGATGAGGGACACGCGGTGATAGTGGCAGTGTGCGTGGAGAGAATGTGGACATTGTCAATTGTCATTTCATTCTGGGTGGTGATTCCTCGGAGAGTGCTTGAAATTCGATCAGGATGTCACAAGACGATGGAAGCTTAGAGTTTCGACGTATGGAAAACCCATTCTTTGAGAAAGAGGGTTTCAGTCATAGATATAAGTCCTGTAATACCAAAATTGCAGACCTTGCGTCAAAAATTGTAGCTAGGAAAGATTTCTGTTCGTTGCGTTGTCGCTTTTCTGATCTTATCACGTGCATATCGCTTCATCCCTACCTTCCGGCCTCAAGGGAGTAACCGTCACTACTTGCGTTGACCGGTCAGCATGGGCATAGTCAGTTGGTCGTCTTTCCGATGCTTATAGCTAAAACATTTGGAGAGATTCAGGACCATATCTGTTGATTCCAGTGGATTCACCGCCAGAGTTATTGGCACTACTGGCCAGAATTCCCTACTGAGCCCGTGGTGAACTTCCATCCTTGAAAGAGAAGACTTGTTCGGCTACAACCATGAGTCATTCTGAAGATAGTTCCGCACACAGAGACGAAAATTCGGAGCGTGATACCATGCTCCAAGATCTATCGAACCTGAGGTGACTATGCACTGCTATCCGTACAGTTTAGTCGACCAAAGCTTGGTTTTCGAGCATTTCCACGAGACTCAAAGGTCGACTGCTCGAGAAAGAAGTTGAGAGTTCGCAAGAACTAATATATCCACCAGAATGAGATTCCGAAGACCGCAACCATGCAACGCGTCTCAGAAAATTGAGTTGATGGGAAGGCTATCCAACTGAGGCCAAAAGTCCAGCATCAAGTCTTTATCCAATTCAAAATAGTCCAATAAGGACTCTGCTCGCGGGTCCACCGGATCTGTGTAGCGATTGTGTCCCATTGTAAGGTGCGAATTAATGTCTGGATTGTCGTTGCCCTCACGGTTGCCTGATGACTCAGGGGTAGGTCCTTCTCGGCGAGTCAATCTATCAGCATGACCAGCCGAATCATACAATTGTGCCAGTTCCGGATCTGCTCCTCCCGCGTCAATTCTCTCTGCACCTCGAATGGGCGATGTCCTTGTGTTAGATAGACCCAAACGAGTAAGCTCCTGGCGGAGGCCTTGCAAGATGACACCGTACTTCCATGAGGGCGCGTTACGGGCCGTGGCATCAGCAAGATGATTTTGAGCAAGTGTAGATAGCTTGTAGAGTGTCACTTCATCGAGTTCGACATCTAGCGACCCTTCTAGTCTCGGCAAGAAGGGAGTCTCAACGCGGAAGATGCGACCCCGTCGAAGCTGTATCAGATAAATGTAGATGATTGATAAAGCGTTGAAAGCAATGTATTGCGAGTACCAAAATGCCGTGTAAAGCTCATCATCATGCACGAAGCCTAGGATCAGCTCAATAGCATCGCAAGCTGCAGTGAGGCAGGTGCAAAGAAGTTTTCGGTAACTCGGTTCACATTCAGGCCACATCTGCCCATAGTTACGTAGTAACAGCGGCCTGGTAATGAACATCACAGCATGGTACCGAGCAAGTCGAAGGACTGTAAGTTGGCGTCGGAAAACCGGCACCAGACTACTCGGCTGGATGACGCCCGACAGAAATGGAGGTAGCCCGGCTTGCCAGTCCATGACCTTCTTATGTAATGTGCAGATATTGGCAATCTGCTCTTGACTGGATATTCCCGTTTGCACATAAGGTTCCTTGACTGCCTGAGTCAAGATACGAGCTAGAAGAACATGGAACAGAGGAGCGTCCATCAAGCAATCCCGCTTTGTTAGTCGGCTCTCTTGGGGTGTCAGGTCAGAGTCATTGACTCTCGTTGGCAGGTCTTCATCGATGTCTTCATCTTGCCACAAACGTGGTCGACCCAGCATGACACTAAGGTACTTGTCAAGAGTGTACGAGCACCATACAAGCCGACGTTGACATTCCTTTTGCACCAGACTGTCCCCATCATGGCTTCGTTTTGTGCGTCCATTATGCAGCCCGAGGGCCATCATCAATTGAACGGTTGTCCCAAATGTGAACCATGCTTTGTGGGGCCTCGATGAGCTCAGCAGATATAGCACCGCAAGAAAGCGCGCTTGAACAGATGAGAGGCTCGGAGCCCCCGTCTCATGTGAAAGGATACGGTCTGCCTGGGCATAGTACATCTCACTCTTCTGCCAACCATCTTCATCTGCATCCCGCATACGTCCGCTTATATCCGTTCGAAACATTGTTGCCGTACTAAATAGAAGTAGAAGAATGGCCTGAGATGCTCCTTCGAGCAGAGAACCAATGGGCGAGGGGCTAGACTGGTCGTGTGGTGTTTGGCCGTGGTACATGCGATCAACAAGCATCTCGATGGTCGGCTGATGAAGAACCCGGTAGGTAGGTGCAGCAAAGTCAAAGTATCTCTGGACCAAGCTTACTGCTGTCGCTCTATCGGGCCATGCAAATCTGGCGGGTGGTACTGACGGCACGAAACGATCACCATAGGAGAAAATGGAGACTGACGAATGTGCATCGTGATCATGCTGCTGTGAGGGCGACTGTCGCGTCGCGGGATGCAAATCTTGGACAACGCGGTCCAGAAAGGAATGCGCAGATGTTGGACCCCAGTATTGTCCGGCCACCTGCGGCGAACTTTCATTAGCTCCCACCTCGACCAAGGACTCTTGAGTTGAACGCGCAGGTGCAGGAACTGAGGAGAGGAGCGGACTGTCGGGACTCTCTACGGCAACGGATCGAAGTCCGTCAGCCGAAGTCCGCCGATGACGAGGGTAAGGAAAGTATACGTTCCCATTGTCATATCGCCGGCGGTCCGGAGTCGGATGTTGTCTGTCATTGGAAGCGGATGGCGGGGGGCTCAGCGCGACCCCGCGATTGTATGCCGTCTGGTAAGTACACGTCAAATGCTTCCGAGTGCAAGGACCACAGGGAATATTTCCGGTGCATGCTTTTTTCTTGGCCTTGCAGGCGTCGCACGCCCTAGTGACCTTTCGGGCCTTGCGTGTGGGCTCGTGGGCGCTGTCCGACCTCATTTCCGCCCGCTTACTATCGCACGCGGACGGACTAGAGCGAAGACAATAGCCACAGACGTACTATTTTGACCTCATTTAGCTGAGCATATTCAATAAGCTCAGTGTACTATCGCGAGCCGGGTTGTAGTGAGGCGTATAACCAGACCTCCAGATTCTTCGTATGCGCTGGCATGAGGCAGGAGTGGTGGTGGATGAACGCGACCAACTACTTCTCTTCCGACAATTTCCGCCATTTTTTTCCGCCCGAGCTGCCGAGCCTTGCGGACTCATTTCTTAATCAGCAGCAGAGCGCGGGGAAATGCATCTCGTTCTTGGTTCGGCGCGGTCCGACAACCACTATAGGTAATTTAATACGAGTACTGTACCAGGGGGCGCATGGTGTAAAGGGAAAAAGTCAGCTAGGTGTAGAGTCAAAGTACCGGTATCGTATAGACATAGACTAATCCTTGCCTTCCTAGTATATAGCAAGGCCTGGGTATTTAAGATACAGATTCTACTAAATCATTGACGTCACGACTATTTCATGACTAAGGCATGGGTGTTCCGTCACGGTAACCACTCGGTTGCACGGGGTTAACCATGACACATGGCGCATCACCCAAATATATAGCGTTCCGCAAGAGACCTGATTCTCAATCCTCTAAGAGTTTAAATGCAAGTGTCAATTAGTACAGCAAAAACCCACTATTTATAAGTACAAGGCCAAGCTGACGCTGAGGAATCACACGGCCTACTTCTACTTACTTTGCCTTACTCCATTCACCTGTAAATAACTATTTTTAATCATCTAGTAATCTAATTTTTGAAGTTACAGTACATTATACCTTGAATTATTATAAATAATCAATATTGATCCTTTATTTTCTCTACTTAATTTTTTTAAATTTGGTATATAGTATATTTCTTAGAAGTATATTAGGTACAGGTACTCAATGTGTCATTTCTCGGGATGGTATGATAGGCGCTGATCAGGAGCGTCGTTTGTAGTGATCGATGAGACGATTATTCCTCGGAATGAGATTATGGAAGACGGTGAAAGTGCATGGCTACATCAACAGGGATGAAAACTGTGTTCTCCATAGGCCTAGATCCGAGGAAACGCCGAACATCAGAGCAGAAATTACTCAACGAAGTATTGTCACCCATATGTTCTGGTTCAGATATAGTATATGAAGTAGCCAAGGGCTACTTATGGTACATTTTGAAGAGAAGTAGCCATGCGACTTGCCAGCAACTCAGTAACGTTGACCGGTGAGCTTGACAAGGGACAGTTGGAAGCGTGGGACCATCTTCCAAGTACGGCACGTTGTATCTCAATTCACACAGAAATATCAACTAGTTCACAAACTTCTCCGCAACCTTTTGAACAACCTCAGTCACAGAAATCGCGGCAAGAATGTGAACAGCCGAAACCTTCACGCCTACCTCCCTGAAAAACCACCCACTCAGCTGCGCCGCGACTAAAGAATCAACACCAAGCTCGTTGAGCAGGGTGTCATCGGTGATCTCTGTCGCAGACTGCAGCACCGTTTGAAGATAACTGGTAAAGTGCTGGCTCAAAATATCTCGCACAGTCGCGACGGCAGACAAGGTCTGTTTGGCACGCTCGAGTTGGACGCTTAATGGTGCGTCCCCTGGGTCTGCTTCAACAGCATGGTCTTCATGATTTGTCGTACTTGAGAATGCAAGCATATGAACCATTACTGGGTTGGAAGAGTGGCTTGCTTCCCATACTCTGTACTCCGGGCTGCAGCGGTCTGGACAAAGTCCAGCGGTAACCACCCGACGTCTGCTATCAAGAGAATCTCCAGCTAGAACAGCCTCCGCAAGAGACTCCAGAATCTCGTCATCGTTCGTAGTATCTATATCTATTCCGGGCCCAAGGTAAAGTACACTCGAGGCAAGACCGGACATAGCTCTTTGACGGGCTAGTGCTGAAAGATAATCAGTAACAGCAGACTGTTGCGGATCCGGTTTGACCGGGCAGCGAGAAATTCCTAAGAAGAGCTCTAGATTGGGAGAGTCAAAGAGCCGCGACAGAGCTTCGAGCCTTTCGATTGTGCTCGCCAGGGCGGTATCAGGCGGGGTGTAAGTGTCAAGTTCGCCGCTGAACACAACCCCGCGGACCGATGGCAAGGATGAATGACCGTGAATTGCAAGCACAGTGTGCGCAAGACTCTTTTGAGTAGGAACTGTGATAACTTGCGCGCCACCAGATACAACCGCGGACACCCATTGGGCGTTTTGAGAGGATGGTGCGGCCAGGACCAGGTGCTGCGCGCCGCGAGATACAAGCCACTCGGCAACAACGCTCTCCAGGGCTTCGGGGAGTCCCCAGAGAACATATGTGCCCTGCGGGTGCAGAGACACCGCGTCATTTGCTGGGTGGATCTGTGCTCGGACCGGCTTTCCCTCGTCAGTCAGCCAATCAACCACAGATGTCGGCGCCGTATCAATCTCTCGAGAAAGCAATCTGGCCACCGTGTATACTGGAAACGTGGCATGCTTCGGGTAGGACCACCCTAATACACTCTCTAGGGCAGTGTTAACACCACATGCCGGAACTCGTGCGTGTGATGGACCGATATCACAATATCGAGCCGTGGGAAACAAGCTGCAGATACGATTCTGCCAGTTGTCACTTTTGGCGCGATCAAGAACAATTGCCGCCACCTTAGATGGTACTGGGAGAAGTTGTCTTAGTCGATGAGTAGGCGTACGCTCAGGTATACACAAGACACCCTGCCTCTTAAATGCGGCGGTTTCCTTGTGCGTGATAGCCAGTATTTCAACCCTGTGTAAGGGTGCAAGCGCATTGAGGATGCGGAGTATGGTGACATCAGGATCCAAACTCAATATCACGGATCCTGGTTCTGTGTGCGATAAAATTCCTCTTACGAGCAACATACCCATTGTACTTGCAAGAAGACCAGGTTCTTCTGCGGTAGAGACGGCTGCGGGTATGGCCCAGCACCACGAAGATGGGATACGTATCCACGTCGCATGGGACTCAGACAATGCGAGGATGCGGCAGGGGCCACTCTCTCCTGTCAAGGAATACTTATGGTTGGTGTGACTGGAAGCGACTCCGATCGAGAGGTAGCACGCCCCAATGCCTTCAATATTGATACTGTGTGCTGTAGAGTAGTGAACTTTGACTTCGACTGTGGTTGTGGGGATACGAGATAAATCTCGTATGGACAGGTATGCATGAAGACCAGCAATCCGCTTGTCCGCGGCTTTCACGTATTCCAGTTGCATGACACGATATTCCAGGTCCCGATTGAGTAAAAGAACGTCTTCAATCTCAAGGTGGGCGGCCAGGCGTCGCTGATTCATACGCCCGGAAAATATGTGGCGCGGTACCTGTAGAACACCTTTCTCGGACAACCGTAGATGGGGCTCTAGAGGCGCACCAGTGGTCATAGCTAGACATCGTGGAGCATCAATACTAACGAGGTGCATCAAAAGCGTCGCCACAGTACGGACATTCTCCTTGGAGGCCGCAGCAGAGGGAAGCTCCAGGTACTGGAAAATTGTGTCTGGATGCTCCATACAGAACCCTCGGAGAAGGCCTGCTGTAAGAGCTTGGGAGAGGGAGACGGTCATCCCAGCATTGGAGGCAGCGCTAACCCAGAGCAACGTGCTTGCGCCGGCGAATAATCGCCTCAGTATTCTCATCTCCTCTCTGGGGCTCGAAAAAGCACTCGGTTTTGCAGAATCCGTGACAACAAGCACCACCGGCGCAGGGCACCCCTCTCTAAATTTGATCTTGCTGATATCATCGACCAGTACGATCCGCTGGAAGCTGGCTTGAACAGCGAGCCAAGCTCGATCCATCCACGTACTGTGCGCCGCTGCAATCACCAATTCGGGGTGCCCGCCTGATTGGACAGGAAGAGCTTTCATGAGCGGAACCGTGGGGTCAACAGCCCGGCATAACATGATCGAAAGACCAGATAATATCTCATCATGAATTGGAGTTATGCTATCGAGTCCACTGAAACCGTGATCGAGGAGGATATCCTTCCATGCCTCGCGGGTACGAACAGGTCCACCGGATGAGTGGCCAGCATCTATATCTTGCCAAGCGCTCAATGGAAGTAAGAAAGTCCGATGAATCAATTGAGGATTGGTATCTTCAAGAACCAAGAGGTAGCCCCCCGCTCTGAGAAAGCTGCGAAGCATCGTGAGGGTGTTGGTTAAGGACTTTGTATTGTAGAGGGCTTGATGAACAATGATGAGATCGACGGAACCCGGTTCGAATGACTGATCTGTTAGATGCCTTTCCTGGAGAAATGACTGTGCAGGTTGCTTCGTGCTCGGTGTCATCGTCGATTCGTCGATAACTGCTCGTGTATACGCTCTGCAGGCAGTCCCAATCTCCCCCAGCACGCGTTTTGTCAGCCGATCGGTTCCACTACTTGTCACCTCCACAATATTCATCCTAGGGTAGAGCGCTGCCAGCTGTCCGACCAGCGAGACCAACCGGCCATACCATGGAGAGAATTCTTCCGAATTCGTGGCGTAATACTGGTCCAGAAGCTCAGCAGTAGGACCACCGGTCTCGTATTCAGATTCCAACAAGCTTGCCCACTCCCCGCCGATGGCCGCGAGGGGGCCGGGTGCGGGTGCGCAGGTATTCTCAGTTTTCTTGTCCAGCCACTCTGATTGACAGACAGGGTTTCTCCCCTGCCTGACCTGGGCTACTACATGCTCAGCCCATCTTAGAAATGCAGCCTTAGTCCCCGAGAGCTTTCGATGCTTCCGCCCATATCTTTCGCTAAGATCCCGCAAACGCAGAAGAGCCGACTGTTCACGGCCTATCAGAGTACTTTCAGCGCTTGACTGGCATAACACATTCCCACCTGCTGCTGCGCTAGGCTGCAACGGTATCCAGTCCATCTGGCTAAATAGTTTAGGTAGGGTGGGGTGAATGGCGGTGCGACTCAGGTGGAGCCCTTCACAAGATATCAAACACCTGTCGCCTGAACAAAAAATGTCTGTCGCGCCAGTGATGAGGCCCGGAGCTCTGGTGACGACCACAGCGTCAATGGTCAGGGTTTCACTGTCTTTTGGTCGCACTGTTGGGTCAATGGCCAGATAGGAGATCTTTGAGATCCTGTACAGTGACTCGGTAATCTCGTCCACCCTCCTAGAGACTGAAGCTGCTAAAAGCGTCTGGAACGCGTGGTCAATGGTTGCAGGGTGGATGTGCAAGACTGGCTGATTTTTGTCGGCCGGATAGGTCATTGTGGCCGAAGCCGCCTGTCGGTTGCAAGAGAGCGTAGACAGACATTTGAAATCACCGGTGTTGTCGTGGCCTAAAGCAGATAGATGGGAGTAGAATTCGCCGACATCTATCGGGTCAAGCGCTGCTAGGGGAAAGCGTGCAGGCAAGACTTGAGCATCAGGCGCGCCGTATATGACTCGGAATCGGCCGGAGGCTACGCAAAGGAGCTCGTCTTCAACAGCTACTTGACAAGTAAAGTTTCCTCTTGCGCAGGGCCCGTTCGATTTCATTCCCACAGCGAACATTGTCTCGAGCCCAGCCTGGTGAGCCGGGAAAGGTACATCTTGCTTGACTTCAAGGTCATTAAGCTCAATCACTTGTATCGGAGACGCCCCGGCCATCGCGATAGCTGCTTCAATCATCATTGCGACATACGTTGCGGGTGACAGAACGGTCTTTCCATGCCGTTTATACCCAGTCATCCAAGGGAGCTCCTCGGGACGCAAGTAGTTTCTCCACCGCCGCTCTCCCTCGCCAGAAGTCGGAATAACTCCACCCAATAACGCATTAGGCGGATTGCGAGCATGTAACCGTGCTCGAGATAGTCTCGACTCGGCCCAATAGGTCTGGCTATGATCAAAGGGGTAACGTGGCAGACCCTTTACCGCAACTCCCGAAATGTTGGTACGGAATGCATTGATATAAGCCTGTATATCAAGTCCCCCCTGACCACAAGCAGTCCATAGCTCCCCGATCGCTGTGGCAAATGATTCAATCCCGGAAGTGGATCGCTTCGCTAGGCCTAGGTACGGCGGGTCTATCGGTTCTGACATGTCCTTGAGGATCTGGCTCACTGGTCCACGCATAACAGGGTGTGGACCCACTTCGATAATACAGTCATAGTTCGTCACCCGAGATTGAAGGGCAGCAGCAACAGCTTGCGAGAAAGAAACAGACTTCAGCATATTGTCCACCCAGTATACGCTTGCTCCATCATTGATTGTATCGCCAAGGTCTAATCCCGGATACACAGTTGAGAACCAGCGCGCTGGTGAGCTCAACTTCCTAGGCTGGAAACTGCAAGCTTCCAACGCCCGCCTGTAAACTTCCGCGCATGACTGCATATGATGCGAATGATACGCAGTATCCACATGAAGACGGTGCACTGCTTGTCCCAGACTAGAAAAAAGCCACACCAATTCATCGATGGCCTCACGGTCTCCCGAGAGCGTCACACTTGTAGGAGAATTGTAAGCTGCAATTTGAATCTTTCCTGAATACTGGGGAAGGTTACAGATTGCCTCTGCTTGCTTCCAACGAAGCACCAAAGCTATCATGCTGCCAGGAGTTTGTTGAGTCTGAGACTGTTGAATCGCCCAGCCTCGTAGATAAGCCACCCGAATCGTGTCTGTGAGGTCAAGCACTCCAGCAGCATATGCAGCGGCAATCTCGCCGGAGGAGTGGCCGACCACGCTAGCAAATTCAAGGCCAAGATTGCGAAGGAGGTTAACCTGGACGACCTGAATAGCCGTACGTAAGGGTTGTGATATGCTAGCTTCATGAATGCGTGAGACTGAGCCAGAGGCTGCTAGTTCAGTCATGAGGTCAAAGCTGGGCCGGTACGGTGGTGGCAGCAGATTGAGGGCCTGTTGCATTTCAGCCATCCATTTCTGGGCCAGTGGACTTGCTCTGATGAGATCGAGGCCCATCTGTGGCCACTGCGCCCCCTGACCAGTGAAGATGCCCAGGACATGGCATTTTCGATGAGGATGAACAGGGCGACGAAGCTTAGAGGGAATCTGGCCATTGGACTGGCGGAATATCTCCTGTTTGATCTTTTCTATGAGCTTGTCTCTTGAGGTGGCGGTGAACATTATGCGGTATTTATGACACGTACGTCGGGTCATCAGGGTCAACGCTAGATCTGTGAGGCTGATGCTTGGATTTTCACCCAGAAATTGAAGAAGATCCTTCAGAATCATTCTCAGTGAGAGCCCAGAGGCCGCTGAAACAGCAAAAGGAAGAGGGCAAGGTTCCACGTCATCTTCTTTGCTGAGCCGACCTGATGATGTGGGCGTGTAGCTTTCAAGGATGGCATGAACGTTCGCACCGCCAAAGCCAAATGAATTCACAGAAGCGCGGCGAGGTACCCCGGGGGCCAGGCTTGGCCATGGAACCAGTTTATCTGGCACTCGGAGTCGGGATAGATAGGGCACGATCCGAGGATTGGGAGAGGATAGCAGGAGGTTCGGAGCAATCTCCCCATGCTGCAAACACAATGACGCCTTGATCAGTCCAGCTAGCCCAGCTGTCGCTTCGGTATGCCCAATGACCGTCTTTATTGAACCGACATACAGGACTTGGGACCCCTCTACAGTATCCACTGCGCTATCCCCGAAAAAAGCACCATAAATGGCACCAGCTTCCTGGGGGTCCCCTGCTGGCGTCCCCGTTCCGTGCGCCTCAAAATATTGACATCTCTGCTGAGCATTCTTGGCATCTAGGCCGATACTGGCGTAAGTCGATTCGATCAATCGCTGCTGTGCTTGTCCGTTCGGCATCGTGATCCCCATGGTTCGACCGTCGCTGTTCACACCTGTAGCCCGGATCACACACTCAATCTCATCTCCTGCAGCGATGGCATCGCTCAGTCGTTTGAGAACCACCGCGGCGATCCCTTCTCCTCGCGCGTAGCCGTCCGCGGAGGCATCCCACATCCGCGATCTGCCCGTAGCCGACAGCATCCCTGTTTTTGCGTCGGCTATATAGGGATTTGGGGATAGGATCAGATTACTCCCTACCGCGACCGCCATCGTACAGTCACCTTTCCTCAGAGCTTCCACTGCCAGATGGACCGCCAGCAAGCTGGAGGAGCACCCGGTATCCACCGAGAATGAGGGGCCCGTCCAATTGAAAAAATAGGAGATCCGGTTGGCCATGATAGCGGGGGAATTCCCGGTGACCGTGTATGGAGGAATGGATTCAGGATCTGTGAATTGGAGTTGGCTGTAGTCTGTCCGGAGAAAGCCACAGTAGACCCCGGTAGGGGACCCCTGCAAGGCATCGAGTCTCTGTCCCCCAGCGTCGAGAGAATCATAGACTGTCTCTAGAAGGAGGCGTTGTTGCGGGTCCAAGGCCGCCGCCTCTGCCGGGGAGATGTTGAAGAAAGCAGCGTCAAAGGCTCGTATGTCTTCCGTCAGGAAGTACGACTCGGCCACACTGGTGGCGCCATGCTGTTGACTGTTTGGATGGTAGAATGCATCCACGTTGAATCGGTCACTGGGAACTTTGGAAGCGACATCCCGCGGATTGCGGATGAGCTCCCAGAGACGAGCTGGAGAGGAGGAGGAGCCGGGAAAGCGACATCCCGTGCCGATGATGGCTATGGGTTCGAGAGACATGGACAAAGTGGAAAGGTGAGACGGTCGGACAAATTCAGAATGCGAGACGGGGAGAGAGTGACTCGATCATTATTTACTACTATACAGTACCTACTAGCTAAGCAAATGTAACGATATTCCAAGTGTCAAATCTCGGTCGCATATGCTGACCGCTACAATACTGCTGCTGTATCTCCTGCATGCTGCAAATGACCTGTCACAGCGTATAAATCGGCAGGCCCTGACATACAAGGCAGACAAGTCCGAAGTAGTCTTCACAGCTGCCGCTCATCCCCGCCCAGCGGACGTCATTTGGTTTCCCCCTTGCTTCATCACCGTGACACAATGCGCCTTTGCTCTCTTCCGGGCTCCTGTGTGTGAGACTGTGAAGGATCGTCGTCGGGAGCTGGATCGAGAGCAGATCCCAATCTATACCGGACATCACCGATTGTCAACCCCTCCATACAACCTCCAAGAGACAAGCCACCATGGTCCATAGACCCATCACCACATTGCTACGGAAGACGTAGGACCCACTTCCTGGATTCTTCGCATCGAATCTCCTCATTTGGTCCACAAAACCCATTATCCAGACACCCAGCCAAGAGACCCACAACCATCGGGAGCCCAGAGGGCATAGGGTCCAACAGAGGGCTCCCGTCACTATAATCGCCAAAGCTGTCAGTACGCGGTGAATATGCTGTCCCGCGAGCGTATACAAGGAGTTGACACCCAGTTTCTTGTCGTCGACAATGTCCTGGTAACTGTAGGCGGTATTGAAGTAGAGAGTCCAGGTGAACACCACTATACAAAGCGGCAGACTCGACCTCACTAGTGCGCTGAAGGAGTCTAGATCGGGATAAATCGAGGCGCGGCCGAAAAGTACCGGACATGATGCTGTCAAACCGAGAACGTATTGCGGATAGATCCCAATTCGGCGTGCGAGCGGTCTCTTGCAATATGGGTAAATCAAAGTTCCCAAAGTAGGGGGGATCATGGAGTGCAACCTGCAGTCTCGCATTGTCAGTGAGGGTCTTTTGATGAAGCGGACAATTACGAACACATATTGACCGTCCATCATCCAATACAAGAAGGTCGTCGCCGTGGCCGCTTGAAGCAGCATCCAGACCATGGCTTCTGCCGTGTGGAGTCTGCCTGCAGCTAAAGGACGATCTTTGGTGCGGGCAACGCGAGCGTCGATGTCTCGATCAACCCAGTCATTCCAGACCATGCCTGCACCGGAGAAGATGTACGCGGCCAAGGAGCAGAGAAGAACTCGAGTCAGAACAAACGTGACGGAGACGTGGCTGGGATCTTCGCGAAGGCGCGTACCCCCCGCAAGAAGTGTCGACCATACTGTGCCTTGTCAGAGTCGATGAGCAACAAGATATTGGGCAATGTTTGGGACCAACCTCCAGCGAAGAGGGAAAGAAAGGAGTTGTACTTGTCGTATCGCGAGATCCGGATGAGGTCCCACGGGATCTGGCCCAAGGACCTGTTGGGAGCTTTAGAAGAATGAACCATTTTGGGACGGGATGTCAAGCAGCTATGACCAGCAACTTATTTGATGATAGATGTATACGTCTCGTCGACATGTTACTCTACTTATTTATGCATTTCTGGTTAAGGGATTTTGTCAATTTTTCGTCAGCGCATCCCCTGCATACCTATATCATCACAAGTTAGCCATCACAAATGACACCTCCGATGAAAGCCAAGACCAGGGTAGGAACCAGCACGTCTACACCGCTGTTATATAGCGACTCAGACACCCATCCGAAAAGCCAAATGAGGCCCCCGGTCATCTCGAATATGATCAGTACCACAATTACAGAAACATCCGTCCACACACCGGTGATCACAATGCAGAGCACACCTCTGGCCGCGCAGGTCGTCGCCGTCGTTCTGCCTCTAGTCCTTACCCTAGCCCTGTACCATCTGACTCGTGCCTTGTTTCCTTCTCAACGTCGACCGAAGCAGATCTCGTGGATTGGCCGCGGACCCGGAGTGCTCAACTCGTTTAGGGCATGCCTAAGTCAATGGCGTTACAAGCCCGCCCTCCTTCAAGCCGGTTACGAGACCTTCAATCAGGCTGGCCGAGCCTTCCTCATGCCCCTAATCAGCTTCGAACCTATTGTGATTCTTCCCCAAGAACAGATTACATGGATCATCGAGCAACCGCCGGCGGTGCTTTGCCCGCGCCGCGCCGCATACACCAGAATGGGAGTGCGCTACGTGGCGCCTGGCTTCACCCCAGCGACGAGTGAAGTCTTACACAGTGCGATCAAGATACACCTTAATAAGAAATTCGACCTCGTGGCGGTGGAGATGTATGAACAAATGAGCTGGGCCATTGACCGCAGCTTTGGCACCGCAACCTGTGCGCGTCAGGTTTCCCTCGGCCACGCCTTGCGGTACGCGGTTTACCATACATTGGTGCCTGTGTTGGCCGGTAGCGAATTGGCTCAGAACGAGCGCTTTGTGGACGCAATGATCTCAAGCTCTCAGTGGTTTGGCGCGGCCTCCACCGTGGTTGGACAATGCTTACCCCCGCCGGTGAGAGGCGTCATTGGGTGGATGCTGCAGAAGCCCATCGGCTACTTTCAGCGGGGGTATCTGGAGTACCTGATGCCGGTGGTAAGAGACCGACTGCGAAGACTGCAGGAGGAGGAGGGGGAGAAAGAGGGGGAGAAAGCAAAGATACCGCAGGACATGGTTACTTGGTTGTGTCAAGTCATTCTCAAGACAAAGGGCACCACCCGTGCTGAAGAGGTGTTTGCAGATGGCTTTAATCTGCTGGTATGTTATCATGTCCGTCAAGACGTCAAAGATATCAGTCAATAACCATAAAATCTCTAGCTTGGCGCCGCGTTCACGAGCACCGTGTTCACAGCTCACCATACCCTGCTAGACATCCTTGGCTCCAGCGCCAAAGACGAGATTTTTCAGACCCTTCGACGTGAGGCGGAGTCGACGCTGGATTGTGCGCTGAAATGGTCCGATCCAGTGGCGATTCTCCAGTTGCAGTACATTGACAGTACACTTCGAGAGAGTCTGCGGCTGGCACCACCGACCTCCATGGCCCTGCTGCGGGAGGTCGTCCCCGAAGACGGAGTGAGACTGCCAAATGGTCAGTTTTTGAACAAAGGCAGCTGGCTGGCCGTGCCTTCGATCCCCATTCACGGCGACCAGCGCTTCTACGAAAGCCCCCACGAGTTCAGACCATTTCGTTTCGTGCAGGAGAGAAAGGTAGACTCCTGTGTCTCAACGAGCGACACCTTTCTATCTTTCGGACACGGTCGTTCAGCCTGGTGAGTCTGATAACTCCCCTCCTGTTGATGGCAGGTCTAAGCAGGTCTAATCATATATCCCTACAGTGCTGGAAGACAGTTTGCCACTCGCATCCTGAAGATGATGTTGGCGTACATCGTAATGCATTACGACATTGAAGCGATTGATGGTCGGCCGCTCAACTTCTTCATGGGGGAACACCCTGTGCCTCCAGATGTGGTAGTGAATGTCAGAAGAAGAGTATAGGAGAAATAGCATTAGTGTCTTGATCTATAATCCTGATTTACAGCTGCACCTCTTCCTTTCTCCGTCTCACAGCGATCCTAGCAACCGGGTCTGCACTCGTAATGGAGCCAACAGTGAAAACCTTGGGCGAATCCACAAGTTTGAGCTCGTACTTCATAAGAATGTGACAAAGCGCAAGCTTAGTCTCGGCAGCGGCGAAGAACCGGCCAGGGCAGCCATGCACTCCATGCCCAAATCCGATATGGTTGACGCTTGTCGCCACAAAATGCGCCGCATGCTCTTGGGTGGTCGTCTTACGCAGCTGGTAGTATCGATAAGGATCAAAAGACGCCGCGTTCGCGTAAATCTCCTCGTCCCAGTGGTTGTGTTGCGAGATCATTACCAAATCCCCTTTCTTGATCGGAATGCCGTCCTTGTCTCCTCCACCATCAGACGAAGAGAGGCGCATCTTCTCGGTCGCATAGCGCCGCATGTTTACTATATCGTTAGCCTACAGAGACTTGAATGAGCAGGATAACTCACCTAGTCCTGTCGGCTTCAGACGCTGACTCTCTTTCATGACACTGTCCATCAACCTTAGCTGGTGCACCGCCCCCTTATTCCATAACTCTCTTCCCCCTCCATTCTCTCGGACGTCAATAATTTCCTTTCTCAGTTCCTCTATCAGCCCCGGTCTCGCCACGATATCGTAGATGACCTGCGTGAGAAAATCCGAGGTATTATGCATGGCCGAGAGAGCCAGGGTGAGTTGGACGACCGCCGGATCGTATGGGCGCCCGCGTGCACACTCTTCTGCCCAGGCAATCGTATCCAAGTATACCGGGGGTTCGAGCCCCTCGGCTACGCATCGCGCTTTCTCCAATTGTCGCGCGAGAACAGTGGGTTCAATGAGCGTTCGAGCTTTGGCTATCTCCCCACGAAGCACTTTACAAGCGGGGAGAAACCAACCAACCAGCGGCCGGAGGAGGGATGGGTAGACGCGAAGGTCTCGCACGGCGCTGAACGCGTGAAGGGTGATGCTGCGTGATAAGGCGAGCCAGGTTGGGTTGTGTGCAAAGCTGCGGCCAAGGAAGACGCGGGCAGATTGTTGAGAGATCACTTCCAGAAGGGCGGACTTGACGTTGATTTCGTGCCAATCTACAGATCAATAAGCACCGGAAGGCCAAGTGCACCGGACACCCAAGGAGTTTCATCGTACCTGGATTATCTGTCCAGCTGCGCTGCAAGGCATCACTTGCCTCTTCAGAAAGCGGCTCGATCAAATCGACCAATTGATGCGTCAGTTTCTGACGGATGATGTAGCTCATAATCTCTTTGCCCACTTGGTCCATTTCAAAGACCTTCAGCCCGGCGACATTGGGCAGCATTGTCTACGAGGTGAAGTTAGTCGTGGCGGAGATTAGGCCGGTCGCTCTACCTACATGAACCCTGTAGGCATGGAAGTCAAATCTTTTGTCGTTCCGTATAGTGTGAGCATATTTGGGGGCGAGAATCAGCTCGATCCCGTTCTCAGTGACAGCATAGAACCCATCTTTGGACTGTGTTGCTATCAATGCTAGCTCATACAATGTATCAGGCAAGGAACCGACCTTCTCGAATCCAGCTTGTATAATCTCCTTCGCATTTGAATAGTACCGCTTCTTCGCGTTGGTGAAGGAAATTTCCCAGCGCTTCGGGCTGTTTACTAGCGGTAATCGGGAATTTGGTGAGTGGGAGAGAGTGATGATAAAAGCGATAATAAGCAAAGTTGATGTGACGACGACCGTTGTGCACTTTCCCACGTCTCGTATCGCTGTGAGTAAAGCGGAAATCATGATGGCGAGTCGTCCTGGCCTAAGGTCGCGCAATGTCGATGGCGACTGAGGAGCAATCCACTCGGCTATCAGCAAGTCGTCTGGCTATAGGTTTCAAAGATGGCCCTTCAACAACAGAGCGGTGCCGTTGAACATCGCTCATATCGACGCAAGGGGGACCGACAGCCTTTGACGAGTTGCAATGTCAGTATGGGTCGATCGACCCCTCGCTTCCACCCAAGTGATAGGTACTGTCTTGGCCGCATGACCAAAGCCGAAAAGCCGATTGACCCCTTCACCCCAAATTTCTCGTCAAACAGACACTCTTTGCTTGATTCCGTGTTCTCCTTGTGGGATTCTCATCTAATCGTGGAAAGAAGAAGAAATGACTTCTACAATGGGCTGTCTCCATGGTCGTGTAAGTGATGTCCTACCGTTCACCGCACCACGGTAAAGTGACTCCAGGTCAGGTCGCAATCATCACCGGCGCCTCGTCCGGAATAGGGCTCGCTGCGGCAGAAGCGGCCCTAGATGCTGGGGCCAGTGTTTTCGCCGTCGATATATCGCCCTTCCCTAAGGTCTTGAGCACCAGTGACAAGTGTAAGACGTTGCAATGCGATATCACAAGCCCTGACGGGCCAAAGAGGATTGTTGAGGCTTGCTCCTCAGCTTTCAATGGCCGTATTGACATTCTAATGAATATTGCGGGTGTCATCGATCATAATGCCAGCGTGGACGCTGTCACGGACGCTGACTGGGATCGGTGTATGGCTGTCAACCTTACGGCGCCCGTCAAGCTGATGAGAGAGGTGATCGGAACCATGAGAAGCCAGAAGTCGGGGGTAATCATTAATATGGCAAGCCGAGCTGGAATGAGTGGTGCCGCGGCAGGTATAGCCTATACAGCGAGTAGGTTTCTCTTCGCACCTTGAACACCAATCCACTCATGGCTGGACCTAATATGAACTAGGCAAGCATGGTCTCATTGGCGCGACGAAGAACGTGGCTTGGAGATTCAAAGGGGAGAATATCCGGTGCAATGTGTTGTGTCCAGGGGGTAACAGATTCCTTTTCTTTTTCAGGACGTGTACGGTCCCTTCTTTCTGACCATTAACAGGCGTTGCGACTGGCATCTTGAATAGCGTCGATCCAGCTCGCTTTGACCAGGATGCAACATCAATGCTCCAGCCTATCTTTTCCGCCGTATACGCGAACCGGACAGATGGGTATGGGATCATGAAGCCAAGCGAAGTAGCGGCTACGGTTGTATTTTTGTGCTCAGATCAGGCTTCTCGAATTAATGGAGCTGTCTTGCCCATTGACGATGGCTGGTCTACTGTATAACACCTGCGTTTGATCATATCTTATGGACTATCCGAGCAAGCTACACAATGAGAAACCGAACTGTCCTATTTTATCTCCAGCACATCCAAGAACTCGGCGACACCCTTGCCGCCTGAAGTGTCCTTCCCGGTCGTAGAGCCCGCAATTTCTTGGAGCATCAACCTTGCTTCTGCGGCCAGTTCTGCAATCTTGACGCGGCAGTAATCAAAACTCCCTGCAGCTTCCATAACACCTATGGCGTATCGTTTGACTGTCACGTCTTCCGTCTTCTGTTTCAGGATGCTGAGGAGCTGTAGCCTCTGTGCACCATGACGGATTGCATGGATTATAGGAAATGAGAACTTGCCCTCCGTCAAATCCTCCCCAAATCCCTTATTGCAAATGTACGTCCCACTCTGCAGATTCTGGTAGTCATCTCGAATCTGAAAGATGATTCCCATCAGGTTTACCAAAGGGACATAGTCGCTGTTCGCTCCAGTTAACCGATACGAAAGTTTTGATCCGTAGCAGCGGGATGGGCCACTCACTAGGTGCTGGTGCTCGAGCACTGCATCAGCTTGATTGCGAGCCGAAACAGACCGCCCGTTTTATCCGCTACCATGTCGAAATATTCCTCTTCGGACGGGCATGTAAGGGAGTCCCGCCAGTACAGATCCATCCCCTGCCCGCGGTGCAGCCGGAGAAGCTCCTCCGTGAAGATTTGAATTGCGCGGGGGTCATTCAGCTTATGCAGCTCATGCTGGGCTTCGAAATATGCATAGTTTGCTGAATTGATGGTCGACGCGATTCCAAAGATACTATGAGCGACCGGTTGACCCCGCCGGAGATTGGAGGAGTCCTGAATGTCATCAATTCTGGCGACAGTTAATTACTTTCAGCATGGCAGAAGCCACGAAGGATACTTACAAGAGTGAGGCAGTGTGTAGGAGCTCGATCACTCGTCGGATCAGATCGAGTTTGTCTGGTGGGACGTGCAGCCACTCGTCGAAAGCGGCGATCAGACGGCCGCGGAGGTCTTTTCCGGGTAGAGACAAGAGGTAGTCGATCGGGGCTGCTATGATCTATCGCTACTCAGTCTAATCCCGCGAGAAGCATGACGGAGGGACTTGGATTCCGGTACCTGGTCGGGGGTCGGTTTTGTATTCGGCTTAGTCTCACCCTCCACAGCCGTGACTAGAGGCATCATAGCGTTACTGGACGCCATTCTGAGGGTCAGATTGGAGCGGATTGGGGCGGATTGGAGAGAAAATACACCCACAGGAGCCACAATTTATCCCAGGGTTTTTTGTTCTAGAGATTTGACCAGTCACTTTCTTGTCATGGATGCAGTAGAATCCATGGTCATTCTCACACCGCCTCCCCGCACAACTCAAATGCATGCTGCAAGGGGTCTCAAACCCAAGAAAGACAGAGCAGAAAAGCTTAAAAAAAAAAAAAAGAAAACCTGCATGTAATCTGTGCTAAAGCTACCCCGCGACTAAAGTGTCAATACAAGGGTCAGCAAGATGTCTACGTAACCATGTCGAGATCCCGGGCTCCCTATAATTCAAAATCAACGATTGCTTTACCCTCGATCCCTGTTATCACTATCTACAACCACCAAAGCAACACAACAATGGACTCCCTAGACTTTACCAAGGCTCCCGCATCTTTTCAGGAGGTCAAATGGATTTCCGACACACTGTTATTCACTATGGCAGCGGGCTGGTTGACGTGCTATATCGCCACCATCCGTACCGCTCGCCGCGATGAGGCCTGCTGGATACCGATCGTCCCTGTCTCCTGTAACCTCGCTTGGGAGCTTGTTTACGCCATTCTCTACCCTCCACCACGCTTTCCGATAGTCACGGCTTGGTTTGCGCTGAATCTGGCCGTCGTATCCACCGCTCTCAAATACAGCCCGGATTCACAGGGCAGTTCTCCTCTGCGCGGATATCGGTTGCATCTCGGCTTCATCGGTGTTACGGCTCTTTGGGCTGCTGGACACGTCTGCCTCGCCAACGCTGTGGGCCCGCTGACGGCATTCTACTATGGCGGGCTGGCGTGTCAGATTATGACGAGTGCGACAGCCCTGTGCGGGCTGATGAGATCGAGGCAATCGAAGGGCGCGAGTTGGCTCATCTGGTAGGCTCTCTTCTTCCCCTTTGGTGTTTAGGATCAGCCTAATCGGGTGGCAGGGTATCTCGGGTTGTGGGAACAAGTAGTGCCCTCGCGGGAGTCTTCTTCCGGGCACACTATTGGCCGGAACTGTGGGCATGGACGCTGAACCCATTGTTCTACTGGGCAATAGCGGCGTTTGCTACCTTTGATGGGGCGTATGCCTTCTGTTTCTTGTCTGTCAGACAGGCCGAAGCAAGGGATGGTCTGAAGAATTTGTAACCTTCATCACACAGCATGTGGGATGTCTGATGAATGCAAGGGATGCACTAGCGGGTAAACTGGCAGAGACTACCGGACCTGGAACACTAGACTGAATGAATTAGACCGAGATGAGGTTGGGGTTTCATGCTCGCAACAAAGCATTCTACACGCCGTGGCTTGATACGATTCAAAGTATTTACGTACAGTGTAGAGAGCGTTCACATCTTGATTCACGAACACGTCCCTGCCTCTTTCTCATCACCGTATTGCAAGTTATGCTGGAACCCTCAATGGCCGACACATCTGCGAGAGACGAATTCAGGGTCCTAATCGTTGGCGGATCCATCGCTGGTTTAACGCTCGCCCATGCTCTAGCGGCGCTAAACACCTCCCTCCAGAACGATCCCCGTGCCAAATCCGGGATCAGATATACGGTGCTTGAGAAGCGTCCTTCTTTGACTCCTCAAGAAGGCGCCTCTGTCGGCATCCTCCCGCATGGCGGCCGGATCCTTGACCAACTGGGCCTCTTTCAGAGGGTCGAGGAGGAGATCGAGCCCCTGCACACAGCTCATCTTCGCTTCCCCGATGAAGGGTATGTCGCCACGAACGAGTCTCCACGGGTGGTGGGTGATAGATTTGGACTGCCGTTTGCATTTCTGGAAAGGAGAACTCTGCTATGTATTCTTACCGAAGCGCTTGAACTTGACAGACAGGTTGAGCAACAAGGGAATGTGACAAGAGAAGGGGGGAATAGAAGTCAGGTTCTCTGTAACAAAGAGGTTGTAGGGATTGGGTTTGCTCAGCACGAGAAAGAAGGACAGGAAGCGGTCATGGTCCGGACGAAGGATGGAGGGCTGTACGAGGGGGATTTGCTGGTGGGTTGTGATGGGGTGCATAGCATTGTCCGACGAGAGATGTGGAGAATCGCCGCCCAGGAAGGCGAGAACATACATCCTGGTGATAAAAAAGGTCTGCAACAAGCCTATTCCCCCCCTCCCACAAGAACGCATCAGAGCGGCTAAAGTATGATGACAGGCCTTACAGCAGAGTATGCGTGCATCTATGGAATCTCCTCTGCCGTGAATGGCTTCGAGGCGGGCGAGCACGTTGCTAGCTTACATGACAATCGGTCTTTCTTGACTTTCCCCGGCAGCCAGAATCGAACGTTCTGGTTTCTGATCTGGAAACTCGACCGGAAATATCTCTACGACGATGGCGATATGCCCCGTTTCACAGCTAGTGATACGGCATCCGTGGTCAAGAAATACGCAAAGGACATTATCTGGAGAGAGGTTACGTTTGGCGACATTTGGGATCGGAAAACACGATATAACACAGCAGTCCTCGAGGAGAATGTATTTGACACCTGGCATCACAAGCGCATAGTATGTATTGGAGACAGTGTTCACAAGGTACGTTGTAACATCCATCTTTGATCCCCAAGCGGCAGCTAAGACCATGCAGATGGCCCCCAACACAGGCCAAGGCGCCAATTGTGCCATTGAAGACGCCGCTAGCCTTGCGAATCTTCTCCACAAGGTTCTCATCTCCAATAAAAACGAAAACTCAAACATGGAGCAGCTCGATGTACGACTAAAGCAGTACACGACGGAGCGAGTTGGGCGTGTGAACAAAATCTATAAGGTCGCGCGGACGGTCGTCCGGTTACACGCTCGCGATACTCTATTCTATCGTATTGTCGGCCGCTATGTGCTGCCATATGCCGGGAATTTTCAAGCCAGAGCTGTATCAAGGACTATAGAAGAGGCTCCGAAGTTGGACTTCATACCGGTATCAGCCAGGGTCGCCGATGCGTGGAGTGAAGGTGGTATAGGTCATGCGAGTATCATTTCACGTGTTGTTCTTGGATTATTATTTGCATTGGGAGTGACTTGGACATGGAGAGCAACGGCGAGTCTCTCACTCAGCTAGCTATGTAATACATAGACGGGGGCTATTTTCTAATCTCTTGGCCCTGCCCTTTTGCGCAGCTGGCAAAGCAACGGCTTCTTGTCCCATAATCCATATGTCTTCTGTACATGCCAGTTCTCACTCTCAACGCACAGCTCTAGGTCAAATTCCCACAGCATTCTGGCAAGCGCGGTTCGCATTATTGCGTATGCCATGTTCTTGCCAATGCAGTTGCGAGGCCCGGCCGAGAAGGGTTGGAATACCTCGCGGTTGTCATTGTAAAAGGGCGACGCCGGGTTACTGGGTACTTCTGTATTCCAACGCTCTGGGAGGAAGCAATCTGGGCGGCGAAAATTGGACGGTGAGGTGTATGCTGAGAGCTGGTGGAGGCCGACCTGGGTCTGCTTATTATTAGTCGGGCCTATTGTTGGCTATCCTGTTGGGAAAACTCACGTAAGGAGGGATAGTAAACCCCTTGAGGGTCGTTGAAGCTTCTGTCACGCGCTGCAAGCCACCGGGAACGGAGGGATATAGCCGCAAAGCCTCATTAAGGCATGCTGTCAGAAGCGGCAGCTTTGTGGCGACGGCATCGAAGGTGATTTCAGCTGGGGTGGCAAAGGCATCTTGCAGCTCGTTCCGGACACGAAGAAGGACCTCGGGTGTCCGTAGAAGCCAGTATGTCACCGCGCATAGTAGATCGGCTGGAGTCTCGCTCCCTGCAATGATAATAACGCTGGCATTGGCCTCAATCTCCCTCTCGGACATCTCGTTCTTTGTACCTTGTTGGCGCATGATGGAGTCCACAAAGTCCGGGCGGCCCTGAACGCTCGACGAAGTCGCGTGGATACGTTTCTGGACTAGATCCTGACTATACTGCATATGTTCGTTGATCGCCTCGGAATTGGAAGATATCAAGGCGAACGCGGTACGGAAGATAACTGGATAGGTATCCATGGCTTTGAAAAAGGGAATCAGGCGCGTGTACTTGGTCATAAAGGCAACCCATGGATGGTAAGATCCCCGGTCGAGGCCACCGAAGTGCTCGCCAAAAGCAAGTTCGCCTATAATATCGAATGTGGTCAGTCGATACCAAGTAACCAGATCAATGGACTGGCGTGAATCCGCAGAGGACTGGAGCTGTACTATAAGCTTATCGAGATGACTCCGGATCATAGACTCTTGTTCACGGACTCCCCTGACGGAGAACCCATGGGCGAGCGCCTTGCGATATCTGGCGTGATCTGTATCGTTCGCATTGATAATATCCGCAGTGTTGCTAGTTGAGAACTTGGACTTTGGAAGAGAGTAGCGGCGGTCATGGCGGCCATAAATCTCATCCCATGCTTCCGAGTTGATGAAAGACACCTCATCTGGTGAGAACCGCACGACCGGACCGTATCGTTCGTGCCACCGCTTGATATCGAGATCCACGTTGCCTCGGACGGCTGATATGTGGCGCAGCAGGGGGAAGGCAACCCATGGCCAGTGGCAAGGAATCCGATGCAGAGGATGGAAGAATAGATCACGAAGGGCTGTTCCAGTGATGTACAGCCCGGCGAGCACGGCACAGAGTACAAGAATCATCATTTTTGCTGCTATCGAGCTCTTTCCAGCTTACTGGAAAAAAAGATACCTGCATTATATGGTCTGCTCTTCAACCGATGGCATCCTGAGATCGATGTCATCCCATACTAACCCTTGCATAATATTGATGCCGCCTTCTGCAGCCTGCTACACCGCTCATTGATACGGAGATTTCGTTCCATCAACACAGTGAACTGTATCCTTTCATCAACCTTTTATTAAGACTATAACAACAAGTCTTCTTCTGAAGGGAATGTAAAATCATTCATCACGATGACTGTCACACCTCGTCCTACGGCCATCCGCACTGTCGGCACTTCGACGTCTCCAGAGGAGATCAGCAAGCTCATAGCGAGTGATGGCGCCGTCATCGTGCGGCAATTTATCTCCGACTCTGTCATTACTGCTCTCAATGAAGAGGTCGACCCCTATCTTGAAGCCACCATCAGCGGGGCTCAAGCCAATTCTGGGGAACTGTACGAGAAGACCGTCGGTAATCGCACGAAGCATATGGGAAACTTGGCCGCGATCTCACCCACATACCGCACCACGATTCTAAACCACCCCGTGATGCATGCCGTCTCCAATGCTTTCTTCACCGCACCATTTGGAGACTATTGGGTGAACCGTGGCGCTGTTCTTCAAGTTGAACCCGGAGAGAAAGCGCAAGGTCTCCACCGCGATGACAGTCTATACGGTATTACGCGGTATCTTGGTCAGGACGCGCCAGAGCTCATGGTTAACTTCTTCATCGCTCTTACTGAGTTCCGGGAGGACAACGGTGCCACCAGATTGATTCCCGGCAGTCATCGATGGAAGGGGGAAGAAATCGCTGGGGTAGTACCTCAGAACACGGTTGGTGCTCTGATGCAGCCAGGCGATGCCGTACTGTACTTGGGAAGCGTATGGCACGGCGCTGGAGAGAATCAGTCAGCAGAGAGCCGGCGCGGATTGAGTGTGACTATGCATCCAGCGCACTTTACCCCCATGGAAGCACATGTCGACCTGCCTCGAAATATTCTGGAACAAATGACACCTCTTGCACAGAAGATGATTGGGTGGCGAAGTTGGTGTGGATATCATGGGGTGCCGGTATGGACAGTAAGGGATCGCCGAATGGAGGATGAACTGGCCCTGAAGTCGGCATGATGGAGAACCCCTTGCAGCCATGCCTTTTTTTCCTTCTTCCTGTGTGTACTTGCTTCATATATGAATGCATAGTGATTGCTGGTTTTTTCTCATAAATCCCTCTTTTATAGGCACGGAATATCATGGAGTTATACTACATCGATCTCTGGCTTCAAGAGCCAGGCTTCTTTGTGAAATCCTGTCTTCTTGTGCTTAGCATTGTAATAGGGTATCAACTGCAGAAGGCGGCCTTTTACCCTCATGTACATGCTCCGTTTGTAGGCTTTCGCTTCTACTGGGAACCGCGCTGGCTTGTCGGTCTTCGATTCTCCAAGGAAGCCCTTCAGCATATTCAGCAAGGATGTCGACAATACAAGGATGGCATGTTCAGAATAGCACGCGTCGATACCGAGATCTTAGCCATTCCCAGCCGATTTGTCGACGAACTACACTCCAAGCCAGATGACCAGCTCAGTGCGATTAAGGCACATATGAAGGTATCCCTCTCAGATATTTTTCTCTACTCGGGTGATTCACTGACACTTGGGGCTGGAATCAGAATCTTCTCGGTCGGTATTCGACCATCGACATCCTGGACGAGGGAATCCTGCACACCCAGGTCTTGCAAACTGACCTGACTCCCCGGCTTGGGAGTCTTACTCACGCTGTCAAAGATGAGCTAGACTTTGCTCTGGCGCAGGAGTTGCCCAGTAATCTCACTGCCGACGACTGGACCCCTGTCTGTATCTACAATCTCATCCTCCGCATCGTCGCTCGCATCTCCGCACGGATCTTCGTCGGGCTTCCCACCTGTCGTAACGAAGAATGGCTCAATCTATCCATTGACTTCACCGGGGATGTCTTCCTCACCATGGCCATCCTCCGTCGTTTTCCACGATTGTTGCGCCCGCTCATCGCTCCTCTGATCCCTCGCTACTGGGCTATCCGCCGTGGCCTCGGGACGGCGAACCGTCTCATCGGCTCTTTGGTACGCGAACGACGTATCCAGCAGGCCAAAACCCCAGACTATGAGAAACCAACCGATCTACTACAGTGGATGATGGATAAAGCCAATCCGTTTGATGGTCGACCCGAAAAACTCGCACACCGGCAGCTCATCCTTAGTCTTGCAGCCATCCACACAACCACCGCCTCGGCAACTCAGGCTGTATATGATCTCTGTGTGCATCAGGACTATGTGGAACCTTTGCGTAGTGAGGTCCTGCAGGCCGTTGCAGAAGATGGCGGTCAATACCAGAAGACGACTCTAACCAAGATGTGGGACCTGGACAGCTTCATCAAAGAGGTTCAACGCTTGAACCCGCCAGCTCTACGTGAGTTGTGGTCCCCTCCGAGCGATCATCCAATGCCCCCAATTCTGCTCGAGCGTGAACTAACCGCGGTCTGACTCCAATAGTGAGCTTCCAACGCATCGTCATGCGCGATCTCTCCCTCTCGGACGGTACAGTCCTCCCCAAGGGAACGCATCTGGCGGTCCCCGCCGCAGACATTGCAAAGGAAGCGGAGTACGACCCCGAATTCGACGGATTTCGCTACTCGCGCCGGCGTAGGGCCCACTCTGCTGCTGCACACCGACATCAATTTGCCACCACAGACTCGACAAGTCTTCATTTCGGCCATGGGAAGTACGCGTGTCCGGGTAGGTTCTTTGCTGCCAATGAGATCAAGATGATTCTGGCTCATTTGCTGGTCGGTTATGAATTCCAACTACCCACTGGAACGGATCGTCCTAGCAATCTGATGATTGACGAGGTGTTTTTGGTGGATCATCAGGCCAAGATTTGGATGAAGCGGCGGCGTATGTGATCTGTCATAACATACATCGCATGCATGTACTATCTCCAAGCTACCACAATACATTGATATCACATTGGATCTGCGAGATTCTTCACTAGTTCGCCTTGAGCAGGGTTGCCAATTTCCCCCGCTGTCGATCCAATCGAGCCAGCTTCGACCGCGCAGGCTTGCCAATGTCTGTGCGCGGGATGCTATCGACAAAGACAACGCCTCCTGCTAAAGCCTTGTAACTGGCCAAGTGTTTCTGCACAATAGCGCAGATCTCTTCCTCGGTGACTTCCCCCCCCTGCATCCCCAAGCTCTCTTTGCTACAGCTTTCTTCGCCCTCCCCCTTCAGCCGCACCACATACGCCCGCGGCGCTTCCTCCTCCTCCTCGTCATCGCCATCGCCTGTCTTCACTCCAATGATTGCCACATCTGCTACCCTCGCCTCTTTCTCCAGCAGCAAAGCCTCAATCTCCGCTGGCGCTACCGAGTACCCTCTCACCTTGATCAGCTCCTTGGTCCGGCCCACAATAAACCAGTGCCCATCTTTCTCGTAGACCACATCGCCGGTGGGAAACCATCCTTCCTCATCCACAACATCGTCACTCCGCCCTTTGTATTCCAATAATACCCCAGGTCCGCGTATATAAAGTTCTCCTGTCTCAATCCCCCTTTTGGCCCCCCCAACCTCCACGACGTCATCCCCGGTGGGATCAACAAGCTTCACCTCATACCCGTCCAGCAGAGTCCCCAGACTCCCCGGGTGAGCCCGATCCCCATATCGGTTTTGAAAGACTACTCCTACCTCCGTCATCCCCCAGAGTTGACTCACACACGCATCTGCATGCAAGACGCCCTGGCAGCGTTGCAAGGAGGCCGCGTCTACCGGCGCCCCCGACACCCCAATATACCGTAGAGATGCGAGCCTTTCGCGGATGCGCGGGTTGGACCTGCCTAGCTGAGCGATCATCTGCACGGCGACGGGGACGAGATAGGTCTCAATGATCTGGAACCGCTCCACGGCCGCGACAAACTCGGCGAGGTCGAACCGCGGGAGGATGTACAGCGGTTCGCCGTAACGCAGGGGAAAGAGGTTGTTCCAGAAGTCGCCGAAGGAATGGTAGGCAGGGAGGGCGAGCAGGCGACGAATCGGCTTCGGAGTCGCGTCTTGACCCTGATCGGAAGCGAAGCCAGGCATGTAGTGAACGGATCGGTGGTGCGAAATGATGGTATGATGCGTCCGTATCGCTGCTTTGGGGAGCCCGCTTGTGCCACTGGTAGTGAACATGGCCGCTGGGGTCGATTGGGCTAGTTCGACGGTCGGGATGCGAAGCCAGGGCGCTGATCCGTGGGTTGCTAGTGCAGTGAGAGGGTATTCCTGCTTGACCGACTCGGTCGTTATTGTGGTTTTGTTATCAGTCGAAGGCTGAGGGCAGGCGGTATCCTCATTTGCGAGAGCGAGGAGCGCCTCGATGCCAGCCTCGGTGACAAGGCAGATTTGGCGCACCGGGGAGGACGGACCGCACACCTCTCGGACCAGGGGGAGGGTGTTCCCTGTCGTCAGAATAATGCGGGGATCAGCCAGATTCACAAAATGCTCGAGCTCGTGGCGGGGGGACGCAGGGCTACAGCCCATGTAGACACCCCCAGCACCAACAATCGCAAGGTAGACAGCGGAATGAAGAATCTAGCACCCGTCAGGAAATGGTTTAAAACAAAGAGGTCGGGGTGGCCCGTACGTAATTGTCCATGTGAACAAGCACGCAGTCGCCTGCCTCAACATGATGGGCTTTGAATCCGGCAATCAACAAACAGACGAGCCGCTTGAAGGGCCCTGCACTGAGTGCGCGAGTTGGGTTTTTGGCGTCAACAAAGATCGGTTCTCCTTCGTTGTGCATGAAGGGTCCGTTGAAGGCGAAGCTGACAAGATCGTAGGATTCGGTCTCGGACATTTTTGGCGAACGTAGATGACTTGCTGAGTATATTCAGAGAAAAGTAAGGATAAAGGGGAGTGCAAAACTTTTGGGTCCAACTCTTGATGAGGGTAAAATATATATTTTTCAGTTGGGGCCCCAACCTGACCGCCACAGAGCTCGATTGACTGACTCGACGAACCAATATTTACTAGTATAGCGCTACAGTACCCTCGGGCTACTGAGAACCAGACAGGATAAGTGATATCGCTCAGATACCTACAACACATATGCAGTATCGATATACATGCTTCGAAAGGGTCTTATTTGAAGACAGCCTTCGTGATGAACTGCGCAATGTATTTGACTAGTAGATACAGAATGGACAAGAGGCCGAGGAGTCTCTACGACTACCTGGAGTCATCCTGACATTGCGTACTTCCATGATTAGCAAGGAGACAGGTCATATTTCGCGGGCTCTATCATTGACGGTGCAAACTGCCCGTACTCCTCATTTCAAGCCCAGACGCCTGGGTTTCACCTCTATTCCTGCTCCATTATTTCCAAAATGGTGTCCGTAAGGCCCCTGGCAGGTACGCCGCCTTCTTCGCAAGCAGATGGTCGTATTCCCAGTCACATTACCTCCCGTCATTAGACTTTCAAATCAAAGGGCCTTGAACTTTGACAAAAAAAAGATTAGAGATTATTTGTGCGAAACATGTCTACGACGCCTCCTAAAAGCAAGCCGTAATCACAGTATCCGTTTCCCATGACGCCAGGCGCCTGAAGGCATAGGAAGAATTCCAGTTTCGATGATTTATGTCCTTTTTGTATTTGCTACAAGGGTTCGTAGCTTTCTCTGCTACATCCGACCACCGACCATTCAGACATCCCTGGAGGTGATCCATCGCATCTGCGCGGTAGATATGGCCGTTCTACTATGATTGATGCATGCCGTCATACCGTACGTACCATCATAGTCGGACCATTTATACGGCTCGGTCGCATCAAGTCTCGATTCTGCAGAGACGGCTCTACGACGCTTTCAAGGCGGGTATGGATGCACTGACATTTCCCACGGCTCAAGAGGTAGGTCACATGCTCTGATTATCCATCATGTATAGTTTAAATGGGATGCCTTCGAAGCTAGGAACCTTCACTCCGCACAGAGCTCAAATACCGAGCATAAATTAGGTCATTTCCCATCACTTCACTGATGCATAAGCGTGGTCATTGTACAAGTCAAGAAGGACCTGTCAGACTGATATACGGGTGCTCGTGCGTGACTTTTAAGCTGAAGAATCACTCAAACGTCTTTCACGCCACTCGACGCACAACTCTTGGGATGCAGCGAAGGACAACAAGATGCACCGGGGGCTCATCAAATCGAGTAGCTACTTTCAGTCCCGTGTACACTCATCTCATCGCAATTCCCATCAAGCCCTTCGCTGGGAGTGTAGTAGAGACAACTCGCCGCTTATTAGTTCAGGTCCTCGGCAATCCTGCAACAACGGCCGGGTACCGTGGACATCCATCATTAGCGGTGGGTGTTGGAAGGCACACAAGGAAAGGCTGGAAAGCACCCTGACTCAGATCATTGCAAAACAGTGACTAATTTGTTGTCGATAAATAGGAGGGGTGAGAGAAGGCTGGAAGGGGGTAGAGTCTGGGCTACTGTGCTCTGGCAGGTGTTTATGCCAATGAGAGCGAGTACCACTGATTGGAATGTTTCCGGTTTGTATAGCAATGATTCACGGTTTAATCGGTCTATGTGGATCGAGCAGGGCAGCAAGCAGCTGTTATACGGATTAAGGGGATTGGTAGATACTCCAAAAATGCTATGCATTCTCATATTCTTAACCTTACTGCCTCTCTGGTATAATCAGTCTCTCACTGCTGCATGTCAAAATGGCATACCTGCGAGGACTATACTTGGTAAAGAACAGAGAACCCCACGGTATCTCGAGCTTATGTCTCAACTCAAGAGAAGGATTCAGAGTAGGTCACCTCGAATCTCCCATCTTCTTTCTGGACCACACGGGCGTAGAACTTGCCCGCCCCCTCGCCCCTGCTGAAGTCGATGGTCGCCCCCTCCCTCTCAACAGCATAGCGGTCGACAATCTCACCAGGATACTGCTGACTCTCCGTGATGAAGAACTTCTGTCGAGGGATGATTTGAATGGACTGGTTGTTCTGGGGAGCAACCTTAATCGTGGGAGAATATTAATTAGTCCTTGCAACTGATCGACGAGATGGAAGTGCCCTTACCGAGGCAACCGGCACAACCTGCCCTCTGTTGTTGACCTTGGCGAGGCCGACCAGATAAGTATCATTGGGCATATTGAGGTCCGTACCAGTTTTGATTTCGTATGCATCCGCATGAGCGGCAGGTTCGGTCTCGGCGAGTGTAGGGAATTCCTCAACGATTTTCAAGTCGAAGGTACCTGTGTGTCGAGAGTAGGAGATTCAGCTAATATTCGAAAGGAACATCTGTCTGAAATGCAGTCCTCTAATGGCAAGGTTTCATACTTCCGGGGTTAGAATTAGTGCCCGTCTGAGCAAACAGACTCATGCCATTGTTGACGATTACGCCTGGAGCTGGGCGTGTTGGCACACTGCCAACCCCTGGAGATTCACGTGTTAGTACTCGACCATATAGAAACCCGGGGAGCAGTGCGACCAACAGGCATAATAGTCGTTACCCGACCTAATCTCAAAGTTTCCCTGATACGGAACGAAGCTGGTGTACCACACATTCAGCCAGGGTTCATGACCGCCAGTAAATTCTGGTGTGTCGAAAAAAACTGCGTAGTTGGAGTTGGCACCACGTTGGTTCTCCACAGAGATAGTATAAATGGAAGATGCCATTTTGTTGAAGATGAGCCAATCTCTAAGACACGATGTATATCTTGATCACTGTGATGAAGGATGGTGAATGAGAAGGAAGACGGTCTCTGAGGTGGTATTTCAATAAACGAACGCCGTGGCTGGGCAGCTGAGATTAGGACGGTGATCAGTGATGTTCTTCTCAAGTTGCATAGTCATAGATGATCTTATTCCGGATGATGCATCATAGTGAACTGTTGCGGGGCAAGCTGAACTGTGGGTCTCAATTGACACAACCAGAGATCAAGATCGAGGTTGCTCATCGATCGGAATCCTGCTCTACTCTACTCAGCAGTGTCAGCACTCACCCCGTAGTCTGGATTTCGGGTAATCTCATCCTGTCATGCTCTCGCCCGTCCTATTCCATGGAACCAGCGGCGATCTCTTTTCTCAGAAAGCCAGGTATCCACTTCACACAGTAAGCTATCAATATGGCATGGGGGTTGGGAAAGTTTCACCAAATGCGTTGGGTGACATTCTTCAGTGTTTGAGTTCCTGCTAGTCTTGCTGCTACCCTCAGTCATCTTCTCCCCATCCGGCTTTCGACTTGATCTAATAACTCTTCATAGAGTATACGATCTTCACATTCCATTCCAAGGAAAGTGACAACCTTAACTGGGGGCATTTGCTCCTGCCGATCTCGTACCCCTCCCGCACTTTCCGCCGCCAATCCCTCAACTCTGGCAATCTCCTGGCTGGGAACGGGTTCATGATCTTTCTGTCCCATTCCGCCTAGCTGACCAAACTTGTGAAGCTGAATCTCCTCCGGAAGCTTGGTGTCGTTCATCTTATGAGGGCGAAATCCCAACTTCAATTCCATGAATTGTGCCGCCCAGATACTCGTCGTCCCCGTGGCGTCATCCGCCGATCCTCCCGTCTCGGTGCATCTTTGAGGATTCTTCATGTTGTTACCTACGTCACTCAAGCCGGTCAGTGCAGCCATCGTGGGATCGAGGATTGGCCCGGGGATCCCCATCGATGCATGAGGCGAATGCGACCATCCAGCTTCAATGCGCGCACTGGTGATGTACTGGAGACCAGTCACCAGCCATATTCGCGGTTGTCGCGCAGTCTCGAAAATGGCACGGCTGAGATAGTGCATCGTGCGCGAGACCGTCAATTGCGTGGCTAACCATTGTTTGATGTCTGCGGACGGTAGAACCACTTGCTCGAGGAACGTTTCCGGTCTGCCCGGATCGAGAACTTGGTTACATACAGCACATTGTGTGGAGGCTAGGCCTACCTTTCAATCTGCACTCGTCTTCCTTTCTCGCCTTCGACCCTGATCGCAATATCGCAGTTCTCATTTGCTTCCTCGGTGATGGAGTCGAGGCCGTTTGCGCCCGCAAGCCACTCACGCGAGACCTCAAGGTTCAAAGCACAGGTGGTCTCCTCACTAGGGCTGCTTATCCATGGCAGCAGATCCGCGTTCCTATAGCAAGTTAACTCTACGCTTGACTGGATGAATCATTCTTTGACACGGGGTTACCCACTTGATCAAGCATTGGTGTATCTTCCGGGGATCATCCACGGGATTTGTAGGGTCAAGGCAGAGACTGCCGAGCTGAAGATCCTCCGGCCTCAGACCTCTGCTGTAAACTAAATACGGATGTTCATGATGAGGTGCGTCCATTTTCGTAGGTCGAGGGTTTCAGATATTTCTGCATTTGAGCTTCCAGGAAAGAAACTTGCCGCTGATTTATGATTTCCCCGGGAGCATCGCTAACCCCTCTTTTTAGGCGCCCAAACCCATCACTGCCCAGTGCTCATCGCAAGACTACCTGACGATCGGACTTCTGGCTTTTTGAGCTACCGGTCTAAACTGGCTCTACTCTAGTTGGACGTAATGGTAACTACTATTATCAATGCTGATGGCACTAGTATGACAGCCTGCGAATACATCCTCTAGCCAATCTCACGCAGACTGCCCTCCTCTACTATTTTCCTCCACTCTACTTGCAACTGGGTTGGAAGCTACCAAGTGACTAAGTTACCTTAAACAGCCTTAACATTTCTACTGCCGTTATGAGGTTTGCCGGTTCACAAGTAACTTACCTCAAGCACTGACATTCTGGATAAACTCACGAGCAAAATACTGCGTGATGCAAACTCTGCATGTATACAATCCACATCTTGACAGTATTCACAATCCCGCATGGAACCGAGCTTGACGATGAAAACGTGGCTGTGGTCCTATTCAGCCATCAGTCTCCAGGTATGAGACGCTCGAAGCCATAGCGAAATAACTAAGACACTTCTGAAAGGCATTTCACACAACCCGGTATATCAGGAGATATACGAGCTCTGCGAAGCATTCTTGCACCTTTGAGGAAGGGCCAGGATTTGCTGCAAGATCTAAAGGTCATCAGAAGAGAAACTCATAAGGTAATCCGTCCGTCACAAGAGACCTACTTGCTCTTATTCATACCGTTGAAATCTGACTCCTCTATATAAGCGGCCCACTCTTGGTGACTGTCATGTTGACTGTTCCATATATTGGGAAGGCTGCTGTAATCTGAGGGAGCAGGGGATTCGAACAGGTTACCCTGCGCCACGTGCTTCGCGGTGCGGCCGAGCTGTAGTTATAGCAGAACTGAGGAAAATTGTCACTCTCACTTGTAACTGCCACCAAGTAGTCGTGATTATGGGTTCGTTCTGACTAGACTTGACTGCGGGTCTTTCTATGAGAAGTCGATCGCAGGATTCTGGGCGGCAAGTGAAGGCAATGTCCAATACATCCACGCTGGACATACACAGCGGGACATATCTCCCACTTTTGCTGTCACTCTTTTGACCAATTATACAGGAATTCTTGGTCATGGTGATCCAACCCTTGGGACTTTTGCTCTAAAGCTTTGGGGGCCGCGCCAGGTCCCCATTGCAGTTTTTGACTTCGACGCTCGCTGCCGCACAAGCCGGCGGGATAGCAACCAACTTAATGATGACAGCCCTCGTTTGTCTAATGATTTAAATCCGCGTCATAGGAGGTCGAATTCAAGGCCCTCCAATGGATCGGGGCTGTTCTTGTTTGATGAAGAGCGCGAGGTCTCTCGCAGCTGTCGGGCTGTGCGTAGCATTAGTATCGAGGGGTAATATTTAAACCAAGCGCGCCTCGCTGTACACGTAGCACTAGGAAGACTGTAGGGAGTCTTTCGCGTCTTCACGGGAACTTTAAACTGGATAAGAGAAGATAGAAGGCGGTTGAGAAACTGGTATTAGAAGTGACTTAGTAATGCAGATGGCATAGGCCGCCGCCTCTGCGACATTGAAGAAACCCAAGCTCAGGATTGCTTACACTGCTGGAGATGATGATCGACACCAATAAAGAAGCGGGATCCGCTCCACTCACCGCCCGCCGCCTCAACCCCCGCCTTTCTTAAACTCCGCGCCGGATTAAAGCAGCGTTGTCCTTCGCTTCCCCATCCATCTAGATCGCAGATCTACACAGCCGAACCATACCTATACTAAGTACCATGTTTGACCTGAGATACCACGATGGACAATCCTCTCCCAAGCCCTGCAATTAAAGTGCACCACTCGCCTTCGCACCCCAACTACCTCGCACCCCTTCCCTCCGTCCCCGAAGACTTCCTAGCTGCAGCACAACAACAACAACAACAGCCTACCCCCAACCTCAACCACCAGAACACTCCCAACGACCAACACGAAACCCCTCTGGGACCCCTAACCTACCCCGGCTCCACCCCTAACCCCAATTCCACCTCAAACACGCACCTCTACACGCACTCCGCCCCCCTCGACATCCGCACCATCCTCAACCCACCCGACCTCGACCTCTGGCGCGCCCGCCTCTTCAACGTCGACGAGCTAATCGTCCTAAGCGAAGAACAGTATGCGTACCCTTCTACCCTAGTGATCCCAGCCCCCGCCCCGTATCCCCTCTTCAACACAGGTCCTACAGTCCTAACCCGAAGAAAAGATTCCTAACCTACTTCCCGCACATCGACAACGTCTACTCCCACCGCTCCACGCAGCACTACAAGCGCAAGCCGCTGGTCAGCCACTACTGGGACTGCCGGCTCAAGGGCCGGCCACCGGGCACGCCCAAGTCCACGGACCCGAACAAGAAGAAACGCAAGCGCACGGCGCGCGAGCGGGACCTCTGTGATGTGAAGATCAAGATCACGGAGTTTTTCCCTATGGCTGCTGGGGGTAGTGGGCTGGATGGTTCTGGGGAGGTGGGTGTGGGGTGTGGGCAGAGGCCAGAGGAGGATTTCGGGCTGGCGGTGATGGGGGGTGTTTTGGCTGGTCCTGCTGCTGTTGATGGCGCCGCTGCGTTGGGAGACGGTGGTGTTGGCGCTTCGGATAACCAATTCGGGCTGTTGACGCCCAGCTTGAATGTGTCGTTGGCTGAGAGTCATCCCGGTTTGCAGGGGCAGCGGTTCTTTACGATTCAAAGGGTGAATGGGAATGGGGCAAACGGGAAGAATGATGGGGTCAGTGGGGGTCATCGGCATACGTTGGAGGAGAGTGATCGTGTGAAGAAGAATAGTGTGCAGCGGTTTCTGTTGAAGGAGGCACGGGAGGAAAGGAAACGAGCGGCCGTCCCGGTAAGTTGCTTCTATTCATCTTTCTAGGGGGATTCTTTGGGTTCTAGATATACTACTGTCCGTGGGTGGGAGGACGGGCGTTGGGGGCAGGGTTACGTCACAGGTCCGGCGGGATGAGCAAGCAACAATCACCGCATCGCAACATCCACGTTTCCCCGCTTCGTCGTCTCCTCTTTCCTCCCACTTCCATCCTTTGCATTTCACGTTATGCCCCTTCGGTCCCTCTGGCAGGCGAATCCTTGTTTGTGGAACGGTCTGATCAATCGAACGCGATCGACAATCGTACACTGTCCATCGGGATTTCTTCGTTGTTCTAACTCAGGACGTCTACAGACGCGAGCAATGTCTACCCAGAGCCAACCGCAGAAGTCGTACCATACCAAAGCTACCGGGCTGGCGGCCAAGACCGTTGCCGATCACTCTGGGGATCACGACTTGAAATTGTTTGGCAGTTGTTTCTGGTGCGTGGGGTTCCGTTGTCCTGCTTGCTCCATCTCCACTGACCATGTTTTGCAGTCCGTTTGTCCAGCGCGTGTGGATCGCTCTGCAATCCAAGGGCATCCCGTACCAGTATATCGAAGTCGATCCCTACAAGAAACCCCAATCCCTGCTCGAAGTCAACCCTCGAGGTCTAGTTCCTGCATTGCGCCATGGTGACTGGAGTTCGCATGAGAGCACCGTCTTGCTCGAATACGTAGGTGGTCCGCCACAGTCCCCGTCATTCCGAATCTAACGCGCCTCTAGTTAGAGGATCTGAATGCAGGGCCTCCGCTGCTACCTCCAGGAGATCCAAAGCTGCGAGCGCACTGTCGACTGTGGGCCGATTATGTATGTGCAATAATCCAAACCCGAAACCTTTCAGCTAACCAAGACAGGTAAATCGCCATGTTGTGCCCACCTTCTATCGTGTTCTGCAGGAGCAGAGCCAAGAGAAACAGATCTCGTATGCACAGGAACTTCGCGACTCCTTCAACACTCTCGTTGGAGCGGCTCATGCCGATGGACCCTTCTTTTTGGGCGATAAGCTTTCCTTCGTCGATGTGCAGGTTGCGCCCTGGATTCTCCGCCTCCGACGAGTGCTGAAGCCATACCGCGGCTGGCCAGAGCCGGAAGCGGGCAGTCGATGGGGTGCCTGGGTAGACGCGATCGAGAACGATCCTCACGTCGCGGCGACTACCAGTGGTGATGAGCTGTATCTGGACAGTTATGAGCGATATGCAGGTGAGTACTCATGTTCGGTTTAGTTTGGTGGCCTGCTGACACCCTCTAGAAAACCGCCCAAACACATCGCAGGTAGCCAACGCGATCAATTCTGGGCGAGGGCTTCCATAGTGTCATAGATCTCTTCGCAGACTCATGGAGTTGACTAAATGGACAATGCTGAGGCCGCGACCGAGCGTCGCCAGGCCGACAGTCAACGTGTATGAGGCCCTGTCGGCGGAGGGATTGTATGCGTATCGTAGAGTGTTTGTAGTCTAACCACCCCGTCCACCTCGGAAGCCACCTCGAAAACCACCTCGACCACTGCTATCGGGCCCGCGAGGGCTACGAATCGGCTGCCGAGGGGCCTGGGTTCCGTCGGTATTCGGCCGACTTACGCTTTGCTTCTCTCTCCGAGAGTTTTGGCCGGCGCTCGTCCGGGGAGAGTCCGGATCATACAACTGCCGAGACTTGCCGGACGCAGCGGAAGAATCGCGCTTGCTGCTGTTTGCGCTATTGTCCCTGTTGGTGTTATCCCGGTTCTCGCGCCCATTCCCGCGGCCTCCTCTGCCCTTACCGCGGCCTTCGTACGGTTTCGTAGGAGGCGTAGCGCTGCGCGGGGACGATGCCCCGGACGTTGGGGCGGAGGGGCTGCCGAACAGCCGCTCGCGCACCTCCTCGTACTTGCGCTGCCGGTCCTCCAGATTCCGCAGCGCCATCGCCTGGCGCTCTTCCGCGGTGGGCAGGGCAGCCCGGCCTCCTTCCTCGTCCGAGTCGTCGTCGTTCACCCCCAGCCGGGACATTCCTGCCGTCGTCCCGTCCAAACCGGACCCGCGCGTCGCGATCTGGGGATTGCGGCTGAGCACGGTGACCGCCGGTTTGAATTCTTGCCGCAGCGGTACATCTGATCGCGATTCGAGGAAGTGGAATGTTTGGGGGGATTCACTAGACAATTACAAACAAAACCATGTTAGTACAGAAGTCCTTCTTTGTTCTTCCGCGTCATTGTCGTAAGTCAAGAGCCGGTGGGAAGAGTAGGGTGGAGGACGTACGCTTCGGCCCATAATTGGCGGTTGAATTCGGCCTGTTGGGCTCTGCGCTGCGCTTTGGTCACCTTGGACGAGACTTTCTTTTCCGCCGGCGGGGGTGGGGTGTCGGATGTGACTTTCTGGGGGAGAGGGAAATTTTCAGCCTTCCTGGTCTAGGCGGGATATAGAGCAGAGGGCCGGGGGACCCAAGTGGATTGGAAGCAGGTCCCCACCAGATTTGTAGACGTACATCGGCTTGTTCTTCCCAGTTTTCTGCCCATGCATCGGGGCCGGTTGAGGACTTTGCGCTCATGGCAGTATATGATTTGTTCAGTATGGGTATGGTATGGGATGGGACGGGCGATTGAGGTGAGATCTTTGCTGGAGGTGGCTGCTGGGATGATGGTAGATTCGAATGTTAGAAGAGATTGCGGGCTTTGTACAGTCAAGTACGAATATATAATTCAGAAGATGAGAGTTGAGGGAGAGTTGATCAGCAAGAAAGGGAACGAGAAGCGGACAAAAGAGGGGAGAAGAACGGCGAGGTGGAAAAGGAAGGGTTGCTTAACTAAGATCCAGCCATCCTCCGAAGCCCGCATCACTCCATCATTACTGCTACTACGAGGGCGATGGACGGTCAACTACAGCTTCTACTCTCTCTACGGACTCTCGCTCGCTTTCTTTCTTCTCAGCGACGACGCTGCTAATCACATTTCGAGTTTCTCGTTAGCCACACTACCAGTCTCACCATGAACCTCGGTCGGTTTGATCTCTCCAGCCATCTCCGCCTCTCACGCTCGGGGTTGCTGGCTTGGCCCCGCGCCCCATCTCGAGCATCTCCTCTTTCACACTACAACTGGCCGATATCTCAAGCTAACCAATTATCCAGACCGAGACGGTGATTCCCAGATGGCCTCCTCGCCAGAGTCCTCCGTGATGGCCTCCGACGAATCCAATCCAGGCACCCGCACCCCGACCAACACGGTCCCAACCCATGTCCCTCAATTCGACGGCTCCGAACTGTCGCCGCCCGGCTCGCAGACCCAGGGTATCGCCTTCGATGGCCCCGGCAAGTCTCACGGCCCTGGAGGACAGATGGGCTCACCCTTGGCAGCCCAGACCTATCTCGTCCAGGGCGAGCAGCAATCAGCTCCAGGGGCGTCCTGGATGAACAAGCGGGCCGAGGAAGAATTCCAGCGGGCAATGGAGTTTGTCACCGACCTGGACTTTAGCTTGGGTGCGTATTATGGATAATCCCGGGGTCTACGGGCTCCTCGACGCCGGACTTTTGAATTATGGTGCTGATATGTGGTGCTTGCAGAGGAATTCGGCGATCCGTTCGACGATAGGGATATGGAGGAGGGATCCTAGGTTGGGGTTATTTCTATGTCCTGCATCGAAGCCAGTGAATAGCGTTGGAGGCTGGAGTTCTAGGTGTTGAGCGAATTTCCTTGTTCTGGGCGGCTGGATTTTAACGGAACCGCGATGAATATTTATTACAAGCTTGATTGGCAATTAGCCAATCATAGATGACCATACACCTTCTTCTCATCTCAGAGGTAGAGATGTTGATTTAGACTTGACAAGGCGAAGAGGCTCTTTGTAGTGCAGAGAGCTCTTGAGAGGATGGATGGAGAACGGTGAATGGCTGGCAGTTGGTTGGCCCAGCAACGCAATCACCGCCAAAACAGCGGGTGGTGGCTCGCCCTCCGTTCATCCAAGCCATTTCCATCGCATCCCAGCTTATCTCGCCCACTTATTTATTCTCTACGACATCCGACAACAGACGCGACTTTATCGCCTCATCTTAATCAGTATCATAGTGGTGTATTTCTACCCGGTGTTGCGCGTCTTATCGCTCCTTCTTGTCGCGCCTTGACGTCAAACACCACTCGCATTCCAGTTCGGTCCCGATAATGAAGATGGAGGACTTTGTCTGCCCATCCCTCACATTTCAGCCCTCATGGTACGTGGAGAGCTCTTAACTCTTTCATGCCCATATCAACCGATCGGAGAGAGCAGCTATGTCGACCAAAGAAAGGCCCGCGCTGGCTTCGTCGCTCGGGCCTGGCCCCTTTCTCCGCTCACCCCCTTCCCTTTAGCTCACTGCACTTTTTCAACATCGACGGAAACCCAAGTAACCTCTGTGACAAGTATCTAACACGGGATCTTGAATAGTCCTCCACATCTTACGCTCCCTCAGGACGCCAAGTTCGGATTCACCCCGGTCAAATCCCTCTCCCGATCAGCTCCTCACGTTTGGGATCGCAAACCATCCACCTCGTTTCGCGCACGTGGCCGGTCGCGCAAAGTCTGGAAGCGCTTCCGCTCCTCGTTCAACAGCATGAAAGCTCTGCAGCAGATCACCGTCGGAGAGCGCCACACGATCGACGAGGAGCTCCAGCTTGAGATCAACAACGGCAGGAACCCGGGTCTCGTCCGCGGAGTTAAGCGCAGGTGCTCCGCGTGGGATACGGATGACCTCGCCAACGGAGACTCACGAGGGCGCTCGTTTCTGGAAACACAGTGGGAGTCTGAATCGAAAGGGCGACGACGTGAGTGCCTTTGTTCCACCTTGGTTGGGCTATATATGCTTTGCCGTCACTACCCTGAATACGTCATGTTTCACGGAAGAACTAACGATCGTCAGGCAAACTGCCACTTGTTTATAGCGACTTTGTGGAGCTTACGGATGAACCGATGGAGACGGACAGTCTGCAGCCACATGACATCCTCAGGGATACCGGCCTCGAGCAGGACGCGTCCACGTTGGACCACGAGAACCTTATTGTCAGCGCGCCGGACGAATTAGCGCCGACCGACCTCCCGGAGACCCCTACGAAATTGGTGCCCGGTGCGCCCTACCCCCGCATGCTACCTGGCGACCCGGAAAGTTTGCCCGCCGGTTTGGACTGTGGCATGACAAACATAAAAGGACACGAGATCGGTCATGCATCACCATTTACTTTGTTCAGTCCGGTCGTCGGATTGTCCACTCCTGATACCCCGACTATAAAATCTGCGGAGGACGGCAGTGATTATGGTGATGTCGCTGCTACAATCGAGAATGTCCTGCTGAGCGCGAAGAAGGTGGACTCGAACTCGGAGACCGCCGCTATCATCCCTGATCTTACCGTCGAGCAGGAATCGACCCTTGTGCGGTCGGCGCTACGCAGCTCCTTGGACGGAGAGGACGCCGAATTGCTCAGCAACTTCCTGTTCAAGGCCCAGGCCAAGCGAGAAGCCAAAGCCGCTGCCGCTGTCGCCGAGGCCGAAGCTGCCGAGGCTGCAGAGATGGTCGCGAAGAAGGCCGCGCTCGTCGAGAAGGAGGATGAAGCTAAGAAGGTGCGGGAGTCGTCACCAGCCGAGCTACCTACTCCGCCGTCGCGTCGCGCCCTGGAGGATCTCGACACCAACTCACCTTCCCCGCAGAAATCACAACAAGTTTCGCCGGCCAAGCCTCGCGAGGACGAAGTTCAAGAGGCAGGCAGCCCGCGCCGTAGCACCCGCCCCCGTGCCCCGCCATTACGCCCGTCCACCGTGGCGGCTGCGGTGCGCAGCACCTTCTCCCTCCGCCGCGCCAAGGGCAACGAGTTTGTATTCCTCCAGCGGACCGAGGCTCAGGAAATCGCGCTCGCCACGAAGCGCAACACGCGCCACAACAAGGGCAACTCGACGATGCCAAAGCAGACACTGCAGGTGCTCGCCGATCACAAAAGCGATACCACCCCGATCGGTGACGACAAAGCCGCTGCTGCTGCTCGCGTGGTCCGAGGAAGCACAAAGGCCAAGAAGCATGTGTCATGGAACAATGAGCAACTCGTGCAGTTTGAGGGTGAAGACCCCAGCGCGACTGACCACAGACATGACGTCGCTGGTGCTGCCGGTCGTGGGGAAATGCAACGCAGCACGGACAAACTCTCCGACGCGAAAAGAAAGGCAGCCACTGGCCGCACGACCCGATCGCAGTCGGGGCAGAGGACTGGTGTTTCGACGGGCCCCGACGCAGCGACTACTGCACCCGCTACTGCAACGCCGCGGGCGCGGCGCGTGCGCACAGCATCCAAGCCCGAAAGCAATTCCGTCGCTGCTCCTGCTGCTGCTCCTGCCCCCACCTCTTCTCCCACCTCCTCGTCTTCCTCTTCCGGTGTTGAAAGCCCACTCGGCCAGCGCAAGAAGTTGATTCCCAAGTCCCCTCGCAAAGCGCCCGAGACCCCGTCGAAGGGGAGCACTAGTGTCACCGCCGGCACGACCAGCAGCAGCAGCAAGACATCACTCCGCAGCAGTAGCACCAGGACGAGTTTGTTAAAGGTCAATGCGGGCTCGACTCCGGTCGCGAGACGGATTCGCTCTCGCTCGTGAGGGCTTCGAAGCGCGGTGGGGCTTAGAGTATGGTTGTTTGAGTATTTGTACATAATTGCATGGATGGTGTGGGTTTGTTTTACAGGGTTGCATCGGTTAGGCGTTGGTAACTTTATCTCATTTCTTCGTTCATTTAAGAACTTCCACTACTTACTTATTGCAAATTATTTTGTTTGGGTTTCCTGGTGTTCGGCGTGTGGTGTATGCTAAAGCTGATGTTAGTGGGATGGGATGGTCGGAGTATGTGCCTTAGGCCGCCATGCTTTGCATCTGTAGTTTTGAGCATCAGTTGAGATCTAAGACGGAGATATGATGTGATACAGTTCTTCACAGCGAGTACTTATCTCGAATGGATCGAAGAAAGTACTACTCTACAGGCCAGATATAGTATGTTTTTACTCACAATAATGGAGGATACGATTCTGTGGTGGGACCTTTATCTGGTGCTGCTCCCGACTATATATACAAAACGCCCGCGAGCCACAACCTTAGGCTCAACGACAGCCGCAAGCAGGCACCACAACAAATCTTCCTTTCATCATTGGTAGTAGAAATATAGACTTATCTCCACGAGCTTCAGATGCATAACGAAGACGTAGGTTAAGACTGAGGTATCCGCAAGTGGACCCCCAGAGTGATCGCTTGTATGTCTCTAGACGTCCTCCATAAAGACTTTCACCACGGTGAAGAGGAATCCTCCCTTTACCAGAGGGGAATAGAAAAGCTTGTGCTCTGGATTGTTAGAAGTGCCTCGTGCCAAGATCGCTCCTGAGGTGAAGTGGTACTCCTATCCATGGATTACATGTTTACTAGCTCAAGGAGTTGGCTGTTCTACGGCCTAGGATTGCATCGATATATAGATTTGGTGCCTGTTCATAGCGGGTTACTTAACATGGGCTTTTTTATACTGATGGACGTTCAGCAGACCTTTTAAGGATCATTGTGGATATGAGTTCTGGTAGTAGTAGACACGGTTTATGGTAGCAGTAGACATGAGTTATGGTCACCTGTTGCTCGTAAGTCTCGATTGAAGGTTGTTGCCGCTGGGACTTGGAGCAATGTAGAGGCAGAGAAAGTAACATCCAGCCTCCTGTGGTTGTTTTTGGAATGACATTCTTGATACGATCGTGCTGTAGATTGAAGTAGGAAGTACAAACATAGGTCAAGCACCGCATTGCCTCGCTATACTATCCGGACCACGCAAAAAGTAGTGAATTGTCCTGGCTAGGCAAAAGACATACGCAAGCGAACGCCCACATTGATCAGGATAAAGAAGCTTACCATCGAAGCCATAAGCGAGATAACTTGCCGTAAACCAGTCTATCAAATTCCAACCTGCAAAGCAGCAATACCCCCTATCGCTTGAACCAGTGGCCTTCATAATAAACCCTGTCCAAAGACATAAACCCTATATCAACATTAATCCTGCACAATGATACAATCCCCTGCACCTACTCTCGCACCGCAGCTGCACCCTCCAAGACATACATACATACATACATACATACATATGCTGACTTACCTTGGTCTTTCTCATTCCCCTCCAGTTTTACCTTTCTCCTGAGTCAGACACCGCACAGCTAGCTACAGGCTACAGGCTACAGACTACAGGCTACAGCACACCTTAATCTTAATGGGATCTCAGCCCCAACGATCAACGGCGTTCTCATGCGGTTGTCAGGATGCGTCCAAGCCACGAAGCAAGGGGCTTGATTGTAAGGCTACGTGCATGCAGCTCGGGCTCAGCACGTAGAGACTCCATGGTTTTAAAGGCAAAGGAGCCATGCAAGCCGCGAATCATTCTAAGAAGCAGGAGTGCTGTGGCCCGGTAAGTAGGTAAGGACCCGGAAGTACTCGTAGCTGCACTAATTACCTCCAACGATTGCTGGAACACAAGACTACCTGCTTATCTCGTAACCGCTCCGATCCACGCTTCAGGGCACGACGAACAAGAGAATAAGTTTACCGCAACAGCCGAGCAAGATATCGGAGTCCGAAAGCGAGGACCGCCTATGGCGAATAATCGCGCAAAGGATCTCCAGTTTTTATTCCCCTCGCGTGGATACTTTTACGAACTGGCTCATTACATTGATCAGTTGGTGGACGTCAGTGGTTGATTAGTTAGCCCAAAGCGGCGTTTACTTCTTCCCTAACCATCGGTAGCGGGAAATTGGACCCCTGGAGTCGGAGGAGTGATGATTGGTAGATTGGACCTTGAAAGTACTAAGTTGATGAACCCGCTGCCTACAATGTGGGAACTGCTGGTTCCTTTTGACTTTGACGTTTTGAACACGGAGAAGCCGGTTTGTTGTTTACTTCTGATGGGACCATGCTGTAGCCTCCTACGTGTCCGATGGGCTATCTGCCTATCTATGGCTTCACCAGTCGGGCAAATGACGAGATTAGGGTTCAAGGCAATTCATCATGGATCTGCGAGTAACATCTATCCTTTTGACTCTGCCAAAGTCTCCAGTTTTCATCAAAGACAAGAACAACCGGTGTAGAAAAGCAAACAGTAATAGGTGAACACTAACTCATCTGTCTTGTCCTGTACCTGAATGGAATGCGCCCCTCCCCCCAAACCGGCAAATAGAAAGCAACGGGCCACCCTCTATTCTTGTACATTGTACTGTACTGTACTTGTAAGCAAATAAATCCATTAATGCCTCAATGCCTCACTATCAACAATTAAACCTTTCCGGGTTGACATTTACAGTAGTAATTCCAATCATTGCAATACTTCCACGTCACCCCTTGATTTTTCTTTGTTCTGGAACGAACTGCCGAAAGCAGCTACCATGGTTTGATTGATTTGCAACCAGCCCATAAATGATAGGGTTAGGGCAGCGCAGGGCGGGGATAAGATCCACATCTGCACTCTCCCCGCTAAACTGAAAGCGGCGGTTCGGTGTTTTAGGGCTCGAGGATGCCCGGATTAGTCCACCGAGCTGTTGGCCTAAGTATTAATCCCGGGTATGATCCGGAATTTCCCGGGCTGAGGTTGCTGGGTTCAATGAGTTCGCGGTGTGTCGCGTGCTAGGCTGGGTTGGGATTAGTGAGGGGTTGAATGATTGATGACCCCTCGTTCTGGAGGTTGTAGCTTGAGCCTGCCTGGTTGCCATGAGTACGAGGTTTGTGCTACTTACACTCATGTTGTGTGCTGTACTTTGGTACATTGGGAGTCGCACTGACAAACAAACAAGCAACGATAAGATTTTTTTTTTCTTTACCATAATGTAACCTGGTAAGGCACCTGCAACAAAGAATCGAACCTTGAGAGACAAAAAAAGTGGTCTGTGATTGATTGACAGCACCGCGACGTCATCCCGCAGCAAGGTTCGGGTTCGGTTTTCACCTCTGCACCTCCCGCATGGAGAACTGTCCTCCGACGGCGGACGTTTTTTTTGGTCGTGTTGCTACTTGCATAACTCCTGGAGCTGAGTTGAGTTGCACACCGACCGGATCGGCCTTGGGCTCGTATTTATGCTCATTGGTTGGTTTCATTTTTGGGGATTCTGAAAGGCCAGGGGGGTTTTATTTCGGGTTTAATTGCTTGGGAGCTTTTTTTTCAAGGATTGTTTTTTGGAGCCGTGTGGTTTGCTTTGCTGTTGTGTATTGTACTTTTTTTCTAGTTGGGGGGATTTGAATGGAAGGAAGATATTGTTTACTACTGAACTACGTTCAGAGAGATCTCAAGGGGTCATGAATTCTTATCATCTAGCTGATAAAGAAAGATAAACATCTCATTCCGTCATTTTTTATGTCCCGCATAAATCATTAACGCTAGCCGCCCCTTCCCCCTTTTAACTTAAGCGGACAGGTTCTTGGCCGTCTCCTCGGGCCACACATCATAGCCGAAGGTATCCTTCATGTTGACGAAGCGGAAGTGACGGCCCTCGGCGACCTTGTTGACGGCGGCGAAGTCCTCGTCGCTCAGCTCGATGGACTTGAAGTTGGACTCGATGCGGGCGGGGTTGGAGCTCTTGGGCAAGACCACGTAGCCGCGGCGGATGCCCCAGGCGATGAGCACCTGGGCCAAAGTGTTGCCGCCCTTCTGGGCGATCTCATTGAGCGTCTTGTTCTCGCTGACGCGCTCGCCCGTCGTGGGCACCTGGTTCTGCGAGCCCAGCGGCGAGTAGGCCTCGGGCAGGATGTCGTGGTCGAAGCAGTACTTGACCAGCTCCTCGTTGGGCAGGAAGGGGTGGATCTCGATCTGGTTGACTTGCGGCTTGATCTCCGCGATCTTGAGCAGCTTCTCCAGCCCCTCGATCGTCCAGTTCGAGACACCGATCGCCTTCACCTTGCCGTCCTTGTAGATCTTCTCCATCGCCCGCCAGGTCGGCTCGGGGTTCTCGGTCAGGTCCTTGAGGATGACGTACTGTGTGATTCGGTTAGTGTGTGTTCTCATACATTTGTTGAAAAACTGAGGAATGCAGGGGCGGATCGAGGGCTAGCACGCACCTTTCCATCAGGTCCGATCTTGGGCTTCTCCTGAGTCTCCTTCTCGGCGGCAATCGGCCAGTGCACCAGGAACAAGTCGATGTAGTCGACCTGCAGCTTCTCCAGCGAGTTCTGCACCGACCACTGCACATCCTCGTAGCGGTGGAGGTGGTTCCAGACCTTGGTGCAGATGAAGATGTCCTCGCGCTTGACCGACGGGTTGGCCTTGAGGAAGTCCTTCAACGCCTGGCCGACCTCGTCCTCGTTCAGGTAGAACCAGGCGCAGTCGAGGTGACGGTAGCCGATGTTCAGGGCCGCAGTGACGGCCTTGTAAGTCTCGCCCTTGGCGCCCTCGCTGGCGAAGGTACCGAAGCCCACGGCGGGGATCTTGACGCCGTTGCTGAGAGTGAAGGTTTTGCCGGTAGACATGGTGGGTTGTGTGTGCGTGGTTTTGCTGGTGTAGGGGTTTGGGAGAGGAATGTAAATGGGAGGAAAACGGAAGAACCGGCTTCGTTGGGAGCGGCAGGGGTACAAATAAAACTAAGCAGACTACACTTTGGTTGCAGAAGCTAGTTCTGGTGAGGGTTTGTGGTGGTGGTTTGTGGTGAGAAGAACAGGAAGGATGGAAGTGGGGTTGGGTTGGAACGGATGGCTGCGTGTGTGTTTAAAGGAGGGGTTGTGGTGATGATGGAAGAGAGGAGGATGATGCTACTGCTACTGCCACTGCTACGGCTATTGCTGCTACGAGGCGCGTTTGTCGCCCTGCAATTGGCTCACGACCATAGCCAGAACCTTTTTTCTGATCTATTCTACCGACTCCAGAGGAGTTCTACATTGTTCGATGCGCTTTGCTGAAGCTTCTAGCACTGAAGGTCGAGGGCAATGGCATTGTGAGCTCATGACAGAAGCTCCGAAAAGCTCCCCTCCAGGTTCGCGCGAGCTTCGTCCGTTCAGGCAGGCAGCATGACGGCATGACAGCCAAAAACCGTCATGAAACCCTCCCCACTGTGTAATTCTTTCATTCTTTCAGGTCAACCCGACCATGACATCACCGCCCAGCACTGGTGCGAAACGGCGCGAGCGTTTGACCCGCTGCTGCCCGCTCGATCGTCATCGGCTCCACCGATCTCAGACTCGCCCATGGCTGAGTGTATTGGCTATGACCCAATAACTCGCATCCAAGACACCCGCTGGGTCCTTGACTATCCCCTCTCTGGACCCTCCTGTCCACTGGCCATGCAGTGTGGCTTCATGCCGGTCAGAAAAGAGGATCCTGCCCCCCTTTCGACTAGGGGGGTTCGTCCTGCAGTGGAAATTGGTTATTGGGCGGTGATGCCACCTGGCAGCCTTGTTCCGCCCCGCCCGTGGAAGGAGGTGGTGTCACTGAGTACCTAATGGTGGTGATGATGATTATGCCGAATGAGGACTGAGGCAGCATTCTGCAGCGATAGCTTTCTCTAGTTGCAGGAGTGACTGTGTTGGGGGTGGAGCAAAATGCCTCATGCGAGTACCATACAGTACCTCCCGGTACTTCCCCTTGGCTGCCATCTGAGCGAGACAGTCTGGTACCGAACAGGGTCTGGATGGTATTGTGGTGGAAAGATTACCGTGGATCTTTCCACATGCTCCACTGGGCTTGTCGCCAATGGAGGACATGCTGAGACTCCGCCCGGCCCCGCTCCTGCTCATCACAACTAATCATTATCAGAGAGGGAATGATGACGATAATTCCTAGGGATGATGATACGCCCCGGTGGAGCCCGACTGCGGATGGCGGATGGAGGAAAAGCAACCACTCAGCATCATTCAAGTGACAGACAGAGCACTACCTAGTCTACCGCAACATGCAAAGCACCTGCAACTAACTCGCTCCACCATCACCCAATTCACCCATTCAATCCAACTCAACTCACTCCTCCCTTACGCCAAGTCTACCAACTGCAGTCAGTGTAGTAGTCTACCCATCCCACCTTCTCTTCACTCGGTTCTGTCTTGAACCACATCAGAAACATTCCAATTCCCTAGTCAAATTCGTATGCCTTCGGCTGGTCCGCCACTATTCCCCTCGAAAGCTTGTTATATATGATCCAGCTCTGCCCTCTTCTTTTTTCTTTCCTTCCGTCATCCTTCTATCCTGCTCATCTTCTTCCATCACTACCACTTCCTTCCAGGTGAAGAGCTCTTCTTGCTTTGTTCCCTGCTTAGTTCTTTTTTTGTAGGAGTGATATCATATCTCCCCGTCCTCTTATCATCATTTTATCACCTGTCCCGGTGGTTTTCTCTTTAAACTCTCTCGTCCTCCTCGTCTCCCTGGTGGTGCTTTTGCCCTGCAACCTCGAAACTCAATTCCTCCCCTTCTCAACCAGTCCAAAACTTATTCATCACCATGCCTCGCATCGAAGACGCTGAGGGTGTTGACCCGACTGCTCCTGCCCCCGCCCCCGCTCACCGGGAGTCGCGCGGTTCCCTCCCCATCCCCGGTGACCTTGGCAACACCGTCGAGGTCCCCGCCACCCGCAGCGCTATCAGTGATGCGGCTCAGTTCATGCACAACCTGAGCTTTGCTCCCTCTTCCCGGGACCGTCGTGCCTCTCGCAACTCATTCGGCACCTCTCTCCCGATCCCCAGATCGCCCCGTGTCTCGCGGTTGTCCTCCGTCGTCACGAGAGATGTCTCCCGTGACATCCTGGCCTCCCAGGTCCAGGACATGTCCAAGGAGAAGGTCGCTGCCGCCAAGAACATGGCCTTCGCCTTCGACATTGACGGTGTCTTGGCTCACGGTAACCACGCCATTCCCCAGGCCAAGGAGGCCCTCAAGATGCTCAACGGCGACAACGAGCTGGGCATCAAGATCCCCTACATCCTTTTGACCAACGGTGGTGGTAAGACCGAGGAGGCGCGCTGCGCGCAGCTCACCGAGGTCCTCGACTGCCCCATCTCTACCGACCAGTTCATCCAGTCCCACACCCCAATGCAGGCGTTGGCGGAGTACTACGAGACCGTCCTGGTTCTCGGTGGTGAGGGTCAGAAGATCCGTGAGGTGGCCGAGAACTACGGCTTCAAGAACGTCATCCACCCCAAGGATATCCAGGCTTGGGACCCCACTGTCTCTCCCTGGAGCACCCTCTCCGAGGAGGAGAAGGCTGAGGCCAAGCCCCGCGACTTCTCCCAGGTCAAGTTTGACGCCATCTTGGTCTTTGCCGACTCTCGCGACTACCAGACCGACATGCAGCTCATCATGGATCTCTTGCTGGCTGAGGATGGCAAGCTTCTGACCCGTGCCAAGGACCCTGTTGCTTCCCGCATCCCCATCTACTTCTCCCAGGGTGACTTGCTCATGCCCACTGACCACCAGGGCCCCCCTCGTCTCACCCAGGGTCTTTTCCGTATCTCCATCGAAGCCCAGTACAAGGCTCTCACCGGTGTCGACCTGGAGCGTGTCGTCTACGGCAAGCCCGAGCGCGCCACCTACACCTACGCCGATGAGGTTCTCAAGTCCTGGATGGAGGAGATCCACAACGAGAACAAGCTGCCCCAGAACATCTACATGGTCGGTGACAACCCGGCCTCCGACATCTGCGGTGGTAACATGCACGGTTGGAACACCTGCTTGGTCCGCACCGGTGTCTTCCAGGGCGGTGACAACGATGACAACAACCCGGCCAACTTCGGTGTTTTCCCCAACGTTCTCGAGGCTGTCAAGGCCGCCGTCCGCAAGGAACTGGGCCAGGAGTTCAAGTTCAAGTGGAACCCCAAGGTCAACCCCGTTCTCCACGGCGAGAACGCCTCTGCTGTCGAGTAAACACGATTTTGCTTCCCCACCAAAAATAAGCGACTCTGCCCCTTGGCTGTTCAGTTTCTTTTTCTCTCTTCTTTCTCATTCCCCTTTTATTACACATCATGTTTGATTGATCAAGTACATTGATGTTAGACACTCATCTTTCTCTCACCTTACCAACATGTTACGGATTTACGGGTTTGGACTACTGATATCCATCGTTGTCGCTTGTCTTGGGCAGTCAAGATCCAGAGAGCAGACCGATTATGTGTTTCGATTTTATTTTGGCTTGTTGTTATTTAGACTGCGGTTTTCTTATATTATGAAGATGCTATATGCAAGACATGCATCAATGGGACTTTGCTTTCAACTCTTCTAATTAGACTTCCTTTTGGTTAAACTTTGAACTTTGAGATTAGTATCTGCATGCCCGTCTCCCAAAAACAAGTCATGACGTGATCCACGAACGGGATCCCACCGGGAACAGCCAGCGTCACACCGCCCGTCGCATAGACTTCCCGTCGTCGTCTAACCACGCACCCCACGTTCCGATGATTGAAGCTCGGACGGATGGAGTCGCACGCCAAGAAACTAGAAACTCAATCCCAGCATACAGCTTGTGGGTTTATGTAAACTGTAGGGGCTTCAGGCATATACTTACCTTGCAGTTGCAGCCTAAACGGATACAGTACATGTAAGTGGCATTATCAATTTAGTGCGCGCAGCGGAGATCTCTCGGCGGAACTCACGCCGACTTTCGTTGCTACCCTAAGTACCACCTGCAGCCTATCCCGAGTTCCGAAAATGGTGCTACGGGTAGACGCGGTATTATACGTATGAAGTTGACCGAGGATATCCTTGACCGTTCAGTTCTTCTCGCGAGAGGTGAGAGGTTTGCAATGGAGTCTGCAGTGTAGATCTTGATTTGCGGATTCAAGGTCCATGTGTATTACATCCCTTTGAGTGGGCTGAGAGTATATGGATAGGCTTGAATCAATCTTGCTCAATTTCAGTTCCTTAATCAATCCCTCCGGCGTGAAATTGCCGTACCCACGGCCGAGTTCGCTGGTCTCTTGGCTTGGCTCGGAATATCTTCTTGGCTCGGTCTTGGAGTCGGATGATGCCGAGGATAAGGTACTGTAGCCTGGAGATACGTACTGTACAGGTTAGAAACTGAGGCGGTCGGGAAGTGTCTCCGACCTCCGTGCTCATGCTGTTGCGGTTGCCGGCGCTCCAGCTCCGGGAAATGGTTACTTTGTTTGGTTTGGGTTGTTTTCGGGTTCAGGTTGTGGGGACGGATGGATGTGCTTTTGGAGAGTTGATGGACTGAGATACTTAGTGTTGGTGATGTGGGTTGTTTGTGGGTGAGGATTATGAGGTGTTGGCTTTGCGAGAGGTTTCTGTTGTTTATGTTACGGGAAAGGCTGGCTGGAATGGCTGTCATCTATCTGCCTCTAATTCAGAGTCGAATCTTCTTCACCCATGGAAACTTCTTTCTACATACGATTTGCTGCCATTCTAGAAGGTATTTGAGGCTCAACCTAACCACAGTAATTCTACCACGGCTCTAGCAGCCAGCCGCCTTGTACCATTGGCTCATCTTCCATTACTTCAGCTCCTGATGTGAGGCATGCCGTTCGTCGTCTGGTAGATGTCATGCATGGTATAATTTGAGAAGTAAGAACAACTGTATCTAGAGCGTCACGTGCTGTCAAAGGAAAGATGTCGGAATCACAGTGACAGCAAATTTATCATCTACTCTAATCACTCAATCCGGACTCAGCTCTTTGAGTTTACGGCTGTCTAGCGAAAGGTGATACTGCCTTCTGCTTGTGTATTGTGTAGCTTTTCTGTACAGGTAAATGGTTTTGTAATTGGTTATTGATGGCGAGGCTATCTTTTTGGGCTTGTGAGCTTTACTGTACTTGTTGCAGGAGCTTTGATGATTGATCAATAGAGTAGATTTTTGTACGAAGCTCTATACCATTTGTGCCTTGGACGGTCACTGTAGCTGTCTATTTCCGAATTAGGAAAGAGGCTATGGATCACATGGAATCACATGACCTGCCCAAGCAGCTGAGTGATGCTTCCTTCAGTTTAGTGCAGCCTCACAACTTTCCTTTTCAGACCAGCCTATTCAGTATTCATCAATTCATTGACATTGCGTCTTCTCTCGGATTAGATGGCCTCACCAGCTCTTACTACCGGGGGCCTAACCATCGGAGATGGCTCAGGGGCCTGAAACATCATCGTAGAAGCCTATGGTGTGTTAACAATGCAGACCCAGCCTGGCCGCTATTACCCAGCAGGGCAGCCAAGCTCTGACGCAAACAGGCTTTGGCATTCGCATCAGGGCCGATGAGCATTTAGAGATACACAGTGAACGCAATCGAGCGACAGCAAGATTCGTGAATATTCCTTTGACTTTCTATAGCAGACACGCGAGGATACAGCGCTGATACATTTCGTTCTCCAGCACTGATGCGCTATCTACCAGATGTACTTGTACCGTTGCTGGCCATCCCGCTCCTCCGACTTCTTTGCCTTGGTGTTGAGTAGATGAAGATAAACAGCCAACAGCGACGTCAGCACGATGCCTGCCGCTGCAAAGGACGAGAGTGTGATACCACCAGGCCGATACTGCGGGGAGTCGGATGTGGGGAAGAAGTAAGAACCATAGATGTTCGACGAGTTACCGAACAAGTTCACCAGTGCGTACACAATGGCCCGCTTGGTGCGTGTCCGAGGGATCGTACTTGCAATCCAGGCTTGGACAACATTGAACGCCGAATAAGATCCGGCGCACATGAGGAACATTCCCACATATCTGACAGCTGTCGCATGTGACGAAATGACCATGATGTTTCCGACGATATCGATGCAGAGGGGCCAGATGATCAAGATTGCACGGTGGCTCGTGCGGTTTGCGATCAAGGAGTTCCCGAGCGCCGTGAAGAATCCGAATACGTACACGGGAGCAGTGATGAGGAGGGTGATGGTGTTGTCGAATCCGAGGGTTTTCATGATTGTCTGTCCCTCGTTAGTATGAATCTCCGATGAGCACTGCGCTTTACGCACCGGGAAGAAATAAGTCCAGCTCTGCGAGGTGAGCTGGCAGATTTGAATCGCGATCAGCATCCATGCTTTTGGATCTGTGAGTGCATCTCTCAAGCCTTCTTTGACGGATCCATTCTCATCGACCTCGTCGTTTGCAGCGCGTGCCAGACGCCACTCCGCAAAGCGTTGTTCCTGCTCGTTCAACCACTTGCGCTGTCCTGAGCGCGGAAAGTCGGGCAGAAGCGCAACCGCCAGCAAACCTGCTACCATCGTGCCAGCTCCTTCGATAATGAAGAGCCATCTGTTGTTCTTTGGTCAGCACGGTCTATGACTATCTTTTGAAAGGGCAGGCGCGCACCTCCATCCGGCAAGCCCACCCTTGCCGTTCAACCCGTCCATGATGCCCGCGGCGAGTAAGCCACCGAAGCCGTTGGCCACTGTGTTTCCACAGTACACCAAAGCAACCCGCACGGCGATCTCTGTTGGCTTGTACCAGGAGCTTATCAGTAGCCTTTGCTCAGATTGTCAGTCATCACAGCTTCAAAGCCTTGACCTGGGAAAGACACATACAATGCTCCGGAGAAGAAAGGTGATTCGGCGAACCCGAGGAACACTCGCACACACATGATTCCGGCAAAGTTCTTTGTTGCTGCTGTGCACAGTGATATGCCACCCCAGATGAAAATTGCCGTTGGGATGTACCGTGATGGCTTCAGACGGGTGAGGAGAATGTTACTTGGGACCTGACCCAATAAATACCCAACGAACTATAGTGAAAGCGTCAAAGCGTCAAAATACAGAACACATTGCCTCCCTCATACCGACGAGCAACTTACCATGATGGCTACCGCTGTCTGATACTGGGTGTCTGAGAGGTTGAGGTCCTCTTGCATTCCTCCGAGGCGGGCATTGGCAATGTTCGACCGGTCGAGGATGTTGAAGATGAACAACAGAAAGAGCGAGGAGATCAGATGAAGATCGATCTTGCGAACCACTGTCAGGGGTCAGCTTGTTAAGCCCAGTAGGCGGGCCATTAGGGCAGCGGCACATTTCTTCTCCAAGGCTTGTGTTTCCTCCTCCGACAACCCTTCGAAGGACCCCGAAACCCTGTCATCGTATGGCTTTGTGGTTGACTCTACATGAAGAGATGATCCTTTGGAGTCGATGTCCGCCATTGTGCTTCTAAGTAAAGGTATGAACTTCCTCCTAGTCCACAATCGCAAAGAGAATGGCTATCTTCGAACAAAGATGGCAGAAAAGGTGAAAACAGGAAGGAGTAGCGATGTGACTAAAGAGATTGTATGGAAGGAGGAGTAGGCCTCTGCTATTCAGGGCAGAGTGGCATGCCACCAGCAAATGCTTTGACTAAACAGGGCTTATATATCGTGTGCTAGGTTTTTGATAGACACGTTACCCCAGCCGCAATGACTACTGCATCAGACAACCAGGGAAATGCGGGACTCGCAACTCGCTTAGTGGCCCATGCGGGGTCCCCATGCGCGGGATATCTGCGTCCGGGGATTGACTCTCTCCGCATCTTGTTGGTCATGGTAACTACCCACAAGCAGCAAGCACGTCTCGATATGAAAGTCAATTGAAAGTCTACTCATGCATTCCAGCTGCGGATATGATTCTTTCCGACATATCGAAATGTTCCCCAGCTATCCTCTGTCTGCCCTTGGAAATAAGGCGCATGCTTGTACTGTACAATTGAACACTGCATGAATGCCACTACCTATAGTGAAAGTGCACTATTCATGTCAATGCGCCCTTGTCTGCCGATCTGGACTCCAAAGTCCTGTCACCAGTGCACAGAAGCAAGTTCGGCAATGAAGATCGGCTCTGGTATGGTCCGCCCAGTCTCCCATCGTTTCCGTCCATTTTCCGTCAGGTATCCGCAGGTATCCGACAAATCGGTTTCTTTTCCATACTAGCTTGTTCCTCTCTGTCGCGAAGCTTAGGTCGAGTTAGAATTTAGGCTAAGCATGGGGAACCGACACACACTCTGGATTCTCGGGCTCGCGGTAGAACTCTCCACTGCATCTCCGCATTTGACCCGCTGCTGTCCGCTCGGATGACCATATTTCCGCCTTAGCACGAGCAGTGACTATATTTTTCCATGGGACTAGATCTCCATGGGGTGAAATTGGCTCCTCGAGTCTGTGCGCTAGCGTGATGAGCTGCTAATTGGCCGGCCGGGAGGCATAGTTGCCCGGACTCTAGCTACCCTGTTCATCAATCTTGGTTCTTTATGCAAGCGCTTGTTTCCTTGATCTTTTTGGTCAAGTTGACGTTGCTGAGGATAACCAAAACGAATATCCATGTTTCTCTCGCAGACTACATTGAGACCGTGATCACTCATCCTGCTGTGGGGAACAAGCGAGCACCATCAACCCAGTTTTGCGAGGGAGAGTGGTACGAAGATCGATTGCTTCGTGCTTCCCGTCCTATGCATTACCTATTTGATCACATATGTAGACATGGCCATGTCGGGATATGCGTCTATCTTTAGCCCGAAGGAAAATATGAACCTAAAGAAACGAGGATAACTGGTTGGATAAGCATATCGTTTATCTACATTCTAGTCAACATAATCAAAGGTGTATATGTTTTTCCCAATGAAAACACAAATGTAGAGCCTGAATACCTGCAGTTCGAGTAGCCGTCGAGTTTTGTGATGCAGAGAGCCTCAGTACAGAATGGGATGGTAGGTAGTTTGATTATATGGGGTAGCGTTGCAATGGCTCTCGCAGCGTGTCATCACTTTCAGAGCTTTGAAACTGAAAGGGTTTAGTGTCGTGTTCCGCACCTGCATACCTTCTACTCACGGTGACATGATAGAAAATTGAATGGCATCTCATTCGCATTGGATGATAATCTACTTTCCTGGAAGTTACCCACTCTTTTGGTGGTCTATTGCCTTTTCTGATCAGTCAGATTCATGGCTTCCTTGCCTCGTGGCGAGGACTCCTCATGATGTGCTGTATACCGTTCAGAAGTGATTAGCTACCTTGGAAGTTGACCTCAAGCCAGCAAATTGCTTGGCATAATATCTACTATATAGCCCGACCAGTTATCACTTCTCCGTCTAAGGGTTGTACTGCATGACACTGCGACTCCAGCTTGGATGCAAGTGGGGAGATCGTCGTGGGGTCGCGAGGGGTTTTGGTAGGGGTGACGGTTGTATGCTGAATGCATGACTTGGATAAAGGGAGAGGGGAATAGTGGGGCTTAGACGCGTGGGTAATCGACCATAGAAGAGATGGTGATGATGTCTGGATGGCTCCCGCACCTTTCGCCGCCTGGATTTCCGCGGTGGTTTTTCCGTCGGGGATGCATACTTAGGGCTGCGGCGAGCGGAAATCTGACCCACCTCACTCTCTTCGACAATTCGGTAATTGTCTGAGTATACTCATGTCCAGAAAGAAATACTCTCCTGTTACTTATATTCCCTGCGACTGTCATCAATTGCTTCTATTCTCAAGCACAAACATCTCCACGATAAACAGCTCACCATGTCTCTCCCCTCCCACTTCACGCTCAACACCGGCGCCAAGATCCCCGCCGTGGGCTTCGGCACCTGGCAGGCCAAGCCGCTGGAGGTCGAGAACGCGGTCGAAGAGGCCCTGAAGCAAGGCTACCGACACATTGACTGCGCAGCCATCTACCGCAATGAGGCCGAGGTGGGCAATGGAATCCGCAAGTCGGGGGTGCCGCGCGAGGAAATCTTCATCACCGGCAAGCTGTGGAACACGAAGCACTCACCGGAGGACGTGGAGCCGGCGCTGGACAAGACGCTGAAGGACCTGGGGGTGGACTATCTAGATCTGTACCTGATGCACTGGCCGTGGTATGCCCTCGTCTCTTCACCCATCCCCAGCAAGAGCGACCGGCTGCTAACCCATGAACCCCCCGCTAGCGCCTTCCAACCGGGCGACAAATGGTTCCCGCTCGACTCGGCGGGCGTCTTCGCCCTCGCGCCCACCGACCCCGTAACGACCTACAAAGCCATGGAAAAGCTGCTGCACACAGGCAAAGTCCGCGCAATCGGCGTCTCAAACTTCACCACCGACCGCCTCGCGCACCTCCTCACCCACGTCGACGTCGTCCCCGCCGCCAACCAAATCGAAGCCCACCCCTACCTCCAACAACCCGAACTCCTTTCCTTCTGCCAGAGCAAGAACATCATCGTCGAAGCCTACTCTCCGCTCGGCAACAACCAGACCGGCGAGCCCCGCACCGTCGACGACCCCGCCGTGCATGAGGTCGCGCGCTCCCTCGATATAGATCCCGGTGCCTTGCTCGCGAGCTGGGGCGTGCAGCGTGGTACTGTCGTGTTGTCGAAGAGTGTCACGCCTTCGAGGATTAAAGCCAACTTGGGGGTTAGGGAGCTCCCTGAGGAGGCGTTTGGGCGGTTGAATGCGTTGGAACGCGGCAAGAGGTTTAATTTCCCGGCGAGGTGGGGGTACGATATCTTTGGGGAAGTCGGGGAGGAGGCTGTGCGGAGGGCGGCGGTTGATGCTGCGGAGGAGAATAAGGTTAAGTTTACGGTTTAGGATTCTTGGTTGGGGGCGGGGTGTGGTTTGTTGGTGGTGTAGGTTGTTGTTGATATAGATTTGCTTTGGTTCAATGTGATGATTTATGGCTATTTATGAAGGTGCCTTCATGTATTATCTGTTTGATGGTGTGATGAGCTAGTTTGCTGTGATAATACATATTGGGTATCTTCTGTTGTACTCGCCCTGAGAAGTCCACACTAACGCGTTCTCAAGTAATCAATGGTTTAAATCATTACGTCCTCCTCTGTGGTGGTGTTCATCCGTTGACACATGTCTGGCTTTTCCGGAAGCTGGTCCTCATTCTTACGGAGAATATCTTCTCTCTTCGGTAGAGATCTGGTCTCGGGACAGTCAGCGAGACGAAGGACATCGCACAGCCAGGCGAAACTCTCGGAGGAGATCCCATTGCGTAGAGTCCAGTTTAGGAGCTCGGTGTGGAACTGCGATACAGAGTCTAATAGCTGTGTTAGTATAACCTGAGATAGAAAAGAGGTGCACAGTGGGGCTCACCCCGACTGGACTGAAGGGTTATAGGGGGAAGATTCATGCAAGGAGGATTGGTAGACGAAGGCAGGTTGTTTGTGTTATGTTCATTGGTAGACGGGGCCGCGGTGGCTGGTTCATCAGGTGACATCTTGTCCGAAGACTCTTCAACGGCCGGCTGAGTGTCCCAGAACATCTTGTAGGAGGTCTGTGGACTGTCGGAGTGCTGCTTCTTGAAGGGTTGTTTATCGGAGGAGTGCTTCGCGGGGCGCTTGTTCTCGGAATGCTGCCTCTCGGGATATAGCTTGCGGGGAAGCGTTCTCTCCGGGGAACGTTGAGGGAGGAAGATCTTGTTGACAGACTGGACATTTACTGGCGTCTGGTTCAAATGTCCGATAGTAACAGATGGCTTGTCACTGCGCGGCTTGGAGGAAGGTAGTGGCGCGTCGCACGTGTCATGGGAGGGCGGCACGGGGTAGTAGGAAGGCTGCTCAACGAAACACTGATCATTATAGGATGACTCATCCGAGTGTTGTTCGTCGAACGAAGACTCGCCGTCAGATTCATCATCGAGCGTAGGCTCATCGTCATTTTTATCGTCGAATGGAGGCTCAACGTAGTATGGTCTCGGAGCCGGATCCCAGTACTGCTCAGGATTCGAAAACGCATCCCACTTCTGGTCGTTGGTTGAAGGGCTATCGCAACACTCATCATCGGAAGTTGACTCGCGGCAGCACTGGTCTTCCAAGGACGGCTGATCCCAGCAACTTCCTCGGGAAACTGGCTCAGAGTTGCACTGGCCATCGTGGGTTGGCTCATCGTAGCCATGGTCGTCAGAATCGAACGACGACTCGTCAGGGCGGTAGTCATCGAAGGGCTCTTCATCGGAAGACATCTTGACGAGCAGCTCAGTCAAGACAAGAAATACTCGACAGCAAGGTGTACAAGCTCGGTGCTGAGGAAGTGAGAAGAAAGACTGAAGTTGTGGTCCAGGAATCATTGAATGCTTCAGTCCAGCTCTGTGAGTTCCCAGGGTCAGGTGACCGCCTACTTTGCTATGTTCACTGTATGCATGGCTTGTCTGAAGAAACTTAGAGGGTTTAAGGATGGAAATGGAATTCAGGGAACTATTAATACTGCTGGCATTCAGGGTATTAGAGACTAACACGCAACGATATTCATAACATGGAACAATCATGAGCAGTTCGAAAACACGTCAAAAGGTCATAATCATATTTGCAGTATGAAAACAGACAGCAGCACTTTTGAGTATCTATATGTAGCATAGTAGAGCGAAATGGTAAATTAGCAGTGGAACATGTTATACTCGAGACGATCTTTCTCCAGGCTTAGTGTAAGTATGTCCACTCGGTTATTCTGTGTGAATATGAATGCATTAGTAATTATGCAAGTGGTTGAGTCTAAAACGGATATGCCTTGTCCACCTGCCGGACTTTTCAGGCAAGAGCAACCGCGGGGACCTCAAGCGGAGGCGGCAGCGGAAAAGGAGCGGATTTCCCCACGCCTCGGTTGTTGTTTTCCTCCAACCCCTCATTCGGATTCCCCTTTCCAGATCCGATCTGCGAGCACTCCACCTGATCCTTCGAAAGTTTCAGAAATGGACAGAGACAGAGCGGGGCATCTTTTTCTCACTTCGTCTGATGCAATCAATTCCGGAAAATGACCGACCGACGGATATCCGGCCGAATACCATCGACGGTCACGGCAACCGCACAGAATCATAAGATAGAAGAATGAACGTACCACTTGCCTCATCCTCATTCCAGGACTATCTCCTTCACACAAAGCACGCATCATGGCAGCCGCAGTGCAATCGCAATCTGCGGTACCAACGCCCACTCTCTCGCCACCGACCAGTTTTACCCCCGTGAGCGCCGCCTCGTCAGCCACGTCCGTGGATGAGCAAGATGCCGTGGAAGAGAACTTTGACACAATAGATCATCTCCTTCAATCACGAGCCAAAGGACGTCTTGGAGATGAGCCCATCGTGGCCTATCCTTCTTTCGGTACCAACTACATCTACTACAGTCCCAAACAGGTGAGACTCACCACAGCGCTCACAATCGCTATGTTCACTAACACAGTCTTCACTAGCTTGACGCATTCGTCGAGACAGCTTCCATACATTACGCCAAAGCTATCCCTCAACGACGTTCGTCTGAGGACCCAGTACAGGTGGTGGGATTATTGGGCCCGTCCGGCTTTGAATACCTGATCACACTGCTCGCTCTTTCGCGACTAGGACATACAGTACTCCTGCTATCGACTCGCATTGCCGAGGATGCCTACGTTAGCCTTGTCGAGAATACGAAAGCGTCGTTTCTCGTCACTCATACCAGCTTCCATGCCACTGGCGCCAAGGTAGCGCAGAGGACGGGCATCAACCTTCAGCCATTACTGTCGCGTGAAGATTTCGACAATGTCACCACAGGCACCGTGAGGCTGCCACCAGCTGAGTTGGATGGGACAGTCGAAAATAAGCATGTGTGTTGGATCATCCACTCCAGTGGCTCAACAGGACATCCCAAGCCCATCTACCAGACGCATGCCGGTGCCCTCAAGAACTACGCTAACAATTTCGGCCTATGCGGATTCATCACTCTGCCCCTCTTCCATGCCCATGGAATAAGTTGTCTTTTCCGTGCAGTGCACTCCCAGAAGCTCATATACCTTTACAATGCCGAACTCCCCCTGACTGCCCCTCATCTTCTCACAACCCTCCAAGAGCACCAAGATATTCAAGTTCTTTACGCTGTTCCATACGCCCTGAAGTTGTTGTCTGAATCACCCGAGGGACTTGAGGTAATGGCCCGGTTGGAGCTGGTGATGTTTGGCGGCTCTGCCTGCCCGAAGCCCATTGGGGACAAGCTCGTGCAAAGTGGCGTGCGTCTCATTTCTCATTATGGCACTACTGAGACGGGCCAGTTGATGACTTCATTTCGTGAACGCGAGGACCCTGATTGGGACTACGTCCGACCCGGGCCGACGCTGTTGCCCTACATCCGCTGGGAAGAGCAGATGCCTGGTATTTACGAACTTTGTGTCCTCGAAGGCTGGCCCTCGAAAGTAGCCAGTAACCGATCGGACAATTCGTATGCTACCAAGGATCTTTTTGAGAAGCATCCAACGACCCCCAATGCCTGGAGATACTACGCCCGTCTGGACGACACGTTGGTGCTGGAAAATGGTGAAAAGGCCAACCCCCTTGTAATTGAGGGTGTGGCCCGCAATGATCCCAACGTGGCCGAGGCCATTGCCTTTGGAGCAAACAAGCCTCGTCTGGGCTTATTCTTGATTCCAGCGGAGAATACTTCTTGCAAGACTGCAGAAGAGCTCATAGATGCTGTATATCCTGCTATCGAGCGGTGTAATGCAGACTCGCCGGCATATGCCTACATCTCCCGCGAGATGATTCGAGTACTGCCACCAGATGCAGTCTACCGAAAAACAGACAAGGGCACAGTCATCCGATCAGCCTTCTATCGAGACTACCAGAACATGATCGATGAGGTTTATGATGTTGAGGATGCTACCGGAGACCAGATCCTCGAGGGTGAGGACCTTTTAGGTTTTCTTCGCGCGCAGCTACTCGCAGTCGCACCGTCTATCAATACTTCTATGGTTGAAGATACGACGGACCTGTTCAGCCTAGGAATCGACAGCTTGCAGTCTATCCGACTACGCAGCGCTATCATGAGGACGCTTGATCTGGGTCAACAGAAGCTTTCTCAGAACTTTGTATTTGAAAATCCCTCGCTGCAGGCCATGGCCAATGAACTCACTCGGCTGCGCCTAGGACAAGGACCTAGAACCGAGATTCCCGTTGAGGAGCGCATGCAAAGCCTAATTGACAAGTACGGCTCTGGCTTCAAGGTCCATGTACCTGCTTTCCGGGAGGAGACGGGTGAGCACGTCATTGTTACGGGTGCCACAGGCTCGCTGGGCGCTCACATCATTGCTCAATTGGCAAAGCGTGATGATGTGCGGACTATATTTTGTTTGGTCCGTGCCAGTTCTCGTTACACGGCTCTGAAACGGGTCCGTCAGTCACTACGGGCGCGGGCCTTGTCATCTGAATTAGGCCCCCTGGCTGAGCACAAGATTATCGCTTTGCCTTCGGATCTGTCAATTCCTACGTTAGGTCTGGACGAAGCGACTTATGCGCAGCTAACGCAATCAGTGACAACTGTCATGCATTGCGCATGGTCCGTCAACTTTAACTGGTCCTTGGAGAGCTTCGAGGCAAGCTGCATCGCGGGCACTCGGCACCTGTTAGATCTGTGTCTTAATGTGCGCAGTTCAAACCCAGCACGTTTTTCGTTCTGCTCGTCTGTGAGCACTGTGGCCCGCACCCCAGGTAACTGGGTTCCAGAAACCTTGCCAGAATCACTCTCCTATGCACAAGGAATGGGTTATGCTCAATCGAAGCTCGTAACAGAGCACGTTGTGAATCGTGCAGCTCGGGTGACAGGAATGACGGCTCGCGTTTTGCGATCGGGGCAGATCATTGCAGACACTGTTCATGGTATCTGGAATGCCACGGAAGCCATTCCGATGATGTTTCAGACAGCGGAAACCATTGGAGCCCTTCCGCAGTTGGACGATCTCCTCTCATGGACACCCGTAGATGTGTTGGCAGCGAGCGTCATTGACCTGACCCTTGCGCCGGTTGCAAATGATGTACTCAATGTCACCAACCCTAACCTCAATCACTGGGGCAAAGACCTCCTCCCACTCCTACGCCAGGCTGGGTTGAGATTTGAAACTCTTTCCCCTCGCGAATGGGTCCGTCGTCTTCAGCAATCAAGCCGCGACCCCGATGTCAACCCGCCCATCAAATTGGTCGAGTTTTTCGCCAGCAAGTACGACAAGGAGAGCCCTAGTCGAGTTCTTCTCTATGACACCAAGCAAGCCCAGGCGGCTGCCCCAGCGTTGCGTCAAGCCGGAGGACTTACGCTCGATCTCGTTCGTCGTTTTGTGTCATATTTTCGCAGGCAATGGACCAAGACAATTCTAGAATCACCCCGGGAGGTCATTTTCCTGACTGGACCCTGCGGCTGCGGCAAGAGTACAGCCGCTCAGGCACTGGCGCAACGATTCTGCATTCCTGTCATTGAGGGCGACGATTTGCATTCCCCAGCCTCGCGGGCCAAAATGGCCAACGGCATCCCTCTTGAGGATCGAGATCGATGGGATTGGTTAGCACATATCAGAGGCGCAGTCATGGATCGGTTACAACATTCAACAGCGCCCGCCGTTGCAGTGACCTGTTCCGCACTACGAACGGTCTATCGTGATGAGCTGCGACGTCTTTCGGATTTGTTTGACTTTCCTGTCACGGTCACCTTCGTGCTTCTTTCCGTCCTTAACGGCGAGCAGCTGAAAGAGCGGGTTGCCGCCCGCTCCGCGGTAGAAGCGCACTACATGCAAGCTAAGATGGTGGAGTCCCAACTTCATACACTGGAGAGCCCGGGCCCATCGGAAAGCGATGTAATTGTGCTAGACTCAAGTCGCTCCAAGGAGAAGATGATTCAGGACGTTGAGGAGACTGGTGGAGGGATTCTGTCGTTATAAATTTAGATTGCACATAAAGTAGAGCTATGGGCATATATTGTCATAAATTGGATCAGCTGTATATGAGAAGCATTCTTCAAATAGTTTAGAGAGAAGGCCTCTCGTGCCAGTGACGATGTATCTGCCATAGTATTTTCTTCCAAGCGCCAGGGGGCTCGATGTTATCTATGCATTTGTATCAGATAAAAACCTCGGAAGAAGGGCTCGATGGACCTGCTTCCTGCTTAGCCCAGAGCGGTATATGCCTGGCTTTCATCTGTTCCACCATGTGGGCAATCAGGCCTTTGATAGCCTAACCATTGTATCATACCAAATGTATAGCGTGCTCCTCAGCTCTGTTAGCTTGGCAATGGATGATAATTTCAAAAGTCGCAAAGCAACTCGACTCATCTGAAGACAGCCAATCTATCTGTGACATTGAGTTTGGACACGCCCGGCAGCAAATCCTCCCCGAAGCGAACCGGTTTCTCAAACACGACCACCACATCTGATCCACCAAATTGGAAATAGGAGATTACCTCCCCTTTCCTCACCCGCTGGCCCTCATGGACTGTCATCACCACCGACGACACTTGCGCCATCCCAATCAGCAACACCGCCACCCGACCAACTCCTCTCTCTCGATCACAATCAACCCGCAAGTCCGACACCACTGATAGCCCGCATCGTCCGGGGTATCCAAGATCCGCGGATCCTTCCACGGCATCCTCTCTCGTCTAACCTCCTCCTTAACATTCCTCCTCAACCCCCGATCCAGCCGCAAGCCTCGGCCCTCGATGTTTTTCACCTGGTGATCCGTCCTGAAACCGACGCATGCCGCCGATGATAATGCGCCGTGCCCAGACACGCATGCATCAAACATCCGCCTCAGTAAAACACCGCTCTGTTCGTCCCCTGCAGTAGCCTCTCGATGGGCCAGATCACCGACTTACAGTCCACCGTGATCCTAACGCCGCCCGCCTGATGGACCGCTCACCAGCCATCCAGCACCGCATCAGCCACACTCACCACCACCGCCTCATCCTCGGGACTCGCAACCGGTCGCGCCAAGTCCACATCCCCACCGTCTCCCAAACCAATGATTGAGGACTGCCATCCACCGGCCGGCTCCCCCCACAATCCAGCCTTCCGATTATACCCGTCGTTCAGGTAGAAGGTATACAGCGAGGCCGCCGACTCCGGCGTGTGGAGGAACTGGCCCCGCTGCTCAGCAAAGCAGACCAGCCAATAGCTCAACCAGGTGAGGCCCGCATTCGAGGTATGGGGTTGGACGGCCGTTTGGAACCCGCGCAGCGCCGGCTGGTCGATCACCCAGTAGAAGACGACGACCTTGTTCAGCAGCTCGTCCCCCGTGCTGCTGACGCGCGGCACCCAGCGCATGTGGTCGTCGGCGAACGACAGGTAGTCGTCCAGCGAGCGGATGCCTTCCCGGGCCATCTCGTTCGCGCCCCCATTGTGCGGGTCCAACGCTGTGTTGATGGCGGTTAGGAAGGCGGTCTTGCGGTCGGGGCATCGGTGGATGTAGTCCTGGAGGTCCCGGATGAGAGGTTCTCTAGGGGTGTAGGATGTGTTGAGATGGCCATTTTTGTGGTTGGGGTTGATTGGGGATGTGGTGAATGTGGTCGGTTGATTGGGATTGGGATTCAAAATGGCATGGGGATATCGAGAGGAGGTTGCAGTCGAACATGATCTCGGGCTTGAGCGATCTGGATGGTTGGAAACTGGATTGCGGCGAGAGACAAAGTTCGATATAGGAACTTTGATCGCTATCTATAATCCATGTTGTTGGACCTATGGGCTACGATTGTCACGTGAAAGTACTCGGTGTATAAGCGTGCATTATCCCCTGGATAAGGTGCAATTAACTGGGGCGTTCCCGGTTTGGATAAACTATGTTTGTGATGCGTGGATCTCGATACAAAATTCGAGATCATACCAGATAACCAATTATTCTGGCAAGATCTTCTATCTGCGTTGTGGCACCTAACACTATATCTAGAGCTAATCCGCTCAGCGCTTACGCGCGTCGCGATCATATCTACAATTGCTTCCTAGGCGCCTTACCTCCCCTTATCGGCGGCGGGCGCTCCGGACCCCCTCTATACACCCCATCCTCATCCGCCAGGCTCCGTAACTCGCCCACATCCGTGGTCGCAACCGAGACCGACACCGCCTGACTGTTGGCATACCCAGCGGAAAGCCGGATACTCACCTGAGAGTTCTCGACACTGTGAACAAGGAGCAACGTATCCTCATCGAAAGCTGTTTTCTCGTCCGCGACAAGAAATACAGAATGATCTACCACCGTCATCGACGCATTCTCGCACAGGAATCGCGCGATTTTGCCGATGTCCCAGCAAAGAAAGGGATACGGGGACGACGCAACCGGTGGCTTGGTGGCTGAGCCTTCTGTGTATTGTTGGAGGTCGGCTGCGCTGGTTGTCGTGAGAAGGAGAAGGCTTGCAGGCGAATCGATCTTGCGTGCGGTCTCGTATGCTTTAGATAAGATAGATGCGATTACCTGTCGATGTCGGTTATTTAAGATGGGTTTGCACTCGTGGACTGTGAGGGTTTGGTACCGTAGATGACACCTCGTGGGTGCAGATGATGGGAATAAGGCTCATTGTTGGGATGTTTGTTGTTGTTGATGCTGGAGTGAGGTGACTTGGATTGAGGTGCTGTGGCGGTGCTAAGATGCTGCCAGCCTACGTCACCTGAACAAACCGGTTGTGGTCTCTTCCCTTGTGACTCATCCGCACCGAGAGGCCCGGTCATCTTGATAAAGTATCTATGAATTGAAGAACGGATAGCCTGTTGGACATGCTTCTTGATTGACCTAGACCAGCATATATTTAGTAAGAAAGATATTGCACAAAGCGCGGATTCTTAGAGCACAAATAATCTTAAAAATTATTATTTGAAGCCCTGGATGCCAAGTGCACTGTACTATACTCCGTACATCGGTCACAACTGAAATTCAGATCTCCACCCATATTAGGTGATGGATCAGATGCTCAGGGCTGTGAAGGAAGGTGGGAGGGCCCGTCACCTCTAACTACCCAGCACCTGCAGCACCACATCCAGCCAGTCCCTCGGTCCTCACGAGCCCCTCTTGACCTCTGCATTGCCAATCCTGCTTTCCATCCACACCATAATAAACAAATGAACCCCCACTTTTACATCCAATCTTCCAATCCTTTTTATCTCAGTCTCAGCCACTGGTTCGGGGAAAACCACCAGCTGCAATCAATCCGACCTTCACCAATGGCCAACGCCGAAGTCAATACCAATACTCTCGAAACTAGGATACCCAGCTATCCAACCAGCTGCTTGGAGATCACCATCCTCAGACAAACAGCGTGACAAGTCCATTCATGGCTGCATAAAGGACTTACAGCCGCCTTTGCTTGCACTGGGTCGTGGCAGCGTGAATTCCAACCGGGGGTCCTCTGCTGACCTAGCTAATACTGCGTATACCCCGCCATCTGTCGAGTGGGACTTGTTATTTTCTTCCATCACACGATTCAAGATGGGCAGACTTCGGGAGAGATTTTGGGACATGTTCCCAAAGAACGAAAAATAAAATCGACTAATATATCAAGCTCAAGCTTTGGGCGAGGAAAGGAAGAGAAGAAAGATGTACTGGTACCTGACCTTTTTGGCTGCAATCATGCTGACCAGTACCTCCCAACAGCCACACGCAGGTTCATTTGATCGCAAGCGAGGGGATCCTCCTTCCAAAAGGGCAGAGTCAAGCCAACAGTTTCCATTGCCAAGCCAGTCAAACAACGCAGTTTCTAGCGTGACCCTTGAAGATACTCGAAGAGACAGGCCACCGCAGAATATTCTGACAGACGACGAACGAAACGACCGCGCTGCACAAGCCAAAGATGCTTCCGTCGGGAAGGGACTTTGGAAAGAGGCGCGTGCAAAACTGGATGCAGACAGACTGTCGAAACTTGAGAAATTCATCGGTGACGGTGAATGTGACCTTCAAGATGCAGCCAGGGCGAAGCTGTCAGCGGTCAAAGAATACCGCACAACCGTGAAGATTGGTAATAGAAAGATCAACGTCAGGGATGGGGCGATGAAAGTCTGCGAGACAATCCTCCGCTATGATTCTCTCATCACAGCGGCTGTAGCCGCTGAACCTCATGCCAGCCTTGCTTGGGGAAGCGTTGCTGCCTTCCTACCAGTAAGACAATTAAACCCCAAAACAGGAGTGCACGTTCGTCTGACCAGCCCGCTTCCAGATTCTGTCCACGACATTATCGCAGACCGACGATGCTCTCAATAACCTAAGCGCCATCTCAGCTTTACTTGTACGATTTCGTGCCATTGAGGTCATTTACGACCTATCAGAGCATCCAGAGGAGAAATTCGCGGCCTCGAAATACATTCAAGACCTTCACGGCCAGCTGAGAACCCAAACCATTGACATGTACACTCGGATTCTAGAGTACCAGATTGAGCTCATTGGTCATTACTCACGTAACCAATTTCAACGGGTGGTCAAGGACATTGCCGTTCCATCACAGGGAATAGGAATCTTCTCGGCTATTCAAAAGAATGAAGCTGATGCCAATAACACTCTAAGAATATTGGACAGTGGTGCTATCGCGGGCATGGATCGCCAATTATCATTGCTCGGCGAAGATATCCAAAAGGTTCGGGATATGATTTTGAAAGTCAATGAAGCTGTCCTGGTAAAGCATCACCAATTTACCTTGATTTGGACTTTCTTGGCTTACCGTGACAAAGGATGTTGCACAAAATGAATTCATAAGGCAACTTCCCTGGGCAACATGTGCTGGTTTCAACGAAGGACTGGGTGGAATGGTCCCACCTTCCTGCCATGAAAATACCAGGAGAGATATACTGGAAATCATCCGCTGCTGGGGCGAAGACGGTGGCGGGGAGCAGAAATGTATTTTCTGGCTAAGCGGCATGGCCGGCACCGGCAAATCAACAATTGCGCGTACTGTTGCTCGCATATTCCATGGGAATGCTCACCTCGGAGCCAGCTTCTTCTTTTCCAAGGGCCAAGAAGATCGGACCAACAGCGAAAGATTCTTCTCGACTCTGGCGCATGATCTCGCCACAAAAGTGCCTGGATTCGATGCATGCCTATACCAAGCCGTACCCAAGCATGAGGACATGCGCACGAAAAGTTTAAAAGACCAGTGGGAGTTTCTCATCCTTAACCCCCTCCAATCCTTGGGCTCAAGATTACTTGTGCCCGTGCAATTGGTGGTGGTCATCGATGCACTTGACGAATGCAAAGGCACTGAGGCTGTACCTCATATCGTCAGTCTCTTGTTAGAGGCCAATTCACTGCAACGAATTCGGCTCAAGATTCTTGTTACAAGTCGAAATGAGAAGCACATTGTTCAGAGCCTGGATGGAAATCCCGATGTGACTCATCTGTCGTTGGAAGAAGGGGTCGGGGCAAGGAATATCGAACATGACATTTCCGTCTACATCCGGCATGAGCTTGATAGGATCGCACAATCTGCGCGATTGAAGGAACTAGAAGGCTGGCCGCTATCGAAGAAGTTACAAGTCTGGCCGAAGGAGAATCAAACCCAGGAATTAGTGCGTTGGAGTGGAAAACTGTTCATTGCTGCGGCTACCGCATGTAAATTTCTGGATGACACCGATTTCCCGATTGACAGACTCTCAAGATTTCTCGAGGCCAAGAGGACAACAGGCAGTGGGACAGACGCTCTTGACGATATGTACCGTCATCTCCTTCGGTCCGCAAGCTCCGAACGCGATGAGGACGAGCTTATTCGGCTCTTCCCCATCGTTGTAGGAGCTATACTTGTTTCCAAAGAACCGATTTCAGTATTTGACATGAAGAGGCTATTGGAATTGGAAGTCGGTCAGATAACTTTCATACTAGGCCGCCTGAAATCTGTCTTGATTGTCCCGCATGATGTAACAGCGCCAGTTCGACTTTTTCATCTCTCGTTCCGTGATTTCCTTGTCGACGAAAAAAGATGCCTAGACAAGAATCTTCTGATCGACGAGAGAAAAGCTAATGCAAGATCGTTTCAGAATTGTTTGAAGCACATTTCAAGCCGACTAAAAAAGGATATGTGTGGTCTACATCAGCCAGGCACGCTCTTTTCTGAAATTGATCAAAACCGCGTCACCCAATACATTCCTCACGTCGTTCAATATGCATGCCAATATTGGGCTTCTCATTTGAAGGACGCAGGGCCTTCCTCATCCGAGACAGGGATGTGGATAGAGGCTTCTGGATTTCTTAAGGAACATCTTCTTCATTGGATCGAGGCCCTCGCTCTTCTCGAAAGAGTTGATGATGCAGTAAATGCAACTGCGATTTTGAAAAATCTCGCCTTGATAAGTTCAGGTTCAGTTGAGTATGGATTAGATTGCCTAGTTCATGAACAAGCAGAATACCGACCATCGAGCCTTTACCGATGACGCCCACCGATTCATTCTCTAGCATCGAGCCATCATTGCAAACGCACCACTCCAGGTTTACTATATGGCAACTGCTTTCACCCCCGCGAAAAGTCTGATACGAAACCAGTTTTCGAAACACTACCCGCAATGGCTACGCAAGTCTCCTGCCATTGAAAGTCATTGGGGCCTCGAAGAACAGGTTTTTGCCACAGGTGGTCCAACACAGGCTGTAGCGGTATCTCCAAACGGAACATTGGTGGCAATTGCCACCAATTTTGCTATTACTGTGTGGAATGCAATGACTGGAAAACTGAATTACACCTTCGAGGTCATTGACTTCCTGCCAGAGAAGGCCAATTTCCTGGTGTTTTCTTCGAGTGGAGATGCGCTCACAGTTTCTTACCGAATAAGTTCAGAAGAAGCCAGCGGTGGGTCTTACGTCGGAGAGGGTGGTATAAGAGACACGGGAAACAAGCAGAGCGGCTTATCACCACTTTTTCTCCAGACGGGACGCGAGTCATGCTTTATTCGAACACAAAACGTGGTTTCCCACTAGCAGTGTGGTGCGTCGCCAGCGGAAAGTGCGAGTTTGAAGTCCACCGGCCCAGAGAGATATTCAGTGTCGCAACTCTCTCACACAACAACACCTTGGTGGCAATGGGATTTCGACTGACAGATGGAGTTGAAATTCAAGGAATCGGAACCGAGAAAATAAAGCACATCAGATTTGCGCTTTTCATCTATAAAGTTCCATCGTGCATTGAGTTCTCGCCTCATGACACTAGATTAGCTGTCGGATGGGATCCAGGCGTGGTCACGATCCACAACATCGCTGAAGAGAACATTGAATATGTCTTGGAGGCGCAATACCCTATTGCCAAGCTCTTGAAGTTCGATGCCAATGACCAGTGGGGTGAAGATCCTTTCTATACTTTTAATAGTTCGCACGAGTGGATTCTTTATGACAACAAGAAGGTCCTTGCTGTACCCTCAGGGTTCCGTCCGAAGAGATCTGTGACAGGTGATTTCCCTTGGCAAGACTACGGGGCAAATACTGTTGTATTTCTAACTGAAACTGATAGCCTTGGCACCTTCATATTTCAAGATGTTCCTACAGTGCTTTGAAATGAAAGGCATGCAATGCATCGGGTTCGAAAGGATTGTCGAAGCTGATATATAAATCGAAGTGTTTTCATTCGGTGTGGGGTTTCGGTTTGCGGGCACAGTACTTGTCGTACAAACTTGGTCGCAATGTGCTATACATAGCGAAGCAACATGAATGATGAGCGTTTGAATCCGTCAGACCTTATAGCTTTTTCCTCTTCCCTTGAAAAAAAGGCAAAAGCACAGGCCCATGTTCTATATCAGAGCTTGTAATTAATCGCCGTTCGGCCAACCGTATACAATCTACTCATCATTCTTCATCAAATTCTGTAGATAGAGCTCAACATGCAGCTTCCTGAGTATAGTCTCCAATGAGCTGGCAGACTTGTCGGACAGCCCAAGGAGAATATGTTACATAGTGTAGCCAAGTAGCAGTAAAAGCGAAGACTAGACATGATCGGTGTTTGAAGGTGGACCTTGGATATTGATCTTTCTCTATGTGAAATAAATATTTCAAAGCTCAATTCAACAATTTCCGATGTGGTGTAATGGTCAACATCGCTGTCTCTCACACAGCAGCTCGGGGTTCGATTCCCCGCATCGGAATACATTTTTTCTGATTCTTTTTCGTGCCCTTTTTGCCAGTTGAATAGGTGGGGTTGCAAAAGTCTGCGGCGGAGCTCAGGGGATATGGCCCGTGCGCGCGGGGGTGTACCGTCCAGCCGGGTCCAATAGGAACCTGAGCTACGGCAGCCGGTGTGTCCGCTCACCGAGAGATTCATCATCAGTGCAGCATCACAGAAAAGGAAAAAGTATTTATGTCACGCGGGAACTGTGAGATTGCGGGTATTAGGCTTGGAATACTGGTCGTATTCCCTTGGATGGCTAGCCCTCTTCCATGAGAGCTACGCTGCGGCATGGATACTACCAGTTAATTATACTAGAGGTATGTCTATATAGAGGCTCGTATTTTCAATCCCTGGCTTCTTCCTACTAGATGTTTTGAGTCCGGATCTTTAAGCCTTGATTATCAGCTATGATACCCAGCGATAAGGGTATAGTGTTCAACATTACCAATACTTTAGTGTCATACAGCGTGTTATTCGACACAATCATCGAGTAGCGCGGCGACCGACCTCGGCCAGAGGGCATAAGCCCACCGCACTGGGCTTATCTCAGAAAGAAAGAGTTCTGTTCTCCTTGCAATGATAGTAATAGCGATGTTCGCTTTCTTGGGTTGGCTTTGAACAGGCGAAGATATCAAGGTATTGCAAGTCACTATCAGGCGTGAATTCCTGTGAGAAAGAAATATATCTTATAAGATGCTTACTTTGGGCCGTGTGACTCATGAGCGAAGGGCGGTGATCTTAATTGTTTTGGGTCTATAGAGAATCTCGAATGCTGCTGGCTCTTGTTCATAGACTACTGATGCCAAATTGCAAAAAGCCCAGTATACCAGTGTCCCTAGCATCTTCCCATTCAAGGGCTTTACAGCCCAACCAACCATTTCATGAATAAAAACACCCTGATGTCAAGTTTATATACATTATTCCCGACCAAAGAACCCTCAAGATTCTATTACGGATAATATAGCGTATCATTATCAAATCTTCTTCGAAATCAGCGTCTCAAATGTGGATGCTTTGACAGACAGTTGCCCAAACAGCCTCGAAAAGGACCCAAAGGACGCGAAGACAGAGGAAACGGAGGATATTCCTACGGCCACTTAGAAGGTTATTTGGTAAACCAAATACTCTAAGCAGTGGCCGCTATATCCTTCCGTTCCTAATACACATATACCTAATGTTGACTTAATTGCCATTACGTAGCTCCAGTTGGTCCACTAGGTCGGCACCCGAACCACTTCTCTTTCAAAGTCTCGAAATGACTGAGATCTTATCTCACAACTCAGCCAGTTTTCATTAATGACCTATCTGTCAGATGCCGGTAAGCCATTCGCAACCAGGGTACTTCATATTCCGGTTCGTCTGGATCCTTTGTCTGCGAATTTTTTGTCTGCGGAGAGAGGTCCCGAGAAAAACCCTAGGAAAAGTCCTTTGATCAAGGCTCCATGTAAAGGTATATATTGAGATCACTAGACCTCAATATCAGACATATCTTCAGGGACTAGTAATTTGGCTTTCGTCTAGCTACTTCTTGAAGTTCTAGTACTTAGGACTCTTAGCCTCTTACAGTATCTACCCAGCTATCTATCCTCAATCGACACAAGAATGGCAGCAGCATCCGGCTTTATTCACTGCCAGAAATGTGGCAATGGTCTAGTCAACCTGGGCATAATGTGTCTGGCGACGCAGGTCATGCAGCTCGTCTTCACATTTTCCCATGACGATTGGGATATAGCTGGACGCGTGGTGGTGCAAGGTCTCGCATTGATTATACTCCTTGTTATTTGGTCCATACACTTGGATAATTGGCAGGACAACCTGGAACACTGCTCGATCCATGCCAGAAACAATTCCTTCATCTTTGGGCTCGTCGCGGCCAACCTCTCCCTTGCCTACCTAGGGGTGACACAGCAGAGTGCGCCCACGTTGACGCATGTCACCTGCGTTCTGTGGTCCGTTCATGCGGGGCTGGTTCTAGGTACGTTCTACTACGTTCTTCTAAAAGGGGCACGGAATCATGGTCAGCATGTTAAGAAGGAATAATTTGAGCCCTTATGGTGGTCACGAGTCTTACTGCGGCTTCAGGGGGTGGATTTCCTTACCTTTATTGCTTCTACATATACACTCGGCGAGGGAGTGCTATGAGGATGCGGAGAAGCAGGTGGCTGGACTGGTTCAATAGTAGAGAATTCATGTACTGTATTGTATTGTACATGCACAGTACCTGACTTTGCTTCTTATTTCAGGATACCATCAACTTAACTGAATATTTCATCGAAATTTCAATTCTAAAAATAGTTTCATCAAATGTTGGACTTCATTCATAAAACTATTACTCCGCTCACGATGCCAAAACTTACAGAAAGCCGTCACGACCCCGCCATCCTTGGTCCGCATCTCCTCAAATATCACCTTGAACTCCCTCAGTTGGTCTACCCCATACTCCGTACCGCTCAATCAGTCAAAAGCGGCACCAACTTATTATAAATCTGAAGAAGAAAAGAAAGTGACAACGTACAGCAAGGTTGATTCCCGCCGGAACTCCGCTCAATAAGCACGGGTTTCCTAAAACGGCAAGTCAACGGGCGGCTGCAGCCTAGAGAGATAAGCCGCTTACCTCAGGCCACACTCAGGCTAACTTCCCCGCTTCCTCCTCCTTCTTCATCTGCATCGAAGTTCATGATCTTTTCTTTCCATTCTCTGGTAGCATACCATTGCAGGTGGATCCAATTGACAAGTACGATTCGAGGCTCAAACAGCCATCAGAATGGTTCGACGGTCCAATACCTCCTCCCCCTTGACTCCGGAGTTTGACGTACTTGTTGAGGAGAAACTCGCCAAATGGAAGGTCCCCGGCCTGACCGTGTCTGTGATTCATGGATCAAGCACCTATGCCAAGGTAAGCACTGTTTAATCGCAAAATACATCAAAGAGCATGAGATTAACACAATGCGTAGGCATACGGAATCGCCGAATTCCCAGACAAGAAAATGACCGTCGAATCTCTGTTTGATACTTGTAGTACCACAAAAGCCTTCACTGCTGCCCTCATGTCGATGGTCATTGATGATAGCAAGAACTCATCGACACCAATCACCTGGGATACACCAGTCTCATCTTTGATCAGAGATGATTTTGTCTTGGCGGACCAGTATGCCACCGCAAACACCACCGTCGAAGACATGCTTTCCCATCGTTCCGGCTTACCGGGGCATTTTGGGTCTATGTCACTGGCCTTTCCGAACGAGACCCTCCGGGGGGAAGTTCGAAAGCTACGTGATCTGCCCCTAGCGTTTGCCCCACGCACGACATTCAATTACTGTAATCACATGTTCATGGTTGCGTCGCATGTGCTGGAAACGCTGTCGGGTGACGACCTTGGAAGCATCATGAAGAGGCGGATATGGAAGCCTCTTGGAATGGATGATACGTACTTCTCTAACAAAGACGTTCTGGCATCTCCATCAACTGCACAACGCCTGGTAAAAGGTTATACGTGGGACCCCACCACGGAACGCTATGTCGAACGCCCGTACATAGACTATGCACCTACTACCGGGACCGGTGCCATTGTCAGTAACGTTCTCGACTACGCTAAGTGGATACGCACGATGATCTATCAAGGAGCACCGATCTCACCTGAGGGATATAAGGAGCTTTTGTCTCCGCGAACAATCATTCGAGACTGGGAGGACTTGATTGTTCCTCCTGCCCCGTTCCATCTCTACTCGCTCGGCTGGTTTGTGGATAACTATCATGGCGAGCAGTTGTTCTGGCATGCGGGAAGCTGGGAGGGATTTGGAATCATGGTTGGTTTTGTCCCGAGCAGACAGTTCGGCTTCGCCATGATGGGGAACACGCAGAAGGCCAGGTATGCGGAACTTGAGCTATATCTCTATCTTCTGGATCGCCTGCTGGGCAAGTCAGATGAAGGTAGGGAGACATATATAGCCAAGATTGAGGCGTTTGTGCGGGAGAGGCAGAAAACCCAGCTGCAGAGCCTGGAGGAGGTGAAACAACGACTGTTCCCATCTTTTACCGATCGATTTCCGCTTCCTTTATCGTTGGATGACTATACGGGTACATATTCGCACCCGGGTCACGGGCCTATCACACTCTTTATCAAGGATGAAAGACTTCATGCAGACTTGATGGATCGAGTGGCAAAGGCATGGATGCGCCTGGAGCATGTCAGTGGGCTGTTCTTTGTGGTCAAGTTCTATAAGCCTGGGGCAGAAGGAGTTGACCCTGAGTATACTTCGGCGCAGTTCTATGTGGGTGTGACGGGCGTGGTGGAGAGGCTGGGTCTGGATTTGGAGCCCGCACTGAAGGGGCAGATGATCTGGTTTGAAAGAGTGCAAGGATAGCAATAGTGTTTATGAAGTTCGCTGGCGTGTGACATTCCACAAGTGTCACAGCATTTGCTGTGTTTGTAATAATCCCAGTTCATTATTTGGTAGACATGCAATGGAAATGGAGCCTACCAATGACCTCCCCTTCAAGTTTCACAATGGTAGAATTGATTGGGCTGTGCGGTTGCCCGCATTCATTCACTGCAAATGACAATAGGAATTGTAAATAGGAGCCTAAATCAGAAGCTCTCTTTCAAGTTATTCAAGGCCCTCGGCTCCCCCTTCTGTTCTTCCACGTCCACCACCTTCATTCACTTTCTCCCACCTTCTCTTTCCCATTTCCCATCTCTCATCTCCCGTCTCTTACTATCCTCCATCTACTATTTATCTTCCATCTTCCATCTTCCATCTTCCATCTTCCATCTTCCATCTTACTCTTTTCATTTCTCAATCTCTATCTTCCCTCCCACTTTGCCTAATTCATCTTCTATCATCCCTCTCTTGACTGCCTACCTTGGACGCGATTTTTCATGTTTGGAACAAGGTCCGGGATGACATCGAGAGGAAGATCTCGCTTGACGGGGTGAACCTGATCAGTTGTTATCGCACGGGGAGTCCCGAAGACCGCGGCGCGAGTCACCCAACAGTCGTTCTCGGCATCATGCGCAACTCAAGCAGGGATTGGAGGCGCACTCGCGAGGACATTCTTGTATCCTGGAGAGTTTTGAACTCGCGGATGTCGGCGTGCTCATTACCAAGAAATCAATCCAGCTTTGTGTAGCTAAGTCCGATTATAAAGGACGGAACATCGACAGAATGGCCGCTAATGGTGCAGCCCGCGTGGGCCAGAGTCTGGCGAACATTGATGCTTCTGGTAGCACTGATACGGGTACTCTGGGTGGTTATTTCGAGGTCCGGAGACCCACAACCAATAAATGGGTACCGGTCGTCTTGACCTGCATGCACTGTGTCATCACCCGGTCTGGCGCTAGATGCAAACAAAGTGAAAAGTAAGTCATCTCTCGAAACCCAAAATAAGAGCTCGACAGTGTTGAAAATGCTCCAGAGTATGAGGAATGGAAGAGGAGTGAGGTGCGACTCGATGATCCGGAGAAGGAATCCCTCCTAATGATAAATACGATGGATGAACTTATTCTGCAAGCCTTCGGCTTGAGCTTCGGTCATCAGTCTGGTACAAATGACAGCTTTTCCCTCGACAATAATCAACTCTATTTCTTTATTCATTCCAACATGCAATACTATTTTCGCAAAGCCTGTTCAATCCAGTCGGTATCCATATCAATGTCAATCTGATTGAGAACTCCCTCCCAAAGCGCCGGATCATCATTAACATCGAAGTTGAAGGAGAGATCCTGCATCGAAGAAATGTCTTGATTCTGTGGTCTGTGCGCAGTCGGTGCAGGCTCTTTCAGGGCGTTTGAAGATGGCTTGGACCTCTGCGTGGTGGCGGGGGTGACCGGTGTGAACTCACTGTTGTCTTCATCAGTTCTTCTTCGGCTGGGGTCAATGGTAGATTGTAATTCAAGGAGCAATGAGTGGCGAGCCTCAAGGATGGTGTTTCCACGATCGGCCATTCCCCGGAGAAGATTTAACGCAGTCGTCATGGAGTGTGCATTGAGATCGTTATGTGGAAATGCCGCATTCACCATCACCAGCAGAAGAGCGGCCGAGAATATATATTCTCCATCTAGATATCCGTAGGTGGCTGAATGTGCGTTAGATAATCATGTCCAGCGGTATGATTGGATCCATATGCACATACCAACAAGATTCTGCTTTGCAGCGGCGTCCATGACCATAATAGTAGCGCGAGCTGCCGAGATACAGCTCTCAATAACTTGTACTGCATTCTGGGAAAGACCCTTTTTCCAGTCGCCGGTTACCGACCCCGCCGTTTCTGCATCGAGCCGACGCTGGATTACATAGTAAACCAGCGGCCTTGCCGTCATATTTACACAGGAATAGAAGTGCAGAAATAGAGATACGGATGCACGGTTGACATTCGTGCCAAGAGCCGAGAAGTCAATGCGTAAGCGATCGGGTACCCGCCGTAGCCAGTCGAATAATTCATCCATGATACTCTGTACAGAGAGGACTAGGTTCGAGCCAGAACGAGGCTTCTTCCGATATATCTCTATCATTCGAATGTTAACACTGTCATTGGAAGAGCTTTGAAACGGGGCTCTAACCTTCTCCGACACGACCCATAGTCCTGGATAGTTGGGTATAGTATATTAGCGCGTCGCCCGGATTCTAGTTAGAGTCAGTCGATGCTCGCTCATCATTATAGAATAGACATCCTTACGGTAGGTTCCGGCCAGGCGGTGCCTATATCTTCATCTTGAATAGTAATGGGGTTTCCTGACTTAACGGATAGGAGCCTAAAAGAGCCCATGAGTTGGTCTTGTTCTCTGTTCCAGTTGACTCCGGCTTACCGATCGAGGCTGTATACAGACCACCAGGATCGACGTCGACGATTTCGATCCTCCTCACTCATCGTAGGGTCGGAGGCTTCTTGATGCAGCCCTAAGGAAATGGCCATTCGGAGCGCGATACCGATCTAATGATCATCAGTAAGAGGTGCCGCACGAATCCGAAACACGATAGCAACGTACATAGAGAAATGCTGCATCTCGGCGATTGAGATTCTGCATGTAATACGCCACGTAGCAAAGCACTTCAACAAAGAATATAGAGCCTTCTTCGTGAATGTCAGGTAGAAAGCGCAGTGCATGTTTAAAATACTTGAAGCCCGGGGGACCATCATCTCCCGACCATTGATTCACCGAGTACATCAGGCCATACGAGATAATAAGCAGGACCTGGCAATAGACTAGGCATGATTCTCGGCTGCGTAGATCGGGAGGCTGGTGATAGACTATGTTCAGTCGCTCTTCGTAGTCTCGAGGCTGGATGAGAGAGAAGATAGTCCCGATGTAGCTATACTGCACCCAATATAGACGCTTGGCGTACTCAAACGGCGGTAACTGTGGGAGTGCCGGGCTTATCGAGCGACGCAAGGAAGTTGGGTCATCATACAATGGACGCACGTCCCATGCTAAATTCTTTGAAGTGGGATTCAGACGCTTGGCTAAGTGAGTAGCAGAAGATGCCCCAATGAATTCTAATCAGTATGTCAGCGTCTTCTTGCTATGGTTAGGTGAAATCGTACGGTGTTCGCCCGATCGGCTTAAGAGGAGGTTATCGGCTCCATTGTACCACCAGTCATCTCTCTCTAGCGAAACCTCGACAGGGTTTGTAGAAGTACTTGGAGCAGCTGGCGTGGAAGTGGAAGCTGATGGTGGAGGGCGATTTCCGTCTGGGCCATTGCAAATTAGCCAATGAACACCACCGTCAATAACGATTTCAGGGTCAATCGCACCTTGGCGAGAGGCTTGCGCATCGGACAGCAAACGACGGAAGTAACTGGCTGGTCAGATGTGGCCTGGTTATGTATCGTACTCCACTCACCTTTCAGTAATTGACACGCGTTTCTCGGCTTCGGAATACACACAATCATGACCAACATCCTCGATGCAGCGCATGGATAGGGCGGATTGCCAGCGCAGCGGGTTTTCCTGTTGCGACAGCGATTGCATCTGCAGCGAGATATTAGCTGCTACCATATTGCAGCAAGGAAGCTCGGCCCGTCCATACGCGACCATCGACCGTCTTGCGCTTGCACGATTATCGGCGGAGCGATGCTGGAGGCCGCTACGGGCCTTCCCATGAGCCATTTGCAGATCTTTTGTTCCTAGCCTGTGAGCGTAGCGGCCATATCGATGCGAATGACGGAAATCAAATGTCTTGATATGTTGTTCGAATTGTGGGGGGCGACGGCAGCTGATAAGAGAGATCGCGCACGTTGACAGTTTAGTCACGTTGATAAGCGTCAAAAGTGGGAAAGATTAAGGATCAGAAAGGCAGAACAAGAGGAACACAGTCTGGGACTGATTCCAGTTGGTCCACAAAGCCCTCGTGGTGTTTCACACGAAGTATGACAAGTCAAAAAGACTACTTCGTAGACAAATCGGCTCCAAACATTGCGGGGAAATCCAGACGCGAGGCCAAGGCGGTCAACCCAATTGGGAGCAAGATCCATGATTCCAAGTTGCCCAGCACTTGGGTTTGCTGGGCATTTCACCCCACGCGATCGATTTCCACATTCATCTACTAATCTACCACCGGTTCCCCGAGGTTTTTCTTGCTGCAGATCACTCAGCCTACACTTACTGAATATAACTTTCCTTTGTTGTGGTCGGTCCACATTTCACTGAGGAGCAAACCTTTCGGCCCGATCGCCCTGTGACCATCCATGCGCCCGGGAACCAGATTCATATCACGTAACTTCAAACGACTGGCCTGCCTTGGAGCACCTCCGGGCTCTAGGCTGAACCCACCCGAGGCAGCTTGTGCTTGAGGACCTTTCAAACGTGTCGCAGGGTTTTCTTGGAGGAGGAATGACGTTGAGAGGATGTTTTCTCCGATTCATTTTCTCGACCCGGTTTCGGGATAACGCGGCTGGAGGAAATTATGTCCCCCCAATCGTCGCACAACCAGCTAAATGAGAGCTCTCATCTTCTGATCTCTTCTTCGACATGAAAACATCTTACAGATGAATTCTCAACGGTATCGAGAATCGCTGCCATGCTGTTGGGCGTGCTAGTCGTGTTTCTGGCCTTGCTGGCTTTTGCCAACGCTTTCCGCCAACACGCACGCTTGAAGTCCATTCCGGGTCCCCTAATTGCCGGGGTCTCACGATGGTGGCACATATACATGCGTACTTCCCAAGACTACGGTCGCGAGCTTTCCGCACTTCATGCGAAATATGGGAAGATATTTCGCTTGGGACCGAACCACATCAGTGTCTCGGATCCAGAAGTCATTTCCCAGCTTTGCCTGTCCCAGACGTACAGTATCAGTGTAGGTTCACCACGTTATGACCCAAGATGAAATCCCTTGCTGATTTGATTAGCTATCTTCCAACGCTCAGATATCTCCCAATTTCGATGATTATGGTGACCACGGTACTCCGACAGCTTCGTTCAGACAGCCGATCAGATTTGACGAATATGAAGGCATCAACGATGTCCCCCGCAAACAACTCTTGAGCGCTGTAAATAGACAGCATTATGTAGACTTGGCAGCCTGGTTGAGGATCTTCGCTACGACATTCATCGACACATTCATATTCGACGAACCGTCTAATACGGCTCGGATGAAGACCCGATCCACGAATGCTCACTCGCCCCAGATCACATCTATAGTAGATCATATACTCTTCAACAGCCCTATATCGTCCATGAAGAGATACCGTGGCCGCCAACTCATCCATTATGCAATGCGCTCAATCCACAACCTCGCCATCCCTGCGCAAAGCGCTGGCCTTGCCAAACCAACCCCAGATTCCTCCATAACCTCCAACGACTCCATTCCAGCATCCGACGATCTAGCTTCCGAAGCCGAGTCCATGATTGCAGCTTTCGTCTCCGTTTTTCCTTTCCTTCTTCGATACCCCCAAATTCTCTCGATCCTCCAACACGAGATCGATTCAGCCTACATCACCGGCGCCCTGTCCGACACCCCTCGCTGGGGCGAGATCCGCCGGCTTTCCTACCTTAGCGCTGTGATGAAAGAGTCCCTACGCCTATCCTGTAGCCCCAATACAGACAGAGAGTTTCGGACTTCCGCCTCATATGACCTCCGATCAGAACCCGCCATCCCGAGTGGGACGACCATCATCATCTGCAACGCTTACGTCGCACAATTCAACCGCGAGATCTACGGAGACGATGCGCACTTGTTCCGCCCGGAACGATGGCTCCCCGTCGCCGATGATAACGCGCAGCAACGCAAGCGCATGGATCAAGCCCTTTTACTTTTTCATCCAGGTCTGCGCACTAACACAAGGCTCCGCGCCGTCTGGCTGGAATTGAAGAAGGTAGTTGTTCAGCTGCTGCTCAAGTTCGATGTGAGTGTAGCCATTTGCGCCCCCCGCCCCCAAAAACATACCTCTTAAAATGCCTTTGACTCACATATCCGAACCTGAATTCAGATTCAACCTCTTTCAAATACCGATATCGAGCCTACCCTGGACGTTCTCGGTTCTTCCCCGACCGTCTGCATGAGCCCGCGAAGGCCAGGGCTCTAAAACAAACCCTCAGACATACCATTCATTGGCTTTCAACTTGCTCTACTTGAGTACAGACAAAAGACGCCTTTATCTTCCTGCTTTCATGTTCTCAACCGCATGATTCTTTCTCCTCCAAAGATTCCCAGCACACCGGCAGCATTTATTTCCGCGTCTAATGTTGATTTTGTTCCCTTGCGAACGCAAGGTACCCCCTGCTTTGTCGATATCCAGTCTGTATATCTCATAATACTATCTACAATCACCCCAATCTATCTTTGTCTCTTACTACCATCCACGCTTCCTAAGATATGCGTTCCTAAAATGGGATTTAGAAAGTGGGACCCGGTCCCAGCCGAGCCTCGGCTCAATCCAACCCCGATATCAGACCCCCTTCGGGATTAGATCGGAAACTACACCTACTCGTTCGTACCACGACCAACAAAGTTAATCTGCCCAAACAACCAGGGTCTTCACTTTGTAAGTAATAACTAAGTATACCAAGCTCCCACATACCGTGAATCTATCGTCCTGATATTTCTCAGCGCAAACATACACGTGCACCCTCAAACCGGTCACGATGTCGTTACTGGTAGCGAGCTCTTTTAAAACCCTTGAGTCTTCTTGAAACGGGACACATAGTATAGTCTCAACCAATCCCCACCTCATTCTCTTCTCTTTTGAAACAATATCTTCTGTGCATAGGTAGCAAAGGTGTATCTTGTCTGTGTCCGTTGGGTGTGGAATTGGAGGAAGGTCTTCCACTGGTTCTGTTGGCCGCACAGCCCAACCCGCAGTGGGTGGGAGGATTGCCGAGTCGGGATGGAGATGCTCACAATCATTTAATATCATGAGGGAATCGTGGAATCGCAACCGATTTTGAATCGAGATGACTTACTCGTATTGCGCATCAAGTGGAGAAGGCCATAGCATGTGAGCGGTAGAATGGTGATAGCGCCACCACCAAGACATCGAGCCACCCACCTACTTTCAAGCTCAGTGCGCCAGCCACAGTCAATCACCTTGAAGCTTGAACATCATGTTTCTTTTGATCATATGGCATGGGCTGGCTCACCTGTGAGCTTTGAATCCAGCCGGCGAGGAGAACTCCCCCCATGCCTCCGCCAATGATTCATCACTGAGTTCTTCATGAATAGTTTCCTGGTATGTCTTCATTTACCGGTGCCCAGCCCATTGCCAAGCCACCGACAACTGCACATCTGAGGGGCTTACCCGAGCCAACGAATCCTGCGTGCATGAATCTTGGCTCTCCCCGTGGGGGTCAGACTCGAGCGTTCCCATCGTACTCTGAGGGATAGGGAGCTCGAGTGGGGACAGAGGAAATACAGGAGGGGAATAGCCGCAGACTGCTCGGAAAGTGAAGTCCTGCTGGTAGAGGTCGGATGGCAGGACCAGCCGAATAACAAAGCAAGATTTGCAATTTCAGAACGACGTACAGCTAGAACGACAATGCAAACTTCATTCAAAGCATTGGAAGAGAAATACGAGCTCCCTCGTCAGTAAGCCAAAAAGAGCAATAAACTCGCTTGCGCGATGCGGTGGTCTCACCGCACAGCCTGAGGGCGAAGCACCAAAGTCCGCTATCCAATTTAAGCATAGTGATTTACCCAGGGACGCGATCTGGTCCTGTGGCACAAAAAGTATATGCGTCGCCTGCAGTGCCAGTGATCAGAGGTATCAACTGACATGGACAAGGTCACCTTCCTCTCAAGTGTCCATTGGCGAAGATAAAACTGTTTTCGCTCCTACATGTCAATGTCATGCTCCAGTGGAAGCTGACATGCCGCTCACAAATGAATATGTGGGGCAACACAAGCGGCTAAAGCTTAATGCTTAGTTCCAAGTGGGTATCCAGCACCCGCGGGCCGAGAGATAAACTCAAGCATATTGGGGAGTGGGGAAGTGTGCCCCGGATGCCGTTGTCCAATTCATTCCTACCTTTGAGTGCGTTCATCTAACATGATTCTGGTGAGCCGTCAGTACCCTCTGAATATTGAGACTTCTGCTTCTGTCCTCTCACACAGGCTAACTTACCCAAGCATTGTTTAAATTGCCAAGAATCGCTTGCGAGTGGGGTCACTAGTATGTAAGCCCTAGCACTTTCGCCAAGCAGAGCTTTAGCAATAAAGGGTCTTTTGATCGACACCAAAGACTCACGAGATTTGGAATTCATTGACTCAATGGGTTGCTAAGACGCTCGCCAGGTATGAATGGGTGGAAGCTTAACCCGGCAATATACGGAGGTCAGCAAACCAGCACTCAGCGGCATTCTATCGATCAGCACAGCCTCAGGCGGGGTTGAAGGGTGTTATTCCGATGAGATTGGATTGTTCGGTCATACTCCGCACTAAAGAGGGCACACTTATGCTAGTAGGGCAAATATCCCTTTATCCCTGCGAGACCTTTCTTCGTGCATTGTCTACTTTTGAACTGGCGTGCTTATGCTTCTGCCATACCTATCTAACGGCATAGCTGTTCCGAAACGTGCGAGGGGCTCTGCTGTGCTGCCAAAAAGAAGATTCAGACCATCTATCTCCGACATTGCTGATGTGGTGTGATTCTTCTGGCCTTACTGTCTAGCAATACCAAATCATCTACAGCTTGCTTGGCATGTTTCGAGTCCCCGCTTTAGCCAAGCTGCTCGAAATTTGGAAGATGGACCATTGCCAAAATTTTGTCAGTGCAGTACAGTACATTTGACCTGAACATGATGGTATGTTGATATCCCCACATAGCATCTATTGTTCCGTATCTCCGTAACAATTCAATGAGCGCACTGCAGATCGAGCAAAAGTATACGTGAGACCTCTCCGCTACCGCTACTGTATGGAAGTAAGCTTCCAATCTCGGGGCTAGTCCCAGGGGGCAGCCGAGCGTGTTATCTACTATACAGAACTCTACCTGACTCTCTCTATACCTACTTCTTTATAAATCCGCAACAGCATATGTTTGGATCGTGTTGTGGATTTGGCACTTCCATAAAGTGGGGTTATGGGCTGAATTTCATCAACAACATAGATTCAAGCGTATACGCTCTCTGAAAAGAGTTTGGCCCCAGAACAAGAGCCAGTCAGAAAGGTATTCAGTGTCTCATGCACTGCAACCTCACTAGCAAACACTATCATCGAAGGATTCTATCCATTTACTCCGCATCTTACTAACAGGCACTAGCATCGAAGGAATGCGTCCTTTCATCCCATGTTCCAAATACCAACCGCGAAGATGAACATCACCGCAGCTTCAACCTTTCCAGACTCTCAAGGCGACAATTACCCTTACCACCAAACAAAACCTATATAAGGAACGCTACAACCCCCTCAGCTATCGATCATCAACCAAACAGCTCAATCTCAAACCATCCCCCAACCCCATTCCACAATCATCAAAAATGCTCATCCTTCAATCCATCCCCGTCCTGCTCCTCGCCATCTCCACCCCAACCTCAGCTTGGGGCTTCCAAGCCTGGCACAGCACGAAATGCACCGGCAGTTCGCTGAACACGATCGCCCGCGCAACGAAGACCGGGTGCTTCAATTTCGACATGAACGCAAACTCCCGCATCTACTCGATGAAGGGAGACTTCAACTCGGGGGACTACAAGATCGAGATCTACCCCGACGGAGAACTGCAAGGGCACAGCGGCGTGGCCCGCCCATAGTATCACGCCCGGCAAATGCGAGGTGTACAAGAAGTGGACTTCGGACGTGGTCATCTACTCGTATAAGGTGACGGCTAAATAGTTGATGCTGGGGTTTATTTGGTATGTTGCTTTTTGCCAGCTGTGTCGACCTCGTCTTTTCGGATGTTCCGGAAATGCTGATGATGGTGTGTAGATATGTGGATAGGCTCTGGGCTTCGGCTTTGATGAAGACGGTCATGGTTATCGCGTCTTTCTGCAATTATACCTAACTTCTTCTGCCGATTTTGGCAGAACTATATTCCACCGCTAGTGATCTTTATTTATAACCAAGATATTCCGGGGATATTATGTTCAAGCGAGCACAAGTGTTCCTGGCTAGCCCTCTTAGCACCCTCAGCAATGGCATAATATATGCATATGAAGACTCAACTAGTACCTAATTCCTTATCTTATCTAGCAGAAGATGCACCCTACAGTAAAACCGACACTCCATCTCACCGGCAGAAAGCCATCCCCGCATAGTGAAGGCGGTAAGCAGCGCCCATTCCCCCCTACTTACAGAAGGTAATTAGAGTATACTCCGTAAGCACCACGTTCTAGAATCATGATCCCTCCGCCCAAACTCAATTCCACACGCCGCCAAAGCCAATCTGAATAATCAACCCCCAAGCTCCCAAGATTCCGACCGGACCGGCAGTCAACAAACCAAGATCCCGCCACCGAAATGATGCACCGTCCCTCCCGATGAACACATTCCTCCGACCCATCATGACATCATGACATCACCACCACGCAGACCAACTCATCCAGACACATCCAGATTTATAACCCCTTCTCCAACCACCATCAACCCATTACTCACCCATTTCCCAGAAATAAAATGCCTCGAATCTCCCCATCCCTAAGCAGACAATTCATCCAGACTTCATTCCCTACCACATTCCAAACCCGTATCCCTCGAATTGCCGGACTCACAGCTTCTCTCTACCCTCGCTTCAATACCACAACCACGAAAGCAACCGGCTACCGCGCGTACAGCACAAACAAATACACGAGCGGCAACATGACGACGCAACCGCCCAAGAACGAGATGGTGTATTTCCCCGGCGTGATGTCGCCGGGCCGCAAGTTCGGCGTGTTCCGGAAGGTGCTGCACACGGGGCTGTACTCGCAGTTCGTGGCCATGGAGGTGCCAGTTAATGGGGAGATTGGGGATGAGGTATGTTCATCGTCGGGAACTGTGGTAAGGAGCGGAGGAAAGCTGACCGGAATTGGGGTTAGGTGCATACGGTCGACCAGACTTTGATCTTTACGCACGGGAAGGGCAAGGCGATTGTTGCTGGCAAGGAGCAGGAGGTCAAGCAGGGTGATGTGGTCATTGTGCCGGCTGGCACGCAGCATCAGTTCCTCAATGCGGGAGATACCCCGTTGGAGCTGGTGACTATCTATGCCCCTGCTGAGCATGACCCCCGCACTGTGCATCAGACGAAGGAGGAAGGCGATGCGCAAGAGGAGGCCGGCGAGGATGAGGCGCCTGAGTGGAGCCAGCGGAGTAAGAGTGAGAATGAGAAGATTGGATTGGTGAAGGTACCACAGTAGTGGGATTTGTGCTAAGGCAGAACATTCTCATTGTATTATATATGAGGTAATCAGAGTTTCAGACAAACAAATCAACTTGAATGTCACCCAATGTTGATGCCAAACAGACAGTCTCCAGTTAATACTGTGACTGACTTGTCAGATGATCAACGGTCGCAAGAATTCGTGGTTCCTTAGACGGCCTCGTCTTTCAGCGCAGCTGCAGGGCAAGGAGCTACCTCAGCTGTCGACCTGGGGCTTGCGCTGGGTCAATGAAAACTAAAGGCACGCTATTTTCGCCGCTATCCGGGTAACCAAAATTATTTGGCCGCCTAGTCCTGTATATGTTAGCGTGAAACCAGTTGGTAATGAAGCTATCACAAAAGAAATACCTGTTCGTTCTTCCTTCGCGGCTTGAGACTCCTCCGTGAGCCAGCAGTCCTGGGTATGTTGGTAGGCACGAACATATTATGGCCAAACCCAAGTTGACTACTGACCAAAGGCCAACCCGGCCGTAATCGACTGGTGAGGTCAGCGTTGAACTGACGACACTGGTTATCTCATAACCCACGAAAGAAGTCAACGGTTCTCAATCCGTGATTTGTGCGTATCATACCGCTCGCGTAAACACTAGATTTGTCAGGATGAGATATTACTAACTTTCAGAAAGCTCATTAAGCACTTACCTAAAGCCTGAAAGGAACATTGCTAGTATCGCTAGCATCTTCCTCCGGCTCAACTGGAGATCGCAGATTCTACGTCCAGGTAGCCACTGAATCGCAATTTCCACCAAGCGATCTAGAAACCCCAAAATTAAGAAAGGAATCTGCGCAGAAAAGCAATATCCTGAGATGGATCTGTTCCAGAAATGCTGTGGGGGAATGCAGAGTACAACATAAGCAATTGTTGTGGCGCAGCAGATTGCTACACAGCAAATCGTAAAGCAGACAACGCGCTGTCGAAATAGTGGATCTGGGAAGGCGCGCCGGTAGAAACTGAGGACAGAAAGTCTGACCAATAGTATCACAATGCCATAAATGATCGGATCAGCAAACCTGGCTTTTAGATATCGATTTGACATTCTTTCTGTCTTTCCGGAATCTTGGTAGACCTGGCCGGCATAATAAGTGTGCACACAGACAAGGACCTCACCGCAGTAGCCGAGAAATGCGAATAGGCTGGCAACAGAAAGCCAGTCATCAGCGCCCATATGTAGGCCCTCTGAGTATCTTGCCCATAGACGAAAGACTTGGGATATCGCAGACAGCACGAGGAAGACGGTTATCAATCTAATGGTCGTCTGCCCAACAATTTGTAGTTCAGGGGAGTTCAAAATCGCCGATGAGGCCATTTTGGCAGAGCTATGATATGAAGTTTGAAGAGCGCGACACAGACCAAGGACGTAACGGGCTAGGATCTGCGGTATTTGACGGACGTTATAAGATCTAATCTATTTTTCAAAGACAGTGGGAGTTAGTTCAACTTGATCAGTAAGTGGGAAGGGAGATACATGGTCAGCTGGGCTTCGATACCTGTACTCTAGACATGCAAGTGTATGTGATAAGAGAAAGATGGTGGGCCACGAACGTGTTGTTGCAATTGTTACTCATATGATGAGGCAGCTGCGTTGATTTGTGTGTCTCAGGGAAGGAATGGGATTGACTGCCCCCCGCTCGTGATCCTTACCCCCTGTGATATGAACCAGGCGCTGACGTAGCCAATTATTCCACAAAACGAAACTGGCCCGCGTCATTCTAGGATAGCTCTGGAGAGTGGAACCCAAGGAAGTCTGTGAAGGTGTGACGGGATACAATTCTGACTGCAGAGGGAATGGGCCTCCGCTGAATTCTGCCTTCGGCCCCGAGCCTTTCCACCGAACAATCAATATCACCTCACTCCGATATGCCAGAGATAATCTCGCCTAGCTTATAGTTTATCCACTTTATAAAGCTGTTCTAGGCGATTGACCATCATGCAAACAAAGTAGAAAGTTCATCCATATCACTGATAATGACATATGGTTCAAGTCCAACGTGGCTGACGGCGTGATTGTTGCCTCCCCTTGCTATCTCTGCTTCATGTCTATTTTTTGTCATGAACGGATACGGAACGAAATTCTGCACCTCACCATTCATGTTTAGTCTCTCCCTGTTACTGTCATGTTAGACTGATGCAGCAATGAGCTCGAGCAGAAGATGTCTCATACCGCCAGAAATGGTATAGTCTTGTTATAGACATGGCAGCAACCAAATCGCCAACTCCAGTCTACCCCATCATAATCCACGGGTGCTTTCAGCATATGTCTGCAGAGAGTCGGGGTACTCAAAGGCGAGAGATGGTATGAAAGCCGGGCATGATTGGATATCAGACTTGATATAAGATTATCATTAACAAGATCTATTCCAAACTCCTAGGTTGAGCATAAAAATAAACATCAAGCAGAAGACTTGTCCTTCCGGTATCGCTTCCAACTGACAAGCATGAAGAACACCGAGACCACCAACCCTAGGCCGGCGAATCCAATACCCAAATACAACGCTCCACGATAGCCTCGCAGCACGTCCATTCCTTCATTGTTCACATTTGACTCCACAGTACCAGCGAATCCCAAACCGAGCGAGATGGAATAGTTCACTGTAGTGGTGACCAGAGAGGCTGCAAGACCTTGGTGGTGATGATGCATGGAGTTACTCAGGATCAAAGTGCCTGATGGAAAAGACATGTCCCTGCACCTTGTTAGCCATCAGCTGTTGAGAAGTTTTGAAAGATGAAATACATACATTCCCCATGAAGTGATCAAGCTGACCACGAAGGCCTGTGCCCAATATGTTTGATGTAGAGGAACAGTCGCAAAGAGGGCCTGGCCGACGGTGAAGAAGCACATGGCGCAGAACATGATGACACTCGGAGGTAACCGACCGAGAAGGAAGCCAGTCACAAGGGCCGCAACTGCCCCCGACGGCGCAGCAGCAGACCATTTGGCTGTAGCAAGTAAAGGCGAGTCTTCCTTGATCACCTCCATGAACTGATAGAAATAATAGATGATAATCCCGAAACTGGACCAGCCAGCAGCGATGCAGCCGAGCACCCATGCCAGATCACCAGTCAGGACGGATCGGGGAATCAACGGACACGGAGCCGATCGTTCAACGAAGAGAAAGATCCCGAAGAAGACGAACCCAATGAGGAGGAGAATGTATGTATATGGCGTCGGCCATCCTACCAGCGCTGCTTGGTTCCAGGCAAAGTTGATGAGAACCAGTGCCAAAATACCGGTCATTGCTCCAAGAACGTCTAGACGAGCCCATGTCGAAAGATCATCCTTGAATTGTGGCCGACGCGCGTTGGGGATAACCAGCAGGCCTAGCACGGATAGCACAAAACACACCATGCCCATCACCCAATAAGCCCAAGGCCACCAGACGAGCTGAGCAAAGATTGATGAGAATACTCCACCAACAATGAATCCTCCTGGAGCAGTGGCCCCGAAACAGCTAAAGATCATCTCTTTCCGCAGACCGGGAGGGTATGCTCGGCCGAAAATCGCAATGGCGTTCGGAAGCAGCATGGCTGGGCCGATACCCTGCAGGGCCCGGCAGCAATCGAAGAACACCTTGTTGGACCATACACTGAACCCAGCGAGGAGCGACCACAGTCCGAACCAGGAGAAGCCGATGATAAACATGAGACGATGGCCATACACATCACCGAGCCGACCAGCCACCAGAATGAATGTGCCGACCGTCAAGCTGTAGGCTGCGGCAAACCAGCTCAGCTCGCCCGCATTGGTGGTGCCGAAGCTGTCGCCAATGATATGTGCAGGCGCGATTGACATGCACAGGCCAGCCTGTGTCATGAACTGAGCCATACATACTACAGCAATGAAGACAATCTCCTTCCAGAGAACTGAAGGAGGTTTGAGTGTTGACTGGGCAGTTTCCAGCCGAGTCAGTGCCTCGGGATCATGGTCGTCGGCCTGATCTTCGGTCGATTTATTGTGTAGCTCGTTGCCGGTACAGGTGGAATCGGAACCCGACGGAGTGAGCGCGTCGTGAAGATGACGATCTGGTTGTTCTGTGTGAATGGCCATTTTTGTTTCAACGGCTTTTACAACACGCCAAAAAATACCGCAACAATGAACAAGGCAGCGAAATGAAAGGTCGAAACCACACGCCCGGGCCTGAGCTCGGGGAAATCTCCTACGTTAAGTATTGCAGGCAAGTATAGCTCACCATAATGACTAGATTTACCGAGGACCCGCTCAATCGCCACCGATGGTGTGGAATGCGACGCGGTTTGTTGATTAAGGCTGAAGATAGTTCCTAATTAGGGCAGCAAGACGGTTAAGGCCGTGCAGACCCATACTTAAAAGTCTTGTCCCGTCGGAACCTACTCCGGACCCGACGGATTTCGCTGCAACAATGACAACAGCCGAGCCGATAACATCATATACGAGTGTGTTAACAAACTGTCGGCCAATATTTGCGTTCGCGGCCAATTCCCTCTACTCATTGCTCTTCGTACTACAACCGAAAATAGAGTCCATCGTTGCTAGCTAGCGCAGGGTCTAAACCCTCGACAGCAGCTTCGCAGACGCGATCGATGCTCGATAAAATAATCAAAGCTGCGATCCTTCAATGACTTCATGCGAGCTCGATCTTGACAATTTCCAGGGCAGCGCTAGGCCTGATCAGGAATACCGACGACCTACCTAGTATTCTCGAATGGCACAGCAGTCTACATCTTCTGGAAGAGATCAGAATCTCCACGAAAGATCCTTTCAGCACGTGGTCATCTCGGCTGGCAATTCTTGGGTAGCTTTGTTCGCACTTGTCTTTATGAGCTAGTTGAATGAAGCCTTATTGTACCCACGGTTGTATGTGCATTGATCTCTTACGAGCTCAATTCAATGCAGGTCTATTTGTCCTGAATAAGCACTCTCGGAAACTCTCTTCCGTGCGCTGGGAAGTCGGGCCTACTTTGTCCTCGGGTCTTCTGATGCATCAGTGTACTGATTCTGGACGTCAGGTTGTGAGAAAAACGCTTTGCCTTTCTTTCAGTGTCTCAACAGGAAGAATACAATAAATCTTATCTCGAGGTCCCTAGCTCTTTTGATGGTCTGCATCTCGATATTGTCTGTCTCGAGGACTCTCTACCACATCTTATCTTGCTGCGACGTGCCAAGCTCTTACCACAAACGATATTCGTATATCTTGCAGCGATCCAGGCGAGCATGGGCCATCAGAGCGATACGTTACTACATCATAACAAAAGCTACGCATCGATCACATGTTTGGATCTTCTCCTCACAATCCGACCATGCAACAACCTCCTAAGCTTGAGGGGGATGGGAATAAAACCTACACAGTGACAGCACACTGTACAATTATTCATTCAGTCCCATGCATCTTTCATTGTCAGGTCTTTAAAGCTAGCATTCTTGTGCATCCATCGTCTAGACAAGGATACGGCCAGAAATCTTGACGGAAATCGCCTCTATTGCTATCGTCCATTGGAGGTATATAAGCACCAACCATTGCCCCGGCTATTTTATGGCCCGCCTATCAGTTTACCTGAAACTATTCATATTGAGTTTGAATTCTACGAGGCCATGTTAAGATTTCTTTATCGATATGCCCCAACAGCTACTCATCACACCCCCCAAGCCGCGTGACGTCTTTACGGAGCGACAACAGTGCCAGGTTGCTCAGCTTTTCCAAGACAGCAAGATCCCCTACGTTTATTTCCTGGCACCAAGCCTTGCCGCCCGGAGCCCGGACTATAACGCAAGCAGTTGGGTCGTCCCCGATAGATACTTCGGCCGAGCCGTCCGAACCCTTCAGAGGGCAGAGTTTCCGAAGTGTGTGCTGAAAAGAGAATGCGCCCTACGCTCCCTGGAATGCCTGCGACCCTTGCCCGACTATCATTTTCATTCCAACAAGTACCCCACCGTGGAGCAATTCGAGTACGGCCACCCCATATGCACCTCGATCGACTTGTACAGGAAGTCGACCCTACTATGGATGTTTCCAGACCCCCCGATTGACATCGTCACCCCACACGATTCCTGTTACGAGGCTCGAGGGCTCACCAAGCCTGGCTTGCGCAGCTACCTGCCCTTGGCCGACAAGCTTCCGGTGACAGTCCTGACCTTCCCCAAATTCATTGAAGCTTTCATCATGCTGGCCTGCCGCGACTGCGAGGGCCACTGGTCTTTCAAGTTCTGGATCGACTTCCTCCTGTTTATCAGACGGTATGAGGAGGGGGCGCGCCAGCGCGATCCCGCCCTCGCAGACGACGCCGATAAAGCCTACCCTCTCTGGCGGATGGAGATGATCGGCGAACCGTACCGGGATTACTACAAACGCTTAGTCTATTACGACTACGATCAACGCTGGGACAACGACTGTGGCACCCAAACTTTAAGGTTTCTGCAGATGACTTTGCGGGACGTGATAGACCTACCGAAAGGCGATGGCCGCCTTCTGTGGTGCTGCTGGGGCAAACCGCTCCCACAGCATAAAGATCACTCGCGGCCTGCGTGGAGGAACGTCCGGTGTTTAGGCGAAGGCCGGCCTGAGCTGGACTTGCAGAGACTGGGCACCCAACATCGGTGTGTCCATAAACTTGCTCCTGCTCACCCGAGACCATACCACGAGCGTCCTACAGCTTTCGCGCTACCCTCGCCTTCTACTTCTCCTGCACCTTCTGAACCTACATACCCCGAGTCTGATCTCTCAGATTCTGAACCACACGACTCATATTGGATGTAGTATATATCTTCATCGCGTTATATATTACTACCTTTCATGTGTGAATCGGTTCTTTTCGTGCTCTTGATCTAACGGGGTTGCCTCTTGATTCCCTGTTATACCTACGATACCCGTCGTTTCTATTTCTCTCGAAGTTTGGTGGGCAATACTCCTGCCGGAATCGCGACTTAGTCCGCACTTCAATTGTGATACTCTATACGAACGTTAAGAAAAATTTTATCTCATTCCAATTCCTTTCTGTAATTTAATGTAATGGCCAGAGAGTACAGCTTGTGAGTACATGTCCACGGACATGCTCCAACATCATCTGCTATGAGTCCCCAGGCATTGCTTGGCTTGGACGATTAGACTCAATGCCGTGCAGATCTACGGAGCACACCTGCTTGGCATGTTTACAGGCTACAGGCTGGATGATAAAAGTCCGCCAGCATCGACTGTACATCCCTCCAAAGCCAGCTCCGGACAGTCGCTTTCCGAGTGGTGAGGAGTGACCTTAAGGTACGCCCTTTGCATACTTTCGAGGTCTCAAGCGCTGTTGATGGCTGTTGTAGTGGGTAGAAATGACAGACCAAGAAAGGCAGTTTATTAGAAGAACCCACTCGGACAGACATGCTCCGTAGGCGGTGAACTCAGAAATCATGTGACTCGGCAGAATCACCAAGCCTCTCATTCCACCGGACAATCAAACATCCCATCCTTGATCAATCCTAGAACAAGGACGCGGGAAAGGAAAAGGCAAACTTCTCTTCCAGGTGTTATTACCTGCAGTCCAGCGCAGGTAGCGTTCTATGGTGTACTTTGTAGTTATGATACTGCCGAATATCGGCATCGGCAGGGAGTGGATCTGGTGGCTTGCTCCACCTGATCTCTGCCAGATTAGCTAATCACAATCACATGCCCATCCCGGGCGGACGAGGCAGCAAGAAATTGTGAGAGTCACTGCTGTGCAGTAGGTAGGGTAGAGGAGAAAAAAAAAAAAAAGAAAAGTGAACCTCACTTACTCACCGGGTGGACTCATCCGACCGATCGCAATCAGACAAAATGTGACTCGGAAAAACCTTTGTCTCGTCTGCCTTCTATCCGTCATCATGCTGTGTTCTCTTCTCCTCAGTTCTTTGTTACCGACCTTACCATCTCGGATCGTCGTCCTCTAACGCGCTCTGTGATCGTGGCTGGACGGTGCTCTACCTTCTACCCCGCCGGAGCGAAGACAGACTGCTATAAGGTGACAAACACCCCTTTCCAGCTGTACATCGGCGCTGGAGTCACCCTCTTACCAATTTCGAACCCGCGCAGTATTACCTTGGTCGCCTTTGCCTCCCTAAAAACCATACCTCGTCTGTTTTGTCCGACACTGTTGTTTTCCCTCCAACACTCACTTCCCGTTTCCCTTGTTTTGACGGCTGCCTTCCCATACTGCCGCCATGGGGAACAGCCCCGCTGCCATCATTATCGCCAGGTAAGACTTTACCCCCCACGCCTTCTGAGCTCAGTACTCAAAGAGGACACTGCTTACGCTCGCTGTTTCATCAGACATGGCGCCCGTTTGGATGCGGCCGACAAAAATTGGCATCTGACATCACCGACTCCCTATGATCCTCCCCTCTCCTACGGCGGTTGGCTACAGTCTCGCGCGCTAGGTGCTAGAATTGTCAACCTGCTACAGACTATGGACGATGAAGCAGACTCCACGCAGAATGAAGATGAACAGAAACTATCCCCTGTCCGTGCACAAAAACCAAAGCGCAAGCGCAGGATCATCATCCATACCTCTCCTTTCCTTCGCTGTCTTCAGACGGCTATCGCAGTCAGCTCAGGGATCTGTCAAAATTCCCCTGAACCGGACTACCAACAACCATATGCCTCGATCGCAGACCGAATTCACAATGCTACACCTCATTCTATATCGAATCTGACCTTGGAGACACCGCCGACCTCAAGTTCTCGATCAAATCCGGACAGCACGCGATGCCTCTTGCGCGTTGACGCTTTCCTAGGAGAATGGCTCAGTCCCGACTATTTCGAGCAGATTGTTCCGCCTCCATCGTCTGATCGACTGATTGCAGCCGCGAAAATCGAACTGTTGCGGCGGGAGCCGAGCTTTGTTCCTAAGGCAGATATCACCACCAAACCGTCCCTCGGTTTCTTCCCGGGTGGCTGGGGCAGCGCGTCAACTCCAGTGTCTCCCGGTCCAGAGCTCAATGCGATCAGCAAAAATGGAGCTTCACCTACAACAAACTCCACGCAGGGGCAGCGGAATCGTGCCGGTAGTTGTGACGCTTTGGGTGCCGGTGAATCCTCCCGCGGGCGGAAATTGCTGAGGAAGATCAACACCAACCTGCCGTCTATTCCCGACAGCGCATATGTGCCTCCAACGCCCAGCTATGCCATCTCTCCTTCCGACTCAATTCCTGCTGGCTATGTGACGCATGCCCGTGATGCCTGCGTGAAAGTCGACTATCAATGGGACAGCATGCGGAAGGAGATGAACTGGGGTAACGGGGGTGAATACGGGGAGGAATGGAGCTCAATGCATACGCGATTTCGCACTGGGATGGAACGCATGGTCAACTGGTACGACGAGCATGATACTTCAGTTTCTACTCGTCAGCGTCAGCGACATTCCAAAATGTTGAACGGAACCGGGGAAATCGCCCAGTCTCAAGATGATGACGACGAGACTGAGACGATTCTGGTTGTGATCACTCATGGAGCTGGCTGCAATGCTCTCATTGGGGCAATTTCAGGGGAGCCAGCGCTGGTGGATATTGGCACGGCGTCGCTTACGCTGGCGGTGCGCAACCCCGATCTACACGAGTCAATCGGGACTACTTCCACTGCTTCTGTTGGGTCCCTAGACTCGGAGCAGTCTCTGGATGAGCTGTCCAACCTGCAGAGCTATCGCCTGAAGAAGGTGGCATCCACAGAGCATTTACGAACTGGGGTTAGCACTTCTGTTGTCTCGTCCCCTGTCAACCTTACCTCGCCGAGCATGTCGACGTATCGCCAGCGTGTTACCCCGCGACAGTCGACGTCTCAAGGAATGTTCATCATTGGTCCCTCTTCTACATCTGGGATGGGCTCTCAGACCTGGACGTCGGCGCGGCCCTCGACCGCCACCGCCCCCAGTGGCTCGACGGGGCTATGGGGATCCGTGTCTGCCTCAGCTGAGCCAGCGGATGACATTGTGCCCAACTTTGGCGACTGGACCACGCCGGCACCCTTATCAGCGGTGGATCAACCGGTTGCCACCGAGCAAACCTGGACCAGTAATATCCCCCAACGCGCGATGTCGCAGCGCGGTCTGTGGGGTAGCGAACCCCTGCAAAAGGATCGGGAAGCGGGCACCAAACGGCGTTGGACCGTGACCGAACGACGAAGGCTCTGATTCGCATGGCAGGCATGTGATATTGCTCATTAGCTTCTTGGCGCTGGACGCATGGTGCTTGGACGTCAATCATGATTTCACGAATTCCTTTAGTCTAGCCATGTAGTAGCTTTGAAATCTTGCTAACTTGGGAGGCATGTATTAACATCATGGATTATGTATCTAAAACACAATATACCCACAACAACCAATCGAGAACAAAAAAATCATTCCGCTCCACCTTGATTCCTGCCGCAGCTTTTCACTGGTAGCATACTTCACTTAGCCATAGCATTTGATGACCTTCAGACCCTGGACCGTGGCTCTGACACTCTCGTCGCACCGTCCGGCCCGTATTGCCATTCTTGCCATTCGACCAGCTGCACAGCAAGATTGACACGTAGTACACACCACCCCAAAGCAAGGCAACAACCGCGGGGCTCGACCCAGCTGAGAACAAACAACAATCCTTCAAGGCCATCATTCAGCCTTACTCGAACCAGTCTAGCGAGAACCGATTGGTGAGAAATACCCCTCCCGGAGAGATTCCATCCACGATCCTTCCCGCCTGCGCGCCCCTCGGAGACATAATTATTCATCCTCTCCCCTTCCCTTCGCGGCGGGAATAACTCGGCTTCCGCAGTGTTGATTTGAAATCTCTGGTGTCTTAGCTTGATCGGTACGGACCGATATGCGGAGGAATTATGATGCCAGAGTTTGGAGACTATCCCGCAGGTATCAGGAATTGGAAGTGCAACTCACTACCTTATAGGTGAGTGGGCGGGGATCGATTGGGTTTAGGCTTACTTTGGCTAGCGTCCGTTGTGGGTTTTCGTTTGGTCTGTTTGGAATTTGGAGGGGAAGATCGCGGGGAAGGAAGGACAAGTGCTTTGTTTCTTTGTCCTTTCTGGCATTATACTGCAGGAAACGTGGGAACAATGAGGCTTGTTGATGATCTTCTTCAGACGGTGTTGAACGAGAGGAGTGATTACTATGCTCGGGCATGTCAGCGTGAGTATTTCTCCGGAGGAGGAAGATATAAGAAGACCTCAAGGTCAACGTTGGTTGACCATGCTCGTTACTGAATAACCGACGCCATCTTGGATTGACAGTGCTTCTGCGCTCAAGATCTCTTTGTCGTCGAATCAAGATCAATACTCCTAGCCTTCTGCCGAAAAAATGGCGACTCAACCGAGCATACCGGCCGACCGAAGCCTCAGCATCGATCGCCTGCCACTGGCACTTGCGGACGCAGTCACAGACTTGCTAGAGGAGACTGACTTGATCAGGTTCTCAGAGACCCAACGCGGCATCTATGATGCCTATCATCACCCGAAGTGCTCTGCCTGTACTTTTGAGCCATTATCCCCGCAGGACGTATTCTATATACACGAGTGGGCAGTTGTCAGCACCCGATTCACGGTCTTCGAAATACATCGGGGAAGGTCCTTCAGTCTCCCCAACGACAGAATCCGCCTGGCTCCGGCTATTGGCGATGGTCTCCGTCGTCCAGATGTCAGAGATGCCTTTACCGAGACGTTTGCCAATACACTCGTGGAAAGTGGATTGTCGCTGTTGGCCCTCGCTGTGGCTCGTCGTCGAAGGGACGTGGTGGATATTCTCCTCAGGTATGGTGCGGACCCCAACTACGGAGGTTATCCGTGTAAGCTGAGTCCTTTAGATTATGCGAAATTGTCCGCTTGCGACCCGAATGCCATGATGGGAGCTGACGCGGGCCCGCCCGAGGGCGAGGCCCAGGCTGCTGTGGCGATGGCCGAGACGCTGCTGCGCGCCGGTGCGACGTTCACCCACCGCGATGTATGGGACCTCATCCTGTGGTCAGGGCGGGCCGACCTTGTGCGGCTGGCGGCGGCGAACGGCGCGGAGCACGGCAAGATGCTCCATCACCTATATTGGTGCGACGGGAAGAATCAACCAGTGTTTCGCGGCGTGGACGCGCTGACTTCTATCCTTTACCACCCGTACCATGCCGTTATCGAAGGAAGGGTCAGCGGTGCCGTCATTCAGACGATCGTCAACGTCGAGCCCGTGCTGATGAACCATAGGGACAGTTTCGGCCGCACCGTCATCCACCAAGCAATGTGTTTGGGCATGTGGACGCTGGTGGAAGGCTTGATCCGCCTCCCGTCCACCGCCTCGCCTATAGCCAACGACGCCGGCAACCCCTTGAACATCGCGCTCTGGCTCGGAAAGACAGCGATGGCCGTCAACTTGATGGATCGCCCCGAATACGACTTGCACGAGATGCATAACCCCCCTGTCACATGCTCGCTCATTCATAAGAAAAGCGTGCCGCTTATGGTTGCCATCGAATGCAACGCTAGGTCCCCGCTCAGTCTGCGTGTGTTGGCCACCCATCGCAAGATGGCTTTGCCGTTCAAAGGAGCGCATGGCCTCGACATAAAAGCGTGCGCGCTGCAGATGGCGCAGGTCTATCGGCTTGCTGCTGAAGACATTGCTTTGATCGAGTCGATCCCGCAGCGGTAGTTTTTTGTTGTCACCAGAGCTCTTTTTGTGTGTGGCTGCATTTTGTGGGGACGACACCACGAAGGTGGGTTCTTCAGGTAGGGCGCTCTTCTTATCTCGCTTTCCCAAAATCTATCATAAAACAATGATCATCATTCATTGACTTAACCTGTGCCTTTCCCTTCCTGTAGCAAGAAAGAGTAAAGAACAATACTTGTAAATGATTCTCGGGGACATGGATAGGTATATCTCAAGCTCAGTTGGAGGCTTTCGATCGATCAGATAACTGTTCACCAACAACCCATGAATGAACTTGAACTCACGACTTCGCGTTGATACGAGTAGGTCTATGAGCATCGAAGAATGTAAAGCATGTCAACGGAGACTTGTCTGTATAAAGCTTCATCTTGTGGTCTGTTTTCGTCATCTGGTCTAGAAATCTGGTTTTGTCTGATGCGAAGCATTTTCTCTGTCTCTGTTTGAACTGAAGGTGCAAGCTCGATTCAATATCTAATTCCTTGTGCCTGCTCTGGCTGTTGCTTTCGCTCGTTGAAGAACTTCCACTTACAATTTGGGTAGAGTCTTTCCACGTCTTGGGTCTTGAATATAAGCTGCTGAGGGAGAGCGCTCGCCACCAAATCAACCCTTGCATCCATCGATGCTTCTATCTGCGATCGATGTCGAACCCACCCAGTGAGATTCGGAATTCCATTCGTGCAGAACACCGTGTGTGGCAAACATGTTAGGGATGCCCTTTCTTCGTGGCGTGGTGCTGAAAATCAAGGATCTTGGGGTTCCGGTTCATTAACTGTTTACTTAGGGATAACGACTTGGGTATATGGTATTGAAAATATTATTTGCAGTGTTCAGTATTGTGCGTTCGTCTTCTTTACTCCCGCATCGCAATATATTTGACGGTGTCTGGGCTCGGATCAAACCGCCAAGAGCTATTTCCTGCATGATGCATTTAGAACACTAGAGATCCCTGTTTGCTGGGAAAATCCGGTTCTATGCACACGCCTAATGACAAATCGCCCTGTCTCTGGGGACACCTCATCCGAACAATGGGGGAGGCTGGGAATTCGATGCGATGGCTGTTGCCCGTAGCCGCCACCCAATTGCTCAACAGGCCTATCTATCAAATCAGGTAGACTATTACACAGCTCTAGATAGCCAGAGCTCTGACCAGACGCTTGTGCAAGGACCACATTCTGGCGGGTCTGGCGTAGACAAGCGTTTCTGCCTCAGGTGTCGACAGCTACGTAAGCGCAGCGGACGGGGGGATCTCGTCCAGCCACTGGAATTTACTATTTTGGGCGGCGCGGGCAAGCAAGCTGAGAGGTGAATTTAAATACGCCGCCCACCAAGGCGGGCCTCGATCTGGTCCCCCTCAATGTTCCAGCCTCCATTCTCTCAATGCGAACCTTCCCCTTTCCTCCCCCCTCCATTACTGACCTGTCCTGACGTTGCCCTCTCTCTTTTGCATTGAGTGCAACCGAGATCATGTCCGCCCCGCGACGCAATGGCCAGCCGCCGCTCTCGTGTGAACCGTGCCGCAAGGCCAAGGTGCGCTGCGATAACGCGACCCCGGCCTGCCAGAACTGTATCCGTCGAGGCAAGGCCGACGGCTGTGTCTATCCCATCTCCCCCGTAACACGCACCTGGTACTCCGACAATGCCCCGTCGCCGACCGCGTCGCCGCGCTCACAGGGCCGCCCGGATTCCCTCATTCAGGGCGGCCGGTCGACCCCCAACGGCGACGAGAAGCTCGCCATGGGCCTGCCCCCAAACAACAACTCCGCCATGTTCAGCGAGATGGACGAGCAGTTCCGGGGGTCACTGTACATCGATTCCTCCTCCGCGGGCCGGGCCGAACCCGCCACACCAGATCCGAGGCAGGTTCAGATGGGCGCACGACTGCTCGCCTTGCTGTTCGAAAATCTCCCCCTGTACGAGCACTTGGCTGAAACATCGCTCGATGTCTGGCCCGAGGGCTGCATCCTGGGCCACCGTCTTATCACGGGCATGTTCGAGGCACTGGAGGATATCCTAGAGGCCCTGACGTCCGACCCCAGCTATGTTAAGGACCGCCATTCGACCATGCTGCGGTGGTCGCAGAAGATCTTCGATGACAGCTCGAAGGCCCTGACCGTGCATGCTTCCACCACGCCCGAGGACTACATCCGTCGGCTCTCCTCGCGGTGGGAGGGTATTGGCCTAGTGTACTCGATTGTGGGACAAGGTGCCATGCTGGAGCGCGATTGGCGGTCCATTCGCGAGCGTGAACGCAACGTGCCTCGTGACCAGAAGTCGCTCGCCGCCCAAGCCGTCTCTGCCAGCGATGCTTGTCTTCAGTTCTGTGACACTTTTGGGGCGGTGGATGATTCGCTCGGCTGGCTCTTGTTCCAGCACCTTCATTTGCTGACTCTGGTTTATGGTGAGAATGGTATGTTTCTGCCGTCCCTGTGGATTCAAGGGCTAGACGGACGCTAACGATTTGTAGATCCCCGAGCTTGGAGAAAGCTGGCTGAGCTTGCAACTGTCGCCTTCACCCTTGGCTCCAATCAGTCGGAAAAGGACACGAAGACGCCGTTCTTCGTGGTCGAGCTTCGCAAACGTCTAGTTGCAGGCGCGTACAGCATCGACAAACAGCTGGCAACTTCCTTGGGCAGACCTCCCCAGATCAGCTGGCGCTACTATGACGTCCAGTTTCCGCTCGACCTGAGCTATGATGAGATCCTGGCGGAACCGAAAATCCGCGAGGCGGCCATCAGTAAACTTGACAAGACCGGCTGGAACACCCAGGGCGTCGTTGGGAAGTCAGCGTGGCTTCGCATCGCTCTCCTCATTGGCTCGACCCGGGAGCAGATCCTTGAGTTGTCCCTCAGTCGCCGTATTGACGATTTGACACGGAAGGTTCAGTAAGTGCATTGATACACCTGTAAACCCAAAATATTGCTTACGCGTTGTGTCTAGGGAGGTGTCGCAGCAATCTCACAAAACTTGGAACGAGCTGCCCAGCTTCCTGCGCTGGCGGCCTGGCTCTCCGGACCCGAACGGGTCTAGCAGTGTTCTGCTGCCTCTTTACCTGAACTTTCTCTACAACGACTTCCTCCTCTATCGCGTGTTGGTCAAGCGGACACAGAGCGGAGGCGAGGGGTTGATCAGCGTCTCGCAGAACATCTTGAGCACCATCCTTGAGCTCATTGGGAAAGAGATCGGATCTAGGGCAGGCACCTACAATGTTGGGTGGAACGTACGTTTTGCCAATGCTTCCATGCCGATCATATGCACTAACAAGCTACAGGCATCATCCTTTGGCATTCCGGCAGCCGGGGTCTTAGCGATCGAGCTCCTCCGTCAGTCCGAAGCCCAGTCTCAGCTCCAAGCCACCACTTTCCGCCGATCGGAGGTGATCCAGAAACTCACCGTCTTCGCGTCCCATCTACAGTACGTCGTGCGGCCACACGACGGCATGTACGATGTCTGCCAGCGTGCCCGGAAGGTCATCTCCAACATCCTCGATCGGGTGCTGTCGGTCAGCCCGTCTCCGATGCCCGCGTCTCTGCCCGCCGATGTTCTGGCGACGAACTGGCTAAACGGGGAGGCTGTCACCTTAGATGACGGCACTGACTTGTACCGGTGGATTGAGAGTCTCTACCCTGATACCACTGGCGCCGCTTCCTGGGCTTGAACTCCACATTCATGATATGGAAACGATTGATGAATAGCCGATGACTGTGGGGCAGATCGAGGTCTTTCTGCCGCCCGCAACCTACCATGTTATGACGATATACCCCCATGACCCAAGACGAACCAAAAGTGTGCAGGTTTCGGTTGACTTGTATGAAGAAAGCCGCTTTATTTGCTCGTCAATGTTGTATTCCAGGTCGCCGACATTTTCTTTTTCTATTTTCTGTGGATTTCCTTTGCGTTCCTCCCAGCTTCTGGTGCAATTGATACGTGATGACCTGAAATGTACTTGGGCCACAATGATATTTATGCCATGTAGCGTCTCCCGACCGGCGCGAGACACGTCAGTCAGCATATGCAGTTACTCGTAATTCGGCGAAACTTCTTGTGAACTGAAGCGATATAGTTCCATTTTAGAGTTTCTACTATCTGCTCTCAACGAATCGGACAGTGCTCGCCCTGTCTGATGACTCTGTAGGACAGATACTCCGGACTCCGTTAGGACTACTGAGGCAGCTCAGAGTTGAGAGGTGTTGCGCCTGGCTATGTTTAGAAGCACTAGTGCGGGTTGAAGGGCGATAAGTTACCGGTCTATTGACAAGCCGATAAGCACCATGTGATCACCTGGGAATGTGGGGCAGGTTGTATTGGGGAATGTGATGATAACACTGGCGACTGGAACTCCGTCTGGATTCTCTCAACTCTGCGCATTTTCGCTCAAGTCTCAAGAGTGATGACTCAATTGCAGGTTTTAGTCATTCCAAGAACCATCCGGCTTAGCGACCGAGGTTGACCGGATGCTCGGGATCAGCATTGGGCTGAAGGAGACTTGGAGAACCTTCGTGACTCCGCTGTCTGTCCTCCGCCACCGCGTAGATCCCGTGTGTCAATCGTGATCCACTGATTGGTCGGCCAGCTCCGCATTTTCCGGGTGCCTGCATGGCTGCCTTGATGCCTGGTACGGTGCCAGACCCAGGGTACTGCGTCACTGCCCCATAGTCCCGTCTCTCTCTTCCCCCCCATTCCTGTCCTTGTACTTGTACACATCCATCCCTTTATCTCTCTCTCATCCTCTTTCTCTCCTATCTCTGTCTTACTGTTTCTCTCTCGTTTGCTGCCTCATTTGCTACATATTATCTTGTCTGTCTCTACCTTGATTGGAAATAAGGCATGTCAGCTGTCGCAAACGACGGTTACTCCGTCATCCACACCAGTGGCCGAACCGGCGCCCCCGATCTCCGCTTGATCCATTACAACGACGTCTACCACGTTGAGTAAGTCGTTTCCTTTGTCGCAATCTCCAGAGTAAAGACCGCCGCTAACAATCCCTTCCCATAGACCAGGATCCGCAGAGCCCGTCGGTGGTGTACCACGCTTCCAGTCTGTCGTTGATTACTATCGTTCCGACCCCGCGTTCGCCGGCCATCCCGGCGTGCTGACCTTCTTCTCCGGCGATGCCTACAACCCGAGTCTAGAGAGCTCCGTCACAAAGGGGAAGCATATGGTTCCGTTCTTGAACAAAGTGGGCACCGATGTCGCGTGTGTCGGGGTATGTCGTTTCTCTGTTCCTGCGCTGTCATTGTCTGTGTTTTCTTGGTTGTGGCGGAAAACGAAGCTGACGGCTGAATACTGGCTTACTAGAATCACGATCTCGATTTCGGAGTCACGCAATTCCGCCATTTACGCACACAATGCCAGTTTCCCTGGCTATTGGCTAATGTTATCGATCCCGCATTGGGGGTCGATGTACCCATCGCTGATTGTGAGAAGACCTGGATGCTGACTGCGTCCAATGGCATTAAAGTTGGGGTGATCGGGCTCGGGGAGAGGGAGTGGTAAGTTTTGTGAGCCCACACCGCCACTCGAGACGTCATTTTGCTAACCTGTTTTCAAACGCTAGGTTAGGAACTATCAACGCCCTACCCCCGGATCTTATCTACAAATCCGCATCGAAAACGGCCCTGGAACTTGCGCCGCGGCTGCGCGAACAAGGCGCGGATATTGTTGTCGCCGTCACCCACCAACGTGAACCGAATGATTATAAGTTGGCGGAGAACTTGACGCCAGGGCTGGTGGACATTATCTTAGGGGGTCACGATCACTTCTATGCGCACGCTGTGGTCAACGGGGTTCATATTCTGCGGTCGGGCACTGATTTCAAGCAGCTTAGCTATCTGGAGGCCTGGCGCAAGCCAGACGGTGCGGGATGGGACTTCGACATCGTGCGCAGAGACTTGGTGCGATCGATTCCTGAGGACCCGTCGACCAGGGCCATGGTGGGCCGGCTGACGTCGAGCTTGAAGGCGAAATTGGAGAAGCCTATCGGGTATACCGCTCGACCGCTGGACGGTCGGTTCTCGACTGTACGGCAGAGGGAGTCCAACCTCGGCAACTTCGCCTGCGATCTCATGCGGTTCTACTATGGTGCTGACTGTGCGATGATGGCTGGAGGCACCATCCGTGGCGACCAGATCTACCCGCCCGGAGTGTTGAAAGTCAAGGATATCCTGAACTGCTTTCCTTTCGAGGACCCCGTTGTTCTACTTCGCATCAAGGGCAAAGCGCTTTTCGATGCCTTGGAGAATGGAGTCAGTCAGCTTCCCGCGTTGGAGGGACGTTTCCCGCAGGTGTCGAACATCTCATTCAGCTTCAATCCGTCGGCGCCGTCAGGGTCGCGGATTAACTGGGCTAAGATCGACGGTCAGCCCATTGACTTCGATCGCAGCTACCTGCTTGCCACTCGCGGATACATGGGGCGTGGCAAAGACGGCTTTACGTCACTGCTCGTACAGTCCGAGGGTGGCGTAGTGGAAGAGGTCGTCGACGAAGAGAGTGGCATTCTCATCAGCACTTTGCTCCGCCAGTACTTCCTTAGCCTGAAAGTCCTCGGGAAGTGGCAGCGCTGGAGTCAGAGCTTGACTCGCCACTGGGACACGGTGCACAAGAGTCTGCACGGTGATGGATGGCTGAAAGCCCCTTCGGCCCAGCCGTCCCCGGCCTCCGAGAAGGTCCCCTACCATGTGCAGCGGCCGACGTTGAAGCGCACGAAGCAGAAATACTACTACGGACGCTACTCGCCGAGCGACTCCTCCGAATCCGATAAGTCCGATCAGGCGTCGCTCGATTCGGATTCCGATACTGACCCGGAGGTCCTGTCGGCGCCACACCCGACAACGAACTATGTCACCCTGCCCGCTAAGTCGGCCATGGAGGAGGAACATCGTCTGCGTCTTGCTCGCAAGGTGACGCGCCTCTGGATGCGCAAGGCCGGGCTGCAACCCTCGCCGATCAATGACTCGGAAGATCTGGGAGGATTCACACCCACGTGGACGCCTGGTATTTCCCCTAGATTGGAGGGGCGCATTGTTATTGAAGGTGCTTGATATAGTTTTTTCTTTTCTTCTCTCTTCTCTTTTTTTCTTCCGGTGTTGACTACTTCATTGGTTTTGGGTGTTGTATAAGAGGGAAGCAAGCATTTCGGAGTATTTCGGGTTTGGGTATGAGTCATGATCTATACAACATGAGCATTTGTGTTATAGTTTGGATATAATCATGTTAATAATTGAGATAGACTCATATAGAGTACTTTTGAATGATTTACTTCTACTTTGTAGGATTGTTGGGTGCTTGAAGTTGGAGATATGCTATTGCTTGGTGGTACTAGTGAGTATTGCAGATCCTATCCAATTACCACAGTTGCTGATAGATCGACAGGTACACAATGTTAGTCTCACCCAATATCATCCTTGGCGCATCTCCGCTGTTCCGTTCGCCGAACCCTGCGCTAACATAATAGGACTGTCGTCACCTCCACAACCATCTTGCTAATTCTAAGGGTGAATGAACATATCATAGTGACGAAATCCACCTATCCCATTGAATACAGACTCCCAGCAGTGACTACCCTCTATCTCCATCCTCAGACTTCTACTGCAGCCTATTGAATAGACAATGACAATACGAGGTAGATATTCACATCCGCCGCCAGGTGAATAATGAATCCTTAGCAGCTGGTCGATATCAAGCCAATCGCTTGACCAGCTCCGGACCAGGGCGTCTTCTTCCCTCTTACTTCTTCCTCCCTTCCGATACCTTCTCTTGTCTCGCTCACAGTCTTCGTTACTACCTCTTCTGTTCTTCTGGTCTTTCTGTATCAACCTCTCGTTCCATACCTCTTACACCGAAATCTCCATGGCCCATTCTGAATACTCCTATCTCCATCTACTTAGAAGCCGCTTTGGTCGTTATCCGATATCCCTCGCCTCAATAACCCTCAATCCTGAAAGCAGTCCACATCAGGATCTTCTTCGAGCGAACGCGCCCAATGCCGCATTCTGCTGCGCTGACAAAGCCACCAGCTTCCTTGTGCATATTACTCGGTGTGTGGGTGTGGTTGGTGAGATAGAGAGAGACCTTATACAGAGCACCCTCTGGCTGTACGAACAAAAAGACCACATCACCAGGACATGTCACGACACGGTAAGTTGAACTCCTATGCAGACACTCTTTTAAGCATGATTTTAAGCACAGGGGCTAATTAGGATAATAGATCAATGAACCTCTAGAGCTTGGCGTTGTTAAATACCTGAACTATGCAGAGAGCACATCGGCAGAACAAGCCAAGCCACGATAAGTCTGAGCCCTATCTCGATACTCTTCTTAGCACGGTGGCTAAGTAGTTCAAGGCTTTCTGTGGCCAATGGCCATACATACGAAAAGAAGAGGGAATGGCTTCTCTTCATGTGCCCTCTTATACGAGTTTCTGGTTCTAGGCTGGTGCGGACTCCCCTCGATGCCCCACTCCTCTGGTGTGTGCAGTTCACGGAACGAGATCGGCGTACTCCTGGCCTGGTCTCCTATTAGCACGAAGCTTGAGTGGAGGTGACCATGTGGGACTCGTAAAGTCGCACTCCGAAGCTTTTGATTTGTCTTATCACGCCTCACTGTGTCTATGTCGAACGGGTTCTCTGATGTGGTCAGTCCAAGAAAGACGCCGCCAATTTTCTCCCTGTCACATCCCAGGCAAATCGACATGGCTATAGGAGGCCCACTCATACAAAGATCAAGTTAAATCCTCATTTTTAGCCCGTTTTCACCATCAACGTCCAATTATAAATTCTAGCCGAGGTTCCCTTCGTTCCTGCGGTGTTTTTCTGTCTGAAGTGCTTGCGCACCTCGGTAAAGAATTATTAACGTGACTCCATGGAGCTTTTTTCGCCTCAGTGTCGTTTTGATGCTGTTTCTTCCATTAAATGCGAACAGTGCGCGAGCCGCAAGACCAATTGTTCCGCGGTAAGTACTGTTTCAAGGCGGCAAAACCCCAACCAAACGATGATTAGACAGCGTCGGGTATGTCTCCCCGGCAGAACTCATCAACAATATATTGTTCCAGAGATTGGTCTCTAGCGTGTGTTGGATGTTTCGCTCGCTCTTTATTTAATCTTAAAGATTTATTACCTTTTTCAAAAGCATGACACTATTCTGCCACTCTACCAGCTATCTCTCAGCATAGACGATTTCCAGCCTGCAGATGAGCAACGTCCTAGGCCGACTTACGCAGCCCAGCACTGCAACCCTCGCGTGCTAGTTTTCCTAATCATGACCGGGACAAAGGACGAACCACTATAACGGCCTCTATACCGCGTGTACTCCGCCTGTAAACGTTGATGTCCGCCTGTGAACGTTGATGTCCGTTTCTCCGAGTTCCAATGTGGGAAATGGGCATCAACATTCGCGGGCCGAATAGCATCAATGCGACAATCGCGGTGCGCAATATAATTTTCACTTCCACAGCATTTAGAGTCTAGACTCTAAATGTCACCCGCCGACACTCCTAGAGATCTTTCGCACCCATTCCGAGGACCGTGGGAATGGCTAATGGGGGCAATCTCGCTCATGAGCCTGCGGCCGGAAGATCGATTCGCCAGCGGCTCTGGCCAGACCAGGCTTCTTTTATCTTCTCAGTGCTTTGATGCTAGATATGAATATAGCACGTGCAGCTCGAAGTCGTCTCATATATCTCCCGATCATGGCAGCCGGCCTTTGTTCTCTTCACTCGTGGCCTATACTGTCTTTCTACAGCCTCCTCCACCTCTCTACGATCTTCATCATTCTACCTTTTGATACTGTGACATAAAAATATATCTTCAATTGCAAGCAGGTTACAGACCCAAACTGTTATACACTCACATTAAACCCCTCTGCTGACAGAACCCAGACAAACATGTCGGCGGCGATTGCCTGTGTGGCTTATGACAATGTCTACACTCGCTTGGCCACCACGGTGGGCTTCGTCGCATTAACCGCCGCCACCTCGTCTGCCCCTGCAAATCTGGTCGCCGGCGTCCACAGCCCCTTTCCGACCTTCACCGTTGATGCCGATGGGGATGTCGTGATGCAGGATGCCCCGCCCCTGACCGACAATGATGAAGATACCTTGATGACAGACGCGCCTTGATTGTACGTATGCGTCATGCGCCAGCTGCAAGCTCTGGCTAACAAAACAGCAGGAATAAGGGTTAAGCATGCTAGGAGGAAAGAGAGGCTTTCCTCTGTCTCTTTGCCTAATTGTCCTCTTCGCCACTTTCTACCTGTGCTCGCTTCTCACCTCGTCCCCGCCCTCATCTTCGTCGTCTTCTTTTCTCCTCCCACCGTATCTTTCCTTTGTCAGTCTATGTACACTATGTGAATGGCCACAGGCCTGATCGGCAATCTTGCTAGCGCTGGAACATTTACGTTCAACTCGCGAATCCGATCAATGACACAAGATCATCTCGAAAGTTACGGAAGCATCGACGTCGTTAGCTCAGGATTTCTCAGATTCACTAGAAATCTACAAACTGGTCAGCGGCAGGCCACTGTCAAGCCGATAAATATCAGTACCAAGACAACACATTCGGATCGTTACCTGTGACCGCTTGAAAGACGAAGATGCGGCTGGAAATTATATCGTGAGGATGAAATCAACTCATTGGTCTGCTCCTTTCGTTGTTTCATGGCTTCTTCTTGGGTTGTCTCGGTGATAAAGGTCCAGGGAACCGCAATTTCCCGTCTCGTGGTTCGAGCATCACACTCCCTCAGGATGCTTCATCCTCGCTATAGCTCGCTATGGACCTACAAAAGGTGTCTCGGACAACAAATAAGATAGGTGGCCCCACGGGTCTTGGAGGAAAATACGATCATAACATAGGTACAAAAACGCTGGATATGTTCTACTAGGAAAGTCCGCAGGTCAGTATGGGTCGAACCCCCAGGGTGACCTAACCTGCATGATCGTCGCGAACAAAAAAGGCATCCAGGACACCTGGATAGATTTCACTCGGGAAGTTCGCAGCTTTTTAACAAAGGAGGGCGCCATCAACAGCCCGGTCGAGATGCTCGACCCGACCTTCTTCAAGGGGGTGAGCACATCGCCATGCACACCAAAGGACGCGATTTTCCATGTTTGGAATAAGGTCCGAGATGAAATCGAGATGAGTGAAGAGATACCGATGCGATTGTCGGTCTTTTTCCACGGTGGCCTCTGGGAACCGTGGAGAAAATGCAACCACACCCAAACGAGTGAAGAAAATACTGCTGCTGTTGTCGGTCTCTGCTCAATCTCTGGACCGGAGATTACAATAATCTGTCGCAGACTACTAGATCTGCGATACACGCTGCCACTTATTGTGGCCAGCCTATGCCTTGCGTATAATCGAGTTGGTGGCGCAGAATGCCGAAAGAAGCAAATCATCTTTCAGCATGTTGAATAGAGCATCATTCCTTCTGATGGGTGTTGATTTGTCTCGACCGGTGACTGTTCCTTAAAATGAGAACTGGGCTTTCCGCTCGATTCAGGTCCTGAAATGGGCTACAACTTCTGCTTTACGGCGATGCACATCTTTGCAATATACAAAATCCTGGGCTGAAGCTTGCGCACCTTATGCCACTCCGAACAATGATATGGCTTCAGCCAGATGCGTATTGACTTTAGCAATGAGGAAGGCTACTGGGATGCAGTTGGTTCCGGGGTATATGGACGAACCACACCTGCGTGCAAATGATAATATTGCAAGACAAAAGCTGAGAGACTGGAAGGAGGTGGAAGAAGTCCGAACATGAGACCCCTTGCGGTCTCTGATTACGGTCAGAAGTTAGGCAAGGCGCTTGCTTGGGCCAAGCGCACTGCGATAGCTAGACACAATGACCGGGCAGGTCCTAAGAGCTTAACAAGAAGCTCAGCCACAGCCTGAGGCTTCTTTCGTTGACTGTTGCTCGAGGCTTGGGGTGGTTTTCGGTCATGGTCGTCTCCCTGCCGTTCATAAATTCATTGTTGAGATTACCTCTGTTGGTGATGATGTGAATTGCTCTCATGGTCAGAATTGGCTGCGGACAGCACCATGAGGGGCAACATGACGAAGCTGCTTCGGAGATAGGGCTTGTCTCAGGCGAAGCGTACAGTCATCACATTCCTCGGCTATAAAGCTGGACATGCAATGGTTGGTCTCCATACACATGCCGTCGGCATATTCACAGATGCCGGACAAGTTGATGATCTGATAACTGGCATTTCTACTTCCGCGATGCGCTGCAGGAGTTGCAACAGGTGGCTGCTTTACTTTACCCAACCCGGTCCAGCAACAGGCGCAGCGATCAGCATCGTTCCACCACAAGCTACACGAGTTCCTCTGCTCGCCATTCGCAGACACCATCCATACAAGCTCATCGATGTAATCGACGATCGAAGCTCGGTCCTTCTTTCTCGATGCGGTGCCTTGCTTCATGCACCGGTAACCCTCAACACGTCGTTGAGGTTACGGAGATCAACTTTTCTGCATAATAGTCTCCCAGAAAATCAGCACAAGAACAACCACATAAGTCAAGTGATTCTTCGGAGAAATAGATGAATTAAATAGGCTTCCACAATTCGCAGAACAGCTCTTATCTCTGGTCCCGATCACATCTCCGGAACATAACATGCACTCTTCAACACTAAAGTCCCACCGGTGCTCAAGGCCCATTTCACATGGGACCTCTATTCCCATATCTTTAACAAATCTGTCCATACGGATAGCCAGAACACAACGTGCGTGAGACTTTATATACGCTCACCCTGAATGGCCTCGTTTGCCGAATGCGTTGAGTGTGCAAACTAGTCAGCATCCGGCATATCCCTGAACATCCACATGCTACTGCAAGAGGATCAGGAATTACTCTTCTGATTACGACGTCATTTATCGGTTAATCCTCGTCGTCGAGAGCCTCAAGCGGCGGATCAACCGCTCGATCATGAGTATGGTTCATTCCATGGGACGTCAGGAGCCTGGTTGACGGGTTTCTTGCGTAAGGTATTCAAAACTGGAAATGGAGGAGGAAGAGAGAACCCCTTCGGAGCCCTTCTTTGACTCGAAGCAATTTTCAAGCCCCTTGAGGTGTGTTTCGCATGCACTTAAATGTGTCGTGGTCGAGGGCCAGCAATCGTGGAAAGCTCCCCAGAGCTAGCCACCGGAGGCATTTTGGTCTTCAAAGCAAGAAGGCCGAATTGCTTTGTCCTACCGTGGCAGCATCAGGCTTTTACTATTCAGCCCAGCGTTCAGATGAGTAAGTTAGGTCCTTGGTCAGAAATCGTTGTCCGAAAACTTGGGACAGCTCTCGCGGTGCGGAAAAAAGCTACGCTGGTTTATGTACAGACGGAAACCCTTCATCAGAGGTGGCCACAAGCCGTGAAGGACCATGAGTTCTTTTATCCAATGCCCAGGATGAAGAACAACTTGACCGAAGTCATACAGACTATTACCAGTTCGAATCTAGGGAGCAAATGGATGATGATTCGAAAGCGTAAGCCGCCACTCGAACATCAACATACCCAAGTTCGAGCAATGAAAGAGAACGACTTGCTAGAATGCAATGATCTTATTGCAAACTTGGAATTGACCGCTTTTGACTTCGCCACTCTAAACACTCATGGAGGGGTGCATTATCGACAGGGATTCTGCAGTTATCCTACATCCTACAATGTATGGTGATTGTGGATATTACGATACTGGGAAAGAATTTTCAAGCCCGATTCAAACAGCAGTACAATATCTTCGTTCGTTGATCATAGGAAAGCCGGTTGCTTGCTCTACTGCTGTCCTTGAGTACAGTAACCAGGACATGCGAAGCAGTTACCCATCAGACGAACCTATGTGGTGAAGCTAGAGTTCGCCGGGCTTATGGCATGGACAAAATGAGCAGTATGTGCATGGGAGCCAAATGGAGGTTGTTTGCGATTGTCGAGTAGAGCCATTCGACCACCCAAAAAAGTCCGATATACCTGGTTCAGTGAGGACTTTTACCACCATGAGCCTGGTCAATACTCTGCCACGTCTTGACAGCGCTCTAGAACAGTTCCACACTGCACGGGATCTTACAAACCTGGGCCTTGCTAGCACTGTCACAGGAATGCCGGCTGTTTTTCGTGTGGGTTGTGGTACCGGGTCACCTCGGCGGCTCGGGTGGGAACTACCACTGGGGGTCCAGTGGCACCCGCTGCAGAGGCCGTCTTCGCAGAATGCTGAACTAGAGGTGTCTCACGCATATCCGCGTCCTCCTCTTACTCCACCACCCACTCCAGCTCTTGCGGCAAGAGCTAAATCCCAAGAGAGGACTGGATATATTCACCGGTGCTTTGTTGAACCATGATGAGAAATGTATACCATATCATGCCTGCTACGTGTCCAAGCCCGTTCCCCACGGCTGTGTACGGGCATTCGTAACCCTTAACGCAACTATGGCGAATTGAGAGTCGGTTTGGTCCGCTGTCCCAACTCAGGCGCAGTTGATACAACGTCTACAACGCATACCTACAACTCCGTCCACATCTACAATAACTACAATAAGACGAGCTGCACTCAATTTCCACCGAAGCAGAGCCCATCGCGCCTCCGGCAAGCACAACAAGTGGCGTCTCGCATCACAACGTTGACGTCGACACCGTAATGCCCGATGCGCCTTCATTAGAGGTGCGTCCAGATCGCCCACCAAAGGATAAATAAATGCTGACTGGTAACCAGGAGGAGAACCAGGAAGACGGGAACAGTCGATACGAATGAGGAGGAGGAAGTTGGATCTTGAAAATACAAGGAGGACGGCCATCACCCCGACGCTCCATCGAGCAAAGGCTCTATCGTGCAGATTGACCTGAACCGTATCTGACAGTGATCTGCGCCATGCTATACAGTTTCGCAATGGCGGAGCTCAGCTTCAATTACGCGTCTACAGGGGAAGGAGAGCCCACACTCTGCAAAGAGCTCGACTTCCTGGATCCATTCCACTCACGTATCGTCTGGAATTGCTCTATATTTTGTTCCTCTTGACCCGTCCGGAGGTAAACAAAATTCTATTGGGAAGAAATGACTACACTCTACAGTATGCCAACATCAAAAATCCAAACCTCGACAATTTAGTCCAGAATCTTTTAGACAATTCTATGTCCAAATCACTCGAGCTCGACAGACTTTTGCGCAAAGCGCATATTTCGTATTACGAGACGGTATAGATGCATTATTCCACCCCCTCTTCGCCATGATTCTCGCGAGAAAGTTCCTCATGTCGAAATTCATGCCGCAGCAGGCAACAAACTCTCGATCAAGGAAGCTCTGGATTACCTGAGCAATTTTAAAAAGAAAGAAAACACCCGACAATGCGGCAAGACGAGCGACCTTTTCTTGCAATGACTTCTAAAAAAATCCCCTTGATCATTGATTCACTATTTTGTGATGAACATGCGTCTACATGGGCAACCCTGAACAACGGTGATGTTTCAGCTTCGGATCAGAATAAAGTTCAACTCAGACAGCATAGATCAAAAGCAAACTTTTGTGATGCAAAAGCCGACAAGAGATTTCCTGCGAGTGAGAGTATTACTGGCCTCGTGGTTGCACTATATGGTTTAAACAACCCACCCAGTAACTTGGCCAATGTTAAACCTTACTACTATGAATCTTACCCTATTAGCCACCCGAACCTTATGCTTTTTTTCTCTTAAGCAGATTCCTTTTCTACACCAACAGCTCCTTTCTTCTTGATCCTATGGTGTTGCCGGGCGGAACGCCGGCGGCGGCAGTCCTTCAAGGTGCACTTATAGCAAAGGGCTTGGGATGCGGGGGGGGGATACTGAGTATGGCGGCCTGTTTTGGCACGCTTACTCGAATTTCTGTTTTTCGATGTCTCTATAAATCCGAAAACTAACCGGCCCTGTGGCCTTATTGCCTCTGCTGCTCTGCTTCCTTGCTTCACATGCAGTCTCTTCGGGAAGCTTTTCGCAATCTCGCATGGCATTATCCTGATCGAGCTCACGAGCTTCACGTGACTCTTAACGAGCTTCACGTATCCGAACCCGTGTCCGCTGCAACGAATTCGCACCTCAGATGGAGGCCATGCCATAGCTGGCGGTTTGATCCCGCGGGAGACACGGGATGAATTTATCGCATAGGAGATTGGCAGTGAAGGAGCAAGGCATCAAGCATATCTTCGGCCCGGTAACCGCTTCTTGGTTTACGGGGTTGGCTGAAAGGGTCGAGCAGATGATGGTCCAGGGATTGAGATAAGGAGCAGCGACATCGCCTCACTGGCTTTTCGAGTGGGATCAATGGATCGAGCCAGTGGTTCATGCCATCAACACGCGGGCAGTGCGTCCAGATCAAGTAGTATCTTTGACTGTGTCTACGTCTCCATATACAGAGTCGGGATACTTTTCAAGACTGAATTGTTTGCTTCTTTGGCTGGGTTGCGTGCCATCAATGGACCGTCGATTGACTCCTTCCGCTGCTCTGGCACCGTTATAGTTATCGCAAATGGAGACGCAATATGGCAAGAAGATAATGCCGCTTGGCATATGGCTCGGGAAGGCAGGTCCTACAAGAAGTCTTCGAAATCAGCAAATACCTATTGCTCGGTCCCTAGATTGAGATAAGCCCAACATCCCTCGAGGCCGATGCTACGACAAGTCTTCGGCAGACGTACACTCCAACTGGAAGACTTTCGCCTTAAGAGCACACAAACAACTCTGCTGCCGCGTCTATCGTGGCTCTCACGTTTTATAGGGCGAGACATGCCGAGAGCACAACAACGGGCGCCTAATCACCCAGAGAGGCATGAAGCAATTTGACTTTGGCAGACCATTTTCTGGAAGAGCAATGATGATGAGTATCTTACCAGAAGACAGAATCCAGTCCCGATTGGGTCACCAAAGGCCGTAGAATCCGGATACGACCGACTGGTGCGGCCTGGCTCCTACATTGGGGAGTAAGTGCATGGTCAGACAGGATTTTCATTTAGAGAGAAATGACACCATGAAGACTATAGCAATGTGAGTGAAGGGGTATCTCGCATTCTTCACCGGACGGCTCCGTGTATGATATAATGCCTGACATGGCTGAAGCAAAGACGACTCAGTGCACGCAGGGCTAAGATCAAGCCCCGATTTCAGTCCTGACAGACCCAGGCTTAGCAGGAAGAGGTCTGTTGCCGCCGTGGCGAGGGAACGCTGGTCAAGGGAAAGTTACAGGATTAAAGAAGAGCAGCGTGCTAAGATTACGGCTTGGAGATCGACCCAGAGCACTGCTTATCAAGCAAGGTATGCGTGTCTTCGGCCAAAGCCACGTACCGACGACAGATCTGTACACAAGGCTAGAGGCAGTGAAATCAACAAATGGCTGGGGAGACAGCTCTGTAATCCCCAATCCATTATCGCCATTATTGAAGCAGACAACACGCGGAAGCCTACTTTGAGAGTTGGTTCATTGCCTTCGCGCAATCGGAGATAGAGTCTCTCACCTGGCTATATTGCCAAGTATCGTCATTCTGGTAATCCTCGGCCATTACGGAGTCCACAGCAACACAATTGATCAATGGAGTGCCGCTTTCACGCGCTAATTGCACGCTATCTGCAAACATATCTCGGGGCAATGCCGCGAGTTGGGAACCCCAACTGAAAGTATGTTACCACTGGATGCAGCGAAATTTCCCGGGTTCAACCCAGTATTAGAATGGTTCCTGCTAAAGGTGCACGATACTAGTCAAGCACATGATATCAGTATCCGTGGAGTGGTCCAGAGCATGCGGGGGCTCACTGGTCTAAGAGGATTTAGCAGAGGAATGGGATATATTAGCATTTTGTCAATAGCAATGCTTAACCTTCCAAGGTACAGATAGGAGATTTCAATGGAACTAGTAAACAAAATAGATAGACAATTTTACGGCTCATTGTGTCCTGATTACATTTCAAAGACAATGCTGGAGTTCGAATGACCTGTTGGCAGATGTATTATTGCAACTCTAAGATACATGTGACTTTCAGAATTGAGATATAGATCTAGGTTGCCCGCTTGAATTCTATTGCTTAGAGCTCTCTTCCCAGCTTAATCTCTCCCTATGCCTTTTTTTTCCCTGGTACTTTTGTCTGAGCTGGCAGAAGTTCTCTCGGGAAGAACGGAATCTCTCTCCATTTGTCGTTGATGTCCATCAATGCAAACGAAACACGCGAAACCCACCCCATAAAACCCGGTGTTGATGAAACCCCCCGCTTCGATCCCCACCAGCAAACAACAGATAAAAGGGGCATATACTGTATCCTTCTGAAATGCATCATTGGCATTTTAACACATACTTTGTTCAATTTGTTGAAACCCTTCAGCCGGATCTCCGATGGGACAAGCAATTAACACACCTCCCACTAGCCTCAACCTCCTGTGATCAAACTAAAAATGGCTTCGTTCATTGGATGGAACCATAATCTGCGTCACTACACGATGCTCCCAGAAGACGAGGTCATCCCCCACCAGGTGTATGTTGACCGACTCTCTGGCCTGAGCATTCCATGTGAGCTGTGTGGCTACATTTCAAGTGAATACCACATCGTCTACCAATGTTCCTGCTGTTGGAAGTACTACCACGAGCGCTGCATCCACAGGCTCCGCACGGATGAAGCCCGCGACAACGGGCGTCTGCTTACTTTTGGCTGTCCCCACAATGGTGTTCCGTGGAAGCTTACGACGGCGTCGCCAGGTGTGACCAATTCCTATGGAATCTGGAGTCATGAGGAGAGTATAGCCGTTGATGCTGAGGCCGAAGAGAAGGGTGAGAATGAGGTGCTGCATGAGGAGGAGGACGACGACGACGACGATGCGGAGGATGAGAATGATGATGACAACGAGGAGGATGATGATAATGAGAATCAAGGGAATGACGACGAGGAGAGCGAGGAAGAAACCGAGGAGGACAGCGAGGAGTCGGACGACAAAGACGACGAGGACTACAAACCCGGCGCCGAAGCAGGTCGCCATCACCATCGTCCCAGCCTGACTCGCAAGTCCCGCAGTGGTCGGTACAGCTTTCGCGTCGATAAAGCCACCAAACAGATTATTTGCTCCTTTAACCTCCCGAGCACCGGGCAGCCTTGTGGACATCGCTCGAGCAGTCGTCAGCAGCAGTACCGCCATCATCAACGTCTGCACGAGGCACACTACTTTCCGTGCGACCAGTGCCCTAAGGTCTTTAAATGGACCCAAGGTCTTTATATTCACAAGAAAACGATACATCCAACTGGATATCTGGCCCCCACCTACAGAAGATGCATCTGCTTCGTCTGTGGCATACCCATCTCGACCCGAGTTTACCTCGACACACATTGCGACAAAATACATCGGCTTTCACAAAACGCAAAAGCTGTCTGTCCGGACTGTCCACAGCAGTTTATAACCTGGCGTAAGCTTATTCGGCACATGAGCGTCTCTCATCCGGACCGCGTTTTCGCTCCCTCAAGTTAGTACTGATACTACAGTCTAGCCTGCGGACAGGTGAGTCTCCCATCATTTTTTATTTTCCTGCGAGTTTACTCGCCTTTCCTATTATTAGTACGACAAAGATTCTCTATGCCGTTTCTGCTTCGCTTATCTTGATCAATATTTGTATCCTGATATATAAACTAATTACTGTTAGCTGGTTTAACCCATTCAGTCAGATCAGTTATCCTATAATGCAAGGGTCAGCTGGCAGACCAAGGCGCTCAAAACAAAGTCGCTTCTGCATATACGGATTTCCTATACACACGATTTCTCACTGAGTTCCCAGGCGATTCTTGACGCGGTACTTGGATGGTTATCGGTGTTCGGAGATGTTATTTGCTTCTCATCAAACCAACCTGGTCTGGTAACGCCCTATCTCCATGCAAGATCCAAGTATGAACAATGATCGTACAAATCCGTTCTCCCTGGCACCATCTCCTTTCCAAATCTGCAGGTCGCTTCGGCACTCCGATGCTTCCTCAATCTACGAGGTGCTGCTGTATGATGATCGGTATTGCCTGAAGGTAGTAAGTAACTCGCATATGCTTCTAAAAAGGATAGGACTAACCACCATACTCCCAAGTACCACGACAATGACGACCCCGGTTACTCAAAGAAGGATCGGGACTTGAATAGGCACCGTTGCAAACTCAAAGCCTATAAGAATCGACGACTCTCCGGAGTAAGCCAAAGTGGCGTGGTTCCATACTTTCAAGGCTATTATGATCAGGTCGAGCCAGCCCTGTATCAACCGCACATGAATCATTTCCGACTTGATCGTAACAAGTCGAAGGCTATCTTACTCGAATATCTGTCTCACGCAGAAGAGCTCAATTGTGTGAATTACTCCGAGAAATGCTCAGAAGTATGCCCTGCAGGGACTGGATGACATCCACCAGGCTTTTTTTCTTCATTACGATGGATATCCCAAGAATATCCTTGTCGCACGCGGAGACATAGGGCGATTAACTTGGATCGATTTCGACGTTGTCATGTCCTATCCCGATGCACGAACATTCCGCCGAACACCGATCACTATTGATTGAGCTGCTGGAATCTGTGTATGCAGCCTGATATCTTGGTGACTCGGTCTTTTCTGTTGTTGCGTGCTGCATAAGCTGTGTTGCTTTCTCTACAGTCTCTCTAACCCTCATCCGCATCAATCCATGCACCTTTGGTCCACAAGATCCTGGCAAGAATATTCGGTAACCTGCCCTCTGTGAAATGCCATGTGAAGGGCCTCGGGAAAGCACTCTCGTGTCGGATCAATTCCCTAGAAACATCGAGCCTCTCCACAATTTCTCCACTGATGATATCATAGCGCACTAGACCAGGCAACCATCAATGGCCTCTTATCAGCTATCTCCGAACGATCCGCATGTGCTCGAGTACTTCCCTCTACATCCTCCTGCAAGACCGCAATGGAAGCCCACAAGGTCGCGGTCGACGCCCTGGCCGCTCAGGTGAAGCAATTCCACGCTCGCCAGGAACCCTTCCGGATCTACCACGGCTCGACCAACTCCACGCGACAATCACAACATAACTCACGCAACACAATCAGCACTGCCCACCTGAACAATGTGCTCGACGTCAACGAAGCCACGGAGACCGTCACGGTCGAGCCCAACGTCCCGATGGACGCACTGGTGGCCGCAACACTCCAGCACGGCCTCGTGCCCCTAGTGGTGATGGAATTCCCGGGCATCACAGCGGGCGGCGGCTTCTCCGGCACATCCGGCGAGAGCAGTTCGTTCCGCCACGGATTCTTCGATGCGACAGTACAACAGATCGAGATCGTGATCCCTAACGGCGAGATCCGGCGCGCCTCGCGCACCACCGACCCGGACCTCTTCTGGGGCGCGGCCTCCGCCTTCGGCACCCTCGGCGTGGTCACCCTACTGGAGATCCAATGCCGGCGCGCCCGCCCCTTCGTCGAGCTGAGCTACATCCCGACGACCAGCATGGCCGAAGCGATGAAGGCCATCCGCGCCGCCACCGCTGACCCGTCGACTGAGTACCTCGACGGTATCGTCTTCGCAAAGGACCACATCGTCATCTGCGCCGGCAAACTGACCGATGAGCTTCCCGGTCTCCCGCAGCAACGCTTCACCCGCCCCCACGACCCGTGGTTCTATCTCCATGCGCAGACCCGCGCTCCTCCCCCTTCAGGATCTGCATCGATACCCCCACAGACGCCCCCAAAGGACCTGATCCCCCTGCAAGACTACCTCTTCCGCTACGACCGCGGCGCCTTCTGGACCGGCCGCTACGCCTACGCCTACTTCCTCACCCCCTTCAACCGCGTTACACGCTACCTCCTCGACTCCTTCATGCACACCCGCGTCATGTACCACGCCCTGCACCAGAGCGGCCTCGCCGCCCAGCACGTCATCCAGGACGTCGCCGTCCCCTACGCCGCGACCACCCGGTTCCTGGATTGGTTAGATGAGCCCCAGAACTTCGGCGCCTATCCCATCTGGCTCTGTCCACTGCTGCGCAAGAGTGAGCAGGGCGGGCTATTGCAGGGACAAGTCCCAACCCCATCCCAGTCGCAGTCGCCTGAGGCGGGTGCATACCCCCAGGGAAAGCACGCACCACCCAACCCCCAAGAAAACCCCCAAGCAAAAGAAAAAGAAAAGGATGAGAACTACCTAATGAACTTCGGCCTCTGGGCCCCCTCCCCGCACCGCGGGGGTGCCTTCATCGCGCAGAACCGCGCACTGGAAGGCAAGGTGCAGAGCCTCGGCGGGAAGAAGTGGCTGTATGCGCATGCGTACTACACCGAGCACGAGTTCTGGGAGATCTATGATCGGAGACGGTACGATGCGTTGCGGGAAAGGTATCATGCGGCGTATTTGCCGGATTTGTTTGAGAAGGTGCGTGTCAATTTGGATGCGTTGGATGTTCTCAAAAAGGAGGGGTGGGGGCCGTATCTTAGGAGGAAGGCTTGGGGTGTTTGGCCTTTTAGTGGGCTTTATGGGGTTTGGAGGGCTTGGTGCCGGGGGGAGTATTATTTGAGTGGGTAGGTTATATGATATCCTTGTTGATTTGGGGCTGGGGGAAAGGTTTGGTTGAGTGGGGTATTTTGGATACTAGAGAGCACGCTGTTTGGACAAATGTGTTTGCATATAAACAATTTAATTAACATATCATGTCATCAGTCGTGAGATATTTATTCGTCCAACTGGACAGCTACCGACAGTCCACTACATATCCAATTCTCCATGATATCTTCGTACTTCTTTTTGACCAACCAGAGTGAAACCTAATGCTGTCGCTTCAGCTCCTTTCTAAACGCATCCTCCTGTTTCACCACCTCCAATGGCAGCGTCCATCCAATGCCAAACAGGACGAAAGGCGCCCACTTCCAACGGAACGGGTTGACCAAAATACTGAACACGAACCAATAGAGCAGCTCGGTGTAGGTGAAGAAATCGAACGCCCCGACGGGGGACAGCTTCTTCATGAGCCGGGTAAAGTCGATCCAGGTCTTCATGCGGGCCTCGCTCGGCCGCGACAGCGGGTCCGTCAGGAACATGAGCAGGAACCGCGTGTAGATGCCGATGTGCATGTTGCCGACGGTGCCGATGGCGTTGACGTAGGTGCTGTTGTTGGCGCAGATGCTGGGGTACTTGGGCGGGAACGTCTGGAGATACCAGCTGGGCGGCGAGTAGGGCTCCTCGAAGGCGTCGTCGGGCAGGAACGAGAGCGACGGGCGCTTGAAGCCCGTGGCCATGATGACCACATCGCCGGGAACGACGGACTCATGGCCCGGTCCGCCCTTGGGCACGCCACGGCTGCGGAAGTTGAAGCGGATGCCCTCGGCTTCGGCGGAGACGATGTCGCCGCGCAGCCAGCGGGCTTTGCCTTGGCGGATCTGTTCGAAGAGTTCCGAGTTGGCCATGGGGGTGCCAGTGAACAGACCGCCGGAGGGGGCGATGTCGGACAGGTCGCGGTAGAAGAACTTGCGGAGCAGGGACTCGGGAATCCATGAGAGGGAGGTCTCCTGGCCGAAGATGTTCATTGCCAGCAGGGACTGCACGAACACGTTGCGGGGGATGATCCATTTGTCAGAGCGGGAGAGCACGTCGATCTCGGCAGCGTGGTTCTTCACGGCAAACTCGAGGGCCTCGATGGCACTGGCTCCACCGCCAATGATGAGGACTTTCTTGCCTTCGACGGACTTGCCGTCGAGCTCGGAGGAGTGGTAAATCTCGCCCTTGAAATTCTCCTGGGCTGGGATAGGAGGCATCTTTGGATCGCCGCAGACACCAACAGAGGCAATGACGCCGTCAAAGCGGCCATACTTGGACTCGTCGTTGTTGATGAGCCATCTGCCGTTCTTGGTCTGCTTGACCGAGGTGATAGGCGTGTTGAAGGTAGTGTGCTTCTGGAGATCGTAACGCTTCCACAGGCTGGTAATTTGCTCCTTGATCTGTGCTTGCGTAGGATAGGCTGCGTCGTACTTGACCGAGGGGTGGAACCGGTACATGATGCTGTGGATTTGCAAAGAAGAAGTCGAGTTCACACGCTGTGGGCTGGGTTAGCACGTCCAATTGCATGGAGGGACGGGTGATCTTACACTCCAGATGCCTCCAAGACCCTTATCCTTCGATCTTGCTTCAAAGATCTCTACATCGAACCCATGGCCGACACAGTGCGCTGCCGCCGAGACACCGGTTAAGCCAGCGCCAATCACAGCAATTCTCTTCTTTGGGAGGCCATCTGCAACCGCAGACGGCTTGGGAGGGTTAGGAGCGAAGATCCAGGTAATCAGTTGCTGCAGTAGCATGTAGCAGACAGTAAATGTCTGCAGGAATGGGTGCTTCAGAAAAGTCGTTATAGACAATCCCGACTGATTTTTTTCAGCCATGGCTAATAGTATATTATAGGCAATGAGGATGAGGAAGGTCGGTGGCACCGTCCGTGCCACTCAAAGATATCTGTTAGGGTGCAGTAGGACTTGAATGGACTGTCCTAATTTGAAGTTGACCTGAGAGAACGACTGGGGAAACAGGACCCTTTTTCAATGGCAACCGGACATGGAGGATGATGATGATGATGGGGGCTTGAAACAGCCATGTTCAAAGCATGACGTAGTTGTGGATCGGCCATCGTTCGAAGCATGTGAAGGCGGGACTGTCCACACACTGCCTGCTGAGTTCTTCTCCAACAAAAGGCCCACGCACCAACTATTGCGATTGCATAATTCCCACATGTCCACTAGAGAGCCGACCTTGTTCCTCTTCGGCTATCTGCTCCATTGGTCATATTTTGTGTATGAGAGCCCGGGGTCCTCCGACATGTGGGACTATCCATCTCGATCCAGGTCGTAGGGCCATAGGGCGAAGAGCAGCCCCCTGAGCTTTTCATTGAGCTGAGCACCGTAAAATTTGACTCTATTCGAGAAGCATGTTGATTGTGACACCCTATAAATGCGGTTGTGTGACTTGAACCTCGATCGGAATGCCCGTTTCGGGGGCCACCCAATCATCCTCTCGTTGCGTGGGGGTCGTGGCTTTAAAATGATTTGAGTTTCTTTATGCTTGACTGAACAAAGTTCCGATTCGGTATCTGCAGGATCATGATGTACTCCGACTGCAAGTGGTGACGGATTATGGCGTACATGAGTTGTTGATTCAGGTGGTTCTATATATAGCCACGGCATCGAATTCGAACAATCATGAATGTAACAAACATAAGTGATGAGTGGATAGTTGTTTGTCAGCCTTTTTCTCACAAGGGGCGATACTCAGAACAAGAATAAGCCGGACAATATTAGAATATATAGGATTAACGATAATATATAATGTCACGGAATTGGGATGAAGGAGTTTGAGGAAGAAGGTAAAAAGAGATGCCCGCCAAGCTCCAGGCCCAGCTCCAGAGCGCAGTTACCCGATCGAGCCTAGTTTGAAGCCGCGGCGGTGGGAGCTTATCCCATCATTCTGCCGGCGAGACTTCGGTGTTGCTTCAGCTCATCCATCCTGCGCTCGAAGCCTGCAACATCCGGACCCTGATTCGAGGTCTCGTACACTCAGTCCGCACTCGCATCATGTGCGACATTCGTTGAAACCTCTTTTGTGACAGCACCCCACCGATTCATGACCCTCGCGCCAATAGCGATTCCGAATCTCGACCTGTTTCGCTTCCCAGACTTTCTCCGAACGGGGACCAAATGGCGACACCGACCCTGGATCGTTTCCTCGCGAGCGTTGCTGAGATTGTGAAAGCCCGCGATGGAGCCAAGCTACAGGATTTTCTTCAAATTGAACCCCCGCTGCCTGATGTTTATCGGCAGATGACCAACGAGTTGCGGCAACACCATCCGTCTGGTCCGAGGGAAACGGATTTATTGCGGCGATGTGAAGGACTGGTACCGAAGTCTAAGGGTAGCTCCTGGGCTGCTTTTCCAACATTTATGAAACTCTACTTCACCTTCCTACGAGATGTGAATGTCGATAACTTGCTGGAGACATACGATCTCCTCAAGGGCCTTGTGAAGTATGCATTCCACTTACTCCCAAGTTCCGATCGCTGACGCTTGTTGCGTACAGTCAATGTGTTCTTGCATTGGGCGACAGTCAAATGGGTGTCATAGTGTTACCGACCGTCCTGTATTTCTCGAAAGTCCTTGCGAAGCTGGCCATGGGCCTCGACCGTCGTCCCGAATTGATTGCACATTTACTCAGACTCGACGGCCGGTCGAACCAGGATGAGACTGCGGAGAAGGTGACACTGGTGGAAAAGTCTGCAAATGTGGTTCGAGAGGCATTTATCAAGTGCTTGACTGATCGGAGCGGCACGCCTGGCATTCATGGAAAGCCGGAAGGCAAACGCATTGGGATTTATCTGATGGCCAACCTCTGCTTGAAACTACTTTTCCAGGTAATATCGCACTATGTAAACGATCATAACCACCTCTGACCACTCGACAGTGCGGAAAACTTCGAAATGCAGAGCAAATGTTCGCGAGTATTAGCGCGCAGTCCCCGCCTCTCAAATACTTCCCAGCCTCTCAGAGGGTGACATACCTCTACTACCTTGGACGCTACCTATTTTCGAACAATCTCTTCTATCCTGCGCAAATCGCCCTACAGGCTTCATACGATCAATGCCATCACCAAGCATTGAGCCAGAAACGCGTCATTCTGACCTACCTCGTCCCTTGCAATATCATCTTAGGCCGTTTCCCTACCCTACAACTGCTGCAGCGTCCTGAAGCTGAGGGACTGGCTGAACAATTCATCCCAATCTGCAAACTAATTGCTCGGGGTGACTATATTGCCTTCCGGGAGCATCTTGCAGTAGGCTCCCCTGAAACAGAATGGTTTGCACGCAAAGGGATCCTTCTCCCTTTACGTACACGTTGTGAGATTCTTGTGTGGAGGTCTCTTGCGCGCAAGGTTTTCATTCATGGTGGCTTCCACGGTGAACCTCAAGGTCCGAACCAACGTGGGCCGCCCCCATTCTTGTATCTCAGCAAGCTTGAGGTTGCTGTTCGTTGGATCCAGTCTCAGCACACAGTACCGGCTCAAAAGGCTTATGGTTTCTTTGCCTCGCAACCCGAGCTCGATGCACAAGCTGGAAATAATCGTGTCGGTTCCCAGGTAGTATACAAACAATTAGACTGGGACTTTGAAGGTGTAAACGACCTCGATGCGCAGGAAGCTATTCCAGGACCCAGCCTGATAGCAAAGTATGCTGATTTTTTAGCACCTGATGGGTATTTCGATGCTCAAGGGCAATGGCAAGCCAACCTAGCCGGAAACTTGGTTGATGGTCAGCCCTCGGCAGATTACAAGCACTTTGAGCTCGACCCCTACGCCAGCCGTCCTGACCTTGAGCCCGAGGATGGAAAACCTACGTTGATGATGCGTGAGATCGAATCGATTCTTGCATCGCTCCTGACTCAAGGTCTCATGCGCGGCTATTTGACCCACAAGAATCCCCGTTTGGCCATTCCTGGCGCACGCCTTCGCGGTGCTCTGCCTACCGGCTTTCCTAACGTGTGGCAGACAATATATTCTCGAGAAAGTGAAGATGAGAACGTCCCGGGATGGGTCCAGCCTCCTGCCGTCACAGCAGTCCCTACGGCTGGCGGAGGAAGGGTGGTGAATCTCTCGGGAGCACGACCTGTCGGAGTTCAATGATCTATCTTCCGATACGGCACTGTTCACCCCTCGACCAGCTATCCCCTGTATATAAGCGTCGCATATGATTTCCGCATGATACCAAATAGACGAGTATGACACAACTTCAAGAATCGAGTTGGCAGCATAGTACTCCGTTATGCAGTCGATATATTCGCATTGACATTGGAATCAATCCCCGGACATCCGAAATTCCGAGGTTCAGCCATTACAAATTGGGCAATTACTGCCGCCAAATCCTAATGTGCGAGACCCATGGTCTCGATTGATACCGAATGGGGGTGGTCAGACCCCAAAGCTCGGAGTCGGGCCCGAGATCTCGGCCTTATCGCAACGGCCGAGCCTGTGATCTGCAAGTAAAGCCGACCTGGGCAGACACGGGTACCTGCTTCTGCAGATTTACAGGAGTTAACAGGAGTGAGCTGAGGGCCACATGGTGGGAATCCTGCAAAAAGGATGCGTAAGCGTATACATTCTGGTCATTCAAAAGAATCGTGAAGAATGAGATTAGATCTAGGCAGCGGGCTTTCTGCAGACCCTCCCGACGATTTCGATCCACAATGTCTCGTTGTATGGCTAAGACTCATGCCATTCTATAGTACATTTGGATGAAGGCATTCACCAAATCAATTGTATAGGCCTTCGCGAAACGATGACGACGCCCATGGTAGTAAGGACGGTCTGCATTGCCGAACTGCGAGTTACACGCGACTTGTGACTACGTTGTGGAGGAGCGCATGTCCAACTACTGGGCGAATTTCATCCGGACCGGTAATCCTAACGGTGATGAACTGCCTGAGTTCCCTCCTAGCACGAAGGAGAAGAAGCAGACCATGTGGCTGGGAATTTCTTGGGGGTCGGGTTCGCTTTCTGCTGATGACTCGCGGGTTCAGTTTGTGGAGGGCTGGTTGGCTACGATGCCTGAGTGGTAGATGGGTTACTGCATTGCGCAATTTCGGAGGGGCTGTATGGATTCAATGCAGTGACGCTGTGCAGTCCTTGAGTCTATTCTGATCACATTTTGTTGGTGTTAGACACCTTCGCTTGTTGAGATTCATGTCTGCATGCTATTATAATATATACCTTTGGGGGCTTTCCCTTCTTATAACCAAGAGAATCCATTGTACTTATCATAGAGACCAAAATTAATTACTCGAAGGATGTATACTCACTGAGCAATCCGAGAGAAACGTAATCCAAACGCCAACCCGACAGACACAGATTGTCCCCTTCCCATCCCCAACATCAACAATTTACATCACATCCAGTGACAAACCACCCACCCTCCAAACCAACCCTAGCTAGTAGGACCGCCCATTAGGATACAATAATTACTCCTTCTGCCCCCCCTCGCTATCCCCATCCCCATTCTCCTCTTCCTTAACCCCATTCATCATCCGAAACCGCTTCTTCTCCCAACCAACCACATCCCCGCCCAAATTGCCCTTCTTCAAAACCCTTCCAGGCACCACCCCCTTCTCCTCCAACCACATCAACGGCCAGAACACCGCACATCCGAGGATACAGAACAACGTCGCCCACGTCTGCCACGCCAGCACCAGCAGCTGCCCAATCCCCCACGGCATCACGAACTTAATAAACTCCGACGGCTGATAGAAGTCCTCCTGCTTCTTGATGTAGTACCGTTTCCCCGATCCCTGCACTGGCGTCCGCCCGTCCTCCGGGTCGGTCGTTAGGTCCAGCACAGTCGTCAGCGTCACTGGCGCTACGTGGAAGGGGACCAGCCAGATGGAGAAGATTTGTGAGGTTGTTAGGTAGAGTTTTAGGCTGGGTTTGTCGAATGCTTTTTTTTTTGGCTTCTGGTTAGTTTGGTTTGGTTTGACGAGGCTAGGGGAGGTTCAGGTGATTAAGTATTGGGGATTGGGTAAGGGGCTTGGGGGAATAAGGTAGACTAGGGTAAAGTGTAAGGGGAATAAGGGTAGGGAATCTTACCAACAGAATGCACCTCCAGCTCAATCCGAGGCGACATGATCTTATACCACTGGTACACCTTCTCGATGAACCACCGGCTACCGGGGTAGCTCCATACGCGGCAGAACGGGTGCACGAAGGCCGCGGACGGGGTGAAGAATTTCTGGATCGTGCGCTCCTGATCTTGTGGGGAGGATTGCGTGAGGTGGTGGATTATGGTTGAGATTTCGGAGGCTATATTTTAGATGGGGTGGTTGTGGTTAGATTGGTGCTGTGGTTCTTCTCGGATTGTATATGGGGATTGATGGGAAGGAGAGGTGGGAGGGCTGCTGCTTACTGGGGTCTTCCATGTTGAAAGTGATATGGGTAACAATGGGGGTGTATGATCTAGTGCTGGTGATACAATTGTGCTGGGAAGATGCTGGTTCAATGCTGGCAGAGACCTAGATATAGGCAGTCATGTTGATGCAGTCAGTGATTGGACGATGATGTCACCGGTTGCGTTGCATGTGAAAATTCCCGCAATCTCGGAAAAGTTCTCTGCGCTCCACTGATGAACACATTGGCTCTGAGGTTGTTGTCTAATGTTTATGCAGCTAACTCTGAAACAAAACTTTTCATGGTATCGAATGTTATCTGCAAAATGAAAATAATACACCACAGAATTACCGCTTCCAGCTGTCGACCTTCTTGCGCCGCTTCTCGAAGATTTGCCCAACTCCCACTCCATCGTCCCGCTGTCCATCCTCGGTGACCTTGCGCTTCCGACTCCTGTCCAATGCATTGCCGCTTCCCTTGGCCCGCCGGGTGAGCTTCGTGATCCGGTCGGCACCCGCGGTAAGATCCCTCCAATCTTCACCTCCGTATTGGTTCTGCGGACCCTCGGCACGCAACCGCTTGGCACGGTCCTTCTTGCTTTCCTTCATCAACCGCACGAAGTTGGTCTCTTCGTAGGTGGTGCGCTCGGCCTCCCTCTCGCGTTCCTTCTTCGACTTGGTGTGTCTGCCGCCCTGCACAATCGTGCTACCGATGCTAGGCTCTGTCATAGGAGCGGACGACATCTCCGCACTAACGAACTCATCAATGACATTCGATCGCTGTGCGGGACGCTCGCGGCGCTCTTTGCGTTCGGTTGTGGGGAGAGCGGTAGGCATGATTCTGGGTGGTCGGTAGATGCCATCGCTGGCGGGCTGTTTGCTGAGCTTGTCGGGTTTGGACTGGGGTTCCACCTTCTTCGAGAAGGCCGAGACGTTGGGTCGGTATGCCATCTCATCAATATCCTCCTCGTCCTCCTCCTCACTGTCGCCCTCGCTTTCACTGCTGCCCTCCTCTGATCCAGACTCCTCGTCGTCGGAGCCCTTGGCTTTCTTGCTCTTGCCTGTAGACGCCGCTCCACGCTCTTCCCGCTCGGCATCCTCCGCGGCCTTGATGACCTTGTCCACCTGATACTTCAGTCGGCCTTCCAGCGGGCGGACACCGCGGTCCAGGTAGACGCGTAGCTCGACAAGCTTCTTAACGATGTCGTCCGGGAGCGACTCATCGGACTCATCCTCTTCATCTTTCTTGAGGCCCCTCAGTTGGAAAATGATCAGGAAGACGAGGTTCTGTAGGTAGGACAAGAGTAGGTCGGACTTGGTATCGAGAAGTGAAATGCCGTCTTGCGGCGGCTCGATCGACACGTCCGAGGGCGATTCCCGTTCGGCTTTGGGAAGAGACGAGCCAATGTTGTTCAGACAAGTAGTAAGAGTCTCTAATAGCGCGGAGACATTCTGCAGGCCCGAAGGCGTGGTTTGCGACACTGCGGCCGCCATTGCGATCTGATATGTGTGATTTGGGTCTGATGTCTGCCGCGGAAGATTTCGATGGGAAATTTTTAGAGATGGGTTATCGGCACGTGGCGATAAGAAGATTGTTAGTCATGGCACTGCGAACAGCAGCAGTGTCACGTCACGTGTGCCAAGACCGACGAGCTGGCCTCAATAATGGCCAAGTCGAAGTGACGACGATGCTCCCGCCGTTCTGGGAACAGCTCGGGTTTAGTCCAATTCTTACAGCTCAAACTCCTCATAAAAGCCCCCCCCCCCCTCCCCGCCCCCAGCCTTCGAGTTGATTCCTGCTTGCTGTTACCGAGCGGCCAACTCGCGCCCTTGTCAAGAATTGCTTGTGGCGTGCAAGCTGTAGATTGTAAGTTTCACCCCAGAAGCTACTACCGGTGCCTAGGCCCGGCTCCGAGTATCTTGGCTACAGTCTCCAGAGCCACCAGACACGATCTAATTCCGCCCATCATCTTCAGCAATCGCCCACCATGTGGTTCAGCAATCGAGCCCTGCCTTTGACCACCCTTCTCCTCTCTGCACCCTCGTTAACCGCCGCTTTCTACCTGCCCGGTGTCGCACCGACCTCGTACGATGAGGGCCAAGCGGTGCCGCTCTACGTGAACCACATCACCCCGGGTCTTGCGCAGCAGGATGAGCAATTACACTCCGTTTTCTCCTACGACTATTACCACCCGGCCTTCAAGTTCTGCGCCCCCGAGGGAGGACCGAAGGATGCACGGGAATCATTAGGGTCCATTCTGTTCGGGGACCGCATCCAGACGTCACCGCTGCAGCTGCACATGGGCAAGAACGAGACCTGCAAGGCGATCTGCGGCACGACCACGTTCGACGCTCGCAGTGCGAAGTTCGTCAACCGGAGGATAGAGCAAGGGTACAACATCAACTGGCTGGTCGACGGTCTTCCGGGAGCCCAGATCAACATCGAAGGCGTGACCCAGGACAAGTTCTACAGCCCGGGCTTTGCGCTCGGCTCCCTCAACGATGACGGACTCCCGGTCTTGAACAACCACTTTGAGATACTGATCGACTACCACCGGGTCGGATCCGGGGCTCAGGACAAGTACCGGGTCGTCGGTGTGCTTGTGCAGCCGGAGTCTCGGCGTAATGCGGCGGTTCTGGAGGATGGCACCGCGCATTGCGAAAGTGACGGCACTGGCGTTCTTCTGAACGAGGAAGGGGAAACCAATGTGGCCTGGACCTACAGTGTCTACTGGCGTGAGTCGTCCACCCCGTGGGCCACCCGCTGGGATAAGTACCTGCACGTTTACGACCCGAAGATCCACTGGTTCTCTCTCATCAACTCTGCTGTCTTCGTCGTGTTCCTAGTGGGTATGGTGAGCATGATCCTCATCCGGGCGCTGAAGAAGGACATTGCTCGTTATAACAGACTCGACATGATCAACTTGGATGATTTCAACAGCACATCGGCAGCGGTGGAGGACGGCATCCAGGAAGATTCGGGCTGGAAGTTGGTACACGGCGATGTGTTCCGGTGTCCCAAAGCCCCCCTGTTGCTGAGTGTGCTTGTGGGCAATGGTGCTCAGCTTTTCATGATGACTGGTGTCACCGTTGGTAAGGATCGATGCGATCTATGTACATGCGATAGTACTGACTCCAATGGTTAGTGTTCGCCCTCTTCGGTCTCCTTTCCCCTGCCAACCGTGGCTTCCTCGCAACTGCCATCCTCATCATCTACACGCTGTTTGGCTTTATTGGAGGTTATGTCTCGGCTCGTGTGTACAAGTCTCTGGGTGGAGACGCCTGGAAGCGCAACATCATTATGACTCCCGTCATCGTTCCGGCCCTCATCTTTGGCACATTCTTCCTGCTCAACCTGTTTGTCTGGGCTAAGGGCTCCAGTGGGGCTGTGCCCTTCACGACCATGCTTGCCCTGGTATTGATCTGGTTTGCCATCAGCGTGCCACTGAGTGTGGCGGGTAGCTGGCTAGGATTCAAGCAACAGGTAGGCTCCGCCCGGGAGCGCTCGCGGATTGTGGACTTTGACTTTTGCTAACAACACAATAGGCGATTGAGGGTCCAACCAAGACCAACCAGATTCCCCGCCAAGTGCCCCCGATGACCGGCACTCTCCGCACGATTCCATCGCTCCTGCTGACGGGTATTCTTCCCTTCGGGGCTATCTTTGTGGAGCTCTATTTCATCATGACCTCGCTCTGGACCAACAAGATCTACTACATGTTCGGCTTCCTGTTCCTTTGCTACGGGTTGATGGTCATCACCTCGGCTGCCACGACCGTTCTATTGGTCTACTTTTTGCTGTGTGCAGAGAACTACCGGTGGCACTGGCGGGCGTTTGCGGGGGCCGGAATGACCGGAGTGTATGTGTTCCTGAACGCGCTGCTGTTCTGGATCACCCGGGTCAGTTTTGGTGGTCCCACCGGTGCTGTTCTTTACATTGGCTATTCCGCCCTGATCGGATTTGTGGTCTTTATTCTGACGGGTATGTTGGACTCATTTCCAATGGGAGACGAAAACCCGGGCTGACCATTGGTTGACAGGCTCGATTGGATTCTTCGCCAGCTGGACGTTTGTGCAGCGCATCTACGGCTCGATCAAGGTCGACTAAAGAATTGGGCGGTGATTTGTTTGCGTCGTCAACTCGGCCCGCTCCCTGTGGAGCCACCGGGGCTTTTCACTCGGCCAGGCCAAAAAAGAAAAAAAGACCTCCGCTACCTCATCCGGGGTATGGCTGCTATTATTATCTCCTTTCCCCCTCGTCACCTCACGGTTAGACTTTCGCAGACCCTGGGACAACGGTTTGCACTCGCAACGCAAGACTGTCTTCGGGGTTTCCGTTCTCTCCCGTACCTCGTAGGGCCCGTAGGCCATTGTTGTCTGTTGATTACGAATTGATTGTGACAACCCTTTGTCTCGAATATCCCATGTATAGCGACAGTTTTTTCTTCCTTGCTTTCTTCTGATGTGTTCTACAGGTGTTTGTTTCTTTTTTTTGGGAGGGAAGAAGGCTGTACATAAATGAAGGAGGGAAGTGAGTGACCGATCGACTGTCAACCATTCTGCAATGGGCAACGTCAGAGTGGAGCAATGGGCGTGGATGATGAGGGATGATATGCGTGTGTGCGACGCATTGGAGGTGGTCTTTGTACTGTACATTATATGGGGGTGTGGAATGGGGCAGGATCTACTCAATAGGTAGTCTAGGCCAGACCGACCAGAGTCTCTCTCCCTTCTTTTGTCTTTTTGCAAGAAGTGGGCAATAAAATCGCCAAGCCCGCAATGTTCTGGACCGGCGGCTGAAGAAACATCACCGAATCGATCCCTCGGGCGTCGTCGCCACTATTTCCTTGCTTCCACTCACGCCCTCCCTCTTCTCTTTCCCTCGTCCTACTGTCAATTCTTAAATTAGTTCTATTCCTCCAAACACTCTCTCTACGTCCGTCCTTGTTCGCTTCAACTCTTTCCTCAACCACCCCTCCTACTAACATCCCACCCCCAGCCTCGGCCATCTTTCTTATCGGTCCCACCCATACCTTATTTACCCCGCGCTATCCGAAACTCCGTGGCTTTCCTCGCCCTTCTCTGCGCCGCCCATCCCGCAGACGCACCCCTGACGCACCCGTCCTGTACCCTTATACAGTCTAGATCAGACAGCGTGGTGAACGCATAGTTGACAATGGGCAAGTCGTAAGTGATGCGCTCCCTTCGCTGCCCCACGTTGCTGCATTACTCGAGGCGGGAGAGGGGGAGAGACAGAGCCAGGGCGCGATGTTTCAGGGCGCTCGTGGGCACTGGCGGTATGTCGCTTCTGAACATACGCAACAATATGCTCGGGCAAGAGAAAATGCTCTGTCCTCGTCTCTATCCTTCCATATCCACGCTCTCCGAATCGCTCTTCGCATCACCCCGGCCGACGACATCCTTGTCCCCCGCGGCGCCCCGCCTTATTTTCAACCCTGTGACCCAGCCCCAAAAAAAGCTAACGTCTCAAACCATACTGCAGACAATCCAAGCTTTCCCCAGCCCAACTGGACGAACTTCAAAAGGCGACGCATTTCGATAAGAAGGAGCTTCAGCAATGGTACAAAGGTTTGTTTGCCTTTCCAACATAGCTTTTCGACAAACCACAAAATCTCTAGCGCAACTCAAGAAAAAAAAAAACCACAGGCTAACGAAACCTCCAAACTCCCGCGGTCCTGCGCCGGGGGAGTGCATTTGTGTCGAAACATAGGTTTCCTAAAGGACTGTCCATCAGGGACCCTCACGAAGGAGGAATTCCAAAAGATCTACCGGCAGTTCTTTCCCTTCGGCGACCCGTCGTCATTTGCAAACTATGTGTTCCGGGTGTTCGACTCCGATAACAGCGGGATGATCGACTTCAAGGAGTTCATCTGCGCGCTGTCGGTGACGTCGCGCGGCAAGATGGAGGATAAGCTGGATTGGGCGTTCCAGCTGTACGATATCGATGGGGACGGGAAGATCACGTACGACGAGATGTTGGCGATTGTGGAGGCGATTTATAAGATGGTGCGTTTGTCCCTCTTGGTCTGTGATGTTGCTTTGGGGGCCCCCCGTCCTTTAGGGGGATGTCCCCGTACCGCGTTCGCGCTTAACTTCGCTAACACGGTTTTCAATTGGCGAGCAGGTCGGTTCGATGGTCAAACTCCCGGAAGACGAAGACACCCCCGAGAAGCGGGTGCGGAAGATCTTCCGCATGATGGACAAGGACGAGAACGGCAGTCTGGACATGGAGGAGTTCAAGGAGGGCAGCAAACGGGACGAGACGATCGTCAGCGCGCTCTCGCTGTACGATGGTCTGGTATAGTTTATTTCCACCACAATTACGATCCGCTTGTTTTTGCTTTCTGTTCACTCGGTGATTCCTGTCGCAACTACTACTACTACCTCCTTGCGCTCAATCTCTTTGTCTTTCTTGCTTTTTATGTATTTGCATTCTCCTCTCGAGCTTGCGATATCGACCTGATGTATGTATGCTAGTCAGGTCTGGCTTCAGGATTCCCTCCCATGTTTTGCTTTTGCTTTTGATGTATGTGACATGACATGGTCATGATCGGGATCTGTGATATACTTATGTTATATTTTTTATTTTCTATTCCACCGCATTCGTCCCAAACAATTATGGCGGTCCAGCGTTGTTCTGTTCTTCAATTCTTTCAATGTTATGATAAGACCGACGAGCTTGAGTTTGAGATCTGATTCTGTGTTGTTCCATATCTCTTGCTTTGCTTTTCTTCTTTCGCTCTGCGATTCGTGTTTCGGTGGGCGGCGGTTGGCTCTCTGCTTTTCTTAGTTTTGCTTTCACAATGTGCCTGCTCCTTCGTATTCTTCGGGTTATATAATCGTTCATCTATTGTTGTGATTTGGCTGGGTGGGTAGGTAGGTAGGTATACTCCTTTTATTGATGCGGAAGCGGTTCTCGATTAGAGTGTTGTTTGTAAACATAGACCCTTCATTGATATCTTCATATATTCAAAATCTCGCGGGTTTCATGAGGAGGGAGATCTTGTAAGGTTGTGGGTAAGTGCAGGCTGGAATAGAATCTCAAGTGAGGAATTGCTATAATAGAAGTGGACTCGTCTGCTATCGAGAGCAGACTTGCGATTGCATGGAGGTTAGATTTGTCTATTTTATAAAGACAAGAGTTGTCTATTCTATTCTATTGAGACTCCTATTCAGAATAACGTGTTGTTCTCGCTAGCATTCAGTGCGTGAGCCGAGTCCCAAGGGACGGACGGGGTTCTCGCTCCGCTGTCTATACCCCCGAAATTGATTGTTTTAGACCGCTGGTTCAACGCTGATTTATTCTATATTTTATGGTCATGTACAAAGAACGGGTATCGGGATCGCGGTTGTTAGGATCCTGAAACTTGACTGGCGGATGTGGATAAGAAGGATGAGGGGATTGTTGGCTGTAGGGAGGGAGAGGTAGAATGGATGGATGGGTGGATATAGCGAGGGGTAAGGAGCAGGGTATGGGATTCCATCTAGACAGAATCAATGTATATCCCTCTCTTGACGAGGTGAAACGCAAATAAAAGCAGAAGAAGAAGAAGAAGAAGAAGAAGAAGAAGAAGAAGAAGAAGAAGAAGAAGAAGAAGAAGAAGAAGAAGAAGAAGCACAGGGAATCGAAAGAGAGGCGTTATCGTGCGAGAACCCATGAGAGAAGCAGTACCCAAAGAAAACAGGTGGGATATGCTCATCATACGAAAAGAACACACAAGGTGGGCGTCCACAAGAAAAGTATTTTCGGAGAAAAAAGAAAGATAATACACATAAAAAAAAGAATTCGTGAATAATCATCGTCTATCAAAGAACCAGCTCGTGCGCTTGGGGCCTGTCTCCTGCGACTGGGCGCCGGCTACTGGAGCACTGCTCTCGTTTCCTCCGCCGCCGCCCCGGAGAGGTTTGGCAATTCGGGAGCCGCTGAAGTTGAAGCCGCCGCTGCTGTCCATGCTGGGGAGTCCGCGGGTCGAGCCCTGCTTGGCGGCCTCGAGGCGCTCTTTGACGGCCGTCAATTGGGCTTCGAAGCTGTTTTTGAGAAGGTGAGCGGTTAGCAAATATCACACGGAGGAAGTGGGCAGCAAAGAAAATCTTACCGGTGATTCGCTTGGGTGAGTTTCTCCTGACTCTCCTGGAGCAGGCTCTCCAAGCTGGCAATCCGCTCGTTCCGCGCGATCAGCTTGCGCTCCGCGATAGCCACCTCCTTCTTCAGGCTGCTGTTCTGCTCAACCAGCTGGCGCTGCACGTGGGTGAGCTGCTCGAGGTTGCGCTCCAGGAACGCCATCTTCTTCTGCTGCGCCCGGTTGTTCGAGGACCGGAGCACGTTATTGTACTGCTCGCGAGCATCATCCAGCGATATCTCGAGCTCGACCACCCGCTCGCAGCGGTTCTGGAGATCTCGCATCAGCGACTTCTTCATGGCGTCGAAGTCGGCGATCTGCTGCTGCAAGTTTTTGCCCGCCGCGCCGTTGGTCGACACCCGCGTCTGCGAGTCGGCAAGGGACTGGCGCAGTTTGCCCAGCTCTTCGTCCTTGCGTGCAATCTCGCTGCGCAGATCCGTGACGGCCTGCATCTCCGCCTCCTTGCGCGTAACGTACACCTTCTCCAACCGCTCCCGGATTTCCTCCACGTCTTCCTCGCCCAGGTTTCGCGCCAGGAGGGTCTCGTATTCCCGCTCGAGAGTCGCCAGCTTCTCCTCGAGTTCTGCCCTGCGGCTGTCCTGCAGCTCGCTCAGCTCGCCCCGGTCGTTCATCGTAAGCTCAGCCTGGCGGATAAATCCCTGGGTCTCCTGCAGACTGGTGCGTAGCTCCAGCAGGTCGTCGGGCGCAATCGTCTCGCCTGCTTCGCTGATCTTGTGCAGTTCGTCGACGCGCGAAAGCAGTTCCTGGAGCTTCCGTTCGTTATCAGAGAACACATCTCCGCCCAAGTCGAATCCAGCCATCATCTTGGCCATCTTCTCGGCCTTCTTCTTTTCCTTCTCGTCCAGCGCCGCGCTGGTCTCCTTTGCCTTCATCCGGACGTCAAGCAGTTGCTGCTTCACGTCGTCCAATTCAGTGGTCAACTCCGAATTGGCTTCCCTGAGACCATCCATGGTGATGGAAGCCTCCTTGCTCTCATACGATACCTTCTCCAACTGCATGCGGAGCTCATTCACCTCGGTCGTCAACTTGTCGTTGTCCTTACCCGAGCGAGCGGTGTTCTCCTTCATGCCCTTCAGCTCCTCTCGAGCCTCGCGCAGGCCCCGCTCGATGCTGGCGATGTGAGACTCTTTCTCCGCGATCTGGTCCTGCAGTTCGTTCTCCCGTCTGAGGAATTCCTCCCGCTCATCTTTCTCGAGGACCAGGCTTGGCGTGCTGGAACGATCTCCAAGTCTGGAGTCTGGACGAGGGGTCTCTGAACGGGGCAGTTCCTGGAAGCGAGAAGGAGTACCAGGTCGAGGTGCACGAGCCTCAGTCTTGGCCGCACTGACGATTTCCGAACCTCTTGAGGGAGTCCAACGATCCTTGGGAACAGCTTCACCGCTGCGCCACACGTGAACTTCGGTTTCCAGCGCGGAGATGTAGTTCTCGAAACTGGTCACTTGACCCTGGGCCTTGCGAAGGAGCTGCTTCAGTTCCGCAGGGCTCAGCTCCGCGTTCACCTTCGCCTTGTTCTTGATGGCCTTGGCGCGCACACCGAAACGCAGGGTCGAGATAGTTTCCGCATCGTTGTAGCTACTGGGCGAGCAGTTAATGATCAGGGTCGTCCGCGAGTTACCTCCCAAACTCTCTTGCAGGATTCGAGTAAGCTTAGAATCACGATAGGGAATGTGCGTCGATTTGCCGTCCGTCAGCGCGTTGATCACCATACCCAGAGCACTTAAACTCTTATTGATCTTCTTCGCTTCCTCAAGGGTCTGGCCACTTGCACCAGTCTTGCCGACCTTCTCACTACCCGCCAAATCGACCAAGAAGAGCTGACCACTCTTAGCCGAGCCGGTCTCCAGATTCTTCTGCGTGACAGTAATGACGAAGATCGAGTGGGACCGAGACGACTCCTGATTCATGTTCGTCGCCGCGACTGCTCTCGCCGCACCACCCCGACGCATGACCTCGTACACCTCCTGCACGCTAGAGACGTAGACCTCCAGCAGACCCTTGACGTAGACACCGCGCGACTTCTCCTCATGGACCGGCAGGTTATCGTTCTGGGGCACCAGCAGATCGCGAATCCGCTCCATGTAGATCTCCATGTAACTGACCCGCACCGTATACTCGATATTACTCGGACTGGTGAGGATGCTGGCGAAGATCTGCTCGACGATGCGCGGAATGATACCCTTACCGACGTCGTCGTCGATATCGGAACCCATCATGGTATACGACTTTCCGGCACCTGTCTGACCGTACGCGAAGACCGTACCGTTATAGCCGTTCAGGATGTCGTCCACCGTTGGTCGGATCGAGAAGTTGAAGACATCCTGCTGCTTCGAATCCATGGGAAACACCTGGTCGAAAGTAAAGGCTCCAGAGCCTTCTCTGGACTGTTGACGATATTCCAAATCTAGGTCTCAGCAACTTTGAACATAAACGTCGCCCCCGCCGCGGTCCTGATTCTCCCTCGCACCCTCGATTCACATCGGACACGACATCCACCACCAGGGTAGGAGGCACTCACGTTAATCAAACATGACTGTTCATTTTCGAACTCCACAATCGGTTCACCCCCCGATGCCAATTCGACTTTGTTTTGCGGTCGGAATCTCGCAACCACTGTGTTCGAGCGGAAACGCGGAGCGGGTTAGCTAGTCTGTTACGCGCCATGAATTCCACCAGAAGGCGATCCACAAAAGCAGAAGGAAGAGCGGGAATGAATGCGCACCCTTAATGGTGTTGGGGCCGTTGGGGCCAGATGACCTGTCCAGCGAAATTCGATCAGTTTCTCAGTGCCGCGTGCGCGTTGGAGGTTTGTTGGGCGTGGTGGCCCACGAGAGAGAGAGAGGGTGGGTTGAAGCGGTGAACAGGGGCAACAACAACAACAACAAACGTACGCCATGATCACTCTGACCCGGACTCAAGGATGAGGCCGATGGAGGTTGGAAGAAACTAGGTTTGGACAGAAAGGAAAGGAAAGGGAAGAAGGAACCCCGAGGGGGGGTGGGAGGGGGCTAAAGTGGAAATCGGAGGGGTTCGATGCGAATAACAAGAAGATAATAATTGGGGAGGAGGGGAAAGGGAAGGACAGGGCAGGCTTCGAGGTGAGAGCGGAGAGAGTAGAGAAAGTAGAGAGCAGTAGTAGTAAGTAGACTAGCAGTAAACTAACTGACGGACTGACTGACTACTCACTATGTGGGCAGTGGTTCATTTGGGTCAGGGGTCCACGTGCACTAGTAAATATTTGGGCAAGCCTTGAGGCGGTCAGTGTCCCATCTTTCAGGTTTCTTCAATTCATTCCCCCCATAAGTGGTGTTTCAGAAAGTCAAGTCAAGTACAACACAGTGTCAGGTTCTGACGTGGGTTTTCTCTGCCTAAGAACTTCAGAGTATCATAAGAAGAGTGGGGAGAAAAGGGCCTGGGGAAGAAATGCATTCCTATCGGGCATTGAGGGGGAAGAATGAACTAGGCCTACAGCATGCACGACAGTAATCACTGCCTGCACTCTCCCTGCCCAAATACTTCTTGGCACTTGCCTGCCAACTTCATTACTTCATCGGAATGCATATTCAATTTCACTACGGTTTATTGTACGCAGGCAAGAATGCTGGGGTGAAGCTAACTAAAAAAAAAAAAAAAAAAAAAAAAACTGTAGGAGGAAAATGCTAGCGAACAGTCTGGGATAAGCAAATCAAATAAAAAGGAAACCCGAAGCAAGCCGAGTTGCCGAACCGATTATCTGACATGCAGTAGCGGAAAAGCACACGGAGGAAAACAAAACTCAAAATGCATTATGCGAAACAACACAAAATGAAACTGATGCAGCTATTCACGGATACCAATGGGAAATCGCGATAACAAAAGATCAAAATGTAACCAGGCGCCAAAACCCCACGCTGTGCACGTCATCAACGGGGTGCAAGTCCCTCAGGTTCACGGCCCTTGCATTCGCACAACGGCATGGCCATGCCAGGGCATCACGCCTAGGTGAAACATGCGGCAAGACGGCGTTGGCATCGCCATAGACCCAAGGAACCAAAACCCGCGTATAATAGTATATCATAGTTTGCCACCGCACCACAACTCTAATCTTCCCAGCTCTTCTCGACCGTCTCGCGCACCCGCTTTATGTATTCCTTGCGGTTGTCCTTGTAGAGGTTCGACGCTTCCACATTGGCGGGCGATGAGGTGTTCGGATCGTTGAGTAAGCTATGGATCGCGAATTAATCGTTAGCATCATTTCATCACTGCCTTGTTATGTGCCCGGGTTGGGCAAGAGAGGGGAATGTGATTACCTTTGAATGCTGGTGAGGATCGCTGCCACATCATAGGTTGGGCTCCAACGGTTCTGCAGGATGTCCAGGCAGAGCTCGCCCGTGCCGTAAACATTCGGATGAAACATTTGGCTGATAAACTTGACACCCGGGGGCTTATTGGGATACTGTTCTTCGAAGTGCATCACGAGTCGAAATGTGCCGTCCTCAAAGGGTGTATCGGCGGGGCCGATGATGACCGCATTCCTAGGAGGGGTTGTTTAGATTCCATTGCGGGAAGAGACCTTCAAGATGGCCAAGACAACTCACCAGGTCATAACATTGTCTGCCACGGGAGAAGCAGAAACTCCAGCAGGAGGATCGGTTTGCATACGCTAGAATGAATCGTGAATTTTAGCTCATGTATCTCCGGCAAGCAGGCAGGCTTAATAAAAAGCTTAAAACAGCTAGATGCTGGGACGGATCCAAGGCAGAAGACCCATTTAACGCAAGGGACGTAGTGATACAGCCCAAAAATGATGCAGACATCGACATACCTTGAAATCGCGCATGAGGCGACGGCGGGCAGAGGTCGACATGGCGGCGGGGTATGGGCGATGATCGGAGAGCTATCGGGAGAATGGCCAAGAACTAGGCACAGCGGCAGGTGGCAAAGACCGACACGAGAGGTAGTGGTGTCTGATACGGTAGACGACCAGGCGGAAAAGATAGAAGATCTCAGGCCGAAATTTCAAGAGACAGGACAGCAAAGCGAAGGAGTTGAAAGCAGTGGAGAATCGGTTGGACGGGATTTAGGAAGAGGAGAGCGACGGACGGATGATGGTCGGAGCGGGAGGGAGGATGGAATGAGCAGCGGTGATTCTTAGTGACTGGACTATTGATTGACTGGCTGATTGACCTGCAGAAATCCTCCTCCTTCACCGCCTCTAACCATAGGGAGATTAGCGTGTTCACGCCACTCTGATTACATGATGTTTCTCCATCATGGATAATCCCACCGCCCGACTAATTGGGAAGCATAACACGCAGCCTGTCCCGTGCACGTGACACCTTACTGCCATCCTTTTCCTTCTCGCCCATTTCGAACTAACCCGAAGCAGGAACTACTATGGATCGAGTCCCGCGATAGATGCTACAGCTGGGAATCGCATGCCAGCGATCCAGAACTATGTCAGGCGCTATCTGACATTGATAACATACTTCGTGATACACCAGGCACATCATCTTCCACTTTGTCACAGTCATGACGAATTGCTGAAAAGCCGGAAAGCACCATTTGTTGGAAATGCTAGGACCGTTGGAATTACCGCTGTTCCCGTCCTGCGCGGATTGCCTGGCATGGTCGGCAGACGGTGAATTAGCCATCGGTGCGGGGGAATACGTCCAGATCCTGGTCGGTCGTCTGCACACCTCCTCGAGTATACGAAGTAGAATGCTAACCGGGAACAGACCCCTAAGACGGCCAATGAAAAAGCTGAGCAGGGCCCTGCACAAAAAGCCATCAACAACTGGCATTCCAATCGCTTTCGAGTCAACATTTTCACCAACAGTGAATGGCCAACCATCTATCCCCAGAAACGTGACCACTTCTCCCTCGGCGGTGAGCAGTCCCTGAGCACCGTGGTAGGGTTGGCTTGGTCCCCTCCCGGACTCGCCAAGTATCGACGCTGTGTGCTTGCGGTCTTCACTTCGAATCTACTACTCTCACTCTACGAGCCTGTCGGAATTCAAGGGAGATGGACGCGAGTGGCGATTGTCAACGATTCATTGAAACTGTACTTCCAACCGCAGGTCCAGGATGAGGGTCTGGTGCTGCAGAAATCCGCCATCCGGTCATTTTCATGGTCATCGCCTCTCAAGGTCCCCGTTGCGCAGCAAGATGCGGACTCTCTCTTGGCCGCTGGGCCCGAGAGTCGATGGGGCTTCCACTTGTTGTCAGTCGCGAATGACGCTAAGGACGTGATATTTCTACGGGTGCGAGGCTTGACAGCAGTGCAAAGCCCGAGGTACACGGCTGATGTGCTGTCCATTACTTCTTTTGACGAATCACCGGAGAGCCACCCCCAGATTAATCCTTCCTCACTTTTTGCAGCCGCTCTACAGTCGAAAGCCGTTGTGTCATCAATGGGTTGGGGCCCATGGACTTTCTCAGGAGAAGAGCGTCAATCTGAGAGCGCAAACGCCCATCATGCGACAGGAAACCTGGCCGTTGTATACGGGACAAAGCTGAAGATGATAAAGTTCGGAATCGATGCGGCATCTCTCAGGCAGGGACCAGATGAAGGCCTTTTTCCCGAGCCAGTGGCCGAGTCAGAGATGAATACTTTGTTCCATAGCGACGAGCTGGAAGACCTTCACTTTACTGGTCCTATCAAATGGATCAATCTGGTGAGACGGTACCCAGTCACCACCAATGCTTGACTGACATTTGATCCAGCAGGACACGCAAAAGCTCTGGCTAGCCGCCGGCGTTTTCGCGGGACTCGCTCTCATCACCATCCCTCACGCAATGTATAAAGAGCAGGATCACAAATCCGCACAAACCCGACTGGAGAAGTTTCCATTCCACGAGGACACGGCGACCGATATCCAACGTGAAGCCCCAAGGCATTGGGACCCAATAACATGTAAGCAAGTTCCTATAGCTGCACCAGTCCGCGCTGACAACAGAAAGCCATGACTATCACACACGACCCAGACTCCCAAGACTGCACGCTCCACGCAGCAACAGCCGGAGGCTACGCAATAACAAAACATCTCAACCCCAACCAAGAAGACACGCCACTTTTCAAAGCCCCATGGAAGAACCAAATCGACGACATGCGCGAGCAGTTCGATTTTGACCGAGACTTCGGCGGTCTCGCCGTAGCCAGAATCTGGGGGCTAACCTCATACAACGGCATCGTCGCAAGCGCGACGACGCTCCATCCGGGCGATGTCATCGAATACCGCACCGCCTCGGAGGACCGAGCGATAATCACCTTCTCGACGCCCACAGGCGCAGTAGCAGACGAACTGCCCGACGCGCCAACAACAATAACAACAGCCGCTACCTCTTCCCTTACCCCGGAATCACCCCAAACAAGACGCGACGCAGCCCTGAGACACATCCTCCTCTCTCGCGACAACGAACCACCTCTCTGTGGCAGAATCCTCTACGCAGCCGCGTGCTCCGCCATCGTCGAATCCGATAACGAGGACATCATCGAGCAAGCCCGCGAGGCCCTCACCAGCCTAGCCAGCGCTACAGGCGCAGATCTAAGCGAGGAGCTTTCCAAATTGTCCTCCGCCCCGGGCACAATCGACGCAAAGTCCGCCGCGGAGCTCAGCGGGCCGGGCAGTTCTTTGTTCGAAAGGTGCGATATCTGCGAGGCCGGGCTGTCGTGGTACTCGACTCAAGAAGCGCAGTGCGCCGCCGGTCATCTCTTCGGTTTGTACCTCGTCCTCGTGTGTTTTTTAGGGCGTGTTTGCTAACCCGAGCAGTTCGGTGCGGTTTGACATCGCTGGCTATCCAAGACCCCGGGGTATCGAAGTTCTGTTCCGCCTGTGGAATGGAATACCTGAACGAGGACGCGATCGACGCGTCGGACGCGGACCTCCAGCGCTCATGTCGGACGCTGTTCGACATGTTCGATACCTGTGCTTCTTGCGGCGGGAAATTCCGCCTGTAGCATTATACCTATAGCTCACTAGACCCTGCAATAAATGAAGCTTACATGGCAGAACGCTCGCTAACAGTAGATAATGCGACACACTAATACAACCCCAACAGCTTCCCAGCGACAGGATCCCACTCCCCGTCCCAGCGACGGGTACTCTCCCTCCGCGCCCCCTCCCGCAGCCTCTCCAGCAGATCATCGTCCCCAAACAATTCCACCAGATGCCGGAGCAGCTCCTCCGCGCTCCCAAATCCCCGCCCATTCACCCCCTCCGTCACCAGCTCCGACCACGCCTCGAACCGATTCCACCCCACAACCGGCAAGCCCGCACCGAACATATCCACGACCTTCATGGGCAGATCGACGCCGCTGCTGCTGGTATGCAGACTCACACCCAGCGACGCGGACGCCAGCAGCCGCGCGTAGTCGTCCATGCTCAGCCACGCCGTGCGGATCGTCACTTTCTCCAGCTTCCCGGCGGCTTCTAACTCCGCGATCCGGGATAGATACATCTCCTTCTGTGGGCCCTTGCCGGTTATGATCGCTAGGATGGTGGGGAGGGGTGGGTTCGCCTGCTGGGCCAGCGCGGAGTAGCGGCATAGCGCGTCGATGAGGATCGAGAAGTCCTCGTCTGCTGTCCAGGAGGTGGAGCTTACGAGGACGCGGAGGTCGTTGAATTGGAGAAGGGGCCGCACGGACTCGGTTTGTGGAAGCGAGAGGAGGAAGGATTCGCGGACGGCGCGCGAGGTGATCGGCTGGAAGTGCTCGGCTGGACGGTCGTGTAGTGGGAGGATGGGCGCGCGGAGTTTGAAGTCCTGCTGTAGTACGCGCGCCATTGCGTTCGTGACGCACAGGTGTGCGGTCGCGTATTGTCCGAAGGTTTGTTCGTAGCGCTGCGAGAAGCGGACGAGCGGGTGCTGCTCGCCCAGCTTGAGCGCTAGGATCGTGTAGCCGAAGTTATGCCAGTCGATGATTAGGTTCGTGTTCCTGAGGCGGCAGACTAGGGAGGCGATGGCGAGCGTCGGGATAGAGGGCGGGTTCTGGGTGCCGGGCCACAGGGTTAGCGGTCTTGTGTAGCTAGTATGGTAGATGGGTAGCGGGGCGAGTGACTGACTTGGACGAGGAGCCACTGGGCTGGTTTGGTCCGGTAGCCTAGAATCCACCACAGGCAGCCGATCTGGAATAGCACCTTCAGCGGTCCGAAGAGGAGGAACAGTAGCTTGTTGCTTGTTTGGAGGCAGGTCGGGTGCGGGGGGAGCGCGACGATGGAGATCCGCGGATGGGAGGTGATTTTGGGGTGGACTTCGGATTCTGAAGAGGCAATGGATTAGTTTGGAGCTATGCGATTGCAGTTGTCGATGTTGCGCACCATGGTAGCCGATTATGTTCACTTGTCCCCCACCCTTTGCTACACTGAGCGCATGATACTGCATGCGCGGGCTGCGACCGATGTCTCCTAGCACGAGGATCTGAACAGTCGTCTTTGGTTTATCTGCACCATCTTGTTCGGATGATGACTGAGGTTGGTAACGAGATGGGGAGAGGAGGAGTATCGCGAGGGTAAGCGATGTGGATGCGTAGAAGGCAATGTTGAGCAGTGTCGCGAGCATGATGACGGTGGAATGAGCTCTAGAAAAAGTTATGGGATTGTTACTAGATCATCCACCATCATGCGCAGTCAAGTTGCTTAGTAGATTGTCGTGGGGTCGCCGGCGTTTCAGGGGTATCTTGTCAGAATAAATGAACTGGCGCAGTTGATCCTGCACGACAATCAAAGAGATCTAGAGCTTCGGACAAGCTGGCAGTTGGAGGAATCCTGGGCCGATGCCCGCAGTGGACGGAAACCCCACACACGCACACGCCGGGCGCGTCAGAATAACAAATCGGGCAAATTGACAACAGGCGCGCGGCTCGCATTGATAGGTTACATGCCACTGGACCAATTAAGTATCATCGGCATTTAGATTGCTCTGATTATCTCTCGGTCTAGCTCTCTTTTACCCCGGATCATCCTCTCAAAGTTGGTTCATGGAGATGATGGATAACTCATTTTACTTTTTCCATACGCTCGATCTGCCGTGGGTTCCTGAGACACCAGGCAGCTACGGAGACTCCTAGGCCAGCTGAGACATGATCACGTGGTCCCTTGTTATCACCGCCGGGCGATCGTCGCGCCGCTATCTGGGGGCTATTCGTCCATCATCATCATCCATCCTCAGATCGATCGCCACAAGCGCCCTTCGTGGTCGCTTCCTTATTCTTCCGTTCAATCCCTCTCCATGGGCGCTATGCTGCATCGTTTGCCCCTCTCCTTTGACTTCTCCTTCTTTCTGAGCTCGTAAAGCTCAATTCCTATTTCTTTTGGGCAACTGTTCCCCCCTCCCCAACCTCGGCTCAGCACCCGCCTCTTCTCGAAAGCCCCCTCCGGTTGTTCGCTGGGAACATCCAGCGGATCGTACATAGCACAACCATTCCGAGACAATGTCGGCTGGAACACCGGTATCGTTCGTGGAGACAGCTCCTCCGAATCATGGGCTCGGACATAGTCGAGGCCATCGTTCGCGATCATCTCGCAGGTCGCACGGGCCAATTTCCATTTCGGCCTCCTCCTCGGACCTGTCTTCAGCAAATCAACAGCCCCCACAACCTGTAATCAACCCGACCCTTCCCAATGGCAACTCGGGAGATGCAGCCTGGCATAGTCATCACCATTCACACTCTCTTGCATCAAATCATAGCGTATGGGAAGCTCCCGCCCAGGATCAGACTGTCCCCTCCTCAAGCAACCATACGCACCACACGAAGAACGATAGCGCTGCAGGGCTGATTGGTGCTCAAATGCTGAATGCATCTGTTGAGACCGGATCGAACACAATGTATGTTCCCCCAGTGTGTCTTCCTAGCCAGTACTAACATATCTAAAGTCAGGAGGCCATTGCTGGACCCCTCCTGGCCTTGCCGTGGATCGCCCTTTCCTGGTACTACCAACACCATGCGCATTGGAAAACACGGCAAATCGTTTTGGACGATCCCGACGCAATCGCATCAAACAATGGCAAATTAGACCAAGTCGAGCGGAAGGCGGCCATGCTGACTGCCGTTACACTGATACTATATGGATGTGGACAAATGATGCGGTCCGTTCAGCGGGGAGGAGCTGACTCCATCGTTGCAATTCCGCAGGTGGATTCGAGCACAGCGAGGGTGGCGCTTCTGCGAGTGTCTTCTCTTGCTCTGCCCATCTATGCCGGCCTGAAGGTTGGAGGCTTCCTAGTGGCTCTCAGCTTGCTACTTTCGGTAGCCTCTGGCGTGCCGACAATTCTCCAGGGAAATGGCCCACATAGCAGTGGCCAATTCCGACTAAGCCAAAAGAAAGCGAGCGGTGGTGTCCTTGTCGCAGTTGTTGTACTCAGCTTACTGGGCTTGAATGCAACCTGGGATGACCACCCATTCTTCGGTTACGTCGCTTTACTGGTTTCGGTCTTCGTGGTCCGCCCTCCTTTCTCAGGGACGAAGTCGGTAGACGTCGACCTCTCTACGCCAACCTCATCTAAGAAGCAACTGTCAGAGTCCAATGTAAGCGCTGCTTCAGCCGGCGAATCTGTGTTGACTGCTTTGTCGGGCCTGCTTCTAGTACTTATCACGATCATCGTCTCCGGCAATATCTCCTTTGACTTCACTGATATGCTTTACCATCTTGCTGGCTCTGGTGCACTTGCACTTAGTTTATTATCCGTTGCTCCCTCACATCTCCAATCATCACATAAGATTGGCCTTGTCCTTGGGAGCGGAGGCGCTGCCCTCCTATCCTCGCCGCCGATACAAGACAATGTTTCGGTAATCTATGTCTCGCGGATCATTGTTTCACTCATCTCATACCTTGCTGCCCGCTTCGACGACAAAGGTTTGCGCCACTCTGCACAGTCTCATGCCCATGAACATCATGGCCATTCATCCGCCGATGCTTCCAGAATCACCAAGTTCATCCTCCATCAGAGCGAATCGTATCCGCTTTTGTACAGTATCCTCAAGGAACGCGATTCGCGACGTATCTTCTATTTCATGTGGTGAGTTCTTGTGCTACTCACTATGTGTCACTATAGTCTAATTTGTCTCAGTCTTAACTTCGGCTTTATGCTTGTTCAGTTGGCATATGGCTTTTTGACTGGATCTTTGGGGCTACTTAGTGACAGTATTCACATGTTCTTCGACTGCCTTGCTCTGGTTGTTGGTCTTTGTGCTGCTGTCATGAGCAAATGGCCGCCCAGTTCGAGATTTCCTTACGGTTACGGCAAGGTCGACACGCTATCCGGTTTTGCCAACGGCATTTTTCTCATGTGAGCCACGCGAATACAATCTCTCTAATTCATGACTGACAACTTGCAGGATCATTAGTATTGAGATTATCTATGAAGCAGTCGAAAGACTGTCTTCAGGCAGTCAAATGCACCGTATTGGTGAGCTGCTGATTGTTAGCATCGCAGGCCTACTTGTGAACCTCGTTGGAATTATGGCCTTCGACCATGGACATGCGCATGGACACGACCATGGCCACGGGCACTCGCACGGCAACGAGAATATGCACGGCATTTTTCTCCATATTCTTGCCGATACGCTCGGCTCGGTGGCTGTGGTGATCTCGACCATTCTCGTCCACTACTCTGGCTGGCCGGGGTACGATCCTATTGCTTCATGCTTGATCGCAATCTTGATTTTTGCCTCGGCAGTTCCGCTCGTCAGCAGCACGGCGAAGACTTTGCTGCTGGCATTGCCCGCTGACGTTGAATACAATGTCCGTGAAGCTCTGGCGGGAGTCAGTACCCTACGGGGAGTTGTCGGGTACTCGGTCCCTCGATTCTGGTTGGACGATACGGGCAAAGAGTCTTCTGGCCATCACCATCACCACCATGGTCACGATCATGGACACAGTCATACCCACAGCCATAGCCACGGACATAGCCACGACCATGGCCATGACCACAATCACAACCACTCCCACTCCCACGCTCATGGTCACAGTTGCGACCACAGCAGCTCCCCCTCTCATGCTCCCTTACACAGTCACAATCACGGCCACAGCCACGATCACAGCAACCACTCCCATTCGCACAGCCATGACCTCCACTCCCACTCCCAGGAAACCCACAACCCCAAACTTCTCGGCGTAATTCACGTCATCGCCTCGCGCGCCGCCGACCTCGAAGACGTCCGCCAACGCACCGTCAACTACCTCCGCGAGAAAGACATGGACATTCTTGTCCAGGTCGAGCGCGAAGGCGACGGCCGGTGCTGGTGCGGCGGAGGCGCCAACAAAGCCTCCTAGCCGGTTGAGTCCCTATGCTTCTTTCTTTCCATAAGTATACATATAATCAATCAGGATAACTTTGGGCTGGGCTGGATAGACCGGCCTCTGGGATTCGGGTTCTCTTCTTTCCTCAATTCATATGACGCTGTATGTATGTATGTATCAATCTATGCATGTATGTATGTATGTATCTATGTCTCATTCAACCCTTTCCTTTCCCTTTTTCGTGATTAGCTGGCTCTAGATCCAGCCAGACTCTCCTATAACGCGCGTGTAATGGCCACAGACAAACGTACTAATAGGTGATGATCGCGACCGAGATCCAGCGAAGCAACCTACATCTCGAAGGCAGTGATCTAAGCTTGATAGACTAGACCATTCGAAGTCAATCGGCAACAAACTTCTGACCCCGTAGTCAAATCAAGCCATCGCGAATCAAAGCTAACGACACACCCGCGATGGTATCGCACCGACGTACAGTTACACATGTGCGCTCTTCACATGAGGGGGAGGAGCACGGGTGGCTCCACGTAGACTACTGGGAAGTGGAATCCTCTCCGAGGTCTTATAGACACAAGTGGGCTAGGTAAGCTTTCAACCAGAACCAACACGGTGATCGCAAGCGGGGGCCGAGCGAGGGTGGTTCACATGCAAGATCGAAGGGCGTTATACATCGTTACTCTAGAGGAAATGTGGGCGGCGCGGACCATCCTCGGTTCGTTTTCTGTTGATATACAATTGTCGATCACAGACGTTTTTATCATCGAGTGTTGGTTTTTCCTTTTTACTACCGAGTTAGAGGGTATATACATATATACACAGGTCTAACTATCGAGTAAGAAGTATATTATTCCCATGTCCGCCATTCTCTCGAGCTCCGCGCCGCATGAAGATGAGATCAAGCGCCGAGGCTATGCGTCCTTATTCCAGAAACACACCGTCTTCCTGACGGGCAGCACCGGGGCGCTGGGGGCGTGTCTCCTGTACAAGCTTGCGACGCAGGTGCCGACGCATAAGATCTACGTTCTGATCCGGGGGTCTGCGGACCTGGCGATCCGGAAATGGAAGAAGGCGATGCCCGTGCAGACGGCCCCGATCCTCAAATCGCGGATCGTCCATTTCGTGGTCGGGGACATGACGAAGCCTGACTTCGGGATCGATGCCGCGGTCATGGAGGACCTGCGACGGCAGGTCACGCTGGTCATCCACGCGGCGGCTAAGATCACGCTGGACGCGGACGTCGCGGAGGCGGTCGAGAATAATTGTCTCCCGTCGCTGGAGATGGCGCGGATTGCGTCGCGGTTTCGCAGGCTGAAGATGCTGGTGCAGGTGTCGACGGCGTATGTGAGTAGCTTCTTGCCGGATGGGCATGTCGGCGAGAAGCTGCACTCTGTTGTTGCTGAGGCTGGGGAAAAAGGTGAGGATGAGGATCCGGAGGAGGCGTTGAGGGCGATCCTCCGAGGAGAGGGATTTCCGTACACGGAACGATTCTCGTCAACATATACTCATGCCAAGTATCTGATGGAGCGTCTGATGTTGAAGAGATTCCCCACGTTGCCGTTGTTGCTGGTGCGTCCGACTATCTTCGGGCCAGCAGTCAGGGATCCATACCCGAATTACGCGCCAGAGAATTCCACCCCTCTGAATAAATTCGGCATGCTCTTCCTTGCGAGCCATGGGGAGACGCAAACCTGGCATGCGGCTGAGGGGTACGACACTGGTGCGAATACGTTAGATGAGATCCCGGTTGACTTTGTGGCAAACGCTTGTCTTCTTCATGCTGTCGCGGGAACACAAGGTATCGTCCATGTCGGGTCGCAGTTGTTTATGAAGGTGACGCTGGATGAGATTATGCAGCTGGCGTACGCGCATACCCCCGAGGATTATCGCAATCCTTTACCGACGGTACATTTCGTGAAGGACCGCAGCATTCCACAGTGCTTCCTTGCGGATCTGGTCAAGGTTGGCTCACGTAATTGGTTGTTCGATTGTGGCCGGTCATTCTGGTTAAAGCAGCTAGGAGGTCCGCTGAGCTTAGCCGCCTGTCAGCATGATGTAGACAGGATTAAAGTCAAACGGGCCGCAGAGATTTTCGAGCGAGTGCCGAGGACAGTGAAGCTTTAGCAGGTGACATGTCTTGCAGTATCGAATGATTTCACCTTGTACTGATATTCATGAACGGTTATCAGGGTTGATTCCAAGTAGGCACGGCCCATGCAAAAGGTCTAATTCAGGGTTGTTGAAATATGCATCTCGGTGGGTAGAACAAGCCTGGAAACTGCGTGGATAAAACTCAATCAAGCTCTAATCTTTCGTTCTGGCCACTGCAAAGCACTCTCCCATTGCGCATCACATGGACGAAGGGCGCTCAGTAACTCAGAAACCAAGGCTCTACCCGAGTTCTTCGCCCACCATACTTTACCATCAAGCTCCACTAGCAACGCGCCCCAGTGCATTAACACCAGCAGTGCAAGAGGCTGACGACGCCTCAACGCATGAACAAACTCTTTGCTAGCCATCGCGAGCCATCCAAGTATAGATGCTATATCGCGAGAGTGATTGTACCTACAGAAGCAGCGCCGCAGAAGTGCTATAGCTTCATCAATGATGCGATGTTGCTCTTCGTTGACGCTGTCTTGCATGGAGTGACTCAACGTGGTCAATTTATCAAAGGCGGTCTCGGTCTCGCTATCGAGGATCGAAAGTTGCGTTTCCCAGAATCCTTTACGAGAAGTGACCAGTTGCGTGGACAGCCACTCCCGACTGATGGTGTAAATCTTGCTGACGCCGTGAAGCAACTCAAAGACGACAATGATGTTCTCGGTCATAGTGTTGATCTCCTCCCTGTCAGACGACAGCCGGGGCAGAGCTATGCCGATGACCGTGGTAATGACCGAGTGGGCGAAGACTGCATCACAATTGGCGGGAGTGAGATTGTCTATGGCGTGCCGGAAAGGTGCAAAGGCCCGGTCGTGATACTCCAATGCCGTGTCAATATATGACAAAGCTTCTGGTGAGTTCATCGTGGCGGCGATATGCAGAGAGGCAACTGCAAGCAGCCCACTCATGAGGAAGTCATGCTGGAAAGCTTTTCGCGCAATGACGGTCTGCCAAGTGTAATGGTCCACGGGCTCATTGCACAGACTCTGGTACGTCTCTGTGGAGTACTTGTGCATCAACTCCAGCTCCCGTGTGCTGGCAAATTTTGGTGGATTGCAGGTGCCATACCGGAATAAAGTCCGGTTATGAACTGTGACCTCTGCGGATAGCGCTTTGCTAGCAGAGAGTGGCGCAGGTGTTGGGCTCACTGGTGGTGAAGTTACAACGCTGCGAGCTATTGGTACTTTGAGGTAGGTGCATTTAAGCTCGCGACTTGTGCAATTCGAGCAAGGTGGGCCTTGTTCATCGCACTATACATGAGCATTAGAGGTCACCCCGACTTATAACGCAACGCCAGATAAGCAAGGGAGGTGGCATGGAATTTCGAGAAACAGACTAGGGATTGTTAGACCTACCTTGACTCGACGTTTCTTACATTGGTCACAACCATTGCGAGACTTTGTATGGGTCCTCCGGGGCGGCATTTTCCATCTCGGTGATTGCTGATGAAGACAAATCAGCGGGTGCCATCCCACGTGGAGAAATCGCATGGAAGAGGAAAGTCTCCAGATCATCACGTGACGTACTCTTCTCGCCGACGGTGGAGTCAGCCGGGAGTATCTCCACTGCGGCCACTAAAGTAGTGGTGTTGTCACTTGTTACTGTCTAGACTATTGCTCAACGCAGAATCGATGTATGTTGTCATTCGCAATGCAGGACAAAGAGCAAACTTTGAAACTTCTTTGTCACTAAACTCGTGAAAAAGGATCAAGAGACCCAGTCTCTGTTCGCAGGTGGCCTCACGGTGTCGAATCCATCGCTCTCCGCCTACCTACATCGAACACTAGCCAGTCCAACAACTCCCTGTTCCTGAATTATTGGATCTCAAGTACAATCGTACCACTGTTGCAATGAGACAAATTGGTATGCAGGAAGCATTCAAGAAGTCATCGACTGAAAAGAAACTAAGATGGACGGAGGCTGCACCCTCATCTTCTTCTCATTTACATGCTCTGCAGCCCTGTTTCCGCTTCTACCACCTTGTCATGGCCTAGCTGATGTCCTTAATACAGGCCATACAAAGCTAGTGACAACCAACCGTAGCCTATGTTCGACAGCCATTGAGGAAGCCCACGAGTACATCCGAAAGCTTCTCGGGCTGATCCTTCGGTGCAAAATGCCCGCTTTCCACGAGAACTTCTAGCTGCGAGCACGGGATTGCGATGCGGCGCCTACACCCCCTATACTCGATCGGCCAGGCATCCTGCGCGCCCCAGACCAGTTTGGCAGCGAACTTCCCCAGCTCCGCGGGCCGGCCAGAAATCCCCAGCGTATGTTTTGGATCTTAATGTCACATCTAGTGCTGGAGGGTGCTCGCTGGCCAATGGGGCCCAATATATAAGCCACGAAGGTCCCGAGACCGCCAGTTCGCTGGAAGGATCCCTGGTCGAGGCTGCGGAAAGCAGCCAACCCCCTAGATGGAAGACATGCGCCTCGTCCGCAGCCTTCAAGAATGACTCAAGACCCAACGTCTTGGAAGACGACATTCTTGGTAACGAGGGGCTTTGTTGTCGGCAATGGATTGTCCTTGACTTAACTTGAGCATACTATGGTTACAGGTCGGATGGGAAGGGAAGGACTGGATCCTCGAAGGGCTTCCATGCGATCGGCTGGGCCTGGCTAGGGAATTAGTCGGCTGTCAGCGAGTTGGTCAGATAAGGAGGCGACGTTATTGCCGCAGGGTTCAGCGGGCAAACTACATCAACGCGACTTGCATATATAACGACCTGTATATCCGGTTGACGGGGGCAGTCCCTGCATTGCCATACATGAGCTTTGATTTAACTTAATACTATTATAGCAGCAGCCCCCAGGATCCAGACGACGCAACTTGGAAGCGAAACGGCTGAATATCGAATAATACCCGGTAGCCGAAAATGAAGCCGCAAAGTCTAATCGGATCTCCCCGCCGCGTGGAGACCTTGCGAGAACGAGAACGAGAACGAGAACGAAAGCGATCCAATCACGGCTGTTATAGGCCACGTTTTCCTTCATAGGGACCCACCAGTCATCAAAACATCGGCAAATCGGGGCTCAGGAACAATTTTAACGACCCCGTATTAAAATAGGTCTGATCCCCCTCCCAGGCCTCCAGATTACGATGAGGAGTCCTTGTCCGTGTCAGCACGTCCACTGTTTTCCTTTCTTCTGTCCTTTCTGTCCCTCTTTTGCCTACTTGTTATAAGTTTGTCCCTACATCGCGACGGCGGAAGAATTCACTCGCGCGGGGAATAATTTCCATTCTCTTATCTACTACGGGTTTTGTTCGGTCTAGATTGCATTCTCTTATCTTTCACCTTCCACATCACATCCAGCGGAGTACATACCCGGAACCGACCAGAGACCTCTCTGACGACAAGAGCCACGATGAGCTACGACACGTGCGAGAAAGTGTCGCTGGAGTGCCCGGTGCAGGCAACGACGTACGGCTATTACCCGAACCTGGGGGGCAACATCTTCTTTGCGGCGTTCTACGGGGTGCTGGGGTGCCTGCAGCTGGGGTTCGGGGTGTACTTCCGGGCATGGACGCTGACAGTGGCGATGGCGATTGGGGCGTTCATGGAGCTGGCGGGGTACATCGGGCGGATCCAGATGCACTACAACCCGTGGAACGAGGGCGCGTTCAAGCTGCAGATCGTGTGCCTGGTGCTGGCGCCGACCTTCGTGGCCGCGGGTATCTACCTGACGCTCAAGCACATCGTGCTCTCGCTGGGCCCGCAGTACTCGCGCCTCCGCCCGGGCCTCTTCACCTGGATCTTCATCAGCTGCGACATCGGCTCGCTCGTCCTGCAGGCCGCCGGTGGTGGTGTCGCCGCCGCCGCCGGTAAGACCGATCGCACCCTGCTGCAGGTCGGCGACGATATCATCATCGCTGGTATCGCGTTCCAGGTTGCGACCATGTCCGTGTGCGGCCTCATCGCGCTGGATTTCTTTGTGCGTGTCATCCGCCATGGCCCTGGCCTCCGCGGCGACCTTAACGTCGAAGGCGTCCGTCATATTCGACTCGTTATTTATGCGGAGGTCTTCGCGTACTTCACTGTGCTCATTCGGTGTATTTATCGGTATGGCCCCCCTTTCCTTCTTCCGATCCTCCGGGCCACAGACAATGGATATACTGACAGACGGATGTGGCAGTATCCCCGAGATGGCAGGTGGATGGGGTAATCCCCTGATGCAGAAGGAAGACGAGTTCCTGGTGCTGGACGGAATGTAGGTTCTTTATCGATGCCCATAGCCGTGTACACCTTGCTAATGTGTGTTAGGATGATCGCCCTCGGCATCGGCGCCCTCACGCTTGTCTATCCGGCGTTCTTCCTTCCGTCTATGAGGAAGGGGCTGAAGAAGGAGAAGGCTTGAATGTTGATATACAATAGAAGATCATATATAGATACCCATAATTGGAGTCCGGTTCAAGTTGGATTTGCTCCTGACAGGAAATATAGGCTAGTTTGGAGTTGCCATGCCGATGCGGAGTTTTATTTTGGTCGTGGGGCTTTTGTATTGGTTATGAGGACATTGGGTGAATTCGAGGAGGACAGAATGTAGACTGGAGTGACATGTGTCATGTTGACTGCTAGGCTGCTTGGCGCTCGGCCGAGTAGTTGTTGGTGTTGAGTGATTGAGCTACGATAAGATAGGGATACCTTATCTCTTATCGATAGTAGACGACAGTGACAGAGATGGTCAATGACATAATGCGCAGTTGCCCTTAGCTCTAAGCTTTTTTTATGGATGGGTTATCAGATCAGCACCTCAGACCACGACCACCGCCATATCCCGGGCTGCGCGAACGGAGCAGGTGGTGTGATACAACCGCCGCGTTGCGGGGAGAGCGAAGCACCGTATGATCCACCCACCTCCTACAACACCTACATCTTCCCCTTCACATCCACATCCCCAACTAATATCTATACTCACTACCACAAAAAAGAATCAACAATGTCCCCCGAACAAGCCGTAATAGTCATCGGCTCCGGCCTAGCCGGCCTCAGCGCAACAACACAACTAATCGCGCAACGCATCCCGGTAATCATGCTCGACCGGGCCGCGAAACCCGGCGGAAACAGCATAAAAGCCTCATCCGGAATCAACGGCGCGCCAACACGTTTTCAATTCGCAGCCCAGACACATCAACACCAACAACAAACCCCCGACACGCCCGAGCTCTTCCTAACCGACACGCTCCGCTCCGCCGGCCGCCCGCTTACCACCTCCGCACCCGACGAGCGCACCCGCCGCGAGACGCTGATTTCCACACTGGTCAGCTCATCCGCGGACGCGGTGCACTGGCTTTCAGACGAGCAGGGCGTGGATCTGAGCACGGTGGCGCAGCTGGGGGGGCACAGTCGGGCGCGCACGCACCGCGGCGGCGCCGGCCAGAAGCCGCCTGGTTATGCGATTGTCAGCGCGCTGCTCGAGTCGTTGAATCGGGAGCCGTTGTTCCAGTTGCGGACAGGCGCGAGGGTCACGAAGGTTGTCGTTCCGACGGGGGCCACCGGCAATGAACCGCAGATGCTGGGCGTTGAGGTCGACGCTGGGCGGGAGGATAATCGCACCGAGACGCTATACGGTCCGCTTGTGTTCGCGACGGGCGGGTTCGCGGGCGATACGCACGGCTTGCTGGAGAAATATCGCCCGGATCTTGCGGGGATCCCGTCTACGAATGAGGCGAGAGAGGGAACGCAGCCTTTGCTGCAGGAGGTTGGCGCTGCGGTCGTTGATATGGAGCAGGTCCAGGTGCATCCGACTGGGTTTGTGGACTCCAAGGATCTGGGCGCCCCGGTAAAGTTTCTAGCGGCTGAGGCGTTGAGGGGCGAAGGCGGGGTTTTGGTGGTTGGGGAGGGAGAGAGGTTTGTTGACGAGCTGGGCACGCGCGAGAAGGTCTCCGGTGCTGTTATGGAGCGCGCCGCACAGCTTACAGGGACGAATCTGCGCCAGTGGGATGTCACCCTCCTGCTTGATGAGGGCGCCGCCGCCGCTGCGAAGTCGCATCTTGATTTCTACCTGTGGAAGGGCCTTATGCGCAAGACTACCGTTGGGGAGCTGGCGCTCCCTGCGCTAATGGATACGCTTCAGCGGTATGCTGATGTGGTTGCGGGGAAGAGGTCGGATGAGTTGGGACGGACTTCTTTCGGGAATTGGACGCTCCAGGATGTGACGCCCGAGTCGGTTGTCTATGTTGGTAGGGTCACGCCCGTTGTCCATTTCACTATGGGCGGCGTTGTGATCGACGAGCGCAGCCGGGTGCTGGATACCAATGGTGTACCTATCAAGGGCCTCTGGGCTGCAGGCGAGGTCACCGGCGGCCTTCATGGGCAGAACCGTCTAGGCGGTTCGTCCCTTCTGGAGTGTGTGGTCTTTGGCAGGATTGCCGGCGAAAATGCTGCTGCCTTTCATCGAGAGAACTAGTTAACCTGAGAAGTGGGGGAAAGACTGGGACTGGGACTGGGACTGGAACGTTTGTTCATGGAGGCGCTCGTTTGTCTGGGCTCATTCATCTCGACTGTGTATGTGTAATAGTGGAGTGTCTTAATGGACTACGATCAAGTTTTCTCGGGCCCGTAAACTTTGACCACCTTGTCGCAAGACTAAGAGGCAGCCAGTTTTATACGAGGGTGATGCAAGATTTGAGTCATCCATGGTCTGCTGGGTTATCTGCCTGTCGCATGATCCCCTGAGCCGGTGTCTGTTTATGAAGATCATAGGAGAAGGAACAGAGCTGCCCAAGGCCAAGGAACAAGACATATGGTTATTAGGCCCTGCCGGTATCTTTTCAGTAAAGTGCTCTATGTATATTCAAGGGCGAGTGAGAGATGCAAGACGTATGTATGCAGGTGCAAGTGGTCAGCCCTAGCAGATCCGCCACGCCCCTTAAATTAAAGTCAAATAAAGCCTCATCCTCGCAGGTGACAATGGGTACTCGAAGAACCTTCTACCGAGGTTCTATGGAGTCATGTTCCTTGGACTTGTTCTCTGCGCTCTGTTGCATCATATGGTCTCCTTGAGGGGGAGCCTTTGCATACAACGGTCGGAAATGAGGAGTGCCACATTCCTGGCCAGTGCATTAGCTAGAGCATCAGCCAGGGCATGGACCTCGAGTGACATGAAGGTGATGTCGATAGTGACAAGAGCAATATTCCCCTTGCTGCACTTCTTTCCCCTCAGACGATGTTTTTGTTGACCACAAATGATGTCATTATTCATGGCCTTGCTAGTCATTCAGCTTCTCGGTCGGGCTCCGGCGACAGTCCCAGAAGGGCAAAGGTACCAGCCGCACCGCCACAAACAAAAACATTTCCCCCGATTGACTGACTGCACTTGACCGCAAGCTTCTTTCACTCTCGGAGCGGAGTATTTTACCAACCACTATTGAAAAAAAAAGACCCGATTTTATTTGGGCCATGCTTGGACCATCATATGGAGTAACCTCCACTGAAGGCCCACGGCCAGTGCTCCAGTGCTTATTCTCTTATCCAGCATGATGACCTTGATTCTGCAATGCGGTGTCGGTCCCTAACATGCCCCTGCACCTTGGAACCCCAGAAATCAGACTGCATCTGAGAGAAATTAAAGAGGGGGCTGGCAAGTCCAGCCTTCCCAGAAACAACGGCAATTCTTATCTTTCGCTTTTTCAGCCGAACCTCATGACCTAGGCGGTCCCTCGATTGATCCCGCGTCGGTCCATAATCATCGACCGACTGGATGGGTTTTGAGTTCGAGACTTCGAGCTGGTGGTGGAAAATTCAGCAGTTTTCCCCACAGTTGCGAGAAGCGAAGTCTCCGTCAAGAGTGCCCGGTCCTCGGCCTGCTCAGTTGTTTGCATCTTGATGGAGCCAATGAGCAAGGATTGACGTCCACAAGTGGCTAGTGAGCCGATTGTCAGCCACATCAGCGGTGGGCTGATTGCCAGAGAGCCCAATGAGGATCGACAATGGCGATCTCCTGCATCCTGTCGGTCTAAAGAGCCAGCAGAGCAAACCCTACTCCTAGTCAGGTCAGGGCTTGGGTACCCAGCATGAGATGGCGTCGACTCTGACGTAGTTCGTAGAACGACCACCGATGCTTTGCTTCACCCATCTCTCATCGTGCCGTCATTCCTCGAATCTTTCCGATCAAAGAACAACCCACACTATAGCTTGAACGTTTGAGTTGTCGGTCATTACCAAGCCCGTAGATATCGCCGAAAAAAATCATAACAGAGAAAATTGGTGAGCAGGCCGTTCAGATAAACATAGTTAGACCAATGAATCTCGAGCAATCGAGGAGGAGTGGAGCTTGAGGTCGGGTTGATCGCACCCAGCCACGGCGGTCCCTTTTCCGGAACCCCATCTGAGCGGCATCTGCAGCACTGTTTGATTTTGGCACTCGTGATAGCCAGTGGTTGCAGCAAACTAATGCATCGCTCTTCACACTCGGCCTATGAGGAGATTGTAGGGCTACCCAGCAGCTTCAATGGAACCACGGCAACCAATCTTACAGGCTGTAGATGGCCCATGGCCGCAAAGCCACCGTGTAGGGATCAAGAGCGATAGGGCTAGCTCAGGTGGAGATCATGGCTCCATGACTTCACCCGGCACCGTGAAGCTGTCCTGAGCCACGTTGGACTGGGCAGCTGCCTGGAGACCATCATGCACCAACCAGTGACGATCGAGCTAGGGAGAAACTAAAATCGACGAACAGAAGTGGGAATCGAGACGGACAGACGCGAAGAGTGGAAATTGCGGGATTGTCGCAGCGGGAAAATACCAAGTGTGAAAAAAAGAGGTCTCGATGCGTGCGACAAGGGAAGGCACGCAACTCCAGGCTGATGAAATGATTTGCGTGCTCTTTCCCACCACCTCACAACTTAAATCGGCTCATCTTCCCTCTCGTTGCCTCCCTTCCTCTTCCTTTCTTCCTCCCACATCTCCATCGTTCCAGAGCTCGCTCGTCTTCTTGTCTCGCGTCGATCACTTCGTTGATACCCCCTCTTGTTACTCCTCTTTGCTTCTTTGATCTATCCTCATTCTTTGCGCGTGTGCAAAACCTTACTACCCATCTCACCAAAATGAAGACTTTCTCGCTCTCCGTGGTGCTGTTGGCCGCTGCCAACATTGCCAACGCTGCTCTCTCCGTCAGCGATTGTGCGGTACGTCATGCTCGAACTGAATGGGTGCTCGCTGGTTGAGACTGACTCCATCGCGTTCCAGCAAATGTGCGTCAACAACATGAACAGCAAGGCTTCTGATTTGGGTTGCTCCAGCGGCGATCTCACCTGCTTGTGTAAGAACAACGACTACGCCTATGGTATCCGGGACTGCACCGCCCAGGCCTGCCCTGGTGACAACGCGGCCGCTGTGCTGGCTGGCGCTCTTGCTTCTTGCCCTAGCTCGACCAGTATGTGACCACTAATCATTACCGCTGAGATCCTCGATCCGACAAACGCTAACCTACACTCTACAGGCGGCTCTAGCTCTGGCTTGACTTCTACCGTTACCGCCTCTGGAACTACCACTGGCGGTGCTAGCGCTTCGACCAACTCTGCTTCCACCACTAGTGGCAGCGGTACCTCGACCGGCACGGGTGCGGGTGCTACCACCACCTCTGGTGCCAGTTCTGGTACCACCAGTGGTGTGTCCACCACTACTGGAACTGTGAGTTGGAATTAAATCTCTTCTGCGCAACATACTGACCCTGTCCAGACCAAGACCACCATTACGAGTGCCACCACCAGTACCACATTGAGCACGGCCACCCTCAGCAGCACTGGCACCGTTACCACTGGCACTGGTTCCTCCCCGGATTCTACCAGCTCTGGTAGCGACTCTTCTGACAGCTCGTCCACCGGCACTGGCACCGCCCCCGCAAGCTCATCGACCTCTACCGGCGCTGCCTCTCACTTGAACGTCGCTGGTAGCGGTGCTGTCGGTGTCTTCGGTCTCGCTGCTATGCTCCTCATCTGAATGAACGATAATGATGGGTTGTTCGGTTAATCTTGGCTGACGTCCGCGTCAAGCATCACCGTTCGGCCGCGATTCGAGTGTATTTCACTATTACGGTTTATGACTTGCGATGTTTCTAATGCGGCTTGTATATTCTAATATGACGGGTCATGCGGTAATGACTAGTAGATAATCTGCCGACCTCCTAGTTTCTAGCCATGGGGGTAAAGCAAGGTGCATGAATGGATGGTATGCGGGACTTTGTCATTAGCTTCTTGAATCAATACACTCTCTTCAACTTCTAATGGAGCTTCATATACTGCATATACAGAATGCTTTCAATATAACCTTTCCTGTCGATGTCATTGTTTTGGTAGACAGCCATGTGCATATGTGAATTTCAGGGTCTAGCGCATCCATGTGCCTCTGGCAATTGATTCAACCGTGATCTGGGAAGCTATCATGATGGGATATTGAATATTAGGTCCAAATCTAGAAACCAATGCATTGGTTCCAAGGAATGTCACCACTATGACTTGCAGATCCGGTATGCACTGCAACTGGTCGAATGGACAGGCCCCACACAAGCTTGCACTAACTTAAGCATGAACAAAGCTATTGAGACCAACTTGGAACGAGCTCCCGCCTTCCCAACACGGACATTCGCCTCCCCACAACACATACACCCACTTATGACTGATCGCATGCACCTTCAATGCCCGCCCTTTTCAGGCTCCGAACCTGGATGCTTCAAGGGATTTTCCAAACCACTTTAAGAGCATTCTGGAGTACTCAACAGGGTAGCATGTCGAGATGTTCCTGCAATGCCTGATCTGGAAACGGGTATTGCCGCATCGGAAACCTCTCTACCTTCGATTGTTTCTCGAAGAAAACGCGGTGGGGAGTGTGATGCGATCATTAGCCAATTGTTTTGTCGAACGACCATGGCGGGATAACGTCATTCAGGGACTGGTCCGTCGCGATACCGGCCCGTTCTAGGCCATGATTGTCTTTCTCGGCGCTGCGCTTCTCAGTTCCGCATACCTCATACCCCATGTCCATCGACGCACTGTTATCGCCTCCTCTGACAATGATGGGTGGTAGCTATGCTAGGTCTGAGCTTTTCCATTGATTGTGGCAAATACTCACCCCGACAGTTGAGCTTAACACAGATCATGACGCTAGGATGAGGTCAATTGCGTATGTTCACCATCAGCGCAAAACAGCTCCAATTATCAACACAATGGCTATTAAAATGAGCCAAAGTTGAACCTTGAAGCTGGCCTGGAAGAACACAAGCAGTCCAGCAAGGCCAGCAAGAAGTTGACGTCACTCGCACCACCTCTACTGTCTCTCTCTCTCTCTCTCTCTCTCTCTCTCTCTCTCTCTCTCTCTCTCTCTCTCTCTCTCATTCACTCCGCTCCCGCTCTTCACGCGCAGTCATGGCGGCACTATCCACCTCTTCCAAGTATGTCTTCAATACCTTCAAATCCAATCCGATGGACACAGGGCTGTGTGCGACCGCTATCATTGGCCTTGTCTGGTACCGTGAATGAAGAACCCTCCGGCCATATTGCATCGTTCATTGGTATGGTTCGAGTTGGTGCTAATGAGTGCTGTGCGCGGTCTTCAGGACGGTCAACGATTTCAGAGAATGGAAAGCATTTGGAACGGGCGGAACGCCGCCGACCCGGGCGTATGTCTTACCTTACCTTTAGTCACCTACCCACCCTACCCTACCCTGTGCTTGGACACTTGTGTCGTGGCAAAGAAACTAACCCGACCAACCTATATTCAGTGGATACCTTCGCATGTCCAAACTCCGCGCCAAGCACGCGATGTCCAAGAACAACCTCCGCGACGCCTCCCCGCTCCAACAGACGGGACCCTCCTATCTTCCAACAGGCACGCTCCCGCTCCGCTCAGGGCCGCAACCACGCATGATGCCGCGTATCCTCCCTCAACGCCAATACCCAGAACCCATCGACCCCTCCGTGCAGGCGCGTCTGCGCTCGCTGGTCCACGACCTCGCCACCGCCCACCCAGAGCTCTTTGATATACTACCCTCCCACACCGAAGGCCGCACAACCGACGGGCTGTACGCGCGCCGCAATCTCCCCACCCTGAACCCGCTGGCGGGTGACCGTATTCTGAGCTATGAGATCGCGCACACGCATCCCGCGGAGAACAGTCTGCATGTGTGGTTGAGTGATGTCGATGCTAGGGAGGTCATTGAGAAGGGATGGGGGCAGCGGTTCCCGTTGCCTGCTGTGCCGCAGGGCTGGGTCATGGTGTATGCGCCCCGGGATGAGGGCGAGATGGATATCGTTGAGTGGATCGTTAGGGCGGCGGCGAGGTGGGTGACGGGTGTCATGGTTTGAATTGCATTTATGAGCGTTGCGTGTTCGATGCTGATGGCGTTTGGGTAGTGAGCGAGATTTGTTTTGTTTTTCAGCGGGTGATTGATGTACGATATGTTAGCTTGTATTAGTAGCTTTGATGATAATGGCTGTCATGATCAATGCAATGATGATTTGACTTTCGGGGGGGTAATTTGAAGTTGCATGTCTGGTTGATACGAGGTTGCTCAGGGTGAATCAAACAGTGGATCACCTTGGGAAAGATCCTCAACCTGCAATTGCATGTTATCAAGTAGTCTGATGCGGAACGCATATGCTCATCTTGACTATGGATAATGCAAGTGCTCACGGAGAAAAGCAGCGGCGACACGTAGTATGGATAATGATAGATTGATCTCGGAGCATCATAAGGAGAATCCGGGGGCTCTGACTCGGGGGTTCTCTGGCAATGGGGCTTAGCGCGTGCTTTATTTAGCAGCGGTTGAAACAATATGATTGAGATTGTAGTATAGGCTAGGGGATCACGAATATTGATTATGTCCCATTACCCTGGTAAGAAGACTTGTTGCTAGGATAATGATAATGTGTGAATAAGATTGATTTCTTGTTGATTTGAACATTCGTAATAATAGACTGTTTGATGATGTTTCTCCTCATCAAGATGGTCGAAGTAAGTGTAAGCCTGAAGGTCAATCGGCCCACTTGGCCACACCCGTATTTAGACGGCACAACGCTGATAGGCTGTTCAGCCCCCGCTGCCTGCGACTAAGAGGGGATTGCAGCCTGATTCTGGTGGCAGCCTACCCCCGACCGATCGAACCGTTCCTTAATTTGGGAGTTAGTTCTCTTTCCCTCCTCCGGCTTATAATCCTTTGTCTTCGCTCATCTCTCATCAACTCGCTCAACCTCATCATCCAACTATACGTCCCTCGCTATCGAACGTGTCACAACGATCCTACCCTTTCCTCTCCTTCAATATTATATAGTATACACTGGTTCGACAACCCACCATGGCCATCTCTTCCCTCCTTCGTCGAGGAGTGGAGGTTGTCTCGGACTTCCAGTCCAAACAGCCCTCTCAGAGCCAGCCAACCTTCCATCTGGCGGGCTGGTTGTCGGCGTTCTTCGTCTTTACTGTCCTCGCCTTCATCGGCATTCTTTTCTCGGTAGGCATCTTCGAAAGTGTTGACGTTCTCGCTGGCTCAGCCTAATCTTTATCTATTCTAGGTCGAATACACTTATGGGCTGCTAATTCCGACCCTCGCGGCTGTGGAAGACACCAACCCCGACATCTACGTCCGTATTGACACCGACTTCGACCCGAATAAGCCTGTCGATGTGGCCGATCCGGAAGTCGAAGGCATCCGCCCCCAGCCCATCACCAACAAGTTGTGCACTACTATCCGCCATCTCCGCGCCCGGGCTGGTCCCTGGTCCCGTTTCCGCGGGCTGGCCATGTACTTGACCCTCAACTTCTCGTCACTGGTTGTGGGCTCGCTTTTGCCCTTCCGTTCGATGGCCCAGGGTTCCTATCTCACCACCTATACCTCCCAATTCATCCTGTTCTTGGTTCTTGGCGTCCTCATGGCCAACCTCGAGCTCGCCTGGGTTCACATTGTCATCTCCGAGCCCTCGCCGAAACGCTTCTATCAGCGCATTGGAGGCTTCCAGACTTGGAAGAAGATAGTCCCGGTTACAATTTTCCGCCATGGCGTCGCGTTTGGCTCCGCCTATCTGTCCTCCTTCATCCTCCTCAGTGCCTTTGGCGTCCCTGATTTCGATTCTGCTCCGGAGTCTGATGGTCCGCCCGAAGTTGCTGTTTTGAGAGCGGTACAACAGGTTCTCTTGCTCTTTGTCGTGGTGCCCGCATTGATTTCTTTCGTGGTCTCGATCCCCGCACGGGCTATTTATTACCGTGTGGCCGCTTCCATGCTCCCCGAGGAGGATGAGGCCATTGTGCCTTTCGACCGCTCGTACGGTGGCAAAGTCCAGCCTGCCATTCTGGGTGGCAGTGGTCGGCTGAGCATCTCCGATGCCTGGAAGTCGCTCGATCGTCCTGCCCTTGTCCGCTTCACGAAGGCGCTTTTCAAGGCTCAGGCCATTGAGGCTGGCGTGACCGTGTTCTTCTCGTTGCTGATCACCGGCCAGATTCTTGCTGGAGCTGTGACCTATGGGTTCGCCGGAGACAACGCTTAGGCAGATTGACGGTCTGCTCTACCTTCGCCTTTCATGATAACTCTCTTGTATTGGACTACAATGTTTGTCTCACTCTTTGAATGTGAATTAAGTCTATTCCAACACCAGTTGAACCCTCTATTTTCTTGTATTTATTTCATGGTCTAAGTACGTGACAAAATTGTTTCAATGACATGCGTCAATATATAAACCACTGGGTTAAGCCCATAGTCGTGAGTGTGGGCTCAAGTTACCGCCGAAGTAGACACTCAAGAGATCGTCACCTTCCTGACCAAGGGCAAGTGACGACCGGGTGTGTCTGCGAGGACCTTGGGCTTCCTCATTCCGGCATTTGTTATACATTCCCGATTCCGGTGTGAATCGCCTTGCTTTACGCCACCGAAGCAGATCGGGCCAGTGACGGGGTGTTATCGGGGGGAGAGTTTTGTTATCGTACGGCAGCCCCGCCACAGTTCCCCCCCCACCCACTCATTCACTCTTTCGAGCACACCGCCTTCGACCCATCCTCAATTATTTCTCCTCTGACCAGTCCGTTCCTCATTGACTCTCTTTCCACCAGGGTAGTTACACCGATAACGGAGTCACTTTCTCCTTTTCCTTTTCCACCTCTCCAGGGACTTTCCTCTTTCTTCCCTACGAGGTCACCTTGGATTCGAGCCTCGAAGCCCTCACGCGCGTCCTCTTCATTGCTACAACCCCCTTCTCACGGCTCCCTTCCCCCTCGTTTGCTCCCCCGCCCCGCCTCCCTGCCCCTCTTTTCACTTTACGTCAACACCGCCATGGCCACAACCGCCGCCGGCCGCATGCTGTCCCGCCAGCTGCAGCAGATGCAATCCGACAAGGACATCCCAGGCATCAGCTGCGGCTTGGTGGACAACAATGTCTTCGAGTGGGAGGTGATGTTGATGATCTCGGATGATGTCAAGTTATACGGGGGTGAGTGCCTACACTCCCCTGGAATCCCGCAACGCAACACACACAGACACACACATACACACATCAGTGACCAAAACAAACTAACAACTGATACTAGGTGGATTCTTCCGCGCCCGCCTCTCCTTCCCACCAGATTACCCGCACATGCCACCGAAGATGAAGTTCGAGACGCCGCTATTCCATCCGAATAGTATGATTCCCTACCCCCCCTGGCCTAGTTGTCTCTTCCGAGGAAGAGGAGGAGAGGATCCACCTGAAACAAACTTTGAATCAGCTGTAATAATGACCAAAAAATGAATGATAGTCTACCCAAACGGCGACGTCTGCATCTCCATCCTCCATCCGCCCGAAGAAGACAAATACGGTTACGAGTCCGCCGCCGAGCGCTGGTCCCCCGTGCAGACACCCGAGACGATCCTACTCTCTGTTATCTCCATGCTCTCCAGCCCCAACGACGAGAGCCCCGCGAATGTCGAGGCCGCGCGGTTATGGCGCGAGAATCCGCTGGAGTTTAAGAAGAAGGTGAGGAAGTGTGTACGGGATAGTCTTGGGGAGGAGTGATGAAAATGTCATTGCATTCTGGAGCTGGCTTGGTGGAGTGAGGGTTTGAGCTGGACCTTAGGCTGTGGTTGTGGTTGTGGGTAGATATCGCATCGTGCATCGCGCGGGAGCGTATGGCGTAGTCAGGGTTTCGTTTCTTTCGTTTTGATGCTTCTTTGCGGAATCATGGTCAATTTATGCGTTTGTCTCTTTTTTTCTCCTGAATGTGCTTAGTTGGGCACGGGGTGGGGATTCTCACTTGGAATTATATTTTTATTTAGGGTCTATATGCTTGGTGAGGAATAGATTCTGAGGTTCTCCTATAGGTTGTGTTTGGGCTTGTAATGTAGGGGTTGTAGTTATGGTGCTGGCATATACTTTAGGTATATCGTTTTTGGCTGGGTATAATCCCGGTTGCTGTGTCGAGTCAGTTCGGGGTTCAATCAAGGTTATTTAGTCGTGGAGATAACGATTCTGCTACCTGGACCATTGCGGTATATATAGTCTTAGACTAGCTACCCTGGGTAAAGAACCGCAGCAGTGAAATGCATGCATACACGCACCTCAACCCCCCGCCTCCTATAATTAACATTCAGTCCTGATCAAGCCATCGGCACATACATAAATGCGCAGATGATAGATAGATGCTGTAGTGAGCGATATACCTGGCACAGCTGTAATATTTGGTTTAGGAGAGATAAAGATAATGTAAAAATGCATCAAAGCATCATTGGTCTAGTGGTAGAATTCATCGTTGCCATCGATGAGGCCCGTGTTCGATTCACGGATGATGCATCTTATTTTCTACCCGAGCTTCACACCTCTTCTTCTTTTTGTCGTGTTACGAACACGGGTTCGATTCTCGCAAAGGGTGACTCGATGTTACTTTTTGCTGTATGGTGCTTTGGTTTGTTGTGAGTTGACTTTGCATGTTGGTAAGGTGTACAGTAGTCTTTTGTTTGGGTGTGGGTGTAGATGCCAGGAAGCTGAAGAAAAGGGGGTCTGGGGGTTCTCCCCCAGAACGTCTACTGTCCAGTGTTCACTGGGGTAGAAGGGGGAGTGTTCTATATTTATGAGGAGTGGGCTGGAGCATCAACATAATAACAGTACTTAGACACGAAGTGCTTAGGTAGAGTGGTATTCGACCAATTCTACGAATAGCTCACCCAATGACCACGACCACAGACTCAGCCCACGGGCGAACCAGGTGCAGAGTCCCGAAGCCCGTGATGGGTCACATTCCATCCCTGTTTAGTACAGAGCCAAAAGCTATACTTTCCGGATCTGGGAACGAACCGACGTTTCCGGATCGAACTATTAACCTCTATCCCAATAATGGATGTATTGATCGGGCCTTGCGTTCGGTTACGGTGATTGAATCGCTTGGTGTCAGTGGGAGCGGGCGTGGTCAATTATATGTATTGTGCTTCCACTGTCGACCTAGGATTAACTCTGTTTCGCGAAAAGTTTGAATGTCCAGAATGGGACAAACACCTCTCTATCCACACGATGCGTTTATCTACGATGTTCACAACACTGTTCTCCTGTATTCTCCTAGGGAAGGGAGGAGCGGCACCTGCGTCGATACAACCGGACCTCCCGATTGTAGACCTGGGCTACGAGCTGCACCAGGCTTTTTCGCTGGATGTAAGTTCCTGCTACTTTACCACACTCCCGTCGAGGAGCGCACTTTTCCTGCACTACACGCGATAGCTAAGACCACCCAGGAAACAACTCAAACCTACAACTTCTCCAATATCCGCTACGCCGCGCCCCCCACCGGCTCCCTCCGCTTCCGGCCACCAGTCCCTCCAGAGCAGAACCGCACCGTCGTACAGAATGGCGCGCAGGGACGGGTATGTCCTCAGGGAGCGCTGGTCTGGGAAGAGGAGATCATGCCGGGTTTTGTGGAGGGGGTGCTGAATGGGTCGATTTCAACGGGGTCAGACGCGAGTGTGCCGAGTTCTGCTGTCGGGGACTATCCCGTCGTCGGGCCGGCGGGGGACGCGAGGGTAACCGAGGATTGCTTGTTTCTGGACGTCGTTGTTCCTAGGAGTGTTTTCGAGCGGGCCAGAAAAGAGGATGAGAATGACGGAAATGGTGAGAGTCTCGCTTCAGTCCTGATTTGGATCGATGGGGGCGGGTATATCTCTGGAGATAAGACGGAGCAGGACCCGAGCGGTCTGATGCAGCGGAGTATGGTGGACTCAGAGGAGGATGGGATTGTCTATGTTGCGATCAATTATCGGGTAAGTCTCTTGACCGATTGAATGAATGGCTGGTGCTGACTTCCACAGCTAGGTGCTTTTGGGTGGCTGTCCGATGGCAACGGCACTGCCAACGCGGGTCTTCAGGATCAACGCCTCGCGCTCGAGTGGGTGAAGAAGTATATCGGCCTGTTCGGCGGGAACCCCGACCGCATCACCCTCATGGGCGAGTCGGCTGGCGCAGGGTCGATCGTTCATCAGCTCGCGGCGTATGGAGGCAACAGCGCAGATTCGGACGGCAAGGATCTCCCCTTCCGCCAGGCCATCATCCAGAGTCCCATGTGGTATCCCTTGTCGGTGACCCAGCAAACTTCTGCACTGGACGGGTATCTCAAGTTACTGAACGCCTCATCCATCGACGATGCACGGTCTCTGCCATCCGACCAGTTGATCGCTGCCAATGCATACCAGATCGCAACCACACCCGTCTACGGAACCTTCACCTATGGGCCGGTGATAGACGGGTCATTTGTCGGAGACCTACCAAGCAAAATCTTGCTCGACCCCAACTTCGAATGGCAGGATCTCCGTCTCATGACGGGCCATACATCCAACGAAGGCCTCACCTTCACCCCGCCAACCGGAGTCAGCAGCTCGGCATATTCGACCATTCTGCACGACTTTATCCCGGATATAACCCCGGGGACGGCAGAGGACATCGCCCAGAAATTCTACCCGCCAAGCTCCAACGCATCTGCAGCTGACTTGGGCTATGACGATGCATTGGGAAGACTGGCTCTGACGATCAGCGACGCTTTCTTCAGGTGCAAGAACCTGTACTTGAGCACTGCCTTTGACACCACATACAGATACATCTTCAATGTGCCTCCGGGATTGCACTCAGAGGACCTATACTTCACCTTCTATGATCCGGTGCAGCCTGACCCAAGAATCGTCGATGTCGACGTTGCTCTAGCCATACAGGACTATATCGTTTCCTTTGTCCAAGCGGGCCAGCCCTCTTCTTCCAACGCCATTGCGACCGCTTGGAAGCCTTATCGACTGCAGAGTGGCGTCTTGAAGTTCCAACCAAGCGATATATCGAGTGTGCCGGATCCGGTTGACATAGATCGATGTCATATGTGGTGGAAAGTGACCGGCTGAATGCAACGCAAAGGAGGATATGACCCGAACCATCTACTGGCCCCTGGTGCGCCTTGGGAAAAAGGTCTTAACTGCAAGGCACTTTGGCGATCCTTAGGCTTTGGGGGCCAATGCCGGGCGGGTTGAATTGAAGAACGGTGGATGATGTGAAACCGGGATTTTTTTCGTTTGAGAACCAGGACACGGCTTGGAACTATAATCCAACGCTGTATAAGTGATCTGCGAACATGGTGGCTGAAAGACTCGCCATGGCGAACCCTTGCACGCGACTGACATGGTGGGAATTCAGCCGCATGGTTCGGCTTCTAGAACTATACCTTAGCCAGGTATGCAAGTCGAACGATGTTGGTTACAGGGCCCATCACCAATGAGAAAGAGTGCAAATCGGCGAACAATCCTGTGTGACCCACGTGGGATCGTGCGCCGTGCTTGACTGGATGACTTGGGGATAGGAGGTTGGAAGCTAGCGGGTAAAACTAGTTTATTACCACCATCGCCGATGATAAAAATCTCTGTCAGTGTTGTGGTTCGAACATTGCCGAAAGGCTCGCTCACACTACCGGTGGGTGGAGCTTCCTCTGGCCCTTCCCAAGTCCTCTCAGGTTTACTGCGCTGGGCGAGCTTCTGCCAAGCGGGCCGGATCCGTGATCTCAGTCAGGGGTTCAGCGGTCGATGGAATGTGCGCATCAAAACTCCGGCATTCAATTGCCCGCGGTTGCAGCCGTGGTCCCAATGGCAAGCACGTGAGATCTCTCAATAATGATGCAAACACAGGGTCTCGGAGATGTTCCCCTTGTTCGATCGTGGATTTCAGCCTCTTGGGAATATGAAGATATCGCCTGATTTGTGTCTCATTTCAGTTTCCGAGATCCTTCTCTTTCGCGTGTCGCCCAAAAATTGCCTGTTTGGGGGGACGTTACGAATGACTCAGCACTAAAAATAAACCAATGAAATGGGCTAGACTGTTTCACGGCTCGACCGTCAATGAGAGAGAAGAAGAATACAGTAAAAGGAAACGCGCTAGCTCAGGCACCTTTTTATTGGAATTGCCTTGGCTTTTCCAGTGATTTGCAGCGCTAAGATGGAACGGTATCTTAGTCCGTCGTGCTGAGACCCTGCTCCTGCCGACGTGACAGTGGGGGTGAGCTGGCCGGCCGATACGGAAAACTCGTGAGCATCAGGTCCAATCGTCCAAGCCACTGGTAGCGTTCGGAGTCGCCTATTGAGGCCGTGAGCGAGATTGCGCCCTTAACCTTAAATCACAAGAATACGATCGTTTACCCAAACCCTGAGTCGGGCAGGGGTTGCGGAAATGTGACAGCTCTGATTGCGATGAAGAAAATGGTCCGGGAGCCCATGATGTGACCATTGCAGGGTCGAATCCAACCTTCGCAGCGCACGCTGATGGGCTAAGTGGTGGTTCACTTCCCCAAAGAAGACTGTAGGCATCCACTGTAACTGAACGAAGGCGACTGACCGAAGTGACAGACGAAGGCTTATTGGTAAGGTGTCAGTGGTGGAGTTGGGCGGTGCGCCCATTCTCTTGGAAGACAAGACAGTCGGATACAAAGGCTTAGGGACATGTATACTGTGCCAGTATTGGATAATTTAGGCAGCCGTGTGTGTGTCTGAGACCCGGTGGAAAGTAATTGAGTTCGAGTCCGTGTCTGACCTGACCTGGGAGGATAGAGGGATAGACAGGTCCGAGGAAAAGAAACCGCAACCAAAAGGATTCCCCAGCGATAACCTCACCGCTAAGCTTCAAATGACCCATGAATGGATTCATCGGAGGGGAGAGAGAAAGTCAGAAAAGTGAGAGCCTGCATGGCCCGTGGGGGCCACCGGGATGCAGCTGGACTGATCATTGGCAGAGACAGCAGAGCTTAGCAGCCGGAGGAGTTTTGAAGTAGCACAAGTCGCCGGTGTCCGCGGACAAGAAAGAGAGGGAAAAAGTGGAGAGCCACTAAACACGGCTAAGCATAAGGGGGAAAAAAAAGGGTCTTTAAGTACTTAATAATAGCACTTAAGTCTTAGAAGTTAGAAGACGGAGTGCATGGCTGTGCTGCCCGTTCGGCCTGAATTTGCCGGAGTTGTTTAACTGCTGAACAGATAGACAAGAGCATTAGGATCGTATCGCTAATATCCTACTTACTGTATGAGCAGCAATCGGGGTCCGAATACCTTCCGAGAATCCCCCATGGGGTTTGGTTTCCAATCCAATGGATTGCCATCGAGCTGGGTGTCGGTGAAACAAGCAGCAGGGACCGGTAGCACAAGTGAATCTGCGCTGGCAAAGAAGAGATGAAGTCGTTTCTGGACCCCATGTAGAGGAAGAAGGAAAGAAAGCATCAGTAGTGAAACCAACGAGTCGAGGCAGTGTTTATTTGTTGTTGGGGCGGATGGCGGAACTGGAAACCACAAACGTGAATTTGGCAGCACGTCTCACGTCTTCCGCTCTCAGAACCACAGATAGTAAGTTACTAAGCTACTAAGTTACTCTTTGGAAATCTGATGGCCTGCTGAATTATGACTCCACTAAATCACCTGGCCTTGCATTGATCCAGAATATTTTTTTTTTTTTTGCTTTTCGCCCCTCCTCTTTGTCTCTGCTGTCCCCCGCTGGACCAAATCTTAGCGTTGCTTGGTTGATTTGCTCGCTTTTATATGCCTCCCCCCGACTCACAGCACCCTGCATGACTTTCCAGCCTTGGTTCTGTCGTTTCTTCCGTGCTTGCATCCTATAAACATTCTCTCATCCCTCTTTCCTCTTGGACTCGGTCTGACATTCGTTCCCTTGCATCAACCATCACCTCAACCGCCATCATCACCATCACCACCACCACACAAAAACCACTACTACCATACTACTATCCCATCCACCATCCACCAACCAACCAACTCATCACCTTCCTTCTAATCACGACATCTCATCTAACATCCACCATGTTGCTTCACTACCTGTCCGTGACAGGCGCTCTCTGTCTCAGTAGCTGTGCTGCTGCTGCTGCTGCCGTGCCTTACTCCTACATCAGTTCGCCCCGCTCGGCCAGCGCCCATCAGATCAACCTGCCTGCCGTTCCATGTGCTTTCTCCGATTCCAGCTGCAATGAAGCACTCGACCCCCTTGCACATCTCGTAAGTTGACAGCCGTCAAACATGACCGGAACGTCAAACTGACAAGATCTAGACTATTGATTTCTCGACTCAAAATGGCATCTTGCTGGCCAACAAACAGCCCATCTTCCCTGCTTCAGTGCCGATGCAATTCTCCGTGGACCGCAAATGGGACGCGAACAAGCAGTCCGTCTCCGTCGCCTACGCATTAGATGTCCGACCGCTTCCATCTCACCCTGGTGCCCCGGTGGGCGACATCTACCACCTGAAGCTCCGACTCTTCGACCTGCACGGTCGTCCCGTCACCGACCACGCCGTGGCAATCGGCCTGGTCCGGGACACCGTGGGTAACCTCCAGATCACAGTGATCGACCCCAACTCCAGCCGCGAACACGGCCACGGCAACAAGATCTGGCGCATGAAGGAGTGGAAGTCTCAGGTCGAGTCTTACGTCCAGAACGCGAAGGAGGCGGTAACTGACTGCCTGAAGACGACGCCCTTCTCCCACGGACACCACGAGCACGAACAAGACGACCCGCACCACGCTCCGGCGCCCGCTGCTCAGCCTTCGCACGAGACGGCCGCGTCGACCAAGTATCCTCCTGTCTTCCGCACGAGCCAGAACGGACAGTTCCTCTGGACCGGCCGCGAGCGCGGCGTCATGAGACAGATCCGTGCGATCATCTTCCCTGCTCTCCTGGGAGTGTTAGCCGGAGGTGTCGCCTGCGTCATCGGATACCTCCTTGGTCGGATGATCATCTCCGTCTACTTCTGGGCACAGGGCGGCCGCCAGTCCCAGGTCCCCAGCATCACGATCGAAGACGGAGAGTATCTCTCGGAGAAGGAGGCGCTGATGGAACTGTACAGCGATTCCGATCCTGAAGCCAATCTCCCCCGTGACTGACCCGATTTCTTAATCACCTCACTCATTTTCTTTTCTTTCAGTCTTGTTTATGAGTATATCCAATGTAGCATTTTTACAGTTCATTAGCATACGCGCATGAATGAAGCGACCTTTTACGCAGTCTCTGAATATATTCCTTACCGAAACACCATAATACCAATAAGGCCGGCTGGCCCAATGGTAAGGCGCTTGACTACGAATCAAGAGATTGCAGGTTCGAGCCCTGCGTCGGTCAATTTCTTTTGCCTCAGCTTCGTTCCATACCCTCTTTTTTCGCCATAGAGAATGGAGAGATAGAGAGAGTATGGCGCACAGATTTTTGTGCGCACCACAACGGAACTCGGGTCCAGTAACGGGAAGCGGGTCCCACCACCGAACGAGCCCTTACCCTACCGTAGTACTGTACGGTACACTCCCATGAGTACGAGTAAAACTCTTCCATTGGATGGAACCCTCTCTCCCGAGGTTCATCGAGATGCAATAAGACATACCGACGATCGTCATCTCGATGAACCCTCAGGCTCTGGTTGATGATGTCGTTGTGAAGTCTGATCCAAGACACTGATATCGCTGGTCTTGTCTTACTCGTCGTTTTCCGGTTTCTAGGATAGAGGCCTTGTGGGGTGGGCGGGTTGGAAACAGGGTACTAGTAGCCTGGAGCCTGGCGTCTGTGCCTGAGATAGGTGGACGAGGAGATGTATTTCCGGCCGTCCGGCCGCCCCGGGGGGGGGGGGGGGGAAGTTCGGAGGGTTTCCTTCTTTGGTATTTGCATTTACTTTAGGTACTGGTAGGAGGTGGCCGGGGCACTTGGGTGTGGTTGGTTGGTGGGTTGATTGGTTCGATTTTGTTTGGTTTGGTTTGATCTGATTTGGGGGGCGATGTTGATCTCAGCTTGGGCTTAGATTTGGTGGTGAAGGTGAAGGAAGGTATTCAATTGGGGGACTGGTGCTGCGTTTCATTGCTCGGTGGGCACTGGATCGGGAGGGCGGTTGTGGCCCGGGGCCCGCGGGGCGGCGGGGGCCCCGGGCTCCGGACTGGGATTGATGTGACCTTCCTCTTTTGAGGGGAGGGGGATTTGTTGTGTGATTGTTTGGTGGGTTGGGGTGGTTGTTTTGGTGGTTCGTTTGATGTAGTCGATTGTGAGCTCGGTAGGGTCTGATTTTGAGGCTGGGAATTCGACGTATGAGTTGCTAGGAGAGTGCGTAAGTGCCCTTTTGAGTTGGTAATCGAGGCAGATTGCTGGTTGATGCAGTTGCAGCAGGGGCGGGACAATGGGTGGCGATTGGGTCTGCTTGGTTTGTTGGTCGGTCTGGTTGGGAAGATGTCGGCACTTACTTATTCAGTTTGTCTCATGCAGATAGTAGATACGCAGTCGAGTTAGTGATAGAACGAGTTGTTTCAGACGATGCCATCGAAAACACATAACTGTTGTCTTCACATATGAAAGTCTCGAAACACAGATGGACTGTCAGACTAGGAACTGTAGTAGACACACAGCCAAGCGCAGGAACAGTACCCAAACCAGCCGACGGACCAGTGTAAGCAACGGTTAGCACCAAGCATCCCAACGCCAAGCTCCTACCCATAGCTTATATCCATAGACCGTCCCACCTGGCACCAGCTGACCTACATCTTACTTGGCATAGCATGCATACATGCATATATCTTATCAATGTCAACATCACGATCATATTATCATATTCGGCCCTCCGTCATATCTAAACAGACACCCACTCACCCTCTCACCAACTCTCCTCCCTCTCATTCGATCCCCTTCACGAGATTCAAACACACTCAGACTTAATGCTAACAAGCGTGACATCCGCCTCGAAGCACTGCTTCTCGCTGTCCACACTCACGGTATCATACAGGGTCGACTCGTCGCAGCCCGAGGCCGTGTAGGTGTGCAGCACGGCCGAAGTGCCGTCGGCGCAGGCGCCGGCCTCGACGTACGCGGTGAACGACTTGATGGGGAAGTTCTCCACGTTCAGGCACGAGCCCGCGTAGGCGTTACCCGCGTCGATGCTGGGCGCCGTGCAGTTCTCGTAGAAGTAGCCGGCGTACCCGACGGTCGGGTTGGCGGTGACGGCCACGGCCAGGGTGGTGGCCAGGAGGGTGAGGGTCTTCGGGTTGTTGTTAGTATATTGGTACTTTAGGGGAAGGGGAGACGTGTGAGAGGTGAGTATCTGGGTATGTAGGAATAGATTGAGGTGAAAACGGGATGTTGCCGACCTTGGTCATCATTTTGATAGGATTGGGGTTCGGTATATGGATGAACTTGAAGTTGTGCTGTGCAATGGTGATGCTGTTGAATGGTCTCTATTGCATCAAGTTCGAGGGTGAAGCACCACCCTTATATACAATTTTTCAACTCATGCTGCTGCTCGTAAGATGAACTCCTTCCACGCGTCTTGACTCCGTTGGCAAGGCATTGGATGCTTCCTCTCAGCTGAGATGGAACATAGTTCGTTACCTTGATGGCACTATGGATGGGACACTTACGTATGCTCGAGGCTCGGAATCTCTCCATTCTGCAGGTGAGATGAGGTTCACTTCGCCCGATCTACATGCGTGCTAGCCGGATGAAGGTAAGTGGTTGATATCTTCTCGTCTCAATCTGTCAGCTTACGGGGCTGCAGAGGATGAAGGAACCATAGCTCGCTTCATGATGCTTTCGTTCCGCGCATTTGCATGCTAGCAGGTCGCAGAGGAGGCTCTAAGGTGATCCAGAAGAGAGGTTTACATGCTTCGTCCTGTATGAAGAGTTCTTGCCAGATCAGTTCCCAAAGCCGCTCATGAGGCTTCGTACTGACTGTCAGAGTCAGCGTTGTTGTCATAGTGTTGACGGTTCTCCTTGCAGGCTGCAACTGTTAAAAGTGACCCACTTGGACATCGGCTGCTGGCAGCCAGTCAATGGGCCCATCACGGCCATGAAGAACCACCTTCACGATCTATTCATTATCTAATTCTTAGGAATCATCGTATGGCATGCACGACGCGCAGATTTCGCAGACACCAGTTACCCAAAAGAGCATCCTACTGAGGGTTTCTGTCCTGATTTCGCCGACGTTCTGCGGGATAGTGCGCTCGCCAAGAAGACGCGGAGGATCTTGGCGTGAGCAGGCAAGGTTCGTGCCGAAGCAGCAGATTACTGTACGATCGAATTGCGGGCACTGGGCTCGGCTCACTATGGTCGACCTGAGATCTCCGCCATTGATGAAAGCATATTTTTGGACCGAAGAGGGAGAAATGTAAGTGCTGGTTGAGTTGGGGCAGTGGAAAAGTCAACCTTGAAGGTGACAGCTAGACTCTAGTCAGTCTCAGAGGCTAGACCCTTCCCGTCCCTGTCGGCAAAGCCACCGAAGGAGACTAGCAAGCCACGTCACGAGATTCCAACTGACATCCTTGACACTTTATTCAGCTTTAACTTCCTCTCCCACTTTCGCCTCGTATTTGCTGCACCTCCCCTCTTTAGTCTGCCCCGTTGCTCGGCTAAACTTACCTCTCCAGTCGCCCCTCCTTTTCTCCTCTTGTAGTTCGCTTGCAAATGCTTGGGTATGCCTGCCTCATCCCTTCGCTATACATTGTTGTGGTGCTGCCGTGAGATTTCTTGCTGCCTTGCTCGGAGTTCCCCTCCTCTTTATCGGACTTCGGCCACAGATTACACGAACCATTAATATGGAGGGCCAGGTCGATGTACACAACACAGCGCAGCAACCTTGGGAACTCTTATCCTCCTCGTACAACCATTTCCTACCATTCTTTGTCTTGGTTCCATCCCGCTCCCCGTGTCTTGATGTCACGGATCACAAGATGACGGCTCGATGACTAACAAGTCTTTTTGGCTGGTTATAGACAACCATTATCTCTCCATCTATCTACCAGGTGCCACATTTCTTGAGCCGGATTTACAACATGTAAGACTTTAATCAAAATGACTCAGAACCTCAACAGGCCGTTCGCCGCAATTTCCGCGGATACTCCTTACTATGACCTCGGATCCTTCCATCGATCAGTCACTACCGCTAGCCGGGACGCGCAGATCTGGTTCAACCGGGGCCTCATCTGGTGCTATGCCTTCAACCATGAGCAGGCGGCGGAATGCTTCAACCAAGCGATTGCGCACGACCCGACATGTGCCATGGCGTATTGGGGACTCGCGTTTGCGCTCGGGCCGAACTATAACATGTCGTGGGAGGCCTTCCCGCCTCAGGCATTGGATATGGTGGTAAGCCGCACACACTCGGCGCTTATCCAGGCCCTGGAGAACAGCGGATCTGCGTCGCCAGTGGAGCAAGGCCTCATTCGAGCACTTCAAGCCCGCTTTCCTCAGAAACATGCGCCGAAGGATCCACAGCAGCTCCAGTCATGGAGCAAGTCATATGCAGAGGCAATGCGGGTGGCATATGAAAGGTTCCCAGGCGACCTGGATGTCACTGCATTATATGCCGACAGCCTCATTAATTTAACACCCTGGCGGCTCTGGGACTTGCACACCGGACATCCTACGGCAGGGTCGTGTACGCTGGAGGCCAAGGATGTCCTTCACCGCGCTTTGGCTGAAGAGGGCGGCTGCGCACACCCGGGCCTGCTGCACGTATACATCCATCTCATGGAGATGTCTAGTCAGCCGGAGACGGTGTTGCAGATCGCTGATCATCTCCGTGGGCTGGTCCCTGACTCTGGACATCTCCATCATATGCCCACTCATATTGATATTCTCTGCGGGGACTACCAGCGAGCCATCCTGTCCAACTCGGACGCTGTGCGTGCTGACGAGAAGTATCTTGCGCTGTCTCGGCCCCAGGGCATCTATACAATGTACAGAGCCCATAACCATCACTTCCTGATCTATGCAGCTATGCTCGCAGGGCAGTACAAGGTCGCATTAGACACCGCGATCAAATTGGAAAGGTCACTTTCCGATGAAATACTACGCACGCCACATCCCCCCATGGCCATGTTCCTAGAGTCTTTCGTGCCCATGCGCGTACATGTCTTGATCCGCTTCGGACGCTGGCAAGTCCTCCTCAAAACCAAACTTCCAGACGACCAAGAGCTATACTGCGTAACCACCGCCGTGATCCACTACGGGAAGGCTGTCGCCTTGGCTGCACTGGGTAGAGTCGGCGATGCAGGCAAAGAACAGGAACTGTTCCGTGCAGCCTTCAAACGAGTTCCGCGATCCCGCACCTTGCACAACAACACCTGTGTTGACATCCTAGCTATTGCGCAAGCCATGCTCGACGGCGAGCTGGAATACCGCCGTGGCAATACCACCGAGGCATTCCAGCATCTGAGCCACGCCACCAGTCTCTACGATAAACTTCCGTACGACGAGCCGTGGGGCTGGATGCAGCCCATCCGCCATGTTCATGGCGCCTTGTTGTTGGAGCAAGGGCTTGTGGAAGAGGCGGCGGACGTCTATGCTGCTGATCTGGGGGTGGATGATACCTTACCGCGCGCCAAACAGCATCCCAATAATGTGTGGTCATTGCATGGGTACCATGAATGCCTGGTGCGATTGGGCCGTGGACCCGAGGCGCGCATCCTGGGGTTGCAGCTCAGGATGGCATTGGCTCGGGCCGATGTCCCCATTAAATCGTCTTGCTTTTGTCGTCTCGGTGTCGGACAGAAATAAGCGAAGGATAGTGGCTGTCTTACGGCTTGACTTTTCGTAATTGGCGCCGGCTTGCATTCTGTTCTGCTAATCTCAGAAGGACGGTATCTGGCATGCAGCCTTCCGTTGCTATTGGTTATGAGGAGCCTTATCACAGATGGGAGCAGTTCGGGTCTATTCCGTAAGGCTCGTTGGTTGCGATGTTGTCTATTGCTGGTAACCACAAAAATTATATTCTAAACTTCAACAATCTCCCGCAGGCGGGTGTATACACAAGGGACACTCTCTGATATCCGGGTAGTCAGGGCAATAGTTCACGTCCCTCATGTCACGTCTCCACTCATAACGGACAAAGTCCACGATTTCCCTCATGATCCTAGGGCAAAGCACTGCCACGTACCATCTAGCTACTAGGTACAGGGTACTGATGTCTTGATGTCGAGAGTGGTCACATGACCCCGAGTCTGTCCTTCCGGTCCAGGAGGAGGTAACTAATTTCCTCGAGGTAAGTGCATGCTGCGTCAAATTTCCACGAGCTCCCCAATTCTTGCAAGGTTCTGCGGCGTCACGTACCTGCATCAAACAAATATGCTGTCGAACTTCGAGTTTCTTTCATCGAATCCTGAAGCTGGACAACAACCTCTTCGGGAGGATAGCGCTCAATAAGCGGGTTGAAAAGCATTCACTTCAAGAGCTACCTTTCAGTTGCACGCACTTGGCTAAGACATCATGCTTTCATGGTTAAAGTGATGATCATGCTCTTTGTCGAGTTCAGTGACCTTTGTATTGTATTTACTTCCAGACCTCTGAAAACTCCCGTCTACAAGGGTGACAAAGGCATCGTCTTGTCTTCGCGTGATGGATATTTAAGCATCATGATACTTTGCTCTCGCAGATATATCTGTAATTCAGTGCCGTCTGGTATGTTGTTGCAAGAACAGTTCTCAAAGATTCTCGTGACACAACCGCAAACATGAGACTTACGAGGCTGCCGAATGAGCTCCTCATGATGGTCGTGGAGTTGTTGGAATATGAGAGCGAGATGAGTGCATTCGCCCGCACCAACAGGGCTTTCTACTATGTAGCCAACCCCATGTTGTACCAACACAACGTCCGGCATGGGTCCAGCTTTGCGTTGAACTGGGGAATCAAGAATCACTCGGTAGAAACCGTTGAGCTGATGCTTGATGCGGGAGCTTCGCCCACGGAGTGCATCGATCCTCAAGAGGCATGGCAACCAGTAGCGCTGGCGGCCATCAATGGCAATGAAGCGATTGTAAAGCTTCTTTGGGAGAGGGGGGTCGATCTTCGGCAGGTCCAAACCTGGACTTACGACCCCGCTTGTGTCGATTCGGATGACGATTCCAGTTCGTCCGAGGACGGCCCTGTGTGCAACGGGTACCCTAGTCTTATACTATTGGCTGCGATGCACGGTCATGAACAGCTGGTTCGATTTCTCCTGCAGCACTTGCCAAGGAAGGGCAAGGTTGACTTTCCTCGTGACTATCTCGGGAGGACCCCGTTAATGCACGCGGCAAAGTATGGCGAACTCTCAATCGTGCGGCTGCTTGTTGGTGCTGGGGCGAATATTGAGGCTAAGAGCTGCAATAACTCGACTGCCTTGGTGCTTGCAGCGGAGAACGGCCAAGACGAGGTGATAGAGTTCCTCCTTAGTCGAGGTGCTGATCCTAATACAAGGTTTGAATTCGGTGACAGTCTGCTTCCCTTCACCCCTATCTACGTGGCTGCTAGGAATGGCCACCTCAAGAGCGTCCGATGTCTCCTCGGAGCGGCGGGAGTAGTGGAATCAATCAAGACATTGCCTTTGAAGTCACATCCCCTCGTACACAGTACCGTAAACAATCACCGGGAGGTAGTCAGACTTCTTCTGGAGCAAGGGGGTGGCTACAACCAGCTCGGAACAGACAAGGGTGCGAGTTTGTGTGTTGCGGCCGCACTTGGGGACATTACTGTTGTCCGTGATCTTCTGAATGAACTTAATTCAGACGCGAATGCCTTTCTTTTTGATAGATCAGAAGAAAATGACACTATCTTCTGGGACTCAGATTATGATCGTAGCACAGCTATAAGCTTAGCCACGGACGAAGGCTATACAGGGATTGTTCAGCTGCTGCTTGATCATGGCTCCGAGGTTTCCTTTAGAGAAGACGTAGACCCTGATAGGAGCAGAACCTGGCGGCCGGAGCCACTTATCCAAGCGACCCGCAAAGGCTTCGAGCCCCTCATTGAACTGTTGCTCGAGGCTGGAGCCAACCCAAACATGCGGACAAAAGATATGTACGGGCAACAGGAACATGTATTGATGCTGGCTGCTCCATTTGAGGGCATCTTCCGTCGCCTACTGGAGGCGGGGGCAGGACCAGAATCGTCTTATACGCTGTACCCGGATTTTAGGGTCGCACGCGATGTAGTGGTCTCTGGTATGACTGCGCCGGTGCAGATGCTTCTGGACTATGGCTTCGATTTTGGAGTGTACCTGGGCCCCGACCTCCTCCACGCTGCCGTCGAGGGCGGCCGGGCTGTCTTCGAGCTCCTCCTCCAGCAGGGAATATGGGATGAGCAACTATTACCAGAGAATTATGACGCAGAAGAATGTGAGCGTGCTATTGGTTTAGCTGCCGAGACCGGTCAGGCAAGCATGGTACAATACCCGATCGACCTGGGGTTCCGTGAGCGCGTGCCAGTGCAACCATGGGTAGATGTTATCGAAAGGGCTGCAAACTCTGACGGGCGCTATTCATGGAGACAAAATGCGGTTAATATTGCAGACGCAAGCGCTACCCTTGATGTCCTTCTACGGAACGGGTTTGATATCGACCGATCAGTCGATGGATGCACCGGCCTAGCCAGATCGGCGTACTTCTCGTCTGGAGCCAGCACACCCCTGCTGCTCAGTCGCGGAGCCGACCCATTGCCACGATGTGCCCCGAAGAATTCACCGTTGTACTTAGCTGTAGAATGCGGGAAGAAGGACGCTGTCCTGCAGCTCTTGCACGCAATCGATGCAAGGCGCGAGCCTTGGGCGGTGATTGCGCCTTACCTACGCGCAGCAGAGAAAGCAGCGATAAATCGGGGCTGGAACAAGAACGACACCTTTGGAATCATGAAAGTTCTGCGACAGTGGTCCTGGAGATTGCAGTATCCTGCGCCTGTGGACTCTGAAGGTCCATTTTCGCTTCCATTAGAATAGAATAACCGCGATCTTGCTCGAGACTGACAAGATCACAATGTTGCTAGTAAGGACATTTAGTCAATTTTCAATCTCATAGCCAGCAAGTGTAGACAGATAAGTGTGAACATTTACCATGTTTGTCTTACTATTGTAGAATATAGCTATGACATGTAGTACTCCTGTTTCCAATGGTCTAGACAAATTAATTGACTGAGGCTTGTAAAGGTCTTGAGCCCAGCACCATAGAAGAAAAAGAGACAAGAGGTAATTTTTGGTCTACTCATGCGGTGGTGACTTAGGTACCTCCTGTCAAATGTAAGCATATATGAAGATCAAACTTCATCGGCAGGTGCGACTGCACGCACCTACCGAGTATACTATCTAGATAGCTATATGGAGTAGTAGTCCCCGCAAGGCGGTATCCAACGACAATAACCCCTCCCACGTGACCAACCAGCAACCGCTCATCACGTGCACATTTGCAAACAATAGCCTGCGACGTAGCTGTAGCATTCAAGCTCAACAACACGCCCAATTGAACCCACCTCAACCTTTCAACCTCACACTCCCAAACCAAAAAGCCACATGTCTCAACTCTAAACACTACGGCCATTAAAACCGCTACCACCACCACAACAACCCCCGATTCCTCACCTACCACGCAGAAGAAAATGGACACAACGATCCAAACCAGCCTCCGCACGCTTGAATCCGCGCTCAACGCCCTCCTCACAACCCTAACCACCTCACCGACCGCGTCGGGCGCCCCCACCGCAGCACTGAACCTCCTCGCAGCCGACGACACCCTCACCTCCTCGATCGACCTGCTCCGCGTCCACCAAGCCAACTACGCGCGCCTGCTGCACCTGCGCGCCGAGGCGCAATCCCTCGAAGAGAAAGTCCGGGGCATCGTGCGCGAGGTCGTAGACTACGAAGAGCAGGCGCGGGGTGTGTGCGGTGACTCGGATAGTGATTCGGATAGTGATTCAGATTCTGACTCGGAGGAGGATTCGGAGGAAGACGAGGAGGAGGATGAGATTGCGCTTGTGGGCGCGGGCGATGGGGATATGGAGATGCGGGATGCGGAGCGAAAGAAGAAGAAGGAGCTGCGCGGCGTGAAGGAGGTCGACTATAAGCTTTTGCTGGATTTTGCGCGCCGTATCAGCAAGTATAACCATCAGGCGGCCGCGGATGCCGCTGCTGGTGTTGAGGAGAGGTTGGCGAGACGGCATGAGGCGGCTCAGGATGCGGAGATGGGGGGGATGGGGGCTACAACGACCCAGGGTACTGCTGGGGGCTCAGGGACAGGCGGGACGAATGGCGATACGAATGCCGAGCCCGTCGCCGAAGTGACGAAGGGGGCTACGTCGTGGTTGGATGAGAGTGCGAATTTGGCGAGGCAGGTGTATATGTTGCCTTACCCGATGGAGGATCGGATTCGCATGGGCTTGATGGGGCAGATTCAGCTGGCGGCTGCCGAGGGTAGGCCGGGTTTCGAGGTCGATCGCGAGGTCGAGAGGTTGATTCGCGAGGCGGAGGGCTGGGGCGTTGCGAGCCCTGTGCCTGCGCCGGCTGGGGATGTCGGGGAGCAGGTCAGACATGCGGGTGAGGCGGCCAGGGCGGCGGCGTTGGCTGGGTCGACTGCCGCGAGTGGTGGTAGTGGTTCTGCTAGGCCGGTTGCTGCGCCGCCGCAGCCGTCGAAGCCAAAGGCTACCTTGGATTTGGATCTGTATGATCCCGATGAGGATGATGAGTGATGTAGACTTGAAGACTTGATTGAGGGTGACAGCTGGTCTGTCATGATGATTTACACGAAATGCAATCTAATACCCGGCATGTCTAGTCCTGCAATCTATCATGCATGGACGACTCCGCCGTCTACTTCCTGCATCGGTTTTCATATATACAGAACGGAACCTTAGAATAAATACACTGGAGTTAGCATCATGTCCAGCATCATGGGCCCAACAAGCACGACCTATTCAAAAGATCCATGTTTTCTGGCATTGCTCTGGATCGCAGCCGGGGATGAACGCGGTAGGAACAGCTATTGATGACTCCATAGCCTCTGTAGCTTTTTGATCTTCGAATCGGTCTCCCATCCTAGATCCGCTTCAATGCCCCGCAGGAGGTTCACCACTATCTGGCGTTCCTCCGGAGCTTCAAGGAATTGGCCCATAGCGAACAGCAGAGGAGTCATGTAGACACGGGCACAGCTCTGCGGTCGGGCCAGTGCAATGCCGATAATCTCCCGGCATCGATAATCGACCTCCTTGGTCAGCTCGCGATAGCCCTGCACGCGGTCAAATGCGGTGCTCGGAGCAGTGACCGCATCTGTTGGACGGTTCAAAGACAATGCAAGACGGCCGAAGTGACACTGCTGCATGGCGAAAGCATATGACGGCATCGAGAAGAATATCTCGGGAAACGGAACAGGACTCGCCTCGGGCAGGCTTGCTAGATTTTTGGGTTTCTCAAGCCGCACGCAAGGTCGAATTGATTCCGGGAGTCGTTCGACCCACGTTTGGTATTCGAAGGAGAGGCTCAACCAGGTTGATGTCGTGGGATATGGCGATGAGTCTTCCGGAGTCTCATTCGAGGGCGAGCGAACCATTTGCTCCAGTGGCGACTTCTTTGAGTTGGCCAGGAAGTTGACGACTTTACATGAAAGCCATGTCAGCGATTGACAAGAAAGGTCCTCTTGGAGAGGAAAAGTGTCACTGTAATGCCCGATGTTCCCTTCGTCATCGAGAGGTATGCCGGCAGACCTCCAAAGACCGAAGTCGCTAGGATTAAGCTGTGTTTGTACGCGATTGAGGTATGCAGTCAAGTAGTCCTGGCGAGCAAAGTTCCAGAAGGCTGCGACGACCCCGTATGGGAAGCTTGCAGGGGCTGGTGTCATGCTGTCATATAGTTGCACTATTGTTTCAAAAAGAGGTTTGACACCAAAGAGATGGCTTTGTGTTGTTAGTCTGTGCCGAGAATCGCATTTGTTATCAAGACTGAACTCACGAGCGCCAATTTTCTGCAGGCTCATCCATGCTTTTATACAGGTTAAGTATTGTTGACACGGCTAGTGCATTTTCTAGCCTTTTCCCAAGAGCGGATTGCGATTGTGCATCGGATGGAACATTCTTGGCTTGGGAACGTAGCCAGTCATTGATAGTCTCGAAAGGGGATTTTAACACAGCAGAGCTAGATACTGCTGTGTAGGACTCGGATAAAGCAGTGTTCAGTCGCTGACCAGCCAAGTAGACGTACATGGTGGCTTTATGAAGCCATTCCGCGTCCGGGACGTCAGAATACGTTTCCATCATCGCGGGAGTCGTGAACAACCCGGTGTTTTCGGTGATTTTTACCCCCTTCATTCTGCCGAGATGCTTTGCAGCAAGAGCAGTGATAGAGTATTGAAGAGCCACATCGTCTTTGGCACGGAGGGGAACATGAGTAGCGAAGAATTTGCGAGGGTCGGAGAGATCTAACCTGCACATAGATGAGCATATCGGTCAGATGCGTTAAAGTAATTACGTACCAAGGTGCTAATGCCTCAACATAGTATCGTACTAGAAAGGACTCTTCGTACCCAGAGCCTGTTATGAGATCGGAGTACATGTCCTGTATGCTTTCATTTTCGTCCGCCTGAGATGGGCTTTGGGGGGAATGTTCCGCATGTGATGAAGCCTGGCCTCGTCTAGTAGCACTAGCACTGCGATAGGAAGCATCATTGAATGTGTGATTAGTATTGCTTGAGTTTCGAACATCATCCCATCTAGGGGCAATGAGAGGATCTGAGCTGACAATGCCGGTCGGGTTGAACTCTCTACTGAACCATTCAGGAGTGCGGACAACAGGACGCGCTTGCATGCCTGCACTCGGTGAACTCGACTGCGGCGAGTCTCCCGCTGGAGATTTCGAGAGAAGCTGGTTTATTCCCAGAGTCGAGCCAGAAGCAGACGCCGTTGCTGCCCCAAAGGGGAACTGATTTGGACTTGGCATTGTCCGCCTTGCTGGATCATGATTTGTGCCCGAAGGATTATCTAAAAGCGTCTAGTGGGATGTGAGCTACGATGTCATGCTTAATTACCACCTCATATATCCTCGAGACAGAAGTGATCACGACTTACATTCGTTGGTGCATCTGATTGATTGCGATGACGATTTGAGCCACCCTCTCCATGATAGGGGGCGTACCGGCGCCTCACGGCAGCACCCTGATCAATAAATTTTCGAGTTTGAATATAGCCCGGGCAGTCCACACCGGCGTTGAAGCAGCGCTGACAGTTGGGGCGTGTCTCATCGCACTGATATGATCAGCGACAACCTGATTTCCGAGCAAAGTAGTCCGACCAAACTTACCTTAAGGTGTCTTTTCTTGCATCGCTCACATGCCTTATTAGACGGAACCCCCGGCATCCTGTCTACTGGGTGGGCCGCAATTGATGAAGGTTACGTCTCCTGCGCGAAGCTTGAAAAACACCGCATTTCAGCGCAATGGGACTGACGACATAGCCATGATCATCTGGTGGTGGAGATTCATGATAAGGATAAGGATGTTGAAGCTCCCAAAAGCTTGGCACGGCTAAACAAGGGCGGCGATCCTTCCGCTCAGAGCGGTAAGTTCCCCCGCTCCCGGAACAGCATTGTTCCATCGTTTGTTGTTATACAGTACAAGCTAGGCTAGGCAAGACATTCGCAGGTTATCTTTTTGGCATTGTTCTATCATTCTTTCTATGACCAAAGACTAGTCACTGTCTCTGAGCCTGCGCGCGAACGGGAACCAAGTGATATCATACAACTATTATTCCACTTGTTAATATCCATGGTACCGTGATGACTGCCGATCGTGGCCCGCTCCAAGTATACGGCCACTCCACAAAGCGGAGGAACTACACGCCCACGGTCGACTAGATGATTACCTGCAACCGATGTACGCTAAGTGTTTTCGCTCAAAGTTGATGTAACCTGCGACTACCATGTTTGTGGAGTCTAGCTCATACAGCGTGATCTCGAATTCTAGTCAGCCGACGCATCGTCCCCGCCCGCAAGCGACGCGAAGTATCACAAGAACAGATCAAGTGTGCACACTGGAGCTCTTGAAGAAGCAATCGATCAGCACTTCCAAGCAAAAATCATGGTTTCAACCTTGCAACCTCAAGATCTTTGTCTGATGTCTGTGATAAATGCAATCAATTGCAAACATGCTACATCAGACAATGCATATTGTACGGGAAGGCTTGATCAGCAGAAAATGACGCCTCTTTCACATGCGCCTTGCACCTTCGATGGCAAAACAACTCCGGCTCAAATCCCCGGATCATTGTGATTACATGTCAACTGTCGAGAGTACGCGGAAGATTATGCAGCCTTATATCCGAAATAAGCTTGGTTAGGATGGAGCTTGGTATGTGACACAGGTCCAGCAACGGCAGGAGCATATCTTCGAATCATGGACCAGAAAGCTTACAAGCATACTTCGGAAGTCCGTCAAGATCAAAAAGTAATAATCCCTCACAGTAATGTATCCTCCGGTCTTTGAAATTCTCTGGGGGGTCAAGGGCCCGACTAGGGAGTCATGGGATGATATTGAAGACTTAGTCTCCAGGCTAACAAGGGGTAGAGCGACTATGAGAAACATCCCCACCCAGGTTGAGACAGCCCTGAGCAATGACAGCCCATTATCTTTCAGCAATTGGATACAGCCATCCCTTGCAGAATATGGCAGCGTACTTTTGCGGTTGTGTTACATGCAGTAGCTCGACCAACGTTACATGGTCGGAACCTCTATACCAACTCGCGCAGCTCGTTTATGTTATGACTAGGATGATTGACAAGTTGATTCTAGGATGGCCTAGTTGATACACGAGAACAGGAAACGAGGACGGATGGTCTTCTACTATACTTCAATGCTGGTTCCCATTGTTTTTAAGAATAGTGGTTGCCCCCGCACCTGTGCCATGGACCCTTTGTTGCTCTGGAATGTTACTTGATTCAATATTCTCCCACTCATCCCAACAGGTCTCAATATTTTGACTTGGTCCTGGGTGATCTTCTGGAAATGGCACCAGCTTCGCTTGCAGGGCTTCTCGGAGCCTTTGGGCTAACAGTTTCAGCTTCTGCTTCTGTGGCCGGACGAGTCGTCAATGATCCTAGCACACCGTTTGATGTACTCGATTTTATCGACCCTCTTATTGGGACTTCTAATGGAGGTAGGCTCATGACATGAATTCTTTCTGATTCATAAATTGACTATTGTCATAGGCCACTCATTCGCTGGGGCAACTTTGCCCTTTGGTATGTTCTATCCAAACCAGCTCCGATCAAGTTATTCTATGTAGCTGACTCCGATACAGGAATGGCCAAAGCCGTGGCAGATACTCTTGGAGAGAATCAGGCCGGTTTTGCCTATGATACGCAATACGTCTCCGGATTCTCTCACATGCATGACTCTGGGACTGGTGGCGTAAGTTAATCTTAGCCGATGATAGAGCTTATTTCTCACCATAACCAGTCGCCTTCTTTGGGAAACTTCCCTCTTTTTGTACACCCAAGCTGCCCCCGCGATGACTTAGACCAATGCGCCTGGCAGCAGTCTGCTCGCGCTGTAGCATGGTCATCGCCGCAGGCTCGACCAGGATACTTCTCAATCTCGTTAGATAACGGTCTCCTTGCTGAAATGACCGTTACTAACCATTCCGCGCTGTATCGTTTCACTTTTCAGAATGCTTCTAGCGAGCCACTAAGCCCTATCGTTCTCGTTGACCTTTTGGATCTGCCTCAGTCCCGCACCAACGGCACAGCATCAGTTGATCCGTCAACGGGAAGATTGACAGGCAATGGCACTTTCAGTCCTAGTTTCGGCATTGGGACGTATGACCTGCATTTCTGCGCGGACTTCAATGGGGCTCAAGTCCGGGACACCGGCGTTTGGCAAAACAACCGGGCGGGTGTGAACCAGACAGCCTTATCGCTTACCTTAGATGGCAGTAACTCTGCGTCGACTTTAAGCGGAGGTACATTCGCCAGGTTTGATGCTCCCAGAGATAATAATACGCTTATGGCCAGGGTTGGGGTGAGTTTCATAAGCGTGGAACAGGCGTGCTCTAATGCAGAAAAGGAGCAGCCCAATTTTGACTTTCATGGAACAGTGCAAGCAGCGGAAAATGCATGGAGAGAAAAACTGAACGCAATCAGTATCAATTCAGAGGAAACTTCGACCGATCTGCAGAAAGTGTTCTGGAGTGGCATTTATCGTGCAATGATCAGCCCACAGGACTACACAGGAGAGAACCCACTCTGGCAAAGTGATGAGCCGTACTATGACAGCTATTATTGGTAAGTTAGCGCCTCAAATTGTCCTGATTCACATCTGACAGATGACCTAGTATATGGGACTCTTATCGCGGTGTCCATCAACTGCTGACATTGGCGGATCCTTTGTCCCAGTCTCTGATGTTGCGGAGTCTTATCGACATTTATCGCCACGAAGGCTATCTTCCCGATTGCCGTATGTCACTCTGCAAAGGCTACACCCAGGGAGGTTCCAATGCAGATGTCCTTCTAGCTGAGGCCCTCTTAAAGAACGTGAGCGATATCGATTGGGCGACCGCGTATGAAGCTGTGGTGAAAGATGCTGAAGTCGAGCCTTCAAACTGGAACGTCGAGGGCCGCGGCGGCCTCACTAGCTGGAAGACACTCAACTATATTCCTACCGATGATTATGATCCTTATGGTGTTGGACTGCACACGCGCAGCATTTCAAGGACAGTCGAGTACGCCTACGATGATTGGTGCATTGCCGAGATGGCCCGAGCTCTGGGCCATCAGAGCGATAACGAGAAGTACATGCAGCGCGCTAAGAACTGGCAAAACATGTTCAAGGACGATCAGCAGTCAACAATCAATGGGGTAGACACCGGATTTACTGGCTTCCTCCAGCCTCGCTACCCGAACGGAACATGGGGCTACCAAGACCCGATCTTCTGTAGCCCCCTGTTGAACTTTGACTCGTGCTACCTCAACGCCAACGGCCACGAAACTTATGAGGGTAGCGCTTGGCTCTACTCATTGTGAGTATTTTCTCGTTGTGCCTCCGCGATCAGGACTAACTCTCCGGTAGCTACGTCCCGCAAGACATGTCCGCCCTGATCAAACGCCTCGGTGGACGAGAGACATTTGTCTCTCGGCTTTCATACCTGCACAACTCCGGTCTTCTCTACGTCGGCGACGAGCAGGCCTTCCTCACTGTTCATCAATTCCATTACGCCGGACGCCCCGGTCTCTCCACCAAACAAGCTCACGCATATATTCCCTCCCAGTTCAACACCTCGGTGTCAGGTATCCCCGGCAACGACGACGGGGGCGCGATGGGGGCGTTCGCCGCTCTGAGCATGATGGGCCTGTTTCCGGTCCACGGACAAGATGTCTACCTGATCAATCCGCCATTCTTCAAGGAGGTCAGCATCCAGAACAAGGCCACGGGGAAGGTTGCGACAATCCGTAATGTCAACTTCGACCCGACCTATCAGTCAATCTACATTCAGAACGCTACACGAGATGGTCAACCATGGACCAAGAACTGGATCAGCCATGACTTTTTTTTCGAGGGTGGAGTGCTTGAGCTTACGCTTGGTGCTGCAGAGAGCGATTGGGGGACCCGAGATGAGGATCTGCCGCCGAGTATGAGTGGTTGACAGCGATTCATTTAATCATGAAGCGAGATGTGGTACAGATTAAGCCAACTGTATAGAGAGAACTTGCTAGCCAAGCAAAATCTGAGGTAGTAGGTGATGAGTATAGGGGCAGTATCAGTAAAATCTTCTGCTTCCATTTATACCCGCCATTTCCCCTCTCTTTTTTTTTTCCCCCATACTGAACCTCTCCTATGAAGTCTCCGCTACTTGAGTGACTCAAACGACCATACCACATTCTGTATAACAATACCATCACATAAAGTCCTAGAAAACCAGTCAATCAACTCCCCAACCACTCCCTACTCCTAACAAACCAGGAGCACAAAGCCAAGTCAACACACAACCACCAGGCCAACGAAACCATATACACACCCTCTCAAAGCCACAGGGCAGCTATGCGATACATCCTATTACACTTACAGCAGCAGTCATATACCAATGTACCGTCCCATCTCAGTCTCAAATTAATCCAGTCATTCCATCAAACCCAGTCAATTCAAACTAAACCCACCCTAAACCCACCGAATTGCCAAACAGCACCCCTCCCCTTCCCTCAGAAATAAAACAAATCACCATATATCAAGGCGGAAGTCCAAAAAAACCTCAAACCAAGCGACATCCCCACCCAGCAAACCCTATCCTAGATCAGATCCGCAACCGTACGCGTGGGCACTGCAAGTGCTGGCTTTTACCCAGGAGCGCCAAGAGGGTGGGCTAGGCTGCCGGATTACTTTATTTTGAGATTGGCGGATTACTTTATTTTGAGATTGGTCTGGAGATGGAATGGGGATATATAGGGCATATTATCTTGCTTATTCTTGGTTTTTTCTTTCGGTTCTTTTGGTGGGGGGGATGTTGTTGTTTGTCCTTCTGTTCTATGGTGAATAGAGTGGCGGTTGTGGAGGATGCAGTGGGTTGGTGCTTATACCTCTTGCTATGTGGATGTCGGTGTGTTGGACCGTAGGGGAGAGTTTGAGAATGGGATGGGGAGTGGGCTGTATACGCTCTTTGTAGGGGGTAATATCAGTTTTTCAGTTCTCATTGTCTGCATGTGTCTACGCAATGGCTGATTGACGCTTTTCCGATGGGAATGCTACTCTCTGGACTGGAGACGTTTCGTAGAAGGAGTTATAGCCAGAAAAGGTTATTCTTACATCTTGGAGTGGCTCTATCTTCTACTTCTCTGCGTTCGCATGGGATTTGACCTTGATGACTATGTTTGCCTCAATCAAGACCACATCACATTACCATGTTTTGCGTGCCAACAGCAATACTGACAATTCCCAAATGAACCATAAATTCAACGTTATGCAGTAAACTAAGTACAACCCATATCCGTACTAAATGCTTTTTCGACAAGCAACATAATCAACCAGCGTAACCATCAGTAGAAGGTATATATCATGGAGCCTTCAAACCATCCAACCCACTACCCATTAATACATCAGAATCGTATCATCAACCGTACTCTATGCAGTAGCATCCACCTCATAAGTCATAAGTAACGGAAAAAAAAAGCCTCATAAGACGTTCATCAAAAATATTACTCTGAATCAGATCCCAGACTCGTAAGGCCCATGCGTACCCCGGTGCTGAAACCCGTAAGGATTCGTCTCGGCCCACTCGTTCCACGCATTACAAGTGTTCTCAAGAACATCTCTATCCAAGAACTCCTTAAATTCACTCTGTCGTTCGATGATCTGCTGCGCGAAGCCCTCCGTCGCGTGGAAGCCGATGTGGCAGTGGATCAGCCACGCGCCGGGGTTATCAGCCGGAAAGCCGATCGCGACGTACCCGCCTACTCCCTTTGCAGCGGGGAGGTTGAGGGTATCGCGGCGCGTAGGGTTCACGGTTTGGAGTTTGATGGTGAGGGGGTCGTAGACTCCCAGGCCTTGGGCTAGGATGTAGAAATCGTGACCTTAGGGAATGGATTAGTTCGGATTCTCTTTTCGGAACATTGAAGACCTTACCGTGTAGATGAATGGGATGGGCGGCGGGAATGACCGTCTGAATGATGAGCACGGTCCATTGATTGGCTACGCTCGCCTTGATCACTCCCTGGCCCGGCTCCCAGCTGGCCTTCTGAGGAGCCTCGGAGGTTTGCAGTAGAGTCGGGTCACTCCAGGAGGTATTGAAGATCTCACCCCCCATCTTCCAGAGGTAGATAGGTGGCTTGCCGTTGGGCCCGAAGCCGACACCCGACGTCACTGTGTTTGTCTCGCCAAGATCTGCGTTCAGCGCGAGCTTTGGAACAAGTTTCGACGCAGGGATGTCCTGGCAGTCGACATCCCCTCCATAATCCCATTTCTTTGATCGCGGATCCGAGTTTGGATTGGACCCTTTGTAACGCAGAATGCCTTTGATGTTGCCTGCCGCCGTGTTGTTACTGCAGTACGACTGCGGCATCGCTCGAATCCAGTAGTTATCTGGTCTTTGGTTGGCAATTACAATGATATCGTACCGCTGACCCATGCCGATTGGGACGTTGTTCGTCTTGAAGGGCACGATTGGGACAAAGTCGGCTGCGATCACAGTGAGGCCATGATTATCGATCGAGAACTTGAATTGAGTGTGCATGGCGGCATTAACCAGACGGATCCGGTATCTCCGACCAGGGACAAAGGTCGTGTGGAATTGTCGGCCAACGGTAGGGCCATGCTTAGGAACCCAGACATTTGTGCCGTTCAACAGGCCCGTCACCATGGTAGGTAACTTGCCACTGTTGAGATCCTCTTGGTAAATGCTATGGTATGTCTCGTGCAGCCAGTCGTTCAGAAAAAGAACCCCCAAGTCGTCGTCATAGTCAACCGTTGAGGGGCCATGAATTACGATCCCTCCGAAGACACCCTCCCAGGCCTGGAGAGAGAAATGTGAATGGTACCAGCTCGAGCCATACTGTTCAGCCTTCCACACATAAGTGTAGCTCGACCCGGGAGGTACAGGACATTGGGTTAGAGCAGTCACTCCGTCCATCTGGTTGTTATTCAATTGCCGGATTCCGTGAAAGTGAATGGCAGTGCCATTATTCTGCATACGATTGGTGACATGCACCTTCACCGTGTCCCCCCAATTAGCCTCAATCGTGGGCCCTGGAAACTGACCGTTGACAAGAAGCACCTGCCGCTTGACACCATCCGGCGAGCGAGTGGTATTGACAATGTCGAAGAAGTACTCCCTGACAACCCCAGTTTTGGGGGCAGTTTTGTAGTAATTGGTGTTGATGTCAAACCCTTTCCAAGGGACGCGAGAATTTTGTAACGACTGACTCTGGTTTTTGTTCCTTGCCTCCAATCGTGATGTTTGTCCGGATGAGAATATATCATGCACGATAGGACTGCCCAAGGCCAATGAGGCCAAGAGCCAGAGAAGTACAAGAAAATGCATTGGTGCAAAAACGAGGGGAAGGGAAACGAAGACAACAAGTATACGGACTGATTACTGCCCTTCCTGACACTTTCCTTCTCGGGGCCACGGCTTTATAGCAGTCCTGAGGGTGAGCCAGTGGGCCTAGCGCTGAGTCCTGCTCTGTTCAGGATTCCGTTCTTGTTCGTGTTGTCTGCACTGCCTCCATGGATCAGACATTCGGGCTGGCTCGCCCGGGGAAGGGTGACTTGCAGTTCTAGGTGAGTTCCAAGCATTTGATCGGTCTTCTCGACCCATCATTCATACTCGGAGCCAAGGCAGCCCTAATGCAAGAAATTACCCAGCTGTAAGGATCTCCACCCACTCATGGGAGAGAGGCGGGGGCATCCAATAACAAACACGACGGGATCATGACCAGATGGCCGCTAGCGCAGTAACTTTCTTAATTCTTGGATAGATATATCGCTAGAGAGCAAACTGAGCTGCAATTTCTGGTTTGCAACCCACCCATGCTCGTATCTAACATGGCAAGCCCTGCTCGAAAAGCAACTAGCCTTGACTTCGTAGCATATGTACTTCTGCATGATGGTCGACCCAAGGCTGTGTATAAGCGACCATGGATCTCCATCCCAGAGAAACTATCAGCTGTGTTCGGAACTTCACCTATGGGAAACCGAGTGTTCAAACCCCAGAAATGCATATCCAGCATTGGGATTGTGCGGATTGGCCGGGGATAGTTGTTGGCCCCCGACGATTTTTGCCCCCAAGAAGATGCATGCCGTGGCTCAGGACCTGGACAATTTAGAGCCCGACTCTCGTGGCGCACAATGCGTATCGAAGTGCTTACATTATTCCAAGCCTGCAAAAACCAGTCATTCCACCCCTCCTCAACGTCCGCCGGCACATGGCGTGCCTGATGCTGATATCGGGCGCGTTGGGAATGGTGCTGACCCCCAGTCGTGGCTCTCTGACACCGCTCAGACATGTTCCTCACCCGCTCAACGTATCAGATATCAAATTTTCCCACAAAGAGGAGCTTGGAGAGCGTTTCATCACTCACATGTCCTTTCTCAGAGTGGAGCGACCTTGGGGCGCATAATTTAATTTCAGAAACCAAGAAAGAATACGGCTTCAGAAGCGGAGAACATGAAAGAAGAGAAAGCTTCATAAGAGGGGGATTTCTTTGTTAACGTAATGGAGTGGGACGCTGTACCTTGTCGATAGATAGAAGATCCTTGGCCAATTGCGGGGAGACACCGCAGCTTTGGGGCCATGGCGTGAGGACTGGCCTTGGCGATTGGAGCGGGATTTCTCTCAAGCTTGACTCTGGCAAACTGCAGGTTCTCGTTCAGGAATATCCAGGTGATTGGGCGACATAGAAAGATAAGAGGGTAAGAAAAAGGCTGAAACTGAGGATCAATGATGATAACGAAAATGGACCGAAGACAAAGCAAGATTGATCGCCCACCAACTTTAGAGAGTAATGGAGGGATCTGCCCTGTCAGGCATTTCCCAGACCAACGTTGGATAGTCATCGTTTCAACAAAAGTCGCTGATGCGGTGGGCTTATCCCAGTCCCACCCTAGGGCACTAAGTCGCTAGTCTTGGCCCTGTATAGATTAGCAAATAGGGCGGCCCCGCAAAGCCGTCAAATGTACTCTATACGAACCCGATTAGCGAAGTGAGGCCAGCTAAGCCCACTCGGGCCGTATGACGTGACTTGTAGCCTGGCGGCTCAAGCCAGAATCTGGGATAAAAGTTGGAGATATGGGAAGCAGCCAAGCTCAACCCACCGGAGACCCCGAATGGTAGCAAAGGACCTGGACAAAAGTAGGGGCAATCAGTATGTGCTGGCACAGCATCACCTGTTTCCCTCCTTCTCGGAGAAGAAAATACCAAATATGGCTGGACGTGATGTCATGACTTATGTCCCGAAAAGACTCCAGCATTTAGAGCCCGAGGGGTACACTCCAACACCCAGAGCGCCCAGAAGACCTGCGGTGGGTGCCTTGATCAATTCTGATAGTACTGTACGTTTGCAAGGCCAAGGATTGAACCGAAACAAGGACTACAGTCAATCCTGAATGACTGCTCTCGAGTCCTAGGGAACGCAAGCTGTCGCACAAGGAACCGGCCCGTGTAGTTCACTCCGCCACGTGCCCGGCTGTTTTGCAACCAACCAAGTGCCCGCTGTACCTTTATCAAACCGAGTGCTCGTGGTAAGGGTAGCGCGGTGATTCTGCATCAAAAGAAAATCAAAAAGTGTTATGAGGACAACGCCATTCACGAAAGTCACTGGCATCCTCAAACCTACGAGCCGAGCTATGCCTCTAGCTATGGATGTCTAACTATGGATGTCTAGCTGTCGGAATGGACTCTTAGTGCTGCACCATTCCTGGTTCGGTATAGAGGCGACTAGTTGATCTGGGGGCTTGTAACCAGGATCGACCCCATTGGAAATCGCTGGGAACACCCTGTCCGTGTCCGTCACTCGGGACTCCCAGATGTTGTTAAAAGGATGCCGCTTAGAAATTTTGCGAACGCGTGCCATTGGGCCTTAGGACACTCTGCTAAGCACCACCAAGACGCGGCACACGTGGTATCTTGGTTTGTTTTTCTAACTGAGGTCAACAGCCCAGTGACTGTGCATCTTACTCTGATGACCAGCTAAGGCGCGAAGGAGCATTTCAGTGAATGATGCGGTGGTGAAAGATGCCAAGCTGTTTACTTACAGATCGTGGCATGCCAGCCAATCGTGAGATCAGGACTTTGCTACACACGCGTAGCAGTGATGCTAATGTAGACTAGTAGACGTAGTATTTCGCTAGTCGATAAGCAAGATCAAGGATCGGCATTTCTAGCATTGGAGCTGTGGAACAGGGGGTTGAACTTGGGAGGAGGGGAAGGAAAGGAAGACGCTGGAAGAGCTAGCCGAAGATGGCGATCTTTTTGCGGGCAGGTTTTCCCCACGTTGTTTGAGGTCACGCCATCATCGCATCCGTCACCTTTGTTTTGACCTACGAAGAACTCCTCCAGATCGTCTTGGCTCAATCTGGAAACAGACTATAATCTCGTATAACTATCTTCCAAATCGCCCCCAACTTCTGCTCCCCCCATCCAGAATCTCACTGCTGCAGAAGGCCCCGGTGCAATGATTACCTCAATGCGGCAGCATGTGAAAGGCCAGCCAAGCCGTCGGTCAATCCTTATGGTGTGGGATTTGCCTTGGTTAGCAAGTTGACAAGAAGACCAAGACGTGCAAGCCAGAATCTAGAAGTGTTCGAGCTCGGTTCTCCTGGCAGTGTACTTGCGAAAAGGTGGCGGTCTGTGCAGCAACTAGTCTGGGCTTCATGAAGCTATCGCGACTAGACCATGCCATTTACGTACTCGAGCTCAGCTATGCCCGAGTCACCCTTCCATTGCAAGTGCAACATGCTCCGTGCTCTACACGATATAATGTTTGGAGTGTGGAGAAGAGCAGGAAGAGCAGGAGAAGGTGCAAAAGCGATTACAATCCGTGACGACCTTGATGGACTGGTGCTTTCCACCGCCTGTTTGCTTGCAAGGCTCGGACATTGTAGCACGGATTCAAACAGCACACTGGCAGGTATCACACTTCTCGGAGATCAAATCGCCGATTGACCTATACCGATTCATCCGTACGGCACCGTTAGTGTGACCGATTCTTATGTCGGCTATATCAGGATCCCTTTATGTCTACCGGCTCCAGAAAGACCAAGTCCTTGATGACTCCGGAAAGTTTGTTGCAAATATGGGTTAGAAGCAGGAAGAGACAGAGCGATCATGCGCGGCTACAAAGCACTTCCTTCAAGAATCAGCCTGCGATATCGAAGAAACCATCAGTAAGAATAATTTCCCCTTGAATACTACGCTGAACTATTTCTAGCACTCATGCAGGTTCCACTTAAGGGAGCAGCTATACTCAACTAAGCCAGTCTCACAAAACCTCTGCTAAATTCATACAACATTATACCCGGTACCTATTTATACACATCTCAAAAAAAACCTTCCCAGAATTACTCCTTCAACGGATCATGGCCCCAATTTTTCAAAGACCGATAGCTCTTACTATCCGTGTTCTGCTTCGCGGTTTCCTCCTGGGCGAGATGCCGCTTGCAGTATGACACCACACGGCGCATGTGATCGATGTCCTCCTCCGAGTACTTGGACGCGTCCTTGGAAGGGTTGTTCTCGAGAATGCTCACGATTTTGCGACCACTGGAAACAGACACACACATCTCAAGCTTAGCACACATGAGACATGACCCGCGGGGCTGCAGGGATGATCCCGGGAGGAAATGTCTTACCTCTCATGGCCGACGGTCTCTCCTGACTCATTGTTACTCCAACCGGAGGATTGGGACTGTTCTTCCTGTAGCCAGTCGCGGAGCTCGTTGGGGGTCATGTTGACCAGTTCGTTGAACTCGCTGGGTTGGTCGTTGGTCAGCACTAAGTCCATTCCAAACAATGTGAGTGCTAGATTTGTTGCTCACTCGATAACGGTGTCCTTGCTTTTGACCATTTTGATGTTAATTTCTGGATAGATCTGTGGGTGCTTGAAAGAGTGAGTGGTTGAATTACCAGCTGTTTTGTACTTTGGCTTGGGCAAGCGTGACGTCACGCTTTCCGAGAGCAAACATCAGCGTCATTATGTGTAGTGCATCTGAGCTGCGTAAATCACGGTCGGTCCCGAGGATCGATCATGGATCTTCGAGCAATCTACCCGCAGGAGTTCCGTTCACTTCAGAATTGAGTTTGATTCTCGTGGTTGTGGCGAATTGGTGGCCGTTTTTGCTGCTTTATGCCGCCTCCAAGTACAGAATAGTAGTCTACACAGCATGATCCAACATTGTAAGAGGATTCCGAGTACCTATACCTGGGTGTGCCTACAGATCCACTCATCCTGTACAGCTCTTTGGCTGAGCTACGCTGGTGGGTTCCACCGCAACATCTTCCGTACTAGCAGTAGAAAATCGGCCTTTTCCTGCCCCTCAAGAGTCGTTTCCCTCTGCTCAAGCGGAACGGGTTCTTTCAATGGAATACCAGCGCAGAAGTCACCTTAATTCTAAACATGGTGAGCAGGGATTGGCATCACTGACATAAAGATTGCCTCACCTTCATCAGAGAAGAACTTATGGCTTAGCTTCCCTCGGGCAATAAGATCAGGCGGAGGAGGTCCAAGCAGTCTGATATTATCCGCAAGATGGGCTCGACTTCGATAAGTCTGATACTCTGAGTCGTAACCGGTAAACAAAGTTTCGCCCTCAAAAATGTTCCAGATCTATGGAAAGATTCTCAGAAGATCTGTAAATAAGATAGCGGGCTCATTGTCTTACCATGCATCCCATATTCCATATATCAACGCTGTATGTCCACGGCGCCTCAAGGATCACCTCCGGCGCCCGATGCATGTTGGGTTGAATATCTTCCAAGTGTTCTACGCCACCAGGCATAGCGGAGCCAAAGTCACATAGGGCCGGGGCTCCCCATTCCTTGGGTAATCCGAGCTCCTGGGACACGTAGATCGTTCTTACATCTAGCTCTTTTCTCGGACAAGGAATTCGAATCTCATCATCGACCAAGCCATCGACCAAGCCATCGAAGACTGAATCATCGGCTATGCCGAACATGATATTGCCGGCCTTGATGTCTGACAGGTTCCATGCGTAAGTAAATTGCGCAGCTCAATCGCGGGAGCAATGTGATTGGCATGGAAAATGTACCAGTGTGTATTACCTGGCACTCTGTATGCAGGTAGTCCAAGGCCAGGAATAGTCGCTTGAGGATGAATGCCAGAACATTACGGGTAACCTCCGCACCGGGTTGCGATGCAGAAAGGTCAAAACACTTTCCCAGAGAGGAGGATGTACAAGGCACCTATGTTTATCCTCAGCTCTGTCAATGTCGAAAGAGTCAAGTAACGACCGGACAGCGCCGCAACCTGGGTGATTTTTGGAACCTGCTTCTATACGTTTGTACATGTTAAGTTTATCGTCCAAACACTGTCCAATAGATGCAGACTTGACATATATCTTGAGCGTGACGCAGCGACGGTACCTGATCGTTCAGCATTTGAGCAAGTTGACTCGAATAGTTACTTCCCCAGGCGGCCAAGGACGCTCACCTCATGTCTCGTGCAAGCCACACAGTCGAATTGGCTCCGAATCCGAGTTTTCCCACAACCTGGTATTTATCCTGCAATATATCCCCTATTTTGGCAGGATAATATCGAGAAGCAACATAGTCTGGCATGGTCTGTTCTTCTAGTTTCTGAGTAACCGGAATCCGGACGAAGTTCGGATTCGAGAAGTTGAGGGGCTTCCATTTTCGTCCAAGTTGGGGTAGAGAACGTATAAGCGAAGTCAACATTGTCTGAAGCGACGAAAGATAGAATGGCCATTCAAAGCTTGCAGGTCTAGATGGCTCAGCCCAGGCTATGTGGTCCACGTCGTGATAAAGATGATGGGAAGGCGGAAACAAGGTGGCTGACGAGACGAGGCCGCGAGGATCTTCTTGTCACGTGAGACCGCTCTATGAACAGGTATTGGCTGTTGTTCATTCAGAGCAAAAGAGGCTCATGAGATCACGAACGCATTAGTACTGCCGTTTCGTGAAGTACGGCGAAGTGGATTCGTGACGCTTCATGGATGTGTGGGCGACCGGTGAGGTGGTTACTTGACCGGATGATTCACACATCTCGATATTGTCGAATTCCCTTACTACCGGCCCAACTATAGGCCTTTAGTTTCAAGCTCATTATCATATGACTCGCTCCTGTCAGGTGTGTACCATCATGCGCTGATTCATTTGTACAACACGAGTAGATTTGGCAAGCAAACAAACACGACCAAGTCGGTCTAACGGAACCCACCAAGAGCAATGCCACATCGCTGTATTTGCTTGTAGACGAGCTCCTTGGCAAGATAGTCCTCGGTCGCATCGACTATAGTATCGAGCTCGTCGACACCATCTAGGCCAATCTCCGCTAGCCCATTGGGTACATCGAATCGAAACAGACGGCTCGCATCGTCCAACTCGGTATGCTCCCTGATGAATTTATTCATATCCCTCTCCGTATCGACATAATCTTTTCGGGTCGTTTTGATCAAGCCAAACATCGTCTTGTTGAGCCGTTTGATCGACGGTACACCAGTGCCAATTGAAACCAGACATTGGATCTGACTGTCCAAGGAGCCCGAGGGCCAGATTCCTCTGGCCTCTATCCAGACTTCTCGTACCGGATTATTCGCTTCGGTGATGCTGTTGTAAAATCGTCGTCCGCTGGGACCGATGGGGACAGAATCGAATAATGGCGGCGTGGACAAGCTGGCCTGGCCTGCTTGCCACACTTTCGCGGTCTTGAACAGCTCGTTAGAGCAATATTTGCTAGGATAGCTCGTCAGGGGGGCAGAATTTCGCTTGGATCCGTCATCTGTGACGCAAGCGAAGCTACGTCTGGTCAGTATATTGATTTGGAAAGGACGGTTCAGCCGGCAGCATGCTTACACCCTGCACGAAAGATCGACGTCCCTCAGAAGCACATCGTCCTCATATCCAAGCTCGTGAAGAATTGCCTTCATCGCCGATTCTACCCTCCGTCCGTCGTATCTCGATTGTCGGCACAGATTGCTCGTCAGTGGTATGTGCCGTTTCCGGGCGAATATGAATTTCAGTAGCCGTCGGTAGGCATTGATGCATTGGTCGATGTCCATCTTGAGACGTCCTAGCATGATGGCGATTAAGCTATATAGATTAGCTGGCGAACGATGCCGCTGATGAACAGCCGCGCAGGGTCGACTCACCCGCCCGAGCCCGAGCCTCCGATGAGATTGAAATAGTCGCATGGCCTGGGTGTGTTCTCTCCATCAATAGATTCCATGATATGCTTTAGGATGTAAAGCGAAGAAAGGCTCCTGACGCCCCCGCCGTCCAGGCTGAGAAGACTGATATTGCGTTCCACCATCGATGCTGAGTTGTGTTTACGGTAGATTCTAAAGTCAATTCGATCGCGGTTCCAGCATTTCTAAGTCGCACATCCCGGGAGCTTGATCGTTAAATACGAAGTAGAAACTTATTATCGCCTGTCAGATGGACGCCTGATGACCCCGCGATGATGACGCAAAGTCGTCCATCCCATGAAGCATTATCGGGGCTGTGATTGGTGCAGCCAGTGACAGGGGAGCTCCTGGTGGCAGAATTCCCGACCCAGTGGGATGATCGACAGTGTCAATACGGGTTGATAGTAGGTGTTTAGCTAATAAACTGGATTACGGCTGATATCCAGAGACTTTCCCTTTCTACTTTAGGTCTAACTTAGTAACGTAATCGGTAAGCGAGTGGCGCGTGTAAGCGGGCGGCGCACCTTGCCAAGCATTCTGGTTTATATACATTTTTGAAGCCAAAAATCAACGTATTTACACCGTTAAAATCATGTTTTCTTGGTGTTGATCCCTCGCAGAGTACCTTATATATTTATGGCTGATTTAATTACAGTCCGAACACCGCAGTAGCGTATAGTAGTAAGGTGGTTTCTTACCGGCTTTCTACTAAGGTATCTTGATCCCGGATGCTTTAATAATCTTACCAGCCTACTGGAAAGCTTCAATTATCTTATTAACAGTGAAGCTGTGTAGATTAAGTATCTAGTAATAACTTCATTTCCTCTTTTTCTCTTAGCGTTCCTTCGTAGCCCGTAATTAGTAATTTTTATACTTGAGCAGAGCCGCCCAGCTAAATATAATCTTACAGCCCTTAACTATATATGTTAAAGCTGATTTTATTAGTATTAACAGGCTCAGTATATATTTATAAAGTAATCTTTTAATTATAGTTTTATGTTTTCTTAATTACCTCACATTTATAGGTGTTCTTAGTATAATTAATACGGTGCTTAGCCAGCTAACCAGGGTAGTCTTGTAGAAGCAGTATATAAACTGCCTAAGTACTTCCTGAGGCTGGAAAGGTACCAAGCCTGAAATATAAAAAATACTTTAAATTATTAAGGCTTTAAAAGTAAGTGAATAAGTATCTGGATATATATTAAGGAAATCAGTCTTATTAATATAATAAATACCTGTTTAGACTAAATTCTTAATTAAACCTCTATATACCTGTTTTAAGAATAAGAAACAGGTAATATCTAATAGTTAACAGAGATATAAAAAATACAGAGATATATAGATAAGAATAATACTATTTTAACTATAAATCTTATCAAAATAAAATATTAGATAGGAGTTATATCTATTAAAAATTAAAAGATTATATCAGCTGATCCTTTATAGCTTTATTAAAGAAATAAAGTATTCTTAAAATTAGTATAATCTAATTTTATTACTGGTCTAGCTGTTCAGTAAAAGATTAATTCTTTATATAAAAAGTATTTTATTCTGATACCAGGTCTTTATATAGATCTTCCTCTTAAAAATTAAGTATAGAGGCAAGGCCCAGTCTGAGATATTAATATATTTAATTAATATTACCTATTCGCAATCTTTAGGCTGTATAAGAAACGGCTTACTTATATAATTAGATTTTATAATAACTTATACAGCTGCAACCAGGTCTATAGTAAAGCTAGTTTTATTAAAGTTATAAATATTTTAATTAGTAATTTTATATTCTGATATAGCAGCCTAAATACAGTTAAATTATTTATAAAAAATTACTAGATCCTTGTAATAAGTTCTCTTATAATTATATTAATATAAGAATTATAATTTTAAGAAATTATACTAATTAATAAAGTTATATATTTATTTATAGCTGATATTTATTGTAGTAGTAGTACTGTACTTTTAAATTAAGATTTCAGTTATAGAATAAATATATATAAGTCTAGAAGGAATTTCTTGCTTATCTATAAAGAAAATCTATTATTCTAATAATTCCTCCTCTGTAGGAGTTAATTTATATAAATTAGTATATATATTAGCTTAAGATTTAACTCTATTTAAGTATTTATAAAGAATTGTCTCCGAAATTACAAAAACCCTTACTATTTTATATATAGAGAGAATTTCTTACTTTTTAAAAGTCTTAATTACTAAGATAAGTCTATTCTCTTGTTCTACCGTATTTTTTAGTAATACAGGTATTTTTAGTGGTTTTATTAATGATTTAATAGCTTTAAGTTAATGAAGGTGACTGTTTTGGTGGTGGGCGCACTGCCCGCTTACACGCGCCACTCGCTTACCGATTACGTTACTGCTTTTTTTGCTTACTAAGCAGACTGGAGTATAGAAAAGATATAGAAATAAATATCCTAAATAAGTTCTAATTAATTCTGAATTACTCTAGAAGTGAATATTAGAGAAATGATTTTATTCTTAAAAACTTATTTAAATTTACTAGTACTAGTTATTAGAGTAGCTTAACCTGATTGTTATATCTTAACCTTATCCTGACTATTATCTAGTAGTTAGATTAAGATATAAAAAGTAATTTAACTATATAATTAAAATCAGATTAAGATATAGTAAACAAGATAAGGTTTTGCGAGGTAGATAGAAAGGCATACGCTGTAACACACCAATCATGCTCGGGCAAAGCTGACTCTATATCGATTCCCTATCTGTGGCAGACAATAATAATGCTCATGATCAGTGCAAGCTGAACAAATATAGTATTGCTGGATGCAGATGTAAATCATTTAGCATCCCTTGGTACAAGCTATACGATTACCGCAGAGACTGGAACATTGCTAATTAATTATGGCGAAGGATAAGAGTGATACTCTGTGTTTTTGTATTGTGTACTATGGCTAGCTATAGAATGATACTAGAAAATATTAGTGAGGCTTTATGTATAGAAGCATACAATCCCAAGGGTCATGTTCACTGCCTCTATTCTCACATATCTCATACCCCAGTGGCAAGAGAGAACACAGAAAAAACAAAACCAAAAACAAAAAACAAAAAAAAAGAGAAGATCAAGTTCTCTTGATCCTCACAAATTTGCAAGAACGAATAACAGAACCAATTGCATCGTAAGCTGGCAGACTCACACGTCCCGTATAATCCGATCATAAACATGTCATCTCATCACTTACAAAAACAGAATCATAGATCCAAACATACACAGAAATGACATCAAACCATCAGCGCCACCACCACTGCAACCACCAGCCCGGTCCACCACCCATTCCCCGCGACAACCAGCCCTCCCGCCGCCCCGTTCGGCAGCGTCACGTTCTGACCGGCAAACGGATCCGTCAAGTTGGCGGCCTGCTCCCGCGTCACATTCACTATTCCGCTGTAGGCCACGATCACGTTCCCGACCGTTGGGACATACTGCCACAGCGGCGAACACACCCGCACGGGCGTGTCGTCGGCGACTTGGTGGTCGCCCTCCGTGCAGCCGGCCACCGTCCCCGTGAAGCAATAGCTGCGGCCGATCTCGGTGAGGTACGCGGACTGGCCCGGCGCGAGGGGCGTGCGGGCGACCCCTTCATACACCATGGCCTGGGCGCTGAAATTACTCGTCTGCAGTTGTTTCTTGTCGACCGTCTTCTGGACCAGGGCTGTCAAGGGCCCCGCGGCGAGGCCGGTGATGTTCGTCACGGCAGAGTAGGTGCCGTATCCCCCCCTTCCTGTGATTTCGCAAGTGTCGGTGTTTTTGTTGGTGGTGTTAGTGGTGTTGGGGCAGCTGAAGGCTGCGGTGATGCGGCGAGGCGGGTATTGGTCCCAGGAGACGGGTTGACGGTCCCAGTTGAAGACGGCGCAAGTGGTTTCTTCGCTGGCGTTGTTCCCTATGGAGACCTGAGTGGTGGGCTGAGCTGATGCACCTAGGGCGAGGGTGAGGAGGAAGAGAGCGGCGGTGGATTTGAGGGTTGGCATGGTGGGTGGAATGAATTGCCTTGAGAAAATAGTTGGGAGTGGGAGTTGGGAACTGAGGATAAGAAGACTTTGTGATCTTATGCGATTAGTATCTTAGAAAGTGGTGGCTGTAAGGGCCTACTTATCACATATCCTAAAATCTATTTTGTTGCTGTGGATACTGTTGGATAGTAGTTGATCTTGATTTCAGGCAGCGATGTAAAAACGCAGGGGCAGGTGTCGCCAAGGAGCACCGGTTTTAAGGGTCAGACATAGCCATCTGTGGGGTTACTGAAATCTGACGTGTTGAAAGTGGATGCTGCGCATATGAGTAGACACTGGCTCAGACTGCATTGTCGAGACAACTCTGGGGAGTAAGAGATCCTGTAGTCATGACAATCAAACAGTTGGTAGTGATAAGTCCCCCATGCAGGTTTTCGCGTCAATGTTTATTACCTGCCACTGGAACCGATGGCACAGATGCTAATGATCCCGAAATCTCCTTCGACTGAAGTGGGTAAGAACTCCAACAGGCTCTCGTGTCCAGGGTCTAAGTCGCTTAGATCAGATGGGCGCACCAGACGCAGGCGGTCTCTGCGGGCCATGCGCAGCGCGCACCAATGACAAGCTCAAATCGATCATCTAGGGCAGGCTAAGAAATAATTGTGTTTGCCTACACTATTATGATGGTCGATGGAGTTGTGGGGTCTTCTTTTTTAGGCAACCATATAGTTGATGGTATACTCATATCCGAAGCAATTGTCGGGCCGAGGCCGGCGGCTCAAGGCGCCAACCGACACCCCCACATCCTCCGGCTACCGGCCCAACTGTACGCTACTTGGCACAGCCTCACGTCTAACATCAAAATCGGCCATATCCGATCTTCTTGGAGGTCTTGCCTGTTGGGTCACACTCGCTTCACGGGTAAAATGCTCCCACAGTGGTGCCTCAGGAATTGAGATTTTGCCTCAAACCAACGTCCTAGTGGTTGCTGCAGCCTCAGTCAGCCAGCACACTCATCGCGATTCTCTACTGGACTTTTACCCTAATGATAATGAATAAAAATATTTTTTGGAATCCAGACTATTTATTGTAAATCATCTTAATTTCCAGTTATTCTCATTATAGAAATATAAACTGAGTTATAAGACTAGTACTTATTGTCTAGTTATTGATATGCTGAGTAACCTCCTTTTATTAAAGATAGAGGGACTAGAGAAATTTAAAAAAAGCATAAAGGTTTTATGGGATTATTGTATTAAACATAGGAATTACATAATATTGAAATGTAGACTCCTAGAGGTAGTGGAATAAAAGTTTAAATCAATAGATTTTTGATAAAGCTTTTTCTAATTTTTTCATTAATCATCGAAATCGAAGTATCTCCAGAAGCATTCGTCAGATATAGCTTGAAAAACATCGAAAAAATTGAAAGTTAATTGCCAAGGTCTATACTGAAGAGTCGATGGGAGTGAGAAGAGACGTGAACGAGCCCCCAGGCACCACATGCCGACAATCTCAGCAAAGCCCGCCCCGCTGCCTGCCGTCAACCAAGTCAAAAGTCCAGGCTTCGCTCGTGGGACTCAAGCCCCATTCTTCTATTTGATCTTAAGGATGCAAATGTCACACCGCTGTACTTGAAAGGGATCAGCTGGGTTTACCACAAGGATCGGACCGAAGGGATGTGGTACGGAACCCTTCTTATCCCAGAGGTTAAGGTTTCTTCTTGAGTTATCGGGCACCGGGTCTTGCTATTGAAAAGACTATTCCATACAGACACTACGTTGATCTCTTTTAGGTGGTTCAAGCATAGCGAAGGCATGTGTCTTGAGAAACCTGCATATGTTTAAGGGCTTAAAGCTAAGCCTTATAGAATCCCCCTGCAGGGAGATCGCTTGCGCGCATCAATAGGATCAACAGGTTCATAGGGCTGATCAGGCTCAATCAAGATTATGGGTGATGTTGGCTGGGCAGCTATTTTTTTGAATGAAGCCTATTGTTCCTTTCTTACAGTACATATATCACGAATTCAAGGTATTTAAGTGCTATCTAAGTTTGACCTCAAGAAACTGTCCCGGGTAGGCGGTGCTTATATGACCATGATTTATAGAAGAACATGGACTTTTCTGATACTTTGGTTGTATCAGTCAAGAGAAAGCTTCTGATGAATGCCCAATAATATAAATCAAATATTCTTTTTGTGCACCATGACTCTGTTCTCATTCGTCCAATGATATGCTTTGATGATATAATAGAACTGAACTCAGAAGTGCAACCCGCCCTCTGACTTCAAAGCCGCTAACTATTGCTCAGACGTATTCAATCTGAAAATGGTGCAGAAGCTGTTCCCATGAATGGATACCTAGTAAACGAAATGACGTAGAACTTTTTGCGAGAGATAATCCTGAAACTCTCAAGCACGCTTACCTTCATCCATCAACTATTGAAAATGCCAACAAAATACCCAATAATGAGCACTGCTCCAACGATAGCGCCTTCGTTGAGCTGAATATCAAGGATTTCGATTCCAGGCACGCTGCGTACTGTGCTCTCAAGGAAAGATTCATATCGAATGACAATCTGTGAGATGCAAGGGTGTACGGAATGACCGAGACCCATGTCACAGGCATTAGCATACGAAGTACCTGTAGATCTAATATGAAAGCTAAAGCGAAGCAGTGGCGGCTGAAATTTGACCAAATCTTTGCAGGATTCATTTGCCCATTCTATCCTGCCATGTTCGTCAAGAATACCTTCGGCTTCGATCGTCAGTGTGGTGGAGCCTAGCGCAGGTACTTCGGTCAGAGCGAGGATACCACAATGGATGCCCTTGTCTATGTTTAAGCGTCTATCTGCCAAAACGACGTGAATGTAGAGATTCTGCGGGGCGGCTGTGTTATACTGCGACGGGTCTTTGATATTTTCCGAGTTCCCTGTCGTTTGCGTGATTTCAGCATACCTGATGACCGTACTTGTTAAGGAAGATGAAAGAACAAATCACAAAGGTTTGGAGCACCAGCTTATCCGATAACGAATAGAATACCTTGTGCTTCAAGCCCGGATCAGAGTTTGCGTAGAGCAGATCTCCATAGTCGGTGCTATTCATCCACGAGGTAGGTGCTGGGAACTGCTTGTCACAGACCGTCAATTTGTTTCCCCAGTGAGGAAATCGACATTTGCTCAAAGACTGATTGAAGGTGGCACTTGCAGCATCGCCTTTGGTCTGATAGCTAAGCATGGCGACTGCTGGTTGGGTTCCATTTTCCACCACATCAACGTCAGTTTCCCAAATGAAAACATGGTACTGTGAAAGCGCCACCAGCCAAAAATAGAGACATATGAGGAGAAAAATGAGGATCTCGATGAGGACAGTCGACCAGCCTAGCTAGGTTAGTTATTGTATTGTTTGGGTCGCACGATGCGGGCTGTGCGAAGGAATACTAACGCTGGAATATAACGTATCTTTCTCTGGGACGCTGCAGTGATCGCATCTGGTGAAAGACCGGCTTCAGAACGGGAATCAGCTTTCTTGGCTTGAAAGGTTACCTTAGCGCGTATGTAGTAGGCAAAGATGCCAACCGCGGTCAGAAAACTGAATAGCAGACTGAAGATAAAGACCCATCCTTTAAATAGGTAAAGCGTCCTATTGGCATGTCGGTTGGACCAATAGTCGTCAATCCTAGTCACAAACAGACTATGTGCGCACAAAAGCGCAATATCCGCTGTAAGGCCTATTATCATGACGATCTCGACAATGCGTTTGTGGTACTGAGTCGGAATGCTTGAGCTGGACTGTGGGCTATTATTATTGTCATGATGAGACAAAAGTTGATCCGAGGAATGCATGCAATTCCCCGGCGGTGCTGATTGTTCTCGCACTGATCCCGAGGTACCATTCTGCTCTGGGCTCCCCGTTAGTACTGGTCTTTCTAAGGACGCTGGAGTATTGGCTGTCGCTGAGACTCCCCCGTGCACCGCTATGGGATTACCCTGTTCAGGGACGTTATCAGTTTTTTCATCGGTAGCAGAAACGTATGGTCATAAGTGGTCCTTGATGAACCCGCCATTGTGCTCAATTGAACTGACTCATTTGCCATATCAGAAATCTGAGCGCTCGAATTTATGTCTGCTTGAGAATGTAACAGCTGATGATGAAACTCCTGGCATATGAGCTATGGAGTTAAATACCCAAAGTCGTTTACCGAGAGGAGGAATGACCAGATGACCTGACACTTCATGCCGTAGCATGGTTTTTTTACGACTCTGATCCAGCAGCCGAAGATTTTATCCTAGTAGTGTTATTGGTTTTGTCAGCCCACAGTAAGGCTTTGACGGCAAATGCGGACACGAAGCAATCAATTTATTATAATCCGTATGCAAACCACAGGGTCTCTACAGCAATATTCAGAACCAGAAAATAGTAGAGTCGTGAGGAAACTCAGCATATCATTGAGCATTTGATTGCAACCACCGTTTGCTGCACCCCAGGACTCTGTTAAGATTGCCATTTTTCTCAATTTCTCCATAGCATCAACAAATGCTTGAAAGGCACCTGATTCGAAAGTATGACAAGTACCCGAGTACCCACCACCCCTATCATCGAAGTACTAGCATTCGTGGATCTCTATTAGTTCTATCTTTCGATGATACTAAGTTGGGGATATATGGGACCAATACATACCTTGTGTACATCGTACAAAATCTTGTTCGAGGAATCAGTGATGTGACGTAGACCGCGTTCAGAGTCTTGAACCCATCTGGTTATACCTTGCCAATCTGTGCCAGGTACAAGGATATATTGTGTACGTGCGACGGTCCTGATTCTGTTGACCACATACTGTATGGTCCGGCCCCATGTGAGAATGCCCAGATCATGTGCTGTGCATATTGTTAAAACCCAGCTTTGATTCAGGAAAGATTGCCGCACTGACGTTCATTCATAAGGCCAAAGATATGTAGCACATATCTTGTCAAACAAAAGAAGAATAGTTTGTTGTTGTAGGCTCAAAAACTACCACGTGATCATTGTGCCTGATAGTGTTGTGCAATTCGGATCCAGAGTTCCCCGAAATCATAATTATAGGACCGACGTGCATCTCGTCCATTGATCATGCCATTCAATCTGGCATAGTTATGCTGTATTTTGGTGATGAGAGTTTCCATGTCACAAAGGTGTGGGGGCCATGGAGGATTTGCACTGACAACATCCACAATCGCGTAACGTCCGCTCGCTGTGACAGCTTCTATCAAACTGTCAAGGACACCTAAGATCTTTGAATCAAGGTTAGATCCGATCTGAGGTTGAATATAGTTCCAGAGGACTGGAAAGCGGAAGAGGGTTGCGTTAAGCTCAAGCCAAGGTTGGAGGTCGGCAACAGTAGGGTAGCTAGGGCCGCCACCCAGCACTCGTCCATCCCCGTTCGAGTCACTCTGAAACGAGAGACCAGGAATATTAAAAATGATGATATAATCATTAGCATAGAACGCTCTAACGTCAGTTGGGGATCAACGTCGGCAGATTATGCAATGGAAATACTACCCATGCCACGCAAGATTGGTAAACAATCCAAAGTCTTGACTGGAAGCCAAGAATAGGAGACCCGCAAGAATACTCGAGCGTGATATGTATCTCACCATCTTCTAATTTTCGGTTAGAAGACAGGAACATAGAGCGCGTAGATGAGATGTTAGCTGTATGTGAGGCTGGTACAAAGCCCTGCTCACAATGTACTGGGGCAATCGGGCTGATTTAAATACCTTTGAGGGTTGTCAACTGTTGGTCCAGCCAGAATTGATGTCAGATCCATAGATGAGATACCAGTTGAAGACTTTGAGGAAATGAATTTGCATGATCGCATTTTAACGGGGAGGATCCATGCTTGTCGACTTTTGATTGTTGGTTTCGTCAGATGGCTCAGCTGTTGTCTGGAATTCTTTGATTTTACCCGACCCACTGGAACATACCGACCAAGCTTTCTGAAATATGGACTAATACGAAAACTCAATTTTGCCCGGTATCCATAGAACATCGCGTCTATTTCATAAAGAATATCATAAAGTCATCCGGCTTTGATGTGGGGATATGAGCTAGCTTAAGAGCCATTCACATTGCCAAGCCAGAGGTCGGGGGTCTTGCTATTCTGCAGTATCGCACACGCTTGCCATCAAGATAGCTTTGAAGCTGTCCAAGCTTAGGTTTCCCATCCGAACTTACATCCACGGTACTTCAGACATAAGAGAATGCTCTCGGCTGAGGTTTAGACCACATGTCTGATACGGCACCACAGTACAGATTGTTCCCACGGTATGAGACACGCTCTATCAGTAATCTAACCATTGAATTCACAAGATGAATGCGCAATAATGAAAGGGAAACGAAGTAGTTGGGTAGCCACCGGGTCCCCCGAGAAGCGGAATGGAGACAGCGCAGGTCAACCCGCTATGGCTGTGGTGTCAAGCAAGTGTGCCAATTCATAAGCATCATTAGCCAATTTGAGAGGACGAATATCCCGAGTTGCTTGGAGGCATTTTGATATCAGATTTCCAATGCACGTAGGATTATTACTCCCTATTTCGCTTTCTGGATATGTGTATACCAACCAGTTATGTGGTGATTTGACTGTAGGATTAGTCGATACAGGAAGATCGGCCGAAATTTTAAAGATTGTCTGTCAGCGTTAGATTTTCTCAAGTCAGCCGGGGATGCTACATTGCAATTAATTCAATGTGGAGGTAAGTAGACATCTGCCGGGAAGGGGCCTGGAAAAGGTGTTTGAGGAGGCTCTACGTGGACGTGACAGGGGATTTTAATGTATGGATGAGCAGGGTATGGCTGGCTAAGCATACAGATGGTCTTCCAGGGGCTCAGTCACTTCCAAGGATGTAAAGCAGCAATGCGATGCCACAGCCGGATCTTCCCCATCCTTCACGGCACCCCACATAACTGGCTTGAACGCTGCACCCGCATCGCCGGGGGGTGGATGACACGCCGCGCTGATGGCCACACTGCATCCGATGGCAAAGGGCATGGCTCGACACTTGTGCCGCCGGCCTGAGAGCACCCAGATTACCAGGAGAATGATGATGGTGAGGAACATCGCTATCTCGAGCGGAATAGTGGAGACGGCGCACGTCATCAGCACTGCAGCCTCTAGTGGCTGTCCGGCCAGATCGTACGGCAGGATCTGCACGTAGAACAGCCCTTCCGAGATGAAGAAGTGTATGAGGGTGAACGTCAGCAGCAGCGGGAGGCTGTACCGGTACGGAATGGCCAGATAGAAGGTGGATCGCTGCTGGCCCTCGGGGAACGAGACCCGCAGCGGCCGCCGGGCAACCGCGTAAGTGCTGTAGTCGACCGCGTGCAGCATCCGGGTCAGACAGTCGTTGAACGGCATGTAGAGCAACGAGATTAGAAACTGCGGGGTGTTGGCGAGCAGCTCCATCCCCACGTACGTAGTGGCGAGGTTCGTGAGCAGGGCGCCGGACTGCACAGAGCCAAAGCCCTTGATATTCCATACCTGCGTGATCCTGACGTCAGAATAGTCCAAGTTCCCCGCGGCCGCTTGGGCCTTTTCGGGAAGAATCTGCGTGATGGCGATGTACCCCCCAAGGAGTGGAAAGATTGACAGGACAACCCAGGCCTTGCACGCCTTCGACCACAGTTTGACTTTGGTCGAGGGCTTTCCGGGGTGAGGAGGAAGTGGCAGCGGCCCGCCTCTCACCTCGGGGTCGCACGAGTCTCCCCAAGGGCATGCCGTACTCGTCTTTACGGTTGACTTTGAGAGCATGCACCAGTTCACGGTCCATGAATCCGGGCGCTGCAGGTACGACGAAATCGCATCGCCAATGGTCAAGAACCGGTTGTGGCGGTCGATGTTCACCAAAAAGGTCATGCATACAACTTTGAGCAGAATGCAGATGACCAAGACCACTCCGATGGGCATGTGGTAGAGCAATCGACATTGATCGCCCGTCTTTTGGCTCAAGCAATGGTCGATAGGAAAGGCTAGTGTTCTATTCGGGGTCCCACCCGGGAGGAATCGCGATTGAGGAAACCAAAGCTCGTCCGAGCACGCGGCGGTGATTGTCGCATTTTGCGGAAAGGTCGCGTTGCTCCACGTTCGATCCCGGACATAGGTCTCAAGCTGCTCTGGGGTTGGATTGTGCTCAAGTTCCGCTTTCAGCTCCGCGATCTCACTCATGTTTAGTCCGGGCAAGTAGTCGTACTGCACCATCGCATCCGAAAATATTAGCTTATATTATCTTAGTTAAATATATGAAAGCTGGCGGGGGAAGTCTATGATTTTATTAGCCTATACTTAATTGAGACAAAGCCAACAAGAAGTTATGATTCTTGGCTACTACAGATCTAAAAGAGGATTAGTTTATATACAGTTTAGAGAATCTTCTAGTTATGTAGCTTACTGTAATATATAAGCAGAAGCCGCCCAGAAATTACTAACTAAATAAACTAAAGTAATCCAGGATTTATTAGAGTTTTCAGGTATATGTTCCGTAAGCAATCTGTAATTATCCCAGAGCATACACAAATCCTTTACATGCCGCCCTTATAAAAGCAGCGGCACCTCAATCAGGTAAGCAAACGCGAGTCACAGCAAAACAGTTCACTTATACACAAATGACGTTGGCGCCTCGCGCCTTGGGCATGTTAAACGAATCCGCCTTAGCCACAGACACGGCTGGTTATCGCTCCGCCTGGTTAGTTGATGTTGATTTGTTCGTGTTTAGAGGCCCCTGTGTCGCGTTTGGAGGTGAAGGTGCTCGGGACTCATAGGCTGTCATGGCCGCCACGTAGACGACGCTTAGCGCCATCAAGCTTGAAAAGCCAAAACTCCGTTATCATTGGGCATTGAAATGGATTATCATACCTGAACTCTGAGATCATCTGATACTACGCACAACTCTGAGGCGTAACGCAGCGATCTAACCCATGAGATTTTGTGCGTGGCAGCCAAATGTGGCAGCTCGGAGTGGGAGCTCCATCTTCTATTTTCCCTCGCCTCAAATTCTATCCAAAATTCAGTATCAGCGTGAGTACTATTGAGACAGCGAGATGCATGGCTCACCTTCATTTGTGATGCTGTGGCATATCGTTCGTTGGCCTGGTTGAGACGAATGGTCTTCGCCGCTGTCGGTCACACAGCTGACAATCATTCTATCGCTTCATCGGATGCAGTCAGAGAAACTCATGTAACCGTGACCCCCAACATGAAAGCATCAGCCAAAGGTGGATCAAAGTCGCGCTTTGTCGCAGCTAGAATGACTGATCTGGGGCGGGGAAAGAGAAGAAACGAGATCGGAGAGCCTCCGACAGGCGGGGTATTCGCATCTTCATCATCATCATCATTATAGAACTACCCCAGATCCCCACCCAAGCTTCACATCTGGCAACCACCACCAACACACGACCTCAAGAACAACCATCATGGTCCTCGACAAGCCCGAAAACAAAAACGTCCTCAAATCCTTCGACCTGAGCGGCAGAGTCGCCGCCATAACAGGTACTGCACCAACCTTCACCACCCCAACCACCAACACAAACAGTCCTCTCACAGACAATGATATAGGCGGCGCGCGAGGCATCGGCCTCGAAGTCTCAAAAGCCCTCGCAGAAGCCGGAGCCAACGTACGTCTCCCCTTCCCACCCAACCCAGCCCAGCCCAACCAACACCCACGCACCCCTCCTAACACCACCCCTAACCCCAAAAGATCGCGATAATCTACAACACCTCCCCAAGCGAAACCGCGAACGCCCTCGCCGCAACCCTAGCCTCAACCAACACCATAAAAGCGACAGCCTACCGCGCCGACGTCTCGAACCAAGCCTCGATCGCGTCCACCGTCGACCAAATCGCCGCCGACTTCGGGCAGCTGGACATCATCGTCGTGAACTCAGGGATCGTGTCCAACGTGCCAGCGGAGGAGTACACCCCGGAGCAATGGCGCGAGATCATGAAGGTCAATCTCGACGGGGCCTTCTGGACGGCGCAGGCCGCGGCCCGGATCTTCAAGGCCCAGGGTCGCGGGAATGTTATCTTCACGGCGTCGGTTAGCGCGAGCTTGGTGAATGTGCCGCAGAGGCAGGCTGCTGTATGTTCCACTCCTTCCCTTGTCTTTTACTATAGGGCTTTCTGTGTGGGGGCGTGTGAGGGATGTAGGCTGATGGCGGTGGGGCGGGTAGTATAACGCTTCCAAGGCCGGCGTCGTGCAATTGGCTAAGTGTCTGGCTGTTGAGTGGGTGGATTTCTGTCGCGTGAATTGCATATCGCCTGGTTTTATTGAGACGGAGATTCTGGATATCCATCCGCTGGAGTGGCGAGAGAAGTGGTTTAGTATGATCCCTGCGCAGCGGATGGCGGATGCGTATGAGTTGAAGGGGGTAAGTTTGGGGGTGGTTTTTTTTGTCTCTCGTGTTTAGGAGGGTTTACTTGTGGATGCTGATATTTTTCTGATGCGCTAGGCGTATGTGTTTTGCGCGTCGGATGCGTCGAGTTATATGACCGGGGCGAATCTGGTCATCGATGGTGGGTATACACTTCCATAAATTTTCAACGATGGGTAGGACTTGAAGGTTATTGCGCATGGTTAAAATTCTCTACGCTCGAGGAAGTCAACATTACATCCACCTTACGGGTTCCCAACGGAAGGCTCAGATATCTGCAATCGATTTACGTAATGACCGTACCGTAGCTTGATTTGAGTCTGCAGTCTGAAGCAAACGACATAGATACAACTTGGCAAACCCCTCCTAATCACTGCGGATTGATAACCCTCACAAGCACCGTCCACGTCCCCAAACAAAGCCACCTCACTTGCTGTTCGGATTATCACGCACAAACATCTTATCGCCTCGTTCGTAGTCTGCCAATCGAAGCTCCTGTCATCCAAGTCAGCTTCTTCACAAATCTTCCAAAGTACACAATATACATCATTTGGCTGCTCTGACCTCGGGGGAATAGTCTTTAAAGGTTGGCAAGAAGCAGATATGCATGGCGGTCACTGGATCGGGCGCATCAACAGTCACACACAGCCTATCGAAGGAGTTTCAGCCACGCATGTTCCAGGCAGTTCTACATCAAACACCCCATTCCCTGGAGCATTGTCTTCCGTTCCTGCAGAATAATCATAATGGAAAGAAAAGTAACATCGGTCCTACCAATCAACATTCTTGGTGCTCGGCGGTGTCAACTTGTCTTGAGGCTCCGTCTCAGGCTTAATATCCGAAGAGCCAGGATCTGCAGGGGAAGGCCTCATGGTAGGCTCTCCAGTAGCCTTAGGGTTGACCCCGAAAGTGTGCCCAAACGCTGAGTGACCAGCATTGCTCGGCTTCCTAGACTCTAGTTTGAACGAGCTACCATCGGTATTAGTTTTGGCGTCATGTGAGAGACCGGATGGTTTCAAGGCCGTTCCACCGAAAATGCTAGCTCCCGTTTTCGATGCTGCGAAGCTAGAAAACCCTCCAGACAGAGATGTTGCTGCAGGCTTCACCAAGCTTGCCATGCTGCCAGATGGTGTGCCAGGACTGGCTGGGTTATTCGGATTAATACCGGTCATGAACGATGCTTTTGGCTTTGCATCATTACTGAAAGAGGCCGCAAGACTCGGATGAACATTCTGATCTATCAATGCAAGGCTTCCGCTTGATGTAGTACGCACAGGGGCCTCTGTGCAACGTCTCTTGTTTGGAGTCATTGCGCCTTGTTCAGCCATTTCATCTTGTCTGAGGCGCGCCGATCTCCTTGCTGGAAGATCATCAATATCATTGAGTCACAAGAGAAGCCCCGAGTAACTTACCCTCATAGAATCTAGCAAGGGTTGACGGGACTCTGCTGTTGGCAGGATTTCTGCTCCATGATTTAATCGCATTCAGACCCGCCTTTAATTTGTCTAGTTCATGGGATATTCGTTTGTGATCCTCCTGATAGGACTCAGGCTCGCATGCGATTTCGGTCACTTCCTTGTCGCTCATTTCACTGATAGTCTGGGTTGTGAATATTTCTTCGAGAGGCGCTAGTAGACAATTTTCAATTCCGAGTGTGGCAACGTTATCGACGAAAGTCACGATTGCGGACTAATATCAGCGTAAAAGGGGTCAGCCGGAAAATAACTGAAGTATGAAGACATACAGCTAGGGAACTTCTACTCACATCATAATATGCTTGCATCTGATTGAGGATGTCGGCAGCAGTATTAGTGCTTCGCGGGTTGCGCATCGTCTGGCTAGCGGTGATTGTAGCCAGTGCTGTTAGATTAGCATCGACCACAGCAGTATCTGTAATCCTTGCCGCATTGACAATAGATCCCTGTTTCTCCACTCTTCGGATTCGACTGAGAAAGCTATTACCTATTGGCAGCGGATGTCCACGCTTCAAGTATGACATCAACTCTTGAAGCTTCGAAGATAACGCATCCTTCATATCGCATAATCGCGGTTCAAACACCTTGTTCATGAGCTGATCCACGGTACGAGCGTCTGCAAGACACTGGAGCAAGAGCTTTATGAAGTGGTGTACTGAGCCCCAAACCATTTCCATGTGCTGTTGAGCAAGACCTTCCCAAGGTTCGGACATCTCACAGAACAGAAACCCCACAGTTAGGTTGTTCATGTTTCCTGGAGGTTCTAAGCCTCTATTTCTGTGTGCGTGTTCGCTAATTCTTGCTTCAAGCATGGCACGATCAATATCGATTGGGGCCCAACCATCCAAATAGGGATTCAATTGCGTGGCGACATTTTCCGTTGTCCCGGTTTCCCATGGCTCCTGAATTCTCCAGCGACTACCTCGAAGATTCATCGCTTCAGCAAAACAGTCATTAAGATCTCGTATAGTAGCTCGGAATCGACGGAAGTCGTAAGCATTGTCAGAGATTTCGGAGGAACCGAAGAAATCGTCCAGATACACCCCATTCAAAGCTTGACCGACAATTCTCTCAAAGTCTCTGCTTATTCGGAAAAGATAGTTCCTCTGCTGATTTATTTCTGAGCGAGGAGGTCCCATCCCATCAAGCTTGGCTCGGAGATTAGCAATTTTAGTTTGAATATCGATAATGAGCCCTGGTATCTGGCTTTGAGCATGATTTGAGATGATATCACCTAGACGAGAACGTAGACAAATGGCACCAACGTATTCGCGAGGAACAGCCACCCAACGGGTATTGCTGAAGAAAGCCTTTTCTTTGCTATCCCTTTCCTCAATCCACACAGGCCGAGAATCATAGAACCAACAATGCAGAGCATGCCAGCCTAGCTGGAGAGATTTCTGATCATTTTGGATCAAGTCAATGTACTTCTTCTCCTGCTCGGAGTTGGGTTCCAGACAGTCTAGATGAGTTATGATACTCATTGTCCGCTCTTTCTTAGGGTCACACTCGCTTGCGAGCTCCAACACATTCTGTAGGTCGGACTTCTCCTCTGCTGATATGACGGCTAAAATGATACTCCGTGTATCCTCGAGATATCTTTTGGTCAAGCTCTTGATGATGTCTGTGTCTTCTTTCTTCGAAGGTAAAAGGCTAGGCAAGTCGACAATCTTCAGGTTAGGTGCGTATGGCTCAGATATCTCGACTTTGAGCACATCATCTGTAATCTGATGTTTATCCAAGCCTAGGTGCTCTTTAGCCAGCTCGAGTAGATTTGGAAGATAGAATGGTTGAGTGGATAGCGATGACTCGAAGCTGCGCAGTCTCTCAGTTCTTTCTGCGTCTGTGCACGACGGGCCAGGTTCAAGCGTTGCCTTGAAGGTGGATGTTGGCCCCCGACGGCGGATAACTTCTGTGGCGAACTGTGTGCAGCCCTCAACCTTGCCAGAGAAGTGAATGTGTGAGAGCGCTTCGAGGACAGAAGACTTCCCGCTGCCCTTGCTGCCACAGACGACCAGCTGCGGAAATTCGAAGTTCTTTATGGAGCTAATGGTGCGCAGTTCATCGAGTCCGTCCAAAAGTTTCGACTGCCGTGACTGTAGCTGCACGAAGGTACTGTTGTCTGACATTGTGACGAAGCAGGTGCAAAAGCTGTCAAATTGGGAGCGTAGAAGGTAGAATGAGGATGGATGGGTCGAAGGGGTATGAGACGAGATTGGAAAGAAGAATATGAGCTGAGACCTGAATTTTGCAGTAAGTGGAAGACAAACACAAGGGTAAGTTCGGGATGTGTCAAGAGGAAAGGTGGGTCATTTGGAGTTGTTTAGTGGCTGGTGGTTATGGCGAAGAGCGTGTTTGTGTTGCTGAAGATGTGTTGGTGGTAGAAGAAAAATGTCGTGATCCCAAGAGAGTAGTGGTACGGCAGTTTGAACACTTGCAGTACGACCGAGTAGTTTGCCTTGGATCTGACAACTTGTTTAGTAGGACAAGGAAGGTAATTCTAAGTCCACACGGCGGTCACGGGTTGGACTTGAAGACGTGAATCAAACCCATCATCTGCAATGAACGAAGGCCAACTGGGATTACAGGCTACCATGCCATTTATGGGTTGAGTTAGTATCCCCTCGGGGCACGTGCTGCCACAGTCTTGCAATATCATTTTACTTGTGCTTCATATCTGAGATAAAGGAACATGGTGTGGGTTGAGAATCACAGCATGGCGGGTCTTTCAAAGTATTATTATACTATTTCACATTTTGTATTCCGTTTGACCATGAATTTGAGATCAAATATGTGGTACAATGAATACAAGGACTATGATCTAGCTATGCAGGTATACATATACACGGATATCATATCAATCCAACACCGAATCCTGTTTACTCCAATAAAAGTACACATCAGGATACAACTTCGGACCGAGCCCCTCTGTACTTTGAAAATTAGTACATGCATCCTCTGGACTATCGGCCATCAAATGTCTCATTGCTGGTTGAAACAGCTCGTCGTCCCCAACCACTGAAGAGCCCTCCTCCGTTTGGCGGCTCCGTGGGTGCTTTGGCTATACCTAAGCTGGAGGACGATCGTCCAAGGAACGAATTTCGGGCCTCCGTCGGTTGGCCATTCCGCGACACCGCCTTGCGCAGTGCATCGAGCTTTCCCTTAACTTCTTCGAGTTCCTGTCGTGCCACTGCTTCCGCAGTCTTCGCGTTCACCAGTTCCAGAAGCAACGCTTCTTCCGCTGCTGGCTTGTTGTTCTCAGTTGCCAGCACTGACTGCAATCCCAGGCTACTGGACCGCTTGTTAAATGTGCTTTGCTGACTCTTCTGGCTCTTCTGCGAGTTGGTCCGCACCAATCTGAGTTCTCGCAGACCTGTACTCGTGTATCCTTCGCTGGTGTCGCTCGTAGGAGATCCATAGGACTCTGGTGGAGTATCCGAGGTACGAGTTTTGACGGTGCGCAGCTCGCGTACCATGCGTTCCAGGCGCTGTCGCTCCCGATAACTATCCTGGATCCGGCCACGCGCTTCTCGGAGCTGTTCCCGCAATGACGAGTTATCTTTGTCGATCTCGTCAATTCGTCGTGTGAGACCTGAGCATCGGCTGGCTTCTGTCGCATGCATCTCCTTCCAACGCTTGAGGTCATCCCGGAGTTGTTGCTTTGTCTGATCCATTGGGACATGCTTCGCGGATTCTACCGTGGCGAAGCGTGCGTCGGCTTTGTGAACCAAGTCCATTGGGGGCTCATCGCTGGTCCGTTTGATGTACTCCAACATTGACTTGGCCAGCGCTTGGTCTTCCTCACGCTCCTCACGCTCCTGCTGCAATTCGCGCGTCAGATCCGCATGTTGTCGTTGCAGATCACTAAGGGCCATTAACAGATCCTCAATCTGCGTGTGAAGGTCGCGGTCCTTGTGTTGCGACATTGCAGATTTCGCACGCGGCTTCGGCGCGTCCGTCGATAGCTCTGTCGGTGCAGTGCTAGCGTCGGATATCGACTCAACCGAGTTGAGTGTGGAGGTCATGCTTTGTTTAGACGCCGATCGCCGGATAGCCGCGCTAGCGGCGTTAGGGTTGAGATTAACCGACTTGGTGGAGTTGTGGGAGGAACCGGCCCAAAGCCGCCCAAGGAATCGTGAGGCTGTGGCTTGCATCTGGGGGAAAGAGATACCGGTCGGCACACCCTGGGACTGATTATAGCTGGCCTCCAAAGCTTGGAGACTCTCCTTCGTAACAAGCGATGTGAGGGAGACAAAATCGTTGACAAATTCGTCCGCATGACAAGCGTATCTGTAACTTATTAGCTAAGACGTCGAGGGCCCTCGTCAGCATTTTACGTACGTGTCCCAAAGACTTCTTGACAACAAAAGCTGCATGACGTCCTCAAATTCGGCACAAGCCATGATCTTCTTTTCGTTCCGCGTCATCAAAGAAAGAGCAACACGCATCAAAGTCTCGCAGGCTCCTTCAAGGAAGATCACATCGTAGATACGAAGAAGCATTGGGAGCGGACAAGCGACGGCAAAGAACGATAGAAACCACTGTGAGACATAAACCGGCTCCACATTGAGTGCCTCAAGGTGTGCGAATAAGCCTGGCCGTAAACGGGACAATAGGTTCTGGAATTGATAGACCCGAAGATGGAGGCCCGAAAGGTCCGGGAGGTAGCAAGTTCGCAGGTCATAATGGTCCATTAACCTGATGCCGTTAGTGTTAAGTTTGCATTCATGCGCGATGAAAGAAGCCTTACCGCACAAGCACGCAGAATGCTTCTGCATCCGTCATATGCATAAGCAAGGGACCAACGACAAAGCCTAATCCTTGACAGTAGCCGATCTTCGTGTCGTAGAGACTGAAACATTTCAGTACTCGACCAAGCATCTGTTGTCCTTCACCATTGGGGTCACGGAACATCTCCACGTTGGGGAAACTACGCCCTATATCCTTGCCGATCAGACCTTCATACGGACTTGTTTCGCCACATAGTCTCTGGTATTCATATAGCAATGTCGAGTCTCGGGCTCCTGCCAAGCTGGGCCACACGACACCACGCAGGGGAGGCGGGACACCACTTCTAATCTTGTTCGAAGTCAATGTCGGGAGCCGCTGAGCTGTTTGAGGATAGTCTGCGACCAGGGCTGCCCAGAATTCCAACTCGGTCATAGGCGGGGGAGGTAATTGCGAGTATCGGAGAGATGACCGGGGATCCTCGTCTATCAGGCGCTTAATTTGATGCAAAGACTGAGATCGGGACTGCCTTTGTGTCACTTGCTGGGCGTGGGACTTTTTCGGCAAGCCCGACTTGGGATTGGTCGCCAACGCATTGTTTTCCTGTTCAAGGCGTGCCAATAGAAGCGCGGTTGACTAGTTCATGTCAACCGGTGCACCACTTCGAGATATTCGTTCTGAGATACATACCTCGTCTGATCCCTCACAACGAGGCTCCTGCTCTTCCGACTTCTCGAGTTCCTCCCAGTCTACCGCATCATCTTGTCGATCATGTTCCCCACTCCTGCGGGATCGAGTCGAGCTGGTTTCATCGCGATATGCGACTGGCTGTAGCTCGAATATCTGTGGGTCTTGGGTTGGTGTGGTCCTTGCGTCAGTCTCTTCGTCGCTTGAGTTCTCGCTTGTTGGCGTAGTCACGTCGATCGGGGTGGGAGGAATGTCTAGCGTCCGCCAGTCGGGTTGTGTGTCTTCTGAGTTGGAAGTCAACGGTACGGTCACCATGGAATCGGTGTCATGCGACACCGTATGTGTCGAGTCCGAATGGACATGAGTTGGAATTTTATCGGAGCTCTCGACGGCCATTGTGACTCTTTGATTTGTGATTATGATAGTTTTCTCACAGACCCCGTCGGTACATTCCTCGAAAAGATCTAGCCGGCAGGGGGATTGGCACAGAGGGGGTTGGTTTGTTGATGGGCGCGACAGAAGCGGTGGGGTTAGTTCGAAAGGGAGACGCGATAAGGAAGATGGACAGTCGGAAGAGGGGCCGTCAATGGTGACAGCATATCTTGCGTGGATCGGTTTGGTGCTTCTGCTGTTTGTTTGATTCGAGGTGAACAATCGCCTGGTCTGGTCGTTTGCGTGATTGTAATGGGTGTCAGAGGAAAGGATGGAGGGGAAGAGAAAGTCCAGAGGAAAAAAGAGCAGGGAGAAATAAAAAGGGACACGGCGTTATTTTGGGGGGGGGGGGGGGGGAAGACGAGGGGAGGTTTCAGGGCCAGGAATTGGGGAACGAGCAAGAGAGTGAGTCGCGATGAAATGGTTTAGTGTTAGTGTCGGCCACTAGCAACGCTTACACTCTTGCCTCCCCCTCCTCCATTCAGGGGCCGCCGTCGCTTTTTGAGGGCATCCACCGAGCCTCGCCCCGTCGATCGCTTGCCAATAATCATCCTCCCTATCAGCCAGCAGCAGCACGACGGGCGGAATTATGCGCTGTTTGCCCACTCACTCATTCATACTTTCTATAATATACTGTACAGACCGGGCATTTGTTGACTGGCATGGAGTCTGATAGCTGTCCGCATCGTGAACCATGGAAAGTGTCTAATTTAACCCCAACCCCCGTTCCTTGTTCGAAATGGGCACTAAACTACCTAGTCTATAGGTATGAACAATTCTTGCCCTATTTGATTATCCATCATCGCACTCTTCCAGGTTCCCGTGACCCTAGTCTGTTCTACTCGGCAGCCAACCGATCCAACTTCTAGGACCCATATGACTGCAGAGGTATCATCGCCTGGGCGATTGATCCACTATCACTCTGCTAGTACTGCAGATGACGGGCAGAAAAATGGAACAGAGGAAGCATAGACACCACTGATTCGATAAGATGATCTGACCCAACATCAAACACTCAACTGCGACATCGACCGCAGCAGGTTGGTCATCTTCAGTGTAGGCATGTTGGTGTGAATTTCACATGCTGACGGAAAGAACTGGAAGAGACTACCCCTGAATGTAATTCTCAAACATGGTTTAATGTGTTTCAAGTGCCCGAGAGAGCATCAAGTCAAAATGTGATTGGATAACACCTGAGCAAAGAGTGGTATGATTGGTCTTGGCGATATCGGTTTGAGTCTGCTTACCATACGTTACCGCCGAGATTCCGTCAGGGTCCGAAACGTCCACAGATTCTAGAAGGCGTGCGGATAATTCGGGCCAGGGCCAGGAAGGGCATGGTGGTAGAACCAAGTAAGCTTGGTGTCACGACTGACTCACGATGTTGTCTCTGTTTATAGATCATTGAGATCCACTCTTCGAGGTCATGGACTGCGTCGTGCAGGCAGTACTCAATAGAACACACTTCACATTGCTGAAGACTAATCCGAGATTTTGGGTCTGATAACCTGGTGCGCATATATGTATTGTGCACCCAGCCCCGGCGTCACCCCCAGCTGAGGTATCAACAGTCCTTGCACCTTCCAATATAATACAGTAAATCGCCTTTAAGATTAAGTTGAATCCGTATCAAGGTAGAGCTAAGGGTTGTGTGACTGATTGAATCAAGTTACTTCGTAGAATGACTGATAAGTTGGACTTTTTTGGCCAGCTCAAGCGTGGCAGCTAGCGGTTGTCTAGGGAGACTCCTCATCTCAGCACTGACATCTGCCAACCCGAAAGGAACTTTAATATGCAACACAGGGAGATCAAAATCTCGCGTGGCCTTCTTCAAGGGGAGAAGCACACAAAGCACCTTTAAAGCGACTCCTCGCTTTGTGCTAAGAATAACCAGTGGTTGAGTGAATGACGGGCTGATTTCCCTTTCCCCGCGCCTGGTCCAATGGTCCTTGCATGTTTTGGTCGCTCCTTCCGCTTTGGGGCTCAAGTGTTTGTGATTTACTCTTTTAGGTGAAGCGGGCGCCACTCGCGGGGCGGACCAACCTTGATCCGCACCGGTCGCCGTCAGTTTCTTTGAAACGCCTCTCAATTGCATCCAGCGCGTCAACAAAGAAGGACGACAACCAACTTAACACGGTCGACAACAAAGGTAACCAGTTGGGGGACAGGTTACTCCTTCATAACACCTATCTATCCCCTCTTGTATATCCCCTAGCCTTCGCCTGCGAGGCTTCCCCTGTACTAACTCTCCTCGTTCCCCTATCTTCTTGTCACTCTTTGCCATCCTTTTCCCTCGTTCGCTCTTTTTCACACGCGCGCCCAGCGTTTTCTCCCCACAATGGATGATTCCATGGTGGAGTCCGTCTTCGAGGACGATGGAAGTTCAGACTTCGCCCCCGAACCCGCTCCTGTATGCGTCGACCCTGTACCAATTCGTCGTCCGAGTTACTGATGATTACGTGAATGCGATACAGAAACCCAAAGCCAAGTCGGCTCCTAAAAAGGCCGCAGCTACCAAAGCAGCGACTAAAAAGCTCACTCAGACCAAATTAACGGCCAAATCCGCAGCGAAAGCGGCACCCAAGAAACGAACCAAGCCTGACAGCGACGATGACATGGAAGACGCTGACCGCATGTCCGATATCGATTCCATCATGTCTCACACTCCACCTAAGAAGGCCAAGAAAGCACCCGCTGCTTCGAAGAAAGGCGGGAACAAGCCGCTTGCCGACGTTGAGAACGAGTCGTTTGGAAAGGCCGATTCCGCGGAGGCCCCTGATGGTGTGGCTGTTGACGCATCAGAGAAGTTCCAGAGGGTGAGGCCTGGTTATAACTTGGCGGGTTTAAACACCGTAGCTGACTCTTGGCTTACCAGCTTAATCCCCGCGAACACATCCTTCTACGTCCCGATACCTATGTCGGATCCGTCGAACGCACAGAGCAGCAAATGTGGGTCTACAACTCAGAAATGGATGGAATGGAATATCGTGAGGTCTCGTTCGTTCCAGGTCTCTACAAGATTTTTGACGAAATCGTGGTGAACGCCGCCGACAACAAACAAAATGACGACAGCATGGATGAAATTCGCGTGACGGTCAACCGGGAAGCAGGTGAAATCAGTGTGTGGAATAACGGCAATGGTATCCCCATCGAATGGCACAAAACTGAGGATATGTACATCCCGCAGCTGATTTTCGGCAATCTTTTGACCTCGTCCAACTACAACGACGACCAGCAGAAGGTCACAGGTGGTCGTAACGGTTACGGTGCTAAGCTCTGTAACGTCTTCTCCACCGAGTTCATTTTGGAGACTCAGGACTCGCGCCAGAAGAAGAGATACAAGCAGACATGGACCAACAACATGATGAACTGTGGAAAGCCTAAAATTACAGACGCCAAGGGTGAAGACTACACCAAAGTTACATTCAAGCCTGACTTTGCCAAGTTCGGAATGACTGGCATGGATGATGATTTCGAGGCGCTTGTCAAACGTCGTGTTTATGACTTGGCTGGAACCGCGAAGGTGGCTGTCAAGTTGAATGGAACACGCGTTCCTGTGCGAAACTTCAAGAAGTATATGGAGATGTACACCAAGGCTATCAGGAGAGAGCGAGGCGAAGAGGGTGCGGGAACCAAAGATGAGATCATCACCTGCAGCCCGGATCCTCGCTGGGAGGTCGGTTTTGCTGTCTCTGATGGCTCTTTCCAGCAAGTGTCGTTTGTCAATTCCATTGCAACCACCCAAGGAGGTACACACGTGAACTACATCGCAGATCAGATTTGTAACAAGCTGTCGGAAACCGTCAAGAAGAAGAACAAGAACGGTGCTACTCTGAAGCCAGCTCAGATCCGCAATCACATTTTCATCTTTGTCAACGCACTGATTGTCAACCCCGCTTTCACCTCCCAGACCAAGGAACAACTTACGACCAAAACGTCTCAATTCGGTAGCAAATGCGTTCTTGAAGAAGATTTCTATAAGAAAATCCTCAAAACTGAAGTGATGAATAACATTCTGCACTTCGCCCAGCAGAAGGCTGATCAGATGTTGAAAAAAAGCGACGGTGGTCGGCGCAGTCGCATGAACAATCCCAAGTTGACGGACGCCAACAAGGCTGGCACGAAGGACGGTCACCACTGTACACTGATCCTGACTGAGGGTGAATCCGCCAAGGGTTTGGCCGTGGCTGGACGATCAGTTGTTGGGCCCGACCTGTTCGGTGTCTTCCCGCTTCGAGGAAAGCTGCTCAACGTGCGTGATGCGTCCTTCGATCAGATCTCGAAGAACGCGGAAATTCAGAATATCAAGAATTTTATCGGCCTCCAACATAAAAAGGAATACACCGACACCCGCGGCCTTCGGTATGGCCACTTGATGATCATGACTGATCAGGATCACGACGGTAGTCACATCAAGGGTTTGCTCATCAATTTCCTCCAAGCTCAATTTCCAAGTCTGCTGAAAATTCCTGAGTTCCTCATCGAGTTCATCACTCCCATTGTGAAGGTGTGGAAGGGTGATCCCAAGAATCCCACCAAACAACGCTCTTTCTTCACCATGCCGGAATATGAGGCGTGGAGAGAAGAGCACAAGCATGAACGCGGCTGGGACCACAAGTACTACAAGGGTCTGGGTACCAGCACCACTGAGGATGCTCAGGTCTACTTCCGTGACCTCGACCGTCACTTGAAGGAATTCCACACTTTGCAAGATAATGAGGCTCAGCTCATCGAACTTGCTTTTTCCAAGAAGAAGGCCGATGAACGAAAGGAATGGCTCCGGCAGTTCAAGCCTGGAACGTTCCTCGATCACACGGTTTCCAAAATCACGTATACCGACTTCATCAACAAGGAGCTTATTTTGTTCAGCATGGCAGATAACATTCGCTCTATCCCTTCGGTTGTTGATGGTCTCAAGCCTGGTCAGCGCAAGGTCTTGTACACTTGTTTCCGCAAGAATTTGAAGAAGGATATGAAAGTTGTCGAGCTTGCTGGTCACGTTTCAGGCGCGACTGCGTACCATCACGGTGATGCATCCTTACAGCAGACCATTGTCGGTCTAGCACAGACTTTCGTCGGTTCCAACAACATCAACGTCTTGGAGCCTAGTGGTAACTTCGGTAGTCGTCTCCAGGGTGGATCCGACTGCGCTAGCGCGCGTTATATCTACACTCGACTTTCTCCGTTTGCTCGCCGTGTCTTCCACCAAGCGGACGAGCCTCTCCTGACATACAATGTCGATGACGGAGCTACGATCGAGCCGGAGACCTATGTGCCAGTTGTCCCTATGATTCTCATCAACGGCGCTGATGGTATTGGCACAGGTTGGAGTTCTTCTATCCCCAACTATAATCCGGAGGACATTGTGGACAATCTGAAGCGTATGATGGACGGTGAGCCGACCAAGCCTATGCAACCTTGGTTCCGTGGCTTTACTGGCGAGGTCACCGACATCGGTGGCGATCGATTCAAATTCAGCGGAGTCATCAAGGAAACTGGGGAGAAGGAAGTGGAAATTACGGAACTCCCTATCCGTACTTGGACTCAGGACTTCAAAGACAAATTGGAAGACATCATCAAGGCCGACAAGACACCCTCTTTTATCAAGGACTACAAGGACTACAACACTCACACCAAGGTTCATTTCGTCATCCAGCTAGACGAAAAGAATATGAAGGCCGCCTTGTCAGAAGGGTTGGAAGAAAAATTCAAGCTTTCGAAGACCGTTGCCACGACTAATCTAGTTGCCTTCGATCCCGAGGGCCGGATCACGAAGTATGCTACAGTCGATGATATTCTCAAGGAGTTCTATGCCGTTCGGCTCAAGTTCTACGAGCGACGCAAGCAACACCAGCTTTCGGAGCTGCAAAAGGATTTGGATAGACTCAGCAATCAGGCGCGCTTCGTTCAGATGATCATCGATGGGGACTTGGTCGTCTCAAAGAAGAAGAAGTCTGTTCTCGTTCTCGAATTGAAGGACAAGGGTTTCAAGCCGTTCCCCAAGGTTGTTCAGGCCGTCAAGGCAGGCGAGACTGAGCCAGCTCTTGAGGATGAAGAGGAGGCAGTCGACGATACGGACGCTGACAGTCTTTCCAATGCCTACGATTATCTGCTCGGCATGGCCATCTGGTCTTTGACACAGGAGCGTGTGGAGAAGCTCCGCAAACAAATTGGTGACAAAGAGTTGGAAGTTGACACATTGATCAAGTTGTCCAAGGAGGACATCTGGAGAAAGGATCTGGACGATTTCATCAACGAGTGGCGATTCCAGCTGGAGGACGAAGCCCGCCGTGAGCGCAAGGTCATGCAGATGGGTCGTCGTGCCTCGTCCAAGTTGATGACTGCCGCCCGTGGACCCGTGGGTCGCAAGCGCAAGGCAGCTCTGGACGAGGACCCAGATGACGAAGATTTTGCTGCGCCGAAGACTAAGAAAGCAGCAGCGAAGAAGGCCGCACCCAAGGGAACTTTGCATAATTTCTTGAGCAAGTCACCTGCTAAACCCGCGGCGAAGCCAATCGACGATGACTCCGACGATGATTTCTTGGAGGTCCTTCCCAAGAAGAGCCGCGGTGGAGTGAAATCTGAATCTGTCGAGAAGGAAGACCCAATTTCTGGCGATTCTGACGTCGAAGTCTTGCCTAAGAAGAGCCGAGCCACTTCCAAGGCCTCCGCTAGGGTGAAGTCTGAAGACCCTGAAAGCTCCGAAGTCAAAGAAGCCCCCAAGCGCGGACGGAAAGCCAAGTCGAAGCCTGCGGATGACGGTGACGACGACCTAGACGACGATGCCTTCTTGGAAATTGCCAAGGCTCAGGCTTCTGAGGCCGCGAAGTCTTCCCCGAAACCGGCGCGGGCGGCTCGCAAAGCAACCAAGTACACGGCCTTAAGTGATTCGGACAGTGACAACTTAGATGATCTGCTGGGAGACGTGAGCAAGATGGTGAAGGGAATCGGTGGCACCGCGGGCGGGTCCACATCGGATTCTCTTCAGCTGTTCTCGGAGCGGTCCGGACCTGGCAGCCGCTCAGGACTGCAGAGTAGCACCAAGCCGGCCAAGGCCTCTCCTGACTTTGATGCGGACGAGACCGACTACAGCAAGCTGGTCCCCCAGGGCTCGCCGCGGCGGTCCCTTCAAGTGAAGTCAAAGGATCCCGTCACTGTTCTGGATGATAGCGAAGAGGAAGAGCCTGTGAAGCCAGTAGCTGCTAAGGCGAAGCCGGCCGCCAGGGGTAAGGCTGCTGCATCAACTGCGGCGAAACCGGCAGCTAAGCCGCGTGGTCGCCCGAAGAAGGATGCTACCACCAAGGCCGCAGCTGCAGCACCCACAAAGCAGACGACACTATCCCCTGCTGCCAAGGCGTATGCTTCTAAGCAGGCGAAGTCTAGCGCTGCTGCGAAGAAGAAGCAGTTGGCGGATGATCTGTCGGACGATGATATCGATGCCATGGCCAATGACATTCTGGACTCGCCGGCGGCTCCCGTCAGTCGGCCTTCGCGACGCACGGCAACCACAAAGAAGAAAACGTATGTGATTGATGATGATGATGATAGCGATGATATTGTTGGGGGAGGTAATGACTCGGGGGAAGACTTCGAAGATAGCGAGTGAGTGGTGGGCATGCAGGAGGGATCTCGCGATGCTGAGCGTCTAAGGGGATTTCTGGCTCCGTCGGTGCAGTAGCCCTCTTCGTTGTCCTTTCTTTCTTTTTCATTATCATTTCTGTTCTCATTTCTTTACAACTGGATCTATATTCTTTGTTTATTAATAGGATGTGTTTATAAATTGCGATCGGGAAGAGATATTCCTTGCAGGCGTTTTTGTGTATCTGATGGGTCGGTCGATCCACTCACTCTAGTTCAAGGTTGGATGGAAACGAAGCGGAATGGACCGACATTTTCTACTGGTGACTTTGCAAATTTCACCCTCGTAAGGCCGTAAGGCGACAGTCCCGGACTTCAGGCCGAGCTCCGGCAGCCCCTCATCTTTCATAGGCGGACTATAGTTCCTGACCGGGATAGTTCGAGGAGTTAGGACTTAGTTCCCTTGTCTGGTCGTCCAGGAAGTGGATCTGGTGGGTCGCAGGACGGCGTTCCTCCGGTCTTGAGCCAGCTTTTGCGCTCGATTTCTCACTTCTCATCACCAGCCATTAATCAGCGTCGCCTTTGGCGGTGCTAACCATGTCGTCAGGGTCGATCTCTCGATTTCCATTTTTCAGCCGACCTTCCTCTCTGTCCTTTTGGTGCTGCAAGTCCACCTGTAACGGCGTTTCGTCTGTCTTACTGACCTCTCTCCCATGCAGGCCTACCTTCAGTATCGCCGCATCGGCCAAGCCGTGCGCAAACAGCTCGAAGAAGATTATCCGGATTTTCTCCGAGCAGAAAAGACCGATGATCTGTCCAGGGGGCATGCTGCGGGCAACAGTGTTGGCTGGAACGCACAGCAGCAGCGGCCTTACGTTCAATTGCCCGGAGTGCAGCTGAAGGAGGTTATCGAAAATGACGGAACCGCCTCGTCCATTCTCCTTGTCGAATGGGAACACGATCAAGATCCCGTCAACCCCCGCAACTACAGTCTCGCCTCACGAATCTCAGCGACACTGCTTGTGACTGCCCTGGCGTTTGCTGTGGGATGTGCGTCGTCCATCGAATCTGGTGTTATGCCCCAGAATGCCGCGGCGTTCCATGTCAGTGATGTCGTCGCCTCTCTCGCGACGGGCACATACTTGCTTGGATTTGCAACTGGTTCGTTGGTGTCTGGTCCTATGTCGGAGGTTGTTGGCCGAAATGCCGTCTACACGGGGTCTCTCACCCTGTTCATGATCTTCATTATGGCCTCCGGACTGGCACCGAATATCGGCGCGCAGTTGGCCTTTCGGTTTCTCGCCGGGGTCTTTGGCTGCCCTCCGTTGACTTGCGCAGGAGGGACCATCGCTGATTTGTGGAATCCTTTGGAAAAGACTCTTACGTTTCCTCTTTATGCTATCTTATCGTTTGGGGGGCCTGTTCTCGGTCCAGTAATTGCCTCCTACATGGGCGAAGGCACGCTCTCCTGGCGGTGGACGAATTGGATCATCCTAATCCTTGCCGGCTTCATCTTTGCATTAATCCTTCTGTTCCAGCCAGAAACCTACGGCCCTCTCTTACTCAAATGGAAGGCGCGCCATCTTCGGAACATCACGCGTGATCCTCGCTATAAATCAGCCATGGATCTCCAGAAAACCGCTCTGCTGTCTAGAATCAGTCATGCGTGCATCCGCCAGTTTAGCCTTACCATCCATGAGCCTATTATCCTGTTGATTTCTCTTTACATGACTGTGATTTACATTGTACTGTTCACCTTCTTCGATGGATATACCTACATCTTCTCCGACATTCATGGTCTCTCGCAGGGCCTCACAAACATCGTCTGGGTAGCGATGTACGTGGGGATCTGTCTCGCAGGCATCTTCGTCCCGATCATCTACCGCTGGACGAAGCGTGAATTCGAGCAAGCCGCCCTCTCACACTCTTCTTCTTCCTCTTCCTCGTCATCATCCGACGACGAACGGATCGATCCCAACCCGAACAATCCACACGAACAATCCGAACCCACCTCGGACAAGAAGGTCCACCGCCATCACCACCACGCACCACGTCCCGAGAACCGTCTCTGGTTCTCCATGATCGGCAGCCCGTTCATTCCCATCAGCCTCTTCTGGATGGGCTGGACGTCCTACTCGAGCGTATCGATCTGGTCGCCGATCGTAGCGTCCGCCGTCTTCGGGTTCGGCACCATCACGGTGTTCATTTCCTCGTACATGTACGTCATCGACGCATACGACATCTACGCCGCGTCCGCACTGGGCTTCATGACGGTGTCGCGCTACTGCGCCGCCGGAGGGATGACGGTCGTCGGAGTGCCGTTTTACCAGAACATGGGCGTCCACTGGACCCTGACTATCCTGGGAGCCATCAGCGCGCTGCTGGTCCCGGTGCCGTACGGGTTCTACCGCTGGGGCGAGAAGATCCGGGGGTGGAGTCGCTTCGCTGTTTAACGGCCTTGCATATGCTGCTCGTTTCGTTGGTCGGTCAAAATAGACTGCGGGGGTATACGTATGTATGCCTGTATGTTTTCTCACCATGTCGTACAAACACCCTACTCCGCCACCGCCACACCCAGCTCGGGAAGTATCTACGGTAGCTAGCTTCGGCCGTGCGTCCTCCTCGCAGCAAGCTGTTTGTCACTCCGGCTGCCCGTTTGTTGTGGATTGCTTGTTGCAAGTTTACTCCCCGCATGCCTAGGCCCGGTTCCTTTCTCCTCTCTTCCGGTTGAACCAAGCCAGAGGACGATGGTACCACTGACCGAGTCTCGAACTCGAGTGTTTCACGAGTAATAAATGACTATAGTTATAGCAAGAAGATAGATACACTAGACAGAACCGCACAGCAAATAAATAATCCACAATCTATAGCCCATACACAAACTTACTATCATGCATATCATACACCCATGTAACCTAAACTCCATCGGAAATAGTACTCCCGTTTAGACCGAACCAAGAACAAACGTGAAAACCGATCCGCAAAGAACCCACAACCCGAGAAAACAACAATCAGAACAGCTGTTCGAGTGAACGAGACAGGCACGATGGCTTGCACTTCAGCCCAAACCGGCAGCTCAATCCCCTAGATAAGATTGCTTTAATTCTATCACCCGTAAAGACAGTCAGCGCTCACTCCTCCACTAAACCCAAGAAATCACCCAGGTGGGTGGGTAGTGTAGCGTAGCGTAGCATAGCAGTTTTCCATTGCAGGTACTGTACATACGATAAACACTCTCGATGATCAACAGCAAAGCAGCTAGCCAGCTAGCCAGCCAGGCAGTCTATCCGGGATCCTTCGCATGCGTTGCGCTGATGAAAATAGTCCTGCGCTGGGGCGACTAGTATTGTTGTTTATATAGCAGGAGCAGGAGCAGAGTCTATCGGCTTGTTCCAAGACGAGCTAGAGTTTGCTGGGCGGATGGTTACTATACCGTGGACATCTAGTACCTCCTTACATCAGTCTGGCGAGGATTTCCACTTTGGTGGGAGGGTAATGACTTTGCTTTGCGCGGAGGGTGGATCTATTCTTGCGGATGTAGAGTATCTATGCTATTGACTGCTTATAGACGGGTGCAACAGACCTGCGCTGTTGCGAAGTTCTTTGGACGGGTGATTTGCTGGGTTAGCTGACTGAAAAAAATGGGAGAGAGAGGTTAGATTACATCCTCATGTCTTTCGATTTTCAAATATGTCCTGATTGAACATTTCTTCATTTTTGCGATGCTAATAATCGCCACTCCCGAGATGAATACACCAGAGATAACAAAAGATCAACAATCCCGCCAACACCATGCTAAATTCCCGTCTCCGAATTCGCTAACAGGTAAGGAATCATCCGATGGAAGAAAGAGAATCCTGTGGATAGACAGACACGTAGGACCACGGCTCAAAGGACGCTCCACGGGCCTATACTGTACCTACAGCCAGCATAGGTATAAAGCAGTTGTCTACTGGTCAGCTCAATGGGGCGCCCTCTGATCAAGATGCGTGGCAACGGCAGGACCCTCTCGACGTGTTCCCTGTCTGTTCAGGAGCAACAAGGACAGAGCAGTGTCAAGCTCCTCATCCGTATAGTGACGAAGGATCAGATAGAGATAGATCGCCCTCTCGTCACCGTGAGCGAGAACATCTGCGATATCTGTTTCCGAGTGATGACGGGGGCCCCATGAGAAAGGGTCCCCTCTTTTGTTGCTGGGAATTAAGGCAGTTGCAATCTCAGTCTCCGGGCAATGATGGGTAGTCCATGGTGAAGGACCCTCCCTCTCGTCACCGTCAGCGTCGATCATCACCATGTCCGTGTCCTCTTTGTCTCCCTTCGTTGTCCTGGTGTTGGTGACCTCGGCCGTGGGCATCGTTTGGAAGCGCTCGCTGCTGGGGTTCGCACTTTCCGAGGCTTGGTGAGTGAGCGTGGTCTGGGTCGGCGGGGAGGTGGGAGGGGTCGCCTGCTGTAGTTGCGGGGTGTTGAGCGCTGTGAAGGTCTGGAAGGAAACGGGCGTCGAGCAGTTGGAGTTTCGGAGGGAGGGGAGATCGCTCCAACTTTGTGAGAAGATGGATGTGAGAAAGATGCCATGACAGACTCAAATTGCTATCAAAGTGGGTGTGTTAGACGTACCTGTTGTCCTCCCTATCTTGCACACTGGGGCTGGAACAAGATGCTGGCCTAGGAAGCTGGAGTTTGCGATACTCCTTCCCTCTGATGGCTTCCTGGCGAACGATCTCCCTGTCGATCTTCCAGGATTCATATCCGGGCTGTCCTGGCCGGATACATTCCGAAGGGAAGTCGGGTCCGAAAATCGGCACGAGGACATATCGCAGCTCGAAGAACCAGTTTTTGGCAAGGGCTTTGACGCATTCGAAGGGCATCCAATATCCTAGCCTAAGATATTAGCTGGCGATCACGAACAGCGAACAGCGCAATTACCTTGGGTGGCGAGGGTTCCGCCGGTGATGTTGTAGGAAAGGTCCTTGAGGCCGGGGTTCGCGTCGAGGAATTTTTTGGGAGCCGTCTGCAAGCGTGAGAAGAAGTTAGCCGCGGCGATAATGTGGCAAGCTAAGTATATTACCTTTGCGAGATTGTTGCACTTGAAGAGGTGTGTCACGCGAATACGCCCACTGATGTAGTCCCATAACACGTAACGAGCCACACCACGCCATAAAAACTGATACGCGAAGACTATACATGGTCAGAATTCTGTTCTCCATTTGAATGTTATCGTCTTACCTCTGAAGTCATCACGTCCTGTTTTGTCATTGAACTCCCTCTTGTCGCTGCGGTATAGATAGGTATGTGCATAGTCCATGAGCTTGCCCTGGGGGTAGATGCAATGCTCCTCATAGAATTCGGCGCAGGTCTCGTAAGGAGGATAGTTTACTGGGCCTTGGGGTGTGCCGGGTTCGAACTTGGGAGTGTCTTTGCCGCGTTTTGGACTGTCTGGCACAAGGGTCTTCATGGTGTTTGTTCGGCTGACCGAGACTGGACTAGTGAAATAGGTTCCACTTGATTCAGGCTCAGAGTTACACAAAGAGCTTTTGGGAAGCATGAGCTTGGAGGAGAGAGGAAAGAAAGTTGTGCTGAAGAAAATGGAGGGGAGGAGTGGTTCCCAGCCAAGGGAAATTCAACGGCTTAAGTAGTCAAGGAGAGGAGTAGAGAAGTGAAAGTCGTAATGGTGAAGATGACGGGAAGAAAAAGCTCACAACCTGGGGAAAGCTGGGGCTTAAATAGCCAGGGAAAGCAGTAGAGCAGAGAAACCCACAATCTGAGCAGAAAATGTGGCGGGTGCTTGAGAAAAGCTGCAGCGGCAACAGGTCGCCCAAACGGGACTTGGAGCATAAGTCGGGATATTAGGAAGACGATGGCGTGGATCTAGCTGGTTTCATTCTCAGCCTTGAAGAAGACAACGTGGATGCAGAACCAAAGGTCATCGTCGATTGGACACTCAGAGTTGCGCACCCGACCCCAGTTGCAAGTATCTTGATCTCAACGAGGAGCCGTCTGGGGAACTTTGTCCCACCTCTGCCAGCTTCTTGGATTCCATTAGCTAGACCCCTAACAATCCAGATTGTGACACTATTGTAGCACCCTGACAGGGTAATAAGTCCATCTTCTTGCTCGAGATCGGACTGCCAAAGACTCGATCTTGACGGGCGACACTGGTCGGCTGGCGGCATCAAACGGTCTCAAAACGGTCACAGCTGCGTGAGTAAAGAGACTTCTGGGGGCCAGACGCCGCGGAAGGGAATAGGAGTAACTTCCACCTCCAAAATGTCTCACGCGCGATCGGATCTGTCAAAAATCCCCTCCCAGCAGAAACTCTTTCACTAATTTCCATGATGATTTACCTCCCATCTCGGTATGAAGGTCATCCATGTCCTCTTTCCTAGTCGGTAACACATCCGTCAGCAATCGTAAACTCCATAAACCGAGCTTCCCCTGCGATTGTGAGACCCAAGCGGCAGGTGTACCTTGGCAGTTTATGGTCTTGTTGCAGCTAATTTTCTGCCTACAACCTGATGATTTGTGTAGCTCGGGCGTGCGGGTTGGATGTTCCCGTTAGCATAGCCTCTCAGAACGAGCCGATCGTACGCCGGGGCCTTGGTGCTGATCCAGAGTCATTCGGTGCTATTTCGTGCCGGCTTTCTGGGAGCGGGAAATGGCATTCGTCGGCGCTCTCAAGCCTCTCGCGTTGTGGATTGAACTAAGAAGAAAAAAAAAGGTCTGGAAGGCAATCGAACGCGTCGCTCAGTAGCCTGGCCGCCATGTTCTTCTCTGAAAAAAAAGAAACATGGGCGAGGGTGTTGAATGGAGAGGTTTGTGGTGGTGGGAGTCAAACTGTCGAAATCTAAGTCAGGGGAGCTTCAGGGGAGAGTTTAGTGGCTGAGTCAGTCAATCCCAATCACTACTATAGGTGAGCGCAAGTGAGCGAATGTAAAAGTCACGTACTGTACATTGTACCTATTGTACTAATGGGGATGGAATCAATCATTTCAATCTCCTTTCTCTTGTTTTACCTTGTTTGGTCATCGCGAAGCATGTTCTGCAATGTGCCGAACTCTCTTGCAAAATTGTACTCCAGTCAGACTGGGACTGACCATTCATGCCCCATGCTGGAAGAATGATTCCGGAAGCAAGCCTTTAATTCAATTCTGTTGTTCTTTCATTCGTTTGGGTGCTTGCTTCTAAAAGTAGCTCCCTGCTTCTCGTTCTTGAAACAATGTCGAAAACACTGCCACTCTAGGCTTCTGACCTGCGCTCCAGAACTGTTGTTGCCTGTTTACCTTCCTTCATCCCCAAAGAATCCTTCATTCCGGTCAGCCCACCGAACTCTGCCCACGAGGAGAATCTAAAGATCATCACAGGCGACCTCGAGTACTTCGACATCCTCTCCAACCAACGCAAAAAGCCTCCTCGAAGAGCTCCGGCTGCTGCTGAGCAGAGACACCATACTCCGTATCTGGTGGGCTGGGCTGTGCAGATCGCCTGCCACATTGCGAAACTCGAAACAACTAATTCGAATCCCCAATCGATGCGGCAGAACGGCGTCATTCAGTACAGGGGGATATCGCTCGACGATGTCGATGCCGTGGCGGGGGTCGGAACTCATTTCCGAGGATCGACGCGTGGCGGCGCCCGCCGAGATCACTATAAGGATCGCCGCCGATGCATCGCCGCAGACATAGGTCAGGAACGTCTGTCACATTTTGGTCCATTCCACTTACTCCGGTCGCCCGAAGCCGCAGCACGATCACCCCGGCCCCTGGTTTGCATGGATCTGGGGGAACGGAAGGTTTCTTCTGTAGCCAGAGCCGCCAACAAGCGATGACGAGCTCTGCTTGTCGTGCATCTGGCTCAAATTGTTAACTCCACCTACTGTTCAAAAGGTGAAGGTGCGCTGAGGTCACCTGATGCGGCCTAGGCTGTTGGGCTGTATTGAACCTACTGGATGTCATGCTCCTGTGTGGCGGTGATTTACACCTAGAGAGTAGTATGTAGGTACATACCATATAGAGTATTACCAGTCACTTTCTTTAGTATTCTTCTACCCGCAACATTTAGTGCATTTCAGTCTCACCCAGCTTTTTATCTCAACAGAGCTTTTATAGGTAGTTCACACCTTCGTAGATCTATCTATGTTATATTAGCCTGGATCCCGGCTTCGTATATCCCGTGCTGTGCCTTTTCCTGATTCTGCCACTCCCGCTGCCCCCTCCCCCCTCTGTTCGTCCCGTTTGCATGTACTTAATTGGTAGAAACAGCACCAGCGGGAGTAGGCACAACAATTTTCTTTTTCCACTTTACTTTCAGGCACCCTGACTCTTTCTTCTTTACGCTTTCATCTTACATCAAGAACCCATCCAGGTTTATAATCTTCAGAGTTCTATTGTTAGAGTCCTATCAGTTAAATCGGTACTGTCTGTCATCTAGAAGAGCATTATCCGTCAACGTGTTTGCTTTCTGTTTCTTCTTCTTCTTCGGTCCCAATATCTCTCCCAGAGCTTACGAATATCTTACCCTGGGGAGCGGTTAAGGAGCCAGCTGTGGCTATAAGGCTGTGCGACTCCTTTCTCAAGATGAGAGGAGATTTGGGTCGACTTTGTTCACCATACGGCAGCCGGCTTCGTCAAAGCCATGTAAAAAGACGACGATGAGTTCCGAGCCCAGACCGCCCTGGGTCACGGGGAAATCTTGCATCGTTCCCTCGAAAGCATTTCTTCTGCGATAGGTTTACATGCCATAGGAAATCGCGCTCGCCAACATTCAAGTGAGTCTTGGCCCTCCCTAAGTTATAGCTGCCTGGCTCGGCCTTGGCATATCTGTAGGTGTTTTGAAGAGGCGGACGATGCCGGGAAGAGAAGAGCACTTAAATCTGCCATCCAGTTTCTCGAGAATCATCTAAAAGACTGGATTGGGGCGTTAGTGCATAACGATCGAGGGCCTCTTGTCAGGCCGGCATTCTACGAGATGCAACTTTACCTAGGCGCTTTCCCTGAGCAATCACCCGGTGACATAAATGAGCTGCAAAGGCTTCTGGTGAAGCTCAGGCGCGTTTATTGGAAGCAGCACACAGATATCGATACTATTCAACACAACATTGAATAGCACAAGCGGACGGGACATTTAACAAAGGTGGCACTATAAAAACTCATGATAGATAGATATCGGTAACCTGTGCTTACATGAAAAGGTAGTTTAGAATTCGAAGGCTGGTGTTTTTAGGAGCAGATTGTCAATAACTAGAAACCGTATCATATGAGGTGAGTGATAGGCGTAGGGACACAAGAGTAGATTGCGGGCTTGAATTTCACCTACGCACAGAGTAGATCCAAGAACCCTCCCTCAACTCGGCTTCCGTGCGGCTTGTCAGCTTGTCACAAGTCCTCTTCCTCTTCCTCTGGCGGGCAAGCAAATAATGGTCGCCCAAAATTCGTTCTAAACTGGTATTCAATCATAACTGGATCCATGTATTCCATACGTTCCATTGTGGACATAGAATCGTAAGGCCTGTCGAAGTCATCCTGTTCCGGCTTGAGATCATACAATTCGGATATATCCTCGAAGCCACTCCTATCTTTCATATGCTGATCAGAGGACCATCTGTGGTCCTGAATGGCTTCGAGACGGAACTCGCCCTCCCCGGCCCAAAGGAAAGTGCAGGACAGCGTCCCCATGGCGAGCCACGTCAGTTCCTGGGCAATATGGTGGATGAGGGTGTCGCTGTCAACCGCTTGTCCGTCTTTGGGCCATTTACATAGGGGGCAGCAGGGACGACATGGGTGAGGGGTCGTCACCGTGGGGCCTCCTTCACGCAAGGTAAACACGCCCAGGATTGCAGCAAAACAGCCACCATGATCGGGCCCTTGCTGCAGTTGCAGAGACCCGAAAAAGGCTCGGTGCTCCTGCATGATATGTGCGCGCCAGTCTTCCTCCTGGGCGAAGAAGTGAGCCTCTGGGTCGGTACAGCCTGGCACGATACACGTCAAACTGTCAAGGGAGTTTCGAAACTCCTGCCACCTGAATGCATGATCGCCCCATTTGGAGTAGGGTCTTCTGCAGCACTTGAGACACCGAGGCAGGAAGTCTTCCGGGGGGGTGTCCTGATGGTTCAAGGCCGCTGAACAGCTCCTCCCTGCGCTGCAGGAACGATAGATCCTCTCGCTTCTCTTTACCCGCCTTAATTGGATCGAGTAGGTGAATGGACTTGACAAGGCCGCCGTCCGGCGTCCGCGCGTGATGCACCAGGGCGCAGGAACCTCGGTGGCGGCGCATCATGCTCGCGAGGACCACGCGGCGTTGGACGTCTGTGAACTCGGTGCGTGGCGATTGCGTCTCGGGATCCCACGTGCCCTGGCGCTCATGCAGCCATTGAATCACCTGCCTCTCGAACTTGTGGTCGTGATTGTTGTTGTTGTTATTGTTGTTGTTGTTGTTGTTGTTGTTGTTGTTGTTGTTGTTGTTGGGGTCGAAAAGCCGATCCGCCTCGTGAAACCAGACTTGTCGAATGGCGGCGCCGGCGGCCACGACCGTCGTCGCGAGCTCTTCCACCAACGGGGGGATCTGCGAGGAGATACCGCAGCTTTTCGTGCTCTTCCGGAGTCTGCTGGATGCACCGGGGTCACGCCGTGCCCCCTCCTTCCTGGCCGAAATAAATGTCGCGAGTAAACCGGAACCAAACGTCCCAGAACCCACCCTCCTCCTGGTAGAAATTTGGATCTCGTCGCCACAAGGAGCCGAACCGAGCTGGTTTGCGCCATCGACCCTGTGGTGGTTCCAACCGGGCCGCGTAAAACTTGGTGTTGTTGAGATGCACCGCCAGCCGGCTGAGGAGCGCCGCTATCTCCGCTCGCTTGTCCAATTGTTGACGTTGACTTTGACTATTGTTGTTCTCGTTGTTGTCGTTGTTCAATGGTAGTTTGTGAAGGTTCAGATTCAGCTCGCGCGCCGCCCAGGCCACGAATCCAATGCTCCGGTTGATTCGGTCATAAAGCCTACTTCCGGGCAGCGCGTCGGTGTCGTAGAGACCCTTGAGACTGTGCGCGCACACTTCGGCGAGCTCTTCAAGTCTGAACTTGGCGGCCATACTGAAAGATGTTCACAATGGGGTAGAATGTACTGAATGTACTATAAACACACTTGTAGATCAGCTTGCAGCTGTTTGTTGTTGGAACTCCAGAGGATTTTTCAGGTTGGGTTCAGCTTCAGCCCCCGGATAAGAAGGACGTGCTTATACGCCTCACGAAACAAGACTATCCGGACGTCGTGTGAACTCCCACGAAATGATGAACTCTGATAACTTTCATTTCTCTGTCAATCACGCGTGGCAACAGCCCCCTGCAAAGTTAAAGAACCACCGGGTTGAAACCTGGGAAGACAAAGAAAAGACCTGGTGGATGATTGAATTCAATTGTCAAAGGAACTGCGCATTGTTTGGAAAATGATAAAATAATCTTACAACTGAGGTGCTTTTACAAAGTATCCAGACTGGGTGTTGATGGTTTAGGTGCTGGATAAATAAGTATAGGAAGCGCTACCAGAAGCTTACTCAGTCTCCTATCCTCAAAACTGTTGACTACAGACGTGATGTTTTCGTAATCAGATTTGTATTAACTATTTAGAGAGAAATTAGAAGAGAAAAGGGAAAAAGCACTAAGCGAGAATGCAAAGAGTTATGATGCAAGAAGCTACGTTGTTCAGTTCTTATCATCATTTTTCTCTTCCTTTTCTTCTTCTTCGTCCTCAGGCCAGTACCAGTCATCAGCCTCGTCTCCTCCGACAGCATCTACAGATGGTCCGATTTCAAAGATCGGGGAGAGGTCCTTGTAATATTCCCCCAGGCTGCCAATGGTCTTCATCCACTTCATCTCTAAGCCAGCCAGCCATTCGCGTCTTTTATGTTCCCTGGGTCGAGATTCAGGTTCTGTGAGCCACAAAAGACACCCCATGTGGGCGATCTCGAACGCGATATCAAATGCTTCAAGCCCGGAGATCTGAACATATTCTCTGAAACATGCCTGATCCCCGGATAGATCGCAATGGATGTCTTTGCCGCCGAAAGTCTTGATATATCCGCTGGTGACAGTCTGCTCTGCTTCCTGCAACGTGACCGGGGGGAAATCCCCCGATTTGGGGGAGGTCGAACACTGACAGAGTTGATATAGCAAATTGGCTTTGTAGGGCGGAAAGTTACCGATATCCACCGCCTCGATCGGCCGCGGCTCGATTTTTCTCCTGCGCTGTAGGGTCATCACTAACCGAACTCTCTCGACCACCATCTTGAATACGCCCTGCTCTTCAGCCACATATGTGTCATATGCCTTAGGGCACGCTTGATCCCCCGAGAGGTCACACACAACGAGTCGCCCACAGATCCAGGTAATCGGTGCCCTCACTGCTTTGGCAGCGGCATCGAATTCAAACGCGCTGTGGCTGCTGCTGCTGCTGCTGCTGCTTCTGCTGCTTCTGCTGCTTTCTACTACTTTGTCCGAGTGTGCCCAGAGAGCATAGACCAAGGAACCCTTCTTCCCGCGGGTGTCAAAATCTTCGATATCAATCTCCTCCGTATCCATCTTGGATCCACTGTCAAGGATCAGACTGTTTGCAAGATGGGAAGCTTGGAGATATGGCGGAACTGACATCTTTCGAAGGTGTATTTATAGCTATAGGTTGAGAACTAATTTAAGTACTCGGCATATCGAATGCGAATCCACAATATGGGAAACTCCATCTTGTACCGCCGCTGGTGAAAGAAAGATCATGGGAGCAACTAGGAGATCTCCGACCACAGCCGCCAGTGAAAGAAGATGGTGAAAGTAAGATCTCCGCACGGTTCAAGTAGGTGTAGAGCTTGTATAAAAGTCACGTGTCCAGACTAAGTGTAAGGCGTCGTAGTATCAACGTGGCTTTCAAGGCAGAAGCCTACATCGATATCCAGGTCCAGAATATGCTATATTCTAGCCTGTCTAAATTCTCTTTATCATGAAAAGAACTCTGCGATAAGTTCTCGTGGAGAAAAAGTCCATCTTTATCTATTTTCCCCGCTCGTATATACCGTCTTGACCTTCACTACTTATATAAGTGCGAATACCGGACGGGATCCTCCGACCCGATCTTGAAGATAGATACATCAATCGCTCAGGACATGTTGTACTTGTAGCTCCCAGCGTTGAAAGGGGTCCTTCGTCCATACCCTGCGCAGCGCCAGCTCTCGCAGTGTCAGTACGGTCAAGCACTGGGCCACCTGTCTTGCCCGCACGGTCGGCATCGCCTTGGTCGCTAGTGAATGTCATCTTCTCAGAACCTGTTTCTCCTCCGCTGCACAACTACCTACACAGCAACAAAGCTCTGAGCGGAGGCGAGGAACATGATCGCGTCACATACAAGTCACTTGTCGTTCTAGCTAGCTAACTATTTTTAACACACAACTCAGCAGTTCTCTATCAACGAAACAGTCCCTTGCTTATCCACCACTATCTCCTGCTCTCAACCGATAGACCCAAAAAACATAAGCAAAGTCGAATGAAAATGATTCCAAGATAAAATCAACCTTCTACCCCGTGCGCCCATGTGCGCGACACCAGAAAAACTTCTCCGCCCATCAATCTGCGTCACACTTGAATCGCTGAAGCAGGCTCTAATCGTGATGGCCATAGCACATAGCCATCCGCTAAACTGAACGTCTTTCCTGTTTTCTTCCCCAAATTCTCGAACGACCGCTGGACCATCTTATACGGCCCTTCAATGGGTGATGCGTGCCCCCACGCCACTCATCAGAGGCTCCAGACTGGCTGCCAGAGGCCCGGGGCTGGCTGTTAGAGGCCCCAGGCTGGTTGTCAGAAGCCCTGGACTGGTTACTGGAGGCCCCGCGCTGGCTGCCAGAGGCCCCGCGCTGGTTTGAAAGACCTTTGCGAAACTCCCAGGGAGACTCAACGCCCTTCGTACCCAGAAGGAAATGGAAAATTTGCGCGGAGAATCTCTCCGCACCCGCAACGATGACGAAGGTATAGGTGGAAGGGACATCGGCGCTCGACGCCAGGGGGTGCTCGGGGTTACACCTTTGACGGTGAATAGGTGCACCGCACACCCCGCCATAAGGCAATCAAAGGCGAATTGAAACATGATGGTCGGTATCGACACCAACAGAGTCGTTCTAGCTGATGACAATTTAGGTCTGCGCTTGCCGAAGTCTTTGAGGGACGGATGGAACCGAGATTCTCCACCGCTCATCCACGTCTTGATATCTTCGTAGCGACGGCTGAGGAGGTTGTTGGAGTGCTCCCAAGCAACCCATACCGCACACATGGCGAGCACCAAGCCAGCAAGAAGCAGGCACCTCGCCGCGGGGTGAGACTGGGCCAAGCTGTGGTGTACAAGCAAAGCAACATGCAATGATGCTAGTAGAGAGGCCTATTCTGATTAACCTCATCACATGGGACACAGTATATCGGTAAGGAAAACGTACGAGTGCGATCATCATCCGACACTGCTCGGCCCGAGCATCCCTAAATTCCTTTGCCGTGTTGTGTTCTTTGCTGTTGAGCACGTCTATCTGAGCGGTCCAAATTGATCTCTGGCCCATTATCACCAAAGCCAGACTAGCAAAACGCCCATAGTGGTTGCGGAACAGCCGAACTGCGGTCAGTCTCCCCTTGGAAACACAAGCCCTAGAACTAGATAACGGAGTATTGTGACTTGAAGAAATGATTGGAGGATGTTTTGGTGTAGATGTTTCATTACTATGAAGGAAAATGTGCCTGGTGATATCGGAAATGTAATTACTGGATCGACAGCATTTCGGTGGATGAGGACCCGAGTGAGATTTGCCTTGCTACTTAAATCGGCCGCATCATTCAACTGAGTTGCAACGCTATACGTACAGAATAGCAACTACCACTGCACCAGAGCCTGTTTGAAGAGACGCGCTTGCATAGTCCTTCGTTTGCGAGGGGTAAAGAGGCGAAGATGCTCCTTCCCGTAGGTCATGACTTGACTCTGCCTGGGAAACGAAAAAAAAACCCTTTCAAGGCTGCTCGTTGTACTCTGGACTCCGATACCGCTGCGTCGACAGGATTTCGTACCGTTCAGTCCAACAGAGCTCTGCGCGTTGCCGAAGTTGTGGTGTTCTGGACGACCTGCGCAGTGATTCGCTGTTGCCCGACGGGCTTTCAAACGCGGCACGGGAAACGGGTGGCATACTATATGCCCCCTACCGTATTGCTGTCGAATGGAATCAGTCAAGAAGACCGAACTATTTTGAAACTTGTCATATTGATCGAGGAGGTAAGAAGCGTACCATTGAGTGTAACCTTGGTTACCTTCCCATGAAGTAATACCCTTACCGGCCATTGTCGATATCTTCCCTTACGTATCTCCACCTAGACGCTATATACCTTTTAGCTGGCGAATGAACAAAGGAAGGATCTTTATAGAAGGGAAGATGGAAAACTCAAACCTAGAGAGCCGTCCTGTCTTTCGATTTGTCCTGTTCCTGACATGTTATTGATTTCTAGGAGTCTGATCGTACCCCAAAGCAAGTATACTCTTTGTACAAGACAACTCAAAGGGTGGTTGCCTGATATACAGGTAGTTGACATACGGAGTAGTTGAAAGTCACATGTGCTGTACCCTAGTAACTACCGTTCTTACCCGATTCAGCCATAGCTTCATTTCTCCACACGTCAACAACTTTCCCATCCCAACTTCACCTCAGCTTCTTCATCTTTTTCCCCATCATCATCATCATCATCATCACGACAACAATCTTGTACCACACCCAATCCCTGTCGCTTCACAATGAAGCCATTATCGACAACGAGGCTGAGAACTACCCGCCGCCCAGGATCAAAGCGGTCAAGAACGGGCTGTCGCACATGCCGGTATGTCTAAACCTGCCCCCCCAACTACCTTCCGGACAAAACCCCATGTATATCAAGAGGAAAGAACTAGAATTGACACCCCAACCGCGCAGAGCTCGACGCATAAAATGTGATGAGACACCAAATAAGTGCCTTAACTGCACATCGACCGGCCGGCTCTGCGACGGCTACGATTTTCACCGGCAGCTGCCTTATCAACTCCCGCAACGGTTGATCGTGGCCGCGCCGATCGTGACCACTGTACCGTGGGCCAGCACCTCGGACGAGCGCCGCTGCTTTGCCTTTGTCCATGCCCGGACGATCCCTGACACGCTCAGCTACTTCGACTCGGTAGTCTGGCAGCGGTTTCTGCTGCAGATGGTGCCGCGCGAACCGGCCGTCTGGCACGCGGTGGTCGCCCTGGGCGCCCTGCACCAGCAGATCGAGACGGGGGGGCTGATCGGCCGCACCCCCACGGTCTGGCACTGGTTGGCGATCGCGCAGTCGGCGCGGTCGTTCGCCTGTCTGCAGCGCCGAAACCCCCATGACCCGGTGATGCGCAACGTGACGCTGCTCTGTTGCCTACTGTTCACCGTCATGGACTTAATACGGCAGGAGTACAAATCCTCCCTCCATCATCTGCGGGCCGGCTTGCGGATACTCCGCGAGACCGAGCAGCCATCGCCGCAGGAGAGCCCCACGTCGGCAGACTGGATTGCCACGTTTCGACATTTAGATACTCAGATCGGAGTGGACGACCCCTCACTGTGGTGTTGGAGCGGAGATCAATCCGACCCAGTCGTTGTCCACCCGGAAATCGATCCATGGTGGCGGCAACAACAGCAGCAGGAGTCGCCCGCCTCCTCCCTCCATCATTTGACAGGGTCATCCAGCAATCCTCTCTCTTCAGCCCGCCAGACCCTGGAGCCACTCTTCAACCGTCTCAACAAGTTCGCGCGGCGTTGCTGGCGTATGTCCCCCGCCGAGATCCAGGCCGCCCAAACCGCGCTATCCGCGGAGCAGCTTGCGATCGCGACGCAGCTGCGCCACGCCACGCGATTTATGCAGGCTTTCCGCCGCGAGGAGGCCCTCAGTCCGAAGCACCGGCGCGGAGCCGAGCTGCTCGAGCTATGGGTGGCGTCCGTATCGCTGGTTGTGCGCACATGTCCGCACCATCACGATGCGGCACTGCTGCGGCGCTTCACCCCGCAGTACGGCGCACTGCTACGGCGAATCCAGCAGTTCATCGCAGACTTCCCGGAGCGACCAACGGTGACGGTCGACCTAGGCGTTATCCGCATGCTCTTCATCGTGGGCGATGGCTGCCAGGACTTCCGGCTCCGATGGGAGGCGATCCAGGCGCTACGAAACTGGCCGCACCAGGAGGGCCCGTTCTATTCAGTCGGCATGGCCGCCTTGCTGGAGGATCGCTTCTGTCTAGAGCTCAAGGCCCGCCTCCTGCAAAACGTGCAGCAGCAAGGGGATGAGTCCAAGTTTCGCCTGGAAGAGCAGCTGCAGAGAGAACTGGCGGCTATTACGGGGCGGCCCGGCTCCCGCTCGGATCAGGAGAGGGACCGGGAAAGGGAGGAACATCATGCGTGGTTTTGGAAGCAAGTTCAAAATTCCAGGGATCACTGGGGCTTGGCGGAAAGGCTGAAAAGACTGGAGTGATGATTCTTCTCTAGAGGGCATTCAGTCATAATGACTTTCACTGTTTGTCCTGACAGTGGGTCAGCCACGACTCTCCGGCTTCAACTGAACAATGTTCTTTCCAGAATATGGGTCTGGTGTTTTCTATGGTTTATGCTATTCATAGGCTAAGAGTCTCGATCTCTGCCTGTGCATGAACACATATCGCGAGGAAGAGATGGTTCAATCTTGCACCGGCTGTGTTACTGGAAGGCCTTCAAGCAGAGAACGCCTACCCTTGTGCCTGGACACTGGTTCGATGCACCAGCATCAGCATCTAGCACCGGTATCCGTGTAGCGTTTGCTACTGGCTCACTCCCAACTCACAACAACATGCAAAGCAGGTAGCCCCATCCATCCAGCTATGAAAAAGAAATCACACCTACACCTACGCCTCAAAAATGATCTCGACCCCGGTCCCAGATATCCAACCCCATCCAGAGCTTTTCCGGGGGTCGTTCGAAGAATCCAGCTCGGCGAAAAGGCTAGTCTTGTCCGACCCAGACTCGACTCGAGCTTGACCGACTCTCGGCGCCGCGTTACTACATTACACCCGTCCGTCCGTCCCGTTCAGCCCCCCGAGGTACGGCGAAACCCTCAAACATCCGGGAGACACATGTACAACCCTTCTTCGTTAGGTTCAGGTCCGTGGAAGAGCTGTTCCCGTCGGCCAAGCGCGCATTGATCCTCCAGGTCTGCGGGGAAGGTCCGGCTGTGCACGTACGCTCTGATCGGCGGGCGGGATGGCTGCCGGTCGAGTCCTGGAGGCCGGCGGACGAACGGGCAACGAAGAGCGTCGCTGCTGCTTAGTCTGGTCACGGTGATAGTTACAACTTGCCGGCTAGCCTTTGAGCCCGTGTGCTCCGAGTCGATCGACTCGACTCCATTGTCGGTACTCGAGACTCGGCCCTAGGGTTTCATGTCAGGAGCTGGGCTTACAGGGATGTACTTGGAGTTGAGCGGCGGTAAGATCGTTCGAAGGGGTACATGGTAGATGTAGGAAGTGATTGTATGATGTAGCTAACACATGAAGAACAAAAAAGCCTAAGTCGGAATATGATCAAACGCCAGACCAGTCATGCCCACCAGCCGTTACTCGCAGAATTCAGCTGCAGAGTTCATCCCATTAATCCCGAAGAAGAAAAGAAAAACAAAACCATGAAGCCCCGTGGTCATTGAGAGATAGAGAGAGAAAAGAAAAGCCCCACACAAAGGCGAGCCAGCAAAAGACTGGCAGATTAATTATAGGTCCAGCCACCATTGAGCCGCAAGCGTTGACGCTCAGCCAGGTCGCGTCTGATTTCGTCCTGCGTCAGGCCGTCCGGACCAGACCAGTGAGCACTGCTGGTGCGCTCGCGGAATTTCTTGATTTTCTTGTCGCCCTTGAACGTCTCCTCCAGGGAGAAAGGGGCAATGGGTCCGAAGATCGAATCCGCTTCCATGCCTTCCTGTTGGCGCAGCAGGGACTCCAGCTCTTTCGGCTGGGCCCACTTGGGGACAGGAAGCATCTCGGCCTCCGAGTCCTCGTCTTCGCTGTCCGTCGCGATCTCAGGCAGGTTGATGTTCTCGCCGTTCGGGTAGCTGGGCGACTCCTTGACCTGGTGCTTCTGCGAGGAGCTGGCCGCTGGCGTCCGGTGCGCAGCTGGTGGGGCAATGGGTGGTTCGGCGAAGGGAATCTTGCCGCTCGCGTACTTGGACATATCCATCGGGTGCGCGGGTCTCTGCGTTTGTCCGGTCTTGAGGATTGAGGGTGGTGGCTGCGCATGGCTGTAGAAGGAAGGTTTCTTAGGCTCCTGTAGACAGAATTAGTGATAAACTCATATACTTTCCGGTGGTTGTGGTAAGAAAATACCTTGCGGATGTTGGACTGGCGGATCGGCGGGGCCATCGTAGGGCGCATAGAGGACATGCGGTTCTGTTCGTCTTCTGTCCGTCTACGTTTGGACTCCCCGGCTGGCTGCATCGTGCCCGTCTTCAGCGCCGTAGGCCGCTGGTTGGCCTCCTCATCCAGACCTCTCTTGGGAGGTTTGGCCGGGTTGGGTTGAGGTTGGTTAATGGACCGGTGGAAAGGTTGAATAGATCCAAGGCGAGAAGCCGGTCGAATGGTTCCCAACTCACTCCGCTGAGCGGCTTGGGAGGCTGGCCTTTCTGGAGGATTGGTGTCGGGCTGTTGGCTTCCCTGTCTCTCGAGCCTCCGTTGGTTTTCAAGCCTCCGCTTCTCGATTGCCTGGATCTGTGCGGCTTTCTTTGGATCTTCAGCAACGAGGCGCTCGCGCCGCTCCTCTGCCCGACTGCGCATATCCTGGCGACGGGCTTCTTCTTGTTGCTGGGCTGCTCGCTTCCGTTCGAGTTCACGGCGCTGCTCCTCCCGACGCCTGGCCTCGCGTTCCTCTTGCTCGCGCTTCTTCTCGCTTGCAAGCTGAGCCTTGCGTTGCGACTGAGTGGACATAGAGCTCTTAAAGCTGCTGTTGGACGAAGCAGTATGTAGGGAGGAGTTGCTAGCCTTCTTCTTCAGAGTAGGTTGTTTGACTGCGGAAGCTGGTGTCGGGGCTGGGACACTGGATTCCCGCATCCCAGAAGACATGGTAGAAGATGCCAGCGTCATGGGTCGAGAAAGAGCACTTCCCACACGAATCGACACAGGTTGAGGCCTGGGCTTCTGAAGGGTTTCGCGGGTTGGTTTGACGGGACGGCCCTTTGTCTGCTGTTGCTGAGGGATAGACGTCGGGACGGTGATCTTGGATCCGGCCTCAACGACAGATTCTGGTTCCTTGGATGATTTTTGCAGTTGGGGCAATCTCTGAGGTGCTGGTGCTGTAGGGGCCTCGGAAGTTGCACGAGACTCGCTGTTAGCAGTATACCTTTCCTGCGCAGACCTGAGTTGCATCGCTCTCTGTTTCTCTTGTTGCCGAGCTTTCTCGGCCAGCTCCTCCTCTCTTTGACGTTCCTCAAGTTCTTTCTGCCTACGCTTCTCTTCTCTCTCGGTAGAGCTGCGTGTCCTACGACCTTCTTGTCGTGGCGGGCTCAGAAGCTGGGCAGACTGTGGTCGCTGCGTATTATCCCTGAGCTCGCTGATCGGCCGGCCGCTTGGTCGCAGTCTTGGTTGTTCTGGTGAGGACGCTTCTTTCCGGGCTGCAGCCGATATGCCTCCAGTATTCGTGAACAGACCCTTGGCCGATTGCACGATCGATTGGAGTCTTGACTTTGACGCACTCAACGGCCCATCCCAACGTTCTGGCGCAGGAGAACCCACAGGCGTCGTCGACAATTGGGAGTCAATGTGAGCGGACGCGCTCTTGTGATGGCCAGGCCGCTGTGGAGAGGAATAGATAGGCGTTGACGACTTTCCGCGACCTACGTCCGAGGCGCGTTTCGGGGCAGCCTTGATTGTTCCCGTCGCACTTGCTGCATTGTCCAAAGCAACCGAAGGGCGATCTTCCTCAGCAGCCCGCGGAACTCTAGCGGCGGAAGGTTTGTTTTCTTTGCTGTCGGCTTTCTGGTCTGCCTGGCTGTTTGAGCGATAAGGCGAGTTCATGGGTTTGATCCAGTCATCATCGATCTGCATAGGCTCTGCGGCGGGCGGATCACGGGGCTTGGGGTTAGGAACTTCTGGCCTGGTCTCAGGCTTCGAAATGGGCAATTCAGGGTAGGTGACCTGCGCTGCCGATATGCGCGAGACTGCTGGAATGGACTTGGTTGGTCGCGATGGCTGGAGTTTGCCGAGCATGCTAATCTTCTCATGCAACCTTTGAGTTGAAGACTTAGTATGGAGCTTGCTAGCCTTCGTATCGACATCCGATTCTCCGTCGTCAGTCAGATTCTTGCTGTCGTCAATATCCATTTTGTCGTTGTGAGTCGTATCGTCACCAATGGCAGGCTGCGTAGTTCTGTGTCCCCCAGTCTGCCTACCGAGATAGCCTCCTGCATTACTAAGTTTGGGCATTTCCAAATGACTTGTACGAGACAGTCTCGAACCACCCAGACTCTTCTTGGTCAGTGGCTCGCGTGCAGGCAGTGACGCGAAAGAAAGGCTGCTCTTGCGAATTGGGGGGCGTGCCGGAGGAGAGACATCCGAGGGAGAGCCGATATCATCAATATCAAGTACCATTTCATCCTTGTTATCCTCCTTCCCTTCCGGTGCAAGCTCCGCGGCAGGTGCGGTGGGAGACTTGGCAGGTGAGTTTGGCTGTACGGCTTCGGCAGGCTCTTTCTCTGCATCCGGCTCCGACGCCGGCTGATGGCTAAGCTCTGGCACTGTCTCTTGCTCGGGTTCTTCCTGTTTTTCGGGCTTGCTCTCGGGTTCTGGCGCTTGTTGAGGCTCGATTTGCTGGTGTAGCTCAGCCCCGGGTTTCTCACGCTCCTCACGCTCAACCTCAGGCTCAGCCTCAGGCCCAGCCTCGAGCTCAACCTCAGGTTCCGCATCAAATCCAGTTTCAATTCCATGCTGGGGCTCAGGCTCGGGTTCAGCCTGCAGTTTAGGCTCGGGCATAGGCGCGTCGTGGGCCTCTTGTGCAGCTTCCATTTCTGGTTTATCCTCAAGCTTAGGCAGCGGTGCAGCAGTGGGCTCTGGTTTTCTCAACTCTACTGGGGTCTTCATCGGGGAGGGCGCGTTTCGTTTCGGGGTCGGTTCAGCTTGCATAGGTTCGACGGTCTCGCCTCGCTGGCGCACATTCTCTTGGGCGGAGTGGAACGAGCTGGCTGTCGTGCGGCGATCATCTGATAATAGCTTAGTCTGTTCTTTCGCTCCGGTCGGCTCGGTATCCATTGGCTGCGTCGACGACTGGGATTCAGGCTGGACTTGTGTCAAGACAACATCGTCATCCTCCTCTTCATCCATGTCTTGGTCATCGGCCATGCCATGATAGCCTGAATCGGTATTGTACTGCGGGAATGAATTTAGGTTCTTGCTCAAGTCGGGATATTCGGGTTGTGCTGCGTCCTTGGTAGTATCTTTAGGTTCCGCAGCCGGAGTTGGAGCTGCAGGGGGTGGCGCAACGGGTGCCTTGGCGGGCGAGCGTTGAGTCGCTGGACTTGCAGCAGGTTTGCTGTCAAGCTTGCTTTCGATTCTGTTTTCCAGTTTGCTGTTGTGTGCAGAGGAGAAGATTTCGCTCAAAGGCTGTAGAAAGCGACCAATCAGCACATGCTGTATCGATATTAGAGGACATCCAACGTACCATACGAGGCTCGGTCGCATCGCGCTTTCGCGCAGTCCGCGGGGTTTTGCCGCGCAGCTTTCCGGGTGTCTTGAACGCATCGGTGAGGTTACTGCGCAAGAGTCAGCACACGTAGGAGGATCCCAGGGCTATGCGGGCGCAACCGACAATTGGTTTGTAGAGAAGATCTCGGCCATGTGCTCATTTAACCAATCCATCTCATGGCGCACAGGATATTCAACTTCCTCCATTTCCTGATCCACAAGCTGCATGCAGTTTTCCTTTTCAGACGAGATCCACGCTGCAGAGCCCACGGGCTTCTGCGCCCTCGCGCCTGCCGCAGCCATGGCGATGTAAACAAACGCGGATTGAGGATCGGTGTCGTTAAGGAGGCATTAAAAATTGGCTTGAGTGTCGAAGGGCAGAGGGGCCCGGTCTAGAGGTTAGTAGAAGTCGGATTCAAATCATGGGATCGTGGTTCGTCGGCTGGGGGTGGGTGGTCGGCCGGTGGACTTCAGCGGCTGTTGTCCGGAGTTTGAAGCATCAAAACATCGGCCAACGCGTGAGTCCCGCTCTGACACGTGACCTATACATGGTAGGCGCTTGGCGCCTCAGGCATCAAACGAGGCGCTTTACATGCTCGCATTGATTACTTGACAACCTCATCTGTGCTTTCTCTGGCATCGTAATGTCGGGTTACAAAGATTGCCTATAATCCAGTCCCTGCGCGAGGTTCCACTACAGGCCTGCTGTATGTCTTACAGGCAAGCATTCCGAAAGCCTGACCTATATTCTTACAATGTATACATACTGGTGAAGTGGGAATTGCCACGCGACAAGTTTCCTGAATTTGGACTACCTGGGGTAGCTGCAAGATATGAGACGCTATTGTGACATCATCCATGGCCAGATCTAGATGCCTATGAGTGGGTTGTGCTTTTCGATATGCCTCCATCGAGGTACTCGTAGTTGTCAGAGGATGCTGTGGCTGCCCCCTCAACACCCTCACACACACACACACATCACTCACTGCGCATCACCAACAGAGTGCCATCATCTCGGGCATATCATCCTTGTTCTGAATACCGGTTTGTGCCAGTCATCGATGGAAATAATTTGCAAAGAGCCGGGGAGTTCTCAATTGTTCGCGGGATGCTGACTGATGATGTGACCGGAGGGTGACATCATCCCAGCCCTGACGGTCGTAAACAACCACCGAACAATGTGCTTGTGCTTGTTATACGAGGTGATTGAGGAGGAAATAACCATTGAGGCGAATGATAATAATGAAAAACTGGAATGCTCACAGATAGATAGCAGGTGTTGGAGACAAGTCTGGATCTTCGTCCTGCAGTGCATGCATCTCCATGCACGAACTGCTGCTTGATTGATGGATTTGATGGATGATGGACGAACTCTCTTGAGGGATCTGCTCTTGAGACCCTTGCATAAGCCCTCACACCGTCTTTCAATTCATTCAGGATGTAGTCTTGGTATAGCTCTTCAAGCTTCAGATAACGATCAGAGATATAATTAGTTTTAGCCGAGCAAGTTAATCCGAAACACCGGGCCAGACCATCACATGCTCGTTTGCTGGTGACGGGGAAGGCAGAAGAAGAAAAAGCACACGACCAAATCAAATCCGCCGCCGCCCCGACCCCATTATTGCATCACCCTCTCTCTCTCTCTGTCTACTCTCTCTCTTCGCTCTTCCTCTTCTTTTTCCCTCTTCATCTTCTTCCTCTCCCCCGCGCCCACTCATCTATATTATCTCAATCCTCTCTAATCCTCTTCTCTCTGCGCTTACTGCAGTCTCATCCATTTCATTCCCCGTGGTATTCTTAATCTCGGACACCTCTCTGGGTTTTCCCCTGACAATCCACCTTCCTCCTTATCTTTCCAGCTTTCCGACCACACACAACTTTCGTCATGGCTACTGATTTGAATTATCCCAACGTGAACGGCCATGGTAAGGTACGTATTTCAATTCTTTGGTTGTCAGTATCATTCAGAAAGCGTTAAATTGAAGCTAATCGATCCTCTGATCTTCAGTCCCGCCCTTCGCCTTGACCATGATGAGTCCGACGTCGAGTTACACAAGCTAATCACTCATCCCTCCGTTTAGGTACTACTACCAATGGTAAGCTTCAATTTGCAGTCCCAACGATTTTCGTGGAGGAGCGAAAGCTGGAAAAGTGTCAATTGTATTGGAGCTAACAGCCCACTTCATAGGACCTCTTACCGACAACATCAAATCCGAGGCGTCCCGCACTAGTCAAGAGTTGCGCGAGCTGAGAAACGCAGCAGTGACCCCCTCCACCACCGCTGCGACCGGTCAGCCTCTGACCTGTATGTATCACCCATAATTGTGCCACGCGCGCGCTTCACTAATTCCACATAGACTACCACTCCCTGCTGTACAGCCTTTTGAGCGTGAGTAACCGCGAGATTGTCCTACACGAACCAGCCCTGACAGATTGTTCGTCATAGTGGGAGCAACCCCGAGCCACCGCCGTCTCCTTCATCAGCGTTGTCGCTTTCATCTTTGCCGCCCGTTACCTTCCTCTCCTCCGATGGTTCTTCAAGTTCATCTATGTGATTCTGGGCTGTGAGTGGTGACCGCGCGTCCAATCCATTCACAGAAACTGATGCGTTGTATAGTCACCGCTCTCGCCGAGCTGGGTGGTCAACTCGCCCTGAAGCAGAGTGTCGTCGGTTCTTTCCGCCCTCGCAGATACTACACTGTGCCCAAGGAGACCGTTGAAGCTGTGCTGGAGGACCTTGAGCAGCTCGTTGACTTTGTCCTGATCGAGTTCCAGCGCGTTCTGTTCGCCGAGAACCTGGTTCACACCATTGCTGTACGTCATAGCTTCACCGGTGGCGCATCTGATCAAAGCTAACCGGCCGCTAGGCTTTCCTTGCCGCATTCTCCGCCTACTGGTTGATCAAATTCCTTCCCTTCTGGGGTCTCTCTCTGATCACCGTTACCATCGCCTACCTGGGCCCGCTGGTCTACATCAACAACCGCGAGGTCATTGATGCCCAGATCGAGCAACTCCAGGAGATGGTGAACAGCCAGGCCCATCAGCTGAAGGACATCGCCGAAGAGCGCACCGCCCACGCGACGGGCATCGTCAAGCAGTACGTTGAGGACTACAGCGCCAAGGCCCAGGGACTCGTGCACCGCCGCTCTGCATCGCGCTCCACGACCCCCGAGGTGGCCAAGGTCGCCAGCCCCGTCATCAAGAAGGAGCCCGAGACCGAGCCCGAGATCAAGACCACTGACTTCCCCGAGGCCCCGAAGGAGGAGCCCGTGGCCCCCGTGGCGGTCGCATCTGTGGTGGACTCAATTGAACAGCAGCCTGCCACCGAGGCGGAAGAGAAGGAGCCTCTTCTGGCCTAGAGGACGAGTTTGAGACGAGTTTGAACTAGTTGTTATATTTGGGCCAAAATTGATAGCTCGCTCAGGCCAGGGGAGGTAGGTGATTCTTGCGGGCAGCTGTGGTGCAAATGCGCGGCTGACCAAGGATGAGTGGTGCGTACGCGATTGCGCGGTGTGTACGATGGCAAAAGCAAAACCTCGTTCGCTGTGGTGTGAGTAACGGAGACTTTTTTCTTTTTCTGTTCTTTTCTTCTTTTTCTTCTCTTGCTCGCAGGCCGATTGTGGAGTACATTATCTGCTTGGGTTGTCACTTATATTTTATGCTTCGTATGACATTGCTTTCCTTCATCGGTTTTTAATTTGAAGAGGGTAGACTGCCTGAAAGGTTCATGGTGATACACATAACGAAATGTATATTGTAGACTGCTGTCCATGTAGTTGACGCGCAATCGCAATCAAGCGACGAGCCTACGTTCGAGCGAGGGGGTATGTGATAACGCGACCAGCCTATGGAATACAAGAAAAAGAAAGAAATAAAGAAAGAAAAAAAGAAGGGAAGGAAGCCGAAGAAAAGAACAATAGCTCCAAAGTAGTAGTTAGCCGAAGGAAGTTGCGGACAAAAAGTGATTGCATCATCCGTGAATCGAACACGGGCCTCATCGATGGCAACGATGAATTCTACCACTAGACCAATGATGCTTTGGATGTAATAATCAATTCATTTAATTTCTATATTTTTTTGAACATGAGCTAGTCGATCTTTCACTTCTCGGCTTCCTTCAATTGCAATTATCGCTTTGTGTTTATGACTCATGTTATCTTATCGGGGTATCTGTATGCTCTTCAATGCTTCAAAGCTGTGTGGGAAGATATCTGGAACTAAATGCTGGTGGGTTGAGCTATGAGCGGATATATATCCCGCTTTTGTGTCTATTATATGTAACTGTCTGAGGGCTGGACGGAGGGACCTTGTGTTTGGTGTGCGACGGTAGTTGTGCCCGGGTTTCTATAATCTGGGATTCATGCAACTGAATGAGCCATACCCCCAGTAGATGGCTAGAAGATACGTACGTAGGTTGAGCTAGACAGATAGGAACCATCTTCCCAAATGATCGAATACCCAAACACATCCATCCAGGCTTCCGCTCCGGTAAGCCCAGAACAGCGTACAGATCTATCCAGTCCGATAACAATGTAATCTATTATACATAGTATTTATTCACATGGATATCGACAACTACCAACCAACCAACCACTCCTTTCACCAAGCACACAGAGGGCGAAAAGTACACGCGACGCTTACTCCACCTCCGGCTCAATATCGCTCACTCCGTCGAAACCCTCGTCCATGGCGTCGGGATTCAGGTTCGCTGCGTCCGGGGCGACTCCGTCGCGGTGCTTGTCATTATCATGGGACACGGTGCGCCAGCCCTGTGGGGAGGAGGGGTCTTTGAGGTATTCGGACATGGGGAACTGGGCCATATTGTTAGTATAGGGGATCATGAGTGGTGAGATGTTAGGACATACGTAGTGGTCGTTCTTCTTCATGGTCACGACCCAAGGGACGTTGTCGAATGTCACGGCTCGGAGGCGGAAGTAGGTGTTGTCCGGAATCTTGCGGACTTCTTCGACGAAGCGGTCTAGGTTCGGGGTCGGGGTGCCGTTGACGGCGGTGATGAAGTTCGTCGGGGAGAGGCCGTATTGGTAGGAGGGGGATCCGCGGCTCTATTGGAGGAAGACAATGTTAGTGGTGAGTTTGAAGTATATAGGTGGATCTCGAGGGAAAGGGGGACGTACCCTGGCGCTGACGTAGACCTCGCTGTGGAGTTTGGAGATCTGCTGACGGACTGCATGATGGGGCTTCTGAAGGACAGCACCACAGAAGACAACCGCGCGGTCGGTTTCGAGATCCTCCGTTGGCACCGTGGGGACTTGGATGCGCATTTCCTGGCCGTTGCGCACAATGAGCGCCTCCAAGGACTCCTTCTCGTACATGATATCAAGCTCCGAGACACGGGTGATCAGCTGTCCATCCAGGGTGAGGATGATGTCGCCCTCCTCGAAGCTATCTACGCCCGACGAGGCAAAGCCGGGAGGTGGACAATCGACCTTGCGGACCATGAACAGTTGATGCCGGGCTGGGTTCGCCTGCGTCACTTTCTGGATCCACTCCTCCGACACGCCCATGATGCGGGCTTGGCTCATCTGCACCACGTAGCTCTCCATGTTGAGGATTCGCAACGTGGGCATCTCGCCTTGCTGGACCTTGGACAGGACCGGGAGGAGAGACGGCGTCGCGAAGCCCAAGTGGTACTCCACGTCCTTGTGGGAGTTCGCCGTGCGCTCACCGAGGTAGTTCAGCCACAATGCGTGCACTGTTCCGTCTTCGCCGACTAAGACACCATTGGAACATTGTCCGCTGAGACCTGTGTCTACGGTGATGGCATCTAGGTTGATCGCACGATAGCGCGGAGCCGAGGCATTGGCCGGGATCGACACCGTTGTGATGTCGGTGACGGCTGTCTTGGCCACCACGATGCGGAAGTTCTGGTTGAATCCGACGAAAATAGTGTCCTGGCCCTGCTTGATGTACTCGGTGCTAAGCTTGGCGCTCTGTACCGGAGCCTGGACCAAGCTAGGATCATACTGGATGATACTGTAGTTCTGGAGCGGATGCAGGAAAACCACCTTGGCGGTCACGATGATGGAGTCGGCCACCGTGACATTGATATCGCAAAGGTCGTACGGAACAATGGCACGCGAGACCACGACGAGTCCCTTCTCCGCGTCAACGACCAGACCGAATCCCGTTTTCTTGGCTTGAGGGTAGCCGTCCAATTTGAGGGGCATCGTGCACGACACGCGAACGAAGCTGCGCACAATGTCTGCGGCAGCAGGCTGACTCACTCCATCAAGCTGGATGAAATCGGCCTTCCTCGGCACAGGGGGCAGGGCGGGAACGGGGTCCGCGAGGTCAGAGAAATCCCACAGTCCGGTGGTATCATTTCTCACGGCCAGCCGCATCTTCGGGTGCCAGTGCCGGTCGATGTAGACAATGCTGGTACCCCGCGTGTGGAGATCGCGGATGTGGCGATATGAGATGACCACCCGGGAGCGATCAGGAATTGTCTTCATCACCTCCACGAACTCATCCAGGGTCCGTGTTGGTCGCTTGTCCACGGAGTCGATCAGCCACCCCGACAATGTATTCTCCAGCTTGAAGGAGCCGGCAGCCTCGCAGACATACACGCCGCGGGTAGCGATGGCATACAGACGTGCCTGCTGGTAGGACAAGTTATGGAACGTGCCTCCAGCCACGGTCACGAAGCGGTCGGGCGTAATGGCATGCAGGTCGCCAACCTGGCACTCCACCTCCACATTTTGACCGCCTCTTTGCACAAGCAGACGCACCGTCTGCCCGACGCTCGAGTCTAGAATGTCATCCAACCGGACGAACCGAGTGAGCAGCTCCCCGTTGAGCTTTAGGAGCACGTCTCCCTCCTCGAGCTTGCCATCTGCTGGTCCCTCCGGCAGGATGATCTCTGCTACCAGCATGCTGGTTTCTGCGGGAGCAGCCTTGCGCACGGTGGCTTCCCACTCAGGCGTCAGGCCCAACCGACGACACTCGTCAAACGGCTTGAGGATCCATTGTGTCTGGATGGTTCCTCGCGTGAGGGGCTGGCCGCGACGAATGCATTCCAGCGCACGCAGCGGTCGGTCTAGCGGGAGGAAGTAATCCGTAGCCGCACCGTCTGCACGACCACCAGCCTGCAGGGCAATTGCATGGCCGTCAATGTTCACGACAGGACTGCCGGAACTACCGCCACTGGCAGCCGCGGCGGCCTGAATGTAATTGGTATTGAAATCACTGTATCCCTCGCCGTACTCGGGAGCGTTTCGATCCAGTCGACTAATGACACCGGACAGAATGCTGAGCTTTTCTCCTGCATCATTACCGACGACACGTATCTCCGATCCGACCTTTGCTGCATCCGGCTGCAGTTTCAACTCCTTCAGCTTCATGTATCGGATCGCTTTCGGGTCGAACTGTAGAATTCCGAAGTCGTGCACAGGATCTCGATAGATGGGGCGCACATCGCACTGGATGTCGTTAGAATCGTACAACAAGCAAGAGAAAACGATCGTGACTTGAGGTATGTGAGACTTATCCAACTTACTTCTTCATGGTTATCGAAGATACAATATCCCCAAAAAGGTCCTGGACATACCACGTGTCGGTTCGTCAGAATATATCCCCTCTCCGCGTCGACCACAAACCCAGTCGCCTGACTGCTCATTGATAGTTCCGTATCGAAGGAGCAAGTTTGACAGAAGTGGATCGACACAACGCTTTTCACGACCTCCTCGATGGTGGCCTGCCATTCAGGCGAGTCCGCTTGTGCAGCTCCCAGGGGCAATACCCGACCAGCATCCTCCTCTTCCTCCACATCGTAAACGGTTCCATTTGCGGGCGTGGAGTCGCCGGGCGTGAGTGTGCTAGCTTCGGGCCGGAGATGCTTTGCCGGCCGCTCGACAGGGGCGGCGATCGAGCTGCGCTTGCGCTTGGCGCCTGCGTCACCATTCATATCCATCCGTAAGGTCAAGTACCGATGGCCACGAAGCCTTGGGGATGAGGTAGCGAGCGATGTGATGGAGCGAACCGAGTTAACGTCGGGTTTGTTGATGTTCCTAGAAGCTATGGCACTAAACCATAGACCGGAGCTTAAACGGGGTGTTCGGTGCGTTTGTGGATCGCGACGAAACTTATGTGGTATATGCCCCAAATAGCAGGATAGAGGCGATCTGGGATTCTTGAGCAAGCGAGAATCAATTGAAGGTGATGTGAGGTGGTGTCGTGGTATATCAGGAGAGGAGGAAGTAGGCGGCGAATGCGGCGGCGGCGGCGCGGCGGGAGACAAAGAGGAAGCGGCAGTTAAAGTTGAGGGAGTAATAGTAGTTTTGGGTGTAGCGATAGTAGCGACAGACAGCAAGCTCCTTCTATAGAGTGGGAGCCAGACGCAAGACATTCACAAAGTCCCCAGACAACAAAAACCGTTGAAGGAGAGTTGAAGAGGGGGAAAAGCTGGAAGAGTGACAAACTGCAGGGCGGAGAATTGACTCCGGGCAGAAAAGCTCAGCTGGGCGGCCAGATAGAGGATGCATTCTGATTGGCCATCCACCCTCCACCGCCCATCAAGTTGCAGCACGCATCAGTCTGATGACCTGATCAGATGGATGCACTTGGGGAGAGACAGGGTCAAGGCGACATGCATATATTCAGGATAGTAGTACTAACGGTGGTAGTAGTGGTGGTGGTGATTATGGTGGCACTTATCTACGTCTCTATCAATGCGTGACTATAGTACACTCGAGGGCCGTCTTCTGTCCCTTCCAACCCTCCACCTCAAACCTGGGTGTCTGGCAACATCTCAGACCTCCATCAATTTCTAGTTGTGATTATGCTTGATCCGAAATCCCGCTTTTCTGCCTCACTTCAAGCAAATGCATCTCATCATGTTGTATGAGTTACGGCGACGCGTTCTCCTACGTTGAAGCATGACCCAGTCGACATTGAGCTCATCTCGTCCTTACCCCGTGTCAATGGAGGCTGCATACGGACTTCCGGCGCAAGTATCATAGTGAATGTTTGCGACCAGCACCAGTCAAGTCCAGTCGTCTCGCTTTCTTTGTCGATGCTAGCTCCCAGTACGCGACAGAGGCGACAGGGCAGCTTCCCAGCTTCCGATTCGTTACAGAAGCGCTCAATTGGAGTCTTCTAATGGGCAACATTTGCGCCCGTCGCCAAGAGCCCTCAAGGATTGCCAAAGAGCCTGACTTCTTCCTCTACCACGGCGCAGGTGTTCAGACAACTGTCTCGGTAGCATGAGAAGGACTGGGCCGCCCGTTGCCTTGTAAGGCCTGGTGACTAGGCTGAGAAGTCCCTATGCTACCCTGTGCCGAGCGGGGAAAGAGCTCACTAAGTCGGTTGTAGACTTCGTTCATCGAGGGCATGTTCGGTGGCGGCGTCAAAATCGCAGGGGCGCTGGGAGCAACACCACCTGACTTTTTGGCGCGATCGGCCACGGTTGCGAGATAGCCCAGGTTAGCTTGCAACCGACGCATGCATTCGACATATTCCGGACTTGGGCGTTGGGCAGATTTGTCGGGAGTCTGCTCCGACGTCGGGGACGGGTTAGACTCTTGAGAGCCCTGCTGCGTAGGCGGGACTCCAGCCTTGCCCGCTGCCTGAAGATTCATGACTTCCTGCAGCAACATCGAATTTATCTCCAAGAGAATCGAGACGCGGGCTTTCTCCCGAGCAGCCGCGGCAGGCGACTGGGGGGCGGAGGACGAATTTGGCACTGAATTGGGCTGGGGGGTCGGTCTCGGTTGTTGCGCGGAAATCATATTGTTCGCGGAGATTGAGGCCATATTGGAGGAGAATGACTGTGCAGCAGTCCCAGGAACCGCAGCAGCTGAAGTCGCTTGGGGAGGGATAAACTGGCCCATCGAAGTCGGGACAGGTGGCTGGGCAAATGGCGCCGTGAAGTTGGCGTGGGGTCCTGCTAGTCCATTCCGTTGGTTAGCGGCTTGTCCCTGCAGCCGATTTTGTGTCTAGCTTGAACACTTGGACCAGCATAGCTTCGAGAGCGACAACAACAACAACAACAACAACAACAACAACTAGGATGCAACAGGGGGGACAGGGGAAGGTGACACGGTGATGGAGACCCGCTTAACCACCGGCCCTTTGCGTAGCCAAAGCGTAACCGGATCAGGTGAGATGCGGGTAATCCGATGGATTCCAATGCGACAAAGCACTCGCAGATCTAAGGAGGCCCGATGGGTGGGGAAAGAATAAGGGGAAGGGAGAGAATGATTGGGTAGAGGAAGGATAACGAGAATACAAACCAGATATCACAGGAAGTATTGAAGCATGGGGTGAAGCAAATCAGATAAGAAGGCAATAAGGAAGCACCACTACCACGACCGTGCGACGACAACGTACCTTGTGAATGCTGGGGAAAGCCAGACGGCATCATTGCTCCACCGGGGCCGGCCTGCAGAGGCATGGCATTGAAAGAATGCGGTAGCTGTTGTTGCTGGGGAGTCATATGGGAGGGAGGTGTATTCTTAGGCTGGGGAAATGAGGGCATAGCATTCGGATAGTAAGGGAACTGTTGGGGACTTTGAGTAGTGACAGGAAAAGCCGCGGTCTGCTGCATCGCAGTCGGGAAGCCGGGAGGATTGCTGTCCATGGCGGTGATGTGAATGAAGGAAATTGGCTGGATCGGGGCCCCAAGCTTTCTTTTCCGATCTCTCTTTGGGTTGTTTATTTCTTCTCTTTTGGGCGCAAAAGGAAATGGATTTTTGTTTTTAATTAAACCTTCGACGGAACACGTCCGGCAGAAAGTCAGTGTCAGATTTCCGAACAGTTCTCTGACTCGCGGGAATCCAGGGATGGACGGGAATGCGACACTAAGCCCGTTCCCCTAACGCCTTAGTGGCCTGCGAACGGTGGCTTTAATTGCCTATGGGGTTTTCTGGAACAATCCACGGAATCAAAATGGAGGGGGAAGAAAAGGAACAATTAATAAAAATGCAAGAAAATCAAAAAGGTCAATTTAAGATTAGGGAAGAAGAGGTTGGAGAGGTGGAGGGGCAATGATTGGGTCGATGGGGACACGACAGACAGGCAGACCGATTGTAAGGGGGAGGGTAGAATAGGGAAAAGAAAAAGCGACCACTGAGACTAGAGAGAGGCAAGCTGACAGCTTAAACCCGAAGAGACTGAACCCGGTATGCAGGAAGGGAACAGATGATAGCAATAGTGAGGGGAGTAGAATGGGAGAGGAGGGGGGGCGCGCGGCAGTCAAGTCAAGTCAAGTCAAGTCAGGTCAGGTCAGTTCAGTCATGGATCGAAAGGCAGCGCGAACAGTGGCAGAGGGAAAAGGAAAGGAAAGAGATTTGCTGGCCGGATCCAGTGCGATCAGCCCGCGGACGATTGGATGATAATGCGTGGCCAACCATTCGTCCGGGCGGGCCGGTGGGGGGCTTTCCAGTCACGACCGTACTCGATTTGACCTGTACTAAGCTGGAGTTATGTTCGTGTTGCATCAGTCTGTCATAAGATACAAATGATGAACAGGGTGGGATGATCATGTGAGTTGGGATATGAGGATGAGGCGAGTGCAGCGCCAGGAGAATGGGACAAGAATGTCAAGTCAGGTATAACTCAAGGATACATAGGTGTATTGCAGCTGTAATGTACCGAAGTTACACTTAGACTGCTAAGACAATGCGTGTCAAGGCGGTATCTGTAGTGAAATATTCCTTTTTAGACACCTGAGGCATCTATAGACCGATAGAGTTCCCGATCTGGCAGGCACAGTCACTGGCCCGGGGTCAGTGACTTGGAGGTCCGAAGTCACCGCAACCTCCCATCTTCCACTCTCATCATGACTGCGTAACTGGGATCGAGAGCTCCATCTTCTCTTAGCTCTATCTACCACTTACTGAATCAAGCTGCACATCATTTCCAAAATCGCAGAGAGACCACTGGTGGAGGGCGAAGCACGCATGGCAACTTATTGCTTCGACTACTGTATACGAAGGGCTCGAGGCCCGGTACGGAGAACACCAGACGTTACATCGGGAGATACCCATTGCGGAGGGGAGATAGACGCCGCCAGCTATCGCTCGTTCGCATGATGATGGTACTTTTGAGAAATTGGAAGCAATCCGCCGCGGATCGTCCTCGCAGATCGGGAAGTCTTCCAGAAGGCTGATTCCAGGGTCATTGATGGTTTTCGATAAAGGTACTCATAGTCAAGGTCCTGCCTATCTTAGAACCTGTTTTAACTTTTCTACAAGCTGAGTGGAATCTGTCATACCGATGGAGCCAGGCAGCCCCACGCGAGTTGATACCTCACTCCCGCGAACCCACAAGTCGGAGCTCCGTGCTCAGTTGTACATGTACGTCGTTTCCAACTCGGGGGATTACCGGGGCTCGAACCACCTCCCGGTGGCGTGGTTTGTAAGGCTACTTTTTTGCAGGACTTGCAAGGCAGCCAAAAGAAACCAATATGCCAATTGTGAGATGTTACTCTCGAGTGCTTGGGCTTTCACTGCAGCAGTAGCTCACTTGAGCAACTGTCGGCCTCGGCTCTCGGAAGGATGAAATGGTCGACTTGTTTTGAGGTTGACATGATTCAGTCAATGGTTAAACACGCCCCGGATGCCAAATATATGCATCGAAGCCACCATTGTCAGATAGCGGTCGGATTGTTGATTCACTATCTATCAATAACCCCTTCTCGGCAATACAATAGTTTTAAACGGAATCGCGAAGGCCGGCTGGGATCATAGCTCGATTGATGTCGTTGCCTCAATGTCAGTGTTGTTATTAATAACTGATGCGGGCCATTCATAGAAGACGCTGGAGCGTGCAATAGTCGAGTCGCTGCGTCCGGAAGCCTTCCGACGTGCATGCTGGAATCCCAGCCAGAATGACAGGTCACTTCAACATATGCATTATGCGACCCGCTACAGTCCACCTAACCGACTTCCCAGACGTGTAACCTATGAGACCCAAATCTCTTTACCCTTGGACCCAACGGAAAGGACCGCCCCCGTCAACGGGCCTGGCGTTTCCAATCGCCCGGTAGCCTGTGGTCTCGTCTCGTCGTCCTGCTCGCACACCAATCGCAAAAGTCGACTAAAGGTGCCACAATGATTTTGTCACTTTGGGGAGATTGCAGGGGTCCTTGGGAACGCTGTACCCCGTATCTACACCAAATGTAGATCATCTGGGCGAAAAAGAGCAATGTTGCTCTTCGTGAACCACTCCTTCGGCCGGTGACCAGTCGTAGCCTTACTTCGAGTATAATGAGCGACGCCCACAGCGAGCTGAAAGAAAGTGTGGCCAATGGTTCGGATGCTTCCAAGCATGTTCAATGCCAGCACTGAGGGTCCAAGTACTCTGCAAATTCACACTCGTCGTGTTCTCCATTCTACCCCCAAATATCGCTTCTACTCACCATTGTCGGCCAAATGCCCGATGATGTACTGTACCATATCTAGCACGCAGATGAATCAGGCTCCCAGTAATCCGATTCGAGAAATTTGCCATCCATCCACGATGTCCACCAAGTAATGCAATGTGGCAAGGAACGACTGGGATCTAGACTGCTCCGCTGAACAGACAGTTATTGACAAATTGACGCCTGTCATGTGGATGGCATCGATGATACCTAGCATAGGCGAGATGCCACCTAAAGCTATTTAGGATAATGCCCAAGCAAAAGAGTGTCTGAATGTCCTGATACAGACGGACAATGATATACTCCAGCTGTGGACTTACGGTATCGCAACTGTTTTCCGAGCGCATTTCTCCTATCCCCATAGGTCGTTGTGCTATTCATCGCGATGGGCTCTTGTGTCGTCCTAGTCCCAAGTTGAGTGGGCCATGACCGGCCGGGCCAGGGTCCACACATTAAAGTTTTGACTGATCGACTCGTCCCAGAGTGGAAACCGACGCTCTGCATGGTTAATGCTTCGCTTCGAGACACCCAGTGGGCCACGTAACGATGTTGTTGGTCGTTCAGACAGAACTTGGCCCTTTCCTGGTTCTACCTATGGCTTCTTCATGACAGAGAGAGGCTACCGTCGTTATTCAGAGACAAGTTTCAGCGTTAGTCGCTCTGGGTAATCATCTATTGCACCGAAATTAGCCTCTGCGGGCCACTTCATGCTATTCCTCGAGTGGAGCAAGCGATACGATCAGTGCCTGACACCCGATGCGTGAAGCAAGGAGTGAGGAATTAGCGGAATTAAGTCACTTGCTAGAGAGGCAATGGAATTGACAGGAGAAAAGGTGAACACAAAGATTACCGGGATTGGGCAGTGCACTTCGTGAGGAGCATTCTCCACCCAAACCATCATGTCAACATCATACCAATTACTTTGAACTGCTGTAGATGGTCCTACTGACAGACCTTAGGTGGACGCTACTCCCTGATCGTCTATCATTTGCACTGCATGCGAATGGGGCTTGAATTGCCGGTGAGTGAATGATCGACGATGGCAAAGGCCTTTTAGAACCGAATAAACTGCATCTACGGGGTAGCGGCCGGCGGCTCATTCCCCAAGAACTATCAGACTACTATACGGGTTCCTTACCCGTTCAGGGAAAACGCAAGAGGTCGTCCCCCAGTAGAGGTAGCGGATGGTAGCCAACGCAGAAACACATTAGTATTCACACCGAACTGCAACCGAGCGGATGAGGACCCATCCGCTGCTGTGCCACATAGAGCCACGCATTAGTGACACGGCTCGGGCGTATCCACCGGTTCAGTTCCTATTGCATCGCCTTATTATGGTGGTTTATTTTGATTAGTGCTTTTCGAGGGAAAAGAAAAGGTCATTAGGGCTAATGGTGATGCAGTGGGTGCATCATCCGTCCGGAGGCGACCCAGGGGACAGCTGATACCTGGATCGAGGTCGATCCTGTAGGCTTGATACAGTCTGTGGATCTATTGATCATTCCGTCCATTTGGTTTGCCTCAAATTTGCCCCAGACCGTCTCTGATGCATGTTTAAAATACCCTCTCTCGTGCCCTGTCTCTGACTCGTCGTGAGTACTTCTATGTGCCTTGTACCCCTCTCACCTGCTGTGTCAGAGCGAGCTTTTGAAGGCCCGATTGTGTTAAACATTGGTTATCTTGACTTGTCAGCATTTCTTGATTGTTTCATTGCCATGGTATTGACTCATGCTGGCGGCGATTCGTAACCGAAGCTGACTGTCTTAGTCTCATACCCCCGTATCGATGGATGCGCCGTTAGACGGGCTGGCCTGTCTGCACTTTGCCTTGATTTATATCGATGACAACGGCAAGCTGCGTTTCGAAGCATCGCCTTCGATTGCGAATAGCTGCCAGACGATTTTGTCACCAAATGTGACCGAAAACTTCCTAAGAGCCGTGGCCCTGGCTGGGAAAGGCGACTCGAATAAACTTCTAGGTATGTCCCGCGCTGCCGCAGTTTCAAGTCAGATTCGCGCTGATATCGGTGAAAGAAGGGTCGAGAGGCCGAAGTCCTTTGTCGCCAGAGTCTCCTAATAGCAAATCTATGTACGACAGTGCCTCCTCCCTGGTAGTGATTGACGTCTAACATGTTCCAGGTATAATCCCACCCCAGAGCCTTCGTCAAACAAGCGGAAACGGGTGTCCCATGAATGCCTTGTGCCAATGAGCATAACCTGCCACCAAAAGACCATGCTTCCTATTCGCGACGCCAGTATACTCCGGAGATACTATGAGAAGGCCTTCGATGGCCTACAGCAGATCAACTGTCGTATTCTTGCCAAAGCATATATCAAGCTTGTTGAGCCCCGCAAGCAGGTCAACTATCCTTACAATGGACGCAAGATCATTTCTGGCACTTCCCAACAATTTGACCCCGAGCTCACCAAGCCCGCCTGGTGGCCGGCGGGTGTCACCCACCGAGAGCCTGACCACCTTCTCAAGAATGGTAAGTGAACCGACCGATCGGCGTCGTGAAGCCCGCTAAATCATGGCGATCGAGCAGATCGAGTTCGACTCCTGGTGCACATTCTTTGTGAATTGCGCGAAAGCCACGGTATCTGCGTCGAGAAACTCAAAGAAGCGGACCAAGCCGTGCGTCGGCAAATTGCACCCGTTGAACGGTTAGCCATACTCGATGAGATCTACCACGTTCGAGAGGAGGAAGAACGGTATTTGGATGGCCGAACGGGTATGTATGCTCCTTTTAGCCACGGAAACTTCACCCCAGACTGACATGGCTCTAGACGGACCCATGGTTGTATGTGTATCACGCGTTCATCTCCCCGAGCAGCTCGCAGACAGCCAATCCATGGGCTCCCCGACTAGCTCATCCATGAAGGACGGCCTCAACCCAGTGTATCGCAAAGAAATCCCCGACCTGGAGTCCCATACCTCCGTCTTCCCTTCCACCAACAGCTCCCCTGTCATATCGAAAAGCAGCAGCGGCACCATCACCGCCACCACCAACCCAAACACCAGTCCCGCGAAATCCCTGGAGCCCTGCAAAGGCCCCAGCGTTCAGGTATCATGGGACAGCAGCACTCCGACTTCATCATATGCACCCCTCAGCGGTAGCAACACCCTGAAGCGGCCTCGCGAGGGGGACAGCACGACCACATATCCGCTCGACCTGGCCAGCGGCTCCATGTACCACCACCACGAACCATCCTCCCTCGACGCCAGCACGTACCCGCTCAAATATTACCCCCACACCCAGGCGCAAACGACGCTGCCTGTAATCGGACTATCGAGCACCGATCTGGGAGGCTGCCCGAACCCATATTATTTTAATTATTGATTGACTTCAGCGACATTGCATTTTCTTTTGTCTGCATCATGAGGGAGAGGAGAGAGAAAGAAAGAGGGGAAGAAAAACCTAATCTCGCTCCCACCGGGTGGTTGAGAGGGGTCGGTTCCTCTAGGCTCTACCGACTAACTTTAGTTTCTAATATCGAAAGAGCCCATCATATATAGGGGCGGTCAAGGGCAACCGGGGTGAGGTATCTCCTTTGTACTTACCAAATTTTCTTTTGTTTCTTTCTTTCAGTTCGTGCATTTCGGTTTGCATTTGCATAGAGGAGGCTTGAGTTGTATAGATTTCTATAGAAAAAAGGAAGGAAGGGGAAGGGTGAGGGTAAGGGGCTCAGGCATTGACGTACTGTACATATAGATTGAAGAATATACTTAATAATCAAATGAGATATTAGACATGCAAGAGACAAGCCATCACATAACTGGTACCGAGAATAGAGGAGAGTAAGTAAGTAAAAGAGACGAGAGAAAAGAAGAAGAACAGCCTTGCAATCAATTCACCTGGGCCACCACCAACAGTTATATCTAAGGGGGTAAATGCAAGACGCTATAAATCTCGCAGGACCGCGACATAACCCCGTCCATCTAACGCAAGGGATGGGCGACGTCAGCTGGTTTTCGTGTTCGATGCTTCTGTTGTTTGCGTTCGGGAGTTTGGTTTTCTTGAGACGTGTGGGGTGCGTTAGCTGGGGATGAGAACCGGGGTTTGGGTGAGTTTGGGTTGGAGATCCCGAGGGAAGAGATAGGTCGGATTGAGGAGTTGGCTCGGGGAATTTGAGGAAGGGGTTGTGCGGATGTGCGTATGTGCGGGATGAAGCTTGTGTGCTGAGTACAGTATGCTTATTTGGCTGGCTTATTTCTATTCAAGGTAGATGGTTTGGTTGGTAGGTAGCTAGGTATTAACCTGTACTATATCGGGCTGATTGCTTGGTGGTTCGAGGTCTATGGTATGTAGAGATTGTGGGCCTCAGGCACCATGGATTGGCAGCTTTTACAGGTCTCTCCTATTTTGATTGTTCCCTTCGGGAGAAGTGGGTAAAGCTGCTACTGAAAGTCCACGTCGTACCCTACCGTCCACACTCTCCAGCTTCGCAGACTGGAACCCCGTACATCCATTCTGATCGCAGGGCCTGAGATATCCTCAGTCGACGCGAGGGGAGCGGGTCTAACAGGGCGTAGATGACGTTTCGACAGGGTTCCTGTTGCCCAGCATACATAGCATGTTAACAACGAACGGATCATGCATCCTTGCAATACATAGTGGGGAGAAGAAAGATAACTTACCTCTCCCAGCCCTTCGACTAACAGGAACCCACCCTCTTGCACCCTCTCTTTTACATACTTGGCGTACAGAAGGTCCTCTTCCACTTTGGCTACGACCCAGGGTGCTCCGCCTGTTCGCATGAATAGGTATATCACCCCAAGGGCCCAGGCGTCGATTGCCCTGGGGTTGAGTGCGTTGATGGTCTTATCGCGAGGCAAAGGTGGACGGTATACCTCTGGTGCGTAGTATGGGCCTTTGGTGGCGTGGGGTTGAGTTGTGGAGGAGGGCGATAGTCGCACTTTGATCTGTATGGTTCCTTCTCCGGCGAGATAAATGTCTTCTAGTTTGAGATCTAGGCCTGTTCCTGTGGTGGGCTCAAGTGAGTGGTCGTAATGATGGTGGAGGTACGCGACTCCTCGGAGCAGCTGCTTGAAGAAACAATCTGCTTCCTCGGGAAGGAGCTTGCTTGTGGACTGGATTAGGTCGCGTAGTGTGCCCCCTGTGCAATAGGGGGTTATTAGGTGGTGGTTGCCCGCATCGTCAATGATGGGGGGAAGGAATGGGAGGAGGATGTTGGGGTGGGGGCTGTTGATTGTGTTGGACTCTGGAAATAGAAAGTGTGAAGTGAGTTGAGACGAGGAGGGGATGACCTTGACGGCATAGATTCTGGGCTTGCTGTTGGCAGGGGCGCGGGGACGCAGTCGATAGAGATGGGTGCTGCTGTTGACGCTGTGGTGGAGGGTGGTGAGGTAGATGCCGTATCTGGAGATGGCGGAGTTTTGGGGGTGGTGAGGATTGTTTCTTTTGTTGTCGAAGCTGAGAAATTGGAGCTTGGAGGTGGGGAGTGTGTGTTGGTGCTTGCTGTGAGGTGGTCGTGGTGTATATGATGGTGTGTAGGATGGTGTATACGGTGGTGGTGGCTCACTGGGGAGAGGCTGGAATTGGTATCGATAGGGTATTGATAAGGTCATTGTGTCTGATGGTAGCTCGATCATTACGCTGTTGTCTCAGAGATGAGTGAGGCGAAAGGTACAGTCAGTATCCTTGAGAAGAACAATCTTGTGGAATTTTCAGGCAAGGAGGCGCCACATTCAATGCCATCTTGGGATTGTCCTTATATCTCCAGAATCCAACCCCTTGATTGTCATTCGCTTCAAACAATTGACGCAACAATAAGTCGGTGACAGCGTCAGAGCTGGGGCTAAGCATTGCTGGTGCCTGGATTGCACGTGGAATCCTCCTGATCGACTGGACCAGCTTTCCTCTGACACACTCGAATGGAGATCCATCTCCGCCTGCCCAAGGCTGTGGTTGTTTGTACGAGGGATTTTCCCCGTCCAGTTCTGAGAATTCCGCCGGGCATTTCTTTCCCGCTGCGGCATTTATCCTCACCCTCTCGTCATCGAGCTATCTCAACTCATTTATGACTTATCGGAGAAATAAAGCCACAGAGTTGTGTTTCTTAATCTTCTGAGGGTTAGTGTCTGCGAAGAAGCTGCCAGGTGAATGGCTAGTCGTGGGTCTGAAAGCAATTGACTGGATGACCAATCTGGAATTGAAGGTGAAGCCAGAACAGAACGCACGTTGATTTCTCGAAAAAGTGTCAATGCTCCAGATTGATGTTATAGAGTAAAATCAATCTAGGGCCTCCGAAAAGCCTCAGTGTTTCGCCCTCTACGTTTTGCACCAAAACCAACCGAGCCTTTCAACTTCGGCACAACAAATAGTCCATGGTTGTCGTCTTGGTGAGAGACGCCTCATTAGGTCTGGCAATGACCAAGTCTGTCTATAAAAACTGCATTGCTCGAGTCTCTCGCGCTTCTATTACGGACTGAGGTAATATACTGGAAAGTTGCGAAGATGAACGATCATACTAGTGCCCGGGTGTCAGACCGACTGTAGCCTTTCCAAAACCTATGCCAAGGTGATATCTCGACGACTAATCGTATGCGTCTAGTGCGTCTCAGAGTCGACGCAGAGGCACCTTTTTCGGAGCTTGAAGAACGATTGCTCACTTCTGTCAGGAGTCCCTTTCGAACTCAACACTACCATGTCGTTCAACGGCCAGAGATGTGTGCGACAGCTTCAGGATCTAGAGCGTGACTTACAAAAGCCCTCAAGCATTATATTGGCGGTATGAGCCCTGCGAATTGAAATGCGAATCATGATCGTGGGACCTGTTCTGGCAAGAGCCTCTGGGCGTTTGCCCCTGCCTTTACAGATTGAGATTGCGAGGTAATCCTCGAAGAAAACCTCAGCTGCTCAACCCATAACTTTCTTTATCACAGCATATCTATCTCTTCATGTCTTTTTTACGATACTATTGTCCCTATTGTTCCAAGCGTATGAAAACCTGGCAATCTTGCAAGCCAACTCATAGCTCCTTATCCTATTGGTGCAACACTCGCAGTCTTTCTCGCAGACTCCATTTCTGAAGTGCTAGGCTTCGATCTCTCCATTCATATCCCCATCTTGGTGGTGCTACAGCGGGCAGACGCGACGCTGTTAACTTCGCCCAGGCGAGAGGAGTATTGACATCTTAGCAGAAAGCAACAAGGTTAGCTCTATACCTCATCATGCTCTCCCTCGACCCCTGACACCACACTTGACGAAACCTTATTGACCGAAATAAGGGCAAAGAGAATAAAGACCTGCAGTATCCACCATGAGCGACGTCCCTGAAAGCACGGCAGTTATGGAGCCCGAAGAAGTAGAGTCTGATCAGCATCCTGCTTCCCTCGACACCCACTCCTACGAGTCCTCCGAGCCTCCAGAAAGTGTGGTATTAGTGCCACTCAGACAACCCGAATTCGGTACTCACCCAGCTTCTCCCGACACCCATCATGAGTCCTCTGGGTCCCCCGAATTCCCAGAAGAAGTGGCATTGGCACCACTCAGAGAAGCAGAATCTGCTACTCACCCAGCTTCTGCTGATACCCAATCCCACGAGTCCTCCGAGTTTCTAAAAGGCGTGGCATTGGCACCACCCGAAGAACCAGAATCCGATCGTCACCCACTCTCTTCTGATGCTTACTCTCACGAATTCTCTCGTCCTCTAGGAGGATTGGCGTCGGAGCAACTCAGAGAGCCAGAATCTGATAATCACCCAGTTTCTTCTGATATTTACTTGCACGAGTCCTCTGAGCCTCCAGGAGGCGTGGCATTGACACCACTTGAAGAACCTGAATCTGATGGTTACCAAGCTTTTACCGGAACTCACCCCAACGAGTCCTCCAAACAGGCAGGAAGCTTGACGCTAGTGTCACCCAGAGAAGAACCCGATTATCACCTAGCTTCTTTCGACACGCACTCCCAGGAGTCCCCCAAACTAGGGCGGTCACCCTCACCAGCCAAGTATGAACCAGAGCTGACCTTCAAGTTGCCCCCAAATCAGCACATCCCAGAGAGAGAATGAGAATAACTCCTCTTCCCAACAGCTTCCGCAAATCTCTGCATCTCTCTTTTCAAATTCTGGGTGGAGTAAGAAAAACTAACATCCGGGTTATAGTCCCTACGCTACGGCGCCCGTCACCCTTAGACTAGGCGATACCTTCTATACAATCCCAGAATATTTCCTTCGTCCCTACAGTCACCTCCGGTACGATCCCCATGGTAAGACAGGAACCTACGAGGACCCTCATACCGGATGTCGCATATCATACCATGCCTGGTTGAAGGCCCATCCTTTTGGCGCGCGCACAATCGTCCATTATCTCTACACCGGCGAATACCTGGCGATCGACTGTCCTCCGCTTGAGGGCGGCGCCACTACAGCCGCAGAACAGAGCCGGATTTACCTGGAAGATGAGTTCCTGCGTGCCGCTTTCACGTACACCGACGCCGCGCGGTTCGAGATATCTGGATTGATGAAAATAGCGGGAACCCAGCTGGAGGAAGTTGGAAGGAGGGTTTCACTGCTGCTGGTCTTGAACATTGCGCGAGCGACGTATTTAATGGATTCGCTCGAGAAGGACGATGGCTGGTATAAGGGCTACCTGAAGAGGAGGTTGATGGTCGAGTTTGCGAAAAATAGAAGGAGTTTCAGGGAAGTGTTCTGGAAGTACGGGGTTGGGTTGAATGCGAGGCTTGATAAGTTTCTGATGGATGAGGTGTTGCGTCTTTATGAGCTTGCTGATGCCAAGGCGAATGCCAATGAGCCGGCTGAAGAGAGTTCAGGTGCGAGGGAGACCATGGGGTGCGATGGTGAAGGTGAGGCTGTGGTTTGATGCTTCGCAAGAAAAAGAACTACGTGAGGAGTAGAAGGTAGGCCAGTCTGTCACGTTGTTCTTCGGGGGAAAGCGTAGTCGGATAGGAAGTGTGCTGGGGACCGAAAGGTTGCTGGACAGCATACCGGAGGTCATTGATTTCTTGTTTTTTTAGGTAGTTATAGATGCGCTCAAGTATATAAATTCACTCGTTTTAGCTTTTTATCCTCGAGGGCACGTTCACTAGCTTACACTTTATGGCTTTACAATGGCCACAGGCTGTCCGATCTTGGGATGAGGACTATGTCCTTAAAACACGGTGAAGAGCTTAGGATGTAACATGCTTTACTCGAAAAAGTCTGAACCGATGCCCGGCAATCGATACTCATAGATGTGTAAGGCAATACATTGTGTTCTCCCTCACCGGGAAAAGTCGCCTGCTTTCCTGCTGCTTTTGCTCTCCGGCTGTGCAGACTCACCACAAAGGCCGCTAAAGCTTAGTCTTGGGAGCGCTGACTTCCTCTGCCGCCCACTTCTTCAAGATAGCTCTCTGGATTTTCCCACTTCCAAGTTGCGAGATGTCGTCGACGATCTTCACACCCCCAGCAAGTTGCTTATGCTTCGCAACGCGGGTCTTCATGTACCCTGAATCTCCTCGGCAGTCAATCGCCAACCATCCTTCAACCGCACATACGCTCGGGGCCGATCATCCCCTTCCCCAACCGAGATACCAACCACCCCGGCATCAGCTATAGCCTCAATCTCCAGTAACACAGCCTCCAATTCAGCAGGCAACACCTGCAACGCATTGACCTTGATAAGCTCCTTCTTTCACCTCACCAGTCACCATTCAAATTTATACCGGCCTGCCACTGCATCCGGCTCGACACAGCCAGTCCCTTCTTCCTGGCAATCCCCACCGCTGCAATGACCCGAGGCTAGACCTCCACGTTTTATACGAGACAGCAAGCGCCAATGGCATAGGCAGAGTGCACGGCCAAGTTCTGGAATGGCCGAGGGTAGATCTCTGCCATGCCATTGCTTCACGCAATAGCCAATCTCCTTCGGCCCTGGGTTGCCGCCACCGAAGTGGAGAGATGCGGAGAGAGTCTGGGGGAATTCTGGGGTAGTTTACGCTCGGACAGTGTGGGTCGAGGTCCCTTTAAGACATCGCTGCCAGCTGGAAAATTTTCAAGAAGACTCCACCCATACAAACTTTTTTGCTAGCTCGTCACTATGTCTACCCCAAACGCAGGCGGCAGGGAAGAAGACCCCAACGGCCTGGCCCTTGAGAAAGAATCGGGCATCGACCATGTCGAAGTTGCGCAAGAGGTTGAAGAAATACTTGGACTCAGGTCTGTCGGGGTAGACCAGGAAGGGATTATATAGGACCAACTCTGTAAGCAGACCAGAAGCAAGTTTAGTCTCATGTGCTTAACCTTGCCGGACTACGCATACTCGTATTTTCTGCCCATCATCCTACGTGACGGGAAGGGCTTTCAGTACCACGGCGTCCCGGCTCCTGAGCGGCCTGCCGTACGTCCTGGCTGCTATTCTGGCGTTGGGCTCGGGCTGGCTGGGCGACCGCTACCACCTTCGCGGGCCCATTATCGCCGTGCATCAACTGATCACAGCTAGTGGCATGCTCATCGCGGTATATTTCAAGTCGAACGCTGCGCGATACTGTGGTGCATTGCTGGGTATGTTTACCTTAAAAGATCCACACTCAAGCGGTGTTGCTTGCTAATTTGAAATACGCAGAGTAAAGGTATCGGTTTCCTGCAATTTTGCGTCCCCGGGATCCTAACCTTCCCAGCGAACAATATCACCACGCACTCCAGACAAGGGGTTGCGTCGACCGTGTGCCTCATCGGCGGGGGTATTGGTGGCGTGGTGGTCAGCTGTGCATTCCTAGCAAGCGACTATGAGCAGTCGTGCAAGTGTCGAGCCTCGGTATAAAGGGATAATTGGTAGAGATCTATATCCGGTATTTAATAAGTATTGAAATCAATTATCCGGCTGTACAGTACCACAGTTAACTATAAGTTAATTTCCCTGCCCCGTTTGACCTCTATTATTCAGAGCTACCTTATCCGCCACAAGAAGATCTGTCACCGTATAAGTAGTATAGTACTCACTATACCGCAATACCCTACTTTCTTGGGCTTATTCTTTTCCTCTCCGCTTATAGTACCTAGCATCTCTCTGAGTACTATATCTCACCCCTTTATATATACAGGACTCTCGGCTCCTTAGTACTCTTACCCTGCCCTGAAAATAATTCTAACCTCTTGGAGATCTTCTGGTTGTCCAGGATAATCCCATCCAGACTCACAAGTATCATAATATTCGATGCCCATATCTCGTCCGAGTCCGCTCTTCCTCGTCGTAGCAGAGCCGCAGATACAGGCCTTCGTCTCGCGCACTAGAGTGCGTGGCTTGGTAGTGAATAGCTATCCTCAGGCAGTAAATACTAGATAGATCACAGTTAATATACTGTCCTATTATATTCACTGAGCTGACTGCCAGTGGGCTCTGGTTTCGTTTCTTAACTAGATTTAGTTATAATTTGCCCGGGACTGCTGTTAACCCTCTTTAAATCTATTTAATCCTCCTGATCCCTTCCCATTTTTCGGTCTCTTCCTTTCCATGCCAGTCTAGTCTTCCATAATCGTCTCTAGACTTACGCGGTCATCCCCAGCCTTCTACATTCCTCTCCATTTCTCTCCAGTCTTCTACACTCTTCTCCAGTCCAGTCTAATTCCGTCTGGTTATCTGTTATCTACTACCTACTACTCCTGAAGAACCCCAGCACCTTTTTTTAGATTTATTCTTTAAGTAAATTCTCTCCAATCTCCTCCGCTTTATCGACTGTTAGAATAGAAGGTGGCTATCTATCTACCGAGTTTAGTTAAGGCGGTCTGTCGCGTGCTATTGCTTCTGGTCTGTTTACAGAGTTGGTCCTATATAAGCCCTTTCTGGTCTACCCCGACAGACCTGAGTCCAAGTATTTCTTCAAGATCATCAAAGTATCTACTGCAAAAAACGACCAGGGCCAGCGCTCTAATCTTGTGTGCTTTATGTTTTCGGTTACTGTGCCCTCGGTGCACTGGTGACTAATAATGTTCAGTAGACTGTCTATATATTTCCCGTACACGAGTTCTGGATTGCTGAAGCTAGTATTATCTTGAACTAGGTATGCCCTCTCCTCTTTGCCTTCTTTCTTCACCAATTTACTGTTTTTTATTTACTAGAATAATTCCCTACAGTATCCAGATCAAGTCTCGTACTACTCGTATCCTTGAGACTTTACTAATCATAAGCCGTGGTATCTTTACTACCGACCCCTGCCACACCTCTGATAAATAGATCTTCCGCGATAGTATTCACCTCCCTGATTACTGGGCGGGCTGCTGTACCGAATATCACCTAGTAGGTGATGAGACTGAGTACACCTCGGTGGATACGACACTCTTACAAATTTCAACCTCTTGATACCGACCAGATCAATTTCGCCGTATTTACCCAGCTGGAGGATTGATTCGTATCACCTACGTATCACCCTCTTGCCTGGTTCTTTCCTTCTCCTGTTCACCAGTCCCTCCTTCTTCCATGGGCAGTCTTTCTAAAAGCCTGACATACACCGTCAGTATACCTTTTCTTGATCTGCTGGTTGTTGGCTGTGCTTCCATCGCTAATTCAAATAGACTGGCGTATGGGACCACTGTCGCTCTGTCGCTTACGAGCGTCCTCATGATTGGACTCTCCTCGATGTCTACTTCTGGACACAAAATAAGGCGATCAAGGCTGGAAGGGCCGTCGTTGGGGCAACGCCAGGATGGCTGTACGCGATCTAGCGTCACGACGCAGCGAGGTGGAGATCGATGGGGCAGATCTCTCGCTTAGTACCCTCGGTTGAAGCTGTGCAGTCTATAGCAGGTTGAGTCTTGTCTATTTTTACAAGGCTTGACACCTCTCTCTGTATCAAGGTAATGGGAGTAGGAGTGCCATTACCACTGGATGGCTGATCCACGTACTGGCCCAGTGTCAAGCAACGTAGTATGGAACGATGAAAACTGCAGTGAGTGGTATTGATGGGACGCTCAGACATCATCACTGTCTCGCATTTTCTTTGGTATTTAGATAATTTAGCAAAGTATATACAGTAAAGCAGTGTATCACTTCATATGAGGGGAGATCTAGGGGATTACGCTAAAGGTTGGACTTTAAGAGTGGTAGTCTACACCAAGGACTTAGAATCCAAGACAGAAGATGATAGATCATATTTATCAGGATCTTCTGCGGGATCGGAATGAGTACTCCTTACAGTGTATAAGCAGGTGCCACAGTGATACTGAGAGCTTTATAGCGGGGGTGCTGACCTCGCCACTCATAGCGGAAAATATGTCGGTTGATGTCATGCGGATCTAAAAAATTCATCCAGATGGCCTCGAATGGACAATCGTCCAACGTCCCGTCACTTTACGTCCACAAAAAACGTAGAACCTTTTAGTACACTGGGTCAAACAACTTCCTGTGAGGGGCGTAGAGAACGGTGGGGTCTTGCAGGATACGACTGTCGCGAACCATTCCACTCTGTTCGACATCAGCTGTGAAATGATCGGAACGTTCTTTGATATGTAGGTGCTTCAATGCCAGTAGACTGTATTCATGCAATTTGTTAAGCATGTCCAGTCAGTCATTGATATAGCTTTCCTTGTCAGGATCACTGTTATCTTTATTAATCGGATCGGCCGCACCAGACAGCCGAGCAACCCGGTGCAGGATAAACTGCATGTGCAGGAGATCCCAGCTGAGAAGAGATAGTTTCTCTGGGTTGGAGGTTTCAAGCGTGAGCACGTCCCCGGTCCAAATCTGGACAATTTGATCGAATACAGGGTTCTTTGTTAGGCAGCTTCTCGATGCTGATTTTGATACATAGTATGATCCTCCGTGAGTTTGCTTGGCGTAGGAAATTCTATTAATGGTGTCTTGGGCTTGAGTCCGGGATCATGAACCCTGAGAAATTGAATGTTTATGATCTCGCTATCTAGGACAAGAGTATTGTTTAGGCGTACGCCCAACGGTGGCCACGAGTCAGCGTGGCCTGTCAAGGGCTTCCACACGGAATCCACAACTGGCCAGGAGTCACGCGCTGCTCTGTCGTCGGGCTTCGCATCGCCTCTCGTCCAGCGGTTCGGTGCTGGTTCTTTTGCCACCATGGCCTTATATTTCTGGTACCGTTCTTCGACAATGCGTTCGTCGACTTTGCGAAGCCTTGCTGGCCCGGGTCCGTTCCTCAGCTGGAATTCAGCTAACTTGCAAGAACCGACTGGAAATTACCGAGCACTGGGACTGGAGGTTGCCAGGCGGCGCCTGTTGGAATTGCATTCTAATAGCTGGCGAAAGCGGCTGCCAGGTACGAATATTTCAGCTGGGATTTGTGCTGTGATGTCCTCGGACCAGAATATAGAGGCTTAGTGCTTGATTGAGCTTGCTAGGCAGAGTGTCTGCTATTCCTGTCCTGCGTGTGCTGATTTCTATACTGTTATGTAGGTGTCGTGCTGAATATACTCAATCTGTAGGGTTTGTAAGTGAAATGCTTTCTTAGGATTGCGGCTTGTAGACGGAGAAATGGAGAAGAGGTGTATGTTCTGGCAGAGGAGTGGTCATGAGGGCGTGGTGAATAGAGCAGTGGGCGACAGGCTGAAGGACATCAGTATCGGAACCTTATATCCATCTGCACCGAGACTCAACTCCACTTACATCAAGCTTCGGCAAGGATCTGCAGGGTGCTGGAAGCGTGCTATTCTTTTGATTTCAGTGCATACACCTTTAATAAATCACCACCGTCCTTGAGGGGTCCAATAGCTTCGCCCACGCCAGTCCTCTCAGTCGCTCAGCGTAAGCAGATGCCCCTTCCTTTTAATTCGCCCCTCAAGCATTGTTTTTTGAGCCTAGTCGAGCAATCGAGCAAGGTACCCAGCATCGCCTCCCTACCACGCATAGCTCGAGCTATTATTAGACTTAACAAGCGAGACACATGGAGGACCTCTCGGGAAAAATAGCTGTATGCCTGTGCCCGAAACCATCGCCGCACTTGCCGGAAAAAAAGATATGCTTTCATCTCTGGATCTGCTTCAGCCACAACATCAATATCACTCATGTCGATATAGCCAGGTTACTCCTCGATCAAAGTGACGCTTTCCGCCAGGATCAATGCCCAGACGTTCGACTTCGCCCGCAGATGGAACTGGCTCTCGAACTTGAGTTCATCGGAGACAAAAGCACGCAAGTTGGTAGACCATTGGACACGCTTGAATGGAGGATGTCGCTCGCAAACGCCATGGCTCTGCCTCCTGAACGTTGGAATTGACCTCAGATAGAACAGGTATCTTATGGTATTTCCTGCGTACGAGCAAGCGCAGAGGTCGTTTATCTCTGTCGTTTCTCGGGACCGTGACTTTGAGACACTTTTGGTTTGGGTGGCGTGCCTCATTCAGGAAGCTCGCTTTCTCTGGTGTAGATTCGGATAGTTGCCGGATCGAAGTCAGACTGCGGTTAATATTTTGCTTAATGATTGGTATGCATTCAGCATCACATCAACTTCTTTTCCTGTGTCGTTGGCACGTGGATGGCGAACCGGTTCACATGGGATCTTGTCTCTCTCGAGTTGCTCATCGCTCCGGATCCGCAGGTCGCGGAGCCCATCCGGGAGCTTGTCGATGATACGTACTCGAGATTCTCCATTTACGGTCGAGATGAGGGATAGGTGGCAGTACAGTTGAGTTGATGTTTCTGACTTCAAGTGCTGTACTTGCACCCTGGATGCGGGTGTATGTCCTTCATCCATTTGTTTAGCTCGTCATAGGGTGGAATGGCGAACATGGTCCCTATGCCATATTTAAGGACTGTGTAAGCTGTATCAAAGATACTAATTATATAGAACAGAGAATTTTCAGGATATAGTATCAATCTTATGAGGACACAGATGTAGACTGAAGGATGGAAGAAGATGAGAATGGGGAAGAAGCAGGATGAGGAGAAGGAGGCCCTCTTCTATTGACGGTTGAGGCCTATTCACTGTCGTGCTTGATGGTGATTACCATGGTCTCATTGAATGAGAACGACCATAACAGAGTGAAATAAGCTCTCGCGATACAGTTGTAATGCAAAGAAAGGCTTTGAAGTAATAAGAAATGAGACCAATTCACCCACAACGGCTTCCGAGCTACACTAGAATTTGTGCTGAGCCGTACTGTAGAACTTGTAAGAAGATATGCACAAATTAACCTGAATGCCCCCATGGACACAAAGGATTTAGCGCCAGTATCTCTAGATTGTCCATCCTGTTTCGAACGATTTCCACTCAGGAAAATTCCGGTGAAGTCTATAGCTTTTTAATTCATGTCTCAAATTCTATATTTACATTAGCATCAACTGCCGTGGCCGAAAGGTCCCCAGCAAGATCGGTAAAGAGGTATCATGACCAAGAGTTCTTGGACACGAGCGCAGCCCCAACGTGGCAGATCGTTGTGATCAGTGCCAACCCTGATTCTGACATAGTCCAGGGATCCTGAACAATCTGTCCTGCCTCGTTCTCCGGCCGGGACTCTCAAAAGTGGATAGACCGGCTATCCCCGCGCGATGGACAAACCATCACCGCTCAATTCAACATCACGAACGGGATCTCTCTCAACCGGACTTCCGAGCCTTCATCTCGGCAATGAACTTGGCCGTCTTCGACGTAGGGATCACATAGATCTTGACCAGCTCATCCACGACCTCCACCTTGCCACTACCCAGAATCTGCAACAGGGGCAACTTCTTGCCGGCCTTGATCAGACCGCCCGTGACAGTCTCCATGAAGCACTCCACCGTGTTCGTCGTGTACTCATGCTTGGAATCCCACGGCAGCGGGAAGATGTAATCCAGATGATCCTCGATGCAATGCATCTCAGAGAACGCCTTGATAAAGTCCGTCTGCGCGTCCATGTGATAAAGCAGCACGCACGGGAACTCGAGGGTACTTTCGGGCGACAGCGGGTCAGGTGAGAGCTTGATGCACGCATCCTCCATCTCCGGCGGCGAATCGGTCTTGCGCGTACGGATCCTTCTCGCTTGCAGCGCGACGCTCAGCAACTGCGCCTCCTTCTGCCGGCGCTCCTCCTCGGCCTTCCGCTTGGCCGCGACACGCTCCACCGTGGCTTTGCGCTCCGCGATCTTGCCCGCAACCGTCTGCAGGGACTTATTCTCCGGATCGATCGCCAATCCGCGCGCGGCGGCGTCCTCCGCTTCGGGGATCTTATCAAGAGCGAGCAACGCCGACGCAGATCGATAGAAGGCTTTGACGTTCTTGGGGTTGAGTTTCAAGGCGGCGGCGCAGTCGAGAGTCGTAGAGCGGTAGTTCTCTGTGTCCCAGATACAAAACCAATTAGCAACCGTTCTCATCAACCCCACTCCCTCCCTCGCAATCAAGGAACAAGATAAAGGGCCATACTCACGCAGCTCCAGGTTACACAGCGCACGATTGATATAACATGCCGCCTCGACCTCCTTCAGCAACTTCTTCTCCGCCTCCTCATCCTCAGGCTTCTCCCACTTATCCTCCTTAGCCTGCAGCACCGCAATGGCCTTGGTATAGTGCTCCTTGGCATCGATCCACCGCTTCTCCTTCGCCGTCTCATTGCCCTCACTCCGGAAACTCTGCGCCACCTCACCGCGGGTACCTTCATTCTGCAGCGCGCGTATCGCATCCAGCATGACGTTCTCGCCATCTACCGTAAAGAAAGTAATCCCGTTAGCTCAGCATCGCAACTATTTGCTCCCAGCCTCAAATCCAATTCGACCGCCAATCTTGCACCCCACTCTAAACCAGCCAGAAGAAAGGAAGTAGAAAACACATACTCTCATCCAACGCCTTATCCAGATCCGTCATGAACAACGGCGTCCGGTTCAGGATATCCGCCAACTCGTCCGTCGTGTGCGTCTGCACCGCCTGCATCGTCGGCGGCATCCGCGGCGCCATCGGATCGTCGCTCTCCACATCCTTCAGGCGTTCGTGCTTGATGGGTAGGATTTCTTCCTCTGTTGTTGCGGCGGCGGCTGCGGCCGTCGCGGCGCCATCGTTCAGGTTGAGTGACTCGTCGAAGTCGTCGGGAAGTTCTTCAATTTGACCCATTTTTTCGAGGATTGGATCTTGTGGCGAGGGTGTAGGAGCCGAGTGGAAAGGGTCGTGGTGTGAGGGACGTGGAAGGGGGGAATAAGAAAGTGATGCGATGCGATTGCGATTGCGATTGCGCTGAGGAAATTTGATCCGCGGGGATGAGGGGTGGGTGGAGACAAACGGTGCAAACTTGAGGGGAGGGAGGGTCGGCTGGATGATTCGGTGGGACGGAGCTATCTCCGCCATTCCTCTTTCTTGCTTGTGTAGGAGGAGACTTCGAAATAATTAATGCTTGGTTTGTATAGCGGGATCTTGATCTATTGCTCTTCCTACTGGAGCCTTCCTGCAGAAATCAGTATAGGGAAGTGGTCATTGGCTCTGAACAAACGATATTTCCGTTGTAACCATACCAGTTGCGAGGAGTCAGCTTCTACATGAACTACACTTACCACAACTTTCCAGTCTACAATGCTAGGGACATTCAACCCACCATCATCGCCCATGGGGAAGTTCGCGGGCGATGAGGTGCATACTCCGATTTAGTCGTTAGTCTCGAGCGACTTTCCCTCTTTTCGCCGCAGCAGAATTGTCCTCCTCCGCAATGCCGCAAGACCGCAACCAGATCCGTGCTGTTTCCATCAACGTCCAGTGGCATTTCGAACTTTTCCGAACAAGGACAGCTGGACGGTTTCCAACACTGCACGAATATGCTGTGCAGAGAGATAATCCCCCACCACCTTGCTTCGCGGCAGATTCAGGGAAACATAGAGACAGCGTGCACGACAAATGGAATAACGGGAGGAGAGACTGCGAGATGGCCTCGGAGAAACCATGGCGGGAATGGAAGAAATTAAGTATTGCTGAGGAGTGAGGAGAGAGATTTGAATATGTTGCCCGTTTGAATTACTGAAGGAGCGACAAGACTGCGGTGATCCTGGAGCTAAAAAAACGTGGTCTAGACGTTATTCCGCAAATTGAGCAGGAGACGTCTAGATCTTCGAAGTGGTCTCGGCCATGATCATGAATCTGTGTTAATGGTCGTAGTAGATATTGTGTTGACCAACTCAGCATGCAGCCATGCGTCAACAGCATCAGCCGCCCAAAAATGTGGTTTTGCTACAGAGCCTGAGCAATGTCGGTTATCTGCTTGAAAAATCGTCGATGCTCGGCATATCGTAACCCGAGGTCCATTTCCGACGGCTACTGAAGGCTGAAATTGATCAGAAACATCTTGCCAACCGGCACAAAGTCAGTACCCAACTTGTATGAAAGTAGCCTATACAAAGCCAAGAAGGTATCATATGCCATGCTCTGAACGAACCCAATAACATGAGGACTTCGGAATTTGCGTTCTTCGAATGTGATCCCTTTTCTTGCCACGGCTATTGACCACCGGAAAACCCCGTCTCAAACCCCGGTGACATATGAACCTGGGGAAATGCCCATTGACGGGGGTCCCATCAAGCTGACCAAGATTGAGCCCAATCGGATGAACCACTCAGATGCAAGAAACAGTCGTTTCCATCGCGATAACTGGCCATAGGACTTATGAGAACGCGGGTCGCAAGCCAGAAAATTGAACCTCGGCATTTGCCGTTGAGGGAATCGGACCGCGGATCCAGTGATCCACAGTCAATTAGTCGCCATCGGTCCGGTCTTCATGTGCCAGCAGGAAGACAAAAGCAGATGCTACTCATCCGAATTTCTCTTCTTCTCCTGTTTAGTACTTCTTCATCTCGTGTGTGTACACAAACCATTGTCGCGCTCACCAATTGACCAATATTCTTGCAAAAAAATCTTGCAGCGCGCTCGGAAACAAAACCCGTTCAGTTATCAGCATAGACTCCTTTCTTTACCCCAGACAGACTTATCGGCCGAGATGAGCAGCACCCCGGGGGATTATGACGCGGTCCGCAAAGACATCGCCGCTCAACTGAAAAAGCCCGATTATGACGACGGAAGTGCCGGTCCTGTTTTTGTTCGTTTAGCATGGTCAGTCCTGCCCACCATTCAAGTCATCCTGTCTCCAAAGTATCGACTAATCCCATTCTAGGCATTCCGCAGGTACATACGACGCCGAGTCCGACACGGGCGGCAGTAACGGGGCAGGCATGCGCTATGAAGCTGAAGGCGGGGACCCAGCCAACGCGGGCCTGCAATTCGGCCGAGCGTTCCTCGAGCCTGTAAAGAAGAGCCACCCCTGGATCACATACTCTGATCTGTGGACCCTGGCTGGTGTCGTCGCCATCAAGGAGATGGGTGGCCCCGAAGTCCCATGGCAACCGGGCCGAACAGATCTCGTGGACGACTCCAAAGTGCCACCACGCGGCCGCTTACCCGACGGTGCACTGGGAGCCGACCACCTCCGGTTCATCTTCTATCGGATGGGCTTCAACGACCAAGAAATTGTCGCGCTGGCGGGCGGGCATAATCTCGGCCGCTGCCATACCGACCGCAGCGGGTTCGAAGGGCCATGGGTCAACAACCCCACCCGATTCTCTAACCAGTTCTTCAAGCTGCTGCTGAAACTGGAATGGACGCCTAAGAAGTTGGGTAATGGTATGTCGCAGTTTGTCTTCGTGGATCCCGATGCGGAGGAAGGCGACGAGATGTTGATGATGCTGCCCACGGATATCGCGCTGAAGACGGACGAGAAGTTCCGCGAGTGGGTGGTGAAGTACGCGAAGGATAAGGATTTGTTTTTCGATCACTTTGCCAAGGCTTTCGCGAAGTTGATTGAGCTGGGGATTAAAAGAGATGAGAAGGGCTTGGTTGTCAACGCGGATAACGTCAAGGGTGGCTATATCTCAGCGCCGAAGAAGAGCGACACTCCCACTGGTCCGCCAAGGGAATCGAAGAAAGAAGCTGTCCGTGCGAGGTTATAGATGCTGCGGCCTGTTTGTACCGGTCGGGGTGCGTTGTTCTTTTGTTCACTGGTTTTAGACTAGACGATATAGTTAGAGTTAGCTTGCCATGCTTTATTCTTGAGTATAATAGATGAATCTGATTGATACCTTACCAACAGACAGACAATCTCAGTTGATCTGACCAAGTGATTCTAAGAAACTTTAGCAGAGGGAAATCTCAAAAGATGAGGGAGGGAAAGACGGACAGTTAAGGAGACTACAGGGAGGGTGAAATGCGGGGAAATCAACAAGGCTCGGCTGGGGCTGACTTCACCCTCCCCTTTATTGGTTGACTACTGTTGGTCGGCATTTGATGCTAAAATGAATTACTACTGTATAGCCTATTACTGTATCAAACAACATTGGTGCTTCGTCTTATCAGCCCGACATTTGGGCACTTGGCTTGAGAAACAGCATTTTGTCGCTTATTAAGCATTAAGTGACAGTAGTCATCATCTCTGCCAACTATCAGTTACTGAGAAAGAGTATGAACATGACCATCGCATACTAGGCTAATGTACAATTCCAGATCAGAAGAGAATCCAATCAATTACATGTCCAGATCAGGTCGAGAAAAAAGGCAGTCAATACATCAAGTTGGGTCAGAACAAAATATGTACGGCCCTAACCAAATGACTTCAGATCATAGTCACTTTTCGACAGATTCTTGCATCTCCAAATCCCCAGTTTCACCCAGACCACCGATATCATGCATGATAGCGTCAGTGTTCGGCTGGTCGGGTTCCTTACCTGCCACGGCAAATTCAGCATCAAGCTGATTCGGGGCTGACAACCAATTCACATCCAGATTGGAAGTGTTGAGGAGTCCCTCAAAGCCACTTTCCTCGGTCACATGGGCTCCTTCGATCACGCCTGTCATCGACTGATTCTCTAGGTCTTCAATTGTTGGAATATATGGAGCAGAAGCATTCATAGCCATGGAATCATCGAAGACAGAAAGCCCCCCCGACTAGTGTAGTCGTCATAGCCATAGCCATACTGCAGCTCCTCTGTGTCTTCAGGGCTGGCGGCTACGGTCATTGCTGTCACTGCCTGACTTTCAGAAGCATTAGTGGCCTTGGCCACGTCGCCAACAGCTTGCATGGCTGCTTGTAGAATCTCGGGGCTGGGTAGCAAGATACGCTCGAAGAAGAGCATCGGAATGGGTTTGTTCTCCCACCAGTCCGCAGGCACACGATCGTGGGGATAGACCCGAGCAATAGGTTCAACCATGATTTCAGGGCCCGCTCGGCTTTCGTAGACACGATTTTTCCCATTGTCACGCTCGCCGCGCTCAGCATCAAGCCAATAGACACGTACACGGCCGTCACTCAAATAGATACCTCCAATCCACTTGTAATATGCGCGGTGGTCGACACCATCTGTGTCGGTATACGAAACACAAATATCACGCGTGTGTTCACAAACGCAAGCCTTGAAATCGGGAGTCACCGCCAGACGCAGTGGAATGCTTCGAAAAAACTTCTCCACAGTCACAGCGTTTTCTTTCTCACAGTACAAACAGCTTTCCGTCCGTCGCTTGGCGAACCAACGGTTCACGAGATCCTGTACGGTAACGCCGTTGGTGTCTGTGCACGCATGGATTGGAACGGCGGCGCAATCGACCCAATTGTCCATATAGTCCTCTGTATTACGACAACTGCAAAACGTGCATATGTTTAGCGAGTGAAAGTTGAACTGGGCGAAGGCCTTCGTCAGTGCGAACCACGCGTCTCGTATGTCTTCGAGGGTCTCGCCAATACCTTTGTCGGGTTTCTGTAGTTCAGCTTGAAGTTGAGTTTTGAGTTGAATGGCTGTTTCGGGGTTGCAGGTGCCCCAATCGAAGTTCGCAGCTTGGATGTAGGTAAGCTCCGCTTCATCAAGAATCAACCTCCAAGTTTGGTCCTTCTGATCGATCTTGGTCGAGCCAGCCTTCAGCAACTTCGCAACCACAATGAGTGCATCTATGGCTCCCGAGTTCTCCGACCACATTGGACCTCGACCACGAGTCAAAGGACGCTCCATTTTGATAGGCTTGAGCTCATGATATGTCTCCGTTAATATGGCACGTCGAATCGCGTTGTTCAAAGCTGGAAATGCGTGTACCTCGGCGAGGTTTGCGGTTGTAGTAGGAGATGATGTAGCACCCTCAGCTGGGACGGTCCCGTTAGTGGAAGATTCGTAGGGCAAGCTTACAGTGTTGAGCTCTGGCTGCAATTGCTGGAGTTGCTGGGGTTGAGCGGCGACTGGGGTTGGTGTAGCTTGTGGTGTAGGATGTGGTGTGTTCGAAGGATACGAGTAAGAGGTGGAGTTGGTGACTGACGACTGTGATGTGTTGACAATGGCCATTTGCGCCCCTTGGAAGTCAGCTTGATTAGTGGGGTCACCAAGAAGGGCACCACCGCTGGAAGGTAGCAGCATCTGGTGAATACACAAATCGGACAGGAACGGCGATGCTGTAAGCGGTCTCTGGTAATTGGGACCGAGTTGCCATGTCACAATAGTTGGGTAGTATCGACTGACGGGGAAGCAAGGCCTTTTAATATTGATGGCCAGTAACCGCGGACCTGCATCTCTCGTCAAATCGAATAAGTCGTCCCAAGTCTGGGGTCGATGCCCCGAGGCGTAGTTATAGATGATCTTCCAGATGGCGAAGAGGAGCTCTGGGTTGTGAGCAGTGCCTATCTCCACGCCATGATCGAAACCCCAGCCATGGAATCGGAGCAAGAGCTGGAGATCTTGCCTGGTGGCTTTCCCCCACTTAGTGACGCGCCCCCGGACGGTGTTGCCTATCTTGAAGTTCTCGGGGGGATCTTCCAGAGTTTTCAAGTCCAGCGCCTCATATTGCGGAACAGGGTCAGGAAATTCAACCTCATCCCATTTCAGGTCTGGACGCGAAGCACATGGGACCCATTTGTCCTTTCGACTTTTTGATTTTCTGTGGGTGCTTGATGAATTCACTGCTGGCACCATTTTGCTTTGTATAGTTCTTGTATAGTTCAGGGTCGGTGGCGCTAAGCTTCGCTAAAGACGGACGCTAAACTTGATACGGGAAGGCGTGTGTGAGGTGGTGAGGAGAAGAACCAACCAAGAGGTGTTAACACTGGGGAGAATGGGAAGACAATAACAAACAGCCTAAAGCTCGCCGACATAAGCGCTGATAACAGTCTACAAGTAACACAATTAATTTTTCATACGCAGTGGGGAACGCGCAAGATCTTAACGGTGATCCATAGTGCAGAAGAAACGGCTGCGGTGAACCGGCTGATATGATAGGACAGTACTCTCAAGATCATATCTGTTTCCTAATCAACACTGTATGAGATGTGAATATGCATGTAATGTAGATACATCCAAGCTTCGCCTTCATAGTAGAAGAGTCATGACATATCGTTGCATAGCTATCATCGACGCGAAGCAGAGACATCTTAATATAAAGTGCTCGAATCAGATACACCTGAGCATAGGTACTTATTCCAAAGGCTGTTGATACCTGGGGTTGACTAAAGCGATGCAAGTGAGTAACAACTATCGGTTTCAAGCACTATTCGCATGCTACTAGAGACTAGTCAATAGATCAAAATAGGAAAAATTTCTGCATATCGGTCTCACTGAAGGAGATACCCCGTTTATGTGCAGTGGCCATGACCACGCCCCGATAAGCATTCTAGAAGGACGTAGTCAGCGAAAACTACAAGGGCTGAGACCCGAATACAAATTTTCTCGAAGGGTGTATGTTTGAGCATGAATCCAAGGTCACAAGGAGATTCAAGCCCACGATACTTTATACGAGCCCACGTCGCAATCAAGATAAAGTAAGCACACCCTTGCGCCCTCCAAGATGGCTATGTCACGTGCACGAGCCCCGACCCAGTGACAAGATAGCCCGAACCAGCCTAGCGTGGGCATAAGCGAGCCCTCAGAACCACCATTCCGGAAGCGGTTAGGCACCAGCTTACCCGATCCCACAACGGGCTTGCAAAGTCCAGAGGAAAGAGATTGAGAAGCACCGCCAACGCCCTCGACTTCACCCTCCTTCTCCCATCCCTTTCGCCTGTCGACAATACACCGCGGTCCCGCGCCAAATCGCCCATCATGTGTACGTGCAAACCTTTCAGGTCTTCCAGATCCCTCATGTCCGACTATTTTGTCCCTGGTCTTCCTGCCTCTGTTCTGTGTCCGGTTGGTGGTCGGGAAAGAAAATCATCTTCGGGAGGCGGCTATATTGGAAGATGGGAATTATCGCCTGCGACGGACTCAACGCATCAGATCGACATGGATTTTTTTCTTTTTATCCACCGACCGACCGACCGGGTATGGAAAACAGGGCTGGGAATACCGGGAGCATATTTGGCTTGAGAATCGGGGAAACATTTGATTAATGGGTTCGAACGGAAATGCTGATTGTTCTTGTGTCGACATATAGCGCTTGTGTCCGGCGAGAAGACCAACTTCCAGTACATTCTGCGTCTCCTCAACACCAACGTTGATGGAAAGCAGAAGATCATGTACGCCTTGACCCAGATCAAGGGTGTTGGTCGCCGTTACTCCAACTTGGTCTGCAAGAAGGCCGATGTTGACCTCAGCAAGCGGTACGTTATATCTCAGCATCCATCCCAATCATTCCCATCCCACGTGCAGATATCAACAAGAGCGAGTGCGAGAAAAAGAGGAGGAACAGCGACAACGTCGCAATCATGCAGCAACAATTTGAGGGAACCACATTTGAGAACGAACCGCGCATCACCTCTGCACAATTATTTTTATCATGATCAACCCGCCAAACAAGAAGACAGTCAGGTTAATTCTTTCTTCTCTCCTACAGCGCCGGTGAGCTCACCACCGAAGAGCTCGAGCGTGTCGTCACCATCCTCCAGAGCCCCGAGCAGTACAAGATCCCCGCCTGGTTCCTGAACAGACAGCGCGACATCACCGACGGCAAGAACTCCCAGGTCGTCTCCAACAACCTCGACAGCAAGATCCGTGAGGACCTCGAGCGCCTCAAGAAGATCCGCTCCCACCGCGGTCTCCGTCACTACTGGGGTCTCCGTGTCCGTGGTCAGCACACCAAGACCACCGGCCGCCGTGGTCGCACCGTCGGTGTCAGCAAGAAGAAGAACTAAGCATCTCTCCCCCTTACTATATCGCGGAGCTTTGTTTATACCTGTTCTTTTACTTCTTGCGCGGGGCTTGGGGCTACTTTGGATCATGGGATTAAAAGAGAGTCGGGGGGGCAACTGTGTCTGAGAGATGCTGGTGTGAATTTTTCTTTCAAGGAAACCATCTTAATGAACCTTTTACCCCCTTTTCGTCGGGGAAAAGAATCCGATCATGGGAGCGCTGGATGGTCCGCTACTCCCCGAGTTCTTTTCTCCCTGCGAAAAATGAAAAGAAATCATACCATCATGAAATGAAATTCAAAAAAACCAAATTCGTGTCTTCTGCCTATAGCTTCGTAAATCTTGCTTTTTGCCATACGGCGAGTCATTGCTGTATCGGGACCCCACCCTCCATCATTCTATCTGTCGGTATAAGCAATGATGCTTCCTCGACTCATCTGTATAACTAGAAGCGTAAGTGATGGGAGGAGTCAAGGTCAAAACTCTTGGGACTAATTCATATCCTCTTCCATATTGTCCTTATCTCTGGGTTCCTCAGCTAGTTCCTCACATAGCATAACTCATAATCTCTAGATCTCAGCAAAAAGATCTCCATTTCCACTGGTAAATTGAACAATAATGTTCACGAGTCTCCCCAATTCAGTAGTGTAGTGTCAGACATTCAAAATTGTCCAAACAAAGAGCAACGACACTCTTTTACCCCTTACGAATAATCCGACACAGCCTTTGGTTTCCCGAGAAGAGACACTACGAGCTCGTCTGATGGTAAATTAGAAAAAGTACCGAGTGGAATTGAGCTTCCCTTTCGAGCAGTCATCCTTTTGCCTGCAAGCTGCTTGCTCTTCATCTTACTATGGATGGGTCACTGTGCGGAGTTCGGAGAATTTTCTACGTGACCCAGTAATAATAATCCTGTCCTGGGGTGACATGTAAAATCCCCTTGAAAAATAATATTTGATCATTCCATCGATTCTAGCAAATGTAATCTCATATAAACGTAGCAAAGTACAGCTATCATGTGGTCATAGATCCCGTGTGCGACATGACATGAACCTCTGTGACAGGCAGACACACACCGCAAGCAAATCACAAGGGAGTAAAAGGAAAGCTGATACTACATCGCATGCAGTCAGATGCAAGTATTTAGCTTATATCAAACAGCAATAGCATCAAATCCGATCTAGAACCATTCACCGCCCAACCAGCGGTTAAAGAACTCCAGACTGGACTCGGGCTGGTCCATGGGGACCATGTGGCCACCGCCGTAGAGGCGCATGAAGGTGAAGTTGCCGTGGGACTTGATCTGGCCAATCTTCTTGCCCTTGTGCTCGTTGTCGACGATCTTGAGGTCCTCCAAGGGGAGCGAGGCGTACTCCTCCTGGCCGGGCCACTCGAGAGCCTCGGTCCAGGCCTTGTTACCGAGCCAGTTGCAGATGAAGTCAGCATCACCAGCATAGATCAGGACGGGAATCTGCTCAAGCAGACCCGGAACGAGACGGTGGTAGGGCTTCATCCAGTCACCGTGGAAGAGGAAGTTGCGGTTGATGTCGAAGTTGCAGGAGTCATAGCCCTGGACCTCAGCACCAACAGCCTCGATGACTTCGGGCTTGTTCAAGTAGTCGCTGACATAACCCAGGCCCTTGTAGCAGAGGTTGGAGTCGTCCTCGCACTTGCCACGGACATCGTAGACATTTTGTCCAGTACGCTGGTAAGGAGCCAGGAGAGCGTTGTTACAGTAGATGGAAGCAGGAACACAGACCCAGGCGCTCTCGGAGCTGTAGCAGGACTCAATCATAGACAAGCAGCGAGGCAAAGCGTTGTCCATGGACTGGCAAGAGGCCTCATCCAAGACAGCAGGGTAACCACCGTCACCACAAGCCATGGGACGGTAGTACTCATACTGAGTCAAGCCATCGGTGAGACCGTTGCCAATCAGCACAGACTTGAGGTTGATGTTGCGCTTCTTGTGGGACAGGATCTCGGACGCGAAGACAGGAATGTAGTGGCCAGCGTAGGACTCTCCGGCAATGTGGAAGTCCTGCTTAGCATATTCGGGGAACTGCTTGAAGAAGAGAGAAAGCAGAGCATAGACGTCCTTGCCAGCAGCAACAGTGTCACTAACGGCAGAACCACTGTAGGAGTAACCGACGTTGACGGGCTGGTCAAGGAAGATGACGGAGGCATTGGAGTTCCACGAGAAGTCATTGTAGATGGGCTTAATGTTCTCATTGATGCTGCTAGGCCCAAGTTCCATGAACAAACCGGTCAACGACGAGCAACCGGGACCTCCGTTCAGCCACAAGACGACGGGGTCGTTTGCGGGGTCGTTGCGAGACTCGAAGAACCCTTCGTAAAGTCAGTTACTGAAAAACAGGTCTCAAAAAGGTTGTGTACTTACAGTAGAACAGGTGCTTGTCGTTCTCGTTATCATCAAGATAACCGGTGTATTGCTTGACGTTGGGATCAATGTTTAGAGAGGCAGGGTCGGTCTTCTTGACCCTGAGATCGTAGGCATCCAGACGACCATCAATCTCCCGCTCCTTCTCACCATTGGCACCAGTGACCCAGATATCCTGGACATCGGCACCACGAACGACGTGGTCCCAGTGAGAGTCAGGACGACGGTTGTGCTTCTTAGGGAGAGAGAAGAGAGGGTTCTGGTCCATGCTCTCGGGGAAGCTGCTAGCAACTTCCTCCCACAGCTTACGAGCATCACCTGAAAGGGTCTTCAATTGCTCCTGGAAAGCGTGCAGGGGCTTGGAGGAACTCTCGACTCCGGACTTGAGGTTCGACTCAAGGTTGGACTTGAGGTCGCCCAAGACCTGCTGGAAGGGAGAAGAGACGGCCGCAGTGGCCGCTCCGACCAGCAAAGAGGCCGGAATGACTCTCATGATGAATAGAATGAGTTATGGGACGATTGAGGTAGAAATTCTTGATGGATTGATGTGAGTAGGGTGACAAGGACCTTGCGGTCTGGATGGTATCTGGGAGGCAGGGTGCTTATCAGCATGGGCTATCAGGACCGACGGACTTGACTGGGGATGGGAAGGAAGCTTACAGTTCAAAACAGATGCAACTAGGTAATAAGTAGCTGATAGTAGATCAGCTCCCAGACCTCAACAAGAAGATCAAGAAGGGGAAAGAAGATGAGGACGAGAGAAGAGAGAAGAGAGAAGGAGAGGGAGGAGAAGTCCGGCGTTGGCCTGCAGATGACGCCTTGATAGCTGGGGGAGGAGGCGGCCAATGAGAATGCGGTGCCTTCCGGACCAAGGCGAGTCACGCGCCGAGTCATTCCAAGTCACATGGAATGACTCAGCAGAAAACACGGGAACAGCGTCATCGCCCATTCCTCCAATCACAAGTCTGTCGGGCCTCTCTGCCTGGCTGGATGCGGGCATCATTTTTTCAAGCGAAACCCGGACATTCCCCCGATAGACAACTATATCCTCCAAGTACCCATATTCTCTACAAATTCATTCATAATTCCAACGGACCTTACCACAGCTTCTTCGGGAAAGAAGCCTTTTTTCAAAAATGCCGATCAACCAACCCTCAAATCAGATCAAATTCACCAATGTATCAATCGTGCGGTTAAAGAAGGGTAAGCAAACCAACACCTCTCCTAAATGCACTCCCACACACTCCGTCCTTGGTCGCATTTGCTCAGAATATACAACGGGGCCCTGCTCTGGACTGGCGAACTCAAGTGGAAGGATAACGATAGCACCTTTTCGGTACCCCGCTGACACCCCACCCTCTCAAGGCAAGAAGCGCTTCGAGCTCGCCTGCTATAAGAACAAACTCCTAGAATACCGCTCCGGTGCCGAGAAAGATCTGGACAATGTCCTCCAAGTACCTACGATTTTCCTGTCCGTGTCAAAGGCCCAGACCGCACCATCCGCAGAGCTCACCAAGGCGTTCGGAGCCAACACGCCGGCCGACGAGATCCGTCAAGAGATCCTGCGCAAGGGTGAAGTCCAAGTTGGCGAGCGGGAGCGCAAAGAGATCATCGAGCGTGTCGAGAAGGAAATCCTGGATATCGTATCAGGCCGACTGGTCGACCCCACGACGAAACGAGTCTACACCCCGGGAATGATCTCCAAGGCGTTGGATCAGTTGAGCTCAGCCAGCGGACAGCAACAAACACAAGGTCAGGCTGCCGGCAACAGCGAAGCAAACGGTGAAGGAGATGAGAGCCACGCACCGGCCCAGCCGCGAAAGCCACTGTGGACGGGTGTCACTGCGAACAAGTCCGCAAAGAGTCAGGCACTGGATGCTATGAAGGCATTGATCGCGTGGCAGCCGATTCCGGTGATGCGGGCTCGCATGCGTTTGCGTGTAACTTGTCCGGTCTTGCTTTTGAAACAGAGTGTGAAGGTTGCGGGGGGAGCCGCAGGCGCGAACAAGGAGAGGGAGACGCCGCCGCCGAAGGGTGGTAAGGGGAACAAGAAGGGTGGTAAGGGATCGAAGAAGTCCGCCCGTCAACAGGACTCCGAGGATGAGGCAGGTGGCTCTGACGCTGAGGCTGCACCGGCCAAGGGCCCCAGCAACGTCAAGGACAAGATCCTTAGCTATATCGAATCTGTGGAGGGGCAGGAGGTCGTCGGAGGGGACGAGTGGGAGGTCATCGGCTTCGCGGAACCTGGAGCTTTCAAGGGATTGAACGACTTTGTGGGCAATGAGACCCGTGGCAGAGGACGGGTGGAGGTGCTTGATATGGCTGTCACCCACGAGGATTAATGGAGGTGCTTTGCTCAGAGATGTGGACTGCATTGGCCCAAAGCGAGTATAGATGACATGACTGATGACTAGAAAATGGAATGAACTGTACGAGAATTAGTCTTGAGCATGTGTCGGGTGCTTCAGCATGAATCCAGTCGTAGCTTGATTGCACACAATTACATTGCAACGTCGTCGCTCCTCAAGAATACCACCACGATCTACCAAGTATATCTATATCCTGTCAGCAGCAGCCGAGCGCCTCAATCTCAACGGCATTACCTTCACCTCAAAAATCTACCACTGGCACTTGTACCTTTCACTCAACTCAAATCACCTCATAACTAGATACCGTCCCACAAACCCAAGCTCTAGCCAACCCAAACACCCCAGACCTCCTTCCTCCTCTCCTCTCCCTTCCCATACCCAACCTCATTCCCCAAACCCAAACCACTAAATTCAAAGGAATAAACGCAGCACCCCCTAGACCAACCCACACCACAAAAAGCCATCCACCCCCCTAAGCAAAACCTGCACTTAGTCCCTCAAGCATGCAACCATATGCACCAACGCGGTAGCCACATAGCAGTGTAACCCGCGCCTCGTCACCTCCGCCAGAAGCCTTCGCCTCCCCCCCAAACCTTACCGCCATTAAGGCAAGGAAGCCAGATCGACCACGCCTTCTTTTTCTTTTCTAGAACATCCACCCCGCTCACACAGCCTGCCGATCAGATAAAAAGCCAGTTCCCAGCAGTCGGTCTAGCCTGGCCGAGGCCGACACCCCAGCGCCACGCCACCGTGGGCTTGGCATGCTTTAGTTTACTCTAGGTTTGGGTCTGGGACTGGATTGGGTTGGGGGGCGGGGGAGGGGAAGGAGATACTTGGGCTGGAAATTTGGGACACGCCTTGCTATCTAGCGCTACTGCTTGGTATACACTTACGTATAGTAAGGCTGAAGGTTGAGATGGTTTAGGTTATAGTGAGGTACTAAGTGGGTTGTTGGTGTGGATCTTTTGGGATCAGGTATAAGTGGGAAGCTATGCATTATCGCTCGACTATCAAGCACTATCGTATCTAGTGATTCTAGGCTTGTGGGGTGGCGGGGTTGGGTTGATCTTGTGATTTACTACTCCGTACGTGTACTTAGTATTGGATGGTTGATTGGGAGTGTTTGCTTATCGCGAGGAACAGGGGCAGGGGCAAGGGGTCTACGTAGGAGAGGGCAATGTGGCGAAAGCGAGTTGCGATGCAGAGCTACAGTGCTACAAGAAGCAAGGGAGTAAGATTAGATTTCTTTGATTCATTGGTCTACTGCACTACCTGATGACGAATGTTAGTCTGTTAGGTAGACGGGTAGATGTACGTTGTAGTCTTGTGCTTGGGCTGGGTTCTCTGCCTCTCGGGTTGCTAGTAGTAGGCATCCCCGGAGAGTACGCTAAGCAGAGAAACGACAACACCAGCGGCAGCAGCAGCAGCAGCAAGACGGTCAGTAAAGGGAAACTTTGACTGCAAAGGGTATACGCTCAATTGCAAATGCACCAAAGCATATATAATATGCATAAAAAGCCAGACGCTTTTGAACATTCGTTCGTCTCATGCGTGAAAAGTCAAATGTCAACCGGCAGTGACATTGGGGCCAGTCAGATGCAATAACCGACATGCCCCTCACGTCTTGCAATGCATGGATTCTGGATCCGAGGTCTTGGCTGATGGAAGTAACCGGGGCAGTGCGGAATTCGGGCTCTCAGGGGCCCATTGTGAAGGAGTTGGTAGGATTAAAAAGTAAGTGGTCGCTCACGCCCATGTCGCGTAAAAGAGATGTCGTAGTAGGTAACAGGAAGGGTGTGTTCCATGCAGAAATAGGGTGGGAGAAGCAGTGATCGTCGGAATGGCTGTCGCTCATTGGATAGTTGCCTCACGTGACGATAGGAAATGAAGATCTTGCCGGAAGTCGATGCGGTTATTAGGATAAATATAAGTTCTAGTAGCAGATCTGCACGGCGTTCAACGCTCGTGTCAGATCCTCCGGGGCGAATGGCATATACGAGCCCCTGGGCGACATTGGAGGTGGTGATATGGCCCGTACGACGGGAGACGTGTATCGAATGGATTCTTTCAGCAGAGCGATCGGATCCTCATGCTCGTCGGGGAGGAGAGTCATAATGGACTCGCTGTAGCTCTCCGGGTCGACTGCGGTCGAGGAAGACGAGCCGCTGCTGTCTCCCTGGCGGCCTTGGGCGTACTCGTCATGGCTAACGGAAATCGAGGCTGGACATTCAGTTAGATTGCTGGTTCCGAAAAGGCGATTGACAGTCTGAAGGGAATGAGAGAATGGGACAAGTCGGGTGATCACATACCATCCGTGACATCCACCTCCGGTGCAGCAATTTGGATCTGATCCGGGGCGAGGTCCTCCTCGTCATTACATGGAGGTCTCAAGTAACCCGGTAACGATGCACAAGGGGACAGTGATAAGTCTAGAGACCGGCGTCGCTCTTCTTGTGCTCCCTGGAAGGACCATGCTGCGAGGCGTCGTTGGTGTTCCCGATCGAAGGGACCCTTGAATTTGGAGCGAGGAATCTCATGGCGTTTATAATATTCGATCTTGATGCCGTTGCCCTTCGAATTAGACGAGGAGGAGCTACTGCTCCGGCGAAACACTCGTCGAACCTTCTCACGGAAATTCATTGTGACCGGAAGGAAGAAGTACTCGGGGTAAGGAAAATAGATATCGAAGTTGTGCAGATGTGGAGATTAAGCGTTGACTGTCTAACTCCGCACCTCAAAGTAGTAACGGGCCTTTCCCAGTCGGGGATTGGACGCGAGGGAGGGTGTGCAAGCACAGACGACAATTGGAGAGATAATCAAAGCTTGATCTCATCGTATGCCTAGAATGAAGAGGCGAAAGACTGGAGAGGAGAGAAGAGGAGGAGAGGAGAAATTAGAAAATAAACTTAAGGAAGAAAGGGAGGGGAGAGGAGGGGAGAGAAGAGCAAAGTAAGAGAGCAAGAAGTAGCCGGAGAGGGAGGGAGCGAGGGTTAAGGACCGCAATGCGGGTATCTTAAAGCAGCAGTCAGTGTGAGAAATCGACGACTAACTGAGAGGAGTAATCACAATCGGGGCGGACTTCATACCTATGATTCAATTCGATGGGGAAATGAGTACTAGTTAGCGACGATAGGAGTCGCTGATTGGCACAAGGGGATTCAAGACACTAGGTCACTTCTGCCGTTTAGCCCCATTCCGCTAAGCGCACGGCGATAGCAGTTTGTGAGGGAGTGGGAGAGAGGGAGAATTGGAGATGGGATGGAGATGATGGAGAAAGTAAGAACTCAGGAACTCATTCCACCTATACATATACCAGACTAATACCTCCCGAATACGTATAGTGAGCATGACCTGAGAGGAAGTAAGAGAAAGGATTCACCCACCAGTTCTACCACTCACTCAGTGAACTCAATCAACTGTTGTCTTCCTATCGCTATTTTGCCTCGCTTGACTTGCACTGGCTGCTGCACTGGCCAGCCAGCCCTGACTCCACGGCCTTGGACCAGTCTGGTAAGCCGCGATTAGTTTACCACACCTTCAAGTTCAATGACCACCGCGCCCCGGGCTAATCCGATTGTGCGAGAGGACGACTGGACCGGGTGAACGTGGAAAGGTCCCACTTCAGAGAAAGTGCGTGATTTAACACCGACAACTAGTAATCTCCGAGGAGATATGCTGATAAGTGTTGTCTCTACTCAGTAGTTGAGTAGTGCAGAGCAGTAGTTATGCTAGATGGAGCAACAGTTCTCAATGGGATCTCTTCCTATAATAATACTTTTCGTTCTTCTCCGCTGGACACCCTTATTTCATCATGCATCGCCCCCATCTGGAACGGTCGAGAGACCATCCGACCGGGATGAATCTTTTTTACTTTTCTTCTCCAGCTCTTGCTTCGACCGAACACACTCCAGCTTGAATCTTTCCGGGGATGGCAGCGTCGGTGTCACGGTGCCGAAGTCCGGTTTTCTCCCACCCAAGAGCTGACTAACTGCCCGTTCCTCCCAATCAACGCGAGGCAAAGTCAGGTTGACGCCCGGGTTGCATTCGCTTGGAAGGCGCGAGGTACGACTGGGACTGTCCGGCAACCCTGACCATGGTAACGTTTTCTTTCCCCAGTGGTTCTACGGCGACCTGGAACGATATCGAGTCAATTCCAGCCAGCATACTTCCAGCCTGTCCTTTGATAGACCCCAATCCGGGCACGAGCTCTCCCTGATGAGCATGCACCTACAAGTGGCCCCTCCTGAGAACCGCTGGGTGGTGGGTGGGTGGGTGACAGTGACACTGTACAGTGAGTGAGTGAAGCGCACCCACCGGACAGGCCGACGAAGAACCAAGCTGCATACCTGGCATGGCGGCAGATGTGGCAATGGCAAACAATGCTTCCCCATTTTCCTCCACCTCCCCCTCCCTGTCGATGCGGCCCAGGCTAGGCTAGACCAGGGTAGAGAGGCAGGGAGAGCAGACGCAAGGCCTGTATCGCTGTTGTGGTCCTGCACCGAACCTTTCCAGAAGGATGGCCAAGACGTTCCGATCGACGTGCCACCACCGACCTCATCCATGCCAGGGATCCTGGCTAACTTCGGAGCCTCTCAGCGGTCGCGCTGGCTCCGGGTACAACAGGTAGCCGACATCATCATTATCATCATCATCATCATTGTCCTGCTTTCGTCCCCTCCCTCTCTTTGTTGGGTTCGTGGCGGCTGGGACGGAATTTCTGGAGGGGCAGACGGATTCAGACGAAACGTCAGTTGCCGGAAGGGGTCGGAGGGTGGTGGCACTGAGATAGATAGCGGTACGAATATCGCTCGCCGTTCTTTCCGTCATGGGTCCTCGTAGGATGTGACTGTATGTAGACTAGGTTGGTTGAGAGTCTCTATCGAGCGCGATAACAATACTCGTATGTAATGGGAATCGTGCCTCGACAGATGCTAACCGTATTCAGTTGCGGTGACGAGATATAATGCGCGAATGAACGGGCTGGGATGGCCGAGTTCTCCGACTGCCCCGCTGGAGACTCCAGTGAGTTGCCTCCACTCGGCACGGTACTTCCGAGTACTCTGTTTTGTTGGTACATATTTGCAATATTCCTGGCATTTTTCAACAGCCAGGCCGGCTGGCCCAATGGTAAGGCGCTTGACTACGAATCAAGAGATTGCAGGTTCGAGCCCTGCGTCGGTCAATTCTTTTTTGTCCTTTTCCTTGATATCACATTATTGGTCTGCGTAATCCGCCAGGCGAACACAGGAAGCATCGCCAAGATATGATTGCTCTTGTTTTACCAACTCAGCAGCAAGTTGTTCCCTGTAAGGGAGCCGGCACCATGTATACAACTCATGTAGTTGGGCAGGAATAAACGATCCATGGCCGGGCAATCCTACGATGATGTCATGACCACCACCCGCCCATGGGGGTCAGCCTTCTAGAAGCTGCACACTCTTGTCTAACATCTCTCCTCGGGTACGAATACATATCAAGAGGCCGGTGATATGGCTGTCTAGGAGATGCCTTTTGTCGCCCACTGACAATTCTTCGCAAGGGATATACTGTACCAGGGAGCAGCTTGAAACTGTTTGCGGGAAGATCTTGACCTCATCCGTCAATGTGCTGGAGCAATATGTGGCCATGCTCGTGGTCAATGAGGAGAACATGGCACTGACCGCGACACGTTTGGTAACCCCATTGTCTACAATTCAGAACCTCGCTATTTACCCCCGGCATCCCTAGCCTATCCTAGTTGATTGAACAGATACTGAAACCGGCGACATTCCTGGGGGAGGTCGCTTACTCTGGTTTCGGCTACCTTCTTTTGCATGATGTAATTGATCTTCCGCGAACTGGTGAAGGCAGCGTAGGCCGAGGAAGATCGTCTGGTCTTGGCCAAACTGTCGATGACACGTACTCACGTAGATGATCAGGATGAAGGAGCCTCTAACCCGGGAATTCCCGCTTGCTCGACCCTCCAGATGAGAGTGTTGATGCTGTCCATAAAGGCAGTAATCCTTGGCATAGTTCTGCTGGCCTAGTCGGTCTAGTGATCCCTTGCCTGGTTGGGACTGGGCAACCGGAATAATAGCTACTCCGGGTGATCGGCTGAAGACCGTTGGCAGCCTGGCCTTTCTTCTCGCTGCTGCAGGTACAGTTCAATTGCTCCAACTCCCGAATCGCCGGAATCAGGGGGAGGGGGGTTTGCGCCTCAAACAGTCGGTTTGAGAAATCGAAACTCGCGCTAGCATTGTATTGCAATGATAGCTCCGGGGTTTTAAAGGCTGCACTCAGCGCCCCGGTCACTCTTCTCATCTCAATGCGGAATATCAATGGTGATTATAGCTTTCAGTCGATCGCACGAATTCGAACCATGGCTGAGAGGGGCCAGTCAACCTGTAGGCAGTTGGGAAGAATTCACCTCCGGCTTCTCAGCCAGCTAGCTCCCTTCCATAATGCCCTCGTAGGAATTGCAACTGCAATCGCAATCAGCGTAAGATTTGGATCCGCAGTCCTGGTCGCATGGTGTAATTTCTGGACTTTTACCCTCCCTGCGACGCGACACAGTTCCCCCATGTGACTGCGGCGTGCACGACCACTTTGGACTTCCTTCTTTTTCAGACTCTGCGACTGCGCACACCTCCATCTGTATCAATTGATCTTGTCGTCGCAAGCTAGTCTTAGCTTCAATTCTAGTCAATTCTACTTGCGGTCTATCATTTGCAAGCCGTGGGATCATTGGCTTGATTCTATTGTAGCCCTGCACTTCCCGGGGCCGCACACTCTCCCCCACGGATTAACGTTCCCCGATTTGATTAGACATTCGGAAAGGACCAACATACCTACTGCCCGCCCCTAACTTCCTTTTCGCCAGTCTGTGACTTCTAAATCCCCTTCGTGGACTCGCACGACCTACTGATCCCGTGTCATCCACCTACAACAACCCATTCCCATCCTCAGACAACCCGTGAGTCTCATCCGCCCTCCCTACCACAAGCGTCGTCCATCTCCACCGAGCCAGTCTCTGACCGCTGCCCACGGACCACCCCTCAGTTTGACCGCGCACAATGGCGAAGAAAGGAGGAAAGAGCAAGAACAAGAGCAAGGCCAAGGGTGGCGCTGCTGCCGCGAAGAAGGTCGCCGATACTCCGGCTGCTGTGTGAGTGTACATCTTGCTGTCGCACAAAACAGCGCTTTGCGCCGCGCTAACATGCAATTTCTTGCTTCAGCGTCCCCAGCCAGGAAGTCGAGGAAACCGTCCCCAAGAGCGATGGTGAGGCCGAAATTGTCGTCACCGATGCTGGCGCAGCTGTGACTGCGGACGCTTCCTCCGCTCTCCCCGATACTGTTGCCGAGGGCACGACGACCACTGCGCCGCCCGCTGATTTCACCCCGGAGGCATCCAACGCGACGGAATCTCCGCTAACTGAGGTCGATGAGCCTGCCACGGAAGCTGTCCCAGAGGAGGAGCCTGTTGCTGTGGCTGGTACAAGTAAGTCATGGCTCCCTGCTTTCTTTGCGCATAGCTGGTTAGCCTTACAGAGCAATCGCTAACTTTGTCTCCCTTGCTGTTGTAGCGACTACCTTGCCCGAGCGCCCCAAAGACACTGTTGCGGAACCGGAGAGCAATGAGACTCACGTCAAGAGACCCTATGAGAGCAGCTTGACCACTAAGGAGGAAGATCACAAGCCTCCCAAGATTCCCAGGGTTGAGGATGCTTTGGATACTACCTCCTCGGCCAAGGCTCTTGAGCCTACAGAGAAGGAGACCGCTGGCGCAGCTGCTATCCCAGCCGGCGAAACCACGATTCAGCCCCAAATGGTGCCAGGATTGGGTACTGATCCCTCGGACAACGTGGATAAGGACTTGGAGGCCCCAGGCCTGAGCAAGGACACGGCCACTCCCCTTGAGGCTCTCGCACCCACATCCAGCACCACCGAGCCCGTGGTCACTGATTCTGTTATTGAGAAGAAGGCTGCCGAAGAACCTGTTGCGCCTGCCTCCACAGCCCCTGTCTCGGAGGCTAACGTGCTCCCTCTTACTGAGAAGCCCGAAGCCCCTGTCGCTGAGGAATTTGAGGCTCTCGATGTGGCTCCCGAGACGACAAAGGAAGTCACTTCGACTGAACCTTCGACGGCTGCAGTAGCTACCGAACCGGCTCCAGTTGTCTCATCCAGCGTTACCGATGCGGACGCAAAGGCCACGGATGCGGCTGCGACATCTGCCACCGATTCTGCCCCTGCTGCTGGGGCCCAGAAGCCTCTGCAGATCGCGGAAGAACAAGTGGACGCAGCCACTGCTAAGGCACCGGAGGAGAAGTTGGATGCAGCCAAGGCTCAGGCACCGGAAGAAAGCGCTGGCGCATCGAAGGTAGAGGAGACTCAACCCACTGTCACCGAGTCGCAGCCAGCTTCTGCCGCCACGGATGCTCAGAAGACAGAGGAGGCCCCGTCATCGGAGACCAAGCCGCAGGAGACCCCAGCTGCACAAGATACGCAAACTGAGGGTGCCCCCACGGGTCAGGAGGTGACTAGCGAGGGAGCTGCGGCCATCAATGAGCCCGAGAATAAGTCGGCGACCGATCAGGCCAAGGATACGGCCAAGCTGGCCGCCAACCGGGCTCAAGAGTCTGCCAAGTCCGAGGCAGCCAAGGGAGGGGCCGAGAAGCGCAAGAGTGGTATCTGGTCATGGCTCAAGCGCAAGGTCAAGGGCGACAAGAACTAGACCCTGTGAGCGGATGTGTGACCAAATTCCCCAATGGCTGTTCGGGGCAGTCGGAGATGGTTTCCGACTCCCTCTCCCTTTTTATACTCTGATACCCAAACATGGACGGACGGACAGTACTTAATCAATCATTTCTGGAACGCATTTGAAAAGAAAAGACAAGAAAATCCAAAAGGCACAAATAATATTATAGAAAACTGGAAAATCTTGAAAGCGGAGAAATCGCCTTGTGACACCCAGGGTGGGTGGTTCGGAAGGGGATTGTACGATATGAACTGGAGATATGAACTGGGCGGCAGGAATTGTTGGGAGCGCACGCCATGGACGACTGTAAAGCACTGGGCTGCATTTGTTTACTTCTTGTGATGTCTCTCTTGATGGATTCCATATTTCCTGTCCCGCTTGGGTCGGAATTGAGAATGACACGATCGATACGGTACTTTTTTTTGTTAATGGTAATGGGGCTGGAGGGGTTGAAGAGAATGAAAGAATGAAATAATCATTATATGGATCTGTGGCCTTGAAACTGCTGCGTAGAGAGGAGATGAGGAGGAGGGGGTGCTTGTCAGCTTCATTGGATTGGTCCAGTGAGTGTAGTTTACAATCTGTCCTCTTGTCAGCGCTTTCAATTCATTCAGGCAGATCGATCGAGGAATGATGCGGGCGGCGAGAAAGAGGGGAGAGGAGGGGGTTTTCACCGCCATTTGTTCCCCCATTCTCCCGAGTCACTATTAATGATCTCCTATATTATCATCTATACTATTGTCCCGGAAATGTCTGGGCCCCTCTTGGTTGCAGCCTAGCAGGTTAGTGGTGTCCATCACCCGTTGCAAGGGAGATATATGTTCTATATTAAGTTATCCTGTTTATCCTTCTGAATGGGGCCGATGGAGACAGACATCATCATCCAGCAGGGACTCAGATATGCAGACCAACCAACCCCTCAAACAAAACGGTTACACACAACTCCAGTGCCTTTGCCAATCCCTGATAGCAAGTTGTATCCTCTGAAGACAACATGGATGATTGATCATCAAGAACCAATATTCAGTACATCAAAGTGACATCGTCCTGACATACGTAACTACACTAATTACTTGGACTGCTGCTGGAAAATGATATCACTGCTCTCTCCGCCGCCCCACGAGACGACCACCAATCTTTCTTCTCAACATCGTGGCTGAGACCATACCCACCTGCGTTCCCCTTCCACTCGATCCAGGTCAAGCTTTCCTCAAGCTTTTAGCGCTGCTTTGTACCTCGTTCTGATTTATTATTCGCTCAATCGCCGATTGAGGGTAAAGACGAGGAGGGGAGAAAAACACGGAAGAGGGGCAGCCCCTCTAGACTACAAGTACGTACCCGAGGTGTGCTGCCGTCCGGGATCGCCTGGAATTGCGACCCCTCTGGGACCCCTCTAGGACCCCTCTAGGACCAAGAAAACCTGCGATCAGTGAATGATGAATGATGCCAGGCCTCGAGAAGCCACCCATTTCTGACTGGCTGCTTTCGCCCTCCTGGGGCTGAGGCCAAACAGCCACTTGCTGTTCTCGCTCTCCACTCGTGTTGTCTGAGGCTTGAGCTGACGGGCTGATGCCGCCCACTTAACCCCCTCTCCAGCGAAACGAGCATGGTTGGGCCTCCTGGGCGGCGCGTCAAACCACCCATTTAGTTAGTCAGTTACTCGCTCGCTCTGTTAAGTGTTGACTGATTGCTTGCGTCGTGCGGTATTTAAATCCCCCGGTCTGCTACTGTCCTCTGAATTGTCCTTTTCCCCTCCCTCCTGCATCCCCTTCCCTGCATCATCCACTCCTGCATCCCACTACGTCATCATGGTCCATCTCGCCCAGATCAAGCGCGATAGCGAAATCGAGCAGTCTATCAAGCGTGTGAATTCGATCAAGCTCGATAGCACCGAGGAGGATGACTACTCGACCAGTGTCTATGGTTCTCGCTTCGCGACGGAGCAGTTGCCCCAACATGAGATGCCGGAGCGCGAGATGCCCAAGGAGGTGGCTTACCGCATGATTAAGGATGAGCTGAGTTTGGATGGTAACCCCATGCTCAAGTGAGTGTTTACCCCGGGTTCTGTCTGTTGAATTGGAAGGTAGCTAATGGTTGTTGTTGCTTCTTGGCAGCTTGGCGAGTTTCGTGACCACCTACATGGTAATCTCAACTGACTACACACACTGCCGAGAACGTGACTGACGGATTGAAATAGGAAGAGGAAGTCGAGAAGCTCATGACCGATTCCTTCAGCAAGAACTTCATTGATTACGAAGAATACCCCCAGTCGGCGGAGATCCAGAACCGCTGCGTGAACATGATTGCGCGTTTGTTCAATGCTCCTACTGACAGCGATGATGAACACCCCATGGGCACTTCAACCATTGGTTCGTCCGAGGCTATCATGCTGGGTACCTTGGCCATGAAGCGCCGGTGGCAGAACAAGCGTAAGGCAGAGGGCAAGGACTACTCGCGGCCCAACATCGTCATGAACAGCGCCGTCCAGGTTTGCTGGGAGAAGGCTGCTCGCTACTTCGATGTGGAGGAGCGGTACGTCTACTGCACCGAGGACCGGTACGTGATCGACCCGAAGGAGGCGGTCGACCTCGTGGACGAGAACACCATCGGTATCTGTGCTATCCTGGGGACTACCTACACGGGCGAGTACGAGGACGTGAAGGCGATCAACGACCTGTTGGTGGAGCGTGGCATTGACTGCCCCATCCACGTGGATGCGGCCAGCGGTGGTTTCGTGGCGCCCTTTGTCCACCCCACCCTCAAGTGGGATTTCCGCCTCGAGAAGGTGGTGTCAATCAACGTGTCTGGCCACAAGTACGGATTGGTGTACCCCGGTGTTGGCTGGGTGGTTTGGCGTTCGCCCGAGTACCTTCCCAAGGAGCTGATCTTCAACATCAACTATCTGGGTGCGGAACAGGCCAGTTTCACGCTCAATTTCTCCAAGGGGGCGTCGCAGGTGATCGGCCAATACTACCAGATGATCCGACTGGGTAAGCGGGGCTACCGGTCCATCATGGTCAACATCACCCGGATTGCGGACTACCTGGCGAACGAGCTGGAGAAAATGGGCTTCATCATCATGAGCCAGCGCGGCGGAAAGGGCCTGCCGCTGGTGGCGTTCCGTCTGCGGCCGGACCGCGAGGAGGTGTTCGACGAGTTTGCGGTGGCGCACCAGCTGCGTGAGCGTGGCTGGATCGTGCCGGCGTATACGATGGCCCCGAACAGCAACTCGCTGAAGCTGATGCGGGTGGTGGTGCGCGAGGATTTCAGCATGAACCGGTGCGACGCGCTGCTGTCGGACATTAAGCTGGCTCTGAAGACCTTGGGCGAAATGGACAAGGCGATGTTGGAACGTTACACCCAGTAAGTGAACTGTGTTGAGATGAAAGATGGATCTAGACTAACAAGCATCTATAGCCACGTGCGCACGCATGCCACCAACTCGCACAAGGCCAAGCACACGCACCATCACTACAAGGGCGAAACCCACTCGTTGCAGGGCAAGACGGGCAAGACTCACGGTGTGTGCTAGAGGCATAGACGGGGGATTGAATCCGATGTAAATACTCATTTGATAATTGTCTGAATAATTGGAATAACATAACTTGAAGATGGATTGAATGATTGATCCATCCGGTTCATCCTTTGGGGCTGAAGCATTAACTATACTATACTAACTGGGGGGAGGGGGGGGGGGCAACTCTTAGTATGAGCCACTAAGTCTGGGGGCGTGAGGCAGTGTTGAGTATTGACTGACCGACGGGCGTAAGCACCAAACTTATTTAATTCAGGGATGTTTGCTCGAAGTCTTATTTTCCTGGAATATCACGTATATTCTCTATCATCAGCTACCAATTATTGGTCTTGTTTTGCGCCTCAGCTCGTGTTCACGGCGCCAATGAGGGAGAGATTGTTGTTTTGTTGATGAGTTGATGAGTTGATGAAACTCCGTCCTCTTCTTCCTTTCTTCCTTTCTTCCTTCCTTCCTGACTGACTGCCGCTTTCCCCTCTTCTGTCTGTCTGCTTTCTCTTCCTCTTTCATACACTCCCTCTCACTCACTCACTCACTCATTCTCTCTCTCTCTCACTACCACGGCTTGCTTGAACTTCAGCCTTCCTTCATTTCTCTTCTCTCTTCCTCCCTCCCTCTATCTCCATGCCCCTCTTTCGCCGCAAAGCCAAATTGCCTGCCGCTGTCGCGTCTGCATTCCGATCGGTTGAGCATCTGGCCCCTCGCGTCGAGCACCGACCCGACGATCGGCCCCGTCGCCTGTCGTCTTCCTCGTCCACTTCTTCTTTCTCCTCCTCCACCGCCCGCGATCCCCCTCTGCCTCAGCCTCAGCCTCAGCATCCCCACGCCCATCCACACCCTCACGTTCAGTCCCATTCGCACTCGTCTTCCCCTTTTACAACCTCCTCGTCTTCCCCCCAACCTCCTCCCTACTCCTCTTCTATCCAACGTTCCAAGAGTCACCGCAGCCCCCGAGAACATCCTCACCCGGTATGACGAACACTTCCCTTATCGGATCGCTCTGCGTTCCACTCCCTATCTACCGACTACCGATAGCAGTTTGCTGACGGCCTCCAGTCGTGGCCACTTCCCGACCAGCCTACCGAGCAGGAAGTCCAGGAACCACGCAAGTCCCGCCGCAGTCTTTTCTCCTTGCATTCCTCCGCCACGACCCGCGACTCATCCGGCCTGGTGCAGCGGAATCGGTCTGTGAAGAAGCTCTCCGCCGCCGGTCGCCGGAATAAGCATCAGCGACCGTTGTCTGTCGACACCAGCGCCGACCGCCGTCCCGCCTCGGCCTGGACACCTGAGCATGACTTAGACGCCGCCTATTCTCCACCGTCGTCGCAAGAGCATATCCATCCCCACGCACAGTCGCAGCCACAGCTACAGTCGTGGCCGCAGCCGCAAGCACGATCCGAACAGCTTGCGTCGCAACCACGGTTGGACCAGACCCCGCAGCCGCTGTCGCAAGCTTCGTCGCCACATCCCCCACCCCAGGAACAACTGCCGCCGCAGCTACGGTCGGGCGTTCACCCAAGTCGCTGGGATTCACAACCGCAGCGCCAGCCGCAACCTCAGCCGCAACCTCGTGCGTATCCATCGTTACGAGCGGTCCCTCCCACCTCATTCCACATGCCGCAGAATACCGTGCCGGCGCTAGAATCCCGACCGCCCCGTTCCCCGCACCCTTTAATCCAACGATCCAATACCGATTCGGGGTTGCTGGATCATTTAGCCCGGTCGTCTCCTATTGAACCGCCTCGAACGCAAGGCGAACTGTTTCCGACGCAGCCTCAACTAGACCCAACTTCGGTGGGTGCACGCCCGCCGTCGAGACAGTCTATCGGACCCCCATCTCCGTTGCGTCCGTTGCCTACAGCACAACCCGAATCCCCCAGTGGTATGACAGAGCGTCCCTCAGGTGGGCTGCAGGACAGCAGCAGCAATCAACCAGCATCTGGCGCCAGCCACACCTTGCACGTGTCGAACAACTCGTCGGATACCGGATATCGGACGAATGCCGCTCAACCTGGTGCCGACGCAGGACGCAGCACTCCCACTGCACGAGAGACTCGCGACACCCGTCGCGAGGCTCGCGATGAGCCAAATGAGATAGACGTGCGCGCCTTGGTGCAGAAACATGATGAGCTTCGTACGCTGGTTTCCCCTCTCCTTTCTTCACGGTCATCCTCTAATCTGCTGCTCCAATAGAAGCCAAATATTCCAAAGTCAAACGCTACTACTTTGAGAAAGAAGCCCAGGTGCAGCACCTGCAGAACACGGTCGCGCACCAACGCATGGCAGTCTCCCGCACCGTACTGGACGACAATGAGTACGCGAGTCGCTTCTCCCGCCTAGACGGCGCGATCAAAGACCTGGCTTTCTCCATCCGCAAAGACTGGGCGCGTCTTCCGACGTGGCTGACCGGCTATGTCAACGATGACGCTCACACCACCGGGACAAAAGAGATGACTGCCATCGGCCGCGCCGTGATGAGCCGGTGGCTCGTCGAGGAGATTTTCGAACGCTACTTCCACCCTGCTCTTGAACCGACCCTCTCCCGGGCCTTGAAAGACATTGAAATGAATCTTCGTCGGCAGCAGGTCCAGGTGGCCGTGACGACGGACGAAGACCGCGAGAACGCGGTCGCGCGGATCAGCAACTGGCGCCGTACGACCCTGGACGGTCTCCCGGAGTTGCAGGGCGCGCAAGCCGGCGACTTCCGCGCACAACTGATCGAGCGGTTGGTCGGAAGCCTGGTGTCGACGTTGACGGCGTATCTGCACGAGACGCAGACCCCAGGCTTGACCGTGACGGCCGGCCTGGAGAACGGGGCACGGATGATTGTCGAGAACGCCATCGGCATCGCCGAGAAGATCCCCCTCGAATCGAGAGATATCGTGGTCGAGTACGTTCTTCCGGGGGCCGTAGTCAATGAAGGGACAATGCGGGTGGAGGCAGGCATTCCGCCTCTACAGCAGACACAGCAGCAACAGCAGCAGCAGCAGCAGCGAGCACGCAGTGAGTCGACGGGCGCATCGTTGGAAATCGAACGCAGTGCAGCGGAGGGAGCTACCATCCCCGACGACATGGAGATGGACCGTGAAGTCGCCGGCGCAGTAGGTGCAGGCGCCGGCTCGCTCATCCCCGGGATGGCAGCACCAACAGCAGCAGTATCAGCAGCACCACCAACAACGACAGCAGCAGGTGTTGTCCCCGACCTATCCGGCCCCGCTGGGCGAGGCGGTGAGCGCGAATCCCGCAAACGCTCGATGTTCAGTTCTCTCATGGGCCGTCGGACGGGCGGTGGTGGTGCTGGTTCAACAGTCCCGGTAGGAACAGCGGGAGCTGGAGCTGGAGCTGCCCCTGCTCTGCCGGCCGGTCCGGGCTCTGTGTCCAATGTCACCATCCCCGGCACATCCAGCTCTGCTGCTTCGACCATTGCCGCGACAGAGGACCGCGAGAGAGGCAGCCGTGTCCGGTTTTCGTCGTTCGTGTTGGCCGAGGTTCGGGGTCGGGGGCCGCAGAACGTGCTGGTCAAGGCGCCTGTATATATTGAGTAGATTCTGCCTGGGCGGCCTGGGGCACACCCATGTGAGAGAGGGAAATTCATTGGCTAGACCTGCTAAAGGATCATGTCCTCGGCTGTGTAGGATCTGAGATATGTACATGTGAATGTGATTAGATGGATGAGAAGCATCTGAGAATAAAGAGTATGAAAAAATTAGTACGTATTACGATATCTAACTATATAGTATTCTTGTCTTTCTCAATATGCATTGTATATACCGCCAGCATTGGCCCTATCCTGATTAGAATGCTCAGCAAGTGATGATATGTATGCAATGCAATGCGATGTGTCCAGCACAACACTGAAGAGGCGATCATCTCGAATGAACCCCCCTCTCCGCAAATTTTCAGGTGTTATAACCCAGTTCGTCAAAGAAACGCAGCCCTTCCCCCCTTCCCCCAACCCAACTTCTTCCTCGGATCAAACTAGGAAGCTGAAGGGGGTATAGACTCCTTCCAGATGGCATACCCGACCATCTCAAGAAGATACCGCTCGCGGTAGGCGAAACACCGCGTCACATTGCCCACCAGGAAGGCTTTCATTTTGCGGACGAGAAGGGGTTGGTCCCTGCAGCGGGAGAGGAGGTCGTCTGGGTGGAGGGTGACTTCTGTTGCTGCCGCTACTTCTGGGGGATTTACAGCCGAGGAAGTCGACGGGGATGTCGAGCCTAGTCCGAGGATGGTGTCTAGTTCTTGCTTTGTGGTTGTGGTGGTGGTGGTGGTGGTTGTTTGGGTTGATGGGTGTTTGCGGAGGAGGGAGTTCCAGACTCTTTGGGTGATGGAGGGGGATTGGCGCTGGCGCTGGCTTTCAATAAGCCAGACGCAGAAGCTCTCCCAGAGGTTGTGGTGGGTGATGAAGGTGAGGAGGGTGGTTGGGGTGGCTGTTGTGGTGGGGAGGTTCAGGGTTCTGAGGATGTGGGTTGCGTGGTTGTTGTCCTTGGTGTTGGTGTTTTGAGTGGTGGAGGAGGTGGTGTGTAGAAGTGCACGGTGCATTTCGCTGACGTACGCCAGTTCGGTGAGAAGGATGGAGATGGCGTCGTCGTTTTGGTCCTCGGTGTTGACTGCTTCCTTGTGGTGGGTGATGGCGTCGGGAGAGGGTGGAGAGGAGGGTGAGGGCTGGGGTGGGGATTGTGTATCCTCGGGACTGGCTCCGGTTTCCTCTGCGTTCGTTTGGGACAAGGCACTCGCAGTAGTGAGCCCCCAGTCGAGTCCTGTCGAGAATGTACCCAACGAGCGGTCGTATCCTAGTCTTGCTCTCCAGAACAGGTTCAGGAAGATCAGGCTCGCGATACACGGCACCAGCACCACGTACCCATACCACATGGTCGCCGTGACCATACTCGCCGCACCGGCGACCAGCCCATTGATCCCATTGACAAGAGCATGGAATCGCAATGCCCGAAACCGGGCCCGGAGTTTGATTTTAAGAGACGAAGGAAGCTCCAATTTCAGGCCGTGTCCGTCTTCCGGGGGTGAACATGCCGTCCAGCACCGCTGAAACCGCCACACCAAGTACGCAGACCAGACAGCATTGACAACGCCAAACGCAGCGGCGAGTCCGTTGCCCACGTATCCAGAAAGTAGATTGCTGGTGCGGTAGATAGTCGGGTCGGCGCCCCAGATCGCGAGCAACGTGCCTATTCCCACGAGAAGAGCACCGATTCCCATGAGGAGATCCATGAGAATCCGGTCAATCACCTCTGTGAGGACTTCACGGGTGTTGACACCGTGTTTATACTCATTGAGCTTGTCGATGGCGGTTTTCTCGCTGGGTGATTGTTGGTTGCCGGGTGTAATCGTGGGAGTATTGTGTCCATGCGAGCCCGACGAGCCAGTGGAGATGCTATCCGTGAGAAAGGCTCTCTCTTGCCGTAATAACCGCACATTGGCAGCACTGAGGTACATGTCTCGGGCGGCAACCAAAGTCATGCACAGAGCGCAAGGCCCGCCGATCGCCATCAGGATCTTGGCGTGCAGAGGCACGGGGATTTCATTCCACACATTGGCAGCGAAGTCGGCCGCGTTGGCCAGCTCGAGGTAACCAACGCCGGCGAGCAGAGAGTTGCGGAAAAGAGGTTGATGGAGGATACGGTATGTGTATTTGTTGGAGAATGGGAGACGCGAACGGGTGCGGGTGAAGGTGACAGCGTTGGGCGTATAGGAGAACGAGCGGGAGCTGGAGCTGGTGAAAGTGGAAGAGAAGGTGAGGTCGGTGGATTCACGGAGGAGCTTGGGAGGAGGAAGGGGAGGATCGAGCGAGGCCATGGTGTGTGTGCCACATAGATGAGACCCGAGGAGAGGAATGGGCACACACACGCAGACGATGAGAGTAGGTGGGAAAAGAGGAGAGAAGAGAGTCGATAGAAGCAGGGGGGAAGGGAGTGAATAGAGAGAGGGAGAAGGAGAGGACGAAGACGAGGAATCGAACGAGCAGGAAACGTGGAGAGAACAGGGAAGAATGACCGGATTGGGGGGAAGGACGAGAGATGGGAAGTGGGGCTCGCCCTGTAGGGCTGAGCCGACGATCCGTGGATTATTTTCGGTTTTCTCGCTCTGCTTCTCCTAATTACTTACTATTCTTACACTGCCTGCCTAAGGTATTCCTCCTGGGGGCCCCCCCCCTCGCTTCTATATGTATTACAAATCCCACAGTTCCTCCAGTCTGCCAGTTCATTCAGGCACAGACCGCACCATCGACGCCTGAACATGTCCATCGGCCACCTCGTACTCCCTCACCACTTCAAATCCATGCTTCTCATACAACCGTCTCCCCTGAGGTGTCGAGGCCAGGAAGGTTTCCACCCCAGCCTCGTCCGCCTGCTTTAGCCCCCATCGCAGTAGTTGCGACCCTAGTCCTCGTCTGTGGTAGTTGGGGTGGGTAGCGAGTATGTCGAGGTCTATTTTTATCCCCCGTCAGTACTCAAGTATTGGACAAGTCAGTCCGCTGCCACAGGGGAGCTCACATAAAAACTTCTTGTCCCCCATCACCTCCCATCGCTCCTGGTCCATGATCCCGAAGAAATCCTCACATAATTCCTGATCGGCGCTTTCGGGCCATTTTTGCGAGAGACTCTGCTGGTCTTTTGTGGGCGGCTCCGGTTGCTGCTGTTCGCCGGAATAAAACTTCCACATGGCGAAGGCAGCAATCACTGGGTCTCTTTGACTCTCATCCACGATCTTCAGGATTGTGCTGCCGGAAGAGGGGTTTCCTGCATCCTTGATGTCCTGGGTGAATTTTTGAGTCAACCAAGTACGCACATCATCGGTCGGAGGGAACAGGCGACGGTTGAAGGCGTCCGAGAAGGAATGGAGCAAGACGTCAGTCACTTGAGAAGCATCAGAGGGGGTGGCATTGTGGAGTTTTAAGCTGGCATTGCTAGGTTTGGTAGTGGTAGCACTGGTGGTGGTGCTGGAGCAGCGCGTCAGGATGACAGCCGGTCGGAAAAGGCGGTAAGGCTGGCGAACAGCGCTGGTGATCGCAGATCCAAGAGGCGTCATGATGCTGCAGGGTGTGGCCGATGAAGCTTGTTTGGAAATGACTGTTGCGAGGGACAATTCAACCCGGCAAAAAATGCCAGCAAATTTTGTCGCATGATGGGGAAATCTTGTTAGTCATTGACATCATTCAAGCTCGGTCTGCTTTCCGAGATTCCGAGGTTGCGATGGAGTAATAAGTGAAAGTAAAAGGAAAGGGAAGAAAAACCAAGAGATGGTCCCTGGAAAGTCAAGAAAGCTTGGCTGCTGACTCAGTGAACAACTGACTTGCTTGACTTCTTCTTGACTCCTTCATCCCTTCACCTGTCCAAAAATAAAAGCGAATTTAAGCTTCTCGTGTGACTGCGCCTGTTCCTGGCTACTGCCTCTGCCTGATCAGGCTGCAACATTCCTCAACTGATGCATTGGTTGGCTGACTTTCTCGGAAGGAAAACGCCATGGTACCCGCGGCCTCCGATTGCGATGGACTGACGGACAAGTTCCGTGTAGGCTGCAGAGCACTAGAGTGACAGATACAGTATAGTAGGGCTGATGAGAGGAAGGACAAAAAAAAGACCCTGTCTGCAGGATCAAACCGTACTCCGTAGGCAGCCATGTTTTGATTTCCGACCCTTATACGCTTGACCCAATCAGAATCCGGTCACAGTGTGCCCCATTGGGATAAGCGGCAGTCTGTTGTACTGTACATACATTCATGCATGGACGAATTATGTCCGACTGCAGCAATCTGAATTGTGAGCCTGTAGATCTTTCACGCCACTTCCAATCACCCAGGAAAGGACTGCACTAAAGACAGAAATAGACTGCAGATTGACATGACATCTGACTGACTCTTCACCCCTCAATTTTCAGTCAACAACGTTTTTTTCAGGGCCAACCGTTTCGTCATTCAACCATGGCTCCTCTTCAATCATATCAGGCGCCAACCCTAAGCTTCACTCCGACCCACTGGCCAGGGTTCACGGCCTCGACTATGACCCTGACCGTTGAATTGGTCGGTGTTTGGCTGGTCTGCCGCCCAAATCTGGTGCAATGCACACCTAAGTCATAGGCCAGATCAGGAATGAGGCAGTACTGGGGGCTGAGCGAGCATTACTGGAGCCTGGCCCCATGCTGCTTTTCTCTTCTCTCCTTTTAGACCCCGTTGCTCCCCGCCTCGTCTCATGGTTAGACCATTCTGAGCACAGTGAAGGCAATTGACTTTTTTTTCCATAGGGCCAGCCAGCTGTGCAAAGTGGGAGCGTCGCCATGTCTACAACAACGTCTTCGTCGTCTTCGCCTCAAGCTCCTAAGCAGAGCAAGAAAGCCAAGAAGCAACAGAAGCAGCAGAAGAAATCTCAAAATCCTTCTAGCGCACCGAAGGAATCAGCCAAGGTTCTACTAGCCGATACAATTGGAAAGGCACTGCACGAGCGTCTCTTAAGTTTTGGTGCTCGTCGCCACCACAACCCCCAACAACAGCAAGAGCATCATGACTGGGATACTCATCTCGACAGCCGTCTGCTGTCCGCCTCTCCCTACCTCACCGTCCCTCACATCCCTCGCACGAGCAGCAGTAGCAGCAGCAGCAGCATCTCGCGGGGATCTTCTTCCATCACCCTTTCGTCATGTGATGGCAGGAGCGTCGCATCCAGTCGCACCAGCCATGAGTCCAATCCCATCGACAAGCCGTACATGTCGTCCGTCTCCCTCCACAGCGACGTCCTTACCAGTCGCATCGTCACACTCAACGGCCCCTGCACTATGGAAACCATCCAGCACCTCGTCTCACGATACGGCCAAGTGTCGCACATGGGGGTGCTAGACCCGAGCTACAGCCTCTTCGTCAACCGGTCGCGCACAGCAGTGCTATGCTTCAAAGTGCTGAACAAAGTGGCCGTCGTGTCCGGCGACCCGATGTGCGCAGCGGAGCAATTCGGACCACTGCTGAGCGAGTTCCAAACCTACCGCAAAAGCCGTCGCCTGGGCATCGCCTTCCTGGGAACCAGCGAGCGCATGGTACACTACGCGCACCGCACACAATCGCTGCACGCGAAGCAGAACTGGACGCTCCTGGAGTTCGCCAAGGAGCGCGTGCTCAACCCGACCACCAACGCCGTCCTGCTGGAACAGAGCGGCAAGCGCATCGTGATGCAGAACAAGCAGCTCCTGAACCCGAGCAAGGGGGGGATCACATTGGATGTGTACGTACCACCAGAGCGGTCCTCCTCATCCTCCGTCTCCGTCTCCACCGAGGGGGAACCCTCAAGCTCAAGCGAAGACCTCCAATCGCAACTCCACGCCATCTACACAAACTGGTGCGACCACCGCAACACAACAGCCACCACCACCACCACC